CCCTCTTTTCAAACCGACCTTGACCCCTCTTTTTTTCACCCTAACCCTACCCCCATATTAAAAAACCGACCTTGAGGGTCGAGGCGCCACTGCCTGTTTGTTAGGGACGAACTCTCTGCTGAGGACTAGGCCACCGTTGAGAAGATCAGTTATTTCTAGAGAAGCTGAAGATAACAACCAAGGCCCTAGAATTGTCATTCGCCACTCATGAAAATGTGCTCCTAGCCATGTACTTCGTGTTAGCGCAGTTCGAAGTAGGAAAGCAGAAGTTTACAAATAATCCGATTATAGCGCCAATGTACAACTCGGGCTGGGCAAAACTAGACAAGTACTATCGGCTTACAGACGAATCCCCGGCCTATGTTGCAGCTATTGTGCTCCACCCGTCGCATAAACGGCATTATATATATGAGAATTGGAAGAGGGAATAGATAACACCCTCGAAGAAGCTAGGTACGACGCTTTAGGACAAGTATAAACCTATAGTGTCACCTCTACTAACCGAGCCACAATCGAAGACTACGAACGAGTTCTTACGATGGAGAAATAAGCATCTACAACCGTCTCCGATGACGGACGAGTACGAGCACTACTACAAATCCGAGCGGGTCTATGGATTCACAAGCGCGCTGACATGGTAGTTAGTGGAAACATAGCAAAAGACGTATCCCAATTTGAGTAAATTGGCAGTGGATATACTGTCGATTCCTGCCATGTTAGCTGAGCCTGAGAGACTCTTTTCGGGGACGAAAATAACCATTACCGACCGTCGAAATCGGATGGGCAGTGATATAATTGAAGCAACAAAGTGCTTAAAATCATGGTTCGAGATACGAGACTTTGAAGGGATAGCATGTTGGTCCGAGTAGCTGCAGTCACGTGTAATATATTATATGTATTGTTTTATTAGCAATATGCTAGGATTTTAACAATACAATACAATATGCTTGTGTGTTATATTGCGAAATACAATATGCACCCTCTAGCAATACAATAATATTGCGAGGGTGCTCATATTGCCAATATTGTATTTTTTATATTATTTACCACACTACAGCAGCGTTGGTGGCATGAACGAGTAGTCAGTACTTCAAATATTTGATCAAATATTTCAAACAAACAAATATAGCTTCAAAATATATCAAACAAACAAATATAAGCCCGGATTTGATTTGTTTGATCTGAGGGCAGCGCTAACCAGTCTGTTCTACTATATAGGACAGACCCTACGTAGTGCAAGCCACCTCGTTACAGCATGTTTGGGTTAGGTGGCAGTGCTTGGCTCGAAGAGGGGAGAGGGGGCTATGCCTGATGCACGAGTATATTACGCTGTAATCTAATAACTAAGCGACATGCCTCTTTAGGTATGTTTGGATTAGGTAGCAGTGCTTGGCTTTGGCTCGAAGAGGGGAGAGGGGGCTATGCCTGATTCACGAGTATATTAAGCTGGTGATGCAACCGCACTTTCTATGATTATTTCTGCAATCCGCTAGTTTGATCCTCTATGACCAAAAAATGCACTGTAAAAGTTTCGTGTGCCTGTTGGGCGTTGGTAAGTAAAAAGACCCCTGTTCCACTTTGACCAGCCTTAGACACTATACTTACACGGGAACCAACCACTTATAGCTGTCGCCCAGGCCATTGGTGTCACCATCTTGGCCGACACCAACCGTGATGGCAAGATTGATGTAAAGACCGATGGCCAGAACAAGGCTACCTGGACCAATGAGCGTGGCGCCATCTTCCTCCCCAACATTGTTGACACTGATGGGCGCTGCTCAGCCAACATCAACATCAACACTGCCGATAACAAGCTCGAGACCTGCCATGATGCGTCAGACAACGTCTTGCGAAATTCCAATTACCTTGCGCCCTTGAAGGTCCTCCCAGTTAGCGGTCTGGCAACGGATGCAAAGGGTCACTTCACCGTGACCAACGCCGCCAAGGTCAGACTCTTCCGCAAGACTAGCAAGGGATGGAGCTACGTTGACGGCTGTACCTCCTTTACCGCTGCAGATCTTGCCGCTGGTCTGGATCTGGGTATCGATGGTCGCGATATCCGTCGCCCTAGCGGCTGGGATGGACGTACCAATGTCCAATTCAGCGTTGTGAGCGATGGCAAAGAATACAAGGATACCGTCACCCTTCGTGTTGCTCCCGTCCTGACCCATCACCATGCCCAGTCCGTCGAGTACGTCCTCATGCATAACACTAAGAAGGCAGATGGCTATGACGACTACTGGACCGAAACCGTGGGCGGCGTGACAAACGCAACTGCCTGGGCCGGTATTAAGGGCGGCCTGAAGCAAGCCTTTAGCGAATGTGACCGCTGGTCCCAAGACTTCATTGAGCCTGGCTACGCTTCCATGCCTGGCCCCAATGGTCTCGTCTATCTACACATCATCATTCGGTCGTTCCAGTCGGATCGCGAGTCTGGCCGTCAGGCATTCAGTCTGCGATCGTCCAACACAGGTGCTGTCCAGTGGCTGATGAACGGATACTCCCAGGACTCCGGTGGCAACATTGAGACCATCCCTCCCTACTCGAACAATGGTAAGCACTGGCCCGCGGGCCGTGTCATCTCCGGCCGACAGGAGAAGTTCCTCCCCAATGCCTTTGCATTCTTCAAGGCGCAAGAGACCCAGGACGCCCTGGAGCTCGACACAAGCTGGCTCCTGGTTGGCCACGTCGATGAGTTTATCCAATTCCTCCCTGTCAAGACTAACCGCGGATGGGCCATCATGGTCGATGACCCCAAGCTTGGCCTGGAATTCTTCAAGAACCTCAAGGCACAGGGACACGGCGATCTGAACTGGCTGTCCCGCAAGTTCAACACGGCCTACCCCAAGAGTTACCCCAAGACAATCACCGACCTGCTGGCTATGAACAACCTCGAGGAGTATACCAAGCTCGCCAGTGACAAGATTGAGGCCAACCTCAATATCCTTAAGAAGGAAACCGGAATCACCGACGCCGAAATCTACCGTCTACCAGGACTTTACTACCTCTGGCTGAATGACAAGAGCCCTCACGATAAGGCGGTCGCAAAGGCCATGGCCAGTAATTCCAGCGATGGCGGTAATGCTGGTGATATCGCCGATGAGGACTGGCAGTCTTCTAAGAGCGTCGCTCAAGTGCCGGCTCTTAACGCTCTTCAGGCCGGTGGTGGCAGAGCAGAGGACTCCCTTCAAGTACGTGCCGAGCAAGTTAATCTAATTGCTATTGGTCCCGCCATTATCAACGGTATTGTCCTCAGCGATAAGCACTACGCCGCGCCTAACCCCTTCGGACCTATTGTCAGTGGTGTTGATGTTATCCAGAAGAATGCCCTCGACACCTACAAGAAACTCGGCTACGATGTGAGATTTGTTGATGACTGGGAGACTCTGCATACCTACAATGGCGAAATTCACTGCGGTTCCAACACGGTTCGCACCCCCAAGGGAACCTGGTGGTAAACACCTGGACATGGTATACAGCGCTGCCCTTAAATCAAATCTTATCAAACAAACTACCAAACAATTCAAAAAAAAATTGTCTTATCTCCTTTTCAAACAAACAAATATATAATTCTGGATTTGATATACGTTTAATGCCTTTGAAACAACCGAGTTTTGTACGCTTGCCGACCCGCACCTACACTAGACACAGGTTTTCACTGGTGGCCTCTGGTAGAGAATCGAGAGCGAGGCCTTCAAGAAGCGACTTGTAGCTACACTAGTTACAATGGACGCTAAGGGTGCCTTCGATGCAGTCCTGCGTAATAGACTAATCAAGCGACTATGCGACCAGGGATGGCCGAGGTTCCTTGTTAAATGGGTCTTTAGCTTCATGTCTCTCCGAAAGGCATACGCCCGTTTCGGAATAGGCCGCTCGGGAGTTATCATATTACCATACGGCCTACCCCAAGGCTCGCCAATCTCTCCTATACTATATCTCATGTAAATCGTAGCTATCTACTCCTTAGATGGAGCTGACAGAAGATACGGCTACGCAGACGATACAGCAATGCTATTTATTGGAAAATCTCTGACAGAGACTACTCAAAGGGCTAACGAAGCTATCAAACAAATGGTCGAATGGAGCCACTCTTCCGCTATTACATTTGATCCCTCAAAGACCGAAATTATGCATTTCTCCCGGAAACAAAACGGCAGCAGCCCAGCAGTACTCCATAATAGTAAAGTATGCACTGCAGAAGCATCAATGAGATGGCTTGGGGTTCTCCTAGATAGAAAGCTCTCCTTCAAGGCTCATATCACCTACTGGAGACAAAAGGGCTCTAATATGGCAAATCTGCTGCGTAGTCTAAGCAATACTATATCCGGTATTGCCCCGGCTGCAGTGCGGCATGCCGTCTTCACAGTCATCGTACCGATCATGCTGTATGGTACGGAAGCGTGGCTCACAGACGACCCTACACCTTCGATGAAGGGCTCCTCACTTCATCTCTCCCAAACTCAGCTCAACGCTATACAGAAATGTCTCAACACTGCTTGTAAAGCTATTCTCCCTGTATGGAGGACTACACCTAATATCTACCTCTGGAAAGAGGCAGGCGTACCTGCTGCAGAGGATCAGATCAAGGCTACTCGTGTACGTATCTCGCTTCGAATAGCCACATTAGACGACCAACACCCTCTTCGGATCCGACTCGCAAACCTCCACCACCGAATACGCTTTGAAATAAACCCCGCTGCTAGTCGAAACGTTGCACAGCGCTATATAAGGCTCTTCAGGCTTTCCAGGATACAAGAAGACATGGATAGCATCCCGCTTATCCCAAGACGCTTTAGTGACAATATCCATACTATATTGAACTCGGCCTCAAAGGAAGAGGAGACACAAGTACATCTCTCCTGGCTCCGCACTAACCCTGATGGGCTTATTGTTTACTCGGACGGTTCGAAGCTCGAAGACAATAAAGCAGGTTATGGCTATATTGTCTATAGGAATGGGACCGAGATTGATAGAGGATCTCGGCAACTCGGCTTTAGAGAGGTCTTCGACGCTGAGATCTCCGGTGCTCTACGCGGTCTCCGGCAAGCTATAAAGCACTGTACCCCAAACACTCCGATTACTGTATGTATTGACAACTCGTCCGTGGTACGTGGCATCGGAGGCACCGCCCCCATGTCATCTCGTGCTGAATTCCTCGCCTTCCAAGCTATTAGAGATGAATTCCCAGGCAGAATATCAGTTAGATGGACCCCCGGACATAAAGACATACCTGGCAACGAAGCAGCAGATGCTCTAGCCAAGAAAGGGGCCGCAGGGCCTCTTCGAGATCTTGCACCATCAATTACGCAGCGACGGCGCGAGATCCGCGCTTTACTCCCCCGTCTCTTTCGCACATGGTAGGAATCGGTGGAAAAGAGAACCTACCAGTCTCTTGGACTCACGGCTAACCTATCAAAGCTCCCAGAACTCGATATCCCCCGACGACAACTCCGACATCTCCTCGCTGCACGGTCTCACCACGGCGATTTCGCCGTGTACCATCAGCGCTTCCATCACGACAACGCTACACTAGAGTGCCCATGCGGCCACGAGAAGACTCCAACACACTTATTCTACTGCCGAAAGGTCCCTCTAGACTTTCGAGCTCGGCTCGCACCCGATGCATCGAAGTCTATCGGTCGCTTTCTCGGCTCGCAGTTCAAGGTGTTCTGTCGAATCGCGGACGTGTACTTCAATAGAATCTGCACACATAGGTAGTAATACCTCCACACAACCGCTCGGCAGTGTTGCGCTCATCAACACCTCCCCAATGAGCTTTCCTTTGTTTTCGTACACTTCCCCTTTATTGGCTGACCGGCCATTCCCTACCTAGATAGAAAACTTGCTTGGGAAAGACACCCACTAACCACAGGGTGCACTGGCCCCCCATTAAGAAGCCAGAAGTCAATAGGGGCTCCTAGAGCCCTCTCTGGATCCCGCGTCGGGTAAGGAGTTGGAAAATTATCGTGTTACTGTGGTTTGTTTAAGGAGGAGACGTGGAGCAAAGGAATCCCAAGGGGTGGGCCCTCGGCTCGGCGTCGTCACGTTTCGTGGCGGCTGGCGCCGCCTACGCGGGATCCCGGTCTTCGTCTCGTATTACCTATCGGCCACACGTCTTATGCTACCCTAGAGCGCCAGATAGACGTAAATAAAATCAATCAATCAATCAAGCNGCCTACTCTCCATGCTAACCTCTTCGTTCTTAACTGTCTGTCTGCTTCGTATGGCGATACGTGCTTGTCCGCTGCTAACATGGTCGTCGCTACCCTGCACTTCAAACCAACCGCTCGCTGCACGCGATGGAAACATCTTTTGGCATCGAATATTGCTCTCCCATGGTAAATCACGGCTTTTTCTATTCTTGCGCTTCAAATCACTTTCTTTTCCCTAATCGTTCATCCAACCATGCTAGGTACGGCAATGGTGCTGCATTCTGCGCACGGCGCGTACATACGGACAATATCTACACCGCAACCCATTGTTCACGGGTGCTGCCACGTGCGGTACTAGCTCTGGTATTCGGTCGGGTAATATATAATAGCGTAATTCGGCTTGGGTTTTTATTAAGATACGCGCTCTTTCTTTTTGGTTAATGCTCTCCGCATGATGCGCTCTCATGTGGCCCGATACCTCGTCCACGACGTACGCCCAACGGTATGCAACGCAAAATACGAACGGGAATCGTATATCGTAAATAAATGGATCAATCCTATTCATTTTTGCGAATGCTTTTAATAAATAGTAAACGTATATCTTGTCGGAACTATGCTCTTGTGTAGTATGCTGCGACATATCCACGCCGACTGATTTGACCCCACTCTAGCGTCGATAGCCCGCCGCCGCAACTTGCCTAATTGGGAAATTCTATGTTGATACTTTAGCCTCTCTCTACACTTCAATATTACTCTAATCAACTATTCTATTTGATAAATCTACTTTTACAATTGAACTACTTTTATGTAATATTTTAAAATACTTCTCTAGCTCTATCTGCGGTATTTTGCAAAACCGACCTTGACCCCTCTTTTNAAATACCACACTAACAATTCGCCTACTTCGGATGGCATGAATCGGTGAATAATCTTCACTTGGTTATTCTGGCGAAAATTCTTGTGGTATGCTGTTACAAAACACATCTGCCTATGGCTAGTAAATATATTGCGTGCCCCGCCATTCGCTGTGTTTATGTATCGTATCGTCAATATCTCGGTTGCTCGCGCTGGCTGGCCCGAAATCATATGAATCATAATTAACAACTTCTCTCGAAACCTGTTAATTAACTTGCCATACGCTGCGACGGTGTCTTCCTTGAATGGCTGCCGGCGGTCCTGCTGTAAACTGATCCATGTATTGACACTTCGCCTATACACTATGTTATTAAACATATACTTATTACCCGCTGTAATCTACTCCCGGTTACGCTCGTCTGTTAAAAAATTATATCCTACTACGTTATTGCTGTTGTCGTCTTCCAATTTATCCTATGGTATACTGGGCAATCGGTCGATAGCGTCGGTGTCTACCATGGTCAACTCGCATATCATGGCGCGCGCTTCTGCCACAATGGTATGCAACATCCCGCTCAACTCAACCATGGAAATCCGCAACTGCCGGAACACAACTTTATTCCCAATCCAATCAATCAACGCACTCGCCGTTGTCGAATACCGAATCTTTAACTCGTATGTGCGCGTCTCTAATATCCAATCTATCGGCGTTGGGAACTAGTCTCGTTCGTTGCCAATACGCGTCATGAACTGTCTCGTGTCGGTTTGCACGCGTGTGAATACACTGCGCCCTACGGTCTTGGCCTCGCGTATGGGCATATTGTGTTCCCGCTGCCATTGGCGAACTTCGCGCTGCCGCCTGCTATACGCTCGGTATAACACGACAATACGGAATACCTTAACAACGGCTGAATATATGNTCGTCCTCGGGCGCCACATGAACTACCCTATATTGGATATTTTTTCGTGTCGTTCGACCGCGTATAATCTTCGATTCCGATGGAGTAATATATGCTCTTCTATAAAACTCTTCTTCGTCTGTTGGTGGTAATGTTGCCGTTAAAAACACTCTTTGTACACCCCATGTTTGAATCTCAATACCCATCTCTCGTAATGCTGGGCGGAACTGGTTGGATCCATCTAATATTGTGTGGCATTCATCCACCACAACTCGATCCAATATGTATTAATTCTGCATCCATTGCATAAACCGCTGGAACGTCTTGGAAAAAATCGTCTCTGGTGATACTAATATAATACTGCCTGTCGGGTTCGGGTTTGCGCTATTCCATATGTCCGTCGTAATACCGGCGTTAATGTACTCCTCCTGCATATCCTCCTGTAACGCCACTAATAGTACAATCACAATCGTACGTCCGCTGCTTGCGCTCTTGGCGGGAAACATGAATGAAATACTCTTCCCGCCGCCTGTTGGTGTGATTTGTACAATGGTGCTCTCGCCGCGGATAATCGCGGATATGGCGTCTTTCTGCTGCGCTCGTAACACTGCATCTGGCCCTTTTATCGACCGTAATACTACGCCAATGTTAATCTGTCGGATCGCTTGTAATCGCTGCAATCGAATACGTTGACGCTCCTCGTCATGCTTGCCAACTCGACGCTTGCGCCAACTACGGGCTGTTGCTTCGCCTTGTGTGCCGCCCTGGTTTACTGCACCCTGCCTAAACGCAAAAAACTGGTGCTATTGCTGGCTGACATCGCGAAACTTCTCCCGCATTAATGCTGTGCCGCCCAACCCTTGCTGCATCTCCCGCGCGTAAATAGCGCCGCTAATCATGCTTGTATGCCCGGCTTGCTGGTCCTGCGGCCGACTAACCTCATCGATATCATCTTCATCATCGTCTCCATCCCCGACCTTGTCTTCCTCCATAATCCCTTCCCCTCCCAAATATCGATTGGCAATTGCAATCGCGATATGCCGCCAACTGCTAGTTACTATGCTCTGGCCTAATAAACGCTCGCTATACTGACGTATTATACGCCGCACTCGGTCGGATGTCCACTTGCGCTCCTGGAACATACTCTTCTCCATCTCGGTTGGCTCTTCACCATCATCTCTATCATCGCCTCTATTGTCTTCTGCTTCGTAATCCCGCTCTTCACGCCGCTTTATCTTGCCTGTGNAGAGAACCTACCAGTCTCTTGGACTCACGGCTAACCTATCAAAGCTCCCAGAACTCGATATCCCCCGACGACAACTCCGACATCTCCTCGCTGCACGGTCTCACCACGGCGATTTCGCCGTGTACCATCAGCGCTTCCATCACGACAACGCTACACTAGAGTGCCCATGCGGCCACGAGAAGACTCCAACACACTTATTCTACTGCCGAAAGGTCCCTCTAGACTTTCGAGCTCGGCTCGCACCCGATGCATCGAAGTCTATCGGTCGCTTTCTCGGCTCGCAGTTCAAGGTGTTCTGTCGAATCGCGGACGTGTACTTCAATAGAATCTGCACACATAGGTAGTAATACCTCCACCCAACCGCTCGGCAGTGTTGCGCTCATCAACACCTCCCCAATGAGCTTTCCTTTGTTTTCGTACACTTCCCCTTTATTGGCTGACCGGCCATTCCCTACCTAGATAGAAAACTTGCTTGGGAAAGACACCCACTAACCACAGGGTGCACTGGCCCCCAATTAAGAAGCCAGAAGTTAATAGGGGCTCCTAGAGCCCTCTCTGGATCCCGGTCTTCGTCTCGTATTACCTATCGGCCACACGTCTTATGCTACCCTAGAGCGCCAGATAGACGTAAATAAAATCAATCAATCAATCAATCAATGAAATTAATCAATCAATCAAGCCTCTGGTAGAGAAGCATAGTGTCCCCTTCGAGGTCGGTATTTCTGGCGCCAGGGGTGGGTGTGGGTGGTGCGGAGGAGACTGGGCCGGCGGGAGTGCTAGATAGTAAATCCTCACAGTGGAGTCTTTTAAAGGCTTGTGCGCCTAGAAGCTTAGCGTGTGTCCGTTGGGTCTTTGAGAGCTTGTAGAGCCCGTCATCGCGCTTCTTTGGCTTTGCGAAGCACTTGTTGTCATCTGGGGGGTGTGGTCCATGGCATAGTATGCACTGCGTGAATCGAGTACATGAGTCGGGTTTGTGGTCATCGCCTGTTCGTTGACCGCAGTTTTTACAGCTTTCCGGGGCTATGCACCTAGTCGGAGCATGGTAATTCCAGCAGTTGGTACACTGGGTGATTTTTGGCGCCTTGGTTAGCTTGAAAGAGAAGGCGCTCGTGCCTAGGAGCCGGAAGTTTCCTAGTACTGGCTCAGAGAAGGAGATTACAAGCGTTACAGTACGAGAGTCAGTGAGCGTGTCAGCTTTGGAGATATGCCAGGCAATGGGGGTTTGCTGTGTTTGACGATGGATCTCATCAGAGACCACTTGGTCGAAGTCGAGGGGGGCACCTTCCCAATCTGTCAGTGTGCGAGGGAAGTTTTTAACCAGGTAGGTGTGCCATTGCACATTCTTTTCAGCAATAATCAAGTCGAACTTTGGTCCCCAGCTCTCTTGGGTAGAGAGGAGAGTCTCTTCGGCTTTGAGAGTCCGCGCAGTGATAGCCCAGCCGGTGTTCGTTGGTTTGATGTCTTGGATGTCCTTGGGATCGATAGATGCAGCCTGTGCGAGCGCAAGGCGGATTTGGTAGCCGTGTTTATTGAAGAGTTCAGAGCCGCGTTTAATACGGAGAAGAATACGCTTATCGAGTTTAGCGGGCTGCGTTCGGGGTGTATTGTCAGTACGAGCGGCCTTGTGGACTTCGATATCGCTAGGCCGTTTTCCGTCAGCGGCAGCGGCACGGGCAGCCCAGCCGCCGGCCGGAGCGGAGCGGGGATCAAGGCCGGGGTTCGAGATGTTGGCGGCGGATTTATGAAGCTTCACCGCTATGTTGTCCTTAGGGTATATGCCCTTTTGTTCACCAGGTTGCTGACGCACAAAGTTATCCCATTGGCTTAGGAGGGATTTGGAGAAATCCCGTGCGATTTGGATAGCGTAGCCTGTGGTATATTGTTTTACGCAGTCGTTAATCACGGTCGCAAAGGTTCTCAGGACTTCAGTACGCGTCTGAAGGCGGTCCATTTCTTTCGTGAGAACGCTTTCGGCATGTTGTTCGATGTCAATTGGGCCAGGGTTGTCTAGTTCGTCCGCCAGGTTGTGGTATATGTTCGATATATAGTCTGGGCGGTTTCGTTTGGGGCTTCGTCCTCGGTACGGAAGGGGTCCTGGGAGCATTGGACTGCTACTAGGCAGGAACGGCTGGTGAGTTGTCGCAACTCTTCCTTGAAGCAAAACCGCTTGGGCCTTGCTGATTGGAATTGGGTTTGTGGCAGCCGCGGGCGTTCGCACCTTGGTGGCCTCGGGGGTGACGAGATCAATCGCCATGCCTTCGGCAGCACTCTAGGTGCGATAAGCGAGTTTTGGATGTCTTTTGAGTTCGATCCGAGTATATTATCTACGTAATTTCTACAAGAGCTAAGTTTGGCCCTGTAGATGTAGATGGCCTAGCATCTGTGGCGGGCTGAGTAAATAGTATAGGGTGGTTGCCTTCCAGCGTACAGCTAAAGGAATGAAACTGATACTATTCTGGGATAATTAACATACCACTCGGATTGTTAAGGGCAACGCAAGGCAGCCATTGCATCTCTGAGCCAGCGACCATTACTGCATCGCACTAGGCACAGAGAAGCGCCGATGACCAGTGTCCAATATCCAACTTGACAGCCGATGCTGGCGAGAATCTTTTTTGCAGTCGTGTTGCAGACAGCCAGAAGATCATGAGTATCGTTGATGTGAGGAAAGGGGACATTTGGCACAGGGGCTCCGAGGAACTTGCACAAGGGTTCCCAGCCATCACCAAGGTTGTACTCGAGCAGCTGGTCAGCTGGCACGAGTCGCTTCACCATCTCTCCGTGTTCTTTGTGCACAATTGGTAACCTCTTCACGGCATCAGCACGTGAGCTCGCCTTGAGAAATCCTAAAAAAACGTCCTTGCAAATGCTACCCGACACTTGACCAAACGACGGCCCCAAGGTACACAATATGAAACCGCGGAGGCCAAAGCAGATGCCATCAAGTAAGGCATTCTGGAAGCTTACCATCCATTCACCTACTGGCCGCTGAACGAGAATGACCTTGGCCTCAGGATAGCAGGTAATGAGCTGCTCGCTAAACATGCTACCGAAGTCTGTAGCAACGCGATAGCTGCCTATGATGCGGTCCCAGTCACTGCGCGTCCATGGCATTAGCGGATCACCTGGGTTTATATAAAATGGCAGTCGATCTGTGGCGTAGGTCTGTCGCGTAGTTTGCAAGTATGGAAAGTTACACCAGGCAGCTTGGCCCCAGCCATAAAATTCGCGAGGTCGTATGAAGTGCATGCGCAGGGCATGGTGTATATTTCCGCAGCCTAGTATCTCTAGCGCGCTTGCGAGGGAGGCTGTTCCGGATCTGGGCAGGCCGGCGCAGATGATGCCGGCGCCTGTCGCAAAACTCGGCGGTTTCGCCTGCATTTGTTGGATGGCAGCCATTCTGTATATGTAAAGGTTTGAAGGGAAAATCCGAGGGAAAATAACGTGTGGAAAGTAGGTGGAAGTATTCTTGCGAACCAAGCACAGGTCAGTATGTAGATGCTAGTGGGAGAGTGCAGAGTTGCCACCAACCTTACCGCAGGCGGCGAAAACATAGGACAGTAATAGAGCTCGATACTATAATATTGCATAGAAATTTATGCACAGGGGTTCCATTTACCGTGTTCTGTCTCGCTTCCTTAGCCACATTAATCTCGTTTGTCTTAAACCTCCTTTATTCCTGCATACCATACTCCTAGCGTTTTAAAACCAACAGAGCATCCAATAGATTTTTTTTGATCGCTACAGGGTTGATTTCTGCATATTCTTGCACGACATAACGATGAAGCTCAGCACTTATATTGTATTGGTTGCCTCTGTGTCTAATTTTGGACAAGGCGCTCCGTCCCCGAATGGATATGAAGCTTGTGAAATACAAGTGGAAACACAATTGCCGGTCTGTTGTAAAACGCCTAGCCTACGAAAAATAAAAGGATGTCTGGAGAGTGAGTTCTTCCCATATCATTTTGTAAAACATTGCCTGCGCTACAATGCAAATGCATATCAGCGCTGAACAACAAGCTAGTTCACCGCTATCCAACTGATCCATCCGATTTCCGCACTGCTTGCAAAGCACTAGGACAGCCATATGCAAGGTGCTGCACGCCACCTGATCACAAAAATCCGGTAATACTACATGATAATAAGACTGGTTTGCATCGGAATGATACTAATGGTTTATGTAGAGCGACGACCTCCTTGGCGATCTCCTCGGTCCGAATCAATGCGTGAAACCAGTTGGGATTGATGAATAATTCAGAAGCAAGCCGGAGTGGAATACTATGAATTCTATCACTCTATAGTCTGTCGGTCACAACACTCACGACAGTCACGATGTCGAAATAGTTGCTACGCGACGTGTTCGCTTGCTAGCTGGCAATAAAGAAGCTTCAACAACAAGTGTTTGCCAGCTGGCAAAGGAAGGCCGCTAGCTGGCAGGACCACAACAGCCTTGTATACAAATAGAGAAGTGAACTGTGGAAGGAGGAGAGGGATTTGTCCTTATTCAAGTTTGTTGTCTTCTTTCTATCTCATATATAGAAGAGTTAACAATAGCATTATGTTTGGCGAACTTTTCTCGTAATACCTAGACAGCTACGTGACAGATGGTCGAGAGCTACCCGAGACCACCACGTGCCTAGCCCGTTACAGTACTATTCACTAGTGTAAACTTATTTCTACTTACTCGGTCGCACACCGACACTCCCCAACTTAGTATAGATCCTATCCCAAAACTTACACTCGGAAAAGTCTATTGGAGATATTGCCATCGCTTCGTTGGTTATATGTAAACCTTGATGGCTGCATTTTTCAAATTGCGGCCAAGGTAGTTCCTGCGTTGAAGGTGATCTTGAGGTAGCCATTGAAGACCAAGCGGCGATCAATGTTTGACTAATACTCTTGTCGAATGAACTGCTATTGCATGTACCAGTTCCAAAGGGCATTTGGTCCATATTGCCAAAAACAAACGAGATTTCACTGGTGTGAGCGGCTCCAAAGGCCTCTTCAAATTCTTTTGGAGGAACATTCTCTCCGTCCACATAAAGCCAAGGGCAACTAGGAGTCCGACCGAAGCGATAGCTATAAGTTGGCATGCCAGCGGCCTTTGCTGCCAAAAGAGCTCTTCGAGGCTGGCAAATGAAGCTAGCCATTGAAAGAACGTGAGTGATGGCGATCAGTATATTCGCCTTCGGGCTTGCACTAATGTTGAATTTGCTGAGAGGGTATGCAGCGCCGATGTCTTCACTTACAGGGCCCCATTCGGCAATGAAATCATCATATGTCGTTTGGTTATATGTGCCATTGTAACTTTTGTAGAGAGGATACACAAAAAGAGAACTCTCGTTCTCATCTGTATTTGTTAAAGGCAATTCTACTGTAGATTGGGTTCCGATGATACGTACTAGATCCAGCAAGGATAGGAACTTGTGGTCCAACAAGTAATGGATCTTGTCTGACAATTTCCCCGTCAATCGCAGGCTTAGCAAGGGAAACCGTGTTGGGAAGGGTCATGGCGAAACGCTGACTTATGGCGTCTACAGGGCCAAGCAGCGGCAACTTGCTGTACGCGGTTGTTATATTCTCAATGCATTGCGTTTGCAAACAATGTAATTGCTAAATTGCGACATTTTTAGATTAACATCGCCATTTTAAAGCCATCAATGAATACTTACATTCAGTCCAGTACAGTTTAAGAGATCAGCATACATGGTGCTGATATGTTGAAGGTTTTCGCGAGTCATGACGTCTTGACCACCACCAGACTCCAGAATGAGACTCGAGAAAAGCCCTTTCGCTTGAGGGAGAGTAGACATGACGAAACTGTTGTGTGCACCCGCGCTTTGCCCAAATAGCAGCACTTGATTAGAATCGCCACCGAGAGCACGGGCATTTTCTTGGACCCATCGCAAAGCCAGCAGAGAATCCTCAATGGCCATGTTGCCCTGAATACCGGCAGATTGTAATCCAAGGAACCCGAGAGGACCTAGCCTATAGCTGAATACAATCACAATGGCGTCAGTGGCGAGGTTACAGCCATCGTAAAGCGGGTAGGAGATACCACCCGCCGCATTTGCTCCTCCATACGCAAACACTTTGATGGGTAGTTTCACACCTGCAGAGATTTTGGGTGGTATATATACATCCAAGTACAAACTATTTCGTTAGTAATCTATTTCTACGAAGATTGTCCAGTACTGGTAGCTACATACCAGTCCTCCGACATGGGAGGTTCATTGACCTTGAATTGAGAAATGAATTGGATGCACGGCGCTGCCGCCTTCGTTGCATCGAGATGACCATCAGGGTAGACCCGAATTGGTTCTGGAGATTTGAAGCGTAGTTGACCGACTGGTGGCTGCGCGTATGGAACTCCGCGATAGACTACAGCAGGTGAGTTTGCACATTGTGCGCCATGAAGAATTCCTGCATCAAGCTTCACACTAGGAGATGCCGTTGCGACTGCGACGACGATACTGAAAAGGCATGATCTAGGCTGCATACTCGGTTTATAGCAGAATGACAGACAGGAGAGGGATATAAGAAGTGTAGTTACTAGCAGAGATATTCAAATGGTAGTTTAGAGTATACAAAATCACAGAAGATATACGGTTAACAACTGGAATTTAAACTAAGCTGGGCGATGAGTAAGTGCACTGGTATGAGGCTGAGTCAGCGTCGCGTAGTTGAGGCGACGTCATTGTAGGGGCTCTTCCCGAGAATAATATCTTTTGTAGATTGACACACTTTATCTAATTGCATATTAAAAAAAGCAGTTTTTTGGACCTTATATTATGGACGAATTGCTCTACCGCTACTCTATTCTTCTAAACTTGTAGTTGGTTCCAAAGCGGGCGAGCCATGGCACTAAAGTAAAAAAAAAAACTCCGCGTATGTATAGCTACATGACGTGTGTGGCTGTTTACTCGCACAAGATGCGCCGACTCACCAATCGTCTACGAGCAGAGTATAGTGAAGCCTTCCCAGAGTCCCATGCAATATAGTATAAGTCAACCTGGAGCCCGTCCTCCGATGTGGTCCTCGCAGGCGGACAAGAACCTGTTCTTACTTGTCACTCAACTGCAAAGATGCTAAGAAAACAGATTCTTACTACCGTGATTCAAGAGTATCAAAATAAAATACATAATGCAGTACCAGCTTTTATCAGCGTTTCTTTGTGTAGCGTTAAACGGTAGAGTTCTTGCCCATGTCACAATCCCGGTTGCTCCCCTGGTCACCGCTCCGCCGCTACCCGGTAGATGTATCACCTGATGATGGGCTTTTTGCTGCAACTCTCCCCCGTAAAAATTCTTCCACTTTTCGAGCTGTTAGTGCTTGTTAGTGTGGCTAGAATGTTACAGGCATTTGCCACGCTTTCGCTGTCGCGCACATCGTGCACTAACAGCAAAGAGGATGACTATTCGGAGATGTTCATCATCCTTTTCAACAAGCTGGCCCCGACCCATAGCCCACGCGGACCTGGTAGTCGCCTTCGGAACCGAGGAGCTATAGGTATTGGAAGGCTTTTCTTTCCAACCAACGCTGGCTGCTTGCGGAGGTCTTCTCCCTCTAGTTGAGTGTGCTAAGCAGCTCACCGTGAGATGAGGGGATTTTCCCTACCGCCGTTCCTACGCGATCTTCTCTCGCCTGGTTACTGGGGCGGAGACCGTGACATTGCACGTCACTGTTCACGGCATAGGTATGAGAGATCTCAGAGCTCTGACTAAAGAAAATCAAGGGATTCTGAGAAGAAAAGCCCCTATACGTGCTTTTTCAGCCCATTGGACTGTTTTTTCAATGCAGATAGAGGGCTAGAATAAGCTATCTCTGGTAGCAACTGGTGGAATTAAAGGTCCCGACGACGAGCGCCACTTCGAATGTATATAGCGGATGCTGCAACTTGCTGGTGGTGGAGAGAAGAGTACAGCTGATTGCGCGCGGGGGAGGGGGCGAGCATCGAGACTTCGATGGCGAACTCTCTCACGAGGGAATTAGGAGGAAATTCTAGTTAGCAGAGGCACTGTTGACTAGCACGTCTCCATGCCACCGCAGGCTATTATAGACGGAAAATACATCAAATCCAAATTAAATCAAATCAGGGCTTTTTGCTGCCTGTGTAACGGCTAAACCTACGGATGGCTATAAATTCTACCACAACGTTCAAGATACGGATTTCGATTTATACGAGGTAAATGGGTCCTTTACTAGGGTTGGTCACTGTGATCTAAATTAGATTCTCAACTTCGTTCAAAGTCTATCCCATAATTCTAGTTATAAAATTAAAGTTTAAAAATAATTCATTAAAAAATAACGCGAGGTATACTGCTTACTCGTGTGTGCTGCTCACTCGTGAACCACATGAGTAGTAAATTACACGTTTGTTTATGTTGGTTCAAGGCTCAATAACACGTGTTATCGAAAGGTGAGAGGTTGTAGGGTTAAAGCATTGCTGTTTTCTTCAAGTTCCATGGTCGGAACTGCTCTAGCTAAATACACCGAATACATCCTGTATTCACTTCCTTTTCCTATGTCATCCACTTCCAGTGACTTAACTGTTCCTTCACTCATCTGGTAAAGTGACATACGTCCAATGTCACAATAGTCACAACAGTTTACCCAATGGATAAATAGAACAGAATGGAATATCAAAACTAGCTCTGACATTCAATGCCCTTTTTGGGTAACACTCTTGCCTAGTTATTTGCAAACGTTGGCTTTATAAAACGATAGCTGCAAAGGCACCGAGAACAGCGGCACATGCGCAGGTAAGTTTGTTAGCGCCTGCGACGACTGGGGCTGTCGTAACCGCAGCACCAACAGAGCTGGAAGGTAGAACCCCAGTAGATACAATGGGCGCGGCCGAGATGTCATTTCTAGAACCAGTAGCTGATACGCTCTTGTCAGTCGCGGGGCAAACTGTAGTGTAAGCAGGGATGGTTTCCGTAATCAGTACAGTGCTGTGGGCGGGACAGTTCCTGACAGTCGTGTGGCACGATGTAATGGTACGAACGGTGGTGGTGAAGACAATAGAAGTAACCAATGGAGATGATGAGGTGGTGCTGGTGTTGTTGCTGTACGGGGTGGTGGTTTTAGTGAGTAGAGTAGAGCTCGTGCTAGCGTTGTTGTTGTGATGAACAGTGGTTGAACCTGCTGACGCCGATGTCGTAACAGTTGATGCGGCTTTGGTTTGTTTGGAGGTTGTGCTTGACTTAGCTTCGACTGGCTTCGATTTGGTCGCTGTCGTCGAATGCGCAAGCACCGTAGAAGTCTTCTTTGGTGGAGGCGGAGGCGGCTTCGCTACGTGGTTGTAACGGTAAGGTTTGGCGGTAAAGGGTCCATCAGTCCAGCCCTTCTTGCGCTGATAAGCAACACAGCCAGCATCGCCCTTGCACTCGAGGGTGTGGTACGCTGTGTGGGAAGCATCGACCCATGACTTGAACAATGTGACGTGACCACTGGCACCGCCCGTTCCAGGGCCTAGTGTGCCAACTAAGTCGCCAGGCAGCAAGTCTTCCCAGCCGATAGGATGAGAAATGGAAGGGAGCGTCACGGTGCTGAGACTAGTGCCAGCCTTAACTGCCATGCTGACGAAGCCAGAACAATCTGTGCGGTAACGCGCGCCTTGAGGGTCTTGTGCATAGGCGTTCATAGAGTATGGGATGTGCTTAGCTACCCAGAACTCAGCTCGCCGCATTATTTCGTCGCGAGTAATGTCTGCGCTAGCAAACGTAAGGGCCGTAGCCAGCATCAACAAGCCTTTTAGTTGCATGACGAATACACTAGTCAGATTTGAGGAAACGAATGTGTAAATGAGTATGCGAATGAGCGAATTGAGTGTTTGAAAAATAATAAACGAAGATGTTTACATGAGTGGATGTGAATGAAAGCGAGTGTATGGGAGCTGAATTTAGATCATACTAATAGGCAAGGCCGCTTCTTATACCATTCAGTGCTCCGTCGGCCCATCTTGTCCCGGCTGACTTGACTATTAGAATGCGAGGCCACGGTTTGCGATTGTCCTACAACCCTTGCTCTACAAAGGAGTAGTTCCTTGTCAACTGCTTATTTGCGTATTTGCGTATTTGTGTATTTGAAGTGGACAACAGTTACTCCATCAGAAGCTTGCAAATACATCTGATTAATCTATAATTGCGGCTGAAATGTCAGAATGGCGCAGATATCGACTGGCGTAAAAGACAGAAGGCGGAGATTGCAGGGAACACTGGTACATGTCGCGTCAGGTTGAGTCTCTTCGTAGCTTTGCTGTCTACTTCGACCCGCGAGCAGATGCAGCCAAGATTCCATTATCGCAGGTGACACAAACGGAATCCAACAACTAAATATCAAGATGACAATTGAGTCTGCCACTGGGGTGGTTGTAGTGTAGCCCACCTCAAAGCCTCTTCCCTCGTACAATACGATCAAAGGTCCTACTCTCTTGGGCACTCCAGTCGGGCTTGTTCAGTGTGGAATCGCCCTGTTACCCCAGCCCACCAATATAAGGTATGCTAAAGCGGGGTGACGAGATTACGGTGCGTAGGAACAGAACGCCAGCCTTTCTTACCCCTGACTATCACGCCTTACGCCACGCTCTACCATACAACAACCACCTCTGCCACTAAAAAGTTGCCTAATTCAGACGAAGGAGCACAGCCACAGTCGTCGCAGCAGGTTCTCCTTGCAAGCCACATTTCTTTCCAGTATGCAAGGTAACTAGAAGGAGCTTCAGTCTCAATCGTAAATCAGTACATAACCAATTACCGGGCTACCTGCAACCGGAACATCTTTCCTATTCTACCACCTGTACTGGTACTTGCAACCAGCTTCGCGTGAAGCAGCCTCAAATGTAAACGGTGGCACAAGAAAGGTTGATTCTATGAGAGGAGGAGCGTTGGGCTGGCCTGAGCTGTTGACTGCTGTCTGCCTTGCCAGCAGCAGAAGAGCAAGCGCCGGCACACAGCTGAAAAAGAGGATTGATCAGCTATGTCTATTTACAGCCAGAACTAACCTGGAACATACCAATATAGTATTTGAAACGCCGATCCATATTTATTTTGGCATTGGACACAGAGTGTTCTTGACTGAGCGCCCTCTGACAGCATGGTCTTGCTTGTCCGCGTGACGATCACTTCGAGCCAGTGATGGAAGAATTCTGTAAAAGACCCTGCTAATCGGGGTGTTGGATATTATTAAGTCGACACAAATTACCGTTGCATATACGACGATTCCGAATATCCGAAGAAATTGTACTTGGGCACGAGCTAGTGCGGCTGAAAAGGCATTATCCGGCCACTTCATGACCGTTTTGTGCCGATCTTGTCACTTTTTTAACCCAAAGTGGACATTCTATATCTTAGGGTTCGTGGCGTCGATGCTGACTTGTACTGAGGTCAAGCCAAACTTTGCAGTGCCGGATTGAAAGAGTCCTCAGATAAATATGCTGTTGTAATATATGTAAATTAAGATTGGCGCTTCACTCTGGGAAGGCTTTCTTCGACAGAAGCGGAGAGGAAAACCTCAAAATTGAACGCGCTTTCTTCGCTGTGTGTTGTGTAGCCGAACAGGTAAGTGTTGTTTCCTTAGCCTACTAACCAGCGCTAACATACTCTGGCGGGTACTCCGACCTTATTCCCATCTATTTATTAAAATATCAATACCACATATTGATAGGTTATTATCTCCCTATAAAGTTGTTATGGGGTTTAACACCTGGCGAGAACCGCGGCTGCATTGCTTCTCCCAGGTTGGAAGCACGATGATAAGGTTCCCACTCAATCATACCCAGGTAGCGGGCTTGTAGGGTCAAAGATCTTTGGAAGAAAGTGACAGGTAGCTCAATGTAATTTCGTTTTATGCGCTCGGACCTTACTTCCGCCGCCGGTAGCCTCAATCCAGGCAGAATCAGCTTGCCGATCTGCGCTTTGCGCATGTCTATTCATGAGTTCGGACATCACCGTCGACAGGAATGCTCATTTGGTAGGCTTGTATTTAAAAGTAGTTTTTGTGTATCCGGCGTCAGTTTTATGACGGGAGATTGATTTGAAAATTTGAGGAGTTGTGCTACGAGAAGTAACGCAATAACGAGCCTGTAGTAGTTACATAAGAGCCAAAACACCTTATGACCCATCTGCATCAGCTCATTGGCTGGTAGTCTGCCTTGACAAGGCTCTCCCTCATAGTAGGGCGGGCTGACTATTCGCTAATTTCCTTCTTAAAATTTGTCTCTCGCGGAAACAGCAGGCTGAATAGAGTCTTTGACCCCTTGTCCAGAGTACACCCGTGGTTGCATGGCGCAGCTGGTCATATAAATTGTACCAGTGACTGCTACAACATCAAATTTCCAGACATCAAGTACTTCTTCTGGCTCTGCCCTTATCACACTCTTTTGAAACCAGACAGTCATCCCACCGTGTCACTCATTTTTATTGTTATATTACACAACACAGTCCTTTCTGCAAAGCTACTTCGTCATGCTCAAGTCTTCAATTGCGTTGCTCCTTGGAGCTTCTGTTGGTGTTCATGCGTGCTCAACCCCCGTTGCCAACGCCGCTACGGTTGAGTTTGTCTCTGGGTTTGAAGGTTGGAGAGACTACGTCTGTACGTATTGTGATACCACCCTGGTATCTCTGGATTGGCTTTAGTACTTGATGCTCATTACCATACACAGATCGCGATCCTGGTAATGGCTTCCAAACTCTTGGTTACGGCCATCTTTGCAAGAAGCCTAACTGCGCTGAGGTTCCCTACAAGTTCCCTCCTCTGTCAAAGGCCGATGGTCTTAAACTTCTTAGCAGCGACATGGCCGTATGTGCAATCTCAATTCATCATATATACGAGGGTATACGCTAATAAACTGCTAGATCGCTGAGAACTGTGTTACGAAGGATATAAAGGACAAGATTGTTCTCAACGCCAACCAGTATGGCGCTCTAGTTTCTTGGGCTTTCAACGTCGGCTGTGGCAATGTCGCCTCATCTAGCCTCATCAGACGTCTCAATGCTGGTGAGAACCCTAATGTTGTTGCCGCTAGCGAGCTACCCAAGTGGAACAAGGATGCCAAGGGGCATGTTCTCCCTGGCCTTACCCGCCGCCGAGCCGCTGAAGTTAAGCTGTTTCAGACTCCAACCAGCGAGCATGCTTTGCCTGCTTGCCAAAACCCTGGACCACCAAAGAGTACTTCAAAGCCTGCACCCCCCGCTACTCACAGCAAGACTCAGGACAAGCCAACATCCACCGAGACAAAGACCAAACCCAGCCACAGTGAGACGAAGGGCACCCATACCGAGACAACAATCAAGCCAACGAGCCCCCAACCTTCTTCCACTACCCTTCCTACGGCTGCAAACTCCACACTCCCATCCAACTGGAACACAAGTGCCATACCTACGTCAGTGCCCATGACAACCTCAATTGTGTGGACCACCTCCATCCACATGGTTATCTCATGCGCACCAACTGTTACGAACTGCCCAGCTCACAGTACTGTGCTTGTTACCGAGACAGTCCCCGCGTACACTACTGTCTGCCCTGTGACTGAGACTGAGAAGGTCCAATCTGGCCAACTGCCTGTTGCTACTAGCCTTGTCCCTACTACTACTTCTGTCACTGTTGTTGTTCCGCCTGCTCAAAGTGCCAACACAACACTGCCAACGGCCCCAGTGGCCGCTGGCGCCTCTACACTCAGCCTTCGTACAGCCGTTGTTGCTGCTGCTCTGGCTGCGGTCCTTATGTAAGGGGTTGTACAGAGCTGGCAGGGAGAGGGTGACTGGAAAAGGTATTAGTTTTCGTTAATGTGCAGTGTGCTATCGTGGATAGCACTCGTAACTGTAATAACTGTCGACTTTCATATAGTTCTATGTCAATATATACCCTATTTGCTACGACTCTACCGCATGGAGGCCAAAGGATTCTATTCAAGTTATATATATGTTGGAAAACATTGTTCCCAGTAAAACAGGGGGTGGTTCCTCGCCCATATACGTTGTTCTTTTATTCACATTGACTGCCAATAGCCCTTTAGGAACAAGCTCTCTGATGATACTGTCTCTGGTGATGAGTCTTCAAGCTATAAATATGCCAATGGCTATGTGCCTACTGTATCCTGCAGCGATGGAAACAACGTCACCTGCAAGTAGCTCGAACCAACATAGGTTGTTGCTGGGCTCTGGTATAGGTCGTACGTCGAAGGGCATGAATAGACTCAGTTTGTAACACTAGTATAAAATCTAAGAATTCTTAGTTTATATAGAACCTAGACTCCATATGAAGCTTTCTGAACTTATGTAACGGTCTCAACTGAGTATATTGACAACTAGCTGAGCGACTACTACGAGTATCCGAAGATGAAGAAGAAGGGAACGACACCCCGAAATCGTCACGCGTTTATCACGTCAAATCGACTATCAAAGAGCAATGCGAAGATCCAGATAAATATCGATCCTGGTTTGAGCTTGTAAAGAACACAATGAGCGACTTTGATTGAATGTATCAGTGCAGGTGGCTACGTGATTCCGCCTTTCGTCATCGTCGCAGCCAAAACCCACCTCTCGTCTTGGTACAAAAATAGCCCATTGCCTAGCAATTGGGCGATTGGTGTTACTGAAAATGGCTGGAATACGAATGAGAGATGTTTAGATTGGCTCTATCATTTTCAAAAGTATACAATTAAGCCAAAAAAAGGCAAATATCGGCTTTTAATTCTTGATGGACACGAGAGTCACTAATCGACGGATTTTCAGCTATATTGCCAGCAAAACGATATAATTACATTATGCATGCCGTCCTATACGTCACATAAGCTTCAACTGCTCGATGTGACCTGTTTTCGACCCCTAAAACGAGCATATGGTGGTATAATTAACGATGCGTGCACACGTCACCCATATTACCAAGGAAGAATTCTTCCCAGCAGTTTGCGCAGCACACAAGGCTGCTATAACCGAATCAAATATTCGTGGAGGTTTTAGAGGAGCTGGACTTGCTCCATTCAATCCAGAACATGTCATTTCACAATTGGATGTGAGGTTCTCGACACCTTCATCTCCTGGGTCATCGGATGGGCTCGAGCTACCTTGGCTTCCCAAAACACCTAGCAAACCAACCGAAGCTCTATCGCAAACAGAATATATTGAAAAAGGAATCCGAAATCATCGAAGTAGCTCACCATCCGATTTAATTGAGAATCTTAATCAAATGTCAAAGTGCACAACTAGTGCTATGCGGACGATGGTCCTAATGCAGAATCGAATCGATGAGCTTGAAGAGGCTAATAACCGCCTCTCACGACGGGAACGCGTTACAAAAAGACAATTACAAAGTGGAGGAACACTTACAGTAGATTCTGGCAAAAATCTAGCTGCTCAAACCTCTTCTAGGGTAAAAAGAGAACGCGACGAAGTTGGAAGTAAAGGTCGACGGAAGCGGATGGAAACACGGCGCAGACGCTGTGGAAAATGCGGCGAAATAGGCCATAGTTCTAGAACATGTGAAAATGAAGTAGAAACCATTTCTTCAGATAGCTCAGTTTAGATTTTAAATTTTAATTATTATTTGGTTGTGCTAAGTTATATATTAAGCTCTCTATTAATAATAAGGGGAATTGCAAGCTATTTATTTTATTGCTTGGAGTCCCCTGTGGTTGAACCGGTCCGGGCATAGCCCGGGACTTTAAGACTACTTAAACATACCCAGTGTGACATGTGAGAATGTATTTGCTGTATTCCCGCTCGATAGGTATTAATTTTCTTGCACTATCTGCTGGTATATCTTTCCGATAGCTTTATTAGAAGTGTTATCCGTTCTATTGATTGTAAAGACGTTGTTTTTATCTATAATGCACCACTCATAATAGCGCAAATGTTGCTATTTGTATTATTATACTCCAGAGACTACCTACCTGAGCTATACACTTATACGACCTCAAGGCGGCAGCAAATCGGCGACTCGAGCTGTAGTATCTTTCTTGATAAGCGCGCGCGTCTGGAAGATCGTCGCCAGCTGGTGCCAGCCGGCGCCTGGGACTGCTACGTATTTGACTTTACGCCGGGAAGCAAAGATGGTATAGACGATGAATTATGTTCCTATTTCCTACCCAATGTAAAGTCTTTTAGCTGGTACGCCACGAACTCTTCAACGCGAAATGTGGCAGAAGCTTTTGCCGAGGATTGCCAGTCGATCAAGGCGCTGATGCAGATGGTAAAGGTTCCGGCGATCGCCAGGTGGCTTAAGCAGGGAATCAACCAACACTGTGCTATAATTTCTCTCCAAGACGTTGTATCGGGAGACTTTTATGCTGATAACAAAGTCACCGTGATAGAATGGAATATGAAATGGTTACCGGTAGACATCCAGCCCGTAGCAACGTTCTTCCACCCCAATAGGACGTACTGGCTTGTCGGGCTCTCGAGCGATCTAGGCACGTCAATTGCAGATTATATGATACATAATGGCGCAAGGATATTTGTCATAACAAGTCGGACCGGCAATATTTGTAAGACTTGGCTGGCAAATGCCAAGAGACGGGGCATTGAGGTTCGGGTCAGACTCAGGTAAGTCCATCTAACTCTATATTTAACTAATACATTTCCTAACACAATCCAGTGACATTACTGAATACAAACAGCTCGATGAAAATTACAAGCATATCTGTGCCACCCATCGCAGGTGTCATCCAAGGCACCATGGTCCTCGACGACGCCATGCTACAAGACATGACGCTGGCGCAGCTAACCCTAGTGCTCGCGCCGAAGATCAGCGGCAGCACCAACCTTGATCGCATCCTTGGAAATGTGCCTCTCAACTTTCGCATCTTCATGTCTTCGCTCGCCAGCGCCACCGGCAACTTGGGGCAGGCCAACTATACTGCGGCCAACGCCTTCATAGTAGGCCTCGCGTCCGCCCGACGCCACCGCGGTCTCGCAGCATCCGTCATTGATATCGGCGCTATACTCGGTGTGGGAATCGTCACGCGAGATCTCGGAGACGACGTCGCTTGGTCCCTCGCTAATAACGGCCAGCGCCCCGTCTCTGAGCGCACAGTGCATGCGATGCTCGCTGAGGCGGTGCGAGCGAGTGATCCTACATCCGGCGTGGCACCATGGCATATTGCAAGCGTGCTGGAAAAGAGGGGTCCAGAAGGTGAAAGACCGCATTGGTACGCGTTGCCGCAGTTTGCGCGGTTCACAACGAGGGCGGCTGCGGTAGGCCAGATTAGTTGGCTAGTGAAGACGGCGGCCACCTCGATCCAGGAGCGTCTACTCGTCGCATCTACTTGTGACAATATTATTGTAGGTACGTCGATGGATTTTACCGACACACCCCGAAGTCATATTGAATATGAATATGCTAACTATGCCTGCAGAGACGCTACTCATCCAGATGCGAAAGATGCTGCACCTCGGAGACGACTATGTGATTGAGCCAAGCCTTCTCACCATTGAACCGGGATTGGATTCGCTCGTTGATGTTCGCATCAGAAAATGGATTCTCCAAAACTTCCACCTCAGTGTGCCTGCGCTGCGTATCATGAAGGGCATGTCGATGCAACGGCTGTTTGATGACGTCCGGGAGGGCATTCCGCAAGAGCTAACACCTGCTTTGGAGTCTCATTAACTTCCAATGTATTTACTTTAACATAGCCTTTGCCATATAGATTATTGGATTTCTTTTTGTGTATAAATTCGCTTGTTTTACGAGGCAATTTAGATGTGTCAAGGGGGGACACTCTTTAGCCAAGTTCAAAAGTCAACAAACACATATATTTGCTATATATATTCACAGATATATATTGTACTACCAATACCACTGCATTTAGCGTTGTTTAAATGTGGAATAATATTAAAATACTATCATGGGAGCATAGGGTATCCGACGAACTCCCGCCGGTCTTACAGCTTAGCTTTAAGATGCCTCATTTTGTCACCAGCCCTATATGAAGCAAACTCATGATCACTTTCGAACGCATCTATATGCTTTTCATCCATGGTGAGCTGGACTTCGACAGACCCATCTTTTCCGCGTGGTAAGATGAAACAGAGACCGTCAAAGATGCCGTCCGGAAAGCGGAAGAAATCCGGTGTGTTATGCTCGCCAAATGTACTTCCCCATGTAATCTCACAAAATGGATGTGAATAAAGTGAGCTGACCACGAGATCGTTGCCAAGCCAAGTGGGATATACGAGTCCCAGGTTGCTGACATCCGGCATGGAAGCTGCCAGTTGTAGCGTTTCAGACAATACTTCCCGACGCTGGGAGCTCTGACGGCTGGCGCTAATCAACTGGGCAACAACACCTAACGGTAGATTGCTTCCGTCCGAAATATATCCAACCGTAGAATTTGTAATGCTGTAAATCACAGAGTTGCCCAAGTACTCGTCACTGACAGCGGGCGTCAGCAACTTGCGGATATCCATGGGCATCATGAGGCTGGATGCGTCCCGGTCCGAGCCAGCACGTGCTCGCATCACACATCGCCAGAGCAACGCAGTGAGTGCATCCACCGTTGATATTCTCTCGTGCTCATAACCGTTGTGCAGACAGTGGTCCTTCAACTTCGAAAGGCTTGTACGGTCAAAGAGGTAAAGCCGTGTCACTGGAGTAACTGGTGCCAACTTTGCGGCCAGCACCGCACTCGACACCTCCTTCGGTCTATAATCAAGTCCGAGCATATGCCAAGACGAAGCGTTTCCTTTCAGAGACCCATACTGCCCAGGTACCACAGGCGGATTTATGGACGCAATGTCTGCAGCAGTAGTCGAAAAGCGACAGCTGGCTTGAGCGGGCGAGTTTTGCGAAATTGCGGTTGCGTGGGCAGCCATAACCCGAACAAAGTGTAAGATGCTGGTACCATCCATCAATACATGAGAGGTATTGAATGCTAGAAAGCAACCACCTGGGACGAACGTTGCTCGCATAGAGGTAGACCATCGAGCAGCTGGGTCCTCCGTGTCCCGCGAGGGGACTATAAGAGATGCTGGGAGAAACTTGCGGGGCATGCCCATCCTCTTCAGCTCTTGGTACGACATACCGATGGTGGAATATCCATCAACAATGTCCAGGTGTGGTCTAGTATCAGATGCACGGAGAATTTTCTTGCCAGGCCGAAGATCTGGGCTATCTGATGTTATGACGCGACCACCCAACATTGGGTTTTCGGAAAGTAGCCTAACGTACGCCTGAGTGAGGATTTGGGCTGCACGACTGTGCAAAGAGCCTGGAACTGAAAAACAAAGAAGAATACAGTTATCGATATCAGGCATGATGTCGTCCAAAGGACCCAAGGTCCAATGCTTAGCCATGGCGGCGGTGGTGTGGCTATGAACGTATGGCGTAGTTGCAAAATGGACAAGTCAGAAAGGTCGGTGATGGTATTGGAGTATTACTAATATACTAAAGCTATTGTTAAACGTAAATCTAAAACTCAGGACAGATTCATTGCTAATACAATACATCCCAAGTCGCTTTGCTTAACGGTAGAATACAGGCGGTCTATTACCCCATGGCGTAAGTGGACCTGAACGGCTCCGTTGGCAGACCAAGCACGCTTGTCCATTTAACTATATTGACCATATGGGCCCTGTTTGTATGCATATTATAAATCTACAGCTGTCAAATATTTCGAGAATATTGGCAATATTTTGCGGTATCTGAAATGATGAGCGATTCAGTCGTGGGCGTCGTACACGCTGGTTTTGCATGGCAATCTTGGCCCAATACATTGTTATCTGCAGGTTTTATGGTAATTACTTTCGCTAAATGTCATGGAAATTAAAGCTAATGGTTGAATTAGCTTCTCATAACTTGCGTGTACGTCGCAGTCTATCGGCTTTACTTACACCCGCTCGCCAAAATTCCTGGGCCAAAGTTGGCAGCCCTTAGCCATGTAAGAATAATCCGAGGCATTTCGCATATTATATTTGGCAGATTTTCTTATACATAAATATAGTTTCCGTATAGCCGAAGCTACCTTGGTGGGCGGCAGCCGTGGGATATGCTCAAACTCCATGAGATATATGGTACGAAATCCAATCCGGCTAACACATCTCAGTGAGCCGTCAATTACTTACAGTCTCGATATACAGGGCCTGTCGTTCGAGTTGCTCCAAATGAGCTTTCATTCGACTCTGCAAAATCATGGGCAGATATTTACGGTGTTCGCAAAGAACACGGCAACTGCTTCCGCAAAAGCCGGTTTTATGACGGAGGCAACTTTGCTGACCAAGCAGCATCCATCGTCAGCCAGCGCGATCATGAGAAACATCAACGGATGAGGAAGTTTCTTTCTCGCGCCTTTTCGGAAGCATCACTACGAGAACAGGAATCCTTGATTAGCGACACAATTAACCAATTCGTGGCGCGAATTGCCAAGGAGGATGTGATTGACTTCACGCATTGGTTCAACTTGTTGACATTCGGTACGTCCTTGAAAAAAATGGCACAGCAAAAGCTATCATAACTCCAAGTGCTAATAGAATAGATATTATCGGCAAGTTGGCCTTTGGTAGAGATTTTAAAGGCATCAGCACAGGTAGGAACTACCCTACGCAGTCTGACACCGACGAAGCTAACCGCGATGGCTAGGAGAAACACATTTCTGGATCAATGATGTTCTGGGTAGTATGGCTCAAGCTAGTGTCGCAGATACACTCGCTCGATTTCCAATTCTAGGAAAGGTCTGGCTCTGGTTCAATCCTAGTTGGCTATCTAGCGTGATCAAAGCATCTACTCGACATCAGCAATATACAATCGACATAACCAACAAGTTAAGATATTCACCGCCCACATAAGTATGATCAAATACTAATTGCTCCTAGACGTATCAATGAACCTTCGCCACAGAAGGATTTCATGAGCTACCTCACCCAAGATCGCGATGGGGTCTCGGATATACAACTCGCGGCGCACGCATCAGATTTTGTGTAAGTGAATCAAAATCCAGAAACGAGTAGAAGTTTCATCGCATCAAGTCCTTGCTGCTAATCAGTAACGCATAAAATATAGCATTGCCGGCAGCGAGACCACAGCGACCACGCTCGCAGTCGTCTTCTACCAGATGTGCACAAACATTACAGTGCAGCGTAAGTTGGAAAACGAAGTGCTCACGGCATTCCAGAGCTACAACGACATCACCGCCGCATCTGCAGCGCCTCTCAAGTATCTTCATGCTGTGTGCCTGGAAGCCATGCGCGTCTTCCCGCCGCTACCCTTGGGTCTTCCTCGTGATGTGCCTCCTGAAGGCTCTACAATTGATAGCGTCTACGTCCCAGGAGGAGTATGCATATTGCACCCCACAGCCTGAATTAATAGCCACTAACAACGAACATTTGCTATAGGTTACTGTGTCTACTAATCCATACGCAGCTTGTATGAATGCCGAAAGCTTCTCCGACCCTCAAACATTTGACCCGGAACGATGGCTTAATTGCAGCTCGGAGGATGTGCTGGAAGCGAGCAAGCCGTTCTCCCATGGCCCACGCGCTTGTTTGGGTCGAAGGTGAGTATTTTTCTCTCATTTTTGAAGAAAATCATGCTAACTCAGTAAGTCTGGCTTGGCTAGAGCTGCATGTAATAATTGCACGACTCATTTACAGCTACGAATTCCTTCTGGCAGATGAACCGTTTGACTGGAATGCAAACGCCGAGATGCATCTGCTGTGGAAGAAGCCAAAGCTGCGTATGAAGCTAAAGCAGCGCTGCAAGTGAAAGTGACAATAATTATTAAATATTATAGTATTTATGTTCTTAATAGGTGAATTGTGATTTTACAAACATTTTCTTGGGTTGATATATTAGCGACATGCTTAGAAGACGATTGTATGGACCTTAGCGGGAAGGCTTCTCAGGAGGCGAGTTGAGTGTCTCCACCGCCTCCGTGTCAACATCATCGTTCTTCTTATTGATGGTAGATTTCATGGTTTCAAATTTGGCAAGAAGTGATGATGCGAACGATGCTCCAGCGCATGCCGCTGCCAGACTCCAAGCGCTCTTAAGCCCGGCTAAGTAAGCAGGCAAGACAACTTCCAGCTGTGCTTCGGTCAGTGAACCACGGAGATCAGCCGCTCCAAGTGTAGTGATAAGTGAAACAGGAACAAAGGTACCATCTTCAAGGGCATGGCTCAACAGGTGCACGGCCAGTCTATTGGTGAAGATGCACTGAGCAGCCGAGATGAAGATGGCTCCTCCCAGGGTTTGAAAAACTACCTAGTGTTAGCCATTCAGCTGAAAAATAATGACTTGCTCCGAGGACATGTCACAGTTTTAGTATGAAAAGACTTACATAATAGTATAGCTGTAGTTGAGGCCATGTCTGATGGCTTTGCAAACGCTTGCCCGACCATGACAGGCGCCTGGAAGCACAAGCCTGCGCCTATGCCAAACAGCAACTGGTAGCCGACGTAATTACCGACAACTAGATGTGTGTTAAGGGTGAGAAATAAGCCGCCACCAATCAAACAGAGTGTAGACCCGACCAAGAGGAAGACGTGGAAGTATCCCACGGGCATCATCAACGCGCCGCCAACCAAGCTGGCGACGGTTGAGCTTAAAATGAGGGCCAAGTTTTTGACGGCGCTGCCCGTTGCGGAACTTCCGCCAATGGCTTGAAAGTATATGGGCAGGTAGTACATGAAGATGAAAAACGACCCAGCCATGAACATGTTGAACAATGCCAGACTCAGCACGCGCCTCTGTTTGATGAGCCGCGGAACCATCATGGCTCTCTCCCCCATCCAGATTTGGTACGCTACAAAGATAGCCACGACGACAACCGATGCAATTAGGAATCCCAATACCTCACCAGATACCCAGGATTTTGCTATGCCAGCCCACTGCAATGGCAGAATGTAGAAGATGAGGGCCAGCATGACCAGCAAGACGCCGCCAAAATCCATGGATTTCAACTTGTCGGCGTACGGGGTTTTGACAGTCACAGCACCAGCTGGAACTTTGAAGAAAGCGATAAGCACCAGCAATGCAAACCCCCCGATTGGCAGGTTGATGTAGAAGCTGCGACATTGTCAGTGAATCTTTCATGGCACCCCCCATTGAATAGCGCTTACCACCAACGCCAAGTTACAAGGGATGTGAAGGCACCGCCAACTAGAGGACCAACTACACTGGCGATGCCGTACGTGCAGGCGAGGATGCCCGCATATGCAGGACGCTTCTCCCGTTGTGCCACGACGCCAATGATGGTGTAGCAGCCATTCGTGATGCCGGCACCGCCAGCGCCAGCGATAGCACGACCCGTAATCAGAGTAATGCTGTTTTTCGCAATGCCTAGAGCCGAAGAAAACAACAAAGCGTTAGAAATGATGTGCTCTTCTCATTGGAAAACAATATCAAAAGTATTTACCGCAAATCAGGCTGCCAACTTCAAAGAGGACGATGGCGGTGATAATGACCCATTTCATGGAAAAGTGGCCATACGCCTTTCCCCACAGCTGGGAGAAACCTGTGAGCGTGAGCATGAAGGCAGCACCGTACCATCCGATGGCATCAATGCTATTGAAATCCCTGGTGATCTGAGGGATCGCCGTGGCGATGATGGTCTGGTATCGTTTTAGTATTCTTGCTGCGGGCTTCCCATTCTTCCCGTTGTTATTGGCCGAGATCAGGTACGTACCATGTCAAGTGACACTAGAAAGATACAAAGGACGAGCCCCATTATCAGAAGACCCAGAGTTAGTCCGGTAACAGCTTCATCACCGTCGTCGTTGCTTGACAGATCGGGCTTACTTGAGCCCACGACAACTTTCTCTGTCGTAGACATTGTTGCTGAGCGAGGCGTAAACGCGACGATTGACGTCCAGTGAATACTCTAGTCTCTACAGATGCTCAGATTCAGATTTAGATTTAGCGACGGTTAAAGATGCAGAGGTGGCTTGGCCAACGGAAAGGGGCTGCGCAAAGAGGTGGAAAGTCGTCACAAGCCGGCCGGAGGACAGTGAGCTGGCCATCGGAACTCCGATATTGCCTAATGGGGTAATTTTCAGCAGCCCCACTGTGGGCAGCTCAACGGTTCGGTTTGCGCTGATGCAGTTATTTGTTTTGCACTTATGGTGCCTTAAATGAGGGACGTGATTATTATAGCTCAACAAAATGGTGTCGTTAAGCCCTTGCGTGCATAGAAAAGCGCGCGATCGAATGTCTCTAATGTATAATTGCACGGAATGATGAACCTACTGTATCTATCCTATTTTCTGCTGCCAGTGGGCACTTTAGGCCCTCTCTAATTTCTGAATCGCCTGATGTTACATATCACGCCGTTTTAATGCCAGTCCGATCGGCAACGGCGCCAACGTGATGGCACCCGCACATTTGAGATTCAGATCCCGCCAAGCCTGCTCGGCATCTACGCCGGGAGCTAATTCCACCGTGAACTGTTCCAAAAGCGTGGCGAGAAATGCAATGTACTCGGCCTGCGCAAACTTTCGACCTAGGCAAGATCGCGCTCCGTCCGAAAACGTGAGAAGGCTTCCCCTCATCTGCCGCGTTCGATCCGCAGCTACAACGTGTTTCTTTGTCGCTTCCCCTGCTTCAGCTGGTGCTGCCTTGGCTATCCAGCGTTCTGGAATGAGCTCTTCTGGAGATTTCCAAATGCTAGGGTGATAATGGATTCCGGGAGCGGAAAGGTAGACTCGGCACTCCGCTGGCAGGATCACTCGTCTCTTTGTCGCTGCTGCTGCTGCCTTGTCATATACTGGCACGTCTATAGGCTGCATTTCTTTGCACATTTTGGTAATGAGTGTAACGCCCGGGTACAGGCGAAACGTTTCGTACTGTACGCGCTGTTAGTCTCCCTTGTACACATATCGATACAAGCTGTACCATACCATGAAACCGTAGCAATATTGTAATTTTTCAAAATCGTGCTTGTAGTCCATGTCAGTACGCCCATCCGCTGTTACCTTGGCACGAACTTCATCAATCTCTTGTGCAAGCTTTTGTTGTAGGTCTGGTCGTAGGGCCAAGACGATTAAACCATAGGCGATGGCATTGGCTGTAGTTTCGTATCCTAAAACAGACGCGTCAGTTTTGTTCTCTTCAGATTATTCTAATGCTCATTTACGTCCACATACCGGCCAGCAGGTAAATCCACAGGTTTCCCATGACTTCAGTATCGCTGAATCCTCGTCCCATGGACGCAACCTTGCCCGCAGGAGCCGCTTGCGCGCACTGGTGCGAAGCCTTCATGATGGATTGCACCAGATTTCCGCGAGGGCCCAAACGACTCTCGTCTTTCAGGCCTCTTTCTGACAGGGCGGCCTTTTCATCGTCAATGATTTCAAGCATGTGCTTCTCTAGCTCCTTTTTGGCCAGCGCCGCTCTCGCAAAGGGTGACCACCGCAACACCCAAGTCGGAAACACGAGGATTTGAAGAATATATTTAGTCGTATCCGCTAACGCGCAGAGGAAACTCAATTTGTACCCAGGCGGCATAGCTTGTGCGTTCGCACCATCCGAATCAAGCTTCCTGCCAAAGGCTGCGAGAGAGATAACAGCCAGAGTGAGCGCATTGACATCTTCATGGAGATTGGCAGGGGGTGCCTTGGACCAACGCTCCATTAATGACTTTGTCTGCATGACTGTCTCGTTCCAGACAATGTTGTTGACGCCAGAGCCGTCAGAGAAGGGAGGTGCTGTGATTCGAACGTGAAAGCGGTATGTCTCGCCCTCTGCGGTCGCCACATTAGGGCCGTACGGCTCAAGAATTTCTTTAAAACACTTGCAATCAGTGATTATCCTAAATGTAGACTTGTAAAGGGAGCAGGATACTCACTGTACTTGTCGCGAGGCTTGGTAAACTCATGGCGGCGGTTCAAAACATCCCACGATACGTCGGCATCTGCCACGTAGCAGATGATGCCCATGGGCGACACTACCAAAAATATATCGCCGTACTTGTCATGGGCAATGCGTTTGTCTTCCCACGACCAGTCTTTGATCATGAACCTACACCAAGTTGGCCAACCCTTGCCCTTATCGAGAGAAGGGGTGTAAAGCCATCGCAGAACCGGGGTGGCAAGCTGTGAGACAATCTCTGTCTCCAAAAACGGTACAATGACATATCTCAGTCCTGTTCTATGTGCTTGGTATATATTAATGGCGAACTCGTACGATCTGTACGCAGCCAGGCCGGTCAGCGCTAGACAGACGATGTGGAACATGTCTGTGTTTCTGTTGGTGGATGATTTGCCGTGTTACTGAATTGCAAAAGCTCGAGACGCGCACGGTACAAAATCCAAAGAAATAATTGGGATCAGTCAAAGTGGAGAATACTGTGCGCAGATGCATACTAGTATAGGATTGTAGTCGACCTAAGATCCCCATTGGGGAACTGTGCCGACAAGCTGAACTTGCCGGCCATGGAATACTTTGAGGTTCGGTCAATCGAGTCAGACTGGCTACGTAGCTTTAATAAAACTTGAAAAGGTCTCCAGCCATTTCTTCCCATCGAAATAGTTCCAATTTGCAGATTGCATTGTTAGACGCTGCACCTATTCAATGACTACCTTATCGCTTAGCTTGTCAGACATTCCGTCAATGGAGGGCAAGACGGCTGTGTTGACCGGTATGTGATATGCAACATAGTGTACCAGCTTGTAACTGTAAATCTTGCTAATATAGTTAATCAGGTGGCTCTAGTGGCATCGGGCTCGCGGCTGCTCTCATCCTTGCATCCAAAGGCGCTCACGTCCACGTTCTTGATATCACACCAATGGATAGAAGCTTCGACATATTTGATGTTCCTGGAGATGCGAAAGTCAACATCGACCTTGGAGCCATTTCGGCTGATAAACTACAGTTCCATCACTGTGACGTATCGCAGTGGGATCAGCTGCGACGGACGTTTGAGCAGATAGGTCCCATCGATATTGCCATTGCCAACGCAGGAGTGTCCGAGAATAGCAATTTCTTCACAGACGTCACCTCGGCGCTGGACAAAGTCGAAGAGCCTCATTATCCACTTATAGACATCAACTACCGATCCGTGCTCAATTTTGTGCGCCTGTCTCTCAGTAGCTTCGCTAAGCACAGCAGGCAGGGCTCCATCGTCCTCACTACTAGCGCTACAGGTTACTCTCCGGAGCAGAGCCTCCCAGTGTACAGCGCCACAAAATCAGCTGTAAGTTTCTTTGCGGATGCTTAAAGCGTGAAATATTTTATCCATTGGCTAACGACAAGGGCGTTTACGTAGCTCGTCGGTCTGGTGCGGTCTCTGCGCCCGTCCATCAGCAAGTACGGAGCAACCATCAACGCAGTTGCTCCCGCTGCTACTGTTTCCAAGCTGCTGCCCAAGAACCTTGCGGCTCCTTTGATGCAGGCCGGGTTTCCTATCAGCAGCTCGTACCACGTAGGCTTGGCGCTGGCCTACTCCGCGACGGCAACGCAGTCCCGTCAAGTAGAAGGCTACGGCAAAGACACTTCAGCTGACGTGGCGTCGGCGGGTCGCTGGAATGGGCGAGTTATTTTGACTCTGGGAGATCGCTGGACAGAGATTGAGGAACCTCTCGCTTCGCTCCGAGCCCAATGGTTTGGAGAATGGAACACGGAGAAGACGGCGCTTCAGCAGAAGCTTACCGACATGAGGTAGCACGCAAGCCGGCTCGTAACTGAGCTAGGTATAGGGGGAAAATACAAATAATTTTCTATTTTTGGGTAAAATCCAGTCATTCTCAAAATTTGACTTGACTAAACATGCTTGATGGAGTTTACTTGCCTAAAGTGGAAAGATTCGCTCCGTGCCTCCTCGGCCCAGTTTAGCTATCGTCCCAGATCGGCAACTATGCTCCGATGAGTAGAAAGCTGCGCCTAACCACAGCCTTTAAAGCTCTTAAGCATTTGAAAATATTGTTCATCTTTGCATATTGCTGGTACCTTAAAAATGAACTAACTAGGAAGGAAAAATTTGGTCACGGTAGACGAGTGCGACCATGATGAGCCCATACCCTGCAGGGCTACATGCCTTTGACCAACTCTCTAATCTACACATTGCTATTACTACGGGAAGCTGTATTGTATGTATTACGGATCAAGAATTGGCAAATTGGATGAATCTTACTTGTCACTACAGACGCTTCTCTTTTCATTGGGGTTCGTTCTCTATAATATGTACTTGCACCCTCTTAAGCACTTTCCAGGCCCCTTCCTTGGTCGCTGTTCGTTGGTACGATTATTGTTCTGTGGATTATATCTTAGTAACTAACTTATATCCCAGCTATGGCGGTTCACTCATACTTCGACGGGAAAGATCCATCTTGAAATAGAGAAGCTGCATCGCAAATACGGTATGTCCCGCTGCTCTTAGTGCTACAAACTGGGCTAATGGCATTTCCATCTAGGCCCCATTGTGCGCGTCTCTCCCAACGAGCTCTCCTTTGGGTCTGTTGAATCATGGAAAGCCATATACGGCCATTCCAATACGGAAAGGAGAGTGCCACCGAAGGCACCTTTCTACGAAATCTTCGGTGCCGGCTTCCAAAAGTTATGCATTGGCAGCGAGAGAGACACGCAGCGACACGGCACCATGAGGAAGATGCTGTCTGCCGCGTTTTCGCAGCGATCACTACTGGAGCAAGAGAAAATTGTAAGCGATAAAATTGACCTTTTTGTCCGCATTATTGGCGAAGCATCATCTTCCAGCGCAGCCGGCCTCAACATGACCAAATGGTATGAAATGGTCTCGTTTGATATCCTGGGCGAAATGGCTTTTGGAGAGTCCTTTTACAGCTTGGAGAGTGGTATGCCTTCCCTTTGCTCTGCAGGCATAATGAAACAGCTGATGACAATTGATCCAAAATAGGCTCCCCTCACTTTTGGTCGGCTACAGTCGAGGACCACTTGTACTTCATCACGCTCATTGACAATCTCAGTCGCCTCGGTACTATTGCCAAGTTACTGGGCGGCTTGATTCCTTCCCGACTGCTTCTTAACAATAAGATGTCGCGATATAGCCGTGAAAAAGTAGACAAGTAAGAAGAGCACGCGTGGGAGTCTTTGGTGTCTCGTTCTAACGTCCTGGGTACTAGGATCTTGTCCAACAAAACTCGCCGTAAGGATTTTATCAGCCTGCTAGTGCAAAAAGTGCACGAGGGGCAAGTGGAAAAGGAAGAACTGGCGGCTCACGTTTCCACACTAGCGTATGTCCTGACCGAGATTAGTATGATCGAAACAGTCACTGACATGGCTGATTTACTAGCATTGCGGGTGGGGAGACTGTTTCCACATCACTGGCTGGCACGACCTTCTTTTTGTTACAGAATCCTCACCAGATGAACCGTCTGTTACGCGAGATACGGGATCGCTTCTCGTCTTACGAGGAAATCACGGCGCAGGAAGCCCAAAAGCTGTCGTATCTTCAAGCCGTGATAAACGAGAGCTTGAGGCTATACCCTCCTGGATCACAGGGATTTCCTCGAATTTCAACAGGCTTTCAACTCCATGACAAGTATATACCCGTCGGTGTAAGTATTTAGCAATGTTCATCTGAGTGACGGAATTGACATGTCGAGTATAGGCCGAGATTTACACTAGCGCTTGGACGGTCACGCACGACGAAAAATACTTTTCAAGTCCCACGTTGTTTAAGCCTGAAAGATGGTTGGGAACAGAACCAACTGAAATGAGGGAGGCGAGCCAGCCTTTTTCGTTAGGTCCACGGGGCTGCCTCGGAAGAAAGTACGTTCATCGAGGCAACTTGCGATATTCATGCCGTGCTAAAGGCTAACAACACAATTTCCAGCTTCGCTTACATGGAAATGAACTTAATTCTATGTAAAATGCTGTGGATGTATGATTTGGAGCTGCTGAACAGCAATGTTGATTTTGTTGAGCATGGACGAGTATTTGTCATGTGGTGGAAGCCCAAGCTAATGGTCAAGTTCCAAAAGAGGGTCGGTATATAACTATGGCCGGTAATTAGATGCGTTTAGCTTATGTTTCAATATCTTACTACTGATTTATTGCTACTATCTTTTCCGTTATTGGCTATCCAAGGTGAGCTGTTGATGGTGGGTCTCACGATTACTCCTTTCGTCTACCAATACCCCTTCTGGGTCCGACGCACATGGCTCTGAAGCTAAAGCGCTGTCAATCATAGAATGGATATATTTTATTAGGACTTAAAATTGGTAGCGCATTCTTCAAGGCAACACTCTAGAACTTTCAGGATTAGTAGTCAAGTGGTTACGAAATAGCTCTTTCGATGCGCTACCGAAAATGTTCAGCTTCAGCGTCGTTGGTTTAAGCGAAGCCTTAGCGGCAACGCTGTTAGCAGGCCTAGGCACAGTGTTGTTTCAATATGCTCGTACTTGGTATCGTCTCTCGAGCATACCCATTACTGGGTTGGATATCGGCTCAGAAGAAAAACGGCGACTGGCATACTTGGCGCAAGCCAAATCACTGTACCAGGCTGGGTACCAAAAAGTAAGCTAGGCGTCGAGACTCGAGAGACTTGGACTGACCGCAGGCTCAGTTTAAGCATGGACTTTTCAGAATTACAACCGCAAGAAGTATGTATTTTTCAAACTTTAATAAAAACGATTATTACTGACAAGCAGCGTTAAAGATGCCCACATTGTCGTCGTGCATCCCCAATTTCTCACAGAGCTCAACAAGCTCCCTGACAGTATTCTCAGTGTAGAAGACGCCGTCAATGAGGTAAAAGATATCGATTAATTACTTTTATGCAATAGAATGTTAACAGTATGACATAGAGTATGGAGTCTACTTACACCAAGCTGTCGACTATTCCAATGATTCCACATGCCATCAAGACCATGTTGACGCCAGGATTGAGTGAGCCACATTCGCCAATTTCACCACTAATGAAGGATACTGACAGTCACAGATCGTCTTGCACCGCTTGTAGCGCAAGAGATACAACAGTCACTCAAGGTCGAGCTGCCTGAGTGTGCCGATTGGACGCCAGTTGCCATTCACAGCAAGTTACTGCGCATAGTGGCTACCGCGTCTGGTCGAATCTTTGTCGGACCAAAGGTGTGCCGCGACGACAAGTATCTAAGCGCATCTATTGATTTTGCCAATGAAGTCATGGAGGCTCTCGGTGCAGTCCAGGCGGTTAAACACTGGCTTCGGCCCTTCGTGGCCAGTCGTCTTCCAGCCGTGCAGAAGCTAAATCATCGGCGAAAGACGGCTCAAGAGCTTCTACAGCCTATTATTCACGAGAGACGCGACAATAACGGCACGTCAGATGAGAATTCAAAGCATGATGACATGCTGCAGTGGCTCATGGACGCCCAGCCAAACGCAAGCGATGCAGTGTTGACAGAGCAGCAGCTAGGCGTCAGCTTTGCAGCGATCCACACGACAACGTTGACCGCGACAAATGCCTTGTATAACCTAGCAGCAATGCCTGAAATTGCAGAGGAGCTTCGAAAAGAGGCCCGTGATATTTTGAGCCGACATGGCGGTGCATACTCGTTCAAGGCGCTACAAGAAATGGTCAAATTGGATAGCTTCTTGAAAGAGACGCTCCGCTACCACCCCTTTACTTTTTGTAAGTAACAATATGTCCACAGGACACATGAATCTAACACTTGTTGTGACAGCGGCGTATCAACGCAAAGTCTTGAAATCGTTCCGACTCTCGAGCGGCCAAGTCATCCCCACGGGCGTCACCATCGAGTGCGCCTCGCACGCCGTCAGCCTCAATGATGAAAACTTTGTCCAAGCTGATTCTTTTGATGCGTTACGCTTCTACAAGATGCGTCAGCAGGGCACCGGGTCCGACGCTGCCCATCAAAATCAGTTTGTTAGCCTCAGCCAGACATGCCTCGCGTTCGGCTCTGGTAGGCACGCCTGCCCTGGGAGGTTCTTTGCTGGCAGCGAGCTCAAACTTATCGTTGCTGCTCTTCTGCTAAAATTTGATATGAAGAATACTGAAGGAGAAGAATGCAGATATCCAAACATTGAGTTTGCACAAATGGTACGTCAAGATGTACTCTGTTACGGACTCATGCTTACGTGGCACTAGTGCATACCCGATCCCACGCGTTCCATTCAGATGAAGGAGATATCATCCTGATAATGTAGGAAGGAGATACAATAGGAAAGAGCAGACCTTTTTATGCAAGACCACGCGAAAAGGAGTGAGTAGATGGAAAAGGACGAGGCGGAGAGCAGCGAAAGCCATGTATTGTTTCTTATTCCAGTTACTTCCAGACGGATAACTCGTAACTGAAAGTTGTCTATAAAGTCATCGTATCAGTCTAATCTAAATTCTACTTGGCTACAATAGTTTTATTGCGAAGTTTCAATCGCAATACGCAGCACCGATCAGTTCCATTTCTCCAGACTTGTATCGGCACCTGTCAGCCCGACGTAGCGGATGCTACCTCTCCAGAGCATGGCTCGCTTCTCCGGATCCTTGGACTCGGCACTAGTTGACCCTTTCTCAGAGCCATTCATGTAGACGGCCTTGGGACTGTCGCCGAATTCTTTCGTATCGAAAGCGGCTCGCAAGACGTCGCGGGCCGACTTGGACGTCAGACGCAATGTTCCGTTGGGGGAGAGATACGTCAAAATACCCGAGATGATGGGAAACAGCCACTGCACCATGAAAACCATGGCCCAACTGCCACGGCGAGTCAAATCTGTCGCCATGCCGCCGGGATCAACGCCGACGACGGCAACTTTGTTCAGTCGAGAATCAGCATCGAGACGCTCTTGAAGCTCGTATCTGTATGCGCAATCATTAGTAACTAATCAGAGCTCAAGAATTGAACGCATTGAATCTTACATCATCATGATCTGACAGAGCTTGGAAGCACCATAGCGTCGAAAGCCGGCTTGCATAGCACCATCATCCGTCGGAGGACTCCAAGTGCCTTTCGCCACGCAATCCGTGTCGACAAAGAGCATCTTCCATTTCGGATCGTCAAATGCCTTCATGATATCGTTTCTCTTGTCCCAGGCGCTACTCGGCAGAAATACATGGTTAGTGAAAATTGCAGCGTCTAGGTAAGGAGACTCACTCATGCGACCAGCTTCCCACGACGACGACCCGTCCGTGATCAGGATCCAGATTTTGCAGCAGCGTCAAGGTAAGTAGCCAATGCGACAAGTAGTTGCACTGAAAAGACATGGCAAATCCATCATCGGAAAAGTGTTGGCTGGTGTGCTCCTGGTATCCAGCGTTGAGGATGAGGGCGCGAATAGGGCCAAGCTCCCCGGCTGCAATTTTTGCGTTGATACTCTGAGAAAACTGACGAACGGCAGCCAGAGATGAGAGATCAAGGCTGGCTACATCGTACGTATGCCTTCCCTTGGCATCCTTGAGGGCGTTTGCCAGGTTAGGAGAGTTGGCTTCCTGGCGGACCGTGTATACACAATGGTAATCCAGATTGCCATCCTTGGAGCGTGAAAACTCTTTGGCCATGGCTGATCCGAGACCGCCGTTTGCGCCAGTAATGATGACTGTTTGTTTCATTGCAGTAAAATTGGGTGCTGTGCTGCCTTGTATTGCGTCGGTCAGTCTGGGCACGACTGGCAGATTTACAGGGCAATATATGTACTACATATCGAGTTCGGAGATACCGGCGCAATATTACCCCAAAAAGACCGCGCGTACGAATTCAAAACCGAATGATACAAGGCGATAGGTAACCTTGCGTGACGTACCTCAAAACCGTGCCTACACAGTTGAATATTGCATTTACTTGCAAGACGAACATGAATTTCAGCATTAATGGGCAAATATTTATCTCGTTGTATTTTTACAGCGAAGTTACATCTTACGATTCGCATCCACGAATTATTTCTTCAAATATGTTCTGCGATACGCGTCATCAATGCTCTCGAGATAATACGTGCCTGGCGCCAAAGCCTCAATGGAACCCGATGGCTTGAAGTTCTTGCGACCATAGGCGTTATATCTCAACGTGCAAGCCTAAAACCTCAGTAAGCAACAAGGATACGCGAACACGACCAGAAGTATATTTACCTCTTCGTATTCTTCCGGTGTGGCGACGCGGCGTCGTGCCAGACGGCCCATAAAGTCGATCTTCTGCACCATGTCGGAGACGTTACCAGTAACCTTGAGGCCGAACAGTGTGCTAGCAATGCCACTTCCGTACTGGAACAGGCTGTTAATTTGATACGGTTATTTCACGAGAGATGGGAAACTTACGCTAAACATGCCTATGAGCTTGCCCTGCGCTTCCTCGGTATCAATGTTGCTAAGCAAGCTGATGAGAGAGCAGTAGAGACTGGCAGTGTACATGTTGCCGCACTTGCTGGGCGCAAGAATAGAAGGCTCAACGCGGGCCTGGAATGCATCTTTTGTCAAGGACACGACCGTCTTTTCCAGCGTCTTGCTTGTTAGGGATTCTTTGTGGTCGAGGTTTCGCAGTTCCTCGGGGAAGCCTTGCCAAGCAGCCTCATCACTCGACGCCAAGCAGTCATTGTATAGTAGCCTACCATACGACTTGCTGACCAGCTTGCAGTTGGGTGTATGGAAAGCCATGTAATCAAACAGCTCCATGATGCCGCCTTCCTTGTGCTCAACGCCGGCACCGTTGCTTCTGGTCTCTTTCTGGGCAAGACGCTCCCTCAGATTCTTGTAGCAGCCGTCGAGAGCGCTAATATAGCATCGGATCGACTCGTGGCCATTTACCATCGGGTACTCGACAGAGAAATCGGGCTTGTAAAAGTCGTACGCGTGCGTCATGTAGGTTCCCCGAATGTTGGGGACGAGCGACAGCGGCGCGTTGGGGCCGATGAGCATCGCGACGCACCCGGCGCCTCCCGTGGGACGAGAAGCAGTCTCCTTGTACAGCGCAATGTCCGAAGCGACGACGATGGCGTCGCGGCCATCCCATGAGCGCGATTCCACCCAGTTGACGGCGTTGAAGAGGGCGCTGGTGCCTCCGTAGCAGGCGTTGACGGTGTCGATACCCTCGAGGCTGGTGTTGCCCGCCGGCTCAAATAGCTGGGTGAGAACGGACTTGACCGACTTGGCCTTGTCAAAGGGCGATTCGGTGCCGACTTCTAAACGGCCGATAGAGTTGGGGTCAATGTTGTATTTCGATAAAAGGGAAGACACAGCGTTGAGCGCGAAGGAGCAGACATCTAGTATTGATTAGAGAGGGTTTGATACGCAGGCATTCATTGTAGCTGATAGTTGATACCTTCTCTGTCAGTGCAGTAGTTCATAGACTCGAGACCGAGGCCGATGGTGTATTTGCCAGCAGAAACGCCCTGGTACGTTTCGAAAAGCGTTTGATCGAGACACTGTGTACTTGATTAGTGTGGCGTATAAGGCTGGCCTTCCAGATTGAGGTACCTGAGCAGGCACATAGATTTCCATGGCCTTGATGCCAACATTTTCTGGGTAAGACATGGTGACGTTGAAGAAGAAGACGAAAATGAGAGGAATAGTCCGCTTAACTGTCTACGTGATTGAATCTAAATACCACAGCAATGTGCAAGGAGACAAAGGTACGGGTGAGGCGCGGTCGATTATCTATTAACTTACGCCACACAATGGCCTTTACCCGCTGCTTTCACGAGACAATCCAACAGCAGTGTTAGGGCTTTTTGGATTGTGATGAGTTGCTCCACTATAAATCAATCAATGCATCCTGCTCCGCCTCTACTATATTTGTGATTGGAGTTTACAATACAGAAAGTGAGCAACTCCACCGTATCATTCCGCATCATTCAATCCCCTGATTACCTAAAGCGACTCCCCTTTGTGGCCATATAATATCACGTACTAAAAAAGAGTAAAGAGCTTTGTCGGTTTTTGTATTTAAATGCTAAAAATACAGACATGATGACGTTACAGCGACGTAAGGCGTGATGATAGCGGCCGTTGGGCCTCCACTGGGACCACCCGCCAGTGGAGAGCGGCAATCACCGTTTCAGCTGCGGCCCGAGCCTGATTTTTTAGTTTTTTTTATTCCGACACGCGGATCCGGATTTGGGCATATTTTCCCGGATACGTCGTGTTCGTCAATGATGCCCGACAACCCCATCTGGAAGATCTCGGCGATCGGGACAGTTGCCGCTTTTGTCCTATCCGTCATCAAGATAACCAAGATGATGCACCGCCAAGTCACCTGTATAGCGAAGAGCGGATGTTGCGAAAGGCGCGATGTGTTCGTGCGAGCCTGATTGGGTTGAAAAGAAACACATCGCTGCCTCTGTTGGTTATTTGACGTTTCGGCTTTCTTTTATTTGCTGCTTTATTTTCACTGCATAATTGTAAATCCTAGAAAAAAGACACCATGACTAGTGCAGTTTACAATGGCATCAACAATGGTAAGTATACCAGTATTAGCAATTACCACATTCACATTTTCGGGCATGGTACTGATTATAGTGACATACTAGGCCATGGCCCTCATGTGCTTCAGGATGGCTGCGAGCTCGAGGTAGCTAACCAGCATGAGCTCAAGCTTCCGAACGCTAAGAACGACCTATACACTCCTCACAGTAGCTCCATAACCAAGATTACGGACGTGAACCGCAACATCTACGGTATTGATGAGACTACCCGTCCTGTATACGACTCAGATGCCGATGCCAACCGTTTTCGTCACATTCGCTCAGCCCGAGTCGTTCCTCCTACTCTTTGGACGCCATCTTGCCATCCTCAGGTAGAGCATGTATCACTCGAGGTCAACAAGTGGTTCCTCGATAACTGGCCCTTTCCGCATGACCGCGCGAGGCAAAAGTTTGTCGACGCCGGCTTCTCCTGGGTCACCTGCCTGTACTATCCGCTGGCAAAGGATGACCGTATTCATTTTGCCTGCCGCCTGCTGACCATTCTCTTTCTGATTGATGGTAAGTTTTACCAGAATATACCAGCTGAGGACAAGCCAAGCTTACTAACGCGCTTTTAGACGTTTTGGAATCCATGTCTCTGGAAGATGGCAAAAAGTACAACGACAACCTGATGCCCCTCGCACGCGGCGACGTGTTGCCAAACCGTACGTGATGCGCTTCTCATTGCAATATTTTCTACGATACTGACCGGCTTTGACAGGCGACGTTCCTGTCGAGTACATGTTCTACGACCTCTGGCACGACATGCGCTGCCATGATGAGGAGCTGGCAAACGAGATTCTCGAACCGACATTTGTCTTTATGCGCGCCCAGACCGACAAGGTTCGCAAGCAAATGACGGACTTTGGTCAATACTTAGAATACCGCGAAGGAGATGTTGGCAAAGCGTGGGTCATTTTCTTCACATATACGTTTTAGCAGCAGTATTTCTAACCTCCGTTTCTATAGTCTGCTCTCGGCTTTGATGCGCTTCGTTATGGATCTGCAACTGAGCGCCGGTGAGCTGCAAGAGATGAAGCCCGTTGAGCAAAACTGCTCAAAGCACATTTCCATCGTCAACGATATTTACAGCTGGGAGAAGGAGCTCAAGCAGTCGCAAGACAATGCCGAGGAAGGCTCGCATCTCTGCACCGGCGTGCAGATTCTTTCATCTTGCGCCGGACTGGATATTCCTGCTGCAAAGGCCTGCCTGTGGACAATGGTGCGAGAGTGGGAGGTCAAGCACGAGATTTTGTGCTCAGCGCCGCACCTCTCCGCCAACATCTCCAAGAGCAGCCTGTTGTACTTGAAGGGCCTGGAGTACCAGATGAGCGGTAATGAGCTTTGGAGCCGCATGACCCCGAGATACTTGGTCGTGGAGTGATGCCGGATACTTTGCTATCAGGATGCTAGCAGCTGCTGCTAGCGCGTATATAACCGTTTTGACGCTTTAGATGATCTTGGCTGGGTTTAGAAGGAATATACTAGATAAAATGAGTTGTTTGTGCGCAAACTGCTTGCATCAGAACTTCGCTATTACGATTGGGATTTTGTTTTGCTGTTGATTGCGTGGTCGTAGAAAGTTGCTTGACATGGCCTAACAAGGACGCTGAACAGAGCGAGCAGTTTTCAAATATTTCGTTTTTTTCCTAAACTCCCTTTACCGTTCAGCTCAAATTCTAGTCTACCTGGAGCTTTACAAATATTATAATCTTTGTCTTTCTCGTCAAGAACAACGTCAAGCGCTGTAGACGGAGCACTGACGGACGGCGATGATGCCACCTTCATGGCCGCCGTCGGTGTTCCGCCAAGAATATAAGTGTGCTCTAAAAGGAGTATTGTCATAGCCCGGTCAGATTGTCAACTTTTAGGCCCAAAATGAATTACCCCTTCGGGCAGAAGGCAAGTGGACTGCGTCAGAGCAAATCAGTCCCGAGACGCTCAGACTGGTTTGTGACAGTCTTGACAATAAGCCTATCAGGTCTTGCATTGAATAAGACCTATGTGATTTCTTCTCATTGGGAATATTTAATTTGCTCGTTAGATATTATTTTCTTTTTCTACTGTCTCTTCGTTTTTGACGCCCGCCCTTGCTCAAAAATGTCTCGTACGATGCAGGCTCTGCTACAGAGCCCGCACGCGGAATGGTTACGTCTTGATCGAGAAATGCCACATCATTGGAGCTTGCTTGTTGCTGGTGCTTTGTTCTCCGTCATTCTTGTCCATCGTCTGCTATGGGCGTATCCGCAAGATCCTCGCGAGCCCAAGCTGATCAGGCCGAGACTGCCTATCATTGGCCACGTCGTGAGTATCTACATCCACGGGTCTCGCCATTTTTCACGCATCGCGTAAGTCATATTCAATTGTAGTAGGAATTTAATCTTTTAACTCGAGTGGCGACGGTGCAGCAAAGAGACGGGACTTGCCATCTACCAGATGCCGGTACCTTTTGGAAAGATTGCCATAGCCAACACCCCCGAGGTTCTCTCTTCCATTGACAAGAACCCAAGGGCAGTGGCCTTTGTCCCCATTGCTGCCAAGGTCATTGACAGGCTATCTGGGTTGTCCCGCGCAGCGTCCAAGACACTATGTGCGCAGACTGTCGGCGAAGACCGCATGGAAGGATACTTGTACAAGGTCACCAAGGATATTCACTCCACGCTGGTGCCAGGAGCGTCTCTGTCGGTTATTACGACCAAAGCATCACAAGTGCTCAACGGTTCCATCAAGAAGCTGCACGGTACTACCACGCGCATGAACCTTCTCCCGTGGTTTCGCCACGAGTTTGGCATGTCTTCGACAGAAGGCATCTATGGACCGATGAACCCTTTCCGGGATGCCAAGGTAGAGGCTGGATTTTGGTACGTCTTTTGTTCTTGTCTGTCTAATATCCGTTGATGGGATTGGCTAACCATCCTTTCACAGGGCGTTTGACGATTCCATCAGTGACCTGCTCATCAGCCCCAAGGCGAGCCTAACCTGCCGATTCGGCGACCAGGGCCGAGCAGATGCCTGGGCTGGCTTTGAGAAATATTTTGCCGAGCGTGGTCACAAGCAGGGCTCGGATCTCGTCAAGGCGCGGTACGAGACGGCACTGCAAAAGGGCATGAGCACGCTCGATATTGCCAAGCTCGAGGTGACCATGATCATCGGCATCCTGACCAACACTGTCCCGACCATTTTCTGGGCTGTCTACTACGTCTACAGTGACCCTGCCATTCTCAAAAAGCTACGCGAGGAAATTTCGTCGGTGGCTATTGCCGGCGTCGACAAGGAAACCGGAAAGCCAGTGTGGACGCTGCGATCCTCCGACCTCAAGGCCAAGTGTGTGTACCTTACAGCGACCATCAACGAGACGCTCCGCATGCGAACATGCGGCATCTCGAGCCGCATCGTTACCGAGGACGTCGTCCTCAGCAACCGGTACCTGCTCAAGCAGGGCACCGTGTGCGAGCTGCCCAACAATGTACTTCACTCCAACGCAGCCTACTGGGGCCCGACGGTGGACGAATTTGAGCCCGAGCGCTTCCTTGCGTCCCCATCTTCCAAGGAAGCCCGCATGGCTCGCGGCGCCTTTCGACCTTTTGGCGGCGGCGTGTCCATGTGCGCCGGCCGGTACCAGGCCATGTCGCAGCTCGCTGGTGGCCTCGCTCTCTTTGTCATGAGCAGCGACTGCGCGCCCGAAGGCGGAAAGCCGTGGAAGTTTCCTGGCGCGCACGGTCATACTATTGCTGCGGCTGTCGATTTGCCGTCGTCGGATCTGTGGCTCGACGTCAAGCCTCGTACTGGGTTTGAGGACGCCTACTGGCAGATTGATCCTGAAAACTAACGTCTTTTCCATTTATGGTAGCTACATATTGCTAGGAGGATGAGGTTATAAATACTTCATGGTTTTCTTTTAGCATATATAAATATATACATATGTCTGTGTGTGTGTCAGTGCTCGTGTATGCGCGTATGGATATTTGTACGCATATACGTGCTGCAGTACGTCTATTTTTATATGCCAATGTGCAACCTTCCATCAGTCCCTAGATCTATCAAGCTGTTCCAAAAGTATCTCTAGCCTTTTGTAGCAATTTTTCAAGCTGGCCGCCGTAAGCTTCTCGTGGATGGAGGTAACAAGCTTGGTGAATCGCATTTTCCTCCCCACCAGCAGCTGCTTTATTATCATCAACCTTTCTGGACCATCGATATCACAGCTTCCAATTGATATCTGTTCTCCGGATATGAGCATGTTGTCCTCAGTCAACCTTGTATGCTGATGCTCCTGCATCTGAGCCAGTTGCTCCAAGTTGACAATCAGTAGCTGAGCCATCTCAGGCTGCCTCAGACATGTGCTGCAAGACGCAATCTGCTGCTCTATAGCAGCTACGCGGTCACCATAAATGGTCAAAAATCTTCCCAGCGTCAAACATCCTCCCTTTGACGCCCCAGCCCGTCGCGGCCGCCCCAAGCCTGCGAGAACGTTGTTGATCTCGAACACGCTTGATGTGACTCGCTCCAGGCATTCACACGACGCGGCAGTTGCGGCACCTTGCGCAATATTCAATGTTCCAGAACTGTCTGATAACTGCGGCAGAAGCGTTCCCGAGACTGATTTGGAAGACGGCCTGGTGTGGGCAATGCTAGGTGCTTCCGGAGGACCAACGTAGTCCTCAGCCGGGTTGTGCCAGTCGCTTGACCAGAGAAATTGACCCGGCGTATTTCCACTCACGTCTGCATGAGCCGGCAAACTCCCAAATTCACCATCTTTGCTGCCACTTAACAAAACATCCCAGTCCCAAGTTACGTTGGTGCCAATCATGGTCGGGCTTCCCAGATCGCCCATGGCCTCGTTTCCTGAGCCAGAGTCTGAATGTGGTGATGGTGAACGCCCCAAATTCTGCCTCAATGGCTTGTCTGTTCGATCCGCCGACATACTACCATCCTGTGGCATTTCTGCCGACGTCGCGAGAGTATTGCTGACGCCGCTGCTGGGGCTGGTCTCATCGTCGTCGGTGCTGACGCTCGCTCTGTGTTGACGACGGCCTTCATCGTTGTTGAGATAGGTGCTCGGGTCCACGACTATGAAGTTATCCAGGCGCTTGTGCTCGCCATTTATTCTATTTGGCTGCGATCCTGGGAATCTTGCATTTTGCTTAGGTACGTTGGTGGAAAATGTGCACATCTTGCCTGCCCGGCTGCAGCGATGGCAAGGGTCGCCACTACATCGAACCTACTAGCGAAACGAATTAGCTTATTTTTTCTTAGTATATTTTCATGATATTTATCCTTGGTAGAATAGAAACTACAAGCTTGACGCCTTGTCGCAGGGGTGATAAATCACTGACCTTGTACGTTCTGCATAGGTCACATGCGGAACGTCTCGAACTACGGCCGTCGACCATAGCTGCATGTAGATCGGTACAGTCTGCGGTATGTGTTATTGCATGAGTTATGCATGCGAAGTTTGTTTGCACTTTTTGTGCTTCTTTTTTCAGCTCTGGAGAACCGTTGGCAAACCGTTGAATAGTTACTTACTTTCACTTTCATACATAGGAGGCCGCTCACCACGCTACAACTATATACAAAACCAATGCTGTGATCAGCATGACATATTGCTAACTTGCAAAGCCTGATTCGTTAGGTTTACGGCCCTTTTTTCAGCCTGTCCATATATATTATAGGAAGTACATGGCATTGCTTCTCGTTCATCATTTATCGCTGCTCCTTTTGGTTGGTTCTCCGTGATTCCGAGTTCTGCTGCACGCACATGTCAATATGCTCCAGCAAATTTGGCCAGTATGTCATGCATGGTGTTGTATATAAGTTATTGCGTTGCGGAGCTTTTAGCCTTGTCTGCCAGCCTGATTGTGAGGCGAGATTGTTCGGCACCGAGAGTTGCATTCCTGCCGCCCTGTCATCACGCAAACATCGCCACCATTACTAAATGAAAGTTTTCGCAACAAAGACGAGGTATTCTTTGTCGCTCTCTCTCTGTAGTCAATCTTTATTCTTGGCCAAACAGTTTGCTGGCTGTATTAACTATTTATTTCTTGTTATTTATTCGGGGCTGTGCTTTGTCCCCTCGTCAAGGGGGGCCACAAAAGCCACTAAAATCTCAAGAATTGGACCTTGAAGCTGAACCCTCAGTCTCCTGAGTGGAGAGATTTGCTGCTGGAGCCATAATTGACCCTTATTTTTCACATTTATTACTGTGCGGCCTTGCCATGGCTGGTGGCGTTGGCCCTGCGCAAGGAAAGATTACCGCGCTGGTGTAGCATCTCCCGCTGCCGAGTGCCATACTTGATTTTAGCCTGTTTTGGTCTTATGTCACTTCCATAGAATTCAATCATCACTCCATGTGTTTGCTCGTTCTTAGACCACACAGCAGCCCTGCTTCGCAGCTGTTGCCTATTCTCGCCAAGCGGCTGGCAGTTCACCTTCACCAGGCTATGAAAATGAGATTTAATTCACACAGGGCGCTTGGGCCGGTCTAGGTCTGGAAAGATGGGAATCTTGCAGCCGTTGCGGTGGGCGTGGCCCTGCGTTCGTACAACATAGTACTATCGGCCACCGCCGTTGAATGCCGTTAGCCATAAAGAGCCGAGCTCTTTTTCTTTATTCGTCTGAACTAGCATCAAAGATCATTCGTTTATGCTTTCAAATACTAGATCTCAAACACGGACGTATTCATAGTTTGTAAAAGTGAATTTGGCTGCTTTTTGCCGTTGCCTTGCATCTGGCCTTCGTACCGGGAGCCTTGTTCTAAAGCTCCCTGTCATCTGCATCTTGTAGATGCAGCGTATTAGCGTCTGATGGGGCGCATGTAGTGCGTGACGTACTGATATGGCACATCTTTGCAATGTTATTGGACTTGTCTCTTTCAGCATCTCCGCGCCCCGAATAATACCCGCGTTGCCCTCATTATACGAGCCGCGAGCGGACGCATCAGCACCCAACCCCAGCTCTATTATATACTATTTGGTCTAGACCGTGCATCACAGCAGTGAGAGAGAAGAGTGATTGTTCTAATGTCATGAAAAGGCAATATTACCCCAAGGGGAAGAATGGCCCTCGGAGTATAGACAGCTCGCCTCCCCATTTGGCTGCAAACCTGCTCTGTTTCGGAGAATCAGACTTCTGATGCTCAACTGTGTGTGCATACAATATATCCTGAAGTGTAATTTCTCTCTGCGAATAGAATCAAGCGGATTTCAAGGAATTCATACATATAAGATAACCCACTTCTACATCGGAGCCGCTCAAACTTCCCAGTTTCATTGAATCTACACACCGCAGCAGCAAGCCAGACACCTGAATATCTCATCTACAAGTCACGATGCTCTTCAAGAACCTCTTCGTTGCAGCTCTGTGCGCCATCCAGGCCAGCGCAGCCGTTATTACCCCCCAGTAGGCGCATACCACCATATACCAAGTCCCTCGAATTGGTCTGGGCTAACATCATCTAGGGTCAAGGAGTCTTCCCATGCTCTCGAGCCCAGCGCTATCCTCGTGTCCCGTGCCGACAAGCTCATCGAGGCTGGCGCTGAAACCGGCACCATTAACGATAGCATCTACACCCATGGCCTCGCTACCTGCCCCGGCATCGTCGCCTCTGGCAAGCACAAGAAGAAAGATGGCGTTACCAAAGGTACGATACACTGACAAACCTACGGGCATTTATGGATGCATTCTAACTATACGGTTTTAGTTTTGGCCCACGTCCGCTGCGGCAACTTCAAGAATCATCTCGACGACTGGGTCAATAAGGTCCACGCCTCTGGCATGACCGACATCAAGGTTTTGATCTACATCCTTGACCACACCAAGGTCGATAAGGGTCTGCAGGCCACGCAGAAGATGATCAATGACTACGCCAAGTCATCGGCCATGAAGGTTAAATCTGGATACGCCGTGGCTACTCGCACCGACCCAGCTGCTCCGTCGCCCCAGGACAAGCTCCGCGTCGACAAGGCCGGCGCCATCTACGTTGCCGACAAGAAGGCTCTTTAAACAACGACGAGCTGCCACGACATCTGCAGGTAATTTTTGTCTGTCGCGAGCGTGATTCATTGCTTGACCCTATCATGACAGACGACACGCCACCCTAGCCTACTCTTAGACAGCCTTGCTTGATCATTTCAAATGTTTGGTGTTAAAAACAAGCAATTATTCCGTCTGTATTTATTACATTCAAATTATTATGGAACGAGCATATATTACAAAAATGTTTTTTTCCACGCAACTTTAGTCTCAATTTATGTAGTAACATTCGGCGTATCATGTCGAATAGCAGCATACACGATACCTACACGGTGGCAATGGTATGCCTCATTTTCTTTATTTCTGACTTTATCTCATTGGCCAAGACATGTCTCATTCTTGAATTACCTGTTTAATTCACTGTCTGTTGCTAAATTGTAGCTGCTTGGTTACAAGCAAACTGAACAAGTGGGCAAATTGGGGTTCGATCTTACGGTATATTGGCTGCGTTACAAAGAGCTCTGTTGGCGCCATGTCAAGGGAAATAACCGGCTGTGGGTCAAGAATATTATTAAAGTTTGGAAGAGGTTCTTTGGTGAATTTGCGCACACCGGTTATGCAGTTTAATATATATTTGGCTCCGCCCACTGCCTTTTCCCAACGCCTATCAAATACTCTTGCACGCCAACATGGAGAGTAAAGCAGTGGCGTACAAACTCATCCACGATGTGTCTCTGTCTTGTGCGGAATCACACAGTCCATCGGCACCAGCGACATTTTCGCCTTTCACCCGCCTGCCGCCAGAATTAAGACACAGAATATGGATGGAGTGCATGTCCGCGCCGCGCTTCCTCCGCATCATCCTCCACGACGACGTCTCGCAGGCAGCCCACCTCTACAACGCCACGAATCAGCTGGGATATACAATCAGCAGATACCCTTACTTCACAGTAGTGGAAGAGACATCGGGCCATTCCTCTCCTCAGATGCTTAATGGCGTGAGCCGCGAAGCACAGCTCCTCTACCGCCAAGCATATCGGGTTCGCTTTCCTATTCGCGTAAAAGGCTCAGATGGTGTAATTAGGACCAAGACCATTTCTCTAACACCAGAAAAGACTATTTTATGGGTTGAAACAGCCCGAGCAGATTGTAACGGGCCAGCAATACTTCATTTTTTGCACGATCTCCTTGCTTATGACCCGAAAGGTGTTGGTGTTGTTCACTTGGCTATTAGCAGATTCATGGATATACAGTCCCTGGCTCAGATAGACCCCGAATCTCTACCATTGCCAGTCCACACTTCTCTTATCAAGCTTCTTTCCAGCAGCATTCAATCATTCTATTCTGTCATGGTATGCGATAGAGAACTCCGCTGCACCCTTGGGCAGATGACTTGCCCGCGTGCGAAATTTCACCGCAGCCTTTCCGTGCCAATTTTCTGCCAATCGGGCGTCTACAGGTCCTTATCTCGGGATTACCGAGATATTAAGCGTGATTTGGAACACGTCGCGTTCCCACTGGACCCGCGGATGGTGGTCTTCCAGTGGAACATGCTCAAGGCTAAATTTGGCCAGCAAGACAAATGCATATATCTAGGATACATCCTGTGCTGCGTCGCAGATAATATTCACTTAAAACCTGCATGCTCACACCGCCAACAGCTGTTGGACGAGCTAGCTACTGAGGACCAACACTGGGGCGAATGGTCGCAAATATTGAATCAAGACATCTGGGGCGAGCGGCTGACACGGGACGAATATACGGCTCGCCAACACTCGTTGCCGCAGGTATCGGGCGTTTGGGTTTTTGCACAAGACGCCATGGGCCATATTCCCGATGTGGCTGAAATGAAATACGCAACCGCCGATGAATGGGAGTTTAAGATGGTCAAGGATCTATCCGGTTTTCAACCAGAGCTCTGGGTGTTTGAGCTATAATTGTGGACGCGATGTGCCTGTGTGCTACCAAGGTGGCCAGGCCATCTAGATGGCCTTTAATGACTATGTCTATCTTCTATCTCATGGAAACTCGTATTAATACGCTCCGTCGCGCTTCTGATAACTAGATAGCTCCACCATCTTGACAGAGTGATAGCTCGTTGCCAGCTTTGCGCCCGTGGTAAGCTGCAGCTCGTCGAGACCACGCCGAGGCCGACTGCGACCAGACCGTGATAGTGAGGCAATTGCGCCCAGAATAGTTGAGAATGCCCTGAGGCAGGAGAACATCCGTCTGCGGGCCGACGTGGTTAACGTACTTGCCAAACTGGAACCCGTTGACAAAGATTTGCGCACGGAGCGCCGGTGCGGGCACTGTTGTGTTAGCAAATGAGAGTTAAAGCGGTACGTCGTATCCGCTAGGCATGGACAAGTCAACAGACGTGCAAAGCATCTCGACATCGAGCTGCAATGTCGGAGCATTTCCGAGGCAAAGGTAGGCGTATTCATGCTTGGCAGTAACGACTGGGTGGAACTTGACGCAGAATTGCGGGTGCAGCTAGCTGGCCGCGTAAGCTTGGGGAAATTGAGAAAGCAAGGAGGTCAAATGTCAAAGATACAAGTTGAGCACGAGGGCGACTGTCGTGCTTATATAGTTTTGGCACGTCCAGGGGCGGCGCTTTCCCGGATCGGGGTGCCGCCATTTCCGGAGGCGGAAGCAGCGACTCTGAGATTACTAAGTTAAATATTAATTAATTACAAAGATTCTATATCTATTTTTAATATCTTACAGGGATTGCTCGTGATATGGTCCATAGCGCCATCGCTTCTTTTGATCATCCAGCCACCATCTAACAATAAACGCTCCCTCTTCAACCCACTCAGCGGCAGCTTTTCCATATCGATTCTCCACAGCTACCATAAAAGACCTGTATTCGGTTCCGAGAACAGCATGTTCCTCGAGAGGATTATCCGTAAAATTAGAGAAACTCCAGGTTTCATTCTCAATGATTGGAACGACAAGGCGCAGCTCCCTGAAACGGGTGTATCGCGCAGCGACCATGGGGCTACTGGGACTAACAATGGCAAATAGATTCATGTACGGGTTTCCGGATTAGTGACTGTCCTTCGTACATGCCGATAAGGTCTTTGGCGACTTTGAGACTCGAGTCAGATAGCGAGCCACTTTCGATCAGAATATCCAAAACTGTAGGGAGAACCTGGGCGGCATTGACAGATTCATTTAGTTGTAGCGAGGGTAGGAGCGGGTTCGACAAAACAAGCGGGACGTGAAAGGTGCTGAAATGAGGGCTGTAGTAGTTGGACAACAGAGAGCTTTCTACCATACGGAGCCCGTGGTCGCCCTGAAAAATCACCAATGTTTCATTCGCGACACCTTCTTCGTCTAGAACATTCAGAATTCTAGAAATCCAAGTGTCATCATAGGCAATAGTGTTGATATATCCGGAGACATATTCATTGTTGCCACCACCACGTGCGACCTGGACGTAATCCTCGCCCGGCGCCCGACGCCGGGGTTGGCTTCGTATGCGCCGCCGTGTACTCGGTGGGCGCCACGTACTCCGCGTCGCTGGATTCTTATGACTTGGCTTACAGTAGAGTATTGTCGATTGCTGCAGACTACACGCTGCATGCATGTATGATATGCAGGTGAGGATTTCAACTCAAAGGCAGAAAAGATCTCAGTAGCTTCTGGTACCAACAGTGTTGTGCACTCGCCAGTGTCGTTAGGAGATGGAGGGCCTTGTGCTCATCGCGCAATGATCATCTCGCAGGTCTTGCAAAATTGTATCAAGAAGATTTAGCTGCAGTGTGTAACTACTATAATAAGCGGCTTCACTTCCTTGGTGACGACTTTGCAATGTGCAACGAACGAGGATTGGCGGCTGCTGCAGCCACCAGTTTTAATGTGTAGAAACATATGCGAATGTCTTGCTGCCGTTTTCATCCGGCGCAGTTGTTCTCTTCGGCAAATAAGTTTATCTATGCTAATAATCTTCATACCCCCTGCGACGACCGGCCCTCTTGATCTGACGTTGCGCCTATCGTAGCAAACTACAGCACGGCCAACATTCCCCAAGACACAATCGATCTATCTGACTCTGTAGTTATAATTGAACAACTAAAGAAGAATGCAATACAATACAACTGTTACTATACTTCGTTTAATACTTGGCACAAATGCCCGCTTCGTTACCCAGACTCTATGAGGCACACGCAAATTTTGTATTCGTTGGATGTATTGCGCAGTTGGTTGGCGTACAGCCGGCGGATACTGATGATGATGTAAATGTTCCTGGTTTGTACTTGAAAGCGTTGGCCTTGACGTTTGTAAGCTCAACCTCCATGTTGCCACCGGTCGCAATCGATACAAACTGGATGCTGCGAAGATATATTGGCCCGTTTAGTGTTCCACCTTGGCATAGCTCGCTGCTATAGGAAGCAATCAGATGCTTCGCATCTAATTTAACATGTTGTTTGGTGCCCGGCGTTGGAGCCACCAAGTTGTCGCTGTATTGATACCGATGACCACCAGCCGCGTTGAAGTATGTCTTTCCGTTTTTTTGAGGGTCAAAATGCCGAATAGAAATCACGTTAAAATCCTGTGGGTTGTTTTTGCCTTGGTAAAACAATATGTCGGTCGTAAATTGAGTTTTCCACCAACTCGGGCAAGTTGCTTTTCCATCCTGCAAGCAGCTACAGTCCGATTTTTCCACCGTAGCTGATTTCACAAAGATGTCGTATTCAATAATGACCTCATCGTAGGTTGAAAGGTCAGTCGTACTGACATTGGCGTATAGCGACGATGACGGATAGTCGTAGCTAAGATTGACCTCGACGCCGGTGCAGTTGTAGTTTTTGGCATTGTTTGTAAGGGTGACGGTTAGAGGTGAATTGTTTGCACCTGTCACTATTCCATTGTAACCAGGAGAACTTTTGTAGTTTTCAAGCTTCCAGCCGTATGTGGCCATCGTGAAGAGGCCGTACATATTGTCCCCATAGCAGCTTGACGCCTCCTTGTCAGCGGGGGCGCCAGCGCTCACTGGTTCAGCGTACCACTGGAAGCATCGGCTCGTTGGTCCTTGGTTAATAATTAAGGGTGCAACCTCGGATACTTCTTTCACTAGCGCCAGAGATGCGCTTGCGAGGCTAAGTAAATTGAAAAGATGCATGCTAATTTTTTGAAGCGTTGTGTGTACGTATATTAACCTGATTGTTGGAACCACAGGTGTTTGAGGTCACGCCTGGGCATATTTATGTGGTCCAGATTGGTTCTACTTCACACGTCTGTAGTAAATGCCGAAAAAGATATCAGCAAATGGTTAGTTATACTCTGCACTATTGTAATAATTGCCGAAAAGGGATCAGCGACAGTGACACCTAATCCGTAGGACAAAGGACCATCGGTTAGTACGAAGCTAGTTCTATTTTGACCCGTTTCCAGGCTAAAATCTATCTTAAGTCCGCCGCCGCATTCGGTCCGTTTCAAAGCTGAGACTCAATTATAAAACCTGAGAAGTAACATCGTTGTAATTTCTACGTGAAAAGGTACGTACTTGTATATAACTGTGCATTTTCTAAATAGTTACGCATGAACATGTTGGTCAGCTGAGCCGGATGTGCGGCCCGACAAGCGGACTTTCAGTTGTAATCATGATATAGAAGGATTGGATTCAAAACTTATAAAAGGCAGACTGATTCCTTGAATATATTCTTCGTCCCACTAAATACAATTTAAACTATTCATTTTCAGTTCGGAAATAAAAATACTATCTCGCCTTACACCATGTGGAAGCAATCTTTTCTGCTCACCATCTCCGGAGCTCATCTTGCTCTTGCACTGTCAGGCACTGGCCATTCTACTCGGTATTGGGACTGTTGCAAGCCGTCATGCTCTTGGTCAAACAAAGTCACTGGAGCGGTCACAGTCACTTCACCAGTGAAGAGCTGCGATAAGAACGACAATGTGCTCGCCAGTCCTGACGTGACGAGCGGTTGTCAGAGCGGCAGCTCATTCGCTTGCAGCAACAACTCGCCTTGGGCAGTCAATGACTCGCTTGCCTATGGATTCGCAGCTACTGAAATTACGGGAGCTAAGGAGCAGGATACCTGCTGTGCCTGTTTTAAGTGAGTTATTCGATTCTATATTAGTTCAATTCGGCCTTTATTTAACATTTTCTGTCAAGACTCACTTTCACCTCTGGGGCAGTCAAGGGTAAAACAATGATCGTTCAGTCTACTAATACAGGTGGCGATCTGTCAAATAACCAGTTTGATCTCATGATGCCAGGTGGTGGCGTTGGAATTTTTGATGGATGCTCAGTCGAGTTTGGTACAGCTCTACCTGGGGCCCAATATGGTGGTGTAACATCCCGAGACGAGTGCAGCAAAATGCCCGCAAAACTTGTAGCTGGGTGCCAGTGGCGATTTGACTGGTTCTTGAATGCCGACAATCCCGATTTCGAATTCACGCAAGTGAAATGCCCGGCTGCCATTACAGCCGTTAGCGGCTGTACCCGATCGGATGATGGTAATTTCCCCGCAGTCTAAATAACTGATCAACTGTGTTTTATAGTGCCAATCACAGGTTGTATATCTTTATCAAATGAAGTTCCAATTACATTTAGTTTACCCCACTCTAAATTCTACCACCTCCAACAGAGATTTCTCTGTACTCTGCACTCTCGTCTCCTCCTTCGTAATGCTCCCTATCACGACCCCTACCCTACGGGCCTTTGTACAAGTGACCCTGGCAGAGTGAACTGATATGTATCGGGATGTCTGATGGTGCAACGGCCGTCAGCTAGTGTGTAATTTTAACAATTAGGGTCGACATTGTTGGTTTTACGGCCAACATCTTAATGACAATGCAGACTCTTTTAAGCCTAATGAAGAGACAATGGCGTCAACAGACCCTTGTGGTGCCTTGGGATAGTCGTTCGCCCGCTAGTTGAAACATAATAGATCATTATTCTTTTTTCTTCAATACATATTAATTTTTTAGAGTCTGCTCGACCTGGGGGCAAGACACGTCCGCCCATACTACATAGAATGTTCATAGTGACATCAGCGCAAAGTGAAGTGCCTGAATCATACGAAGTGACCGGTTCTTTCGTAATGAGGCTGTAGCCTTAGGAGGCTGCGTACTAACAGTGCACGAGTCGAGTGTGTTTATTTACGGTATATATAATATTCTCTAAATAAACGAATCCGTAGCAACAAGCGTAGCGGCTCTACTCTAAAATAACAACTGTCATACGAATTTTTTACAACCGTCCTGCCTAACTACAAAGAGGCTGAAAAAGGGCTGTTCAGCTCGCACCCGTCAGCCAAATGACTGCCAGAGCTGGCAGCCTTACATGGCGCCGAATATTATAAAGACGGAGGCATGTCTCCTCAAAAGTCTCCGCGTAGAAATCCCATCGTGTTTTACAAAATATAAAATCCCAAAGAGCAATAAAACATACTAATATGGTGACGCTTAACGACACAAGCAGCCTAGACTGTCCATTCACTCTCCCAAACCGAGGCGGTCCGTTGACCGACTACTTTACTCGATTCTCAGAGGCCCACGTCCAGCACCCTGCTATAATTGTCACCCCTACATCGGAGGACCATGTTATTGCCGCCATCCAGTTCGCAAAAGCAAACAACCTCAGCCTCTTCGCCGCGACGGGTGGACATGGTACCTTTGCCTGTATTGGTCCCAATACCATGTTCATGAACATGGCGGCATTTCAGGCCATAAATCTGGACCAGAAACGGGGACAAGTTGAGGTTGGAGGTGGCGTTATAACCGGGCAGCTATTGAAGTCCCTAGCAAAGATCGGCTATTACACAACGCTAGCGAATGCAAATGCTGTCGGCGTTGTTGCCGCGATTCTGGGGGGTGGTAACTCCGCTTACAATGGTTTACATGGCTTCATGGCAGACAATGCAATTCGCTTCCGTGTGGTGACTTCGACAGGAGACGTTCAAGATATTGGTGCCAGTTGCACGGGTGACGAGCTGGCACTATTCAACACACTCTGTGGTGCAGGTCACGGCCTTGGAATAGTACTCTCTGTCAAGTTTAGAGCCTATTCGATTAAAAGCCTTGGGTTAACTGATGGCAAGCTGTGGTCGCGTGTGATGTTCTTCCCTCCGACGGCGCTTGAAGATGTGGCAGAAGCATTCACATCGCTCAGTCCACCGGATAAGCGCTTAAGCATAACGTTTACCATGGCACGCGGACCCCCAAGCACACCCTTCGAGGGCAAACCACTCATAGTTCTGGCAGCGCTCTACTTCGGTCCGTCCGAGGCAGCCGAACAGGCAGCGGCTTCGCTCATCGCTCCAGAATTGCAGCAAAAGGCGTTGATGGTGAACCAAGAACCTCTAGCTTTTGAAAACACAAATGATGCACTGGAGAAAATGTACAGTTATGGAGGCGCCAGAAGCACCAACGGATGTAGAGTGCAGACGCTCTCCGCCAGCAGCATTATCTCTATGTTTAACACCTTTGTCGCTTTCACGAATGGTGCCGAGAAGGCGGGCATCGTGTTACATAGTTTTAATCCGTCACAACTGACAGCCAATGGGCATGACCCAGATTTAGGCAGCAGATCCGTTGAGTGTCGCGATTTCGGATTCACTCTTGTCATGTCGCTGTGGTGCTCTAGCGAGGCTAAGCTGGCTGAGGCAAATGACGGATTCGTCGAAGAAATGCTGACACTTGTAGGCACCGATGATGATCATTTGATGCTGCGCACGTTTCCGAATGTAATGAAGTTCAAACAGGATATCACTGAAATGTTTACACCGACAAGAATTGCGCAGATGCGGCAAGTGAAGCAAAGATGGGACCCTGAGTGTGTGTTTTGGTCACCTTACAACTTTGAACCTTGAGATGGTGCGGGATCCAGGGAGTGATGTACAATGGATATGGAGACAGCTAAACGTTTAATACTCACAAAACTACGTGTATAGCCTGCAATCAAAGGATAAAAAAGACATTTATAAGCGCTTAATGCTTTGAGAACAATGGAGAATTATTGCGTATTTTGTTAAGCCGCCATTCTGATAGCTTACTCGCAAAGCCACCTACAGCCCGCTGATAGCGTCTTTGCGCCTCATAAATGCAAATCGCTCCAGTAATTCGCGTAATTAGAAATAGAAAGCAAGAGACCTGTCAACATCCGGTAACGGCTGATCCCGGGTATATATGGTTAAGCTGGCTCAAAGCTCGGTTGGTGGTGATGCTCCGCACTCTAACGGCATCACGCCATCGTTGGAGAGCATTGCGCTTCCAATATACCAAAGTGGCACATCGCGTAAAACACCAACATAATTCGTCATTATGAAATAGGATACGACTTCCAAGTGGAACGCATATTTAAATAAATTTTAAGGGCGGTGCTTCCCTCAATGTAACCGTTTACGCATTGCGATCAATCTGACCTGCGCAAGCTGGAGACTCACCATGTCGGATATAAGCAACGAAGCGTTCCCCGCTTCCAAAGCTATACCCAGTCATATATCTACACAATCGACGAAGAGGTGGTGGCATCTTGGCGGGAAAGATATCAGCTATGTCTCCATCGATGCGGGCTACGATGTAGAGCCATCGGCGTCCGAGTCGTCCTCTATATCCGAGGCCAACAAGGACGCAGCCAATGTGTTTGTTGCGCCTGAAGCAGTAGAATTATACAAACCGGTGAAGGGATTTGAGGGTGCGCATAGGTTCGATCCCTCAGCGCAGTGGTCCCAGGAAGACGAAAATAAACTGGTCAGAAGAGTACGATGGTTCAGTTACTTAACAGCATTCAGAGAACATACTAACACGCCCTAGCTCGACTGGAAGATTGCCCTACCTGCTTGCGTCATGTTCTTCGCCCTGCAACTTGATCGCGGAAATATCTCCCAAGCGCTTTCTGATAACCTTTTAGGTATGACAAACATGTTTTCTTATATTGCGTTGCATGGGGCTAACACAAGATAGCTGACTTGAAACTCAACACGAACGACTACAACAACGGCATGACTATTTTCTATTGTTCGTTTCTCTTCGCTGAACTCCCATCCCAGCTGATTAGTAAGAAACTTGGTCCTGATACTTGGATCCCTATTCAGATGGTTTCGTGGAGCATCGTTGCTGCCGCCCAAGCCGCCCTCCAAGGCAAAACTAGCTTCTACGTCACTCGTTTCCTTCTTGGACTCATCGAAGGAGGTTTTATCCCCGACGTCATTCTATACCTCAGCTATTTCTTTACAAACGCGGAGCTGCCCAAGCGACTAAGCTGGTTTTGGACATCGTACCAATCGACACAAATCGTGGGTGCGTTCCTCGCGTACGGCATTCTGCATCTCCGAGGTGGCACCCTTGGAGCAGGTTGGAGATACATGTTTTTGATCGAAGGTGCTCTTACTGGTCTGATTGGTGTTTTCACTTGGTTTTATCTGCCTGCTTCGCCGACACAGACAGCGCGAGGAAAATACAAGGGCTGGTTGCGCCCTAAGGAAGGATGGTTTACGGAGCAGGAGGAAGTCATCATGGTCACTCGAATCCTACGCGATGACCCAGGAAAGGCAACCATGCACAACCGACAAGGTCTGTCCCTCACTGACTTCAAAAATGCCTTGTTCGATTATGATCTATGGCCCATCTATCTCATCGGACTTTCATGGGGTATTCCAAATAGTCCACCAGCAGCTTACATCACTCTCACTTGTAAAGCTCTCGGCTTCTCTACCTTCCAGACCAATCTTCTCACAATCCCTGCCTACGCCATTTTTATCCTGCAGCTGCTGTTCTGGACTTGGGTTTCGGAGAAGATTAACCATCGCGTCCTCATCAACTTGGCCTCGCAGTTCTGGGCTCTACCGCTACTCGTTGCGCTCGTCACACTCCCTCCCGTCTTCCATAACAGCAACTGGGCCAAGTGGGTAATATCAACGTTGCTAGTCGGTACACCCTATTTGCACGCAGTTCTTGTTGCCTTGACATCCCGAAATGCGGGTTCTGTCCGAACAAGAACCGTTGGATCGTCACTCTACAACATGTCCGTACAAATGTCCAGCATTTTCTCGTCGCAAATCTACAGAGACAATGACAAGCCGTACTACTACACTGGTAACAAGGCCCTACTAGGTGTTTTGGCATGGAACATCATTGTGATTGTCGGAATGAAGGTGTACTATGTCTGGCGCAACAACACTCGTGACAAGGTCTGGATGTCGATGTCGAGGGAGGAGCGGGTGCATTACTTAGAGACTACCAAGGATGAGGGCAACAAGAGACTTAATTTTAGATTTGCAAACTAACACTAGATAGTATCTCTTCTATAGAAGAGTTAGCATTCGCTTGAATTCGTGTAGAAATCGATATAGTTACATTTATTTTAAAGCATGCATTTACCGTGGTGCAGCTGTCTTGCATGCGTCCTGTTTTCCAAGCCTAGGGTGGCCATCAAGTACTTCAAAGAAATAATACAAAGTTTGGGAAATTATGTGTATTTCAATATTTCAGACTAACTTGTTATATTTATATAAGGAGGATAAATAGTCTCCCTACTTATACATGTTGCAGGAATTCTCAAATATTGGTGGATCTGCAGGTGTACTTGGTGTTGGAGACACCAGAGGGGGAGCGGATCTCGACACCACCATTCGCCTTGATGTGAAAATCGATGAAACGCTGCCCGTCATCAGATCTCAAGATATGCTGCTTGTAGCCCTTGGTGCCTTCGGTGTTGAACAGCCCGTTCGTCGTCGCCCACGCGAGCTCGCCTGCCTTTTGCGCGCTATCAATGTCGCCTTCGGTAATGACGGCGGCAGCGACTGCCACTACGGCTGTGATCAGGCCCGGAGCGACGTGGTCAACAACATCAAAGAAGCCACGGAAGTTGTTGGGGTCTGTGTAACAGTAGTTCTTGAGGTCCTGGGTGTACCAGGAGACAGCCCACCAGTCACGACCCGTTGTGCCAAAGCCCGTGTTGTAGTCGACACGGCAGAAGGGATAAGCGGCAACACCGTTAGGCTGGATAACGGCATACTCCTGATGATTTTTGTAGTTGTCGCTATACTTGTGCAGCAGCGAGACCGAAAGGATTGGGTCGGGCGTCTCGTTATAGATGGTCGCGTAGGCCTCGCGATGGGTTACCGCCTCGGCGGTTGAAGTAAGGGCAGCAACAGCGGCGGCGGCGACAGTGAACTTCATGGTGGTGGTTTAGTTCAAGATTAAACTCGAGAAAGATTATTTCGATAGTGTTTTGCAATGGTTGTAATTGCGAATGGATTGACGTCAAGACCTTCGACGGACGATAGCTGCTTTATATACTCGTGAGCTGGCGATGGCTTGTCGCGTGCTATATCTCGGTATCGAAGTTCTATGGTCGCAAAAAGAGAACTATGCGATGACAGTTACATCGAATATGGAGACTATTGGTTTCCGTAAGCACTGCCTAGTTCGTAAATTGGCGTCAGTTATCGACAACAATAGTCTGGATATCCTCATGAAGGTGCAATCTGTACGAGTTTCCCATTAGAGAAGGCTCCAAGGCGCTTGGTAGGCCGCAAGCCCTAGCGCCACCCGACAAGATCATCTCGTACATCACCTTCTGGATACCTTGGTTAAATTTGTATCACTCGTAAAAAATCAGGTCCGAGATTGATTTTCCCCGCTTCTGCCGCTATAGTAAAAAACTATATCAGGAACTATATCTCGACAGACTGATTGTTCGTCGACGGCTGAGACCCCTTGGCCAAAGAGGAAGAAGAGCCCTCGTTGGACCCTATACCGACCGCTGTTGCTGAATAGACACATACGTACTGTAAAAACCCCATAGAGACAGGAGAACCTCAGTTTCTGTATATACCCTAACTATGTACATTACTGCCTTGCATGTTCAAAACTTCTTAACACGAAGAAATTTCAAAGGACTTATCTTGCTTTTTAGAGTATAATTTGTATTGTATAAATACGTGCGTTTTACTAAAACGCGACGGAGTGCACAGGTCGGCTGCCGCCGCCAGTCGTCGTCCCGTAAACCAGACCCTGCTGGGCCGAAGTCCAAAAACAACGAGGCTTGCCTGCCTCACCTCGAATCTCCAAAACACACCTATTTTCCGCAACAGCTCGGATCGACATAGTGGGACAGTCTAGTTTGAATTGTCAGGAGGGAACTTTTTCGGCAAAAGGTACAGGAATTGATGCACGCATCAACCTCACGGCGGCAATCCGCCCCAGCGTCTAGTGTATCGGCACCCGGAACTTCACCTGCGGTCGGCAAGACCAGCATTTCCTGCGTAGCTTGCAAACAGCGAAAGAAGCGATGCGACCGACTTTTTCCATGTTCAACCTGCGTCGAATTTGGCATTGAATGCGTGCCCGGCACTCGCGCGCCGTACTCGTATCGGAGGCGTAATGCACCAGGGCATGTTGCGTCTTGTCCGCCCGCACCTGCACGCACCCCAACAAACAGTCATGGCAACAACAACGGTCTCAGTGTTTCAAGAAGCAATCATCACCCCAATTCCGAATATGACAGGAAAAGCCAGTAAGTAGTGCACCTGCAAGCCATTACTCTCACGCGTTAACCCCAATCCAAGGCAACTGTGGTCTTGTATCAGTGAGGAATTTTCCGGTACTGCTATGCGAGAGGTCACCTCGAACAACGAGAATGAATCTATGTTGGGTCCGCTTGGAGATCCCTTTTGCTCAATGTTCACGAGCTCCCCGCAATCACTTGACCTCCAAGAAGTGCAACCTTCTCCCTCTATCGCCTTGATATTGTGGGAAACGTTTCTGCGCAACGTTCATCCACTGTCAAAAATCGTTGATGTCCGACATCTGCAAACTAAAGTGCAGCAAGACCTTGAAGCACTTGACAAGTATCACTCAGCGCTATTCCTAGCCATATACACTACAGCTATTACTTCCATGAAGGAGACTGAGTGTGTGGCAATCTTAGGCAGTAGTAGGACGAGCTTGTTGACCCGATATCTGGGCGCAACTCAAGTCGCCTTGGCCAACGCAGGGGTTATGAAGTCACACAACTTAACCGTGTTGCAAGCATTCCTGATATATCTCGTAGGTTAACGATTCCTCCAAGTACAGATGGTATCGCCTTGCTAATACAATAACCTAGTTAGCCGCGAGATTAATATATGACTCTCAAGCAATGTGGTTGATGACAGGGATGGCTGTCCGAATGGGTCAACGCATAGACCTCCACCTTGAAAATGGAGAGTCACTGTCGGTCAATTCAGAAATTCGACGAAGAGTCTGGTGGCAGATTCTTATGATGGATGGTCGAAGCACACAGCTCGCTGGAGCGCAAGTACAACCGACCCCAGTTACTCCCGGCTACCCATTGCCACTGAATGTAAACGATGATGATCTGAACTACTTATCCGACAGCATGCCTACGCCTAAAAAGGGCCCAACTGACATCATCTTTTGCTTGCTTCGATATGAGGTTGGTCTTTACTTTGCACATCACGGTCGAAAGTTCTTTGATCCTACCAGTACTATCGAGGAAAAAGACGCGATGATCAACGAGTTTGAGGATCACATTGAAATCAAGTATTTGCGATACTGCGATGCGACCAACCCTTTGCACCTCATTTCTTCAGGTGGTGCCCGCTCGGCGATATGCAAACTGAGGCTCATGGCCCATCATCTGAGTCAGTATTCCGACAAAGGGGCGAGTCTCCCACAGTCAGAATATAACTTGCTTTTTACGACGAGTATGAAGATGGTTGAATACGACGTTCTTGGATACACCACTGCATCTATATCCGGGTTTCTATGGCACATAAAGGTTTATTTCCAGATGGACGCGTTCGTTTTCATGCTCATTGAATCCTTGAAACAACCACCAGGGCCCAAGGTGGACAGAGCTTGGACCTTGGTAGCTGATGTGCTTCGGTATCATCCGGAATTAATGACCGACGAGTCCAAACAGTTGTCGTTTGAAGTCCGGCGCTTGGTTGCGAGAGCGTGGGTAGGAAGAGTTAACAACGCCATCAAAGCTGGCCTTGTACCACCCCAACCACCTGCGGAAGTACTACAAATTCAAGAGCGTTTAGAATCCACTCAACAGGCATTGCCAACTCAGGAATCAGAGGATCACAACAATGATACCAACGCCGCTGATCGCCAGACTGTCACGGACCTCTTTCCCACTTCTTTGGAGTATGAGGCCTTTTTGGACGATAATGTCCTCGATTGGAGTCATTGGATGGATCTCGGTGTGTAACCTGAATCGGCTTCAAGACAACCGATGCTGCTCGGGCGGCGCATCGACGCGGACCCGTGTCACCAGCTTCGGGCTCGACCCGCAGCGTTCGGCTCCGAGACGTTCTGGTGTACCTTATTGTGCCTTTGCAAACAAAGCAGGAGACAGCTAGCCTAAGTGTAGGTAAACGTACATGTTGTCAATTTTTAGTTGTTGTGATGACAATGCTGCCCTATTAACTTGTATTGACAACCTTGCAAATTCCAATTCTTGATCCTTGCGAGGATTTTGAAATCGCCCGTCATCGTCGCGTACCGGTTACGCGGCCGCAGCGCTAAATCTCTTCAAATTCATATTCATCTCTATATCATCAGTACATTGTAAGATATAAGCGATTAATTTGTAGCGGCGCGTCAAAAACCGATCGCTGCAACAAGAATATGCGGTCGCTGGCAGAGCGTTATCGTTTGGATCATAGCTTGCCTCTTTGGGAAAGACCGCTGTCGCAGCTTTCGGAATTTTCGCAACTTTCGCAACTTTCAGTAACTTGGTCGTACCTTTCGAAAAGGATATATAAACCACTGTTGCCTATGCGAAAGGGTAGTTTGGAATTAGTCCGTCAAACAAAAAAAATTTACTCCAGGAATATATCCTTTCGCCTCTTTCGAATCGCCGCGAAGTACAAAGCTATCATCCACCAGTCCTGCGCCAACCTGCTACCCTACACCATAGACTTCTCCAAAATGACAGAAAAGTTACTAAATGCCCCTCCATTTGTCCATCCAATGAAGAAAGATGCTGTGGAAAGTAGTAAGGTTGGTAAAGTCGAAGATATCAATGATCAGTACCCTCCTGTCCGAACCTTGGCAGGCGTGATGTTGGCGCTCTACCTCTGCATGTTTCTCGTCGCTCTTGTAAGTCTTGCGTGTCACCTCGTCTCATTCCATCATATTAACACAGTATCAGGATCGAATCATTATTTCCACGGCAATTCCAAAAATCACGGACGAGTTCAAATCCATTGCGGACATCGGATGGTATGGGAGTGCCTATGTTCTCACCGGCTGTGTGACTCAGCTTGCATTTGCGAGGCTATACGTGTTTTACAACAACAAGACTGTTTTTCTTTCCGCTGTCATGTTATTTGAAATCGGCTCGGTTATATGCGGTGCAGCTCGCAGTTCAATTGCTTTCATCCTCGGCCGAGCAATTGCTGGATGTGGCGCTGCTGGTGTGTTCTCCGGCGTCATCATCATCATGATTCCCCTTGTGCCTCTCGCAAAGCGGCCAATGTACCAAGGAATGCTTGGTGCCATCTTTGGCATTTCTAGTGTTATCGGTCCTCTGGTTGGCGGGGCCTTTACAAGTAATGAGCACCTGACTTGGCGCTGGTGCTTTTTCATCAATCTTCCGATTGGGGCGATTGCCATGCTTCTCGTGCTATGGATGCTGCGTCTGTCCCCGCCAGACAAATCAACTCTGTCTTTGAAGGAAAAGATGATTCGAATGGATCCTCTGGGTAATCTCCTCTTTGCACCGGCAATCGTCTGTCTCCTCCTTGCTCTCCAATGGGCTGGCAGCACCTACGAATGGCAAGACGGCAAGATTATTGCGCTGTTTGTATTGTTTGGAGTCTTTTTGGCTGCGTGGGTGGGAAGCCAAGCATACGCTGGAAAGAATGCTACAGTACCGCCTCATGTATTCATGCAACGGTCCATTATGGCTGGTATGTGGTTCTCAGCTTGCATTGGTGGCGTCATGTTGTCCATGGGCTACTATCTGCCAATTTGGTTTCAAGCAATTGATGACGTTGATGCCCTACAAAGCGGTATCCGAGGTATTCCATTTGTTACAGCGCTCGTTATATCCAGCATTGTAGCTGGCATCTTTGTCAGCAAGGTCGGCTACTACTCTCCATGTATCATTCTTTGCTCTGTTATCATGTCTGCAGGTGCAGGTATGATGACTACTTTGCGCGTCAACAGTGGCAATGCAGAATGGATCGGCTATCAAGTTCTTGCTGGTCTAGGCATGGGGTTGGGCATGCAACTGTCAGGTTTGGCAGCCCAAGTTGTGTTGGCTGCGGAAGATGTCCCTGTCGGGGCATCTCTCATGATCTTCTCGCAACAGCTTGGCAGCTCCATATTTGTCTGCGTAGCGCAAAACGTATTCTTGCAGCAGCTTGTTTCAAACCTTACCAAAATCCTTGGTACAAAGGCAGCTAGTTTGCTCTCAAAGGTTGGAGCGACGGATATTCGAACCTATGTCCCCCCGAGCCTCTTACCTACGGTCCTGGAACAATACAACAAGAGTATTGTCACAACATTTTATGTTGGTGTTGGCGTATCATGCATGAGTATTATTCCTGCTTTGACTTTTGAGTGGAAGAGCGTCAAGGGTTTGAAGGGAGGTCCTCATACAGAGCAAGTTAAGACTGGAACTCGTGTTCTGGTCAAAGGCAGACGGGACGCAGGCAAATAGAAACACCTCGTGCGTTGTTATCCTTTTTGGTTTATTCTCGTAGCCGTAAAGAACCCCATAGCTACAATATATTGTAGTTCTCGCCTTTCAAACTTTCATCTTTAACTCATGTAAGTACAAGTTCGACCAAGAACTCTGGCTTGACGTAACAGGTAAGGTCCTACCAAAGGCCGCGTAAAGCACAACCCATCTTAACCATACGAATAAAGTTTCAGCAGAATTTTCTTGTAGTTGTTGGTTAGATTAGTCTGAGTATTTCGACTTCCACCTCTTTGGTATCTCCGTCAAAACTACTTGCTATAAATTCTACGCTGTGTTTGTCATTCGATACTAATCAAGTGATGAGTTCAGCGATATTGGGCGATACTGTTAGGATGTATTAAATCTTTAGCAATAAAATCCAAGTATACAATTTTGATTTTCCATGTTGGTTACCAATTTTTCTCAAATGGTATTGCATATTGCTTGTTGGGAGGGATGGCTTCTCACTGTTCTTAAGAAGCTGTTCGATGATCAAATGTGTATTATTTATTGTCTAGTATTATTATGCTCGTAATGGTATAGTTAGGGCTCGTGGCCACCATCCACGCTGAGCACATTTGGACTGGAAATATAGGGAGCGAATCTTGGCTCATGTCCGCCATTAGGAATAGGTTCATGGCCACCGTTGGGAGCAGGCTCATGGCCACCATCAATATGGGCTTAGCAACATAGTTAACATTACATATTGAAACAATGAATGAGCTAAAAGGACGTACGCATCGCCAGACCCGTTGTGATAGGCATAAGGAGAAGAGCTGCGAAGGCAATGAGCGGGGAAAATCGTGCCATTTTGGTGATTGTCGGCTGCAGTGGTGCAGGAACTTTGTCCAAACCGGGTCTAGAGAAGACAAGTTATACCTGTTTCATTACTACCCTCTGCACGTGAACGGTGACACTAACGCAAAAAGGCAACTCGGCCTCTTGCAGCTGTTGGTGGTCACGCTAGACACGGAACAATAAAGCCACAGAGCCTTGCTGACGTTAGGCCTTTTTTGTTCATGGATTGTTCTAGTTGAACTATCATCAAGCACGAAGAACAATACAATAGATACCATGTCATTTTATAATATATACATAGGTTGTCTATTAGACCATCTTCAGTTTCTCTGTAGCGATTATCCCTTTATTTGGCTTCCTCATTGTACGAATGAAGAATTGCATTCGAGCAAAATCGGCTGGGGAGAAGGGGGGCGAGACCCAGTCAACAGTTACATAAATGCAGCCAACAGGTCGTGCCCATGACTCATGGCTTGCTACGATTGGTTGGACGCGCTGCTTAGAATAAACACTTGGGCGCTAATTTCCTGCCGCTGGTCGTCGCGATACAGCGGATGATTTGCCTGATCAAGAATCCGCGTGTCTCGTCCGAGATTCACCCAAGCCCCCCGCATCCGTGCGCAGACTAGAAATCACTGAAACAGCGCCACCAACAGTCTCAGCGCCCGATCAGCTTTATAGGCGTGGCGCCTCTTGCCACACGGCTGAACTTTGTCGACATCTCAATCGCTTCCTGTTTCTCTTCTCGTTGCCACTGATTCATCTCTCTACTACGTGGCGTTTCTATCGCTAGTATGTCCCAATACGCTCTAATCACAGGAGACGATGGCTTCGGGCCTAGTCTACCTGGCTATTTCGATTTCACACTGAGGTTTGAGCACATCTTCTTCACTATCGTTCCTAGTGTATTGTTTCTTGTTGCCGTGGTTATAAAGCTTTGCACATCCAATAAAAACCTTGCGGTGGTGAAGCGAGGCGTTTTGTTTTGGTTGAAAATGGTATGTGTACTGACACAACTCATGATTTATAATTTTAACGTGGTATTTTGCAGGCCCTTGGTATTGCGGCGTTCGCACTGGAAAGCACTGCTCTTGGGCTCTGGGCACGTACCGCCCCAGAACCAGTCGTGCTAACGGCGGCCATAGTGTCAGTCTTAGCATCCATGATGCTAATAGCGGCGCTCTACGTCGAACATTTCTTTTCCTATGCACCGTCTCTACTACTGGGTTTCTACTATAGCTTGATGGTCCTTTTTGGTATTGTCAAGTCCAGATCCTTGGCTATGCGACCCGGTCTCGAGGCTATTTTTGCAACTTCGGTTGCCAGCACCGTGCTTGCGTTGCTGATTGTGATTTCCCAAGAATGGCCAAAACGGCCGCTGTTGTTAGACCGCCAGCGACAGTTGACCATGGGTACAGAAAGTCTCTCAGGCTTTTGGTGCCGGTCGGTGTTTTGGTGGGTCAACTTCACCCTTGTTAAAGGGTTCGTTTCCATTTTCTATACAGACGATCTGCCTCCTATGGAAGAGGCTCTTACCTCGCAGCATCTCTACGATCAATTTCGCCAAAAATGGGCAAAAAGTACGTATATCTCTATGGCCTCTTCCTCTATGAGATCTCTACTGATAGCACCTTAGCGAACAAAACTTCAGCCTATTCGTTGTTAAGCGTCTGCACCAAGCTTGTTTGGTCACAGTTTTTGATCGGCTTAATTCCAAAAATTGCCCTTGTGGTTCTGTTAAGTATTCAACCGGTACTAACAAAGACGGTTGTCACCTTGGCGGGTCAAGAAACTATTCCAGAGAATGTTGTTGGGGCTACCATCGGCGGTGGTCTCTTGCTTTACTTTGGCATTTCGGTTTGTAAATGACAAAGCGTTACTGACTTTACATACTAACAATATCTAGCTCTCGAATGCTATCAACGAGTACTTTGTCACTAGGCAGGTGCTTACGATCCGAAGCTGTCTCATACCAGCAATATATGCCAAACTCTTCAATTTGCCTCTTGAGAGTCTGAAGCATTCGAACGCGCTTACTCTAACCAGTGCTGACATTGACAATATTGTCATCGGTATTGTACACTTTAACAAGATGTTACAAAATTCGCTACTTACCATTTCTGGCCTCGTGGTACTGGGATTTTTAGTTGGCATAGCAGCTGTTTTTGCCGTCGTTCCCGCCCTGAGTAAGCACAGCTTCTTTTTATTACGTATATTTATCTATACTCTAACACTGTACTTCACTAGTTACTATGATTATTAGTATACGACTAGCGAAGCAAATGCGACCGGCGCAAACAATCTGGAATATGGCTGTGGACAAACGGTTATCGGCTACTAGAGATGCGCTCACCAATTTAATCAGCGTGAAAATGGCCGGTCTAGTCAATATTGTCTCGGAATCCCTTCAAAGACTAGTGGTAGACGAAATGAACGGCTCTAAAAAGGCACGTCGTTTGATGACCTCTACCTATGTGGTTGGTAAGTTCCAGCATCCATCGACTTCACCAAACCAAGATGATATATGGACATGAACTCTGACAATTTGACCATCAAAGGCGAGATCACCGGAGCATGGATGGCCATCGTTGTGCTTGCAGCAGCTTTGTTTTGGACTAGAGCATCTACTGGCCTTTCCAAAGCCGAGATATATGCAATCATTTCGGTTTGCAACCTTATTACTGATCCTTTGGCTTTGGTCACGCTAGGATTTAGTCGATTTACCTCTGCTCTTGCGTCTCTCGATAGAATGCAAACCTTTTTACGACAAGACGACCACCCCGACATTCGAGAAACATTTGCAAAAGCGGCGAATGAAATGGCACTTGAAAAACCGGCGATACTAGAAAAGTCTTCGGAGTCCAAGCTTCATAAAGATGGATCGGCCATTAAATTGGTAGACGTATCTACAAAGCCACTACGAAGTGGTCAACAGGTTTTTCGAAACCTTACTGTATCATTCCCCGCCAAACAGCTATCGCTAGTTGTTGGCCCAGTCGGTATTGGCAAGTCAACATTCTTAAAGACCATTATCGGAGAAGTGAGCATTTACGATGGTCATGTCCTTGTTGAACAAGACGATATTGCTTATTGTGGTGAGAGTCCTTGGCTACAAAACACGACGATCCAAGGCAATATTGTTGGCGATTACCCCTTCTCCGACATTCGGTATCATTCCATTATTGAAGCATGCGCTTTGGTAACTGACATTGATGCCCTCTCCGAAGGCAATGAGACTGTTGTCGGCGACCTTGGCTGCAACTTGAGCGGTGGTCAGCGTCAACGAGTAGCATTGGCACGTGCTATGTACAGCGCCAAACCAATAATCATTCTTGACAATTCATTTAGTGGCCTAGATGCACAAACAGCCGCACTCATCTATCGCAATCTTTTCGGGCTGGGTGGTCTATTGCGTGTCTCCGAGACAACGACAATTATGACAACGACCATGGCAGAACATTTGGAGTTTGCGGCACAAGTGGTTGTGCTAGGCGAGCACTGCACAACTCAAGTTGTAAAGCCAGAGGATTATGCAAATCTACCTCCATATATTAGCAGGCGTCGAGCGACAGAGACCAGTGATTCTGAGTCAGAGCAGTTCAATGAGGACGAAAGCCAGCCAAGGAGTCGAGCAGTGCAACACGCCATGGCACAGGAGCCTGAGGTCCCTAGTGAAAAGCAGCTAGCGCGTCAGAGAGGCGATTTCGGCATGTATAACGCTTACATCAAATCCATCGGCTGGGGTCGTTACCTCTTCTGGTTGCTTTTAACCGCATTTTCCGTTGTTGTTACCAGATTTCCTGGTAAGATACCTTTTCTTGTCAATTATACACAACCTACTCTATACTAACTATATATACCAGTGGCTTTTATTCGAATTTGGTATTCCAAAGATGGAGGGGATACCACGTACTTCGCCGGTTTTGCGACCATTTACTTTTTCTCAACCTTCACGTGGATTTTAGCCTACGGGTATGTCCGACAGAGTTGAACCGAATTACAATGCTCCTGCTAAACAACTCAATAGTTACTGGTACAACAATCTAATACTGGACAGCGTCGTCAACCTCCATCGTGACTTGCTGCACTCAGTAATGCGGTAAGTAAACGTTCTACGCTACTTTCCTTATACAAACTAACAATTGATAAAGGTCAACTTTGTCTTTTATATCTGGTGTTGAGCGGGCATCTCTTCTCAATAGGTATGCCCCTTAGCACTAACTTATCTTGCACAACTCGATGCTAAATCCCCTGGCTTAGATTCAGCGAAGACATGGCAATTTTTAGCCAACAACTTGGTCCTATTATGACAACTGTTGTTTCATGTATGTCTATAAAACGTCTACACTAATTGAAGCAACTAATTAATCCCCTCGCAGGTCTCTTCCTTGTTATTGCCGATTTTATTTTGGTCTGCACCTCATCTGCGATCAGCGTCATTTTGATTCCTTCGGTGGTTGTTCCAGTATATTTGCTGCAGTCGTTTTACCTACGAACATCGCGGCAAATGAGGCAACTGAGTCTCGAAACCAAGGTTCCGATTGTGAAACAAATTACCGAGGTCTCCAGCGGCATAGAGCATATCCGAGCTATGAAGATGCAAGACTATCTCCTCGCCGACGGCTTTAAACACATTGATAATAACTCCAAGCCTGTGTATATGCTCCGGTGTATTCAACAGTGGCTTTGGCTAGTTATCAACCTTGTCGTGACATTCATTGCCGTTATGATTATGACTATTGCGCTCACTGCCCGGCATTTGGCATCAGATAACTCTATTGGAGTTGGTATGGTGGCATTGATCCCCCTAAGCGATAACCTCGGTAATGTCATTCGCTCTTGGATGAGTTTAGAAACCTCTTTAGGTGCTATGTGGCGCCTAAAGTGGTTTACCGAAAACACACCGACAGAACAAAATGAGACTGCACTAGACGCAGATGACGTACGACTCAAAAACTGGCCGGAGACAGGTGCCATCGAATTCCGAGAAGTTAACGCTTCGTATAGGTAAGCTTTAGATTTATAGGCTTTTACATGATGACTAACACCCATTGCTAGCATTGGAAGTCGGCGCGTCCTTGGCGGTTTGTCGTTTTCTGTTGCTCATGGCCAAACCTTTGGGCTTATTGGACGTACTGGCTCTGGCAAATCATCCATCCTCCTGACAGCGCTGAATTTCCTCAACTATGCTGGCGTCATTACAATCGGCAACCTTGATCTGAGAAACATACCACTGGATATCCTGCGGCGTCGCATCACGACAATTACGCAGAGTTCTATTGAGTTACCTGGGAGCGTTCGCGCCAACTTATATCCATATCCGGATTCTGCAACAGAATTAGATGACAAAGTCATAATCGATGTGTTGGAATTTCTAGGTATATGGGACTATGTTGATGCTAATGGCGGTCTAGACGCGGATATTGCCCACTTGAAACTCTCCACTGGTCAACGTCAGCTCATCAATATTGCTCGCGCGTTCCTACACCACAAACAGAATAAGTCAAGAATCGCCCTAATGGATGAGGTAACAACGTCCCTCGATGAGGCAACCGCAAAGCGTGTTCTTGAGGCCATCGAGGACACATTTGAGGACTGCACGATCCTGATGGTTGAGCACCGTGAGTCGGCTCTTGAGCATATGGACCTTTCGCTTGAGCTGCGGGGTGGCTACGCAGTCGCTTTGGTAGACCGTACCAAAGCCCATCAGAATACTCTGGCAGCAATTCGTGAAAGAAAGGCTCGTGAACAGAGTGTAAAGGAGGAAGCCAGCAAGGGGTCAGTTGGAATGTTCAGTGAAGTCTCGGAAAGCCGAATGCGTCGGTCTGCGGAGTCATCTCACTGAAAGATCGAGTGAGAATACCATATCTAAGAGCGTCATTCTGTTTCTCTTTTTTTTCATGTACATTTTGTTTTGTCTTGCATTATCTCTCTAGTACATAATCTTCGGTGTAAAAGCGCAAGTACCTAGTATAATAACAGCCACATGGGCCTGTTCTCCAGTTTATAGCTGCCTCATAAACCCAAAAAGAAAATGTCTTACTTTTCTTCACCATCACTATTTGTGCCCTCTATTGTCGTATTCGGGTCCAAAGCCTCTACAGCTTCCCTCTCCGCCATCAGTCGCGCCATCTTTACACACTTGTCCGATGTGTATTTATCCTTCATGCGCTTTGTTTGAGGCACCGGTTTTGTTCTAACTGGTACTGTTTCCAACAGCCCTTCGGCTTGCAGTGTCTTGAAAACAAATAATCGACGGTTGTTCAAGCTAAACATGTCGCCAGTGGTAGGATCAAGCAAGACACTGATGGGTGGGAGGTCCTCGGCACGAAGCTCTTTGTTGCGGATAGCGTTTAGGGTATCTTCGATACGACGACCACAGGAGAACTTTGGTCTGAGCCGAGAAAACGTAAAGTAAACATCTTTAGGGTCGACTCGAGTGAGTGACATTATGTGTGGTCGGAATTTATGGCTGTATGGGCTGAATTATTTTATATTTGGCTTAGTATCTGCTTATAAAAGCGAAACCTGATCTTGTGTGTTTTTTTGTTGATGCTTGTTTCTGGTAGACTGGTTTGTTCAAGCTGGGTCACGTGTTGAGCAGTCAGCGCATCCTCCCGTTGATATATCCGACAAGCTTTCACCACTGCACCGACGACCAACATTGTCGATTGCCTGAAAATGAGTAACAGCCGGTCAATGTCGGAAAAGTCGAACCCTCAGCAATTTTTGATTGGCAGTTGAACTGAAAGCGCAGCAAACGGAGAGAGACATGGTTCTAGGCTCACAGCATGGCACACTAAAGGCAGGAGAAACTGCGTTTTGGCACCTCAGCCCAAGAACCCAAGAATCGTCCGCGATAATGCGTCTAAATAAAGCAAAAACGATATTATCGACTGAAAGGACTTGCTAAGAGGTTGTTTTCAGTGCGGAATACGACAGCAACATGGAAATGTACAGGATGGACTTGAAGCTGCAGTCTGTTTAACAAAAAGATGGAATCATACTGGTATATTCAGTATATTCGAAGTATAATTTGTCATTTTGAAAGTGCTTTTACTCGTTTGTCAGCACATATCGGAAACGAGGTTTGCCGGCGGCAAGATCTAGGAGAGCAGCGTTTGTATCACTCATTGGACGCGTCTCAACCCAAGGCCGGATATCCTTATCCACACAAAACTGCATCATTTCGGCAATTTCCTTCGGACTTGCAAGAGCAGAGCCAGCGACACGACGCCGACCGAGGATAAGAGCGAATGGTGCAAGAGGAATGGGTGTTTCGGGTGCTCCCACTTGGATCAGGGTTCCATCAAACGCTAGAGCTCGAAGGTAGTTGTTAAACTTGGGCTGTACAGAAATGAAATTGGTTAGCGGCGCAGTTAAGTGGAAACATGGTACTGATAGAGCTGAAAACATTGGATCAAACTTACGTCCGAGGAGGAAATGGTTGAGATGATGATGTCAAACCGGTCTACATTCTTACTGACCCAGTTCTCATCATCAGCGGTGGCAATGTAGTCGTCGCAGCCCAATGAAATAGCTTCGTCGCGCTTAGCCTCCCGTCTAGAAATGCCCACTACTTGGTCGGCACCCATAGCCTTGGCGAATAGCACAGCAAAATGGCCAAGGCCGCCGACACCAACAATGCCGACTTTCTTGCCAGGGCCACAACCCCAAGCCTTGAGGGGAGAATACACCGTCGCTCCTCCGCAAAGCAGAGGGGCTGCGTATTCTGGCTTTAGACCTGCGGGCACCTTCATGACGAAGTGGGAGACGGCACGGTGGTAGGTAGCATATCCGCCGTATGCTTTGTCGCCATTTCGATGTTTGGAATCGTACGTGTTGACATTCGAGATTCTGCAGTAGGGTTCGTGGTTTGATGCGCACGCCTTGCAAGGGCCATCTCTTCCAAGACAGGCGTCGGCTTGTGCGCCAACACCAACAAGGTCACCCACTTGGATACCGTTTGTTACGGCAGACCCAACCCGGACTGCGACGCCGACGATTTCGTGACCGACAACACAAGGGTAGTTGGCAGGTACCTTTAGATATCTGTTAGCGTTTTTTATATTGAAATAGGATACAGTGGAAAGGTCTTTCGCGTACCCAGCCAGAGCGAAGCGTAGCTAAATCAGACGCACACACACCGCAATGTGTAATACGAATGTCGATGTTGTCTTCCTCCCAAGCTTTGGGTTCAAACTCGGCCCAGACGAGCTTTCCTTCCGCAGAGGCGACGTCATGGCCTTGCCAGCCCTCGAATTTGTAGTCTGTCATGTCAAAAAGAGAGTAGAGTTATATATAGGGATAGATGTATACTGGTCTAAGATCATGGCAAGGCTACGTCTCCCTGTGACATCAAAAGATATATTTATACTGACAGCCGTCTCCACCCAAGACACCATCAGGATCGACCAAGATCTGCCAATCTAAAATTTACGAGGTGTCGGGGCATGGTGTCTATTTGCAGCGGGTAGTCAAATGTGGCTGCGGGCTGTGATTGGTGGAAGGACATGGACAGGACGGACTTTGCCTCTTTCGCATGGCTTCTACTAGCGCGCCTAATCGGGGAGCTGCAGAACCTAGGCTAGTAGATCTCAAGGGTCCACGTTACTCGCGCGGTGTTTAACACGAGAGCTTTGTATGTGTGTGTATGAGTTATCACCGTCATGACACCATTTGGCCTCAATTATTAAGACGGAGATAGTGTTGACATATCCGCAACAGCCGCCCACCGGGGAGCGAGGATATAAAACACCATGGATCCCCCTCGCAAGTGAATGGTGTTCGTGCTACAGCCACAACTCAAACACATCACACACACAGGCAAAGAGACCTCCCACCTAAACAATGGACCCCACCACTTACAAGACCATCACCACCCAGCGTGGCTACAGCTACAGCTACTACGTCTCTGCCACCAAGGGCCAGAAGGAGACTCTTCTGTTGCTCCATGGCTTCCCGGAGTACGCTGACATGTGGGCTGACCAGGTCGCCGCCTTTGAAGCTGCTGGCTACACCTGCATCGCCCCCGATCTGCTCGGCTACGGCGCTACCTCCAAGCCCGTTGATGGCGAGGCCTACAACAGCGAAGGTCTTGCTCAGGATGTCGCTGATATCCTTGATGCCGAGGGCTCCCCCAAGGTTATTGTCATTGGCCATGACTGGGGCAGCTACCTCGCTGGTCGTTTCGCTAACTGGCAGGCTGCCCGTGCTACTGGCCTCGTCGTTACCAGTGTTGCATACCGCCCTGCCTCTGAGCTTCAGCTTGATGCTGCCAACGCCCAGATGAAGTCGGTGCTCGGCTACGAGCCCTTTGGCTACTGGGGCTGGATTGCTGCTCCTGGCTCTGCCGCTGTCCTGGAAGAGCACATTGATTCCCTCTTCTCCTTGCTCTTTGCCAAGGATGCTGAAATCTGGAAGGTAAGATTTATTTCTTCCGTTTGGAAGTCCCCACTTTCGCCCTTGCCTTTGCCTCGCTCTAGTTCTTTCCAACGGCAGTGACTAACAAATGCTTGCAACTGTAGACCGACTTTACCCCCGCCGGCAAGCTTCAAGAGTGGCTCGCCCAGGACAGACACGTCGAGGAAGCCGAATTCATCACACCCGAAATCAGAGCAGAGCTACTGCGCAAGTGGAAGGAGGATGGCTTCGACGGTAAGCTCGGCTGGTACCGCGCTATGACAGAAAACACACACTGGAACCACGAGAAGAACATCGATGCCGCCCGATTCAAGCTTTCCATTCCTGTTCTGTTCATCGGTGGATCCCGTGATGCCCCTGCTCCTGCTGCTCTTGGCGACCTTGTCACAAAGCCGCTTTGCGAGAACTACACGGGCAAGGTGATTGACAGTGGCCACTGGATGCTTCGCGAGAAGCCTGCAGAGTGGCTTGCCACTGTCCAGGACTGGCTCAAGGAGACATTTTAAGTTTCTAAAGATATAAAATGAATAATTAGAAAAATTTGACGCGTTTGCTTTTCGCTCAAATGGTTCTGTCTCTCAAAAGAGTGCGATGCGCCGCTGTCTGTGTTTTGGCTCCGCAACCTAAAGCGGCTTCCCACGGCTCCTAGCCCCTATTGCCAATCAGCAATACTTGCATGTAAGTTGGGAATAACGGCTGTCGCTATCCAATAAGTGGGGTCTGCCGTTGTGAAGAGACTTTCTCGTTGGATGGTTCTCGAAATCTCACCAGCTGACGACATGCGCCGGCTACACGGCACGCATTACACCTGAAACTGGTTGAGTTTGTGTAATTTTGTAAATTATCTACTATTACATGAAAGACTCAGTAATCTGCGATGATGATTCTTCCAATATCTGTGCAGCCGATTGTTCCTGTGGTATCCGGCTGCCCTATAGGGATCCCTAATAAGCCGAACAGCCCACATCCAAATCTGACATCAGCTCTTCCTTGATATTGGGTCTACCGCCAGCAAATCCAATTGGCTCGGCAGTCGCCATTATTTCGTTTCAGAAACTCTGCGCCACTCTAGGGCTACTCATTCTGACGTATACACTTCCATGCATGGCTCAATCAACCGAGGAGCCGGGACAAACTCCTCGGCCTGGTGATGTTGGCGATACCGACGGCGCAAGATAAAGAATTGATAATAAGGGAGCCGTGTAGTCTAGAAAATGTAAAATAATCCAAAAATAATCCAAACTATACGCAAAAAGTACTTTGTCCCTCCAGCAAGCAAGCTGATTTCGCTTCCAACCACATAGTGCTACATAGAATACGATGCACGTTCTCATCATTGGTGCTGGGCCAGCTGGCCTTACAATCGCCCAATGTCTGCGCAAAGAAGGGATTTCTTACGAAATCTTTGACCGAGATCTCCATCAAGATGCTCGATTTCAGGGATATTCTATCTCTGTCCACACGTATGTATAGATCATTGTTCAAAGACCTTGAGTTACTGCGCTAACGTGCACAAGAATTATCCAAGACTTTGTCACACTGTTCCCTAACGATATGCCCGATTTCGAACAAGCCACAAGCAACCTTTTGCCGCTTAAAATTAACGCTCAGATTAATGTGCACTATCCGAATACAGAAAACCGTTTAGGTGTGGAGGTAAGCTAGTATTTGGGCTCCTGTCGCTGGGCGCGTAGCTAACAATAAATAGTGTGAGCCGCATTACGCCTACATCAGAGTGGAACGAGCTCGCCTGCGCCGATGGCTGTTGACAAACATTGATGTTCAATGGAATAAACATGCAGTCGAGTTTCATCATGATGACCACGGAGCTACGGTCAAATTCAAGGATGGTACAGTCGCTACAGGAGACTTTCTCATTGCAGGTGACGGTGCAAACAGTAAAAGTATGTCGTGCAGACTGGACAGCATTTCCATATTTCTTTTGCTAATATTCTTTCAGTTCGAGAGCATCTCCTGGGGCGTCCAAACAGCGAAACACTTCGATCATGCCCCATTTCCACCATTTCGGGTGAAATGGAGCTTTCTGGGGAGGCATTCCGACGACAGCTCGAACTATCGCACAGCGCCTACAACTCCGTCAGCGACAATCCACGGTTTGTGATGTTACATGGGATTCACTATGTGTACCCCGATGGCTGCTCTGGTAATTTCTACTGGGATTATTTTGAGGAAGACGACACGGTGGACGACCCTAACCATTGGTTGAGAACGGCAACACAACAGGAAAAGCTGGACTATGTCTTGGGTAAAGTCCACTCGAGTTTCCCACCGCGGCTTTGTGAAGCCATAGAATTAACGCCAGTGGAGGGCATGGTGAAGAAGTACCATCTTTGGAAGGATATCCGCCCTGAAAATCTACCCAACGGACGATGCATTCTTGTGGGCGACTCCGCACATGTCATGGCGCCGTTTCGAGGCCTTGGAGGATTCAATGCCTTTACTGATGCTTTGAATTTATCCCGAGGTTTAATCAAACTCCATCACTCGGGTAATGAAGACGACCTCAAAGAAGTTGAGAAGACGGTTGGCGTCTACAATGAGGAAATGATGCGCCGCGGGCAGGCTGCTGTGGATCGGTCAAGAGCAGGTACTACTGACGCAATCAATACTGCATGGTTTATGCGTCTCATTTTGAAGTGGATTCCATGGGCCACAACGACGTTCTTGAACTGGGGCAACCCCGGAAATAGGCTCAAGCTGATTCCTCGATTGAGAGTCGAGTTGCCAAGCGATTCAGCTTCTTAGCAAGGGCTGGTTACTCCTTGTTTGTTTTGTGTTATAGAGAAGAAGCGGTATTGTGAATGAGTGTTATATTACGATTATATATTTACAAGAAGTATTATTATACAATAGAGCCTCGGGTGACCACCTCCTCTCGCTTTGCGTCGGTATCAATCGTGCTCGGCGGATACCAGCTGTGTTTCGAGTCTGCTGTGGAGGGTTGGCGAGTAGGGGCACGGTGAACCAGCACCTCATCCATCTCCGTTTCTTCATTGGCACGATAATACCGCTCCTCTTCCGATGTTCGGGAGATCATGGAATTCGGGTCCATTGCCCGACCTGATGTGCTTCTGGTGCGTTTGCGACTGAGTGATCCATCGCCCGATGGATTGGAGGTCGATGCGCTTGCTTGAGAAGGGCGTGTTATTCCTAATTTTATGCCCACAAGCTGCATGGCTGGCCGCATCGTGGGAAGGCAGGCCGATATGACAGCGGCGCACATTTCAATGTCGGTCCAGACAAGCAGAGGGAACAAAGTATAGCTCGCGTCTTCTCTGGAGTAGTTGAATAATACAGAAACTCGGTATGCTGATGTAAAGACGGTACTAGTAACAGGTAAGACGAACATTAGCAAGATGGAAACGCAACAGCAGTAGACTCGTTTGACTTACAAGAAGCCCAGACCAAATACAAATGTCAGACCAATCTTTTCTGACGTGCGCGTATTGAGCTTCCAAACTTGGGGTATAGGGAGTATAAGAATGGCAATATCGGAGAAAATGGTAGAGCTGGCGTTGGCTACCCAGACACCCATCTCGCTGATGCAGTGACCGGGAAGCGAAGGAGTCCAGAGCTTCTCTGTCGGGACACAAATAAACGTAAATAAAAAGGTGGCAGCCACAGCCCACATGACGACGAAGCTGCCGACGCCAATAACAAGCATCTTGAAGACGGGGAAGTGGAAGATGCGATAGTACATGAGCAGGACGCTGAGCTTAGTCCAGCACATGTGCCATATGTAAATAACTTCACTGACAAGCAGCAGCCGCGCTATTCTGGCGACCTTTTCAGGGCCCAGAGTGTCGGCATGATAGCCCTCGCCTTCTGCATACATGGCGAGGGCGATAGCCACAACCACCCAGTTCCATACCTAGAAGCAACAAAGGACACAAGTTAGCAACAGCAGCCGCAAGGGAGCACAACTGGAGACGGGCGCCATACCATGGAAAACATAATTAAGTAATCGTCGAGCCATAGTTTTTGTTGGCGAATACGGCGGCTAATCAAACGTAGAAGAATACTGGTGACGGCCAAAAAGGTCATCATGGACGAGACAACGAGCGCCCAGCGTCGCATCTGGGCCGGCGTGTAGTTGGGCACGCCCGGAACGGTAGCCTCATCTTTGAAGGGCATGCTGGCTCAGCTCAGTTGTTGTGCGTTGTGTCTTCATGGACCCGGGAGGAAAAAAAAAGAGGAACGAGATCAATCAGTTACGGGGTTTTGTCTTTGTACAGGGCGAAATGTTTCTGGAGCAAAACGAAAAGCAGCAAACCAACAGCGCACGGTCGCCAGATCGCAAGAGGGGAAGGGCAGCGGCGGTCTGCCGTAGATATGCAATGTACAAGGCCAGGGCCCAAACACAGACCGAGACAGAAACAACAGGGGCGCCAACCAACAAGACAAGACAAGACAGCCACTTTTGTGCTTGCTCGTGTCTCGCCCGCCCCATTTCCCCGCGTGGTCCTGGCGTTGTCAGTGTCTGTCGTGCATGGCGGCGCCCGGGGTTGGTTAGATGGGTGGCAGGTATCATCACAGTGGCGACAAATAGGCAGAGTTGGGACTATAGAGATACATGCAGGATCCCTGGACGCGCAGCGGCTCGTGGCTTCTGCAGACCAGCGAGCGGCATGACAAGCACCGAAACCATACCATACTACTACTGTAGCCTTGTTTCCTTTGTCGTCCGCCTCGAACAGCAGCAATAATGCTAGCTGCAGTAATAGCAGAAAAGCAGTACAAAAGTCCACCTGTCTGTGCAATATCGGAGCATCAACAGACCCCCAGCAACTAAATTAACACAACGGCAACACTAGCGGTAGACCTAGTCACCGCTGCTATTAGAGGCAAACAAAGCTTGACTAGAAACAGAGACTAGCGCCGGGGCTAGGCTGCCCCTGTGGCGGCGGCAGTTGGGTTGTCAGGCCCAAATCCGCAATGATTGGCACAAAACCACATGCAAAAATGACAACAACCAGCAACTGCACTAGACAGCAGACAAAACTATTTGCAGCGCAACGGCATGGCGGCGTGCGGCGTGTGGTCCTAGCTCCCCTGCAGCAAAAAACGAGGCGTACTGGTTCGTTCTTCAGCTCGCTCCCTCTCCACGTCTCCGGGGCCGTTTTGTGGCTGTTATAGTTTGCCAGCAGGATCCCACGGCAGCAATAACAGAGGCAGGAAAAGACGTCCACAGTGGGCGTGCTGGCTTGTGCATTCACTACTGCAGGCTCTTCCGTAGCATGTGGTGGTAGGTAGCGTTGCAGATTGTCATAGCGCAAGCCCAATTCTCCCGCCTTTTTGTTTATTCGTGGGTATGGTGACGATGCCATTCGGGCCGGCTACGTTTGACGCAAGGTTTCCCCGCTTTCTCAGAAGAAGCGAGGTCTGCTTTGGAATTAAAAACGAGACGTAAAGTGAATCGGACGACTGGGGTTTTGACAGCTCGGTTTCGGTCGAAATAGCCCAACATCGCCAAGTAGCCGATGGATTTACCTGCATCGCTCTCGGCGATCGTCGGGGTTCGTTAAATGGTCCACCAATCACTGGGGGCTGAAGAGGTTGCCAGCCTTGGCTCACTTTGGGTGCATGGTCATTGGCTGCGGATGCTATAGGTGCGCCAAGCCGGACGCTAACTATATTATAGACATATGTATCAGACGCGTGTGCTATATACACGGTTGGTCCTGCGTGCGCAATATTTACAGTCCAGGGCTCACACAGCCAGCCTTCTTCTACAGGCCAATATACATGAACGGATATAACAAAGCTGGATCTGCTTATTTGGAGACATATTGCGCAACGTAGGCAACCTCCATCATGCTGTCTGTGCCGGCGTGTGTGTCTTGGTTGGGGTTACCAGGCTGTAGAGAATATGTTAGCACAAAGCAAAAGGGAGTAGGAGATGGAACAAAATACGCACCCAGTTACCGCCAACAGCAACGTTGAGAATGAAAAAGAGCGGGCTGTGGCAAACGCGACCCCAGATATCAGCATTGTTGATGCGCGCTCCGCTGATCTGTTGGTACTGCTTTCCGTTCATAAACCAGGTAATCGTCTGCTTCTTCCAGTCCTTGGGGCGGCGATCGAGCTCCAGACGCCAGGTAGTGAAGCCCTTGGGGTTGAAGCCGACGGGAGAGCCAATGCCGTTGCCCTCACCGCAGATGCCGCCGGGAGACTTGTCGCAGTGCATAGTACCATGACCTGTAGACTGGCCGTTGACTGTCTCCAGAATGTCGAGCTCGCCGCAGAGGGGCCACGAGGTGCCGTGGCGAATGGAATCGCCGAGCATCCAAAACGCAGGCCAGATGCCCTGCTTGCCACCGACAGTGGCGAGGTGAATAGATGCCTCGACACGAGTCAGCTTGTCAGCAGGAGGTGTAAAGGTGTGCTTGCTTTCAAGACGACCGGATGTCCACTTGTTGTCCTTGTGGCGAGGGATGAGCTCGAGTGTCTTGGATTTGCTGATGCGGACATTGTCAGTACTTCTGGCATACGTCTCGAGTTCGTTGTTAACACCGAGGTTGCCCGCGATGATGTTCCAGTTACCCTCGTCCGGAAAGCTGCCTTCTTTACCGCCAAAGTCACTCTTCCACTCCAAGTTGAAGTTGGGGTAGATGGGAGGAGCCGTGGCCAGGGCAGCTGGGACAATGGCCAGAAGAGCCGTTAGGATGGGAGCGGAGATCATGGTGTGGAGAGATGGTAGATCGTGGCTGGGTGGTTCCTAGATGAGGAGGGACGATACGGAATCGAAGATCACAGTGCTAGCAGACTACACGGGAAACTTAGCCGCTACTGAGGTGCGCAATCTACACCTTTTATGCATTGCAATCACCTCAGAGCATGTCAGATGAACAGGGGCTCAGAGTTGCATGAAGAAATGGATTCGCAGCCCATAGCGCTTTTTTCATGTCAGCATTCGGAGCTTTTTGGTGGTATTCGGACATCGGCCCGAAACGGGCACGCACGAGAGATGAAGGCCTCTATGCGCATGAACAAGAAGAAACGTCAGCCAAAAGTCTGTTTCGATGCTCACCAGTCATCGAAAATGTATATTTCTGCGTGGAAAACAAACAGTGCATATTGATTATACTGCTGATCTGTTATTTCTTGTGCGAAAAGCCCCTGTCGAGTTCCTCGGTAGCGGTTTGATATGATTGTTAAATAGTAGCCTGGTGTCGCTGATGGGCCTGGCCTGTCAGCGCTAGTGTGTATTCCCGCATCGGATAGTTTTCCACAATACCCATTTCCACGTGGGCTAAAAAAAAGACCGATGAACGATAATGAATCCCGGGTTAATGCTAGGCCTGTCCTGTAATTACCGTCATTGACCGACATCTTTCTGGGTAAGGGTATGCCATTGGATCCGCACGCCACAAGCACGGTAGTCAGGGTTGCCAAGCAAGAACAACGTATGATGCACGGCGGATTAGGTCGAAGCGGTAGTAAAAAAGAAGCATGTAGTATTAGAAGGTTATTAAGGTAGGTACTGCATATGACATCCTCGCGGCTAATGTACAATTAAAGCGCCAACGCAACCAGAACCGCGCCGACAAGCGCAGCAGCAGGGGCTCCAAGACGAGCTCCAGCACCGGTAATGGGAACGGTTGTGGGCTGAGACGGCGTGCCAGAGTTGCCACCGGAGGGCTTGGTGCCAACAGGCATGGTCATAACCTGAGTAGTCTTGCTGCCTACGGGGCAGTTGGTAACAGTAGGCGCGCAAGAGGTAATAGTGTAGACAGTGGTGATGGTAGTGATACTGCCGCCGCCGCTAACAGGCACTGTGGTGAGCTTAGGAGCAGTGCACGACGACGTGGGCAGAGGAGCACGCGTCACGACATCGGGGGTCGAGGATGCAGGCTTGCAGGTAGGACAGATGACGGTAGAGACATCGGCGGCGGCAAGAGCTGTGGGTGTGTCTGGTTAGGAGACATGATCCATGCAGGCTTCCGTGAACAGGAAATGCGACTTACTAGCCAGAGAGGCAATAGTGAAAAACTTCATTTTCTTAGATTTTCTTTCCTGTAGAGATGCAATGGCAAGAGAGAGTTTGAGTGGAGGGGAGATGGATTGCAGATGGCAGCAGCAGCAATAATAGTAATACTAGCAGCAGAGGCGAAGCTGCTACTCCTTCGTATATCAATCAGAGGCCCTGCCATCATAGCAAAGTTACTGTGACGGTGCAATACGGCTATGCAGCTACGCGTTCTAGTGTAATTGCCAAGCACAATTCCCCCAGAAAACTGGTCCTGGTTGTCGCTTGTCTTAGCATCCGACGCCCGGAAGCTGGGCTTGCCGTTGCGAATTGTGGGCGTGATGGCGACGCTGATTGGCCAGCGATTATCTGATCAGATTAAAAATCCAATCTCCCCATCCAAGCGTCCGCGCTAGCACAGGCTAGTGGCTGAGACAATTTGCTGCAAGGTACAAATTTGTACGCCCAGGGAGACACCCAAAAAGCAAGTCACAAAGAGGGCGTCGGGAGGCCTGTGTTCCGGCCACCATCGAGGACTCCGACCCCAGAAAATAGACTGGATCGACCCAAGGCTACTGCTTTTGCCTTGCATCTAGAGCCTATTTGGGAGATTGGCCTTTGGAATCATTCCTCCCGGCTCAGGCCTCATCCGAATTTAGCGTGTAGTTTTGTGAATAAGGTTGCACAAGAGTGCAAAGAGGCAGCCATTGTTGACCTTGGCGCGTCTGATTTGGCCAAGTTGAGATATGCTTTCGGACGCGTTGGCTTCCGGCAGAGAAAAAGAACTATGATATAACAAGCCCGTGCTGCGGCCATTGCTGTACAGAAGCTACCATTGCTTGATCTCATCACACTCCAATTAACACTTCTCCTCCTAAGGATCCATACATCTCCATCATGTACTTCTCTCAGGCCACTATTGCAGCCGTCGTTGCTGCCGGACTCGTGTCCGCTGCTCCCGCCACTGTTGCCAAGCGCGTTGCCGTTACTGATGGTTCGTGTTGTTTTCTTATAGACCATCGATGCAATGGCTCGACTTACTAACAACTATGGTGATGAAATAGCTGATATCCTTCAGTACGCCCTGACATTGGAGCACCTCGAGGACACCTTCTACCGCGAGGGTCTCCAGAAGTTCTCCGAGAGCGACTTCAAGGCTGCCGGCTTTGACTCGGTTGTCTACAACAATGTCAAGACCATTGCCAGCGACGAGGCTGCACACGTTGAGTTCTTGACTGGTGGTCTTACTGGTAAGCCTCCTGTTCTTTCTGCTACTGCAGCAGCATATTGGCAGCTTCCATCTACTTGATGCAGCTCCGACTAACATACACAATAGCTGCTGGTGCCAAGCCCGTTGCTGCCTGCACATACGACTTTGGTGTCAAGGATGTCAAGAGCTTCATGGCCACCGCCTCTGTCCTTGAGGGCGTTGGTGTTTCCGCCTACCTCGGCGCCGCTGCTGACATTATGAGCAAGGGCTACCTCACGGCCGCCGGCTCTATCCTCACCGTCGAGGCCCGCCACTCCTCGTACGTCCGCGCCAGCTTGAAGCAGAAGCCCTTTGCCCAGGCCTTTGACACCCCTCTGTCTCTGGACGAGGTGTACTCCTTGGCCTCTGGCTTCATCAAGTCGTGCCCCAAGGAGAACGCCGCACTCCCTGTTAAGGCTTTCCCTGCCCTCGCTCTTGACCCCAAGGCCGGCACCGTCAAGACTGGCGACGAGATTACTCTGTTGACACCCAACTACATTCTCAAGGGTGCTGAGGGCCCCGCCACCATCTACGCTGCCTTCATCTCCGTCACTGGCCCTACCTTTGTCGAGGCCAAGCCCGTCGAGGGCGGCTTCAAGGTCACAGTTCCCAAGGGCTTTGGTGGTCAGAGCTACGTGGTCCTGACAAGCTGCAAGGACGCCGTCAACGACGACACCGTTGCTGCCGGACCTGCTATTGTGGAGATTAGCAACTAAAGCAAAGAAGCAGTGATTAAGCAGAGAAGCGGAATGATATCCGAACCTTATTTAATTCTAATGTAATTTACCTTTTTTTTCCCCTTTCAGCTCCATGCCCTTTATCCTTTTTCACATTGCCACTTCTGCCGGCTTTGGCATCGTATGTCGTTTACGAGTGCATGACGTGTTGATGTGGATATCTCGCTCATGCGGCGTGATGTTGGCTGGTCTAGATGGAATCCGAGAACCAATCAACGTCGCTCTTTATTGGCCAGTGTTTGGTGCCAATTAACCCCGGGTTAGGAACGATGGCGGGGGATCCTGGAGAAGCCGTTGATAGCCATTCGATGCCGGGGAAGGAGGTGCGGAGAAGCGAACCAGCGTTGAGGGGAAGGCGGGTTAATGCTGTAGCAGTGATTTAGCCTTGATTAAGCGGAGACGGAGTGGATGCGAGAGGGAAAGGGGAGCCTGGGGCAGAGCCCAAAAGGAGCAAAGAAAGCCATGCGTGCTTTGTTTTTGTGTACAGACAGCGTGTACGGTGCACGGTGCCTCAGCGTGCTGTCCAGCATGGTGCGTGTGGAGAAGGCCAACAGAGCCCAACAAAGGGGGGGAAATTGCTAACCTTGGAAAAGGAACGGGCTAGGCTGCGCCAGGCTGGGCGCCGGGGGGCGCGGGCTGCGCGTGAATTTGACCAAAAAAAGTGTAAGCCCGTGAGTTTATTTCAAACAAAGAAAATTTTGCGCAGGACGTTGTAGCGGAGAAATTAACTTTTCGCTTGTTTTTTTATTTTATTCTATATGTCGTTTTTACGCGTTTGCGACCATGACGAACATACCCCTAATGAGGCACACTAAGAAATACACTAACGGGGTGCGTTCCTGACGCTGGTTAGGTGCTAAGGACTTAATGTAGGACATCGATGAAAACGGTTCGTGGGTCTTGCGGGGAGGGCGACAGGCAGTAGTGGCCATGACAGGCCAGGCTAGTGCTGAAGGGGCCCGCTGTTGTCGGTCTGTCGCATGCACGCAAACAGACGATGGCATCAAAATAAAAGTCGAACCAGATAGACAGATGATCAACCTAGAGTGGTGCTATTTCATGTACGCCATACATAGTATAGTCGGTATTTCTCTCCTGATATGTATTCCATGGCTTCTACCAGCTGGTAGCACCTGGCAGCACCTGGCAGAACAGGCAGCCGTGGGGCAGCAGCACAAAGAAACAAAGCGGAACACGGAAAACTTGTCTCTGCCCATTTTTTGCTTCCGAAACCGCCACCCGAACCCAACAGTCAGCCTCCGATCGGCCCTGGCAAGCGAAGCAAAAGGAGGCGCCAACACTGGACGCTGTATGGCTGTCGAGCTGCACTAGCCATGGAAAATTCTGCGCCAATGCAAACTTGCATCGGAGGCGTCGTCTTATTTTCCGCGATGTCAAAAGCCGACGACATCTCTTTTCTTTGTTGGTGTCGACCATCACCACCAAGACAATGGCAGGGTAACATGGGCCTCTGCTGCGACGCTGCATTCCAGAAGCTCACCAGAAGCAAAATTACAATACAAAGAAAACACTGCTGCCCGACGCCGGAGTCGGATAAGTGGTCCCCTGCGCTCCGCAAAACCCACTCCCCCACGCACTTTTGGAGACACGGGCCCTGCTGTTTGCGCTCACAATGCGCCCAAAGTAATCCTTCTCAACCAAAGCTGGGCTGAGGGGGAGCTGGACTGGGCTTTTTTTCTCTCCAAATTGCCCGCAAGCCGCGCCCCTCTCTCTCCAAAAAGGCAAAAATGACAAAGACGGAGACAAATCTTGCATTAGCCGCGCTCCACTCACATTAACAACCTCCTCGCACTCTCCGTGACTGGCTTTTGCCTCCCTGCTCCATGCTTTCCCCCAGAAAACCTTAGTTAAAAACAAAGCGGAGCCCCCTCCACCCCGTCTTCAGTCAATTTCTCGACACCAGTCGTCCCTTGATCCCTCTTTTTTTGTATTCTGCATCTTCCTTGTACTTTGCGACGCGTGTGTACACATAGACAGATACAACATACACACCTTGACAAAGTCTAGTCGCCGCAACCCCATCCTCTCTCTACACACACACCTACACAGCCAGACACCATGGCCACGCCGGAAAAGGGCGAGAAGCAGGCGCCCCAGCGCCCTGCCAGCATCATGGATGCTGACGTCGAGTCAACCGGTCGTCTTGAGGCCAAGCCTACCAACGATACCGTTTCCCCCATCATCAACTTTAAGACGCTGACCTGGTGGTAAGTTCCAACTAGATCCTTGCTGTGTTGCCTGCGCATGCGCAACCCTACGCATCCGGCGGCGCACATGCACCGCGGCTCCAGCCGTAGCACCAGCGCCAGCAACAACGACTAACATTTCTCTCTCTATAGGCAAGGTGGCATCGTTCTCGTTGCTGAAACAGTCTCTCTGGGTATCCTTTCCCTGCCCAAGGTCATCGCCTCCGTCGGCCTCGTCCCCGGCATCATCCTCATCCTCATCATGAGTGGTCTCTCCACCTGGTCCGGTCTCATGCTCGGCGAGTTCCGAAAAGAATACCCCCACGTCGAAAACTTTGGTGACGCCGTCGAGGTCATTGGCAAATCCATTGGCATGGGCCCTCTGTTCCAGGAAATCTTTGGATGGGCCCAGGTTCTGTTCCAAGTCTTCGTCATGGGCGCCCATCTGCTTACATGGACCATCTGCCTCGATGCCCTGCGTGGCGGTGGCGTCTGCAAGATCATCTGGGCTGTGATTGGCCTGGTTGTCTTTGCTCTGCTCAACTTGCCCCGAACCCTGAAGCTCACTAGCTGGACCTCCATTACTTGTAAGTTGTATTCTTATTCGTCGGTATTTTTTTCACCTGAAAGAATCACGAGAATTGATTACTAGCACATGGCAACACCTGAACTAACCACTTTTTTTCTCCTCATGTAGCCTGCCTTTCCATCACCATTGCCACTCTCCTGACTGTTGGCTATGTCGGCACCAACAAGGCGCCGGATGTCGTCGTTGAGATTACCAAGGTGGTTCCCTTTACGACTGCCTTCCTCGGAGTGACCAACATTGCCGTCGCTTTCTGTAAGTACCCATCTTGTGTTTCACACTTAAAATCACTTTGCTAACGATGTGGTTTTCTCCAGCGAGTCACTCGTGCTTCTTTGGCGTCATTGGCGAGTTCAAGAACCCCGAAGATTGGCCCAAGGCCCTTGCCCTGCTCCAGATCATCGACACATCCCTCTACCTCATTGCTGCCATTGTCATCTACGTCTATGTTGGCAAGGATGTGCCCGCACCCGCTCTACTCGCCGCCACCGACTTCAAGTGGCACATTGCCATTTGGGCCATTGCCATTCCCACCATTGTCATTGCTGGTGTCATCTACGGCCACGTCGCTGCCAAGTACGTCTTTGGTCGTATCTTCCGCAACAGCAAGCACCTTGTCCACCGCACCAAGCGCTCCACCATCGTCTGGGTCGCCATGATCTTTGCCATGTGGGCCGTTGCCTTGGTAATTGCCGAGTCGATCCCCATCTTTGACAGCTTGCTGGGCCTTCTGGCTGCCCTCTTTGTCAGCTGGTTCTCCTATGGCCTGCCTGGCATCTTCTGGCTCTGGATGCACCACGGCAACTGGACCAGCTCTCCAGCACGTGCCGCCAAATTTACCGCCAACATCTTGCTTGTCATTACGGGCGTCATGGTTTGCGCCCTGGGCCTGTGGGCGTCTGTTGAGTCTATTATCGAATCCGAGACTGGCAAGCCCTGGGCTTGCTAATCATCGCACGATATAACCCCATTTGCATATACACGAAATACGAACTGCCCGCCCCCACCCCACCCCCCGAACGCCACACCTACGACCTAGTACATACATGCATACACATTTTGACGACGTTTGGCCTCAGCAAGCAGTAACAAGACGCATTCTCCATGTTTTTGTTTCCCCTTCTGGGTAGCAGTAGCAGCAGCAGGAAGCCTTCGTGTTTCGTATTGGCATTCGCTGGCTGCCTGGCTGACTTAACTCCCAAGCGCCCCACGACATATTGGATTCCTTGTTTTCTTCGTTTTTATTTAGATACCTAATATTGACAAAGTCATTGTTGTTATTACCAAGTTGTAAAAGCAATCACGTAGTTCATGAGTTCCATTATTTTCTGTAAAGATCTATTTGTTTTATATTACACTCATTTACGACTCTTATCTACCTCGCAATTCACATAGAGACAGCGGGCGCGGGGAGATTGACACCGAGAATCTCGTAGACCTTGCGCGTGTAGGCGCGGCCGGTGGGAGTACCCATCATGCCGTTCTGCATTCTGTTCATTGCATAGGTAAGCGTCATGCGGCGGTCGACATCCATGATGACGAGCGATCCACCATAGCCACCCCAGAAGCAGATGCGGCCGGTGGGCAACATGTCGGTCAGGAAGGGGCTCTGGGGCAGGCCGTAACCCATACCAAGCTGCAAGGGGACGCCAAGGACCAGATCAGCGCCGTTAGACTGCTCCTCAAAGATACGGTCAATGGTCTTTTGTGAAAGCAGACGAACGCCGTCGACCTCGCCACCGAGTGGGATGACAGAGAGGGCGCGGTTCATACCGCGGGAGTTGGAGTGGCCATTGGCGGCACCCAGCTCCGCCTTTCTCCATGCCGAGGTGTTGGCAGCATCGTTGGGCATGTTGGGGTTGAGGAACGTCTTCATACCAAAAGGCGGCTTGACGGGTGCATCTCTGTATGCGTCGGCGACATTGTTGTTGAGCGGGATCAGATCGCTGACACGGGCAAGGTCGGCATCCTTGCAGCCAATCTGGAAATCGGCGCCCAGAGGCCCCGTAACCTCCTTCTCGAGGAACTGCGGCATAGTGAGGCCTGTGACGCGGCGGACAAGCTCGCCGAGGAGAAAGCCCATGGTAATGGCGTGGTAGCCCGAGGCAGTGCCGGGCTCCCACCAGGGTGCCTGGGCCTCGAGACGAGAGGTGGCTGTGTCGAAGTCGTAGAGTTCCTCCTGCTTGGTCTCGACCTCGAAGCCAGCGAGACCCGAGGTATGCGACATGATGTGGCGGACTTTGACGTTTTCCTTGCCGTTGGCGGCAAACTCGGGCCAGTACTTGGCGACGGGCTCATCGGGGTCGACGAGGCCGCGCTCGATGAGGACAAAGACGGCAAGACTGATGAGGGTCTTGGTGGACGAGTAGACGTTGACAATGGTGTCCTCTTCCCAGGGCTGTGTCTTGGCGGCGTCCTTGAAGCCGCCGTAGATGTCGATGACGTTGGTGCCGTCAATGTTGAGGGTGATGGAGGCGCCGAGGTCCTCGCCGTTGTCGAGGTTGGCCTGGAGGAGGGCCTTGACGGCCTCGAATTTGGGGTCGCAGTGGCCTTGGACAGTAGCCATTTTTGTTTAGTTTGTGTGGTAACGTAGTGGGTTGATTGGAACAGAGTGGAATGTAGGGGAGGCGGTTCCTCTGTCCTGTATTAATAACAAGGCTGCCTGGGCTGGGATGCGAAAGACTACGTGGACGCCCTTCGGAGAGTTATAAAAACTACCTTGGCGGGTACAAGACGTCACCAGCAGACGCGGGGTCATTGCTGTCCTCACCGCGGGGCAACACAGGCAACCGTGTAGCCGCGGCCGGAGTTTTGCTCTCTTGGGGTTCCGCCCAGATGGGGTCCATATTGAAAGTGGCGGAGTTGTGGGTTGCGGGAGTCATAATAGGCGGGTTCCCCGGCGGTGCATCCAGCCTAAAGCGGTAAGCAACCGGAAGGATCGGCGTTCTTTGTTTATCGGGAGATACGTTGTGGTCAAGTGAGATGACTCAATAAGCACTGAAGACTTCTGTTTCTTTCTGTAAATAAAATTTTCTTGGAATAAAAAATTAGTAACCCCTGAAATAGGCGACCAAGAAATCTCTATAGGGGGTTTATTGTAGAAGAAGCACGGAACAAATGTACTGTCTGCGCCACCATCGGCCCACCAGTAACTCAATTATACCTTGCGAACCGGGTACTTGCACCGGGCTATATGCATCATCTCACTCAGCCAATTATAAAACAGTGGGCTGTTTCATTAATATTCATCACCAGCTATTCATCACCCGAAACTATAGAGGCAGAGAGAGATACATGGATTGATTATGGTGATCTGATAGCACATGCTATAGCACCGTTTATAACTGCACGTGTTGCCTATATGGAGCAATCAAGTTTTACCGTGAGGACATTATTTGCATGAGTCACTTTTGCCATGGCCATTGTCCTTGCACCCATGGTAGCAGTACCCAATGTACATAATCAACCCACTATCACCACCATCACAGCGGAAGAGTGAGTTGCGCTTGCTGTCTTCGTTGGTGGGCTGGCCGGCATCCGCCAGAGCCTGAGCAACCTGGTCGCTGTATCTTCCTACACGTACATTAACATTGGTTCAATTTTGTATCACTCAAGATTTTACCAATTCTAAGTAAAGTAGAGCCACAGTAGTAGAGCCCACGGGTGCAGTTTTTCTGGGTGGCATCCGACTTGGCAGATGCCATGGGTGCCACGGCGGCGAGCGCAGCAGTAAGAAGAGTAGCCTTTAGCATTTTAATGACAAATTTTCTGTTCAAAGATGTTAAAGTATAGTAATAGTATATTATGTTTTATGAGATAATGAGTAGAGGAACTTCTTGGAGAGTGCGAGAGGATGAGTCCTCTTTATAGAAAAGCAGCCGTCTCATCTCCTTCCCAGTCGTCAGGATGCAAAGGCGTCAGCCATATCAATTTGTCATTTTTTAATATTTCCTTCATGCATGCCAAGAATTGTACCAAAGATGCCCGTCAATTTCAGTCCTTCCAATTGATCTCGCGTTTCTGTTGCCATCAACCATCCTTCCGCAGCAGCCATCTCATGAATACGAGACACACATATATGCAACTACTCTATCCTACAGCCAATAAACATTCTTAATGTCCTGCACCATGATGCATGTACGGTTTGGCGCTGCTTATGAAGCCCGTTTTGGCTATGGTTGCGATGCGAGGTGCAGCTTCTCAGCCTGATTCTATACGCAACAACCCGGGCAACAGGAAAATGGCTCAATTTTTTTACATTTACTTTACAAGATGCGTATTTTAGTTTAGTATTCCCCATATTTGTCAAATATTCATTTTCAAGGGACAATAGCCCAATCCAGCTCCCATGCCATATTGCACCAAAAAAATAGACACGCTAAGCTTGGCCGCTATGGAACCTCTACGGCGGGGTCGTGTACCTGCGCCACCATCGGCCCATCCCCTGCAATATCCCCCGCCCTTGTATAAGACCCCACCACATTGTGAACTGCATCGTATGGCGGACTACATTCTAAAACAGTAGGTGGAACATCTGGTCTTCATTGACAAGTTTAGTTACTATCTCCAGGAGCTATTGAGGTGCGAGATACATGGATTTGCTTGTAGTGCCCAATAGCGGATACCAATTGTAAATAGACCAGCGTTGATGCAGAGATGCAAGTTGGAACGCTGCTCTAGCGGCATTGGTCATTGACAGCAACGCCGTTAGTCTGGCAGGTGTTGCCGCAGAGGGTAATAAACTCAATCACACCAGTATCACCACCCTTGCACTTGAAGAGTGCGTTGGCCCTGTTGAAGCTGTTGGTGTCCTGGTGGGCATCGACCAGAGCCTGGACGATCTGGTCCTCGTAGCGGCCTATAGGACATTAGTACTGAATCCATTCATTTGTTATTGGGAGGGAAACTTTACCAATCTCGCGCAGAGTAGAACCGCAGTAGTTGTATCCGAAGCTGCAGTTTCTCAGAGCGGCTCTCTTCTCGGGAGCAGCAGCAGCCATAGGTGCGAGAGCAGCGGCGGCAAGAGTAAGAACGGTGGTGGAAAGCATCTTGAAGATGGGTAAAGTAGTACTAGGCTTGGAAAAGTAGAGTATAGTGTTGATTGTTTCTTGTGTGATGAAGAGTAAAGAACACCATCGAGAAGAGGGGGAATGCCTCCTTTTTATACACGAAGGCTACGCCACGGTTCCTCTTGATCGAGTATGTCACTCACTCGTCCACCCTAAGTCAGAACGTCTTGTACAGCCCGATAATACATAGCCTGAGCTTGGATGAAGGGGTTTTCTCCTCTTGGACTTGGCCGAGCAGTTCGCCCCGACTTCGCTGCCATCGACGAAAGCTACACCAGGCTCGTTCAGTATGATGCAGTACGTCACTCGCTGCAAGCATGCCTCTTGTTTGAATACGCTATGATACAGAACAATACTGCAAAAGAAAAATGAGACTCAATCTGGATTGTGCCGAGCAGCTTCCCCTGCCCTCATGGATATCATCATCAGCAGTATTGGGTTTGGCTATGCTGTGAATGCGGGTGATGCAGATACGGATACGACAGCCAATGAAATAGCGTCACTTCCTGCACTGCAATGCACGTACGGCTCGGTGATTGCCTATACAGGCGCTCTCACCGAGACTTACCTTGTATCACATTTTGCTCGCCGCGATGCAGCATCACAGCCTGATTGGTAGCCTTCACAGCCAGCGCTTACAGCTAGCCCTGGAACGAGGGAGGGCTATTTCTCACCCATGGCTAGCACGATTGGTACCCACCGTTCAACGTAGTGCCAATGCATCTGTATTCAATTACAAAGATAACAAAAGAACACATAACTTTTAACAGAAGAATGTATCTGCTACGTCATATTACGACCGACCAGGCTCGTGAACAAGGCTACGCTTGCCGAGCCGTGCAGCGCCCCACGGCCCAGGCAACACTACGTTATCTAGCCTGGCCTTCTTTAGGCAGCCTGCCTCGTGAGCGCCCAGGCGCCCGACATCCACTCACAAAAACTGAAATGCTGCAGTATGTACGGTTAGTCGGCCCCGCGCGTCTGCCTCCAATGATTGTCAAGAATCAACAGTTACAATCGTGAGCCATCATGCAGTCCCGAGAGGCGGGGCGGAATGTGAACCGATAGTCCGTATCCAAGCACGCGCTAGAAAACGGGTCTGGTTGCCCCAATGTCTACAATGCTGTCATAGTCTATGAGAAAAAATAATAATGGAATTATAAAAGCCTATCCATATTGTGCAGGCAGAAATGAATGATCAAAGAACAGAGTTATAGGGGAGCCCATAGGCTGACGGGGCCCCGTCCGTCTAAAATGGACGGGATCCCGTCCCAATTGCCATATCAGGTATAGCGCTCTCCGCTGTCGGCTCAACGCGTCGCGCAAGGGGAAGTCCTGTGAGATTATTGTTCTTGTTGCGCCTGTCAATTTTTATCATATTCCACTGCATATTCAGCCGTTGCTGAAGTATTTATTGCCCTCAAAAATATTTATGCGATCCCCTATAGTGCATCTCTCTTCTTACTTAGCCTTGTATTGTGCAGGACTTCTTGCTCCCTACTATCTTGATCAACTCTTTCCTAAACCTTATTTATACCTCTCCTTCCCAGCTGGTATTGGCCATTTCGAAATTCTTCAGCTACGCGTGCTTCTATACGGGCGTTCTTAGTACTATCCCAGTCGAGATACGCTATTATCTCTTCCTTCGTCCAAGCTCTGGAACCTTTTGGTGTACTACAGCGTTTGCCCATCCGCTTATAATCCAAGCACCAATCGTAACTCTCTTGCTTATATTCTAGTGGTAGCTGTTTTGCTTTTCGATAATCGCGATTGCTTATATAAGTTCCTGGAGGCAACCCTTTGGCCTAAGTATTTCGATCTTCAACATACCTCTAGTATATAGAGCGTGGGTCGTCGTACCTAAGCGGAGAGGATTGCCTAGGTACTAATGGTGATAAATCCGTAATAGGGTGTGTTGATAACTCCCGAGTAGACGGACTTATTAGTAGTGGCTCGGGTTGTGTATTTTCTAGTATATTATCTAATATTTAGCGTCCTTGCCGAATTGATTCGGTCGATGATAAATTCAATAAAATGCTAGGCTCAACTTAAGTATCACTCTCTATTACAGCAGTCGGCAATAGCCTAAGCTCTGTATATTTAAGAGGATATTCCTTTGACATCCTTGTATATCCCAGAACATGGCACTTGCTGCACATACATGGTGTCCTTACAGGAGCCGGTATCTCAACCAGTTCGAAGCCACTTAGCTCTCTCCTAACACTTAACAAGGGCAACCTGGAATTCGTGGCGATTATGTCAATCCTCTAGCGTGGCTCAAGTAGCGAATTTAGAATATCCTTACAGATCAAGTGCTAATATAAGTGGAGGTCTCCTAGCTGTAAAATCCGGTCCTGTGATAATATAGCTTCTAGTTTATGAACGCAGGGTAGACCCTGAGACCTAGTAAAGGCCCCTGAACATGTTGCTGGCGGCGGAGGGTCTTTCTTAAACATTAACCTCCGTTGCAGTTCAATCTTTCGCAATACTTCGTGCGACACCCAGCCACGTACTACGCTATAGAATTCCCCAGACAGCTCAATCGGGGTTCGGATCTGTTGTTTGGCTTGGTTGTATCTTAATTCGGCAAGCTGGTTTGCCAAAACTTGCTTGATTGCCCTCCATGCACTGAATAGGTCCAGGGTAGATTTTTTAAGATAGCTTTTAAGGAGGCTATGAATACCCTCAACTCGTGACGTAACCACGTTATCGAAGTGAGGGTATTGATCAACCCACGCCTTCATAAGCTTCTCTTTATAGGGATCGAGCCACGTGGTTTTGATATATCCGACCTCCTCGATATGGTTGGGGACGTATTTCTGTTGAAACTCTACAACTCGTTAATAGAAAGTTCTCTCATCTGGAGACCCTATAATCGAGTGCTAGTAACCATAAAATTCATTCCAGGTTTCCAGTTTATCGGGTTGGCCTGAGCTTGTCCTTGGTGATTTCTTCATAAAGCTAGGCTGGCAATGTTGAAGAATCGCCTTATTGGCATACTAGAGATATAAAAGTAGCGTTGACGATGGAAAACTGACAGAAACGGCCTTCATATAAGCAAGCTAACAATCTGTCAATATAACAAAGGGCTATTTAATATTTCGGCTTTCGTATAAAAGTTTAAGCTGATCCATAGCCCATAGGTAGTCCTGTTCGCCTTTATTACTAAGAAATGCAAAAGCAATACAGAACGATCGTTAACAAGAGTCGACTCCAATCATATCTAGAAGTAGCATTCTGTATTTGTTTGTTTTATATATATAGTCCAGAATAAGAATATCTAGATAAGCCTGGAGGTATACTATTAAGTCTAGATAGGCAAAGAGTACAGCCCTTACTCTTCTATCAGTATCAGTTTAGAATTGACTCCAGAATCCTTCCTTAAACAATTGGTCCGCGAGAGCGTTGATGCTGCTTTGTCCCTTGGAGGCCTCGCGCCGGGCGTCTGTAATACGATTATAGATATCCTGCTGAGTTGCTATCGAGCTACTATTTTGGCGTATATAGGTTCTAATTTCTCTTGGAGCAACTCCAGCGTTAGAAAGGGTCACGATATAAGATGTATCCGCTCTGGAGAGAGTTCGAAGTACTGGATGGGCAGTCCGATCCTAGCTTGGCTCGTGATTATGCACCGAAAACCGGTTATCAAAGCGGTGTCTTACCGTCTAAGTTGTACAATCCAGAGCCTCCTTGCCCAAGACAGAGAACTCGCAGCCAGTGGTCCGAGTAGTTGTTTTGCATTGGCGCTCCCTAGTAGAAATATGGTGATTCCGACGCCGATCGTATATATATGTTATTGTTTGTTTTCCGCTTCTTTCTTTAGTTGATCTGCCGTTGATAAATACGTAACCTCTCTCTGCAGCCCAAGCATTGATTGCTTCGAATAGCTCTTCCCGTGAGTTATAGTCACCTTCTAGGGGAAGACTATTATCCGGGAAAGAGACGGCTGGCGGGTTGTTTAGAGGCATCTTTATTTTACTTATTTATTTTACTTATTTATATTAATTGTTTTATTGGTCGTAAAGCAATGACAGACTGATGATATCTGCACGCGACAAAGCCACTCTACGCGCGACGCGTTGAGCCGACAGCGGAGAGCGCTATACCTGATATGGCAATTGGGACGGGATCCCGTCCATTTTAGACGGACGGGGCCCCGTCAGCCTATGGGCTCCCCTACTACATGGATTTTGATCATTCATTTCTGCTTGCACAATACTCGACTACAATATTATATTTGACTTACAATTTTTTTTTAAATAAATCTGGATTGTACTGGCTGCGTGTCTACAGTCGTGCTGATCTGGGGAGAGGAAAACATACCTACCCTACACGAAGTCTCCCTCCATAACAAAGAACAACATGTTAGCAAAAAGGCCAGGTATAGATTGGTAAAATAGAATTAATAAGGTTCAAAAATAAAGAAGTTGCATATTTGAGTTTAAAAGCAGCGGAAGTCCTCGTAATTTGCCGTAAACGCTGTGGGATTAAAGATGGCTGAGTTGTTATCCCTTTATCAAAGGCCAACTCCAATCTACGGCGACAAGCCGGTAAAGGTGTGATGAAATTACCTTAGTTACATTTGAAAGCGGCAATTTGAATACAAACTGAGTAAAATCTCGCGTAAGTAAACTCTTAGCTTATCGTATAAAAGATCAACATAGGTTAGTGGATGGTTAAGGATTCTCTTTGCACTTGCCCTTAACATATTGCTGAAGCTTACTACCCACGCTGGAAACATTGGCAAAAAAAGAAGAGGACGGAATAAATATAGAAAGTAAATTATTAAGATAGTGAAATAAAGACAAATAAAAATTAACCATAGCCAAAACCAGAATAATATGCCATAATTATTTAAGCAAGAATACTTGACGAGCATACCATTTAATTGACTCTAAAACTATTTGCTAGTTCCGTCGCATCCTGGCTCTCTATCTCCGACTCGACCGCCCTATTCCGCGCATCGCACTAAATAAATATAGACGATCTACTATAAAATGATCATCACACCCATTTTTTAGCCTTGATGATTAAATACTCTACTCGCACCATAATACAGTTTGATGCTTCGAGAGTCGGGCACTGTTATAACTTTCACGTACAGCAAGCACGTGAGCGCCTGTAGTGCCGGCGTAGCACCGACCAGGCCTCACCAACGTGACTTTGTTCTCTCAAATGTCTCGCGGAATGAACCAAACCCGAAGCCTCTCTATCGTCTGCTGAAGAGACAAAGAAGCACAATTCATACAAAAGAACTGCAGCTGAGTACCATCTAACGCCCCCAAAGCTACGCCGCAATTACTGGATTGATTTCCAATGGCCAACGGGCAAGCCACGTCTCCTCTTCATCCACGGCAAAGAAACCATTATGAATAACCAGTAGCTTTCTTATTAATATCAAGACGAGAAATTTCCACGTTCTGCTATCGCGCATCCCACCGAAATCCTACAGGCCTTCTCCGCACGACAAAAAGGTGAGATTCAACGTTGGCTTGCTACGTTACAGAAAACGCCACACGAGCGCCGCCGTGGGGGAATGTGTAATTACCCCAATGCGGGCGCGGCGCAGGCACGCGTGGAGACGAGAGAGTGACACACAATAGCGACGAAGCAGAATAGGCAAGAGGGCGGCCCTATATTGTGCAAAGCCAATTAATATCGCTCCTGCGCAAGTAAACGTAACACCAGCCCAGCAAACAAAACGGCATGCCAATAACTGCAACGCGAGATAAACGGCTGCTAGCACGCCGGTCCCTGGCAAGGAAGCTTGAGGCTGACATGCACGGTAATAAAAGCCCCTGAAGAGGAATATACACGCTAATACCACTGCCATGGAGAACAACGGGGGGCGCTGGCAGCAGCTGGGAACCAGACAGGCGTGCTTGCTTGCCCCGGTGGGCGGATGTAACCCTACAGACACTAAACGGCCTTTCTTCACAGGCCTCTTTCTCTACCAAGTTGTACCCGCCCGTCCTGTCATCCAGTCTTCTTTTGGCCTGGCTTCGGGCAAATACAGGACGCTAGCACGCATGTGGAGTGGTCCTCGAAGATGTCATGTAACCCTTTGTGCAGAATGGCCGGCCTGCCATGCGCTGGGCCGGGCTTTCCTGGTGGTGCTGGTGCCGATCATTGCTTGGTTACTCCAAGAAACACAAAAAAAGAGTGGACGAAAGGCAGGGTTACCTATGGCTGCTTTGCCAAGTGATTTTAAACTAGCCAGCCAGCCACACGCGACCAAGAGACAAGCACTCAACTAGCAGGGTCCCGTGAGACGGAACTAAGATCTTATGCCCCAGGGATTGTCTTAAAAATCCACCAACCCCCCGCTGAGGAACAAGGAATTCTACCGAGACAGCTTTTTCATCTGACAGCTCGTCGCGCTCCTTTCTTCTTCCTCTTCTTCACCAGTCCTTCCTTACCATCAAGTCACTGCCACTAGCATTGACTGCTGATTGATTCGCCATGAAGTCCATCTCGCTCGCCTCAGCCATTTTTGGCTTGGTGGCGGTAGCCGACGCCGTCAAGGTCAACCCACTGCCAGCGCCACAGGAGATCTCCTGGGGCACCTCCGGCCCTCGCCCCTTTGGCTCTGTGCAGCTCAAGACCAACTACAAGGGAAACTGCGGCAGCGCTGAGCGCATCCTGTCCGAAGCCTGGCAGCGCGCCAGCACGACTATCACCAAGATCCGTTGGGTGCCACAGGCCATCGAGAAGCCCATCCCCACGTTTGAGCCGTTCCCCTCTAGCCTGCCCGCAAAGTCCAACTCGACGAAATTCCGAGCTGCCAAGCGTGATGGTGGCCCCCTCAGCTCCATCAGCGTCAGCGTCGACGACTGGAAGGCCAAGCTTGCTCACGGTGTCGACGAGAGCTACACCCTCGTTGTGGACGGCTCCAGCGAAATCAAGGTGACGTCCAAGACCATCTGGGGCGCCCTCCATGCCTTCACCACTCTGCAGCAGATGGTCATTGAAGACGGCAATGGCCTCGTTATCGAGCAGCCCGTGTCCGTCAAGGATTGGCCCAAGTACCAGTACCGTGGTGTCATGGTCGACACTGGCCGCAACTACATCTCGCCCGCCAAGATCAAGGAGCAAGTCGATGGCTTGTCCCTGTCCAAGATGAACGTGCTCCACTGGCACATTACCGACTCTCAGTCCTGGGCCATCAAGATTGATGCTTTCCCCGAGATGACCAAGGACGCCTACTCTGCCCGCGAAACCTACTCGACCAGCGATATCAAGGACCTCATCAAGTACGCCCGCGCCCGTGGTGTCCGCATCATTCCCGAGATCGACATGCCCGGCCACTCCGCTTCAGGATGGCAGCAGATTGACGAGAGCCTCGTCACCTGCCAAAAGAGTTGGTGGTCCAACGACGACTGGCCTCACCACACTGCAGTCCAGCCTAACCCTGGACAGCTCGATGTTTTGGTACGTTTGACTCAGTTTGTAGGATCAATGCTGTAAAAGCACAACACTAACGATAGCGACTCTACAGAACCCCAAGATGTACGAAACCATGGAAAAGATTTACCGCGAGCTCTCTGGCAAGTTTGCCGATGACTTCTTCCACGTTGGTGGCGACGAGCTGCAGACCAACTGCTTCAACTTCTCCAAGCCCATCCGCGAGTGGTTCGCTGAGGACTCCTCCCGCACCTATTTTGACCTCAACCAGTACTGGCTCGACCACGCCATGCCCATCTTCACCTCTCCCGGCAACACCGGTCGCGCCAACCGCCGCTTGATTATGTGGGAGGATGTCTATCTGTCTGCTGATGCCCACGCCACCAACGTTTCGCGCGAGATCATCATGCAGTCGTGGAACAACGGCGTTGACAACATCTCCAAGCTGACCGCTGCCGGCTTCGACGTCATTGTCTCGTCTGCCGACTTTTTGTACCTCGACTGCGGCTTCGGTGGCTACGTCAGCAACGATCCCCGCTACAACGTCCAGAGCAACCCCGATCCCACCGGTTCGACGCCCTCTTTCAACTACGGCGGCATTGGCGGTTCCTGGTGCGCTCCCTACAAGACGTGGCAGCGCATCTACGACTACGACTTTGACCGTGACCAGACCGAGGCCCAGCGCAAGCACATTATCGGCGCTTCAGCACCCCTCTGGTCTGAGCAGGTTGATGACACCATCATCAGCGGTAAGATGTGGCCTCGTGCTGCCGCGCTTGGTGAGCTTACCTGGTCCGGCAACAAGGACCCCAAGACGGGCAAGAAGCGCACCACAACCTTTACCCAGCGTCTCTACAACTTCCGCGAGCACCTCGTTGCTCTTGGTATCCCTGCTACGCCTGTGACTTCCAAGTTCTGCCTGCAGCACCCCCACGAAGTACGTTTCTTGTGCTTTTCTCTCCATACACCAAAATCACATACTAACAGCCGTGTTTTAGTGCGATTTCTACTACGACCAGGAAGCCGTCAAATAAACGAGAGCGATAAAGGACGCTGTAAAAAGAGAAACTGCTTGACATGCATATCTGTGCACAATTTCCATTTCTTTCACTTTCATGTACATAGTTTTAACGGGCGTTTTGTAAAATTAGTACAACGCTATACAACCGACAACAGAGAACCATTATCATCCAACCCAAACCATCATCATGCCATGATTATATTTACTCCTTGAAAGGGACAGTACGCAGGAAATGCCAGGTCGACCCGTCGCTATACGTCTCTTTGAACCCAAGCACACCCTCGATCATGCTAATCGGCATCAGCGGCGAGATGTACTCGACCTGGTACGAGTTCTTGGGAATGGTCATGGAGAGGCGGTCGTACATGGGCCCAAGACCCCAGGGACTGTTGTGCAATTTCAAATCGACAATTGGCGGCTAGAGGCTCTCTGTTAGTTAATTCTATGGCATAAAACGTTGTTGCTGACATACCTTGTTCGTGTAGTTGTAGTCGGAACGGCACCATCGTGTCATGTACGCCTCGAGCATCTCGAGAGACGGTGAATGGTTAGACAGAATGTCGACCGCGGAGCTGCGCGCATGCACGGTGATGCGGTAGGGTGGCTTTGAGAGCAGGTCGTTGGGCCGCGCCAGCTCCTGCGCCTTGGGCAGATATAACAGCTCGGTTTCCACGCGCGGTGCTTGTGCTTGTGACGCTGCTGAAACGGCGTCTCTGGTAGTAGGTTGGGTGACGGGTGTCTTCTTGGCTGGCTCTTCAGTCACATCCGTCCATTCCGCATCGGCAGCAGCTGCATCTGCCAGTGTGGCTGCTGCAGATTTCGTACTCTCCTCTGCGTCGAGTGGTGTTTCAAACTCCTCATACAAGTCGTCCCGGAAGGACTCGGCAAAGGCCTTGGCGTCGATGACCTTGCTTTTGGGAAGCGTCAGGACAAATGCCTTTTGCGACTCGCTCCAAAGCGTCGTGGCCACTGTCGATTTCCCTACCTGTTGTGGTGTCTGAGCATACATTGCATAGAAACTCTTCGAGTTGTATATCGCTCAAGTTTCACTTACCTCGACAACTAGTTCGAGGTGCCACGCCTTTTGGTGATCGAAGATTGCGAGCATATTGTAACCCCAGTCCTCGTTCTTCTCGTCGTCTACCAAATCCGTAAGGGCCTGGTACCAGACTTGGATGCACGAGATAATGGCTTTGATGACGTCGCCTTTTTCGTCGTATACGTTCTCTAGCTCCGCAAAGAGAATGGGAAACTCGGGCTGGCAGCTAACGTCTCTTCCCAGGACGTCTTTTAGGCCTGTTCTGGCTTTATGCACGGAAGCCTCTTTGTCCTCCCAGAGCGAGCGAAGCGCCATTTGGGCCTTGAGCGGACTGTATACAGACAGTGAGTATCGATCGGGGACCAAGGGACGAAATAGAACTCACAGCGTCATATTGTGCTATAGTGTGGTGATGTGCGTGTAGTAATGTCACTTGACATAGATGCAGATAGAACAGGAGGGGGCTTTTCTCCAATTTAGCTTCTTTTTGGTTTGATGGCGGCGGCTGGGGCTGTGGCGGTGGGCGTATTCAGCCGCATGGGTTGGCGCTAAGGCTAGGCTGACTGAACGAACTAAACTAAACTAGCTGCTAGCAATTACCGCATTGAGAAGGTTGGCGATGACTACATGGAGCCGCGAAGCAGGTTTTTATTAGGGGACGCTGATGAACAGAAAAGGGATAATTTAAATTGCTACAACCGAATTTATGCTACAAACTTGAATCCCGCACTGTCGCTCTCCTTGGCGCCATTGTTCACCAGACCTCCATCGCCGCCGACTGTGATATACTGGCCGTTACTCGACGCCTTGATGGAGTAGACGCCGTCGGGAGCACCAATCTTTGGACGGATGGTGAACTTTTCCCACGCGCCCGCTGTGGCACGCGCAGCATCCAGTGTCAACTTGCCGCCTTGGTCGGCCGTGACGTACTGCTTGGTGCTGTCGAGCTGCAGCGTGCCCGCGTTGGGGACATACTGGCTGTTGAAGACGGCTCCTGATCCAGCATCGTTGCCTGAAGCGACAAGCTTAGAGTTGCCGCTAGACGCCGCAACGTATTTACCCGAAGACGCCACTTGCAGCTTAAACTTGCCGTACGGGTTCTCAGGGAGCTTGCCGCAGATGGCCTGTCCGCTAGGATTCGGGCGCGTGCCGATAAAGTAGAGCTCGTTGGTGTAAGTATTGCCCGAGCCCCAGCTGGTGAGCTTGGAGGACCACTCAGCGGCAACTTGGGGATTGCTGTTGGCATAAGCCGCAATAATGACACACTTGAAGTCGTCGCCAATGGACGGGTCAACAAGCTCGGGCATGGCGTAGTCCCACATGTTGTCCACCCACAGCTTATCGTAGAGCACTTCGTTGACAGGAGTAACAGGGAGGACTTGGATGCCGGAGATTTGTACGCGCTGAGCACCCCAGAAGAGCCATGCTCCAGACTGGAAGTCCATGACATTGCCCATGGACACGAGCTTGCGGACACCAGCCTCGGGGTAGGGGTTGTCGCGATCGTTCTCGCCTTGCTGAGGATAGAGGTGCCAGTAGACCTGGGCGGCTTGCTGTTCCGTGGCAAGCATGAGTTTGGCGTAGTTGACGTGGTCTTGTGAAAGAGCTACGGAAGCCCAGAGAAGAGCGCCGTAGTATCCGTTGACGGCTTCACCGGAGCTTTCTTGGTCGCGAGAGCCGGCACCGTTGGCAATGCCTGATGCCCAGCTGTGGCCGGCGAAAAAGTCGCGGCAGCGGGTGACGGGGAAGTACGGATCCTGAGATGAAGGGTTGACAATATCACTACGGGAGAATTAGTTGTCGACTTCACTGAAAGAAAGAAAAGTACATGGCTGCTTACCGAGCAAAGAAGTTGATGTAGTCCTTATGCTGGTTGAGCCAGTCACGGTCGTACTTTGCAATGACAGCAGCAACGTTCAAAAAGTAGCCGTAGTGGAAGTGGTGATCGTTCATGTAGCCGTTGCCAAAGTCGACCCAGGTATTGGTAGCACCGGCCTTGTTGATGACGGCACCCCAGCCGGTCTCATAGGCGGCGAGGGTTTTCGCAGAAGACTGGAACCAGGCAGCAAAGGACGCCTTGAGGTATTGGACAACGGGGTTGACAAGATCGTTTCGGCCGACATCCTCGCTTCATGAAGTGTTAGTATGTATCTGAGTAGTTCGAGAGTTACTATACATACGCAATAAGAGCCAGGCGTGCCTTGGCGGCCATAGTGCCACCCCAATAGTAAAAGTCACCAGGGACAGCAGGATCAGAGGCGTTGAGCTGACCAATTTCATACTCCAAGCCGCGAATGACAGACTGCGAGCAAGAGTTGTCCAGTTTTCGGGGTGCGTTCCATGTGATTGCGGGAAGCTTGTACGTCAAGCGCCACTGGCTACCCAGTGCCGGGTACATCCAGCCCTTGGTGGTGAGGTAGTTGAGAGAGCTGGTGGCAGGGTAGTTGGGGTTTTGCAGTGAGGCGCGGTGGTGAGGCCAAGTGAGCATGAGCAGGTTATTGACGTCGCCGACAGTCTTCCAGTTGAAGAACATGGTGCCTTGGGAGTCGGTGAATGAATAGTCCATGTCCATGGCTGTTGCATAGATGGAGGAATACTGGTCCAAGAGAGCCTGATGGCTGGGGTTGTTGAGCATGGCCAGTCGTAAAATATCATTGTATTTCCCGCTCGCAGTGATGGTACCGGCAGACGTCGCAGTCAGAGTGATGGAAGAGAGAGCGTAGATGATATACGTCCCGCCCTTGGAGTTGGTAACAGTGAAGGACTTGCCCGTGGCAGACGCTGTTATATGTAAGTACAAGATTTGTTAAACAAAGATCGAATCTCACTTACTGCTGTCGCCAGTGTTGAGGGTCTTGCCATTGAACGTCTTGATGTCGCCGTTCTTGGAGGTTAGGACGGGCGTGGCACCGTCGTACTTGAATGTCATGTACGGGGAGCCTGGCACCAGGTAGGCCGTCATGGATGATGCGCCTTCAAAGTACTGTACTGTGACGGTCTGGGTATCCCAGCCTAGGGCCTTGTGCTTGTCAAAGGTACCAGAGTGCTCCGAGAAGGAGGCTCTCCAGTCTGTCTGCGACGGGTTCTTGACGGATGTGCCATCGAATTGTCGGTTTGCGCTGACACCAAATGTGACACCGCTACCCTCTAGCCATGATTCGTAGGGGAATGGACCGGCCGCGGTTTGGTTGCCCGGGGATGTGGCATACGGAGCCCACCAAGAGTTGGTAGGGTACTATAAGATGTTAGCTCATTGTAAACCACCAGAAGGAGACGGGTGTTACAGACTGGAGGCTTCATGCCAGCAAAGAAGCTGGAAATAGGAGCAGCATCACAGACAGCGTTGCCTCCAGCAAGATTGGGAGCTCCAGTAGAGATGGGACCAAAGGTACCACGCTTCTCAAACCGATGGCTGCTGGTTTCGGGTGCAGCTTGCACTGTCACCAGCGATGCCAGTAGCAGAATACCAGAAATGGAAGAGCCAAACATGGTGACGGGTGCTCAAATTCGACTTGGAGATCTCGAAATCGTGGGATAAGGGATGTGGGAGACATGTCTTTATACCTTGCAAACCCTCCGGTGGTAGTCAGCACAACTCTATATTGCAATGGAGACCTATAGGGCTACCGCTCTCAGGCGAACTTACCGCTCGTAAGGTACGAGAACAGCAAAACACGCACTTACCCATGTTCAACCGCGCGCGACAGCCCACTTTGACAATGACATGCCGGCGATGGGGGCTGGTTCGTGAGCCATTGCGACGCTAGGCGGGCGTTTCGGCGTTACTCTCACGGCGGACCCTGTAAGTCTGTCTGTTGGCAACCTAAAGATGGGGCTTGAGGGTGTGGTGCCTGTGGCCTGGGATGACACGAAAAAGAGGTGCCGGTCCAAAACAGAATGGAAATAAAAATAAAGTGGTAAACTGCAAAGGCTAAAACAAAGAAACCAACAAAAGCATATTGGTGGTTGTTAGCATATTGTGGGGTAGAGCGGCGCAGTCCGTCCCCCCCGGATCTACGCTTACCCCAGTATTAAACGTCCTCGTGACGTTGTTTTTAGGGCAGGTCAAGGCGAACTAGCACAATTTGGCGAGGGAAAAAGATTGCACAAGGGGTTGAAGAGCAATGGTAAAGGACCGAATAGCATCGCCATTGCCCAATCACAATAACCTAAATTGCGTAATGGGGGATTGGCAACGCCATCCCGGCTCAAGTAAGCTGCAGCCGCACGTGGAAACAGGCCAAGCAGCACGGGCCCTGAGCTTGACAGAGAAGGAAACTGTTGCAATGAAACGAAAAGTTTAGGGAAATGACGGGCGTTTTCCATTACCCCGCATCAAATACCCCGACGCGGAGTGTCGCCCCGCGGAGTATCGCTCTTTGATCTCATGTCCTCTTGCTATAGCAGCTGCGGCATATCAAATCACTCTGGAAAAGTAGTAAAAGTCTCTGGTAGGTAGTAGCTTGGCGCAAGACGATCGCAGTCGCAGTCGCATCATCAATTCATACTATATGCAAAACAAAGGGCCGAAAAGACATTAACTGTCTGGGAATCGATGCATTCGTTGCCGTAAAACGCGCGTGCAAAATCATTTCTTCGTCTCATCCTCTGCCGAAACCTCCTCGGTCTCGTGGGCCATGGCCTTGAGATCAGCCTCGCCCATCTCACCGTCCCAGCCGTTGGCGACCAAGTAGGCGCGGAACTTCTCGTCCTGCACAGCAAGATCCTCGCCAGTAACGTTGGGCACAAAGAAGAATGTCACAGCCACGCCGACGACACCAACAATGGCAGAGATGATGAATGTCCACTTCTTGCCCAAGTTGTCCTGCACGGGACGGAAGGCCTGCGTGCCCAACGCAGCACCAACCTTACCAATAGCAGCACTGAGGCCATAGCAGGTGCCGCGCACGCTAGTGGCGTAGCTTTCCGACGACAAGAGCCCGAGCATGTTGCCGGGGCCAAAGTTGCCCATACTGGCCATGAGGCCATAGAAGATGACGAAGAGGGGAACAATCTTGCTGATCTGGTCGTACGATAAGCCAATGATAAGGCCAAAGACAATGTAACCGCAGAATCCAATCATCATAATGTTCTTTCGGCCGACCTTGTCGCAAAGAATGGCACCGAGGAAGACACCGGGAAGAGCAATCACACCCAGCAGTAGCTGCCACTCAGCCGTGTGAAGCAAAACGTTGCCACCCTTGGGAATAACGGACGACAAGATGGTTCCGGAAAAGACACTACAAACGATTAGTATGGTTGCTTGTATATAGCAGACGAAGAGAACGCTTACCCGTTAGCAAAGGCAACCCAGTCGTACAGGAACCAAGCACCGCAGGTACCAATGAGAGTCTTCCAGTAGTATCGGAAGACGAGCTTGTAGGGCACTTGCTTCTTGATGGCACCGCGACGATACAACTTGGAGTTGAGCATCTTGAGTCGGAAGTAGAAGACGGAGAGGGGCAGGACGACACCGATACCGAAGCAGACACGCCAGATTGTCGAGAGACGGTCTGCACCGGCGGCCGAAAGCACAATCATGAAGATGGATACTGCCAATGGTCCACCGAAGCTGAGGGGCAAATTGGTGGTGAGGATGAAGACGGTACCACGGCGGCTCAGGACGTGCTCGTTGGCAGCTTCGGAAGCGGATGTACTCGAGGCTGGGTATTCACCACCTAAAGGCCAGTTAACGAGTCGAAATTATGGAGAACGAGAAGCTAAACTTACCAGCACCGAAACCAACAATGCCTCTGCTGACAGTGAGCATCCAGAACATGCCGTCAATGGTGGTACCGTGGGACGCAGTGGCCATGATGCCACCAAGGACAATGAGCATGGTGGTCAAGATGATGGCTGTCTTTCGGCCCATGTAGTCACAGGTAATACCAATGACAACCTGTCCGAGAATTTCACCTACAAGAAGAGCGTTACTGACGCGGGTGCTGACATCAGAGGTGTACTCTGTAGGGTATTCCTGCTTGAAGAGAACATTGGACATGGTCATCAGGTTGTTCTGGTAGCCGTCGGAGATGAGTGCGAAGCCGGCACAGAGAATCGTGAATATGTCGGACATGCGCTGCATCTTGGAGCGCTGGGCGGCTTGGGGCGCCACCTCGACGTCGACATCGCCATCTTTGACCATGACGGCGTTGTCGCGCTGGACGGGACTGGTAGGAGAGTCGGCGCTCATGGTAGCCGAAGAAGTTGCAGACACTGTCCTGTTGAGGGCCAATTGGACAAATAGAGAGGGTCAAAAGAAGAGGGGAAGTAAAAGAAGCTTCTGCCAGCTGGCGGCGGTCACCGAACAACTTTTGTACAGAGCAGGAAATGAAGAAAAAAGAGTTCAGCTCGTCTTCCGGCCGGCGCTCGGTTCCGTCACTGACACAGGGCCAATTTACAATTTACAGGCGCCCCACCAGCGATCTCTTGGTACGGCTATAGCACCTAACAAACCACTGACGCGCCCCCACCACAAGTCCGCATTGGATGGCTGTTCCCGAAATACAGTGGATGCTACAGTGGGTGTCAGCGATCGTGCAGTAGCCGAAGGCCAACCACAGCGCCTGGAGACAGGCACGTGAACACTGGTGGCTTCGGCAAACCGGCACCAGACTTGGACGAGGCTGCTAGGCACCACTATTTACACAAGGAAAAAGACGTTGAATAATGTGACGGCACACTGCAAACCAAATTTTTTTCTTCCATCGTGAGAAAGCACGTGGGCTTTTATCAAGATAACGGTTCTGGATGAACTCCAAGGTAAGATGGTTCTGCAATTGACACTGCTGCCAGGTGTGTCAGGTGTGCCAGGTGCTGACACTCCGCTCGCAAACAGCACGCACGTGGCTCCTCCACTCTACTGACATTGTTCATCTCAACCTAATAAACTCTGCTCCAAACCTTGGTATTGTTCCATAATATCCTTGACGCGGTCCAACGGTAGCGCATCCACCTTTCGTCCCTTGAAGCCCACCATCGTCTCAGCCTTGCAAAGCGCATTGTAGATGGCTTCCTCAGCAGCGTCCGCGGCCGCTTCCAACAACGCATTAATGGTGGAATCTTGTACACTCTCCATGGTATGCGCTTTCGCCTTGAAAATGTCTGTACCATTCGCTGTATATCCCACGCCCTTGGCAGGCATCTCGTTGGCCGTGCTGAAAGCCATAAAGATGTCGCCGCTGGTGTTGTGGCCATAGCCGCCTACGCGCGATAGACCGCCGGCTGCTCGGGTGGCCAGTCTCTGGAGCTCGACGGGGTGCAGAGGTGCATCTGTGGCCAGGACAATGATGATGCTGCCGTCTGTCTTGTCCTTGGCGTCATCAATGGCCTGCGCAGCCTTGGCCTTTGCCTCGTTTTTCGCGTCTTGGGTTGTGAGGATGCGGCCTACAGGAACACCTGCAATGTGTAGCTGCTTCTGGCGACCGTAGTTGGCTTGCACCAGCGCAGCTACGGTATAACTCGTGTCGGCGCCGTTTGAGGCAATCGCCGGAACTACTCGACTAGAGGTGCCTGTGCCGCCCTTGTATCCCTGGCAGATCATGGCGGTGCCGCCTCCCGTGTTGCCTTCTTGTACGGGTGCATCGCTTGCATTCTTGATGCCCTCAATGACATGCTCGGGTGTCACACAAAACTGGCTCTGGTCGTTGAGGTAGCCATCGTATGTCTCCCCGACCACAGGCATCAGGAACCACTGCGCACTGCCATCGTCATCGCAGTGGTGCTGCGCTGCGTACTTGTAGATACCCGTATGGCATGCGCCGACCGAAAAGCTGCTTGTAATGATGATGGGACTCACGAGTGTACCCGTCTCATTGATCCAGTGGCTACCCGTCAGCTCGCCACATCCATTGTAGCGAAACATGCCGGCATAGTAGCCCTTGTAGAACCAATCTTTGTTTGGTAGGATCGTTGTCACACCCGTGTTGACGTTACCATTATCACCATGAATCGACTGCGTATGAACCAGGACTCCGGGGACATCGGTAATGCCATTCTTGGGACCCGTCGGCCAGTGGCCGAGCTGGATGCCTGGGAGAAGCTCTCGTAGTCGCTTGCGCTCGGTAGTGATGATTTCGCCAGTCATTGAGTCAATTTTTGCGCTGTATATAATTATCTGAAGTGAGACTTCGTCAAGTATGGTTATATGAAATCTTTTCTGTAGTTAGATGGTAAAGCTGCTACATAATGCGGGAGAACACGTCACTGTCACGGTTGTGCCCCTCTTGCTCGGCTTTACATAGGGATTTACGGGATTCGGGCACTTCCGAATGGGGGCCGTGCCGACTTATATTCTTGGCGTTACACGGTGTCAACTCTACTAACCTGGGTTAACACATGATTTCTAATTATAAAAATTAAAGAAAAGTCTTTTTCATGCTCTTTCTAAACTCTTGTGACTACGCATATACTTCGACAAAAAGCTTTTACGCACTGAATAAATTTGATTGCAAGTGATTTAGCAATACAGCTGAGTAGCTAGATGCCGCATTGCTTGCTCCTTTTAGTTCTCACATTTACATTCTCCAGAAGTAGTAATAACGCAGTAAGGCGTAGGGTCACAGCATCTGGAAGGGCCACAGGCGTCATGGCATTCTGTACAATCTATCCAAATTTAGTACGTTGAGCGGATGCTATAAATAACTGAAAGTTAACCACTTACATTCTTCGCCCAATGTACCCATTGGTCCGTAAGCAGACGGAAACTGTCTAGGAGAGCTAAGCTTCGCGACAGCTGGATTAAGATTAGTCAAAGTTAATAGAATAGTTGAGCATCTGCCACCAGACAGGGCGGGGGAGTGCAGTATTTACCTGGTGCAGCAGCTTCAGTCGAGTTGTTGTCGGTAGGGGCGGACAGAGCCAGCAACGACTGGGCCAAGAGTCCAAGCAAGACAGACGAGATTTGCATTGTGAATGTAGGGTAAGTGAATAAATCGAATAGCAACTTCTATATTGGATGATGTTGATGTTTTGGTACGAATTTGGCATGCAAATACACACCTTTATATAGTTGTATTATCCTCCTTCACAGAGCCTTCTGTAATGGGCGCCTTTTCATCAAGGCAACCACTTGCCTCGTCTATCCATCCCTCAATGTTAGCCATATACAATATTATTTGGCCTAGTACTCAATGGTTACTAGGTAGACTGTTATCAGAGCTCAAGAGGCAACATCAGGCTGGCGAGCCTTGCATGGGCAGACTGGTCCGTACTGCCAGTGGGTAGGCACTTGAACGAGGTGATGTAAGATATTGTACGTACAGCCGATACTCCTTGGTTGGTCTGTGCCTCACTCAGCCACCTGATAAACAAGCAGGCTATGATACATATGGTGCACGTAAACGCTGTACATGTGTACCAAATCAGGTGGCATACTGGAAGGCATACCCCAGTTGCCTTGCGATGCGGCAGAGCCAGCCCCTGTTTCAGATGTAAGCAGAGAGCTGTTGTGGATTCAGCCGAGTTGCCGACAGACAAGAGAAAGAAGGCTCTGTCCTGCTTTGTAAATGATCTTCATTTGGTTGGCTGACTTTCGCTTTTGGTTTAAGAATGGTCGCGAACCAGGACCTGGAGACAAGGAGTCGAGTCATTCACTTGCGTTGCTGACAAGTGTGGTAGCGATTCATGAAATTTGTTTTATGAACGACATACCATTAGCACTTCGAAAACGGCATTAATAATATAGCACAACTATTCTATCGTTAACTTATGAGCAGCAGACTCTTAGATACATTGTCAGTCTATTCAGGGTACATTCTAAGTCTGCATGAAAGCCGGGTGGAGTCTAATGTATTTTTTTTGTTTATAGCCCAGTCAGCTAAACAGCAGCCTATACTTTCTACCCATTTCTCTGTAATTAAGTAGATAAGGCATTTTTAATTAATCTTGGCTTGGTACATCAACTGGGTAGCTCAATAAATAGATATAGTCTCCGGGCTTAATGCTGAGCCTACAAGGCTCCGGTCCGTGATGGCGCATGAGGCTGAGTTGTAGCCGGCCGCCAAACAGCCTGATACAAAATAACAAAGTTCCCCCCTTTGCGTGCAGGTCGCGCCACAGCTCGCAAAGGCTGACCCTTTTCACGAATTTGATTACAGTATAACACAAAGTACGGAAACTTGAGCCATGGAAACGGTCAGTGCAGATATGGCTGCAGTTCAAGCCTGGTACAGCGAATACCAGGCTGACGAAGGGCCTGGGCCTGGATCCCCAAGTCTTTGCAACCTCGATACCAGAGAATTGGATCGGGCTGACATAGAGAAGCGAGTCAAGGCTTTGGCATTGGCAACTGTGGTGAAGCGGAGATTTTGTACAGAATGCAGTCATCTGTTGGAACACTGGCCTATCCCTCAGTTGAAGCCGTTCGCTCCGAGCTTTGGAAAGCGATGCCCAACCATTGAAATGGAAGCTGGAGCCCGTGCTGGCTGCAGACTATGCGGTCTTTTATTTTCTCAAATATACAAAATGGGGCTCCTTGACCTTTTTCGGAGTGTTGAGAGACGATTTTCTCTGCTGAATAACGACGCGACGCCATCACTTACTATTGCGGCCGTTTCCCAAGACGTGCTGCAGTTGTGGTTGGACTACCCCGAGAAGCCCTCGCCATATTTGCCCATGAATTCGTCAGTATCTATATTTAAATCCAACATCCAACCTCAGAACTGTACGTCTCTTATCTCACATTTTCGGATAGCCGTACACATGTAAACCCATGCTAATCAGGGAGCAGCAAAGTTGTGCAGTGAGTCGGTCGATCTAATTGACATGACCAAGACTTGGATAGCTGAATGCGATCGTTCACATGAAATATGCAACGTTGTTGGGGTAAATGACAGACCTAGTCGACTGGTCTTGGTGTCAGGCACATCCATAAAGTTGATTGAAACTGTAGCACTGACAGTGATGCCTCCGTATGCGACGCTGAGCTACTGCTGGGGCAAATCGCCAGACCTCATGCTTACGGACGACAATATGGCTTCGTTTTTGGAGTTCATTCCAATGAAAAGATTGCCAAAGACGCTCCGAGACGCTGTTGAGGTTACACGCAAGCTGAGCATCGACTACATTTGGATAGATGCGCTGTGCATTATCCAAGGCAACAAGGATGACTGGCTGCGGGAGTCCGCAAAAATGCACTCTGTGTACGGCGGCAGCTACGTGAATATTGCTGCAGCCTCAGCTGTAGACGTTACGGAGGGGCTTTTCCTCAAACTGCCCTTTTACAATGGCGGGTTCTTTGCACGAACAACAACATCTAACACAGACACCGTACGCAACTTTTATAGCGTCACGGCCGCAAAGAACGCACTACAAGACTACCATCTTGCGACACGAGCATGGGCGATTCAAGAGAAGCTTCTATCGCCGCGGACGCTATATTTTGGAGATGGCGGCCTGTCTTGGGAATGTCGCTGTGCATTCCGGTCCGAGTTTCTGCCAGAGGGTGTACCCAATCTCAAGTATAAGAGCCTCTTGCTCTGTGGCACTCAACCGTGGGAATGGGTTGATATTGTCAGAATATTTACCAAGGCTAATTTAAGTTTTGGAGCTGATCGGCTGCCTGCCCTGTCGGGTATTGCAGCACGGCAGCAACAGATTACTGGAGACTCGTACTTGGCTGGCTTATGGAAGAGTTGCCTGTTTGAGCAACTGACTTGGAACTTGCGCGAAAATAAATCTCCGTTGAAACCACGTCCTTGTTGGAGAGCACCAACGTGGTCATGGGCGTCAGTAGACGGCGAGGCGTCTTGGCGGCCAGTAGTCTCGGATAGAGTGGTGTATCATACCAAGATTATAGACGCTTGGACGGAAATTGCAAGCGCAGATCCCTTTGGTGCAGTCTCTGCGGGCGAGCTCCGACTAGTCTGCGGTACTATTCTTCGAGGGACGTTTGAAGTGGCCGCAAAAGGCTTACACAACGGTCGTCCAGTCGAGCACGTACGCTTAGAAGGGTTGCCACGGCCAGTCCGTATCGACCTTGACTGTTTTGAAAGCGAATGCTCTGACACTGACGGTACAGTCTACTTTGTCCCACTATATAGTGGTCCTACAGGGAATTTCTTGGGCAGCAAAACATCCAACGTTAAATCGTCAGAACCCTCAAAGGCACATGACAATGGCGGGCGCAGAGAGATATTAGCTGTCCAAGGTCTGGTCCTGCGTACGGTTGGCGATGGTACAGGCCGATTCTACCGTGTTGGTTTCTTCCGCTACGACAATATTGAACGTAACGGGCGCGATGAATATCACAACTTTATAGGTCTTTTGAACAGGGGGGACACAAATGTAGCGGAGACGATGTGTGTGGCAATTCAACCGCATGATGATGACGTCGATATTCGCTTTATTCTAGATGTAGTCTAGAACTAACGTCATTTTGCCACGGAATTGGTTTTTTTTTTTTTACGGCCGCGTTATGCAATCAGCAGGTATGTCTATCTATCCAGGTCCCGATTATCCACGACCGCCATGGCATGGTAGCTTCAAACGCGCAAGCGAGTGGGAACACTTTAGTGTCTGGTCCAGTTTTTCTGTACGATGCAGCCAATTATTGTACATGGATGGAAACGCCAAGAGACCTAGTTTACGGCGTTAACGAGGCTTAGTCGGGGTCTGGCTCTAACAGCATGACGTCCTGTTCGATAAATCCCTTAAAATATAAATAAAGACAATGATCCCTATCACTTGAAGATGAGAGCAACTGCGCTTTCCACCTTTCACTTCTCCGACAAGCACCATGGAAACAATCACACATCCTCACTCCATGTGGCAATTCTCGCCTTCCTTGGCTGCTTCTATCGTATTTCTCATGCTATTCTTCCTTACAACGGTCGCCCACCTTATACAAGCGCAGTTATACCGTAAGTGGTATTGTTTGGTCATCGTCATGTCTGGTATATTGCAAACAGGCACCTACGCTTTCCGCACCGCTAGTATACAGAACCCTGAGAGCTACAACCTCTACGCCGCTTGGTTTGTCCTCATTCTTGTCGCTCCCCTATTAACCAACGCGTTCGTTTACATGGTATTTGGCCGCATAGTGTGGAATTTTAGCGAAAACAGAAAACTGTGCGGCATAAGGGCACAGCATTTCTCGCTCTTATTTGTCTTCTTGGATGTCGTCGCCTTTATCGTGCAGGTGCTTGGCGCGGCGAAAGCTGTGACCAAAGATGCGTCACAAGACGTAATGTATCAGGGCTTGCACATATATATGGGGGGTGTCGGTATCCAACTGCTATTCATCTTGGTCTTCAGCTTTCTTGGTAGTATTTTGTTCTACTTTGCCAGGAAGGCTGGTCTCCAAACCGATCGAAAGGACCACTTCCGAGTCTGTTTAACAATGCTTTGGGTCCAAGGCGCTTGCCTATTTTTAATCGCCGTATGTTTTGCTCTTCTGCCCTCCTTCGAGATCGGTGTGGAATTCTTGTGCTAATCAGATCTTGTAGCTTCGAATTGTATTCCGTCTCTGCGAATACTCACAAGGTCTCGACAGCACCATTCCCTTACACGAGACGTACCAATACTGCCTGGACTCGTTGCCAATGTTTTTGGCTTTACTATTGCTGAATTTTATGCATCCCGATCGAATCATGTGCTCATACCCTACCAGAATACCATCCACTTCGAAGAGTTTCCACGTCAAACCAAGCGCCTCGCCAAGACATGAGACTTGGAGCGCTCCGGCCACCTCACACGAGTTAGACCTCTATTAGGAGCAGGGACATGATACAAAATACTTGCTGGAGTCGGACTTGAGTGCTAATAATACATTGGCTCTCGTTTGACTTTCTTTCCGATTCATTGAGTCGAGTGTTCAGCCGATTTCCATGAACTATATATTCTATTTACATACTCTCCATTCTACACAACCACGTCGCACATCATTTTTTGTGTACGCCTCTGTTCTTCATTCCCTTTATAGGTTGCTTATTTTACGCCGCGCCATAATTACGGAAGACTGGAAGGCACATCTTCTTTGTTCAATCGTTGAATTGACATATTTCTAACCGCAAGAGTGGTAGATCAGACAGAGTGACAATCGGCAAGGGAGCTTCTAGTGGTCGATTCCCAACACTCCCTTGTGTGTTCGCAAAATTACCATCGCCCAACAACCACAGCCAACCAACTAATGTGATTAGGCGTGTGCAATAAGCCTTCCGCGCTTATTCATCAAACGGGCATCAATTTTTTACGTAAAAAGCTCGATAACCTCCAGGACGATAGCCAATAATTGAGAGGCGGGATAACACTCGAGACCACATGATCTGAAGCCACACAGCCTGATTACGCCCGGTTTTATTGATACCTCTCTAGCAATCGAAATTGTGGGCTACTGTGCGATTGGATCGAGCGCCTTTATTTCTTGCCAAGACGCTTCGAAAGTGTCATCGAGCCGCGCACGTGTGATTAACATAGAAAACGTCAAACAAATACTAGACATATTTGTACGTAGCTAGCGAAAGACAGCTATACTAACAATATATAGCTATTATTTTATAGTAGATATTTCATATAAAAGATGTCTTCGTATTTGTAAGCTTTCTGTGTAAGCCATTGGAGAGGAGAAATGTATGCCTCTACTCACCGACGGAAAGTAGTAGAATAAAAGTTTCTCAAAGATTATATGTGATCGGTGAAAAGTGTATTTGTAGACATTATACCATCAAGATAAACAAAAGCAAAAGAACACATGTTGTTTGTAAGGTCGGTATCGGTCGTGCCGCGTCGGATACAATTCTATATCCAGAGATGCTGCGGTTATGGCCAATACCGTTGTTGTATAGACAGTCGTCAAATTTGTCCATAACATCTTCCTTTGATTTGCTTCCATTGAAGTAGCTGTCAGGAATTTGGCACCAAAGATAGCAAGACTCGGCGAGTTGCACTGCATTGGGAGCGCAGCATGTTTTCAATGCGGGGAGCGATGTGTTGGTACCAGGTCGAGCATAAACACTCAGATTCTTAGGGATTGGTAGATTGTCAAAAGATGGTATAACAGTGTCAGGAGTACAGAAAGAAGTGGCCATGTTGTCTGCGGCGCTATGGATTATATTAAGAAAGGACGAAGAAAACACAGCGAATAGCTTTTTGTAGGGAAACAGAAGCACGTGTACATTTTTAGTCATGCAGTGCCATATGGGGGCGAGTTGGGAGCGGTTTGCAGCTGAATTGGGGCCATCATAGTCAGGCATATTGACATCACCGCGTGCGAGCCGGGCAATAATGTCTGGGAGGTTGGACAGGCGCAGATGAAATCCGTAGCGATCATTTAATATGGATATTGAAGCTGCAAAGATGGTCATAAGAGACGTACATAGTTATTAGAGCCTTTATACACAAATGGTATATCAAGAACCTGGCAAGACAGGCACTGCTCAATCTCTTGCACAAGTTGCAAAACATCCCATTCTTTCTGGAATGGACTCTCGCCAGAGCGTGCTAGTGTAAGAGTATGAAGTCCATCAAATTCTTCTCCGTTATTGAGCGTAGGCCAGCTATCACGAACACTCATTTTTTTATCAAGGTTGCAGAGATTATATATTCTGTTGAAACAAATTGTGACAAAACATTGACTTTGCGGAGGTCAGAGGGCCAGCGTTCCTAAGTCACTTCTCACTACACCCTCATGTTACGCCTTTGGCGCAAGCGACGTATTAGCGTCAAGTTTTCACGCCACAAATGGCTTATGTCGTTAGGAGTAGAGCGCACGCGACGTTAACGACAGTTCTTCCACTTTCACCTTGAGTTGACTTACCTTGAGTTGACTTTTTCCACTTTTGCCATGTGGAAATTCTTTTCCCTGTAGTTAGTTACTTTCAATTGCCGCTTCCTAGAACAAGACGGACACTAGAAAAGCTGGTAGTCGATACTTCCATGCTTCGTAGAATCATCGCGCGATACCTCAATGTACGCAGCCAGAGAGGACTTCACTAGACGCTAAGGGGAAACGAAGTGGAATTGGGTTCGAAATCGTCTATATAATTTACAAAAGGGCCTCCAGCTCCTTACACACGGCACTTCCCATCTCCTTGGTAGTAGCGCTGCCGCCCAGATCACCCGTACGGATTCCAAGACCGCCGGCATCCTTGCTATCCAGAACCTTGGCAACCGCGGACTCGATAGCAGCCGCCTCCTCAATCAGTCCGCAAGAGTATCGGAGCAAAAGCGCAAGACTGAGAATCTGGGCCGTAGGGTTGGCGACGCCTTTGCCTGCTATATCTGGGGCACTTCCGTGGACAGGCTCGTAGATGCCGTTGCAAGGTCCTTCACCGGGAACTCCCGAGATACTAGCGCTCGGCAGCGTCCCCAGTGTACCGACAATGGCGCCAGAGATATCAGACAGCACGTCGCCAAAAGTGTTGTCTGTGTGAATGACACCGTTGAAGCGGCGAGGATCCGCCACCATGAGCATGGCCATGCTATCAGCGAGCTGATGCTTCAGGGTAATATCCTTGAATTCCGTATCGAATGTATTTTGTGTGATGCGTCTCCAAAGTCGGCCGCTCGCAAGGACATTGGCCTTGTCTGCGCTCCAGACGACGGCGGGCTTTCCTTTGCTGCCCTTTCCATCGCCATCAGCACCCATGATTCTGGCCACCGCAGCTGAAACGCGGGACAGTCTCTCAATTTCAGGTGTTGTGTAGACCCATAGATCAGAGGCGATATTTTCTTCTTCTACTTTGTCGCCAAAGTAGGCACCGCCACAGTTCTCACGTACCACGATAAACTTGGTTCCGCGCACCTTGTCTGCCTTGATGGGTGAGGCGTCGACAAGTGACGGGACAATGATTTCGCACGGCCGCAGATTGGCAAACGCATTGAGCTTCTTTCGGAGGGCGAGGATACCAGACTCTGGATTGGGCGAGTGGTCTGCCCACTCAGGACCTCCAACAGAGCCAAACAGCGTGCCGTTACTTTCGCTTGCCTGTTGCAGAACTTCTTCAGTGATGGCAACGCCATGCTTGTCTAAGCTGCAGCCGCCGACGAGACCGGTGGTTCGCTCAAACTGGAGACTGGGGCGGCACTTCTCAATGGTGTCGAGGACCTGGAGGGCAGCCTCCATGACTTCGGGGCCTGCATGGTCGCCAGGCAGCACCAATATTTTGAAGGTTTGCTTTGCCATAGTTATAATGTTCTTGTTGTCCTCCTTGGGGTTCCTCTATACGTGATTTGTGGTGATGCTGTATATGAAGTGGTTTGGAATGCGGCGGCACTCTCCGTGGCGAGACCGCTGTCGGAGACAACCCCGCACACCACTGGAAATAATCGGCTCTAGAGGCGACCATTGCTACGCCATTTCCGCTGCTACGGTCGCTATAATGCAACCTGGGAGTTGACAAATTACAGTGGAAAAAATAATGCAAATACGTAGTTAAGAACACTATGGTGGCAGTTACGCTGGCGCCAGTGCCTACAGTTGGGTACAGCTTGTGTATATATAGAGGCTAGTGAAGGGTAGCGTACTGCCGAGCAAGCATCGATCCTACTTTCCCCTATCCAACTCGATGCTATAACTCAATTCGCCCTATAACCTATTCATGTCATCTGCGGAAGTACAGTACAAATTTTCACCGGTATAGTAGGTTATGTCGCGCATGCGTGTGCCTAGATTGAGTATGTCACTGGGGACTAATATCCTTGTAGTGTTGTACATCCCCCACATCGGCAGATAGAAAGCATAGAGCGACACACGCAAAACCGGCTATACACAGTCCAATATTTGTTCTTTACTATACCTACTAAAGAATAAAACTTAATATTTCATTTTGCATCTGCAAATATATTTTAGGAAAGGGGGCTCTTGAATTGAAACACTAGGCGGCTATCAACTATATACAGCATGTCTAGATATATTCCATTCCCCGCGTATGGAAAGATAGTCTCGCGTGCTTTTTATGCATCTCTCCAATTTCGTCCCATATAGTACCACTATAAATATAGAATTGCTTGTCAAAAAATATTGTACTGTAAAATTTTCCAGACCAATGCAGCTGCCCATAGCGGCACGCTCCGTAGCCGGCGTCGTGCCACCACCTATAAACACAACCCCGCACATGTTGGAGATAGCCGACTTGTAGCAACCAAGCCAAACAGGTACAGCACGTACTACGTCACGCAGACCGTTGTACATATACGATCCGTCTTGCTGCACGCGGACATATCCTCGTTCTCCCCCCTTCTGTCCGTCATACAAAGGTTCCATCACCACTGTTCAATCATCACCGTTTTACAATGCCTGGTCGTCTGGAAAACAAAGTCGCCGTCGTCACTGGCGGCGCCTCTGGCTTCGGCAAAGGCATCGCCATCAAGTTTGTCCAAGAGGGCGCCAAGGTCGTCATTGCTGATTTGTCCGAGGACGCCGCCAGCGCACTTGCGCAAGAACTCGGATGTGTCAGCTTAAAGGCCGATGTCACCAAGAGAGAAGACTGGGAGCGCATCCTGGCCGAGACGCTCAAGCACTACGGCCAACTCGATATTGTCGTCAACAATGCGGGCACCACATACTCCAACAAGCCGACGGAGCAGGTCACCGAGGCCGACTTTGACCTTGTCATGAATGTCAATGTCAAGTCCATCTACATTTCTACCAACGTCATTGTCGACTACTTTCTCAAAGAAAACCGCCCGGGCTGCTTCGTCCAGGTCGCCTCTACAGCAGGTATCCGCCCTCGCCCAGGCCTGGTCTGGTACAATGCGTCCAAGGGCGCCGTCATCACAGCTACCAAGGGATTGGCTGTAGAGTACGGCCCCAAGCAGATTCGCTTCAACTCGGTTTGCCCCGTAGTGGGACTCACAGCAATGTAAGTTCGACACAGTCCAAGAAACACAAGATTGAAACGGCACAGCTAACACAACCTACAGGACCCATCTCTTCCTGGGCAAGCCCGACACGCCAGAGAACCGCGCCGCCTTTGTCTCGACGATTCCCATGGGCCGCCCATCCGAGCCGGCCGATATTGCCAACGCATGCTGCTACTTGGCCAGCGACGAAGCTGCATTTATCACAGGCACTGCGCTTGAAGTGGATGGCGGACGCTGCGTATAATCTGTTTTTGTACTGTACACTAGACGACTCACTGAACCACCGCTCAAAGTGGAGGAAGCCCCAAAATGGAGGTGTCTGGGGAAAGCAGAGAGAGGGAGGCGCCTCTGGAGATAGTATCTGGGTGTTGGGAAAGGAATATATGGGCGCAAACGAATTACTCAGTATTTGCTGAATCAATATCATTACTGCTACCCGTCCGCGTATGCATTCCAATCGAATGACCTTTTTTTTTTTTTTTTTTGGTTTGCGTTCTAGAACTGCATAGCCGTAGCGGTGTCTTCAGGGCACTTGCACCCGAATTATAACGTTACATCTACATTTTGCGGGGATTGCTGTGGACAGACTCTTGCGACGAGCTTCCCCATCAAGCTAAGCCGATGGATCTCTTCCCTTGTTCTCCTTCTTATTATTTGCTTTAATTTTTTTTTACCGTCGGCCTATTGCGGCTGTATCCGGTGGGCGATCCAGCAATAGTCATGGAGCAGTACCACCAGCACCAACTAGCCCAGATTAAATAAGTAGGACATGGTAGGTTGACACGAGAATACCCTTGATTTCATTGTCCTTCATTCATTCTCACAGCGATGAAGCCTGTTCAATTCCCTCTCGCAGCGCTGCTGCTTTCACCTGGTACGTATACATCCTGGCCAGCAACACAGCACGCCTCAACCTAACACACACTCTCTTCTCACCAGGAGCCGCAGGCGATCTCAACACCATCCCGACGGCCCCCTTCACAGCCGCCTCTCCGGCCAAGTTTTACGACTTTGAAAACATCCACAGCATCATTGTGGACGCCAAATATGCCAGCGCAAAAGACGAACAGGGCTCGACGCTCATCCCGCCCACCCTCCTCGAGTTTGCCAACACCTTCGCCAAGGACCTCAAGGATGTTCACGGCTACAACATCCCCGTCAAGCAGGGCAGCAGTGGCTCCAACGCCATCTACCTGACCATCGACAAGACTGGCAAGTATCTGGATGCCGCTGGCCGTCCTACATCAGAGGGATACACCCTCACGACCAACTCGTCTGGTGTCTTTATTGAAGGTGCCAGCCCTCTTGGAGCCTGGTGGGGTACGCGTACCGTCCTCCAGCAAGCTACCATCAACAATGCCGACATAGATACTGTGGGCGTCCCCTACGGCCGCGGCCAGGACAGCCCTGGCTGGGCGACTCGTGGCATGATGCTTGACGGCGGCCGTGCATACTACTCGCCATCCTTCATCAAGGAGATTTGCTCGTACATGAGCTACTTCAAGCAAAACGTCTTCCACCTGCACCTGAGCGACAACCTCAACACCGACCCCAAGTTCTCCAAGCAGCAGACCGACGACCTCGGCGCCTGGTTCCGCCTCTGGTCCGACAACAAGGACCTGGCAGGCCTCTCCTCGCCACGCAACGAGTCCTACACGCGCGAGCAGTTTGACGACTTCCAGTCTCACTGCGCTTCTCGCGGTGTCACTGTGCTTCCTGAGATTGAGGCACCCGGCCACGCGCTGCGCATTGTCCGTTGGCGCCCTCAGATTGCGTACCCCGGCGACCAGTCGCTGCTCAACATCAAGCACAAGGACACACTGCCCTCCCTGCAGCTCATCTGGAAGGAGTTTCTGCCCTGGTTCAAGAGCAAGGTGGTGTCAATTGGCGCCGACGAGTACACGGGCCCGGCTGAGGACTACAACTACTTTGTCAACGAGATGAACAAGTTCATCAAGGCCGAGTCGGGCAAGGCAGTGCGCATCTGGGGCACGTTCCCGCCCAAGTCGTCGTACAAGAACAACATCAGCAAGGACGTGTCCGTGCAGCACTGGGAGTACTTTGAGGACAACCCTCTCAAGGATTACATCCAAAACGGCTACGACGTGGCCAACTCCAACGACAACCTCTACGTGGTCAGCAAGTGGTCCGCCAGCTACCCGCAGCACTTGGACATAAAACAGACCTTCCACAGCGACCCTGCCAACAATGGACCCTGGTACCCCAACATCCTGAACCAGAAGAAGGTCTCTGACAATGCTGCCAAGGATGAGAAGCGCGTGCTTGGTGCAATTGCCCCCATCTGGAACGACTTTGGCCCCAACGCCACGACCCAGCTCGAGTCCTACTACGCTTGGCGCGACAGCATCCCTGCCTTTGGCGACAAGTACTGGGGCGGCAGCCTGACCGCAGATGCCTTTGACAAGACCTTTAGCAAGCTGATCCGCAACATCCCCGCGCAGAACCTCGATCGCCATATCGAGTCCAAGGGCACCACAATTCTGGATTACTCCTTTGCCAGCGGCGTCTCCGGTGGCGTGGTTCGTGACACCTCGGGCAACGAGTACCACGGCGAGACAAAGTGCCGGGTCAAGGATAATGCACTTCAGTTGACGTCGGACTGCTCGCTGGACACGCCGCTGAGCTCCAAGGGCCGCGACTACACGCTGACTATGGTCGTCAATATTGCGGGTGTGCAGGGCGATGCCAACGACGCTACCTTGGTTGAGGGCCGTGACACGATCCTCAAGCTGACGCCCAACCTGACCTTTAACACCAACGGCAACTATTACCGCACCAGCCTGGCCGTGCCGCGAAACGAATGGGTCGAGATAAAGATCACTGGTAACGGTGACCGCACGTATGCTTCGGTGGCGCGTGTCGGTGGTAACGCCAACCAGGAGGAGTTTAAGACCAAGATGGGTATTCACCACGAGAGCATCCGCTACGAAAAGATGGCCCTCGAGGCGCCTTTGGATAGTGTGAATGGATGGAAGGGCCAGTTGCGTTCGTTTAAGCTGGAAAACAAGGCTTAAACACACAGAACAGTAGACATGGAGACGAGGCCGAAGTGTCATATAGAAATGGTTTAAACTTGGGTATTTATGTAAATATGAATTTAAAATACTAGAATATATGCGTATATATATATATATACAGTTGTATGCATGCGTGTAGGCATATATGGTCATCACTTCGTGCAGCTTGCGCTTGCTTTATCCATCGTGGCTTGCGTAGAATTACCGACTTGCAGCACAATGCCCATACCAATAGCTTGATGCCAGAGGACGTGACAGTGCATCAGCCAGAGGCCGACATTGTCCATCTTGAAGCGCAGAATAGCATGGCCCCTCGACGGGACGTGGACCGTGTCTTTGCGAAGAGCCGTCTGTGTCGAGAACTTTTGTACCTGGTAGTCCTTGTTGTCGGGGTCAAAGGGATTGTACCACTGGCCAAGTTCGCTGATGGCCGTGGAGACGACGTAAAAGTCAAAGCCGTGCTGTTTTAGGTATGGTTAGCTTCGGGGAACAAGACCAAGCATTTGTTCAAGGGTACATACAATGTGAAACGGGTGACCTTTATCGTCGCCATTGTTGACTACAATGTCGATCCATTCGCCCTCAGGGAAGAACGGCACGTGAAACTTTTGCCTCGAGCTGGGCTGCTTGGTCACGCCGTCCCACTGCGTGCGGTCTAGTGCTAGCAGTGGTTTAGCAGCAGGGTCAGCGAGAATCCATGATGTGTGGTTGACATTGCCAACTGGCTCGTTATTCTGCGTGGCGCGGATATCAATGGTCGAATAGAAGAGCGCCGCATGGGGTGGCTTCTTGTGGACGCTGGACTTGGCATCTATGGGCTCGCCTTGGGCGTCTTGTAGATCGAATTGCTTGACAACTTCCTCGCGCGCTGTAACAGACTCAAAACCCCTCTTTGTCTTGTCGGTTCGCTCCCAGCGGAAGGGAAAATGTTGGGTCGGCGTCAGTGCCGGGTTCATCAGCGGCATGATTCTAGACAGGTAAATGTTAGCTGCCGAATACAAATCAAGGGGAGACAGGAAAGGAAGAATCGTACTCTTCGTCAAGAATGACGGTCAAATTCGTGTCAATATTTCTAGCTTCGCTGTGCTCTAGCAGTACATCCATGCGCTCGCCTGGGTAGAGGACGCCTACCGCCGAGGCAGCTGGGGCATTCTGCACAGCGCCGCCGCCATCAACAGTGATGACGCGCATACTGCCCTGGCCTAGTTGTAGCGAGTAGCCTGCAGAAGCTCCTGTATTAATGACACGCAATCGTACAGCTTTCTGTCCGTGGACTTGGAAGCTCGGGACTGGCTTGGCTGCGCACTTGACATCCTGAACGTCGTTGGCATTGGAGCAGTTGAACGAGCCTTCGCCATTGATAAGTAGCGATTCCGGGGCCGGCTAAGACATACATTAGTTGTGGAATACGGTCTGCTGGTATGTGCTCTGCCTACCTCGAGGCCGAAGTGCCCTGGATCTTTATACCATTCCAAAACGTCGCTGGCTTGGAGATGGTGCCAGTCTCCAATGAGAAACAATCGTTCGGCGTCGTATTTATATTTCGTAAGGTCGCCCTCTTTAGCTTCTGCGCCCGCCGGCTTATGGACTACGAGGCCGCCAAACAAACCGTCTGCTCGCTTGACAGCAGAATGCGCGTGGTACCTAATCATCTTGTCAGTCGTAGTTTGTGTACTGACCTTTCGGGTCAAACATACCAAAACGTCCCATGGTCATCATCTTGTACTTTAAATTTATACGTAAAGCTGCCGTTCTGGGCAATTGTGCATTGTGTGATGCCCACAGCACCATCCATGTGGTTTGCGCCTATCGCTGGTCAGTGGCTGCCGCGCCGCCTGTGTAAAGACAAGTACTCGTACCTTTCATGGATAGTCCGTGCCAATGCACAGAGATTCCATCGTGGTCATCGTCTTCAATATTATTCGTTACATGTATTTCGAGTTCGTCGCCAGATCGAGCTTCGATGGTCGGGCCTGGAAAGAGTCCTTTTGGCGGGGTTAGCAAACAACGAAAAAAAAACAGCTTAGTTCTCCACGTCCTAGAGCTTACCATTGATCAAGTAGACGTCTTTCAAAACACCGTCCGGGCTATGCTTGGCTTTTGTAATATTCCAATCAAACTTTAGCGTCTTGGGCTTGCGCAGAATGTGTTGCAAGGGGTGCAGCGCAAATCGGTCGCCGGTAACGTCCACTTCAGGAGCTTTCTCTGACGTGTTGGAGGTTGCGCCGTGGCCGTTGATGACACTGAATAAAGCGTTCTTGTGGACATTGAAGGTCCCTGTCGAATATTCAAACGCTATCATGCAGTAACCTGCCAGTGTAAGGAGGAGCAGGGTGACGCCGAAGCTCAAGACCATCCGCCGAGGTCGCGGTTGTGACCCGACGCCGGCAGGATGGAGCTTGTCCATTGTGTATAATAATGAGACGTGGTAGCCTGAAGTTTTGGATATCTATCTCATGACAGATAATAGGGGAATGTATAGGGAGGATTGCAATGTAGACGCAAAGCAGCAAGTTGTGTGGTGATGACGGTGACAACAATGCGGCGGCACGAGCTCCTACTAAACTGGGGTCCAGTCAGTGACGCCAGCGTCGCAACAGCGTACTGCAGGCTATCGGCGGCTTGTAGGGAAACAAGGGCAGAAGAAGCAAGGCTACACTTTACCGATGGCTAATCAGAAGGCCCTGCCAATGGCATCGAATGGCGAGTCAGCAGATGGTGAGAAAGCTGTACAACACCAAACCCGGTACCAGCACCAGCAGACTATGCAATAGCCGGTATCAGCGTCGAAATAGCCTCCAGTATTGGCAAATCGAAAGGTAAACGAAAATTTTCTTCCACAACATTTACAGTCGAGTCAAGAAAGCCGCGAGTTCGAAGCAAGCAGCAGCCCACGTGCGAAGCTTGACAAAAAAACATTGGGGAAATTTCAGAGGCGCCCCGCCCATACTTGGACACTACAGCGAATACCCTGCACTGTACTTGCTGTACCGTGCCCTGTAAATTTCCCGTACAGTGCACCACTATCCACCCACACACACCTACAGCGCCACCAGAACCCCTCCTCTTCCAAGAAAAGCCCCAGATCTTTGTTGCGCCTCCCGCCGATCAATTGTCGGCTCTTCAACGCCAAAAAAAGAGGCGTTTCCTCCCCTGGGCGGCGCGGGGTCCTTTCTATTCATCCACTGGAATCACTGTGGTCCCCCTCCCCAGCGGCGGTCACCTATAGCGTCGCAACACTACTGCACGTGTTGTAGCTGCGCTAACTCCAAGCGGCAGCTGCCATATGCCCACCCAGCCCTTTGGGGGGAGACACTGTGCTGTACCTTGAGTGTAGCGACCATGTCTCGGTGAAGAAAACAGAGCATTCTCATCTTGAGAAATCTCCCCGGGTCCTTTTGCTGGGCTAATCGTGCGCAACGTTGCGAGAACGCCGCTGACCTGGGGCGAAAAAGGTGGCGGCGATATGCACAAGTTGTGCATACAGGATACAGATTTTGTATCCTTGCGGCAATGTACACAAACTACTAAACGAAGCCGAACAAATCAACGGGCAGGAAATAGTGCCACGGGGAAGAAAGCAGAAGGCAGTGAGTGCTGGTGATGGATGTTTCAGCGCCACCATCCCAACTCGCGTTAAACAATCTCCCCAGGATGCCTACCAACGCGTGAACCATACTGCAAAGTCTCCAAGTCAACACGTCTGTGCTCGCCCTGTCTCTGCTATAGACCCGATCTGTGGTTACATGCGGCCCCTCTCGGACGCCTTTTGCAGGAAATAAAAAAAAGCAACAAAAAAAATAGAAAGATCATCATTCTTCTCTTTGTCAATCGCTCGCTGCTCTTAGCCTGCTATCACAACGACCAGGGCACATCAACAGCACCACCACGAGACCCACCCTGCGGCCCCTCCTCCTCCACCCGAACGACTAATAACTTCTATCGTTGCATTACGTCCTGGGTTGCCCGCTGCATAGAGCCGATGCCCTCCTGCCCTGTCCTGCCCTGCGGCTAGGCTGTGCCGACGTCGTCGCTTCATCGAGCTAGCGAGCAAGCAAACAGGACCCCCGTGGCCCCCGTCCGCCGCCCCGTTCTGTACCGTGCCATTCAGAGCTCGGCTTTTGGTCAGCCCTGTCAAGCTGCTGTCTGTCGGTCGACCGTCGTTTTTAAGAGATTGCCTCCCCACGGCCATTGCGTAGCGGACCCTTTTGTCCTCTCTCTTTCCCAGTGCTGGCCATCTCGACGTTACCATCAGCAGAGATCCAGTGGAAAATTGCTTGCTAGACACAACTCCCTCACAATGTGGCCCTCTACCATTGCCCTCACCCTGGCCGTCTCGACCGTGCTGGTCGAGGCTGGCTCTCTCCAGGATATCAAGCACATTGTGCTATTCATGCAGGAGAACCGCTCCTTTGACCATGTGAGTCCTTGACATGCGCCAAAAATGGTGGGCGTACGTACTAACCAATGTCTACGTATTAGTACTTTGGTACCATGAAGGGTGTCCGCAACTTTGCCGACCCCAATGTCCGTGTCAACGGCAAGCAGACCGTCTTTGAGCAGTACGTAGCACAGTCCGTCATTGTTCTGCATAGTTTTATTGCTAACACCGCCCATCCAGAAACATTGGCTCCACCAAGAACGGTGTCAGCACATTGAAGCCTTGGTACATTAACTACCTTGGCGACAAGTCCGCCAACAAGGTGCAGTGCATCGGCGGCGGCTCCAACGGCTGGGACGCCATGCACGGCTCGTGGAACAATGGCAAGGGCGACGGCTGGGCCATCAACGACAGCCCCAACTCCATGGCCTACTTCAAGCGCAAGGACATTCCCACCCACTGGGATATCGCCGAAGGCTGGACCATTGCCGACATGTCGCACCAGAGTGTGCTCGGCGCCACAGACCCCAACCGTATCATGTGGATGAGCGGCTCGCTCAACATCCCCGGATCGCCCACCAACCCCGACGGCTCGGGCGGCATGATTCTCGACAACAACGCCTCTCCCGGCTGCGAGTCGCCCGGCCTCAACTGCTTCCCCTTTACATGGAAGTCGTTCCCCGAGTACCTCGAGGACGCCGGCGTGTCGTGGCAGGTGTGGCAAGACATGGACAACTTTGAGGACAACATGCTGGCCTACTTTAAGCAGTACCAGGACGCCCCCAAGGGCTCTGCTCTACGCGAAAAGGGTAACTCTTACCCCACGCTCGACAAGTTCTACGCTGCCGCTGCTGCCGGCACGCTTCCCCAGGTCAGCTACATTGTTGGCCCCCAGGAGTTGTCCGAGCACCCTCCCAACATGCCCGTTGACGGCTCCTGGCTGCAGAAGAAGGTTGTGGATGCCGTCTCCAAGAGCCCCGCCTTTAACGAGACGGTGCTCATCATCAGCTACGACGAGCAGGGTGGCTGGTACGACCACGTTGTTCCCGAGGTTGCTCCCAAGGGCACCGCTGGTGAATGGTTCCAGGACCCTTACAACAAGACCAACGGCCAGATCCCCATGGGCCCTGGTCCCCGTGAGGCTCGCTTCATTGTCTCTCCCTGGACCCGCGGCGGCAACGTCTTCACCGAGCCCGCCGACCACACCTCTGACATCCAGTTTGTCGAGGCATGGGCCCAGGCCAACGGCTACGATGTGCACACACCCGCCATTACCGAGTGGCGCCGCCAGCATATGTCCAACTTGGTCAACGCGTTTGACTTCTCCAAGAATGACATCTCGCTCCCCAAGATTGCCGATGTCCGCACCCCCGAGAGCCGCCCCGACAACAACTACTCTGGTAACCTGACCCTCGGCTCGCTCAGCGGCCCATGGGTCGGCCCCTCCAAGTGCATCTACAACGACAAGAACCCTGTCCCCCAGCCTCCCTTTGGCAAGGACAATGTCAACCAGGACCTCAGCAAGCTTGTTGAGGAGGGCTTCAAGAACGTGCGTGGCCGGCTCACCGAGGGCCGCTACCTTGTTCTGGAGAAGAATGGCCTCGCTCTGGCAAACGTTTTCGGCGAGCTTGTCAACTTTTCGCTTGCCACCAAGGACCACAAAGACATTCAGCAGCGCTGGATCCTGCACAGCGTCGACGGCTCGCACTACAGCAACAACTTCTTCATGCAGTCTGCCGCTGACAAGAAGTACATTACCCCCGAAGGCGGTCTTGACGTGGACGTTTCCAACGCCCAGGTCTTTAGCTTTGACTACTCGCCCAACGGCTCGCATTACAACATGCACGGCAGCGAGTCGGCTGGCGATGACCGCAAGGCCAAGAAGGGCAAGAAGGGCAAGGTTGTGTCTACTGTCGACTGGACTGGCAATGTTGGCGATTTCAAGATTTACGCCGTCTCGTACCACTCGTAGAGTCTCTACAGAGGGGAGATGGTAAGGGAATGTTTTGTAGTTAAATATGTGATGTGAGGCTAAATAAAGTAGTAGCTTTACCCTAGAGTACAAATTCGACATGTAGCAAGCTATGCATACGCTGCGAAAAGAACGAGTAACGGCCTGATAATAATGTTTTAAGTATTCTTTTTAGAAAAGTAATAAAAGTATCATTGAATATGAGATCAGTGACTGAGTTGGTGTAATTTTGTTATGCGGCTCTTTTCTAAACAATGATTCCACCTCACACCCTAACAAGAGCCAGCGGGGTGGATTTTCAACAGCTCAGAGCTCAGCCTTTCGAGTTAAATTTCTCACACTGATTTTATATCCTCGTTTTTTATTAAAATAAATCGTAAGGGAATTTTCATGTTTTTCGAAGACCATCAAATTACACCCCTAGGAAACTGTCGTGGCCCTGTCTGCAAGGCCGAGGTTATGTTCCGCTCCAGACGAGGCTGCGATAGTGGGGGTCCCCCTTTTTCAAACAAAACCGTTGGACGCCGGTCTATCCCAAACTCTTCCCCAGCTATCTTGTCGATCATTTTTTTTCCCGGTTCTTTGGTCTATTTATTCTCACCCTGTCACTCCTTTTCTTGCCCGCTACCATGAAATTCGCCATCGCTGCCCTTCTTTTCGGCACCTCCGCCGTCGTCGCCGAGCACAGCTACTATGTAAACGGCCACTATGACCAGGAGGCCCAGCACCGCGATGCGGATTGCGAAGTGAGTACCTCCAGATGAAAGCCTACGCTTTTTTTGTTTGCCCAGTTGCTAAGAGTCCGTTTATCTGTCAGTTTAACTGCTTCCTTCCATTCTTCAGGAACAAGTGCAACTCGGATAACCCTGCTTGCGAATGCACACTGCACGACATGCGCGACAGCTACTTCTGCTGCGTTGCGCAGAGTTGCAAGGACTATGTTGCTTACGGTAAGATGCCAACTATATTAACCTCTTTTTGAGCGAGCGCAAGTTCGGGGGTGTCAGATTAATATGCGCTTGCTAACACCTCACTATGTAGACCTCGTCGAGAGAGCGTCTCGCAATTGTGTTGCTTGGAAGCTGCCTTTCCCCGAGTTTGACTTCCAGGCCAAGTGCAACATCAAGATTAGCAAGGAGACAACCTCTCTGCCAGCGCCCTCCAAGTCGAGCGTTGCTGCTGCAGCAAACTCTGGCACAGCTTCTGCTGCTGCTTCTGCATCGGCTACATCAGCGGGAGGAGACAAGCCTGCGTCTCAGACATCTGCTGCTGCTGCTGCCCAGGCGTCGGGCTCGGATGCCTCCAAGACGGCGGCTACTAGCGGCTCTGACAAGCCCTCGGCGTCATCGTCTGGCTCACCGGCTGCTACAACAAGCGCAAAGGGTGCTGGTTCGCGTGTTGGTGCCGGAGCAGGCGCCCTGGTCGGTCTCGGTGCCGTCGTTGCCTTGGCCCTGTAAATATAAGACGTAACGTGTGCCTGGCATAGCTAGCCGATGGGGATGGGTCGGAACGTCTTTTTATACTTGAGTATATACTTGATCTAGATGTATAAAATTGGCTGCCTTGGTTTTACCATTGTCCTTCCTGCAACTTTTTCGTCGTGACTACACTAGTGTTAGTGTGAACCAACCCAGATCACAAGGCTAGCTAGCCTTAGCAACCGTTTCTGCCCACCGGATCGGAGATGGGGGGGTAGCTTCCCCAGACTTATCCACAGCTGTTCGGGCCCTTTTCTAACGATTTATCTTTCTTTCTATTTTAATTCACATCATTCGATTCTACTTTTTGCCTGTTCGTCCAAGATTGGTAGTGGTTCGACAGAGCCAATCAGCAGTGGAACCGCGCTACGCCTCCCCCCCGCCTTCTTGTGTAGTTAGAAGTAGAGCAGCCACCCAATCAGCGTGAATTCCGCGCTGTGGTGGTTTCCACCTGATTTTGTTCCAGAAGACTTCCATTGCTGCTGCAAGATCGCATCTTGGAAATCGCACAGGGCAGACAGACAGATAAGGCAGTGCGTAAGTACAAGGACAACACACAGGGGCTGAACTGACAGGTAGAAAAGGGTAGCTCGTATCAGCAAAGAAATCGGAATCGCACTCCAGACAGCCGCCTGCCCGCCCGCCCTTATTTTGAGATTTGATGTGCGCATGTCAGCCTGACAGACTCTTTTGCATCGTACGTCTGCTATACTAGGCTCTTGTTGTTTGGGAGATGGCTCACGTGCCCTCCTCTGCAAATCCCACGCTACCAGAGTTTATTTTTTTTGTCTTCATGCATCGGCCATCGCCAGGCAATGCACAAGTAAGCTCAGCTTGTAAGGGGCCTGGCTGTGCTGCTGCTGCAGAGGACGGTGCAGGGCGTGGCCAGTGTGCTGGAATCGGGCCGCCCGCAGGTGCAGTACAGCATGGCTGGTGATCATGATACGCTAGCACGGCTTGTTCTGGTGCAACGGGCAGTACATGAGATGATGACGATGCGTGTCTTATCGGATTTCCCACCTTGATACGTTCCTGCTGCTGACGACGCACCAAAAAGAAAAAAGCACAATCCGCTAAGTAGTCCAATCCCGCGTATGAGGGAGAGACGTCGTCATCACCGTGAGATTTCGCATCCACTAGTAAAAGAGTAATTGCACCACTGAAAAAGTAGCACCAGCCCAGCAACTAAGCCAAACGTAGCCCAAGCTAGGCTAAGCTTACCCGTAATAAGTAATTAGTTAGCAGCTGCTCTTGTTGTAGCAAGCAACCCTTTGGGCTGGCTGGCTGGGCTGGGGCCACTCACTGCACGGCAAAGGTGGGGTTTTTCTTTGTCGGGTCACCGGTGCTGAAGAAGCTAAACGGCCATCCGTCTTCCGTCTTGTGCTTTTTCTACTGCAAAACACCACCAACCACCACCACCAAATCACGACGAATTCGACACGACCACGCACTCACTACCTGCTGCTGTCACAAACTCAGCAACTCTGCAACTACTTTCCCTCCTGCACCCACTGCCTCGTGGATGGTGCGACTACTGCGGTCCGTCCTGCGGGCGCCGACGACTCTGGCTCGCTGAAACCACGACTCCCACCACGTTTTACTACAACTACTACTACCACCGCTGCTCACTGTGACTACTTGCTGCAGCAGAAAACTACAATAGCTGCAATTGTTTCTGTTACTGCTGCCGACTCAGATCACACCCACCGCCGACCATGCGGCCAATGCCCATCATCCGCTCCCGCACGGGTTGCTTCACCTGCCGCCGCCGCAAGAAGAAGTGCAACGAGGAGAAACCAATCTGCATTGGCTGTAAGCGCAACAAGCTCGAATGCCACTGGCCCACCGAACCCAACCAGGTTCTCCATGCGCGACCCAAGCCCTCGACTTCATCCAGCGCCGCGGCCAAGGTCGCCTCTGGCCAGACCGTCGCAGCGTCCTCTTCATCTTCCTCTCAGCCGACTCTCGCTAGCGTTGGGCCCAATGCGCCACCGCAATTGATGCTAAACATCAACTCTCCCGCCCGCTCACGATCCGACTCCTCTCCCGACGCCGCGCTCAACGTCTCGCCGCGCACCATATTCACAAACCCCCGCCCCAGGGCCCTCTCCAACTCCTCCTCACACGACGCCATAGATGTCGGCATCCCGCTGCATCTTCACGAGGCCCCAGATGCCGGCCATCTGGCGTCATCGCCCATAATTGAACTGATATCCCCCTCGCTCCTCGACGACAAACACGCCGTCATGGACGAAGACGACCTCGCCTCCCCCTCTTCTTCTTCCGGCAATCTCGCCATGACACTCCGATCACAGCTCCTTCAAGGCGCAGACGCTGGCATGTGGGGGATTGCGCCCACCATTTCCATGCTGCCGTCCCAAGGGAACGAGTCGCTGGAGCTGCTCAGCCACTACCTGTCGCGGACGGCAAACAGCATGGGCAACGGCTCGACTGACGTCAACCCCTTCGTTTCGCAGCTGGTCCCGATTGCCTTTTCGAACCCGCTGGTGCTGCAGCTCATTCTGGCACAGAGCGCATCGCATCGACAAGCATCGGGCGGCGAGATCCAGGGCAACGAGGTGGCGCAAAAGTACTACACGGATTCGTTACGCATGTTCCGCAACGTCGTGGACGAGTACATGTCGGGCAAAGAAGAAAACACGCTCGACCTAACCATTGGCAGCTTGATTCTGTCCCTCACCGAAGTGGCCCGCGGCGACAAGCGCGGCACCATCTTTGACCACCTCAAGGCATCCGAGTCGATGCTGACGCTGCTCATCAACCGGCCCCAGTCAGAAGTGCCCAGCGACTTGGCCGATTTCCTGGTCGAATACTACCTACACATGACGGCAGCCAGCATGATCTCAACAGACCCGCGGCACAAAGTCCCGTCGCTGAGCCCCGAGGTCGAAGCCATGGCGCGAAGCCTCGTAGAAAAGGGCTACATTGGCCAACTGGCCGGCTGCTGGCTGGAGCTGCTACTTATCATCCCACAAATCTTCCACCTTGGCCAGCGCATGATGGCCTCCGAACACAACGGCAAGACGATACCCAACCCAGACGACATTATGACGTTTGGCTTTCTGCAGTCGCAGATTATGGCCTACTTCCCCGACCCAGCAGCCAATCCGTACTCGCGGCTCGCCGGGCTCGTCTTTAAACAGGCAACGCTACTCTACCTCTGGAGTATCCTGGGCACACCCACCAAGCAAGATGCTGCAGCAGACGCCGCTGAGCCCAAGACAGGCAGCCACAAGAGCTTCATCACCATGGCCGTCGCAGAAGCCATTTCTATTCTCAGCCAGTTCCCCGCGACACTGCGCATCAACACGAGCCTGTGCTGGCCGCTAGCCGTCATTGGCTGCTGCACGACAGACCCAGATGTACAGAGTATCCTGCGGGAGCGGCTGCGCACGATGCTGACGACGATTGGACTGGGCAATATGCGCGAGACGCTGACGCTGCTGGAGCATGTGTGGGCGCAGCCGGCGGAGGATATGAGCCCGTGGCTGCTGGCACGGTCGATGCAGGAGCACCGCATCTGGATCTCGTTTGCATAGGCACTCAACGAGCAAGAGAGAATATGTGTATACCGAAACCAACGAAGCGAGCGATCAAGTCTATTTTTCTTTTTCTTTTATTCATCTAATTGGGACCATCCTTTTTTACTTGACATCCTGTCTCGAGGCTACATACTACGTTACTCTTCTTTAGTTATTGGATGGATGGGCGAACCTTGGCGTCTTTTGTTTTGTATCTAGTTCCTTTCTTTTTGATATATAGTTATCGGACCGCCACAGCGACGAAAAGCAAGTCGTTCCCTTAGTTATCCTACTTGAAATAACAAAAATACCCTCACCATCACCACTACATCTACTTGCTTCTTATACACGCTATACTGAACATACCTTGTTCTGTTGCTTCACCGTGGCCTTCGTTCACATACAGATGGAGTACATTAACCGTCTAACATGCGCGTCCAGTCAAACTTGCGCCACGTCTTCTTCCACTCATCCACCCTCGGATCCCCCCTCGACCACCGGCCCTGCTTCTTCACAATATGCGGCTCAGCATCCACAATCCCTGCAATCACCTCTCTCGCAAACAAATCGCCCTTGGGCCAGCGTCCAGCATCCTCAATAATATGCCCAAGACCACCATCCAGCGTAAACCAGACATGGAAATACGGCATCTCCTTGGCAATCGACCGTCTAAACGCCATGCGGCCCATCCCGTCGCGCGCTTTTGCTCCCGTATCAATAATCTTCTTGTGCTGCGACCACTCCTCGTCTGATGACAGAAACGCCTCTTTAAAGTACGCAGGGGCCGTGGCACCTTCTTCATATGGGATCGGCACGGCCATCATGGCAGCGTGCTGGTGGCGATGGGGTGCCGCGGCATTCTCGTAAAAGAGCACCTCGCGCCCTTGCTCGTGGTACATGCGCGTCAGGCTCTTCATAAAGTTGCGCATCTCCTCCCACTCGTCGTCGTCGCACTCGAGCAGGTTCTTGCGGTGTGTGATGGGCACGATGACGGCGCCGCCGGGGCTAATCTCGGGCTCGGTGGCCAGCGTGACAAAAGTGCGTGTGCCGAGCGAGATGACGGGTGCAAGGGGCGGCTTATTGGTGTCTTCGTGGTGGCAGAGCGGACACGAGTCGAGGATGCGGTTCATCTTCTGGAACTCGCTGACAGCCATGTTCTTGAGGTTCACCTCGCTCTTGTGCACGCGCTTGGCCAGCTTGTCGGCGTTTTCGTCCATGTAGTCCAGATCGTCGTCGTACTTGACGTCCTTGGCAATGCGCTCGGCTAGGCGCATGCCTTCGCCGCCTGCTTGGCCCTTTGTTCGGCGCTCCTCGCGCACCATGTCGTCAATTGTCATGTCCTCGTTTTCGACTACCGTGCCGCGCTCTCGGCCGCGCTTGGTGTCGACGGCCTTGGTTTCGCCGCGCGTTCCTGCGAGGAGACGGCTGTCCATGGCGCTCAGGACCACGTTTTGGCTGGCAGTGGTGTTGGACGTGGCAGCTGCAGCAGCGGCATTGTACTCTTGTTCGAGCTGCTCGGCGTTGGGGGCCTTGCGCAGTTTAGCCTTCATCATTTGCGCCCGCAGACGGTTGAGAGCTGTTTGGTCCAGAGCCGGCTGGGCTGGTGTTGCTGTTTGTGTGGGAAGAGGAGACTGATTAGAGGATGGAGTGGTTTCAATGGGTGCTGCTTGGGCCGGCTTGCGCTGCTGGAAGAGTTCGCCCGTGGGCTTTTCTTTGCTTTGGTACTCCTTGCCATACAGTTTGCGTCGCTCAAGCTCTTCCTTTTCTTCTCGTGCGTCGTCAAACTCTTCAAGACTTCCAAATCGCTCGACGGCAATGTCTTCGACTGGCCTGCCTGACGTCTCTGCTAATGTGTAGACGGCCTTGAGCTTTGTCATGCGCCATGACGAGCCAGAGTCGCCAAATGTGTAGTTTATAGTTCGTTGTTTCGCTTCAGCTAGTGGTGGTGCAGCTGCATGTTCTGTTACCGCCTCGTCTATGTTGCGATTGATCTCGCGACTGTGAATGACTCTTGCTGGTGGTGGCGGCGGTGTCTTTTCCTTCTTTTGCTTTCTGTGCACGTGCTCTACCTCGAGCGTAGAGGGTGCCACCATCCAGGCGTCTCTTGTGATGGTCTCTGATGTAGTAGTATTTGTCGTTTCTGATTTGTTTTCTGTGGCTTCTGTCGTGTCCGCCTCTCGCTTGCTGCGTCGATGGGAATCCTCGTCGCGGTGTCGGTGTCTGTGCTTGGAGCTTCTGTCGCCATCGCGGTCCGCCTCATTCGAATTGCGCCTCCTTTTGTGCCGGTGGCTATCTCGGTCGTCATCACGTCTATGTCTCTCCCGATCATCATCTCGTCTCGAGCTGTGGCCGTGGCGATGCCTGTGTCTGTCGCGATCGTCATCGTCGTGTCTTTTGTGACGATGCTCGCTGCTGCGGTGACGGCGCCCGTGCTCTTTTCGCTCGGCGCGTTCTCGGTCCGCCTTGTCAGCGGCGAGCTGCTTTTCAAAGTCGTCGAGCCCATCCATTGCCGCCGTGGTGAGGCTGGGCTTTGCTGTGTTGTGTTGTGTGGTGATGGTGATGCTGTTGACGGCAAAAATTTGGTAGCAGCTACGTCAGTGGTGGTGACAGGCGCTGTGGGGCAGTCCACCCGTGCTATAGTGGACGCTGTGTAAGTCAGTGCCTGCGTTCAACTTTATACCGCGTGGACAGCAATGATATGAAAGAATTAAATTATATTAAAATAAATAGTAAATCGAAAATGAAAATTTATCTTTGACCAGGTCCAACTTTTTGAAGAACAGAATACTCACACCCGTTTTCGTCAGCCATGCGCTGCTCCTCAATCTTATACCCTCCAAGCCGAGGCATAAGCTTCATACGAATGGCCCAGTACACAACGCCCACAGCGAGAAGCAGTGTGCCCATGACTGGAACTAAAAAGTATGGATAGCCGTTGCGGTTGGGGTCACCAGCAGGTGGGACAAAGGGGACCACGAGAAGGAAGATATTGGCCAGCAGATAGACGAGGGTAAGAGGCACATAGGAATGGAACGGCGACGTCCACTTCTCCGACTTTCTGAATTGAAGCCATAAAAGACCGCCAGTCACCAAAGCATGGGTCCATGTGGTGGGATATGTGGTGCTGAAGCCGCAGTTAGTATACTCCTTCAGGGTGTAAGTCAGGCAGCACAGGATAGACTTACAGATTAATGATGAAGCCATAGGCTGGGCCTGCAGGAGGGGCAATCAAGACAATAATGCCCATGATGGATTGCAGAATATACTATCACCAAGTCAGTTAGTCACAATGATACTTATAAAGCCATGTCGAAAAGAGACTTACTGCGGCGGCTGGGGTATTGAATGGCCTAGTAGAGGCCCAGAGCTTGCTATACGGTAGCAAATTCTCCTTGCCCATTTCGTGAATAACATGGGCATGAGAATAACTCAGCGCCAAGACGGTGCCAACGTTGCTAATGGAGACAAATGTTGGCAGCACCCGAACACCGGCGTACTCGCCAAACATGTTCCTGAAGAAGAGGCCAGAAACCAGCACGTCCGCCTTTGCCAGTTCGGACTTTGGTACCGCAGCGAAAAAGGCGACATTGGCGAGGATATACAAGATCGTGACACCACCCACGGCCATGGGAGCTGCCAAGGCGAGAGTCTTGCGCGGGTTCTTGAGCTCGCCCGCAATATAGTTGGCACTTTCCCAGCCCTTGTAGCTAAAGATGACACCCAGAAGCGCACTCGCAATGCCCGTGGCGCCGCTGCCGCCGTATCCGTCGCCACTTTCGATCCGGAAGGCGTTTTCAAAGTTGTTTGGGTTGGGAATCTGGCGATGTCCAGCGAGGGCAGCAAAGCCAGCCAACACGACGAACAGCAGCACGCCGGCCTTGAAGATACCAAGCACGTTGGTGAGGCGGATGCTCCAAATGGGAGCGACGGCGCACATGACATTGGTCACGATGATCAAAGCAACACCGAGGCCGCGTGCAGCCCAGCCGTCTTGCGTGACACCAGCGGCAAAGAGTGTATAGCGACCAAAAGCGAGGGCGTTGCTGGATGGCCAGACTAGCAGAATCATTTGAGCCGCAATTACACAGCTCATCATGTACTTGGGCTTGCGGTACACGCGTTCCAGGTAGTTCTTCTCGCCACCGGAGCGTGGGATGGCCAGACCGAACTCGAGAAAGACGGAGAGGCCGCAAAAGGTGATGATGCCGCCGAGGACCCAGAGCATGAGGGAGATGCCTACTGAGCCTGTTGAGGCAAAGATACCCGAGGGCGTAGCGAAGACTAGTTAAAGTTGTGTGTTAGTTGACTGTGTGATTGCCACCACCCCGTCTACAGTTGTGGAAGAAGACTTACTGCCTGTGCCGACCATTTTGTTCAAAATAAGAAAAGCAGCACCCACCACACCTAGCTTGCGCTTGTCATTGTTCACAACCACCGTCTCGCCTACTTGGATATCTTCTTCGGCACCGCTGGCGTTGACGTGCACAGCTGCCTTTTCCTTGCCGGCGCCAAACATGGTTTTGACGATGTCCACCACGCGAGCAGTTGAATAAAAATATTACTTTTTTCGGATTCTTTGCCAGTTACGACTTCATGGAGAAAAAGCCATGAGAAGCAAATACACTACGACTACTGTCCGCCTCAGCTGGCACAGCGACTCTTTGTATCGCCCATTTGGCCCATGTCCGGTCTAAGAATACGTTAGACACGCAAACTCATCTTGACGCGGACGATCAGGCATGCTACCGGACATGAGACTCGCCTTTTAGGCGAACACGGCTTTGCTCATGTAAATATCGAGTGCGCTGTGGTTGCGAGCGGCGCCAAGATGCCCGATGCCACGCTGCTGCACCCGCCGATGGCACGGTACTGGAAGCCGAAAATAGCATCAGTGAGCGATACAGTATATTTTCCGCACTGGATACAGCCGTTTGTAAGCTGCTTGGAAATGCAACTACATGATCAACCGCAAGGGCGTGTGTCTGTGCATGGCGACATCCGGGTTCCCGATGATGAGGCGGAGTGGCGCCCTGTATTTCTGCTCTTATACTCTGGCACAGGCAACTAAAGAAAAAGAAGGAATATATTTTTGTGAATATTTACACACCGAAAGCAGTTTCACCTTATTCCATAGTCCAAGAAAAAACAAAAAAACTCGCCGTCCATCTACGCTGTTGCTGTCTCTCCTGTTACCATGCCCTTTTGTACGGCCCCCCTCTCCCCAAGACATTTTTCTTGTTCTTTATGTTACGGAGCGCCGTTGGCTGACAGTAATTATAGATCCCGATTTGCCCGTCCCCTATGATCCCGACCTGCTGCCTGACGAATCCCACCCGAGTGCCCAGTAACAAAAGCAAAGCCGTTACAACTCTGCTGAGGAGCTGTTTAGTAAAAGGCCGTCATGTATCTAGTATTGCATAGTAAACTCTGCAAATACAGCCTTGTGATCTGTCCACCAGCGATTCTCTTTTCGACCCGGCTTTGCGTGTCGGTCGTTTGTCATGATAGCCTGTGCTTTGGCGGGGACCGCCCTGCTGCCTTTGTAGTAGATGAAGTCGATGCGATCACCGCCGTCCTGTGATGCTGTAACATTTGGTGATAGTGTAGTTATTCCCGGTTCAGCTTGGGGATTGCTGTTAACCGCGCGGAATACATCCACCATGCCAGCCTCTGTTGGGATTAGCGACGTCGGCCATGATGTGTTGCCGAACCCGCAGTGCGTATTGTTATTTGTCCAGTCCAGATGAGATGGCGCATTAAAATCACCCGTCAAAAATACCGGCTTGCTGTCTGCTGTGGCCAAGTGCCCTTTCACCTGTTCCATGACTTCTCGCAGCTGAGCCGGGCGTCCCGAGTCTTCCTCTCGCTGCAGAGCCTCGTCCATGGACACTTTATCTACGCAGACACTCTGCGGACCATATGTCTGGTTGGTAAGATGCGCTGTCCAGACAATAATCTCGCTTTTGCCCTCTTCTAGAGCAATCCGAACACCCGCAGCAAATGGTGTGGCCTGGTAGACTTGCACAATCGGATACTTGGAGAGAATAGCCACATCGTCGCCCTGGTAAACATGCCAGCCCAGCGCCGTGGCTACTCGTGCCCCATGATATCCGTCTGTGCTTTGCATGGTGACAACATCTACATTGTTCAGCTGGAACCAGATATACTGCTTTGTGTTGTACTTTTCCACGTGCTTGCCGCCGTCCTTCATGTTGAGACTAATCATCCGCAGGTTCTTGACAACCGGATCCTCATTGCGAGCGACGGGCAAAGACACAATCATCCAGTTGCCCAGGTAGCCCACGTCCTCAGATCCAGTGACAAAGACCTCGACAGTCAAGTTCTTGCCCTGCGAGTCGGGCGTTGGCGTCCCAATGATCCTCCCGTCCTTGGTCACCCATGCCCAGTCGTACTTTGAGACAATGATAGAGAACGTGTTGCGAGTATCAACGCCGTGGTTGATGGTACCCGCAAGACTCCAGTTGACTGGTTCGCCGACGCGCAGAGTCGGACCTGTGAAGAACTGCGTCATGGGACGGAAGGGTGTATTCTTGCGTGTAATCGAGCTTACGGGCTCTGCCAGCCACCGGTAGCTGTCATCCTCTAAAAAGTACGCCTTGAATGGTCCGGGTTCCAGCTTGGACGCATTAAATTCAACAGTACCACGTAGACCTGGTGCATATTGCTTGAGAAGAGGTTCCTTGTTAAAGGCTTCGTGTTCAGGGCCGCCGTCGTAGTATCGCCAGATGCCAATCCAATTCTTGTCGTTGGGTTGAGGGGCGTGGTATTTGTAGGCGAGGACCTTGCCACGCTTCTTATGCTTGTAGTCCTCCTCCAGAGTTCCAATGTATCCGACTGTGCCGTTCAGAGAAAGCTCAATAGGTTCCGAGAGCCACTGGTAGCCGTCACTAGCCATAAAATATGCGCTGTACATGCCTCCAGTAAGACCGATAGTCGACAGCTGCACGGTGCCGTGCTCGAGGGGTGCATATTTCCAGTTTAGAGAAAATTTGTTGAACTCTTGGTTGATGGGTGCGCCACCGTTGCGGTAATACAGCGCTATCCAGTTGTGAGGATCGGGTCTGTCGGTCTGGTATTTTATCACGAGAGGTTCAGACGACAAGAGAGCCATTTTACTATTGTAGGTGTCGCCAAGTGTGACGGTGATGGGTGCAGCCAGCCAGGAATAGGAATCGTCTGCCAGATAGTAGAGTTTGTACTCGCCTGTGGGGAGAGTGTGTATTTCAAACTCGAGTGAGCCGCTCATGGATGGCGCATACTGCCACAAGAGTGCATCTTCGACTCTTGCTTGTTCGTCGGGGCCACCAGAGAGCCCATAGACAGCGATCCAGTTACGGGCGGATTGATGGCTCGATTCATACTGTACCCTCAGGGTACTTTTTGACTGTATGTGTAGACTCCCTGGAAAATTCTGACTGAGGGGATCTGCTATGGGCGTAAATACTTGTTGATCTAGTTGTGGTGGACGAGATGGTTGAAGTGCATAGACGCCGCTGTCCCAGGAACATACGGCGCCTAGTAGAAACGCAGAGAGGACTGAGTAGAGTCTCATGGTGTAAGCTGTTTACTGCAGAGACATACCATCAATCATTCTTCGGACTGGCTACATGTGCCTTTTATACACTGTCACAATTGCAAACTTTAAAAGCCGAACGACACTGACAAGCTTCAAGACAGACAGACAACATGAAAACTTTGAACAAACTTTGTACTGGATTCCAATATACTACTTTAAAAAGAAAGCTATTCACATGAAAAGAATTGTTTAGGCAACCCACTTCTTGCTCCACTGGTGAACAATCTTCTTCTCCGTGCGCTGTAGCTCGTCCCAGACCATCTGGGAGAGGAACTTGTAGTGGAAGTAAGGAGCATTGTTGTAGCTGATGCCGTGGTTGCTGTCGGTAAACTCAAACATGCGGACCTTGGACACAGGGATCTTAGCGCCGACCAGTCTGTCAATGAGAATCTTTGCGTTCTGGGGGTGCACATTGTCGTCAGCAGAGCCATAGGTAATAGCCACGCCGCCCTTGATGTTGCGGAAACCGTCCATGTTGCGGATATCGCTCTTCTTGTAGCCGTCAGCGTTGCCATCAAGCGTCTTCATGTAGCGCTCGGTGAACATGGAGTCGTAGAGACGGAAGTCGGTGACGGGGGCGGTGATGAGGGCGAAAGTGAAGACACCAGAGTCGTACTCGACAGTCTTGGCCGTGACGAAGCCGCCGTGAGACCATCCCCACATACCAAAGTGGTTGGTGTCGAGGAAGGTGTTCTTGGCAATGAGCTCCTTGGCGGCCCAGATCTGGTCCTCGGGCTCAATCTGGCCCATCTTGCCGGCCATGACGTTGCGGAAGTCGGAGCCCTTGAGGCCGGTGCCGCGGTTGTCGACGACGTAGACGATAAAGTTCATCTCGGGGTCCGAGGTCAGGTACATGGTCCAGTCGTAGCTGGGGAACTTCTTGGTCACCTGCTGCGAGGTAGGGCCGCCGTAGGGGTGGAAGAGAACAGGGTACTTCTTGGAGGGGTCAAAGTTGGGAGGAAGGGCCTGGAGGACGTTCATGGTGAAGCCGCTGGGGTGCTTGAGCTCAAAGTAGGTGATGTTGGGCAAGTTGTACTCCTGGAGTCTGTTGTAGAGTTTGGTGTTGGTGGTAAGAGTCTTGATGGGCTCGTCCTTGTCAACATGGTAGACCTCCTGGTAGGGAACGTCAGGGCCCTGGTACGAGAGGATGTAGTAGCCACCCTTGGCAGAGTACGAGGCATCCCAGAAAGCAGGGACGGTGTCGTCGACAACAGGGTCAAGGACCTGGTCGAAGCCAACGGTGTAGAGGTGAGACTCGGTGCTGTGGCGCTTGGCAGCAGAGATCTGGACAACCTCGCGCTCGGCATCGACAGCGAGAATGCTGCGGACTTCCCACTCGCCCTTGGTCAGCTGGACGGGCTTGCCGCCATCAACGGGGAACAGGTAGATGTGCATCCAGCCGTCCTCGTCGGAGAAGTCGACGTAGTAGGGCTTGTTGCCGTGGGCCTCGACGTTGCCGACGTAGCGGATGCGCATCTCGTTGCGGAACCAGCCCTCGGGAACGCTGCGCGAGCGGACGACATTGGACTTGCCAGAGGCGACATCAACAACGACGTGCTTGTCCTTGTCCTGGATACGGTTGTAGACGCGGTAGATGAACTTGGAGTGGTCGTCGGTGACCCAGGCAACCTCGCCAATGATGCTCTCGTCGCCAAAGCCGTCAATCTCAATGGGAGTGACCTTCTTGGTCTCGACGTTGAGCAGGTTCAGGCGGGTGACGGGGTTGGTGCTGTTGACCTTGGGGTAGCGGATGTCGACGGTACGGGGGTAAGCGGGAGCAACTTCCTGGGGGTTGCTGCCCGAGGCGTTGCGGGTGTAGAAGGGGACGCTGTAGGACTGGACGCCGGTCTCGTTGATGCTCAGGTAGACGGCGTACTTGGAGTCGGGGGAGAACCAAAAGGCAGTGCGGGTGCGGATGATTTCCTCCTCGTAGACCCAGTCAGCAATACCGTTGAACTGGTCGGGGCCGCCGTTCTCGGTGATGCGGTGGATGTCGCCATTGGCCTCGCGGATGTGGACATTGTTGCCGCGGACAAAGCCAATGGTCTTGCCGTCGGGGGCCAGGGTAGCATCCTGAATGTCGCCGCCCTGGTCAGCAACCAGAGGCTTGGACTGGCCCGACTTGACATCGAGCAAGAAGTAGTTGGCATCAAAAGAGTAGCGGTAGAGGGGCGTGGAGTTGGTGGCAAAGAGAACCGAGCTCAGATCCTGAGCAATGGTGTACTTGTAGAGATCCTTGGGGATCTTGTCGGCACCGAGGAAGATGCTGCTTTCGTTGGTGGCAATGTTGGCGCGGACAAGACCCTTGGCCTTGTCGTTGATGATGTAGTCACCGTCGTTGCTGCCAGACAGCCAGCGGACCGAGACAGAGTCGGCCTTGAACGAGGTGGAGGGTGACGTCTCATTGAACGTCAGGCGCTTCTCGCCTTTGCCGACGGGGGCATGAGGCTGACGCTCAATGATGCTGTCGGCAAGGGCAGAGGACACGAGAGCCAGGCATGAGGCCAGCTTCCAGGTAACAGCCACCATGATGAATACTGAGTACAGGCTCTAGTTTGCAACCTGCAGTAGGATAGATGGGGATGGTGAGGTGGTAACCAAAAAGCAAACACAGGCAGGGCAGCGTTGCGCTTTTATTCCACAAAACCACCACACCATCACACTCCCTACCCCAACACCGAAATTTCCACAACGCGCCGCGATAGTAGCCCCATTGCGACGCTATAGGAAGGCCATTAAACCCAATTCGAACCTTGTACTCAACTTTTGCCCACACACAGGGCCCGCTTCGGGGCTTGTTGGGGTATCCTCTCCTCCCCGTGGGGGGAAAAGCCAGGACCATTGCCTCGCTTTGCACCGCTTTGTATTAGTCTGCAGCAGAGCCAAGACCAAGACCGGAGCGCAAGTGACGAAATTTCTCTTCTCCACCAAATAAGTCCCTCCATTTGCAGCCTGCACAGCCTTGGAGATTAACCTTTGTGGAGTAGATCCCCGCCACGCTTGCTCGAAGCGGCAGGTAGAGGGTGCCCACCCCGACTCAATGGTATCACGACGCTATTTGTTTTTTTCTCTTCTATTGCGCTGTTTTCTTGAAGTAGCGAAAAAAAAAACGAGATAGTTCCAATATAATAACACGCTTCTTGCGTAGGGTTGCACCGGCGCGAAAGAAAACGGCATCGGGCCCGTAGTCAAGGTCGTGTTTGGCTTGCCTGCAATTAGCAGACAAAGACACGGGCTGCTGCAGGGCGTCCCTCCATTGTTTGCCTGTGCCGTGTGTTACCCATTTCGCTTCGGCAGCAATCCTGACTCTTGCAAGCGATGCGCAAGCCATCCGAACAGAGTTTGTAGGTGCCTGGATGGGCAACGATATACATCAGACCACACCACAAGCCGCCATTTGCCGGCCTTCCCTAATATACAGAAACAAAAACGCCTCTTCGGACCTCCTCCGCATTCTCTCCGGGCGATGGTCCTTCTCCATCGGTGCTGGCGGCGCAAGCCTGTTAGCAAGCCACGCCGCACGCCGCCGCCCGCCTAAGTAGCGCCACCCAACCCTAAAAACCTTAAACTAACAAAACACTTGGGATTGTGTCTTAAAGCCCCAGCGTGAGGTCAATTAGTAGCGCATCTCGGTACAGGTGTGATTTGCGGTATATTATATCATGTTTGCTCCGTTGAACATATGCCGCTTGCTGGTGAGATCGTTTTAATCGGTCATAATACGCCGGCGCATGCAGGAACAGCGTAGCATCGGCGTCAGATTCAACGTCTGGCCGGGGTAGAGCCACGTTGTCTAGCGATCTGTACAGAAATCGTGAACAAAGTCTGCCACTGTTTCATGCTAAATGCCCTAGCTGCTGCGGCTGAGCCTACTAGTGTCTACTGTCGTTGGGACTCCTGTCGTAGTATCTAATGCAGTGAGTGGCCGTCGCTGCATGGCTCGCTCTAGGGCTTGGTGCGCTACGCTACTTATGCACACAGTCTGCTAGATGAAGAGAGTCCAGAGCAGCATCTTGCGTAGCAGTCGCTTAGACTGGCTTCGTAGCTAGATCCAGGCCCAGAATGCTCCGTTGCATGAATTTATAACGAGAATTAAAGTTCATCTGCTGCGTATGATGGTGTTCTTCCCTGCTCGATCTGTATATAAGCGAAGCTTGCCGCTCCGTGTTGTCGCATGGTATCACAATCCACCACTCATTGGAACTTTATACCTCTGCCACAACAACTTACCGTCTTTACACATTATAATAACGATGAAGCCCAGTGTCTGTCTTGCGCTCCTTGCCTCGGTAGCCATGGCTGCGCCCCGGCCCAACTGGGAGGATGAGAATGACGAGGATATTTTCGATGTGGCTGACCCAAATAATGTGTCAGTCGTCGTGGGTACGCCGCCTGTTAACTGGGAAGAGGAAGATGACGAGGACATTCCCGACGTGCCTTTCCCAGAGACCAACCTCAAGCCCAACGAGACCGCAATCATGCCTCCTCCATCCAACAGCTCGATCACGGCTCCTCCTACCAACAACACCTCAACCACGCCTCTTCCATCCAACAGCACGTCCATCATGCCTCCTCCTTCCAACGGCAGCGTCGACATCTTTAGTGAAGAGACTGTCTTTATGACCGGCTCTGCCAACGGCACCACCAACTACATCCGCATTCTCAACAGTAAGCCCATATTTTCTCATCACCACAACGGTATTGATACTAACACAACTTCCAGACAGCACAGTTTCCACCCAGTCCGCACGCACTTGCGACTCCGATGCCCAGGCGCTCAACGTTGCCTTCCAAGCCTGCAAGGACTACGCTATCAAGGCCAAGACTGTTGTCGAAAGCGCTACTGAAGACGTCATTGCCCGCTACTTCACCAGAGGCGACGTCAACACCCGCAACAAGATTGCCACCCGCTACGGCCTCATTGCTGAGGAGTGCGGCCGCGCTGGCCAGGGCATGCTCGGCACTACCTGTGACTCTGACCGCTGCCAGGCCGGTAGCCAGACTGCCTATGGGGTGGCGTACGTCAACAACCAGGCACAGGCCTTCTACTGCCCGCTCTTCTTCTCCTACTACGACATGGACGAGCATGTGTTGAGCAACGAGCCGTGCCTAAAGAGACGCGACCGTATGACCCACGGCGCCATTGTCCTCCAGCACGCTGGCTTTGCTGCTGCCAACCTCAGCTTTGAGACTGGTACTCGCTCCGACGATGCCTATAGCTATGCCAACTTTGCGAGTGTCATGGCTAGCCCTTGCACCGCGACCCGCTAATTGATGAGAATGAGGACGACTAAAGCCAGTCGACGTTGCTGACCTTGGCCGATTGCTTAGTTGCTAGCGTGTCTGCTACCGTATTATTGTAAGAGTTATTTATAGCTAATATATGTATGTATTCGAGTGGATATGAACCGGGTATCTAATGTTTGTGTTCCAAGTGTGACGTGTCCGGGGGAGAGCCAATCGGTGATGATGATGCAACGTGGAGGTTGCTACTCTGTCAGTGCAACTTGCGCCTGAAAATCGTCAAGACATGTAAAAGCGTGGTGTATTTTATTGTCATGACTTCGTTTATTTGCTGCACAATCCAGCAGCCTGAGTATTTACACGTGCATGGGCTTCATCGCCCGCGTCGCCAATGTGCAGAGTGGCGGCCATGCCCGTGCCCATGTGTACCAGCATGTGGCAATGCATGAGCCAAAAGCCCGGATTATCGGCAACCAGGCGCAAAACAACGTGGCCCCGTTTTGGGACTAATACAGTATCTCGTCTGACTGGGTTGACCAGGTTGGCTGGGCTGCCTGGGTCATCCTCGGGGTCGAATGGGTTGTAGCTTGCCCAGCCTGCGTCTCCGCCTGTGTCTCGGGAAGCTAGTACATAAAATGGGTTTCCGTGCAAGTGTACAGGGTGTGCGCCGTCATCGCGATTGTTCAGAATAATATCGACTTGTTTAGGAGTGGATGAACTCGGTATAAACGAAACTAGTTGGTTATCGTCCCAGCTGGATCGGCCACTAGCGAGCAAAGGCGGGCTCTGTGGCTGCCATGCAGTGTGGTTCATCGATCCCATGGGACTATTGTCCAGATGGGCAAGGATCTTGGTTTTGAGATAGTATACAAACGTCATGTCTGCTTCTTTGGAGATTTTTTCTGTCGGTGGTTGCGCAGATTGGGCGGTTGTAAGTTTGGTGTAGTGCGTATATGATGATAACGGCTTTGGCTCTGGGGCTATTTCAACGGTCTTTTTCGGTGGTAGTGTCAGAAAGGCCTGTTCAGGGTTTAAGGCTTCATTGGAGTACTTGAAGTTGCTAAAGAAAAGACGGAGCGTCAGTTTATACGTACGATATGAAGCAGCAGAACGGCGTGTACTTACTCGTCGTCGAGATACATGCTAAGCCATGATTGTTCCTTGTTCTTTTGTGTCCATTTCATAATAGCGTCAGCTCGTTCTCCAGGATATAAAACACCAAGGACGTCGCCGGGTAAGGCCTTAAGCGGCCATCCGCCGTCTACGTGCGTTGGTTGCAGCGTCGCGCCGCTGACAGCTAGAGAGACACCCGCAATTGTGCCGACATTGACTATTCGAAGCTTCGCATTGGTTTTCTCTTTAAATATGGGAACGGACTCCCGCAATGGAATATCTTGACACACGAGGGGTCGAGCTGGAACAGCCATGGAACAGTTGTATCGGCCCTGGCCATTGATGACCATCGAGTCGGGTACCGGCTCATTGCCCAGACTAGACGCATTGGAAAACCACTCGAGCACGTCCTGCTGCTTTCGATGAAACCAGTCACCTACTAGCAGTAGATATTCAGGATTGGCAATATTTCGTCGTGTGTTGGGCTGGTGAATAACTAAGCCACCGTAGAGGCCGTCACCGCGCTGGACCTGATTATGGCTATGCCACCAGAATGTGCCGGCTTCGTCATTGCCAATAGTAAAATCGTATACGTGTTTTCGATTGGATGGGATGGGACACTGTGTAATTCCGACTGCGCCATCCATGTGGTTATAATTCTTCATGCGCAAGCCATGCCAGTGCAGCGATAGGCCTTGGTCGTCGAGTGCGTTGTCGACATTGACTATAATGCGGTCACCCGAGCGAGCCTCAATAGTTGGGCCGGGGAATTGCTCTATGACTGTGGTTAGGTCCGGTATTAAATGGAGGAGGGCCAATTGGGTTACCATTGACGAGATATACTTGTTTTTCGACTCCGTCGACTGCTCGCGTGCCCTGGGTGACACGCCAGTCAAATGTGAGTGTCTTGGCTCGTCTGGCGATGTGGTCTTCGGGATGCAGCCTGATGGCTACTTGGTCTGCTTGCGCAGCAGTACCAGCATTCAAGGATCGTGAGGGTAGAAAGGGCAATGTTATGGTGAGGCCCAAGATGCAGCATACTCCAATGATGAGCCATGTGGGTAGCCGTTGGCGAATGCGGGAGACACGATGGGAGGCATAATGAGCTGCTTCGCCGAGAGAAGAAGTAAGAGGCTGATATTTGACGCCTCGAAAGCGAGGTAGGTTGTCGTTGCGGCCACTCCTCATGTTGTTGGTTGCAAAAGGGACATGTTATATCGAGGAGAGTTGATGTTGCGCTGGTGGTTGCCCAAGAAGACAGTGAGGGGAGGCTAGTCTCTTGGTGTGACCGGCCTGGGCGAAGTCGGTAAGCTCAGTCCCGTATATTGCAAGTGTCTAGGAAGAGCAAGTGACGTATAGCTCGGCTGAGTGCAGAAAGATCGAGGCAATAGAAAAATGGTGGAAGCTGGAATGGGCCGCTGGGCATGCAGGATAAAGCCGAAGGTCGTTGAGCTGCGTCTGAAGACTGAGGTGGGTAGATGGCGGCGGAAGAAGACGAGGAAGAGCGCGGACCGACAAGTGTATGTAATTGGTAGAATCTGATTGGCGTGCAGCTAGCGGCAGCTCGCTTAGAGACCGCGCTGTAGTCTATTGTTTTTTTGCCGCTATAGCTAGCGATATCACGTAACAAGGCGGGGGCCAACTGACTTGTTGCAAAAGGTTGTGTTGGAGAAAGTGTGGTGACGGGATCGCTGGCGCTGGGGCACGTGGAGGGATCCTGTGGCTATTGTTGGTGTGCTGCACGCAGTGCCAGTGGAGATGGGTTCGCTGCGGGGTAGGCCTCTCTGCAGTAGTGGAGAGGACCGCTAGAAAAGGCTAAAGTTACCAATTTACAGGGCGAATAGCTTTTTTCTTTTTCGGGGAGATTTGGGTAGGGCCCGCTAATCGAGAAGGGCGTCGGCCGTGCTGAGACCCTGAATCTGACGGGACGCGGCTCAAACAAAAAGGCTGCGAGTCGCGTGCTCACAAAGACAAAAAAGATACTTGGAAAAATGAAGAGGTTAAGAGAGTAGCATAACATTTGTTTCATCCAAACTCTATTGGCTGTGATTTAACATCACGCGTCTTCTTGCCACGCCAAGAGCAGCATCATTCTCGGCGATACTGGAAGGGATGGGGGATCGGCCCGGCTTTGGCTTGGCTTGTCTGATGCATACGGTTTTATTAGCAGTGGCAGGTGTAGGCTGGTACTGTGCTGTTGATGTTGCTGTTTGCTGCGTATAGCCGCGTTGCAAAGGTTCCAATAGGCCTGCCCCGCTTGCGCTATTAAAAATGAACAAAAAAACAAGACAAGGAATAGAAGAATGGAAATGGTTGGGAATCTGTACTAACTAGCTTGCTGCTGCTGTAAGTTGGATGCATGCACGTTCCATACTTACACACAGTGCGGGCCACACACAGCAGCCCTCCACACCGAGACAGCACCCACAACCACCGATTAGACAGGGAGAGATTAGTGGGCAGTGGACCCCATGGTTAAGGCACATGGCGCCCTCAGCACTTTCCATTGGCCCCCCCCCCCACGACCACCAGCCGGCTTTGCTCATCGTCCGCCCGCCCGGCACTTGCTGTTTTTGTAAACCGCCACACACGTTTTGTTTCGTTTTGGTATCGAGCGCGGTCCGGTTTGCGTCGAAACCCAAGGATATCTCTTATCAGACATGTAACTGTATGCTGTATGCCCAACAAATCACCAGACAGCAAAGATCGGCCCATTCTCAGCCGCCGTAGCAAAGACGCAGGGCAACACGCACACACTATGGACGGAAGCGCACGTTGTTCATGGGATCCATCAATACCAACTATCAACCGCTCCGCTCCGCTCCATCTTACCAGCCGGCCGAGCTAATTAGTCGTTAGTACAGGGCTCTCTACCGCTCTGCTTCGGCCCTGGACTGAAGCTAGCCTGTGTCGACCGACCACTAGTAGCACGGCGAATGGTCAACTAGCTTAACCCCTCCACTTTGTCTTCCGAACTGGTCCTCCACCGCCTGTCAGACTACGGCCATGTATAAGAAGACGATTGCTACCCAGAGACATCTCCCCCCCTCCCTTCCGCCATTTCCTCAGCCTCGCGCCACCCCTTGGATTGCCTCGCGCTCTTTCGTCTTCCTCCTCCTCACTCTTCTCCTCCTCCTCCTCCTCTGCTATCCATCCTCACTATCACCCATAATGGCTGCCTCTAGGTTCCTCACCTCTACCGCCGCGGCCATCTTCTACTTGGCCACTGGTGCCAAGGCCGGCCTCGAGCAGATTGACCATGTCATTCTCTTCATGCAAGGTATGTCTTTTATTCCATTTATACACATGGCAAACGACAGCTAACCGATGGTGGTACAAAACATAGAAAACCGCGCCTTTGACCACTACTTTGGCACCATGGCCGGTGTTCGTGGCTTCGACGATGCCAACCTCCAGATGAACGGCGACCGCTCCGTTTACCAACAGCAAATCACTGCTGCGCAAAGCACCGAGGTCGACTACCTCCAGCCCTGGTACATCAACTACCTGGGCGGCGACTGGCCCGAGGCCACCCAGTGCATGTACGCCGGCAGCAACTCGTGGAGCGAGAACCACAAGGCCTACAACAAGGGCAAGAATGACCGCTGGGTTCTCGACCAAAACGCCTACTCCATTGGCTTCTACAAGCGCAACGACCTGCCCGTCCACTGGGCTCTCGCAGAGAACTTTGTCATTGGCGACATGTATCAGGAGTCCGTCATTGCCTCCACCTCGCCCAACAGAGTCACCTGGGCCTCGGGTTCCATCAACGTTCCCGGTGGTCCCCAGCGCCCCGACCAAGGCGGCAACCCTTACATTGACAACAACGAGACGCCTGGCTGTGAGGCTGGCGGCATCAACTGCTACCCGCTCAAGTGGAAGACGGCCCCCGAATTCTGGGAGGAAGCCGGCGTCTCTTGGAGCGTCTTCCAGGACGCGGACAACTTTGACGATAACCCTCTTGCCTGGTTCGAGCAGTTCCAAAAGGCCAACAAGAACAGCGCCCTCTACAAGAAGGGTATGAAGGGCCAGTCTCTGCAGAACTTTTACGACCGCGCCGCCAACGGCACTCTGCCTGCCGTCTCCATCATTGTCGGCCCTATGCAGCTTTCTGAGCACCCTCCCTACTCTCCCCATGACGGTGCCTGGTTGCAGCGCAAGGTGGCCCAGGCCGTCATTGACAGCCCCAAGTTCAAGTCGTCGGCCTTGATTGTGTCTTACGACGAGACGGGCGGTTGGTACGACCACTTGAGCCCCTTCCATGCCCCCGAAGGCACCGCCGGCGAGTGGCTCAACGACCCTTGGGCTGGCCAGGGCAACACCTTTGCCGGCCCCGGCTTCCGTGTTCCCTTTTACATTGTCTCGCCCTTTACCCGTCACGGTGGCGTCTACACCGAGCACTCTGACCACAACTCCCAAATCCTCTTCATCGAGAAGTGGCTCGCAGCCAAGGGCAAGAATGTGACTACCTCCGAGATGGTCCAGTGGCGCCGCCAGAACATGGGCGACCTTGTTGCTGCCTTTGACTTTAAGAACCCCGATGCCTCTCCCATCAAGCTGCCCGATACCCCCGCTCCTCACAAGAATGCTGCTGGCAACTACGATGGCTCCGCCCACTGTGCTGCCACCTACAAGCAGCACCAGCCCCCTGTGCCCTACACCGAGGACCAGGGTGCCATTGGCGACATGCGCACCGTCGTCGAGCACGGCTTCAAGCCCATCCGTGGCCAACTGACCGAGGGTCGCTACTTAACCATTGAGCACGGCGGTATTGCCCTTGCGGTCGTTGGTGACTCTCTGGCTATCCAGCCCGCCACCGAGAAGCACGACGACGAGTCCCAGCGCTGGATCGTCCACAGCCAGGACAACAACTACGGCAACACCTTTACTCTCCAGAGCGCCCTTGACGACCGTTACGTCTGCAAGGACGGCAAGCTGTGCACTTCCTCCGTCGATGCCCAAGTCTTCACTATCCGTTTCACCCCCTCTGAGGGCTACACCATCCAGGACAAGAGCAGCAAGAAGGTCATGGCTGCACGCAAGGGCGAGAAGGCCCCCTTCTTTGCCGTCGTGGAATCCTTTAACTGGAACATTTTCTCCGTCTCCTACTAAACAGAAACAGGGGGGACATGTTGGCAGTGCTTTGAGTTGTAACTGTTGAAAATACGGTTGCTTTTTGTGTTTCATAATTGAACCCAGCCAGACACACATTTTGGTAGTCTGCCATGTATATACATCAAGTCTATGTTCTCTTTTTCTTAACATTATTTCATTTCATTATTACACGAATTTATGAATCTATACGTGGTGTCTTTTCTCACCCACCACTAGTATAGAGCCTATGACAGGAATGAATCAGCCCGAGACATTCCCCCGCATACATTGCCGCAAAGCCGAACTACGCCCGCCACTGCATTCCTCAGCACCCGTTTGCAAAGATCTACAGGAATCCCGCCGTGCCGCCACAAGAGCGCGGTTCGCTATGTGACGTTGCGTCCCGCGGTGGCACCACGAAAATAGGGCAATCGCCGCTATTCATCTGTATATTAACCTACCCGCATACACGTATCGAGCTTCTAGATAGACACAGTGCGACCGCCGTCCAGTGGCCTGATGACAGAAATTACCACATCCGGAAGGTGCTCGCGTGACTGTCTTGTCCCCCCGCCGCCGTGGTCTGACTTTCACCGTTTTTGTGGCGGAAATGCTGGTCACGTGTGCATTGTGATAAAGATAGAGACACTCATGGTTACATTATAAACCACTAAGCTACATAATATTCAGCAACTGGGAGATGCGATGCTCGGGAAACAGCGGATCGGTGCGGGGGAGATATGTGTCAGAGGACTGTGGAGGCGCGGGGTAGTTTGCTGCAGAAGGGTCCCCTGCACGGCAATGATTGCATATCGTGGGAACTGCCGCAATGCACACTGTAGAAATTAAGCGAGAGTAATGTACCGGTCATGTACCTCGAATGTATCTTTTATTTTTCTACTGAAACGCGAAGGATGAGCTGTGTTTTATATCGAACGGTGGCGTTGGGATGGCATTTTGGTTTATCACTAGCGCTAACCTACACACCACAACCACAGCAACGTCGCCCACTGCCATTACCAAAATATCCTTGTCAATGTATCCCAACCTAAAGGTAGACATATAATAATATGATTAAGATTGATAATTGCAATATGGCTATACATAGAAAAAGAATTAAAACAATCTAAGTTTCGTAATCTTATACTCCAAAATGAACATATGGAATCCACTCCGCAGAAGGACCAGCGTTAGCATCCCCATTGTCCTCATCAATACACGCAATCAAAGTCACATCTCGAGCTAGTCGACTGAGTGTCTCGTCCGCATCATCTGACTCTGAAGCTGTAGAGTTCTTTGCCGATCTACTAACTCTGCGTGTTCCATCTCGGCTCTCTTGAGTGTTTGCTAGCCACCTTTTTCGAAGCTCTCTAGTAGCTAGATGTAATCCCAGGCAGACCGATTCGTCGCTAAGACCCTTCTCCTTCATGACATTGTACATAAGGCTTGTCATTTCAACGCATACCGAGTCTTTCACATCCCATAAAGCCCCCACAACATGCCGGAATCCTGCTAACTGACAACCACCAATGAGATGTAAACCTTCGTCTGTATACTTTTTCTCTCCGGCCCTGCCTGTGCCGCAGGCAGAAAGGAACGCAAGGAACGGAGGGTCTTGCCATAGGTTCATATCCAATAGCTTTTCCACGGTTAGCGGGCTTGTTTGCCAATCGTTTAATCGTATATGGCTTTGAGAAGGGTCCTCTGTATTAGTATACCCATGGCCGGCGAAATGGAAAATAGAGCAGTGACGCAACTTCTCGCAAACCTCTGTTTGAGTATAGCAGGATTGTGAGTACTCAATTTCCATATCCTGGCAGAATCTTTGTACTATGGAAGCTTCTTCATCGGCGCATTTGAGATGAATTCCCATTCCTGGCGTTATTGGCATAGATATAATTAATGCTGGTGGTTTTGTCTGTGCAACGGGAGGCGAGTTCCGACGACCGTTCAGGATCGATTTGACTGAACTGGCGTAAGACGACATGACCCTATCTATTACGGTATTATGTGAACCATCTGTATGATAGCCTGCTGCGTGGAGAGGAAACCTCGACAGCAACCCAGTGGGAATCCACTAAACATGAGGCCATTCGTCCGCCGTGGGCGGTTCCTTGAATCCTAGAACATCAAGAATCGGTTCCATGATTGTATCCCATAGCCACCGAAGCGTGTCTTGATCACCCAAAGTGTCTGCTTGTATGCGCGATTCCATGCTCGTAAGGGTTTCTAATTTTAGGCCTGTTACTCCACTCGCTTGAATGATGAATGCATCACAACGATGCACGGCAATGTTGATGATCACTATTGGTCCATCAGCCGCCGCAATTTTCAGATCTTCTTCAACTATTCCAATAGTGAAGAAATCAGCAAAGCTTTAACTTAGCCTGATCTCTTCCACTATGTCTTGGAATCGAGCCTCTGCTTCGGATCTGACTGTTCCCCAAGACGAGGCGCTATCATAAGAACAACACGTCGTCATGGTGTGATATAGGGCATATTGTATTTCGGTAAATTTCTTGGCCAAGTGAGGATGCTCGTGTTAGAGTTTTCCCACATCAACATGCCTCGCAGCAAGTGGTCTTAATATTATGTTCCGTCCTGCCTCTAGATGGAGTACCGCAACATCAGGGGTCTTGCCCATGTGTAAAGCTACGACCGCAACTTTGGACGCAATGCCGTATAACAGAGTAATTATGTACAGTTTATCCGATGTTGAAAGAATCGTTATCTTCAGCTCTTCCAGAAGGCGAGCTGTTCTGCATGCGACATCGTACGTATTGTCGGTGCAATATCGCACTCGATGACGCCAAAAGCAAAGTATGTGTGAGAGTTGTCGTAAGGGTCAGACCGCGCTTCGTCGGCATCGCACCATCCTACATTCTTGTTAATAAGAAACAACCTCGTGTAGTTTAGTTTAAATAGTATTAGAAGGCTTCATATATGAACTGTAATCTTACCTTGGTCCCTTGACCATGTCTTTACAACTAGCTTTGTAATTTTGGCAGGTTCAATCTCGAAGTAAAGGTATGGTCGCAATGGCGTGTCCCGGTCAAATATATCTAGACCAGAACGTGAGAATTTCCTTGGCTCGTCGGGTGTTAATGAGTTATCCGTAGATGATGTCATCGTATTGTTATATTCAGAAATGCGGTACTGGAACTATTCTAATTCAGTTCTTGTACCAGGTACGCCGAGATGTACGTGAGAAGATATTCAGAAGAGGGGCAGAACGCATGCTGGCCGCGATTGGGCATCTATCAGGCGGTATGTCAGCATTAAATATTTATTTGTAGAAATGTAGAAAAATTCTAGAGGCAGACATGCCGCAATAGATCTCGTGTTGGTGTTACTGTATGGAACCTCTTTTACTTGTGCGGATAATTCAGTTTTTTAGTCAGAGTTGGTATGCAGTCCGAGTGCACTTCGCGGACTGGAACGAATCAGCAAAATTGGCTTCCCGACTATCTTCCCATAAAACGTCGCTCGACAAGTAGTTATCCCTGGCTGTTTGTCGTTTCCATTTGCACAGAGCGCTGTTCGTTCTTGATGGTCGTTTATCTTGCCGCGGGGCGACATAATGTAATTTTAGACAGCCCAGCCTATCGAAGTTTGCCGAATCAAGAGACATCTGCCGTGCTTCAAGATTGGCTACTTCACGAGGCTGCTGGATTTCGGCCACAATTCTCGCGAGTGCAGGTAGGCGTGGTGGCTGGACGGCGAGGAGCCAAATCCGTTTGCTCTGCCACCGCCCTTTGCCCGTGTTTGAGCCTTGCAAGTGGCTGTCTATACGCTGTGACCATGTTGTTCCAGCCAACTATATTTATAAGATAATTTTACGTGCAATATTTGGGGCAGCGAAATTAATATGCTGCTCTACATCTTATCACCAAGCACCAGGCTCAACGCTAACTTGCCGGTGATCCAATCAAAGACCGCAGGCCGTCCGCAAAAGGCAGGTTGGCCCCCCAGCGCTGCAGACTGTGATCACGGCTGGATGCTCTTAGCGATTAGTCTTCGACAAAATTAGTGCATTGCCACGCACGACCTTTTGGTTCCGACCTATTTATAATTCCTTATTGGGTTTCTATTTTTTATTTTCTAATTCTTAGGCGGTTAGATGAAACAATCGAAGCTGAATATGTGAAAAATTGGATTATAAACTGCTTCCTCTACAATCACCCGAAGCCATATCAACCAGGCTCAATAAGTTTCCCATAAGCTTACTGTAAGTTAGCTAAAATTTGCGAAGCCTTTTGGAAAAAGCCATACTTGACGATATCTTCAGCCTTGATCGAAAGGTTCATCCCCGTGCCATAGAAGTAGAACCCGAAAGAAACTCACTGGATGAAACCCCGCCTCCCAGCTCAAATAGGCCCCAATCAAGCCGGGCCGATGTGGCCGCGGCCTACTATCTACATCCAACGCAAGGCTACTTGATTCATGGCGCTAGCGCCGCTCAAGACAAAAGCCCAGTGTTTGATCTTCCGATTCCCGCGGCGCGCGGCGCCCGCCACAGCAAGATGAAAAAAAAACACCCAGCGACATTTCCCTCCTGCTGCTTTTACTTCTTTTGCCACCAAGCCAAAAAAAGAAGGGACGTAGAATGTAAGCTATAATTTTTATTAATCATCTGAAGATGCTCCGAGCCAAAGTGGAAAAAGGCTTTTTTGCTTTCCATTGCATCTGTAAGCTTTCGTCACAGCAGAGCCCCCATGGAGAAGAAATTAGCGTGCTTCAGACGGACATTACACGGGAAGTCCCACGCGGCTCGTCTAAAACCCAGGATCTTTTGTCTTTCGGACTGCCCATAATCCTTCCACCGTAAGTTGTATTGGACGCCACCAAAGTGTAATAATTTGAATTCCGCCGAAATTGAGCACTGCAGGTGACGAACACAATAAACTCTGTTGGTTCGGACTAGTCAGCCAGCGTCACATCGGCCAGCCTGAACGATGAACGGCGCTGCAAGACTGGCTTCGTCCAACGCTCAACCGTCCAACAGACAGGTAAATAACCTTGGAACAGTTAGCGGCCTTTTGCGCATCCCTCCTCCTCATTGAAAATTACATGATTTTTATTGCTTCTACGCGCCGAACATCCGGGAAAGTGTGGATGGAGGAGTAGTAGCGCACCAACAGAACTAACAGAGCTAACAGGACCAACCGATGTCGGCATCCCTCGTAGCTCGATAATAGGTAGTGAAATCTTGGGTAATATTAGTATCATTTTGTGCACAGAGACGGGGCCCGTCTGCTAATGTACAGGGTTTTCAATTCTGAAGCACCGAATTAATTCCCTGGCTGGATATAATTTTCACAGGTGGTGCTGTTGGCTCTAAAATACAGAATGCGCCACGCTTGAGGGGGCATCTGCACGCCCATCACATTCCCAACTACAGTGTGGTGAGCACCGACGCTGAGTGGCCGGCGGACAGGTATCGGCCGTGCCCCCTCCCAAAAATCTTCACAGGCTTCCCCGCTCGGACGCCTGGACTCGCCTGTGCCATTAAACTCTAAAAACAAACCAACACAAGCTTTGCCGCCCGCCATGCAGCCGTTCGCTCTTCTTGTCGCTGCCCTTGTCGCTACTGTTGTCCAGGCTGGTATGTCCCCCTTGCACATGCATGAAACCTGCTTTCCGTGACTGACAAAGTTCATAGCCCCTAGTGGAGGTGGTGGCATCGGTCACTTCAACTCCGAGCCAGGAGCTTCGGAGTAATGTTTTCTCAGTTACACAATTTATACAATCGGTGTTCTTTGTAAGACAATAGAAGCGGTTTATCAACCATCTTTAACATATACCCAAGCATATACCAAGCCCATACAGACGCATATAGGTATATTTCTGTCAACAACAGCGGATTATCCAATCCCTTCCACGAGCATCCTTTACAAGTCAGCTACCCCCTGAAATAGATCCCAGGCATCTCGAGGCGCCCTAGGGTCTCTTTTTCTCACTCTGAACCTTAATCTGGGCGTAGAAGGCTGCTCAGGACCAACATGGGGGGAGTATGCCCATAACAAGCATCTCGATGGTGTTAGCACCTGCATTTGGCCGAGGACGGGTAGATTTTCCCGTGGCTGAAACGCGGTGCTTGAACTCTATTGTGCATGGCGGGGCGATGCCCACTTCTAAAATGGGATACCTGCTGTTGGCCCTACTTATAGTATATACACTCGGTAGCCACGACCAACACTCGTTTTGTAACTTACCGAATCGCCCCTGGCTGCACCGTCCCTCACATTGGCTACAAGCTCTGCTACATGGCTGATATGATGGCTTTAAACAGTCTATCCGTGCCCGAGAAGGGCCTAATCTTTGTTCACGCTGCATCCCTCTTGTCATCTCTTTTGCTCTACGTCCCGCCACATACAACTGGAGAAGAGCCACGGCGTTTGGCATTAGCCAAGCCGGTAGGTCGTCGCCTTAGGCTGATATCAAAAGTGATTGGAGTGATCGCTACTAATATATGCATGAAAATAGCTACGTTTAGCTGCTGTCGTGAGCAAAACTTTAATCCTTCTTGTCGATCAGAAAAATGGCGCTTTGCCCGATACCCTCAGCACCGTTGCCTTGATTGGTTGTTCTATGCCACCACTTATGCTTGTATTCCCAGGTCTTGTTGATATTCTTAGCAGCCAAGCTGCTATTTACATGAGCATCGTTCTCGACCTGCTCTTCGATGCCATCGCCGCCCCCCAGTTTTCCACATTCTTCATCTCATCTATCCTACAGCGCCTTGGATTGATGTCAATCGTTATCAATTTGATTCTCCTTATACGACCGCCCTCAAGTCTTATACATGCTGCCCGATCCAACGCTTGGTCAGTTACAACCCCATGGACAGAATTTTGGGACACCACATGGTCAATTACGCGAGAAACCGCTCCTCCAAATTACAATGCAATTCAGCCTGCCCATCAAAATGTACATCAGGACCACTCCGCTGCAACGATTGATGCCGACCTCCTTGCCTTGCAGGACAAACTCAGGCTATCAACGGGTTTGTTTTTAACTATTGTACAGCATCTATCGGTTCTTTTGAAGCTAATCAAGTTCAGGATCAAACATCCCGAACGGCCTTTCACTCTCGTTGGCTTCACTGCTCCTTGGAGATAACCCTTCAATTATTTTCCAAGCTTTGACTTTTGCACTTTTATGTGTAATACAATCCGTTTACTTGGCAAACGCTCTCACTCTGTTTAGCTTGGATTCTCCCATGCTAGGCCTGTCCCATCTACATTTCATATTAGCCACTTTGACCCTTTTCATAGGAATGGCCATTACTAAGGCCAAGCTTGGCACATTTATCGTGACTCTCACTCAACGATCGAAAAGAATTTTGGTTGCGGCTATTTTTCAGAAAGCCCTGCATCTCAATAGGCGTGTAGCCTTAAATTCAACGGCTCGCGCGCTACTGAGTGACAACATTGAAGCTATTGCAAACAATATCCCAGTTGCTTCATCAGCCATGATCAATCTGGCAGAGGTATGCCTTGGTCTATTAGCCTTAAGATATATCATGGGCACATTCGGCTTTCTGGTGCTAGTGGGTTTTACGGGTGAGTAGAGAGCTTAGACGTATGATGACTATAAACTTAGCGTCTTTAGTTCGACATTTGTGTTTGACCTACCAATCCTCGCAAAACGGAGAAACACACACAGAAATGTCAATCACATCACAGAGATTGATTGCAGCTACCAGGGACATGATCAACAACCTTGTACCTCTCAAGATGATGGGTCTTGAAGACACCTACGCCAGGCGAATCAATGCTTTGAAGACTGCTGAGCAACAGTTGTGGCTAGATATTGACCAGCCGCGGCTGCAGTACCTATTCCAATGTAAGGAGCCCGTGATGTCAACATTGGTATGAATACTAACAAGGTTTAGTGATAATTTACGTGAGTATTTCAACCTGTATTCTTCTTATCTGTATGATTTGGAGATGCAAGGTTGAACGAATATCAGTGACCGTCACTGCTCCTATTGCTGCCTTGCTGTTTGCTCGAGTCAGTGATTCGGCTTTATATGTGTCTCAATTGCGCCTGTTATCTTCCATACAACAGAGCTTGACAGAGATTGAAGAATTTCTGGCGATTCCGGACAGAGTAGAACCAAGACAGCTGCAGGCGGTGGATAAGACCGCCAAAGTCAATGACACCAACATCAGGATTGTTGGGCTTACATGCCATACAGACGGGGCTACTGGATCCCCTTTCCACAAACTGGATCTGGTGCTTAAAAATGGCACTGTGACAGTATTGCGCGGCCCTAGCGCCTCAGGCAAGACAGCCATTCTCGAATCAGTATTAGGTGATGTCATCCCAGCAGAAGGGACAGTTGAAATATCGAACTGCCCTATCGCTTACTGTAGCCAAACTACCTGGCTGCAAAACGCGTCTATTAGGAGCAACATTATCAGCTGTTCGGAGATCGATGATGTCTGGTACAATAAGGTTATTAATGCCTGTGGTTTAGAACCTGACTTTGAAAGACTCTCTTCAAGAGACTTGACAATTATCAGCAACAATACCTTGACTCTCAGTGTTGGTCAAAAAATGAAAATTGTAAGTCACAAAGCAATCAACACCTCGACTGACGATATGCTAACGTGTCTTTGTTCCAGGCATTAGCTCGAGCGATTTATAGCAAGGCGCCAATATTGCTTTTAGATGACGCATTTTCGATTTTTGATAACACCATGGCGTTGAAAATTGCTCAGTCGTTTTAGATGTCCCTATTTGGACTGATGAGCAGTTGAACGACCACGTTTTCTATATTTCCTGCTTGTGGTTACTACTTTGTATCACAAATGTTGTCGCCAATACCCTGGAGATACAGTAAGCCTTTCACTTGCTGCGAAGCCAATACTTAAAAATTAACGATCACCTATGTAGCACCTTCAGAGAAAAGGTAATGCCAACGTTTGCCAAATCAACGTTCAGTAAGATGCTAGAAGCAGTTTTATGGCAAGATATATGGACCGATCTCTTCTACGGAAATACGTAACTGACTTCTCTTTTAGGTCATCTGCTGCCTGCAATCCAATCAACTCTGACAAGGTTGAGCGAGCGTAAGTTGTTCACTCATGGCTAGCATCAATTACACATGAAGCTAATAGCAGTATTATTTACAGCATGATTGAAGATATACATGCTGCAACACAAATGTTGCCAGGTGTAACAGCACAAATTATTTACGGTAAAACCCCTCTTAGAAAGCGATCTACCCCTTAATATGTAACTAACACTCTCTTTTAGATTTCATTATTCTAGCTTTATATTTGAGGACCCTGACTTCAGTGGCAAGGTACTCTTTTTATTCTGGAATAGCTGCTTTTGCCATCCTCCTCCTCATTCAGAGGATATTTGTCGTTGCCTCGCAAGCGGCTGAGAAGATCTCGGCTGAGACTTCCATGAAGATAACTTCTGACTTCTCGAACACTCTGGACGGCTTGACTCACATTCATAGCATGAAATGGCACGGTTCAATCTGGAAGCAGCTTCTTGTGGATCTAGGAGCAGCTCAACAAGCAACCAGGGAGAAACTAAGACTCGGCCCATGGGTTGCCATGGCCGTTGATCTGACAGTCGTCGGCCTTATGACAACTATGGCAATATCCCTTGTGATATTCCGTAATAGTATAAGTGTATATTTGATTGCATTGTGTATTTCGGCAGGTTGCAAGCTTCAGCGACCAGCAGTTCAGATGATGGAACTCCTTCTGACCTTAGCAAATACCAAGGAGTCACTCTCTCGCATGGAATACTTTCGTTCCAACTTTGAGTCAGAAGAGGTGCGGGAAGCGGTGGTCTTACCTGAGAGGTGGGGTGAAGACGCGTCTATCGAGTTCAACAGAGCCGTCATTGGCAATCATGCGTCAGTCAATTACCATTTTCATTTCCCAGACGAGCCTACCGCTAACTTGGAAAAAGTCCGATCACAGGCATTGCCATACCTGGGCGGTCTGTCACCATCAGGGGACGCAGTGGAAGCTAAGTTCCCACGTCGTACCACATACGAATAATGATGCTAACTACTCATAGCGGCAAATCACGCATATTACTTGCTCTCTTATCATTAATCCCGTACGAAGGCTCCATCAAAATTGCCGGTCGCGAGATTCGCGAGATCCCCCCGCGAGAGCTTCGCAAACACATCTCCACCATCACTCAAGAGCCATTTGACCTGCCAGGCACTGTTGAGGATAACCTCTTCTTATACAAACTGCGTAACCCAGAAATTACAGGACGAGTATTAGATACTGTCACTATGTTTCTCTTGGCACAGCTTGGTATACTCGATGCCTTGGGTGATTACTACGATACTGCCTTTAGCCAGCTGCACCTCTCGTATGGCCAACGGCAAGGTGTGAGTATTGCCCGGACTGCACTGCACAAGTTTCAGACATCAAACTTCATTCTTCTCATGGATGATGCGTGTGGCAGACTTGATCACGAGACTGCAGTTGTCTATCAACAGGTAGTCAGGGAATGCTTCTTTGGCAACGCCAGTATCATGGTTGAGACTGCCGACTGCGATCTTGAGGTTGTTGGACTACTGCCACTGCCTGACCTCGTCGATCCACTCGCTTAGGCGGAATAGGTAGAACAGGCGGATGATTTTGCAATTTTTGGCTTGTCCTTTGTATTTGATTTATCTTGGTTTTGTTGGGTTTGCACTGCTTGCACTTTACTCCTCCTTGCCTCGTGCTTCATTGTACACGTAATTTGCTTTCTTAAGCATACACTGGACTTCACTATTATTTTATTAAATATATTTGCTAAAATGAGTTTCTTCTTCTAAATATACCGGGCTAAGTGACCATCACTTCTGAGAAAAAATATTGATAGCCTCTAAAAGCCAAGGACAAAAAAGGTACTAAGTGTATAAAGCTTGTCTGTCACTGAGCAATGCGTGTGGGTTGTATTATATGTCTCGATTGGGTATGGTTCCAGTAGCAGCACCAACTTTAAATGTACGAAGACAGCACCATGGATATTTAATTCTGTGTCATGAGCGTGTCCTTATCATGTGCGAGATGCTAAGGGTGGTTGCATACCGAGTGTCGCGATGCAACGCAACCCACGAACACCTTTTTCCCCGAGCCTTGCTTGTGGGATTACATTGCATAGGACATTTGAGACATGGAAAATGTTGGATTTGGGATACTACTCCTCAAGGCAGTCCCAATAGTGACCCCGCCCTCCGCTGGCCTCCTGAAATACTCTGTCCGACGCTAGTAATACATCCAGTCCAGTATTACAGACTGTACCATTGGCTAAATGGAGAAACTGATCGGCTCTCAGCATCCAGTATCCGCGATTACGGATGGACACGCGCGTGCACCCAGCGAATGCTGTATTCACCGCTTGGTGTATGGCCACATTGGTCCTCCTTTCGACACGAAGGCAGTCGTCCATGAGCAGAATCGCGCTTCCTGTTGCCCGGCGGTGCAGAATGGCCCGAGCAATGCTGAGATGCTCCCTTTGAGCATCTGAAAGGTCAATGTCCCTCATCGGCGTCTCAAGTCCTCCTGCCGAGTCTATAATGGCCCAGAGCTGAACATCTCGCAATGTCTGCTTAATGACTTCCTCGCTGGGCAGCTCAAACGGCTTTCCATCGTTGTAGAGGCTGTGGTTGAATGGGAAGAGATTATCCAAGATAGTTCCAGGAAGTTCCATGGGGTCCTCAGCAAGGACGGTAATCTTGCGGCGGAGTGCTTCTGGAGGTATTTGCATGATGTCGATACCACCAATGCTCACTTTGCCTCTATAATTTAGACGGCGTAGCAACGTTAGTACCAAAGATGTTAATGAGGCACGGCTGTGTACGGGTATATTAGCGCATGTCTCGCACGGGTTTGTTGGTATACGTACATTCTGTACTTTCTCCTCAGCACCAAGTGGATTCCACTTGGAACCGTGAGGTTAATATTCCTCAATACCTCCCGCGAGTCTTCATTTGAGCTGAGACCCATGTTAGCTTCCATCTAGGCACAGAGTTGCAGTGGACACAAGCTTACCTATATTTAGCAGACACTTTGGTGAACTGTATAGTTGTGTCGTTTTCCCAGTCCGGTTCCATAGCTTTAGTTGTATCAAAGGCGGGCTCTGGAGGAGTTGTCTCGATAAACGTCTTGAGAACATGGACCATGCCTAAGCTCCTATGCATCCTAGCCCATCGACGGACAAGGTTAGAGTTGACTTCGGAGTAGCTTGTCATCGCTACCATTGCCAACCCAAGGCTCGTCGGAGAGACAGCTCCCTTGCATAGTAAGGAAATCGAAACGAATGCAGTAGAAACGATTGCTGCAGCAAAGTTCACAATCAATGACTGCCACTGCTTAGCGCAGTACGCGTAGTGGACTGCCACTTGAGTACGTCTAACCCGGCGCATAATTTGATCCCTTATGACGGTCAGTAATCCGCCGGACCGAGTGGTGCCGAGACCACGAGCCATTTCGTAGGCATCAAGGTAGAGTGCTGCCTTCGTGCCTGTGTCCATTCTGTGGATGCGTTGCAATGCCGAGCCGTAAAATACCATTAGCTTGTACAGGGGAACTAGAATTACTGGGATGAGAACAACAGCGTACGTTGCTCCGCTGGATATCACCACTGCGTTTGCCACGACAAGGCCGAAACCTGTCCAATGTTAGTATTTCACAATGGGTTGTCAGCAGCCATCTCACCATAAAATACTTGATACACAGCTTCAGGTATATCATGAGTAAAGAGGCCCATGCTTCTGTTGAAATTGTGCAACAGTGTGGAATTCTCGGGAGAAGTCATGGCTCCAAAAGAGGCACTACAGTATCGCAGAGTTAGTACCCTCTTCTATTAACAAACTTATCGCTCTTACTTCATGAGCGTGGTTATGAAGATTTTGTGCATATTTAGAGCCGAAGACGGCGTCATTTTGACCATGCATTTCCTTTTGAAAAATAAGTCAGCATCACCGACACGTATTCCGTGCAGATACGAAAAAAGTGCAATCGCGTACCAAGTCGCTCCAATACTGATGGCAATGGCAATGCCAAGGACGGTGAACAAGTGCACGAGATAGCTCTGCATGTTTGCAGGACGCGATTCAAGCCAAAACTTCGTATAAACCACTGCAAGCAGATATTAGAAATTGGATCCCGGGTGCTGTGAGAAGTGTTCTTACTTACAGGGCGAGGTTTCCAGAGCCCCAAGAAGGAAAACAATGGCAAAGACGATGAAAATAACTGGTCTAGAACTAGAACTGTAGTAGAACGCAAATAATGACCATTGGTTAGCATCGTTAGATGAACGTCGCATCAAGTCGTAGTCGTCTTGAAAACCGTTCAATTTTTCCAACATGTTTTCTTTTGGGGGTTCTCTCAGCTGTTTCGTAGGCGTTATTGGCTGTTTCAGCTTGGGCATCAGCTTGATAGCCTCAGGCACACTGTGTGAGGTAGCGCGACCGTTCACTCGAGTGAGAATTACTTGATCAGCGTGCCAGATCCAGTCGCCTAAAATGAATCAGCCAAGGTACTCTTTTACGAACTGACTTGAACTTACTATTCTCAGTAGCCACGATGACTGTTCTGCCTTGCTCTTTGAGAAGTCCGGTACTCCCAAGGAGCTCTCCAAACATGAAAACGCCCGTCTCACGCTCTTGGCCCTGGAGTATATCGTCTATAATTATCGTAGGAGCCGAGGAATAGACAGCTCTAGCAAGGGCCTAAACCAAGTTAGTGGCACGCTCCTTTACATTATGTAGGTAATATATCATTACTTACAATTCGTTGCCGCACGGGGCTAGCAATTTTCTGACTATCTATACCAGCGCTTATATCACCTGGAAACATATTATCATGGTCCGAGAGAACGCAAGCCTCCAAAACAGATCTGTAGCGTTCTGGGTCGTACTTGCATCCTCCAATAATGATGTTTCTAACCGTCTCATTTGGAAGCCATGAGTCATAGTCGCAGAATGCAATTTGTTGGTCAGCCATTTGAATGGTTCCTCTTTCAAGGTTCGCCTCTCCCATCAAGGCCTTTAGTAGAGTCGATTTGCCTGAAGCGGGAGGGCCAACAACCATAACCACAGTAGATTTGGCAATGGAAAAGTGTAAGCGATCCAACACCAGCCTATCTGAGTCTCTGGCTACGACAGTGACGTCTGTTAGAGAAAAGCAACGTTGTTTGAAGGCCTCTTCCACTTCGTCTTCTTCCGCGTCGGTGAATTCGCTGTGCTCTTCGTCGCTAGAATAATAGCTGGATTCATCGCTGTACTCGTCGCTGTACTCGTCGCTGTATTCATTACTGGAGTCGTCGTTATACACAACCTTGCGTCGGCACTTATCACCAAGTGCAAAGTCCCTAATGATGCGGCCATCAATTCTCTCGGGCAATAACAAATAGTTCTCAATATTGGAAAAGTGCGCGAGCAGGGCATTGAGTTGTGAAGCGGTGGTGAAGATGGATGAGATCGGGGTAGTAACCGGACTGAGAAGCACAAGTACGGTGACGACCGGCATCGGCTGCAGACCATACTTGAACCGTGTCAAAACCAAGGCCCCAATCATGGTGACCATGTATGTGCTCCAGTAGCTGAGTGGGCCTGTGACCATGGTTAGCAGATATTGGATATGAATGGAGAATAAGATGGACAAACGGGATGCGGTAATCAGCGCCCGCGTATCTTGAAGTGCCCAAAACAGGTCCATCTCCTTTTCAAAAAGGCCATGGAGAAATTGGCCCATGATATGTTCAAAGCCCATTATCTTTAACCAGCTACGGTGAGAGAGCATGTGGTGCATTTCAGCGTTTCGAGTTTCGGCAGCTTCTTTCCAAGGCGGCAAGACCTCATCTATCATTCCTCTACGGATCATTGGAGTAAAGAGCGTAACTGTAAAAGGGTTAGCGGTTTGTAGAATAGCGGGCGTTGACTTTGATAGGTCCGTACTCGCAGCGACAATGAGCGGCAATAGTGCTGCATAGCCGATCATTTTTGTTAATAAATAGACACCGGTGGTCGCCTGCAAAAGATTGGCTGCCAGATCAAAGCAAGACGTAAAGTTTTCTACGATTGCGTCGACGTCAGTTGATAGATGGTCAAGTACCGCAGCATCCTGAGCTTCGACCTGATCCAGTCGTGTCGTCTTGGTGATAATTTCATGTGTGAGAATAGTGTACAGATTTATAACACAGTGTCTGAGACAGTAATCATAGAGTGCAGAAGAGATCTATATACGGTTAGAAAGACGGGCTACAACAACGGAGTCGTGCGAACTGACTGCATATCCGAGGTAAATAACCGCTGTTGTCAGGATCAAACTCTCGGCGCTCCATGTGTCGCGGCGCGCTGGCTCAAAAGATATAAAAATTTCTTGAATTAGAAATGGAATAGCAAGCTTAAAAACGGCCATGAGCACTCTGGGAATGGCGCTGAGCCAGAATAACCGTCGCAGAGCTCGTGTGCAGGCTCGAAGCAGCGCTGGTCGTTTCGTTTTGTTGCCTAAAATCGCCCGTAAGCAATACATCCCAGACGATGGCATAGAAGATTCTATAAGTACGTACATGATGTCCAAATTGGTTCAAACTCTGCAGCCAGAGTCTTAGAATCGAAGTCTGGCCCGAGACTCGACATCGCAGGCAACGTGACTTGGCCGCTGAAACCTGAACGAAGCATCTTGGGCAGCCATAGCATCATTATCTGATTCCAGAAGCCACCATTCTCGCTGCCGGTGGGATTCACAGAAACCAGCGGCTGTGTTGGCGGAGGGACTTCAGGTGAGACCTCGAGCAACAAAATCTCCGTTAGCTTCAATGCTACGGTCAACGTCGTAGGAAGGATATCTTTCCACGTTGAATATAGCGCGAACTTGTAAAGCCGCACAATATCATTAGTGGCGGACAGTGAAAGACAGCCACCCACAATCACCGACGACTGTACTTGGCGGGTGTGGCGCATGCTAAGAGCTGCGGCGACGAGGCAGGCCTCTACAACTGCAAGAAATGGGGGGCCTGTTAATAGCATCGCCAGTATATCCACTTGCTCGATTTCAAGAGAATGCTTTAGGACCTGGCATAGCATCAATCCCAGTGCTAATATCTGGACACAGGGTTAGTCTCGCACCGCCGCCCAACAGGGCACACAACAAATGGCACATACCAGCATGAGAACACGACGACTGCGGAGAGGCAGTGTAGCCGTTTCTTTACTCGGCCATAGGAAATACGGAAGAGCTATGGCCAAGATGAGCGTAGGAATAGTCGTAATGGTGGCGATGACAACAGGATTGGCCAAAGTGGTAAGCAGCTCACGATGCCCAGACAGCACACCCGGGATGCCTTGACCAATCATGCGATTGTATGTAACCGCCATTTTGAAGGGTCGTATTAGATTTTCCTATTGGCGAGTTTGCCGGTGACTCTCGTCGCGTGTTGCGGCGCAATGGATGAGGGTTGGAGAGTCGCTGTTGGTTGGTTGGTTGTGATGCAACGGCGATGATCGACCGGCGGTTAGCACTGCACGTGCGGAGTCACGCTACTCGCGCCGTGGATGGGCCGTGCGCTGCGGGGGAGGCGGGCGCCTACGGAAATTGCTTGTGCCTCGGGTGATTCATCTCAAGTTTCTACATCGATAAAAACAAATCAAATATTTAAAGGCCCCGATATTCTGGGAAGGAACTTGAATATAATATATTGTCAAGAACAGCGACCTTTGCACCCTACTGCTGGATTCTCGGCCTAGAGATGGAAATCGTGGCACAACCATTTGCCCCTGACCGAGGGAACCTATTTTCCCTCCTTTAGCCAATCGCAGCCTTGGTCCTAAGAAATCGGGCTCAACGGTTCGATGCTGTAACCATGATTGCGCTAATTCATGCACCATGCAGCAGCACCGAGTTGGCGGTACCCAAGTACTAACCCGTGACATTTCTCTTCGCATTCATACGTTTGCGTATTTAATTCTATTTATCACAAATATTACAGGCAGGATATTCATTTTCGGCAGATTTCTTTGCGGCATTTGCTGTTGCGCACAACGGCGTGACCGCTTCATTCGTCGCAAGTACAGCTAGGCGCTGCGGCAGGGCGGTGGTTATAAGCTTTATTCCAGCACACGCTCAGGTGAGGGCAGGGCAAACGCCATTTTCATTACTTCATTATTCCACACAAATAAATTCCACTGCAGCTTTATCCGCCCGCTCTTAGTGATGTCATGGCGCGGGTCTTTCCTCGACCGTTTTGCTACCGTTTGACCACCGTCTGACTTCCCCATCATCCACATGGGCGGCATCTGGACCCCGTGAACGTCGAATGCCAATGTTCCCACCAAAGCTTAACTTGGTCCATTGTTGATCCCAGAGCTGGAAGCCTGGATGGGGCGATTGGGGGCGGGCTGGCTGCTGGTCCGGATAATTCTACCATCATGACGCCTCGGTGGCTGAGCGCTCATCGGCACCTGCAGGATCGTCAACAGAAAAGGGAAAAGAGCAACAGCGGCCTATCTGGTCTTCTCGGATGCCTGCCAATAAGCTTTGGCCCATATTCAGGCACATTCACCATGGGAAAGGTGAAGGAGAGTAGGGGGCCTTGAAAGCGCCACAGGGCTATGTGGCCGCCAGCTGACATTCCACCCACCATCGACAACCTTGAAGGGAGTTACAGAACAGCAGCGTGTCTATTCACTATAGACTTGGAATAAACCACGATTGTACTGGAAGGATAGGGATATACATGAGAGGCTTAAAATACGGGCATTGACTGCAAAGGTGCAGTAGGGTGAGAAACGCCCAAGAACATGGTGTCGTGTGCAGTATGGAATAGAATAACTTGTCGCTCGGATGTACCGGTTGTCTCAAAGAGAGCATTCACCTGCATCTTCTTGCTTTAGCAGTGTGTCTGTGGCTACTTGGCGTCCCGTTTGCTCTGGGATATCCGCAGCCTAGTGCCTGCTGCCACTTGTTCTAGCTTCGGAACGTCGCGCGCTCTGCGCCCGAAGAGGATGCGGAGGAGAAGGAGGAAGGACTCGGACGGAACAATTCATCCGAATTGGTGTGTAGACTAAGGCGAATGCAGACAACAACCACAAAGGATTACACGAGTATCAGGAGACGCTGAATGTTAGCATGGGCGGACAATGACTTTGGGTTGAGGGGTAACTGGCGTTCTTGTTGAATATAAAAAGTGTCCGAGTTTCTCTGCGGACTTTTCTCTCGATTTATATCAGAGTACAATTTCTTACCAAAGGGCTACAATAACAACAACTTACACGTTATTTCCCACTCTCTTCACTATGAAGTTTTGCTGTTCCCGTTATGGCATTTGCTGGCTTGGCCGCAGCCTAGGCTTGCAGCAAGAGTAAGTCACCACGCCGGTCTCAATACATAGTAATGGATAGAATTGCTAACCAGATGTTTCATACTAGGTAGTGATTGTCTTCCTGGATTTTGCTGCCGCGCCAATCCCGGCGGTGGCAATGCCTGCACCCTCCTCAGCATCGTTAGACAGACCTCAGCATTGTTAGACAGAGTTGCAGTAAGTGTGCTATGCTTGATGCTAACACTAGACATCACAGCCGCAGGAGCCTTGGATCCTAACCGGGTTTATACTCAGTGTTCTTGCGTGGACATCTTTGCGTGTACTAATAACGTTTGCCAGCTTTAAGCGCAAGCGTTGAGCGTGTGGAAGTCTGGGCATTCAGACCGGTAGGAAGGATAGATTTTTTTTGGTTAGATAGCTTTGCGAGAAACCAAATCGCTTCCATCTTTGTACTGCTTTCATGTGATGACCTGCGTCGCTAAAGAGGAGTGGTTGATGATGGTCTGTAGTAGTATTTTGCTTTGGTAGTTGTTAGCGACCCGACAGGCTGGTCCACAGGGTTTTTTCCAGCGATCTGCAGGTCCACTGTAACGAAGCCCCATCGCTTTACAGTATCGGTAGATGCAGCCGCCAGCTCTGTTACAGTAGTGGGGACAGGAACCAAGATCAGATGGAAGGGGGGGCAAAGATAAAAGCAGCTAGCAAAAAAAGAAGAAAAACCGAGATATCAAGGGGACCATGAAATGAAAACGGTCTTCTGCGCAATCACCATCTGTAATTAGCTCCTCATCTTTTTCTCGCACCTGGCAATTGGCGCTGGCATCTGGCACTAACACGTGTGATACCCTACACGACATTTTTCCAATGCAGAAACAAGATAACATTCACCACGCCCCCACCCAAACATTGCCTTACGTCTTTGAATCCTTCGAAACCCCACCAGCAGCACAGCGAGGAACTTTTTATTTTGGCAAAAGACAGGGACATGACAAAAGCACCGAAAATGGATTTGCGTTATCAACCCCCTTCCTCGGAAATCTGCTCTTCCGCCACGAGAGCACTCGCCCCTCTTCACCTACCTCTGTTCCGCCAATTTTGCCAACCGCATCATCTGCTTCTTCATCTTCCTCTTTCAGCCACACATTCTCCAGCTCTTTATTGCTGTGGATGAGACTGCACCATCTCCACACATCCATCGAAGCTCAGTATGAGTGCTACTGGTGACGAAGATGGCCGCCGGCCAAAGAGGGTTCGCACCACCGAGCAGCTCCAACGAAAACGAGAGTCCGATCGTGTCAAGCACAAAATCAATCGCGCTGAGAGTAAAACCCGCCTCGAACACATTGAGCAGGAAGTCATCACCACTCGCAAAAATGTCGACGAACTAATGGCTGTCCTCGAACTACTGCGAGCTAACCCCCTCGTCTCCGGCCTTCTTGGCCTCAATAGTCCCAGTTCGTCCGCCGCCAACACCCCAGGCAGCACTGCAAACGCGAAATCACCAGCATCGGCGTTGTCCAAAGCTGGTCTGCCGGTGCGAGCATCTACCCAGACACGCAGTGTTGTAAGGCCCACCAGCAGAGTAGACAAACCTTCGTCGACGACAAAGAAGCCTGCTCCATCCAGTCGAAATAATAGAAATACAAACCCCAAGGCCTGGCCTGTCCACCAACATGAAAACGGCATGTATAGCAAGTGCTACTGTGGCATTGAACATCCAAATGGCGATATGAATCTTTGTATTGAGAGTGTCAGCTTGGACTTTCTTTTCCGTGCGCAGCAGCGCCTCGCTGAGGATCCAACCAGCGGAATAAACCTGCGACTGAATCTTACTCTTAATGAATACTTGATGATCCAAGGCGATAACATAGTGTCAGCACTCATAGTCAAGGTCATGAAGCAGTTTGAGTTTCCGTCACAGCCGTCAGCGTTTGGCTGGTTATTCATCTGCTACAGACTTGCTCGGGTCCGTCGCTTGTTTCCATACCCTTTTTTGCACAAATAGGCGCTAACGTTCTTCTAAATATATAGTGGAGACTAAACCCAACAGCAGAAAACTTTCAAGGTGTCCCGGAATGCGTCTACCCGACTAACCTACAAAACAGTGTCCCCCATCCTATGAGTCTTACGGCACTACCATGGGCGCAGCTTCGCGATTACATTATTCAAGACCAAAACAACGACTATCGAAGAGATATCCAGATGATAATCAGTTCGAGCACACTCATGTGGCCAGACAATAAGCCGCTAATTTGCAGGGATGTTGGGTCTGGCTATAAAGTACACCCAGATTTTGAGCAATTTGCGAGCAAGGAGTGCAATTGGCGGCTCGCGGGGCGTTTCAGAGAGTTATTTCCGCATCTTGATTACATAGCGCCATGGCATGGGCCAGAGTAACATTATCACAGTCTCATTTACAAGTCCGATATTTGTTGCTTGGGAATAGCACCATATCTACAATATATTACACAATCCAACTAGCAAAGAATATTCAAGCCCAATCAACATGTTCGCTTAATGCCCTCCGGACGCCAAACTGTTTCGAAATAGCCACCCAGTTACCCGTATAGCACACAATTCGGAAAGACGGCAGATCGGCGTCTTCCCCAAACGCCTTGGCCAACGCCTTCTCCACCACGTCATAGTTGACAAAGCCCAAATTCTCAACAGCCTCTTTGGTCAACAACTCGGTAAACATCTTTTGCAGGCTTCCCTCCTTTGGCCACTTGGATGGTGCCCAAAAGGTGACCTTGCGGCGGTTGTACAGCTCGTCCGTGATGAAGGGCTTGGAGGCCTCGCGCAAAATCCACTTTTCAGTGAGGTGCTGGAACGCTGATTGAGGTGCAGTCTTTTGGTTATCGGTCTCGAGCGGCGTATAGGATATTTTGACTGATGGTGGGAGATTGTTGACGTATTCGGCAAGATGGTGATCGAGGAACGGAGTGCGACCCTCGATGCTGTTTGTCATTTCGGAGCGGTCACCCTGGCACGCCAAAACAACGTTGATGAGGATGGACTTGTTCCACAGATACATGCCCGTGTTACTGGGGTGCCATCGTTCGCGCATGTTTCGCTGAACATCGGCTGGATGTGCATCCATCAGCGCTTTGGTGCTGTCCCAGCCCGCACTCTCGTAGTGCTCGTGCACCCACGGCGCATACACCTTCTTCATGGGCTGCCACGCCAGAAGTCTGTCTGCCATGGTGCTGCTTCTAAAATCGGGCACAGGAGCACCGGGAACCGACTTGACAACTTGCGGACGCCAGACGGCATCAATCTCGGCCTGGGCTGTATCGCAGAGACCCTGACGAAGCTGGCTGTCGGCGGCGAGCGGCGAATCAGGTAGAGACATGTCTGGTTCGCGCAAGAACTCTGCAGCAAAGCTGGGGTAGCCGCAAAAGTGTTCGTCAGAGCCCTCGCCAGTGAGCACCACTTTGACGCCGTGACTGCGCGTAAACTCCGATAGGGCCTGTTTGGCCACAGCGTTGAGATCCATGTGGTGGTGCTCAAAGTGGTATGCGGCGGAGACAAATTCTTTAGCCAGGTCGTCTTCGCGCATCAGTAGCTTATGGCAGTTAACCCCGAGCCACTCCGAGGTTCGGTCAGCGATGCCTATTCAAATGGCTCGTTAGTGTCGTCACTTATGATTCGATAATAGAGGGATACTAACCAGACTCGTCATAACCTGATTCCTTCTCGAACTGGATGCTAAAGCACGAAACGCGATCTGTGATTTCGCTTCCTAGCTTGAGGTTCTCCTTACGAACAAGGTCTGTAACAATACCTACTACCGCAGAGGAGTCGATGCCACCAGACAAGTAGACGCCGACCGGGACGTCAGCTCGCAGACGCATGCGGATAGAATCAACCAAGAGTTCTCTTGTACCCTCAACCATCTCGTCTATGGACCTTGGATCCTTTATACGCTATTATACAGTTAGAACATACCCTCTTGCAGATCTTATCGCTCTCACTCACCTTGTCCGGATATTGCGCGTCCCAGTATTTGTGAATTTGAATGCCTTGATCTTTGCTAATCCCCATCCAGTGGCCGGGCATGAGCTTCTTGACGCCCTTGAATATGGTTGCGTCGTTTACAAGCCAGTGACAGTTTGTGATGCCCTTGACATCCCATTCTGGTTTCCAGCCCATACCGAGCAGGGCTTTTGCCTCGGACGCGAGCAAGACACGGCCATCCACAATGGCCCAGACCAGTGGCTTGATGCCGAAGCGGTCACGGCCGGCGATGATGCGCGCCACATCTGGGCGATTGTCGAATATGACAAAGGCGAATTCGCCGCGCAGGTGCTCAAACAGACCGGGCGAGCCATAGATTTTGTATAGCGCAATGACGAGCTCGCTGTCGCTCTCGCTGGCAAACTTGTAACCGTGGTCGGATGCACAGTGTTCGCGAAGACGGTCATAGTCGTAAATCTCGCCATTTACAATGGCATGGATGTTACCGTCGTCACTGTGTAGAGGCTGGGTTCCGCGAGCGGACAGATCGTTGATGGAAAGTCGGCAGTGGCCAAGGCCCACCTGGCCATCATCGCTAATCCAAGTGTTGTTTCCATCTGGACCGCGATGCTTGATGTATTCAAGACCTGAGAGCAGGTTTTGTTCCAACTGTTCAGCGCTAGGGCTCGATCCTAACGCTGTGGCAGTTGTGTATGGACCGACATTAGGGCATGCGCAGCTTGCCAGAATGCCGCACATTTTGGGCGATGGGAGTTGCAGGTAATTAGATTCGACACGAAGTTTGTACCGTTAAGAGTGAAACCAGGAAAAGAGGTTTGTATGTTTCAAGTGTGTGCTAAAGGTCCCAAGAGTGAAGGAATCTGAGACGGGGAGAGGGTAGACGGTAAACCCTCGTTCAGCGACGGCTAACCTGATCACATTACGAACTACAACTGCTGAAATAGACATGCACCTTTGCGAAAGTATACCAAGCTTTGTTCTCGGCATTTTAGCAAGCCACGTCTGACTCGGTTCGGTGAATCTGGGCTTTACTGCCAATTTCGCCGTCATTGCCAACGGAAAAACAAGTCGTCAGCAACGTGGAAAATGGTCCAATGGACAAGTATGTCACGACGATGCTCGTTCCTATCGTGTTGAACATTTACAGTACACTAAGAAACACGGCCAGCAGAGTAGGGTGTGCATATCCAGCAACGGGCATATCACCGGGGGATCCCCCGCGGGCAGAATTAAGCAATCTCAGGCTTAAGCGGGAGCAACGCCAACGCCCAAAGGGGACTAAGACGGGAGAATGGTGCAATGCTATTGGCTACGCGTGGGAAGCGTGGGCGGACTCAGCGCATCGCCACGCCCTCGCTCTCGGCAAAAAAGAAGAATATCACGCAACGGGCCTCTGCTAGGGTGTGTAGACTACGAGAGTTGTCGGCTGCAAATCTTCCGTCTACTAGAATACGCACGCGATGCATCTAAAGATGATCCCCGACGCCCCTCGCCCCCACGCAACAAGTGCGGCAGTTCATCCATAAGGCGAAACAACGCTTAGTTTCTAGCGTCCACCCTTTTTTAGGCTCAACCAAACGAACTTAGCGCTTACCTGCAGACCGTATCTTGGCCCATCTTTGAGACGCACGCCCACCCCCTAAACACTAGACGATAAACAGGGAGGGTTAGGTACCAGTCGAAGTGCCAGAAGGGTTGGTCCCCCATCTCGGAAGGTTTAGCGTCTGTTGCTTTGCTGGCTAGCACGGAGATAGCATGTCCCGTGTTGTTGCAACGCGGTGAAAGGCAGACGACACACGCCAACATTGTCAGCAGCTACAGAGGAAGTGTGTGATCTTTCTGTGCTGCATCAATCGCCAACTTTTGTGCTGGAAGCAACTTCCACACGCAAACATCAAAAATGTTGGAAATATTTCGCGATACCCCTATTGGGCACCTGATTCGCTTCCTCTCCAAGAACCGTCTCCTCCAGTACCCCGAGGAAGCTGCCGACTTTGCGCTGCCAGTCGAGGCAAAGCGCGACGCTGGAAGCAACTCATCGGATCAAGATGTCGTCGTGATTTCATGGTACGGCGACGACGACGCGGCCAATCCGCAAAACTGGTCCAAGATCAAACGTGCCGTGGTCTCGTTTGTGCTGTGGTACTACACGTTTACCGTCTACGCCACGGCGTCCATCTACATCAACTCCATCGGTGGCATCATGGAGGAGTTTGGCGTCGGCACGATTGCTGCCACACTGGGCTTCTCGCTCTACGTGCTGGGCTATGGTATCGGGCCCATGGTGTTTTCACCGCTGGGCGAAATTGCCGCGATTGGGCGCAACCCGACGTACATTCTCACCATGATTGTCTTTGTCATCCTCTCCATTCCGACCTCGTTTACTCCGACGTATGCGGGATTGCTTGTTCTGCGTTTCCTGCAGGGCATCTTTGGATCGCCGTGTCTCGCGACTGGCGGCGCCACGGTTGCCGATATGTACAGCATGGCGGTGCTGCCGTATGCAATGCTGGCGTGGGTATCTGCGTCGTACTTTGCCCGTAAGTACCTCTTTGCTTTCTTTATATGAAATGCACCGCTAACATATATGCAATAGCTGCTTTAGGACCATTGCTGAGCGGATTCATTGCTCCTGCGACGAATTGGCGCTGGGCCTTGCATACATCGCTAATTCTGTCGGCGTTTGCCCTCGTGCTTATGCTCCTGTTGCTCCCAGAGACGAGCCACGACAATATTTTGCTTCGACGTGCGGCACGAATTTCACGAGCGACAGGTGTGCGTGTGCTTGCGCCGAGTCAAGCGCGCAAGACAAAGCTGGATGCCATGGGTGTGTTTGTCGATGCCATCATCAAGCCGTTGGAAATCAGCATCAAAGATCCTGCCATTTTGTTTGTGCAGATATACACGTCCATCATCTACGGCATCTACTACTCTTGTAAGTATCAACTCCTCTTCTTTCCCATACATAAAATTATGCTGACACCCATATCCAGTCTTTGAGGCATTCCCACTTGTGTACCCAACAGAGTATGGTATGAGCACATCTCAGCTCGGCCTCGTCTTCCTGTGCATTCTAGTAGGTGGTGGAATCGGCATCCTCATCTACAGCATGATTGTGTATTCTATGAGTGGCAAAGCCACCACAGTCAACGAGAGCCGACTGGTCCCTGCACTAGGCTTCGTCTTTGCGCCGACGATTGGCCTGCTTCTGTTTGCGTGGTCGGCACGCAGCTCTATCCACTGGATTGTGCCGACAATTGGCATCACCATGTTTGCGGCTGGTGGCTTTGTGGTGTTCCAGTGCATCTTCATCTATGTGCCCATCAGCTACCCTCAGTATGCGGCGAGTTTATTTGCCGCCAATGGCTTCTTTCGCAGCACCCTTGCGGCCGGTAGCGTGCTCTTTGCGCATCCTCTATTTGACAATCTGGGCATTGCACGGGGAGTCAGCTTGTTGGGGGGACTGAGTGTGATTGGTATTGTTGGTATGTGGCTGCTGTATGGCTATGGTGCCAAGTTGCGAGCCATGAGTAGATTTACCGCCTAAGCACATCTTTTTGCAATGTGTAGTATATTTTGAAAGTCATCATGTTTACGAGGCGTTTGCCATTATGGTTCAAATAATAAAAGTGTATATATTTCAAGTAACCCTATTTACAAGCGCAGACGGACGGCTCGACTAGAAAGCGCAAAAAGAACAAACAACATGTACAATAAAGAACAAAAATCAGGAATCACTTAATCAAAGTGAATACGCCACAACTCGCGCGGCATCTCCGAGTTAAAGTCGCTGCGGGTGTGCATCATGGCAATGTTGTCGCTAATGACAACATCCCCCTTATCCCAGGAATGGTAATACGCCACACGGCGATCATGCAGCGTCTCGTCAATAGCACTGCAGATCTCTGCGCTCTCCTCGGGGCTGACATCTTCAATGTCCACATATGTCGCTTCAAACTTGGTCTTGGACGTGGGCCACGGCTCATGATAGCGCAGGCAGGGTTTACCGGTTGAAGGATGCGATACCACAAGCGGTAGCTCCTTGAGGACAGTGGAGTTGAACGAGGATGTCTTGACGGACCAAGTCAGTTGGGACAGCGTGTCAACGGTCATACTGGGAGGCAAGTTGTTGAAGAATCCCGTAGAAGATGAGAAGATGGTGTAGCCCGTCTTCTTGGGGGACGCTGTAGCACCAACAAAGTACTGGAACCCGGGGTAGTTGGGTACAAGTATCTCCTTGCCATCCTCTCCCGTCTTGGTCATGGTCTTGAAGAGACCATCAAAGTGGAAGGGCATCCATTCAGCGGACAAGACATTGTTGAGGCCACGAGTGTCACTACCTTGGTCCTTGACTTCAAGAACGAGGCCAAACTTCCAAGGCGTGGGTTCACCCAACTCATACGCCTTTTCAACGTACATGTCTCTGTTGGTGGTATTCGCAAAGCCACGCAGGACAATGGGCGAGCCGACCTCAGCCAGCTTGCGGACCTTGGGAGCATCAAGATCTTGGATGGAGAGGGCCTTTTTGCCAGCGGTAGGCGTGACGAGCCATCCGCAAGGGTAAATGGGAGCACAGGTGACACCGCCCTTGGCCTCAGCCCAGGTGAAGACGTCGGACTTTTCGCGGAAGTAGCTGGGACGATCGTTTTCGTAGATGAGCTCAAAGCGGTCGTCGGCCTCCAAGTCGCACTTCATGGCGCTGGTAACGGTGCCGTCCATCATGTAGGCAATAGTGCAGTGCCAGGGCGTGGTGAACATGGAAGTGGTGGGCAAGAGGCTGACAGACAGCTTGGTGGCGCCTGTGGATGGATGAATAGACAAACGGACGTAGTCTTTGAACTTTTGGCGGACACCGCGAGCAAAGGCCTGTTTTGGAGGTTGTTAGCTGATGGTTTGGTAGGCAAGTGAAAGAGAAATACGGACATCACCACGGGCCATCATCTCCTTGGCAATGTACTCGAGACCACGCTTAAACTTGGACTTTGTGCGGTCATCGCAGATGGGATACACAGTTTCGAGATCGGTCTGAAGGAACTTGAGATAACCACGATATGTCATACAAACATCCGGATTCTTGGAGACCTCGTTCCAGTCCCAGCCGGGCTCGCTGAAGGTGTTGAGGAAGGCTCGGCGGAAGTTGGTGGCGTTGGCGACGTAGGTCATTTCATCGAGTGACTCGGGTAGATCAAGGGTAACAAGATTGCGAAGTCGAGCAAACTGTATGTGGTGGAAGCCCTTTTCGGCGGCCATGGCACGGAGTGTTTCACCGTACTTCCAAACATCTCGATCCGGGACGCCGAGTAGGTCTGTTGTTCGGTGTAAGTCAGTATAAACGTCATCTTATTTACTCGATAGAAGCTTTTGGCTTAGACATACCATTGTAGACTAAGCCATCCGAAATAATTGTAATCTCGGCACCAGGAGAGTAAATGTCCTGGATGGAGCGGCAGAGGCCGTTGAGATGGGCCAGAGCAACCTCTTCCGCCTTATCTGGAAGACTGCCCAGGACCTTTGTTCTGCTGTTGGGAGACTTGAATGGAAACGCAGGCAGACACATGGGAACCACATTGCCCGCCTTGACGTGACTGTAGATGAGAGCGAGGAAAGTCAAGGCACCTTCGTCAGCACGGTTTGCCACGGGACTGTTGGACGAGGTCTTCTTGAGACGATAACGCTCAATGACGCGGAGAATCTGTGAGGCCGTGTCAAGAGCTGAAGTATCAATGATGGCAGACATGGATGCTGCAGCTGCCACCACAGATGTAGTGTCTGTGTGAATGCTGTGTGGCGGCGAGGAAGAGCCAGGCATCTTGTTGAGGTGCACAAAGGGCCCTCCGTTGAGCACTGGTGAAAGAGCCATAATGATTTGATGGAGTACAAATAGAGAAGAAAGAATTAAAGGAAAAAGATTATCACGACTCTACCAAAATCAAGGAGAGAGGGGGAATGGGGGACAAAGGATGGACCTGGTGTAAGTTTTAAACGGGGATTACAAGGCCCGGGTCCGTCACCACCACTACTACAGGCTTGTTGTATAGTACCCGACTGTCTCAGCTGGTCCCAATTACAGAAGGCCCATGGCCTCTATCACAAAATGGAAAAGACGGAATATACACCGGAGGAATAGGGAGGGGGCGCAGAAGTCCCTGTGGCCAATCCGCTGTTCCATGGCCTTGGTTGCTGGTGTTGCTGACCAGGCCCAGCGCTGGAAGAGGCCGAAATACCGCCATCTCCAGTACACTTACAGAGTCAAAGGAGGCGAAGCTGAAATACGGCGTGTAAAACGCTGGTCACGATGATTGGTGGCATCGCAAACAAGGGGGCGTGTGTAAGAGAAACTTGGCTCTGGTCTTAGCGTCATTCTGTATAAGCACTTGCTAGCGTGGCCCCCACACAGCGCCACTGCCTGCCCGGGGCAGGATTATTCATTTTCTTTTCTCTTGGTTAGTGGAGATTTCGGCTAGATTTCGTTTGGGTTGGTTTCAGCCGCTGGGTGAATTGGGAGAGGAGGGGGTGCGTGTAAGAGAAGGACATGGGAAGGCATTCAACGGTTGGAGTACGTCGCTCTGTGTCGGCCAGACGTCTTTGTACTCTTTGCTTTCGGTTGTTGAATACAGCGGTATCGGCCTTCTTTTTCCTTTTTCTTGTATTTTTCCAAGTTCGAGAACTTGCTGCTGCCGCTGTTGCTCTTCTTCTTACTTGGACATCACCACCACCATTATCATTACAATTACAACCAGTTACTACTGCTACAGTTCAAGAACAATGTCTCCGGCTGTGAAAAATAGCGACGCTGAAACCGTCGACGTCGCCATTGTCGGCGGTGGCCCTACCGGTTTAGCTACTGGTTTGCTGCTGCAGCGTCTGGGCGTCTCTGTGTCCATCATTGGTACGTCAACAACCTGGAGATATTATATGTTAAATGCACAAATCATTGCTAACACAGAAACTCAACGACAGATGGAAAGCCTGCCAGCTTAGATCTCGGTCGCGCAGATGCCCTCAACGCCCGCACCCAGCAGTACCTCGAGCTCGCCAACTTGCTCGATGACCTCACTGCCGTCGGCCTCGAGTGCAACAGTACGTCTTTTCTCTTAACTATCATCCTCCGCTGTTCAATCCACTAACATTCGCTTCTTATAGCCAGCTCAACGTTTGGTGCAGGCGCCTTCAAGTCCCGCCAGAACGAATGGTGGGTTGGCCTACAGCACTGTCTTCACAAAAACTTCCTCATGATTGGCCAGCCCGTCGTCGAAAAGATGCTCAGCGACAGACTCGGCCCTGTTGTCCACTACGGCGAAAAGGTCGTCGCCATTACTGAAGACGAGGCCTCTGCTGAAGTCGTCACTGACTTGGGCCGTGTAGTCACAGCCAAGTATGTGCTTGGTGCAGATGGCGCTCGTTCCTTCTCACGATCTGCCATTGGGGCTACATTCACAGGCACCAAGCCGGAAATGCTCTGGGCTGTGCTCGATGTCTTTATCGAGACCGACTTCCCCCGTTGCGCCGAGATCATCACTTTTGAGCTCGACGGCCAGTCGCGTGTCTCGTGGATTCCCCGTGAGCGCGGCCTCTGCCGATTTTACGTGCTGCTTGATGGTGAAGTAACGCTGGAACGCTCGCAAGAGTCCATTAAACAGCACATGGTGCCTCACAGAGTCGAGTTTACCAAGGTGGAATGGTACAGCACGTTTGACGGTAAGCACAAGTCTTCTTTCATTCTCAACGATGCTATCGTAAGCATACTAACAGACCTTGCTATCTACAGTCAAGGAGCGAATTGCCAACACATTCATTTCCAAAGACGGCGCTGGCCGCGTCTTCCTTGGTGGCGATGCCGCCCATGTACACTCTGTCAACGGTGGCCAAGGCCTCAACACGGGTATTGCAGATGCCTTCAGCGTAGCCTGGCGTCTTGCCATGGTTCTTACCAACCCTCGATTGCAGCCCGGAGCCGCACAAAAGATTCTTCACAGCTACGATGATGAGCGCCGTAGCACTGCTCAGGGTGTCATTGACGTGGCTGCTGCGCTGGTTCGCGATACTGTCCGCGAGGCCAAGACATATGTGGGCACAATTGAGCGCAACGCAGGCTACATTACCGGCATGGGCGTTGCCTATGATGAGTGCCAGTCTCCCATTGTTACTGAGTCGAGCGTCGGTATCTGGAAGGCCGGTTACCGATGCCCTGATGTTGTCGTGACACCCATTGCTGGCAGTGAGAGCCGCTGGTTGTACCAAGAGGCTTCATATGGCAAGTTTGTAGTGCTTCAGATTGGTGAGCAGCAGCTCTCCGGGCTCGGCTTTGGCCAAGATGTCACCATCTATAAGATTACGGGCACAGCGGCTGAGGACAGCCACGAGGACGCCAATGTCAAGAGCTTCTTGGCGGATTGGATTACGCCCGAGGATTCGGCCATTGTGGTGGTCAGACCCGACTTTTACATTGGCCACGTTGGTAGAGACGTCGAGGCCACGAGACAATATCTGGGATCTCTGTTCAAGAATGAGTAGAGAGTAGCCTCACGGTTCTAAGACACTGTTCATTTCTTGTTTTTATTGTATATAGTAATTATACTCCGTTAATTAGCATCTCCAAATCCTGCACTTTGTATTCTTTGGCCACTTACACACGTGTGCTCTGGTCCTGCTGTAAATGAAATACGAGTCACGCAACATACAACACGGCATCTGACTTTCGCAGTCAATACCCCAAAAAGAGTACCCCGATGGTCACTTTCTTTCTAGAACGGCTCTTTCTCCAAAAGATCCTCTCCAAAAACGAAACGTAACGTAAAAGAAGAGGTAGGGGGGGCGTGTAAGCGTTGCGTGCCCCATCCGCTAGTGGAGATGGGGGACGCCACGGAGAAATAGACACTAGCGCCCGTGGTCATGAAGAGTAGCCAATTACGGGCATTCTTTTGATGTAGACGACCTGGGCTACGGTTCTAGTCTAACTTGAAGCTAGACAGAAGGGTGTGTAAGGGTCTGGCAGAAGACCGAAGCCGGTTGACCATGAAGAACCAAACCACGACAAAGGGAACGCGTATCAGCTAGTGGTTTAGTTGTTAGTAACCAGCTATGCAAATATATCGTCCCACTGGTCTTTTAGCCTCTGAATCTCTCTCTTTCATCATTTCCTGCCTCCCAGACATCTGTTCCCCTTTCGCTCCCTCTCCCTCTCTTACACCACTTACACGCAGCCCATAAACCCCCCAACACGACAACCACAACCACAACTCTCAAAAATGGACAACTCATTGGATGCTCTCCATGCTTCCCAGCTCTTCTCCGTCAAGGACCTCGTCGCTGTGATTTCCGGCGGTGGCTCCGGCATCGGTCGCGTCATTGCCCATGCCCTCGCCGCCAACGGCGCAAAGCACGTCTACATTCTCGGCCGCCGCATGGATGTTCTCGAGGAAGCGGCCTCGGGATTCGACAACATGACTCCCATTATCTGCGACGTGACGGATAAGGACATGCTTCAGGCCGCAGCAGACCAGGTCTGGGCCAACAGCGGCTACATCAACATGCTCTGGTGCAACTCGGGCACATCTGGCCCCGAATGCGCCGACATCAACGCCACAACATCTCTTGATGACTTTGTCAAGCATAACTGGGCGCCTTCAGTGGAAGATTACAGCTCCACGTTCAAGGTCAACACGGCGGGAAGCTGGTACACGGCCATTGCCTTTCTGCGCCTGCTCAACGAGGGTAACAAGCAGACAGCCTACCGCAGCCAGATTGTCGCGACATGCAGTACATTGGGTTTCGGTAGATTTGCTGCCACGGGCCGTTTTGCATATGGTCAGAGTAAGGCGTCGCAGATGCATTTGATGAAACAGTTGGGCACGCATCTGGTGCCGTACGGAATCCGTGTCAACATGGTGGCCCCTGGATGTAAGTTTTCTTTTTTTTTTGTCCTTTTTTCTGATTTGACTAACATGTTTGGGACAGTGTTTCCTACAGACATGACCACCTCCATGACTTCCACAGGCTACGACGTCTCGAAGCTGATTCCCGAGGGCCGCGCTGGCGCGGCGTCGGATATTGCTGGCCTGGCGCTCTTTTTGGCTAGCAAGGCTGGAGCCTACTTGAATGGTAATGTCTTGGTCTGCGATGGTGGCCGCCTGTGTGTTGTGCCATCAACATATTAGAGGCTGCTGCTACCCCTAGCGCGTGATACATTGTATATAACGAAACAAATAATTCCATTCAATTCTTTTATTTACAAATCTTTCTGTTTAATTGTTTGTTTGTTTGTGACACTTTTGTTAATCTTCGCATTTGCAAATACACCGCCAACTACCGCCAATGACACTCCGCCCACAACATCGTCATCCTCAAGGACCACGTGGTTCCTTGCTTGCTCCATGAGCCTATCTTTTTTATCCCGCGATAGCAACGTACTCGCATTCTTCGTATCGCCTTCTTTCCCCCTCATTGGCCCTCGCGGAGTGTCGGTCGGGGTCCAGAGTAAGACGGAAATGGCGCTATACTAGCGTGTTACTTGTGCTCACCCACTGTTTTAAGATCTTACCAACGCGATCTCACACGCCCCCTTGCCATCATCCACGAACCTGTCCCTTGGGTCAGATCCACAGCACCCAGCATCTCCGGCGGCGAAATGCCCGGCCACCTCTCCGCCTCTACGGAATGCAGCCACTGCTCAGCTTCAAGTACACTAGCGCGACTTGGCTCAACAAATACACTTCCTATTCTACTATGTCTTTACCCTTTTTATGGGAAAGTTGGTCTAGCGTATCTCTAGGGTGAACCCTTTTGACTCCATCTCTCTCGCAGCATGTTAATAATCAAGGTACGCCTACTATCCATCCCGTAGACTAAAGATACACCGTGCAAGCATCTATTGAAGCATTTTTGAACCTCTAAACAAATGCAAATTAAACTAGCAAAGATACTTTGCTTTCAGTACATTTAATTTCTTATCATAACTTCCGCACAACGTAATAGCTACTCCATTGCATTGGATGCTTGGCTAGGCGGCTCTTAAGGAACAGACGCTGATAACCCCTTCAAGAGATTGATGCATCGTTTTGCGTTATCGGCAACGTCCTCAATATTGCATCGCATTAGCTCTTCGATTCTCTGTATCCAAAATTGCCACCTCTTAGCACTATATCCAGAGGATGTGACAGTACCAGATTGGATGGCCAGCTCCCCCAAGCGGGATATCTCCAGAGGAATATTACTATTCGCTGTATCAATATTGGCTTCATTGAGTGCACCAACATTCCCCCCTGCATATAGGAGCAGATGAAAGAGGGCGCGAATTAGAGAGCCAACTGCTAATTCCGATGAAGACTCCAACGGCCGAGGCGTCTCCAGCGTTTCTCGGAATAGCGACAGAACGCACGCCGCAGTCGCATCGAATATGCCTACTGACACGAGACGTCCGACAAATGGGCAAGACTGGCGCGCTGGTCCGTGTCACTGGCATAGTCTGTCCCATAGTAACGCTCTCTCCACTCATTAACCAGATCGTGGCCAAATAGAGGTAGATCTGACCAGAGCTGTCCACCATCGGAAAAACGCCGAGTCTCTTGGGCATCGGCACTGCCAACCCCGGATCGAGAGAGTAGCCCCTTTGACTTTGCATTGAGAATAGCCCGTAATAGGGTATCGTGCTTCGGGTTACCTGCTTGCCAATATTTGGCGGCCAAGATAACAGTATACCACAACGTATGAAGCTCGGCCTCGATGACCGTCAAAGGCGTATCCGTCGAGGTATAACGAAAAGTTAGAACGGGGATATGTGATAGCACAGTTTGGTCGAGGGTATGCTGATCGCCAGTTTGAGCTTCGACAGCAATACGTGCGTTGCGGGTGATGCTATACGCTTTGTAGTTCTCAAGCGCTTCCGCCTCTTGTTCTGGATTCATGGTTTCTTTTTCTTTTTTTAATAATGGATGGTAAGATAAGATAGGATGGACGTAAGATTTGGATGAGCTTTGTTTGATGCGAATGCTAAGTCTTATGTAAGAAGGCTGCCTAGAAGAAATACAGGACCGATCACAATAGGGGCGTGCACGAGGAGGCAAACTTTAACATGCTCACCGCACACCCCTCTACAGACATCATCCGTTGCGCCCTACTTGGCTTGCAGTAACTTACAGTTGTGTTTAAACACAAACACAGTATATTTCACAATTGGTACATAAATTCTCACATGATAATAATATTATTCGTTTTTTCCTACATTTATTGGTTTATATTTCTTGAAAATCCATAACCAATATTATCACCTCTCATCGCCAACTCTACCAACCATCCCCCGCCGTTGAAACATTCATCGCGACATCCCCGCCGCCGTCCCCATCGCACATTTAAGTACGGATCGTTGAATATGGCTTAAATTGGTTAAACACTTTATGTTCGACATTGTTTAGTGTAGAGTTAACCCCACGAACCCTAACAGGACACTTGCTCCATGTATGCCCTACTGTTGAACATTTGTAACAGTATAAATGCTCATTCAACTCTAATGTTAGGATAGAGTTCATCAATCCATAGTGTTCTAGTGCACGGTGATTGTTATCTAGAATCAAGTCAAATTGATTTACTCTATCGAGATGGTCAAAAAGACTAGTTGCCAATTGTGGTCCAACAGTATCGAGCCAACAAACATGTTCAAGAGAGCGTCGGCTAGTAGTATCTACAATCTTAATTGTAGAATCAGCTTTTTGTTCGCAAACGGAACAACGGGACCAAATTGACTGTTGTCACTCGTATAGAGAGACACTGCGTTCGGCCAAATAGAAGTCAACGTTAACGTGTAAGCTTTAGGAAAACGAGCAGCGTTATCGACACCGCATAGCGCGGGTTGAAAGTTCGAGTAGTTGTTAGTAAAAGCACGAATAGCATGCGTAGTTCCGAGTAGAAGTCGAATAGTATATATAGTTCTAAGTAGAACTCGAATATTTTTGCACTCCATACGCATCAACGATGCTACAAACTCGCGATCCTCTTGCTTGACATGATTCAAATTCAATGCATAGCGATAGATTATTTAGATTTTACAAAGGCAGATTGCCCAGCCCGCGGTCGATTCACGGCTCTGTAAATCAAGGATCTATCGTGACAATAGTAATGCATGGTTGCGAGGATCGTGATCAATGTATTCGTTCGCGACAATCTCATTGAAACAATCATGAATTGTTTGATGAGTGTAATTGTACGTAGATGACTAGAGAATCGTCGTTGCTGTCGATTAGTTTGGTTGAATCAACACGGAGCGTTCCGCAACCCAATCGAAGATATGATAAAGGAAATCAAATTTGAAACGCCGAGTAGCGTCGTCGATTTGTGCGTGTGTAGAAGTAGTTAGGACTGCTGATGAGTATCTCTAGGAGGTCACACTGAGGTTTGGAGTCAGTCTAGGACTGCTGGTTGAAGTTGATATTATTAGACATGGTAATAATAGTAGTGATTGAAAGAAGCAAAGAAGAAAAGTGCTGCGAAGCAAAGAAAAGTGCTGCGAAGCAAAGAAAAGTGCTGCGAAGCAAAGATGTTTAGATGAGAATGGTTTCGTTGAGAAGTGCAAGAAACTGTTGTTGTAGAAAGTGAATGTAAAAGTTTACTTTGCTCCCATATTTATATTTTACGGCACAGCAATTGTGTGGTTGTTGTGCCAGCCGGCAGCTGGCAGGTGGCAAGTTGCGCCGTTTGCAAAAAGTGACGAAGACTTGACGGCATGGTGCATACAGTGGGTGAGTTGAAGTGAAGAGAGTGAAAAGAGTGGGTAGCTCAAATAGAAGAAGAATAAATGTAAATTGTATAAGTTAGTAGTTTTATAATAATCGTTCCAATTATTATCAAGTCTCTAGAAGAGTCAATATAAACATCTTGCTAGAGCTAGAGAGGTTTGTTCTCCTCTTTCTCTTCGGACTCTCCATTAGGAATCTCTACACTAAACCCTTGCGCCTCCAGGGGCGTTGGTGGTAATAATAGACCAAATTTCAATTCTCTCTTTCCTTTTCCTATCTGTCCTTTCTTTTCCCTGTTTTCCGAAAACGTGTCTATTATATCCACCCAACAAGGCTGCAGGCGTTGGCGCTAAGTCAGGGACAACTGAATCCACTGGAAGCCCATCGTTACAGTTTGCACAATTGTTCAAAACACAAGATTTGGCGAAAATTATTAACACTGATACCTAACTAACAGACGGAAGAATTCGGTGTCCAAATTGCTATGTTGGTTGTGTGGATATTTCTCTTTGGCCTGGCCCTCTATTACAAAGACTTTGAAGCCTCAGATGCGCTTGTTGATGTTGCCATACCGTACCTACCACACGCAACTCTGAACGAGTGGCGCTGGCAATTCCACTGCTGGCTTGGTTCAAGAGAGCCTATTGAGATTGAGGGGGATTAAACGAAAAGGCTGTAATACGCTCGTTGCTATTGTATAGCACGACAGTCATACATCTTGGAATGGTCTAACAAAGCGTGTGTTAGATTCTAGCTCCAGTAAATATTCCTGTATAATAATATATCCAACATCCAAGCGTCACGCAAATAAACAACCATGGCTTTTTATATCCCTAAAAATAATAAAAAGAAACGCCCCTGATGCACATATTCCTTGACTACCAGCCCATTCTCTTCCAGAACCAATCCAGCGTCTCCAGCGAACTCTGGATTCGCATGCCCATTCTCGCATCCAGGGTGTACGCCTCCCACGCCTTGGCTTTGTTCAGCAGCTCTCTGCATGCTTCTGCCTTTTCTTTCCTTATCTCAACGTCGTCGGACGCGCTGCACTCCATCCATGATAGCGTTGCAAGCTCGTAGATGGCCGTCGGCATAACCCAGTCATTCTTGTCCTGGCCCTTGAACAGCGCCTTGTCCTTGCTGGTGACATGTTCTTCCAGCAAAGCGCGTGCCTCGTCGATTCGGCCGAGACCCTTAAGAATAGATGCCCGGCAGATGGCCCAGACTGCCATTTCATCTGCCTCGGCTTGGATCTTGTCCAGCACCTGCTTGTCGCCTGTATAACGGCTCCATTCCATCGTCTCGAGAGCTCGTAGCTTTTCGGCCTCTCCCATTCGTTTCTGTCCGTTCCACATGTAAATCATCTCCAGCACGGGCGGCAAGCCAATGGCATCGGCCAGGTCCACGCCCAACTCCTTAGCTCGTGATTGCCAGCGTTGGATGCGATGCTGGAGATACGTTTCCAGAGGAAGCTGGCGCGCCATGAGGCGCTTCTTGCCAATGACGCTGGGCGCCTTTTCAAAGTATCCCTCCGCCTTGCTCTTTTGTAGCTTGGCTTCTGTCTCGTCACCTGTCACGACCGCATCTCGGTACATCTCGAGCGAGGCACAGCCTGCCATGAAGTAGTACATGGCAGGGCTCCAGTCGTTGAGTTCAAGACATCGAAGGTAGTCGTCCCTCATCTTGGCCCAGTCCTGCGCCATCATTCGATTCAGCGACAGCTCAAAGTTGTTAACAGCTGCCACTTGCTTCATCTTAGCAGGCTCTCCCGAGGTAAGAATCTCAATCGCCTGCTGCACTTTGCCCTCGTTGGCCGTCATGATGGACTCTTGGACACGCCAAAGCCTGGACTTGGGGAACTGGGTGCGCATCTCCTCGAGCAGCTTGATGCACTTTTCTCTTGGTGCTCCCACCGTCTCTGCTGATTCGTCATAGTCCTTGGGCGCTGGTGAAATGTCGACCGCGCCTAAAAGCCCATTGTAGTAGGCTAGCAGCATCAGGGCGGCAATCGCACCGTTCATGTTGGGGTGTGATGATGAGTTCCAGAGCATCTTGACTCCTCGTGCACGGTCACCGCGGAATCCCACAACGGCAAGAATCTTGGAAAACGACGGCGGCAAAAGGCTAAGCATGAGCATAATCATGCCAAAGCACATGTTTGACGCGGAATGAATGAAGATGTCGAGAGGGTTGTCAAACTGGAGCTCTGTGTCTAAGTTTGTCTGTGTTGGCTTTGTATCGTCGTCCGATGATGTTCGTAACGGTGTCGTTTGAGCGGTTGTGTATTCGGGGGTGTCGATAAGACCATCTGAATCGGTCTCTGTCGTTCCGTTGGTTGTTGCCATCTCCGTCTTCGGCTTATCTACCAATTTGGATCGTCTTTCCGTCTCATTTGCTTCAATCGCCAAGATGGCGTCTAGCGAAATAAAGGCTTTTCTCAGCTTTAGAAAGCCCTTCATCGCCTCGACCAAATTTTCATGCAATACGCCCACCACGGCACTCATCAGCTGGGCCTGCACTACGACAATCTCCATCTCTGTGCCTGGCGGATAAATGTCGCTGCCACCAGCGACTTTGCCTCGTTTTTGCAGCCGCTTCATTTCATGCCAGGCTCTGTTTTCCACTTCGGTAAGTCTATTGGCGGCATCGGCCATGGCTTCCTTTTCCAGGCCCAAAACGGAACGCATGAAGAATGTCACAGCAGCGCCCATGTCGTGATAAGCCGAATCTCGCTCTGCCAGCTCCTTGATAGCGGCGTCGAGGTCGTCGTCCATGATACGAGCGGCAGCGCCGAGGGCATGCGCAAGGTTGTCTTTTTCCTCCTTCATCTCCTCTTCTGGGCTCTTGACAGGCCCCGAGTCCTTTTTCGAACCCCATCCTCCGAATAGGCGGTTCATTGTGGTCGCTTACGCTCTTTGGCGGATGGTCTTGTGACTGGTCATGCGAGCGCGCTGCCTGTCTCCCCAACGGTGATGTTATTCGGAATTCGGCTCGTAAATTCGATTGATAGTGTCTGTTGTTGTTTCTTTTGTCGATAATGTCTGCTGTCCAAGGAGAATGCAAAAACTGAGTTGGCACGTATCCGAGCTCTGCTTATCTACCAGCGCCAGGCTGTGATGGGCGCGGCTGTACCGGAACCCCGACGCCGACGCCTGGCCAAAACGGTACGCGGACAAGGCCAGGGCATGACGTTGTTTGTTCGCATTTTGCCTTTTTAGCGTCCAAACGGCGGGCCTTGCGGCTTAATTCGCTCTCGTTCTAGCGCAAAGTCCGCTAATTCCAGGAACGTCTAGTGGCTTGGCTCCGCCCTCTTCAGTGACGTCGTCATTATTCTCTTTGTTTGAAGATGTGTATCACGCTATAGGTATGTTGCGTATAATGTATATAGATATAAAGGAACTACGGAGTTTTGTTTGCTATGTTTTTCATTGATTTGAGGACCCTGCAGTGTAGTTAAATTGGGCCAGGTTGAAGCAATGCGATAATAAATTCTCTTGCGACCCATGGTACCTATATATAGTTTAATTTCTCCACTGCTTTCAACAAGCGCACTAGCACAGCTAGTCCACTACAAGCGTCTATAGTTTAGTGGTAGAACGGCGGCCTTCCAAGCTGTTGGTCCGGGTTCGATTCCCGGTGGACGCAACTCTCTTTTTTGACTTTTTTCCCTATTTTGCATTGCAATGCAGGTTATGCAAAAACATTGATCTGTTTCTTTTTTACTTTCTTTTTTTCTTTTGCATCGTCGGCGCTTTGTATTGGATCTGAAAATAGATTATAGCGGTTGAAGTAGTAGTCCTTTGAGCCATGCCGGGGTTGGCCTTCTGCCACCTGATCGTATTAGGTAGAGACAATGTATCAACCTGCTGCTTTTAATAGCTTCATCGCGAGACAGCGCAGCCGCAAAGCTAGCTCCATCACGTGGTGGCGGCTGGTTTTCCTCTACTTTTATCCTTTGGTCCCCTGTTACTTCTTTAGAAATCATAGAATTTTGTATCTTGCAGAAATGGTTACAATTATCCCTACAAGTCAGCTTGGGAACAAGCCCGAGTGGATTCACTGTCCATTTTGCTCGACTGACGCGCTGACGACGTTGGAGCAGGTCGATCCTATTGGCGAGTAAGGCTGCTCTCTCTCGGCTTGCACACGAAGGCGTGCGTTCGCTAACTAGAGGCAGGGCGAATGGACTCATGCTCTTCTTATGCTGCTGTATGCCTGTTACCGTATACAAAACGCTGTTTGCCAAAGATATTCGATATCGCTGCTCAAATTGTCAAAACGAGGTTGCCTATCGACATCGCGTCAACGGTATAACAGTCCGAGAGCCACCCGCGCACATTGAAGAGGAGTATACTTCGCAAGGCGAGCAGATGAAACTCTGAGTTGTTTTTCTATGGCTTCAGCTGTGCATATTATTTTTATCGCAGCTGTTTACTGTTTGTTTGTAGAACGGGCAGCTGTCTAAATATAGGGAGCATCTCCATAACAGGCAAGTGGAGATGACTTCTGTAGCGGGTGTTGGTGGTGGTTGTTGCTAGGAGGCATTTCAGGCGTTGTGTTGTGTTGCATTGGGCCGGCGAGTTATTAGCTGGGATAGATGAGTAGTAGTGAGAAGGTGTATACCTGCATTTGTAAATCTCATTTGTCTTTTTTTATTCTGCATATATTTATGTTGTTATAATGCTCAATACTAAACAACTTATAGTGAGTGCAGTCACCTGACTGGTTGCAAGCTGACTCCGACTAGACAGCTTAGTTGCTGCCCGCGAAAACCCGATAGCAACCCAAATCAGGTGGGGTCCCACCGCCGCCAGCTCCCCTCAACAATCGCCGCCTCTTATCTACGGCTTCCTTCTCTGTCCAACAATTCTCTCTTCTCCGTCTTCCTTCTATTTTGGCCAGTCAATTTCATTGCTGTTCAATTCCTCTTCAAAATGTCTCTCTCCAACAAGCTCTCCATCACCGACGTCGACGTCAAGGGCAAGCGTGTCCTCATCCGTGTACGTTCTCAAAAAAGCTACCCCTCCATCCCGCCAAACAAACCCCTCCAGCCGGCGTCATCGCCATGAGCCAGCAGGGTGGTTGGCGACTTCAGAGCCCCCGCCTGCCACGGCTAGCAGGGAGAAGATGATATAAAACTTTGCTTATCAAAAATCACGGCTGGAATTTCTATTCGCACTATTTTATTGTATTACACTCTCGTACGTTGCTAACGCTCCGCTCCCAGGTCGACTTCAACGTCCCCCTCGATGAGAACAAGAACATCACCAACAACCAGCGCATTGTCGGTGCCGTCCCCACCATCAAGCATGCTCTCGACAACGGCGCCAAGTCCGTTATCCTCATGTCCCACCTTGGCCGCCCCAACGGTGCCGTCAATGCCAAGTACTCCCTCCAGCCCGTTGTTGCTGAGCTCGAGAAGCTGATTGGCAAGCCCGTCACCTTTGCCCCCGACTGCGTCGGTCCCGAGGTCGAGGCTATTGTCAACAAGGCTGAGGACGGTGCCGTCATCCTCCTTGAGAACCTGCGCTTCCACATTGAGGAAGAGGGCAGCTCCAAGGACAAGGACGGCAACAAGGTCAAGGCCGAGAAGGACAAGGTCGATGCTTTCCGCAAGGGCCTCACTGCTCTCGGTGACATCTTTGTCAGTAAGTACTTAGCATGCTCTATATTGTGTGGGTTATTTCAACTAACACCTACGTAGACGATGCCTTTGGCACTGCTCACCGTGCCCACTCCTCCATGGTCGGTGTCGATCTTCCTCAGAAGGCTGCTGGTTTCCTCATGAAGAAGGAGCTCGACTACTTTGCCAAGGCTCTCGAGTCCCCCCAGCGTCCTTTCCTCGCCATCCTCGGTGGTGCCAAGGTCTCCGACAAGATCCAGCTCATCGACAACCTTCTCGACCAGGTCAACACCCTCATTGTCTGCGGTGGCATGGCCTTCACCTTCAAGAAGGTCCTCGACAACATGGCCATTGGCAACTCTCTCTACGATGAGGCCGGTGCCCAGACCGTCCCCAAGCTCATGGAGAAGGCCAAGGCCAAGAACGTCAAGGTTGTCCTCCCCGTCGACTACATCACTGCCGACAAATTCGACAAGGACGCCAACACCGGCTACGCTGCCGACGCCGACGGTATCCCCGACGGCTGGATGGGTCTTGACTGCGGTGCCAAGTCCGCTGAGCTCTTCAAGGCTGCCATTGACGAGTCCAAGACTATCCTCTGGAACGGTCCCGCCGGTGTCTTCGAGTTTGAGAAGTTCGCTACCGGCACCAAGGCCACCCTTGACGCTGCCGTTGACGGCTGCAAGAACGGCAAGATTGTCATCATTGGTGGTGGTGACACCGCCACCGTCGCTGCCAAGTACGGTGTTGAGGACCAGCTTAGCCACGTTTCCACCGGCGGCGGTGCCTCCCTCGAGCTCCTCGAGGGCAAGGAGTTGCCTGGTGTCACTGCTCTGTCGAGTAAGTAAATTGCCAGCCCGTTTGGTTGTAGCGCGACCTTGGCCCTGGCAAATGGTTTACAAGTCCATAGGCCTGCAGGTAGCGCGTCTTTGAGCGGCTCGTCCCATTCAAGGGAGACAAAAAGAGAAGGAAAGAAAATATATATAGAGCAGACGGAATCCCACGTCTGAATTAGTGAAGCAAAATGAGCATATTTTTTTGACATGATTTGTATTTTTATGCATGGTGTATTGTTGTGGTTTTCATTTCTAGTCGTAAAAAGCATCCTATCCCAACACCCCGTTGCCATATTTATCTTTTACACTGCAATCCCGCTCCTCATCTTCTCTTTGCCGCCTCGACCTTCTTCAACTCCTCCCTATTGTATTTGTTAGCATAAATCCTTTTGTCTGACGGCCGTCTCCCGTTCTCGGTGCTCGTCTCGTCATTCGGGCATCCGCATCTGAACATACTTGAGTTGTGTTGAAAAGTCGTCTGTTGTGTCATCATCATCCCAGCTCTCCTCCCAGAGATGCTTTGTCTCGCTGTTGCTTTGCGCAGCCTCGGTCTGCTCTTGTGGCCAGTCTATGGGTAGACATGATGTTAGCGCTCAGTCCAGCAGATGCCAGAAGGGTCCTTGATTGGCGTGGTTGTAGATGATATTTCAGCAGCACTTGCTTGCTCTGCATCCCATCACACAAACCGCCTTGGTCAAGTGGCAAGACAAGTGTACGAACCATCAACGGGGAAATCCTCAAACTCGTCGTCCTCGCCCTGCGCAATCGTGGCCTTGGTGTCCTTGGTCTCGGGGGCGGCTGCAGCGGGCTTGTCTTCTACTTTTGCGTCGGAAGCCATGGTCGCGGTGTGTATGTCGCACAGAAGATGTCAATTCTTGTGCCGGTTGTCGGATTGGAGTTGCGGCGTTGGAGATGCGTTGCGTGCTGCTGCTATCGTGGCGGGCGGGCAGCGAGCGACGCTGAGGTGAGCTAGGCTGCCGGAGCTGCGAATCGATGGCGGGGCGGAAGAATGCTGCGCCGACGTCGGGCTCAAGGGTAGCAATAGGCCGTCGGCATGGCAAAATATTTGTAAGCAGCAGAAAGACTTCTTTGGGGGCATTAAAATATAAATATAATATTTCAAAAGACTATTGGAGAATTTTAACACTTTTTAATTTTTAAAATACGAAATGCTGGTAAAGGCGGTTGAGTTTGGACTGTTTTCCTGATTTCTACTTCCTTCATCTTGTAAGTGTAGCCAATGAGATGCACCTTCAGGTCCTACCTTGCTGAGAAGAAGACATTACTAAATAGGATTTAACGCTGAAAATATTAGTTTAGGAAATTAAGCCCTCTTTATTGATAGATACATCATTTTTAGTAACGAAGGACGAACTCTCGTCACAAGAGTGTCATCATCTGGTACCCATGAGCGAGACACGCGATAAACAGGCTCTATAAATCGAAGGTGAAATGGACTGTACTCGTAGCAAGACTTAGCGACGGCAGTTAATTCAGCGAATGCCATTTTGAACTAAAATAATAGCCAGTTCTCTACACCTCTGCACTCTATCGTCAGTTTTGAATACCACGCGTGATGCTCGCGTGGCCAGCTGCAGGAGGACGCGTCCCGCAAACCCACAGTTTCTCCGTTAATAAAAATGGCGTCAATATTTCACCGCAATTTGAAATAAGAGAGATACAAAGTCAGAGAAGTTTAATAAGGATCTATTTTCTATACTGAATTATCTATATGCTGTTCTATCCAAAGATTCACTTGCTTAAGCGGCGCTGTCCGACGCCTTGGGGACCGGCTTTTCTTGCGCCATCTGCTCCTCCTCGAGGCGCTTCGTCTTTTCTTTCTCATCCTCCTTGTCGTAATGACCAACGACAAACCAGAAGAGGGCGGCGGCCACAGCCAGGCTGACAGCCATACCGACGTACATCCACAGGACTTTTGGATTCTCGGAGACGGGTCCCAGAGCAATACCTAGGGCACTACCAATACCGGCGCTCACCAGACGGATGGACTGGACCACGGTACGCATGTCCTTGGGCGCCTTGCTGTAGCTGTACTCGCTGAGAGTAACAAAGCCAAAGATTTCGGAAAAGGCCAAGATGATGTACACCGGAGTCTGCGCCCATACACTAATGGAGTTGGGCAGCGGGGTCTGTCCAGGGCGCTGTGCGGCGGCACAAGTAAGGGGAGCGTCGTAGCAGGGGCCAGAGTTGTAAATCATCTTTTGTACGCCAGCAGCGTACGCCAGAGTCGCAGACATGGTGACAAATGCGAGCGTCATGCGCATGATGGGGCCAAACGGGATACGCAACCTCGCGAGCCCCGGATATAAGAGCTTTTGGATGAAGGGTCCAAGGATGACGCATGCAATTGGGTTGAGCACCTGAATGCCATCGTTGGGAAAGCCTGAGAGCTGCATCTGGCCGGCTTGCGAGACGAGGTTGTTTGTCATTTGGTTCATGCCCAGCTGGAAGAGGACGAACCATGTCCTGTGGCGAGGTTAGCTGACGAGAAGATACACAGGCAACGAGGACCTACATGACTTGACACGCGCGAAGGCCGTTTTTGATTTCAGAGATAAAATGGTCTGTCCATGGCACAACACGGTTGTACTTTTCCAACTGGTACTGAGGGCTGGCTGCGCTGAGCTTGAACTTGTCGCGTATGGCGCACCACAAGACTTTACCAGCTGTGAGGACAACACTGCCGTCAACTGGAAGTTTTTCTAAAACATAGTCAGTGTATTTGTCATCTCAAAGGAGAGCAAAAGGTGGCAGCATACCAAGTTCCTTGCTAAACACTAGAAGCAGAGCGAGGCCAATCCAGGAGGAGCCCAGTGCTACGAGGTTGGCTGTCCAGAAGCCGCGTTCCTTTTCTAGATACGTTGACGCCAGGATGGAAAGGGCTGCAATGTTGGTGATCCTATGCCATCAGTTAGCCCTGTAGTCCAGATCTCCCCCAAGAACATGCTTACCAGTAGTAAACGTTGTAAATGTACTGTAAGGTCAATGTGCGGTCGATAATGACTCGTTCTCCAGAAGGCAGGACCTTGACTTGGGGTGGTCGCATGGGATATTGATCGCCTGTGTATTTGGTTAGCTCTTCTAGTGAGAAGGACCAGAGAGTGAAAAGTACCAATAAACGGAGTAAATGTCGCTTTGGTGCCTCCAACGCCAAGACCAATCAAGACCATGGCAATGGCAAGTCCAGCTACACCGGATGTCTGGTTGAAGACGGAGGGCAGGGAGGTGACAAACTGTACGAGACCACCGCAAAAGTACAAACTACACCACTGTTAGTAGTTATTCGGTATCTTCTTTTGGTTTGCATTTTACCTCAAACTGATACAGAGCACCTTGTAGCGGCCCAGCCACGCATCGGACGCCAGAGCAAAGGGGATAGGAGTCAAGAACGAAAAAAGGTAGTAGGCATTGTAGATGGCTGTTGCGCGAGACTGACCCAGGCCAAGGGCACCCGGGACACCGCTGTTATCGAGGGGATTTTGCATGTAGTTTTCTATCTCTCTGTGTTAACAATGTATTTGACCGTTTATCGTTCACCACTTACGCCATGGCGTCGAAATGACATAGTATGTGAATCGCTCGGCGCCGCTTGCAATGAGAGCAACCCAGACTTTGCGCGGCAACTTGTCAACAACATGTCTCAGGTTCTTGATTTCCTCGTCAGTAGCGTCGGAAAGCTCGTCGTCGTCACGCTTCGATGCAGATGTTGGACGTGTTTCTGTCTCGGATTCGCTGCCCATGAGTAGTGGCGTAGGCGGTGCCAGTGCTGGTACAGTGGCGGTTGAGACGCTATCGGCGCTAGCGATCTTGGCCATGGCGATGTGTGCAGATTGACAGCAAATAGATTGCGTCGTGTGAAATGGCGAGGTTGAAAAAACGACAATATCAGCACTTTAGAAGCCTGATGATTATGGAAATGGCCTTTTTCTTTTGGTCTCTACTTTTTTTGCTGCTGTTCAGGCTGCACACCAGCTGGCAAACGAGAGCGCCAGCGTGAGCCCCTTCGCAGTCGGCTTTCCGGTGTCGGTACGGGCGGTGCCCTGTGCCTGTTGCTCTTCAGCACGCCCCCGTCGCATTCTCAGGGGCGAGGCTCCCGGCCGGACACCCGAATGGGGGCGGCGCATTTGGCCTGAAATGCGCTGTAAGCCGCCCTAATACGACGCACGCCCACCTGGCCCGTCAGCGGCCCACCCGCCTGTAGCCCGCTGTAAATCGTCCTAGCGACGCCACCCACCCCCAGCGGCTAACGCTGGACTTGCTAACTTTGGACATTTGCAGCAGATGGAAAAGTAGGGTTTTCGCATAAGATTTTACTGAGATACACCAAAGTATCTATTATGTACCTTGGTACTGAATTTACCAGTTAATACCGCATTTTATTCATTTGTTCCTTCTTCTCTCTCGGTGACATATCGCTTTCAGACCTTTTGTTTGAATAGTGGGGGCTGCACCGCGGACCAAGATCCACTAACCACCAACGGCCCTGTTAGTGGGTTGCGACGGCTCGTTTGCCTCCTGGCTTCGGAGCCTTTCCTCATTTGCATGTTCAGCTTGTTTGGCGAAGAGTGCATCAGGCTGCCAGACAGAGTTTTTTTCTTGTTTGCTTCTAGGAAAGGATTCCAGTCCACTTATTTTTATGCGCGCTTTGTTTAGCATGGCGGCGGAGCAGGATCCTGTCAAAATCCACATCCAACCAGAATACTTTCACCATGTTGCATCACCACCGCTAACATTCATTTGTCCCATGGGGAAGTGAGTCCACTTGCGGAGACGTAAGTAGACCATCGGGGACTTGTCAAGGAACAGGGAATATAAATGAGCAAGCTAAATCAGCCAATCATATACCGTGTATTTATACATTTTGCTTTTTTAAATCGCCATGCGGTATTCCACAAAGTTGCACACACCAAGCTCATCGTACAGCTTGCGTGCAGGGTTTCCATGCTGAGTTGCCCATTGCACGCGAAGACAGCCCTGCTCCTTTGCAATACGGCCAGCCTCCTGAATCAATCGTCGGCCGTAGCCATTACCGCGGTATTCAGGGTCAACGAAGAGGTCTACATGCCAAAAAAGAGTCAGCCCAACTCAACTGCGGAGAACCGATGCCAACCGTCACCACCTTTGTGGACATACCGTTAATGTGCATAATCTGCTTCTCGCTCCATGGTGTCTGATGGGGGAAAAAGTGCATGATGCCGATTAATTTGCCATCAGGTCCCTCCTCACGAAGAGCGAGACCAGACAAGTCGGTCTTGGGGTCGGTAAGGCGAGCAAAGGTGGACTTGTACTGCTCATCGGGGAGAGACGACTTGTAAAAGTCGACGTAGGCGTGGAACAGCTTGGACCACGAGGGGAAGTCGGTTGCCAGAATTGGGCCAATCTGGACGGCCTTTGCTGCTGCTGACTTCATCATGATGCAAATATAAGAAAGGAAAATAAGATGGGAAATGGGTGATGAATTGGAGAGGAGAATCTGGGGGAAGCCGAGTTGGAGAAGGCGCCCCTCGATACATTTAAGTACAGCGAGGACAAGCTGCTATGACCCCGCCATCCGCCTGATTATATAACCTCCGATCCGCGGCCGAGACATGTCCGTTCAAAGGCGTACCACCAGCACAACTTGTATTTGTTGCGTGTAAAATAAAAATTGAATCAAATATTGCAAACTACAGTTTTGGGATTTTATATGTGAAGAGTTACAAGAAAATGCGTAGCCAGCATGGAGAGAAGCCGGTGTTTGGGCAGAGAACATAGGATCGTGGGGTAGTAGGGTTAGGGTTCATTTTCAAAACTGTTGGCTGTGCGTGCTCCTGTGTAACACAACATCGTCACCGCCGACATTACAGACGCGCAACCAATTGTTTAATATTTTGTCTTTTTAATACCTAAACTATCGAGATATCTCCAACATGGACTGAAATTACCCCCGACAAAAACTTTTCTTTTAAATCTTCAATGCCGCCTTAGCCGCATGAGTAGGGCGAAGGAAGTAGGACAGGTAAATACGGCGCTGAGCACCATCCTCCATCTGTGTAACGCGGTGCTGAGGAGAATGCAGCTTGCCCTCGGACATCTTGGACAGCGCATTGGCGACATTCAGAACAGCACAGCCGGCCTTGGGGGGAACAAAGGCCCACTGGTCAACGCTGGGCAGGTATGTCTGGAGACCATCCTTTTCGCAGAAGACGACAGTAAAGGTGCCGCCGTCAGTGTGAAGGTTGTCTCCAACATCGGCAAGACGAGCCAGAGTAGGCTCATCGATGAACTTGAGACCCGACTCGCTCGACTCGGTCTCCTTGTGGTGCTTGGCAAGGCTCTCGCCACCAGTCAGACCAAGAGAAGTAGAGAGGCTGTCGAGCATGACACGGCATGCCTCGTCCAAACCGTTGCTGAAGTCGGTGATGAGCTGCTTCTTGGCGTGAAAGACGGCAGGCAGCTCAGGCTGGTTGGCAATGAGCTCGTCACGAGAGATCTGTTTGTACACTCGTCAGTCTTGGTGTTCAGCTAAAATTGTCGTAGATGCCTTACCTCGAAAGTCTCATCGCAAGAGCTGGTCTTGAAACCTCTGTCAAGGCTGGCGTCCTGGACACGCTCATCTTTGGCCTTGATGGCCGCAGGCTGGTCAAAGTACTCCTCGCCAACCTTGTACACAGCATCCAAGTTGTCCAAGACAGTAGCGCTGGCAGAGCTGTTGGTCAGATCAAGCTGAAAGAAGCCGTCCACGCTGGCTGCCTGGAACAGCTTGGCCTCCTCATCGGCATTGCCATCCACCAAGGCAGAATACTTGATGACAGGCAGCTCGACAACTTGGACAGGGCCATTGCCCAATGCCTTTGTGTTCACGGTAGCTTTGGCAGTGGCCATTTTTGACTTTGTGTGATGAGATGGTAAGAATGAGGATACAAAGGATGACCGGCTGAATCTTCGGGCTTGTTTTCCCTTTTGTGAGTGGCACGGCTCTTGCTCGGCAAAATTTCTTGCGATATAAATACATGTCCTCTTTGCTAAACACCGACATCATCCTCTTCAGCATCCTGCAGGGTGTGCCGTCACCGTGCAGTCCAGTACCGTCCACACCACACCCCCCCTCCGCTTCAGGCGGCGCTCGATCCACCAAACCGCCCGGCACTAGTAAGACCCCCTACCCGTGGCGTGTAAGAGGGTTTAGGCTTACTCCAGGGCGATTTTTTCTTGGCTAGATTTACGGCCCCAAAGGTGCATGCACGGTACCCGAGGTATCCCGGTTTCGTGCAGCCTTGCGACGGCAACCAGGATCTCCATTTAGCCAAACATGGATGTCGCAGGTATTGCAGCCAGCAGGTGGGGGCCGCGGTCTTTGACTATTCCAAGCCTCATTCGCAACGCAAGCGATCCCTTCCGCGGAGCCCGTCTCGTATCTATACACCCCCTGGTCTTCCTGAGATGGTTCGTCTGTGAACCGTCGGATACATTTTCGTGCTCCGGGCGCTTGGCGTAATCGCCAGTGACCTCTTACACGTGGCGGATAGCGACGGCGAGACGATTCTCAGACAAGTCGTCGGCATCGTCCTGATACGGCATGTGCATAATGCAATCGGCAAGTATGCAGCGGTAGGCTGGCAAAGTCGTTCCATGAATTTAAGGCGGAATGGCTATAAGCTATTTGGAATAACATTGCTCACGGTAGGTGACCTTGTAGCTGCCACGGTGACCAATATGTTACAAGAGCTGGTGTTTTCTAGCAAGCATCACGGTCAAAAGATTGGGAGAAATGGCATGTTGGCTGCCGTGGTATTTCTATCAAACTAACATAGGACTTTTAAAATCTATCGCTACTTTTCCTCCTCTTCATGGAACGTCATGGTTTGTAATGTCAAGACTAGCTTAGACGGTAGGGTATCCGCCAGCAGAAGCGGCCTGCCACTCTGGGTTGGCATCAAACAGGCCCTGCATGGGAGTAAACAGCTTAGCAACAGCAGAGGCAACTGACTTCTTGAGCATATCAGGCTCAATTCTGCCGTCAGACAGAGCACGACCAATGTCTGCAAAGTCGGAAAAGTGCAAGAGGCCATCATCTGTGGTGGCGGTAAAGACGGTGCCAGCAGGTGCACTGGCATCAACAGACGGGTTGACCCAGTCGGGGAGGACCTTGGCCGTAGGACGGGCGTGAAGCTCGCTGAGCGGGATCAGGACATCGCGCAGGGTCATGAGGAAAGCATTCTTGCTAGACTCGGTCTGCCAAGCAGCACCCTCCATCTTGGCGATGATGTTTTCGGGAGTCTCGAGGAGCATAATCTTGGTCTTGTCGGCGTGGGTAGCAGACATCTTCTTGCCGGTCAGGTTGGGCAGCATGGGGTTCATGAGATGGCCGCGCGGGCGGTGGCCAAGCTCAGGGCCAAACTTCTCAATGAGAGCAAAGATGGATGCCTGATCCTCGCCACCGAACTGGAAGTCGGCGTCGTTGTACTCCTCAGAGAGGAGCTGGAGAAGAGGGCACATGAGGGGGCTGACCATTTCGGGATGGACGGCGCGGTCCCAGGAGTCGCGGATGGTCTGGGCCTGGACCTTGGTGCACAGGCGCCAGAGGTCTTTTGTGAATTCGGGGGTCTGGTAGCTCGACTCGAGGACGAACTTGACACCGGTGCTGTCAATGCCAAGGCACTGCAGGGCAGCGGTCATGCCGCACTGGTAGAACTTGGCGCGGTGGGCGACCTGGTCCATGGGGTAGTCGACATTGTCCAGGAAGGAGTATGTGTCGAGGAGAATGATGCGGACCTCGACACCAGCCTCGAGGAAATCGGCAAGCTTTAGGAGAGGAACAAAGTATCCAAGATGGGCTGGAAGAGGATTAGCTGTGTGTGAATGACAGATGTTCAGATAAACTTACGCTTTCCGGTTGGTGATGTCACTACAGGAGAGAGAAATGTCAGCATTGCATCTTTGCATTGGTCGACTTATACGCACCCCAGAGGCAGATGGGAGTCTTGTCTGTCTTTGCGAGTGAAGCCTCAATGGCATCAGTGTTGCTCAGGTTCTGAACGGGAAGTCTGGCAACGATTCTGTCGAAGCGCGCCTTGTTGTCTAATGTGGAAGCCATGATATGTAACGAAGAAGATTGTGTGTAACGGTAAGTGGGAAGAGCAGTGGGCAGATTGTGTGAGTGCACTTGACAAGATGAAGGCTGGATAGTTCTTAAATGAAGTGTCTGCCACGAAGGAAAGCTGGCTTCTTCCATTGGCGTCCGTATCCACCAGGACAACGAGGTACGTGAGCCGGTATCGCGGCCATTTTTCCCATGTCGTTTCTGATGGACTTGAAAATTACAACAAGAATATTTCCACATCAGGCTGTGCAAGACACACGCCCCCGGGGGTCCACCGAAAGCCGGCGCCCAAAGCCCCCGATGCGACCCTAGATTCAAACTACGATGCTTACTACCGCCTCTGCTAGGCTCGCTCTGAACGAGGGACAAGGGGGGGTGTACAGAAGGCCGAGTAATAAGTTAAAGTTAAAAAAGAAGTCGAAAAAAAACCCTGTCTTTTCTAAGAATACGGAAACGGTAACCGGCCGGATGTATGGATCTGAGCGGCAACATTATCTGGCCTTTTGCGAATGAACGGTGTAGAAGATACACGCCGTCTTTTTGCGACGGCCGGTGTGTAAGTGAGAAGAGCTGAGATGAAGGCAATGATGTATTCTTAACAGTTGCAAAAATGATGCAGGTTTCCTTCATTATACAGAATTGACATTTTATAGTTTGTGCAATAATAGCTGCAATAACAGCGACTGCGCCATCGGTATGCACGCATGCAGCAGCCCCCATAGCAAGCAATCTGTATGCACTGTAATTAGTACGGCAGCTGAAAAAAAGACCTTCTAGACTAAACGCCGTCGCATCCACCAGTTTCATTTGCTCACGACGCCTGGGCTTGTTTCTTCCGCTACGCTCACCGTGGACCGTGAACGGGATGAACGGCACCGATACGGAGGAAATGGTCCAGTCCCGGCCCCAGAATAGCCTTTTTGGTTCGGAGACAATAGGACAACAGGCGACAATCTGGTTCCACTAAACACCAAACACACCCCTGGCTAACGCTTATGAGTGGAGGAGGGGGCTGAATGGTGGCAGGATGAATAGAGTTTGCGCCATTGCATAGAGCTGTGTGAGTTGGCAGTCCGCAGTGTGGATGGACGACGCGCAGCACAACTGCCTGCATTGGCGGGGTGGTTTGTTACCCCTCAGACCGTTAACCAGGGGGCAAAAAGAGAGAAGCGGAGAAAGATACAGAGGAGGAGAAGTGATCAAGTCTAAAGGCGTCTATTCTATTGGTGGTGGCAGCTATCTGGAGTTGCATGGTCTCTGCGCAGAGGATGGACTATCTACTGCGAAACAAGAAACCAAGCCATGCTCAGCCAAGTTGGCAAACAAAAGAAAAGAAATTCAGTAAATCAGTAACATAAAAATAAAAACTTTTCATCTTAGGGGGGCTCATTCCTCCTTGCTCAGTGCGTCCGTAAGGTGTGTCCTGGCAAACTGGAAGCCCTTCCAAAACTCTGCCGTCGCGCTCTGGTGCTCCTTGCCCACAATACGCAGGCATTCCGCAAGCTGCTCCTCTTCAAAGTCAGCCATGCGGGCCAAGAGTGGGCGCATAGCGTCTTCCAATATCGAGGATGCAGCGACTGCCCGGCGCAGTGGAACAAAGGCAGCAGCCATACCAAGAAGGACGGCTTTACAGGCATTGGGCGCCGTAGCAAGCTGCATCATCACCTTGGGCAACTCTCCCGCAGGATACAGCGACAGCAGCTCCTCCAAAGAACCAACCGAAGCTGGAACGCCATGATATGCCAAGATCTGCATGCCCATGTCGAAAAAGGATGCTTCGCTTGCAGATGAGTGATCGTCCGAGCCAATCTTGACGTTTCCCGTGACACTGTACTGCAGCTCGTCAAAGCCGTACTGCGCACGAAGGATGCGAAGGATCAAACCGCCCAGTGCATCGCCATTCTTGGACGGGATGGCCAAGAAGCCCTCGAGAAGACGGAAATGCGTAAACCACAGCACTGGTAGAGTTTTGACCTTTTCGACGGCCGCCACCTCCACCGGGAAGTGGAAGCCGTTGACACCGGTCTGTGACAACTCGGGGGACGGGATGAGTGTCGCAGAGGAATCCTGCAGGATCTGCTGGCGCAACCTGTCAATGGCGTCGCGGGACGGCAACATCGGGCCGAAAGATCCTGCATCGTTCGTGGCGAGAGCATTACGGCGAGTATGGTCATGGCCAGTAAAGGAGGCATACGACACCACAGGCAGCGGCGCGAGACCGTTGATCCATTCCCGCACAACATTACACTCCCCCTCTGTAAATGCGCCAAACATGCGGCCACCCCACAGCAGCTCCTTCATGAACCGGCTCTTATCGCTGTTTCCAGGCGTCACCCAGTATCGCGAGCGAGCCAGCGCCTGCACAAGGTTAGCCCCGCGGTCCTCAGTGTCAAGCTGGCTCGGGTCCAGCCACTCCACGACAGTACTCTTGCCAATCTTGGACTGGCTGCGGCAGTGTAGCTTGCATCCCGACTTGGCCTTGGACAAGAAAATGTCGCCCACGGCCTGTTCGAGGTCTGCAGAGGATTTCGTCTGACTCGCAATGCGGCGCACCCAGGCCCCCTCAGACAACAAGTATCCCGCCTGCACACGCCTCCACGCCTGCTCCATGGCCCCCTCGCCGTCATTCTCACGGACCTGCTCGAGGTACAAGACAACAGCGTCGAGCGCCATGGCCGTGTGGCCCGAAGCCGCATTGTCAATAGAGACATGCAGCATAAAGTAGGTTGCGTCAAGGCCCAGCTCCGTCATCTCCGTAGCGGCCTGCAGCATGCCCAGCGTGATGCCCTCAAAGTGCAGATTGAACCCGAGCATCTCGGGCATCAGGTCCTTGTGGAACAGCGAGATGAGCAGCTGCGGCAGCGCGGCGCGCCATACCGAGTCGTCGGTCGTGCCGTGGCGGCGGTCCATGAACTCGGCAGAATGGGCGGCGGGCATGTCTGGGGCAGTTGTCTCGAGGAGCTGTGCGTATATGCGGGCGTGGTGCTTGCTGATGTCGCCGTCGCCGAGCTCCTCGGACGTGATTTGCCACAACTGCCGGACGACTTGCTGGTGTGTCCAGAGGCTGTCGACGCGGCTGAGGTGGCCGAGCCAGGCGCCGTCGACGAAGCGGAGTGGTGTTTGGGCGCGGAGCCAGGTGATGGCGTGGTCCTTGGTGGGAAGCAGTTCTCTGGGCTGGCCGGAGCGGCGGCGCTTGGTGTAGGCCTCGAATTCTTCCATGATGTCGTCGTCACGGCGCTCGATCCAGGCAGTCAGGTCGGTGGCAGAGTATTTGGGGAGGGCGAGGATGCTGTCTTTGGCAGGGAGGACCTTGGCTGCGTCGACGGCGAGGTCGAGGGCAGCTAGGAGAGCTTCATGGGCCGTAGGAAGGATCTCGGGGTTGTCTTCCATGTTGTGAAGTTGATGGTAGAGCAGGCGGACCTTTTCGGGGTCGAGGAGCCAGCTGGCTGCGGTGTTGTTGGTGCTGCGGTGGTGCTCATGATGGGCAGTGAAGCCGTGTGCATGACGAGAACATCCTGATGACTGTTGCTGGCGAGCCCAGAGATATGCCACGGTGCAGCCGCTGCAAAGAAGACAGAGGGTAGCAATCTGGGCGGGAGTAAGTGAAGCCCAAGAGTCGGGAGAGAGCGTGTGGTGGATGGCCATGATGGGATAGTCCGCTATCTGCGTCTGCGTCTGCTTCAGATGGTGCTTTTAGGACTGTGGAAGATGGGATACAAGAAGAGCAAGCAGTGATATGTCGACATGAGCAATAACAGAAAGCGTCGGCATTAATGGTACTAGGACAAGTAGACTGACAGACTGGGAGCCACCCAAGATGCAGCAGCCTTGTTCTCGTTCCCCTGTTCCTGTGCCAAACCGAGCGCCAGGTAAGAAAGGGAAAAGGCTTTGCCGCCGGTTCCCATCAAGGATAGTTTCCGATCAGACACCTCGGCGGCGGCAACAAGGAGGGCTGGTGAGGCCGTGTGTTAGTGGTGCAGGCAGCCATACGAACGAGCAATCACGGCATCCTGCTCAGCAAGCCGCATCCATGAGAGTTCACAAGCAAGTTAACAAGCAACAACCGGTTCTCTGTCATCATCTTGATGGACACTAACACGGCCATTGCGACGGCCTACACCATGCACTAAGACGAGTAGGCAGGCATGGGAGGAGGGGGGCGTGTGAATAACAGCCCAGGAAGGCAAAACGACGAAGAAGAGAAGGATTCGGCCCTGCACGGCAGAACTGCAGCAGCTATACTACGAATCAGCAAATAGGGTGGCGTGGTTTGCCTTTTCGCTTCCGGTGAGGCGCTTTAGACGCCGATTACTGGCTGAACGTATATGCATGCAGGCAAGCAAGCTAACCAGCCAGCCAAACCTAACTACAGCCACGCATGCAGTCCCTCCGGCCAATCCTGCCGACACTTCTTCACTTCATGCACACACACACACCACAGCCATGTAAGATGTAAGTGGATACCAGGGGCCCGAGATGCCAATTTTTAGAGTTTACGAGTTGGTGCACTGAAACCGGGTGAGATGCTGCGACGGCTGCCGCTCGTTTGGAGAGACAATGCAACTCTACACTTAGAAAACGCTGGGGCGGACACTAACCCCCCCTGGTCAAGCCTCGTCGGGGTCTTTTGTACCTGTTACGCCTCGTTTTTCTCCATAGTATTACTACGAGGGAAGGTGGACTGTCCTATGGGTTCTTCTCCATATCCCGCAATTTAAAAAAAAGAGACGCCCATAGTGCTGACACTCGCCCCTCTCGTTCTTCTATGTCCCCCAGTTTTATTTTTCAGTCTGCGGTCATATTTGTGGGAAAATACAATAGAAATCAGGCTGAGATGTGCCCTTTAGGAAGTCGCCGGCCCACAACCGGCGGCTGAAGATGCGGCGGCGGGCCGTGAATGCCGTCAAAGTGGGGAACACTTCGGGCCCATCGGACGCCGGGGGTTTGTGTGGGGGCCGTTTCACACCAAAACCGTGTTTTGCTGCGCCAAAGGTTCCCGTGCGTGTCTTTGCTGGGGGGGCCGAGATTATTTTTTTGAGGCTGGGACAGGCTGGGCTGAACTGGGATTCTGACTTAGGCGAGGGAGGGGGCGTGTCGATACAGTGTTCCTCAGTACAAGCAGCGGCAGGCATTACCTGCATACAGGCATCCAACGAACCGTGCAGATCGCCATCGACGAAAAAAAGCTGCCGGAACTTGCCTCTTTCAGGGCAATGTGCGAATTTGCCGAGTCAAGCCGGGATGTAAAAGGAGGTGTAAGGCAAGTAAAATAGAGTTCCGTGCTTCGGAGACAATGTGAATCAGGTAAAGTGAATAAGCAGCCATGTTCCATGTCGGACCCGAAGGCAGAGACTGGAGACGGGAACTCAAGGATGAGCTGCTAGGATGGCCTTCATCCTGGAGGATTCTCGCTGTGGCAACGTGTCATGAAAGAGCAAAAGGTTAATCCGAAAGAAAACTGGTACGAAAAGGAATCGAGGACAACGTGGGAAGAGGGAGAGGTAGTCACAGAGGAACATGTTGCCATGGTGCAAGTCTGTCATGTAGATTGCTGAGCGTGTGCGTGTGCTTGTAGTTGTAGTTGGTGCTATGTAGGCAAGTCGAGTTGAGGGAGAGGTTATGCATTCGTTTTATCTGTGAACGTCTCTATTGCAGGCAATATCTAAAAAAGGAAAATCTAACACTGCTGCCTATTCAATCTCATAGGTAAACTTGTCGCGCACCTTTTGCGCCATCCTCAAACAATCCTCCCTACTCTCGCGGCTCACTACAGAAAAGTACGCCAGGTAGCTAAACAACGTCGCCGTAGGACCATACAGTCTCTCGCCCTTCTTTCTGTGCGTCTTGTAATCGGCCACGGCGGCGCGAATATCGGGATACGTATCCAGCAGCAGCTTACCCGAGTCCTCCGTCTTCATCATGCCGGGCTTGTCCTCATGCATCACCACCACTTCAAGCCACCACTGCGCGCCATCTGCGTAGGGCACGCTCAGGGCGCGGGCTCGGTCCAAGTCACCGAGATGGCTGAGGATATGAATACCGTAGTAATCCACGCCGTAGGTCAACATCGTAGCGCTGCTGACAAAGTAGCCGCCAGGCCGGGCATTAACCTCGTGCAAGTAAAAGGACGGCTTCTTCTGGCTGTCGTGCGTATCGTTCGGGTACAAGTTGGTCAGGCCGTCGCGCGTATCGTATGCCTTGGACGAGTATCGAATGCGTCCCTCGCAGTGGTAGACGCCCGTGCGGAATCCTTGTCGCAGCAAGGTTTGGTGTACAGAGTTCTTGGAGACTTCAATCTCCTCAGAAGACAGACCCGTAGGCAGAACCATGGAAGTCTCCAAAAAGGAGCCGTCGGCGGGATTTGTGGCATTGTCGCCGAGCTTGGGGAAGTCGTCGGCCATTTCGAAAAAGGCCACTTCGCCATCAATTAGCACAAAGTTGGCGTCCACCTCGGGCCCGTCAATGTACGGCTCAACCATGACGTCAGTGCGCGGGTTGGGCCCGGCTTCGTGCCGTCCGGAAGCTCGCGCCACAGCCTCGACGAGCTGCTCTTCGTTTTGGACCTTGGCCACACACTCGCTGCCCCAGCCCATGCAAGGCTTGACAATGAGAGGATAATTTACAGGCTCGTGGTCCTTGGATTGGAGGCGCGCGTACAGGGCGTCAACGCTGGAGACCTTGAAGGCCTCGCCATTGTCGAGCTCCAACTCTCGCGACTTGTACTTGTCGCCGGCAATGATAAAGGACTCGGGTGGCGAGGTCCAAAGGCCCAAAATCTCGCAGGCGCGCGCAATGGCTACACAGCCTGCATTGTAGATTGTGACCAGTGCGTCCACGGGCTTGTCGTAGTTGCGGACGGCAGCAACAATGCGGTCCGTAAAGCCCGCATCGGCTGCAATGCTTGTGGGAATGAAGGCTTCGCGCAAATGGTTCCATCGTGGGTCGTCCTTTTGCGCCCATGAGCCCTCTTGATCGATAATGACGACCTTGATGCCCAGCGCATAGGCGGCTTCCCAGATACGTCGGCCGCTCTCAAGGTCTTCGTAGCCCTTGACCCAAACAATGCGCTTCTCGGGGATGGCAACGGGCGAGATCCAGGGAAAGGAGAGTCTATTGACTAGTTCTTTTTCTAGGTCGCCCAGGCGCTGCATGGTTGGGACGTGGATAGCGCCTGTGACATGCTGCAGGAGGTGGTGCAGGCGTAGTGCAGAAGTAACGCCATTAGCACCATTCTGGCTTTCGAAGCGAGGCGCCTTGATCTCCTGCCTGGGCATGAGGAAGCCCTGAATGTGGGAGATGTGCTGGTATCCGTCGAGACGGCGCTCTAGGAAATCAGAGCGGATACAGAAGCCATCTTTGGAGGGGAGGATGAGCTTGACGATTATTTCGCTAGATCCAGGGACTCGGTGGCGCAGAATGTGGTTGATAAGCGTAGATGTGAATTCATCTTGTAAAGGAGCGTCGTTCTTATCCACAATTGCCGCACTTTGACAAGATGTAATTCCATCCAGAGTAGAAGCGTCAATAACTAGATCGACAGTTCTGTGAAGGGATTGCGTGGGCTCGGCCACGACAGTGTTGAGCGCCCACGATACGGTGATGAGCACTGTCGAAACGTGTTAGTACTGTTCAAACTGTTATAATTATTGTGCATGCTTACCATCTTTGGTGGCGCTGGAGCCAGTGTTCAGCTTGAACTGGCAAATCTGTGAACCAAGCATGATGATCAAAAAGGATTGGGTGAAGAGAATGAAGCAGATGCAGGCAGGACAAGCAGTGACAGCATCAGGACGGCACATCCAGATGCATATACATTTTCCTTAAACGCCATTCTTCGGCAAACACATTGCGCTGTAAGCACAGCCCAGCCAGGCTGTCCTTGGCCCCTACATTGTCGGTAAGCGCAGCCTACTTTGCCCGTCCATGCGTTCTCTTTCCAAGGGGGCAAAAAAAGAAGGCTGCGTATTTCGATAGTGGCTGAATGGACCGACGGCCACATATCCCGGTGGCTTCTAAAAAAAAAAAAAAAGAACTCAGCCGGCGTTGACCGCCGGAGATGTATCGTCGCCCGGGGTCTGTTTAGCAGAGAGGAAAGGATTGCCCTGTCCTGTTTTGCCCTGCCACTACAACGCAAAGGACAGAAATTAAACTTTTGAGCCGTCGCATAACCAAAAACTCTCCGCATTGTCTTTTCTTACACGCCCATAGGGGTCCCGGTTGGAGGCCCTGCCGTTGCGGGAGCCGGGGGACACGCCCCTGTCCCACTTGTGGATAGAGGCTAGGCTGACGATGATGTGCGGCTCGTTTATCCGCAAAAGGTAGAAGGGGGGTGTGGTGATATCGTGTTAGCATTTGTGCTGTTGTCGTGATTGGAAACCCGGGATGCAAGAAGAAAGAAGAAGGCTGTCGGTATTCCGGTCCGAAATGGGAACGGAACGGCAGCTGGAGGAGTGAGCGGTGCTGGTAGCAGCAGAGGCTGAGTGAAGATTAAGTAACCTCTGTGGTTATCGGATATACTCTTCCACTGGTTGGCTGGGAACCAATACATACAGACTCCCACGCACTCACATCCAGACGAATTCTGTCTCTCCATCTTTCTCATCCTCTTCTTTTTCCCCTTCTCGTTAACTCCATCGCCCATCTTCTTTGTTTCCCTCTCAGACCACACTTATACAGTTACACTTATACCATACATACTCTTACACCTAAGCACAAGCACAAACCCATATACACACACAGTTGACCGCCCACCATGCCGTCCATCGAAGAACACCCCGTGCTTGCACCCTCGCTGCGCCGCTCCCAAACAATCCTCAACCGCGCCGACGAGGCCGACGACCTCCTCGAAGCCGTCAAATCCCTCCTGATCCCCTACATCCGCGCCGCCGACGAGGCCGCACCACACAAGCAAACCGGCCAAGCAGGCCCTACAAGCACCGTCCTCGTGCAGCCCCTTTCCCCCGCCGAACTCACCCAACGCTACAACTTCTCCCTCCCCTCCCACAAGGGCCGCGGCCGTGACGGTCTTTTGTCTGCTGTTGAAGATGTCCTCAAGTACAGCGTCAACACCTGGGACCAAGGCTTCATGGACAAGTTGACTGCCAGCACAAACCCCGTCGGTCTTGTTGCTGAACTTGTCCTCGGCGCCCTCAACACGAACGTCCACGTCTACCACGTTTCACCCGCTCTGACTGTCATTGAGCGCGAGACGGCACGCAAGCTTGCTGCATACTTTGGCTTCACTGGTCCATATGCGGGCGGTTTCACATGCCAGGGCGGCAGCGCTTCGAACCTCACATCGCTCGTTACCGCGCGTAATGTGCTCTTCCCAGATACCAAGATGGGCGGTATGGGCAACCACCGCTTCGCCATCTTCACTAGTGTCGACTGCCACTTTTCTATTGAAAAGGCCGCTGTGGCCTGCGGCTTCGGTGCAGATGCTGTGCTCCAGGTCCCTGTTGATGAGCGCGGCTGCATGAACAGTGTTGTCTTGAGGGAAATGGTGCTCGAGGCCGCTGCCAAGGGCATGACGCCGCTCTATGTCAATGCTACTGCTGGTACCACTGTTCGCGGCATGTACGACCCCATTCGTGAGATTCGATCCGTGTGTGACGAGTTTGGTCTCTGGCTGCACGTGGACGGCTCTTGGGGCGGTGCTGTTGTCTTCTCTGCCGCGCACCGACACAAGCTCGATGGTGTCGAGTTGGCGGATTCTGTGACTATTAGCCCGCACAAGATGCTGAATGTCCCCATGACTTGTTCCTTCATCCTGACCAACGATCTACGCCGCTTCCATGCCGCCAACTCACTCCGCGCCGGATATCTGTTCCACGAAGCTGAGGACGGCGATGTCTGGGACTTGGCCGACTTGACGCTGCAGTGCGGCCGTCGTGCCGATAGCTTCAAGCTGGCCCTCGCATGGACGTACTTTGGCCCTGCTGGCTTCGAGGCTGATGTCAACCATGCCTTTGACATGGCTGGCCTCTTGACCAACCTGGTCGCCAAGTCGCGCGACTTTGAACTCATCTCAGAGAACCCACCTTCTTGCTTGCAAGTGTGCTTCTACTACACTCCCGACGGATTCGCTACCGATGATGCCGAGGTCAACACGAGACTTACACGCGAGATTGCCAAGAGAATGGTCCCCCGTGGCTTCATGTTTGACTTTGCGCCGGGCCCTAGAGGTCAGTTCTTCCGAATCGTCGTCAACTTCCAGACACTTGCCGGAACGGTCGAAGGTTTGGTCAAGGGCATGCATGAGGTGGGAAGAGAAATCATGGCTGAGGCTGCCCATGTATAAGACTTTCTTCTGTCCTAGCGAATTCGATGACGGTATAGATGGTGGTAAAAGAAAATACTACTAGAGATCAGGTAGGATTGGTTAGTGCCTATAAAATTGGAGAGGTATAGATCGATGAAAACTTACTTGATAGAGATGTATTTGGTGGACTAGTTTGGCGTCAGTCTTTTTTAACGCGAGGTATTTAATATGCTATATACAAAATTTATACACTTCATTTCATCATTCCAATTCGTAAATTGAGCGCGCTCCGCTCATCTTGGCCGCTGTTGCTGCTGCCCATTGGCTCGTAATGTCTTCTTCATCCTCTTCGTCTCCTTGTATTGTGGCCTCGTCGTCATGCGCTTTGAACGATGTAAAAGACCGGACTGACTTGCATCTGCAGGACACACAGGTGCTCTGACTGCTTGCGTCGTCCATTTTCTCCTTGTTGCCTTCTACACCAGACGATAATTCGCTTCTCGCTGTTCCAGCCAGCTCGCTCCGCGTGTTACCGTCCAATTCGGATCTGAGAGTGTCTGAGCCTGCTTCTTTAACCTCACCATCTCCACTCAACTCGCTATGTGTTGGCGATGGGGGATCGTCATCCTCTGAGTCGTATTCTTTAGCTTGTGCCTCGGCATCCCGCGTGCGATGAGCACGTCGACGACGTCTATAGAAGAATGCAGCAGCACCGAGCAAACTTAGAAATGTTGCACCGCCGACTGAGCCACCAATGATGGCGTTTCTTTTTGTCTCTTCGTCTCCGTAATAGTAGGAAGTTGAGTCTATAGAGTGATTAGCGGAAAATCTTTTCCATGTGTCACAGATCAAGCTTACTCTGTACAAAAAGACGGATATTGTCGTCGTCCCATCTTACTCTGCCCATTCCACTACTGCAAGTCAGTTTGGTCGCTACTCGACAAGAGATTGCTTATACATACCCCCTGGTGTACCAGTCTGTTATATTTTGGGAGGGTTCGTAGCCATATCTGTAGTAGCTGGCTTCAAAGCCAGTTAGGGTAGACTGCCACTGGAGAGTTGACATATTGAAGATGCCGAGGCTTTGAGGCCACACGTCGTTTGTGGCCCAGTCCCCATCTGCCGCTAGACCACCCGACACAATCATCGAACTACCATAAGACGTACACGCGTGATGGGCGCGAGGGGTGGATTTCACTGGGACTTTGAACCAATGAAAGCCTGGGAAAGACAAGATGTACATGTCGTCCAATGTTTGACCGTCTTCACCAATTCCCCCAGATACAAAGCTATAGAGACGGATATGTTAGCGTTGTCATCATATTATAAAGCGCGTTACTTACACATCAGCTCGAGAATCAGATCCTGCGGTGACAGCGCAAAAGTCGGACCTCTTTGGTGGTATGTCGCCTGATGCGGTCTGTGCGTACCACGTATCTGTCTCCGGATTATACATGTGAATGGTTGACATGTTTGCTAATTGTGGTGGCCCCTTATCGGAAGGGACAAACCCGCCAAATGTGGGCACCATGTATAAATACCTACTGCCTATAGCTCTGACACAGGCTGCTTGCCCTCTGTCACGGAGAGCTGCGGACGTATATTTTGACGTGAGGGAGGCGTTGGACTTTTTCCATCCATCTGAGCCAGCAGAGAAGTACAAAACATCACTGGAGAGCTGCCTGTCGCCGCTATCCAGTTGAGAGTGCACATCTGTTGACGCTGTGACAGAGCCGCCAATGTACACGGCACCAGTACCGCAGAATATGCTTTGAGCGTTGGATGTAAGCGACGCATTTTGCAGAACGGCTGAATTTTGAGGCGCGGGCTGCGAGTCCCAGAGGCCCATGCCCGTACTCCCACCGCCGGGGAACGAGACCGGGAGGAACGCCCATAAAGCGCGGTTCACGTCGTTGGCTTTGCCATTGTTGGGTGTAGCGCCTCCGAAGCGATAGAGGGCACCCTTTGACGATCCGGAGCTGCTATAAGAGCTATAGGATGAATCCACTGCCCATAGGGCGAAGTCGCGCGCCGCTGGTGGTCGATGGTTTGATATTTCTTGAAAAGTGATGTTGTCGAGAGTTTGTGACGTGTTGAGTGCTGGTAGGGAGGCATATAATGTATTGTTCACTGTCAAGGTGGCGTGCATCCATTAGCAAAATGTCTCGAGGTAGCTCGCACGGGGTTGTAGTACCTGCTGCTGTCTCGTTGCCGACTCCCGTGGCAATCTCGCCGCCTTCGATATATAATACGTTGTTTAGAATAGCGACTAATAAATGGTTAGCAATTCGTTTGCTTGTTTATAGTTGATGCTATAATCCCACTTACTCGAATGGTGAGCTCGTCGGGTGGCTGGCAGCGTCGCGTTGGTTGCCGTCACGACCACAGGCAGTAGTAGCAACAGCCACGAAGCCAAGTGGAATAGGGTGCTGGCACCGGCCATTTTTGTATCACGGCGCGTGCATACGGAATCACTTTTCTAGATGTTGAGTCTCTAGGGGATCGTAAAGAAAAGGGTCTTGAGAAAGATTAAAGTTGGAAAAGGTCAAGTCGGCGCCCTAGTCAAAACGAAGGAATGAGTCGAGCTCTCCTGGCGGGAAGGGACCCCAACCAGGCCCTAATCGCAGTCATCCGAAGCCAAACGAGGCTGCTTAGCGTCAATCTCGCACCCAAAACATCGTCATATGGTTACGCGGCCTTCTGCAGTGAGGTGGAGCAAAAAGAAAAAAAACCCGTCGCCCGTTGCCAAAACGGGTTGCAGAGTGGGGATTGCGATTCTTGGACAGGCACGCCGCCAGCTGGCCCACCTGGCGGCGCCCAAGTCTTGTGGGACGTGATGATCGGAGAAACCAAGGCCCGGTTGTTCTGGTAGAGGGACTGACAGATGCCGTGTCTGTGATGACATCTACCATGCACAAACTTGAGACCCTGATTAAAACCATTATGGCGGCTCGGCTAGAGGAGACACACCTAACTAAGTTAATACAAAATGAGCCGTCGCCATGAACCTACACTGGCGGACGAACATCCGACGCCACATCGCCGCCGACTTGCTTACAACATCACAACCCCATCAATAATAAAAATAACCTCATAAAATACAGAAGACGTTCCAACATATTCATTCACATATAAACCACACATCATTCTCTCATTCAACCTCCTCTGTACCGTTGACCCCTCTTCTTGTCCGTCGCCCATTGTCCGCATTGTCGCTTCCCCGCAAACCAAAAATACCCGACGGCTCCGCAGCGATCGACCCGACCAACCACAATCTAATATAGACCATGGCAACCGTACCCCCGCGTAACTCGCTACTACCTTATATAACCCGGGGTTCTCCTCTCTCCAGGGTCCAAAAACAGGTAAACCACACTTCCAATCACACCGAAAACCATGGCTCCTTGGAACAAACTTGTCGCCTTCGGCGCCCTCTTCGCCGTGGCCAACGCCTCATGTTCCAGCGACGAGGACTGCTCTCTCAACGGCGTCTGCTCTCCACAAGGAACCTGTGCCTGTGACAAGGGCTGGGTAGGAGCCGATTGCGGCGTAGTCGACACTCGCCCAGCACACCTCAACACAGGCTACAACTTGACTGCTTCGGGAACCTCGTCCTGGGGATCCAAGATTGTCCAGGACCCCACGGACAAGAACCTGCACCACTTGTTCGCTGCCGAATTCAGCCATGGCTGCGGTCTTGACTACTGGGCGCCGTACAGCCGCATCATCCGCGCCGAGTCTCGTACAGGGCCTGCCGGGCCGTATTCGTTTGCCGCTGAGATCCAGCCCGCCTTTGCACACAACCCCACTGTCGTGTACAGCCCCGCGGATAAGCAATGGCTCATGTACTACATTGGATGCAAGCAAAAGGTTGTGACCAACAAGTGCACATTTAACAGGTTTACCTGCGGACCAGGCAACGCAAATAATGGTGAAAGCGGCCTCTCCGTCATGTCTAGCTGGGACCTCAAGCACTGGTACCCGCACGGCCAAGTCTTCAAGGGCGACAACTCGAGCAGCTGGGACGCCGACGTGACCAACCCCACGGTCTTCCCGCTTCACAAGGCCGGTACTGGTGCCAGAGCACATGCAAGTGCTGGCTCGGGCTCGTCGAATGCCTACGCTTCTGCAGGTGGCGAGGAGGATCCTGGCATGCTTCTTGTTTACAGAGGATGTCCGTACGACTGCGGTGGTGCAGAGCAGATTAATGTTGCTGTTTCGCCGACCGGATATTTGGGCCCATATACCAAGATTGGCCCGGATCCTATTTTCGAAAACGGCAACGAAGATCCGTTTGTCTGGCGTGACAAGCGCGGCAACTGGCACATGCTGCTGCACTCGTTGGAAGCAGATGGTGGCTTTGGCAACGGACCCAAGGTTGGCCGCCACGCATTTGCAAGAGACTACAAGGGCCCATGGACATTTGTTGATAGGTCGTTGGCGTTCAGCACCGAGGTCAAGTACAGCGACGGAAGCACCATTGACTTTTTCAGACGCGAGAGACCCCAACTGTACTTTTCCGACGACGGTGAAATGACGCCGTTGTTTATGACCACGGGTGTCCAGCCGCGCAACAACCCGATGAGTTATACCGTCATTGTTCCCATTGGCGATGATGGTGTCAAGGCTCAGGGGTAAGCGAAAGAATTGTGCTGCATATTTTTCGATTTGGGCAATTTCATCATCGTGTCCCATAGTATATCATCATCTACATATTATATATCGTCTGTTGTACATGTCTTCATTTCTTTTCCGCTACCCAAAATTGCGCCTTGTATGCACTCCTCGTCAATGCTCTATCGTTGAAACTGTAGACCGCCTCCATACCCCGCGGCGTCCTGCCCTCCAGCGTAATGTCGCCCCATTTCTCATCTGTGTCGAGGTACTTGAATCCCATGGCCTCGGTAACCTGTATAACTTCCTCCAGGGATAGCTGCACAAATGGACCCGTACCGTAGAGAAGAGGGCCCAAGTTGATCCATTTACCACCAGGCTTGAGTACCATTTTGATGGTATCAAAGTAGGCCATCAAGTTGCGAGCCGTGTCGATGAAAAAGTACGTCAAGACGATGTCGTAGGTGCCCGCTTCTGTTGCAAAGACCGTAGTGAAGTCACCCTCCACCACCAGGATTGAGTCGGGGTCGGCTTTGCGCTCCGGGAAGCTGAGCTTGCGCAACATGTCGTTCTCGTTGGCATGATGAGACCATCCATCTACAAAAGGATGGAACGTCGAGGCGTTCTTATCGGGGTTGGCTTCCAGATATCTATACGCCACGTTCATAAAAGTCGACCACTCGTTGGCGACAACTTCAAATCCATCTAGCGCTGCAATTTCGTGTGCCAGTCTGTTCAAACCCGAACCCGGTAGCAGCACCTTGAGCGGGCTGGCAGCCTCCTTTCGTTCGGGGAACATTGTGTCCATGGTCTCAATGAGGCAGGGAAAGGTGTTTTTCCTCTCGAGTTCACCTGCACTGGTCCAATCGCGCACAAAGTGCTTTAAACTCTGGCTTGCCGACACTCTATCCATATTCTTACCCGAGGCCTTCATAATGTGCTCGTGCTTCTTGAGCTCAGCGGCGCTGATGTTGTAGTATTTCATGCCAAACTTGGAGATCTTGTCGCACAACTTCTGGTTTTCCTTGAGCTTTGCCTCGACGCGGTCAAACTTTTTAGAGTACTTGACTGCGGAATCGAGAATCTGGTTGGCGGGTTAGCATATCATGTCATTCGGCGGGGACATTTGGCTGGGATCAACGTACGGCTTTCTGGTTCTTGTTGACACCTTTAAACAGTGTCCGAAACTTGTCAATATCGCTAACAGAGCGCTCATAATACTTTTGGTACGCTAGCAGCGCATCTAGCAGTCTATGGCGAGGGTGGTTCATGCTCCACGGCGCAGACTCTCGCTCAAGCATGGCAAACAAACGCTGCTTCTCCAAAGCGCGTCTCGTCTCCATCGGCAGCGCAGCACCGTCTGAAAGCTTGGCGAGGGCATCGTCCAAGTCCATAGAGGCAAATTCACCAGATCCAGGGATCTCCATGGCCGCCAGCGACGGTCTGTCGGCGCTGTCCGCGTTTGCGGTGAAGCCAAGGGAGAGCCACGCGAGGCCTAGCATCTGGAGCATGTTGCGCATCAGATTGGCAAAGAAGAAGTAAATTGACTGCATTGAAAGTGACGAAAAAGTATTACAATGCCAACTTGACAGAGAATTCTTTTTTGCACGTGGCGGCGCGGTGCTGCTGGTGATGGGCGTGACTCTTTTTTTAAAGGTAGGGACGCAAAGAAAGAAAGAAGACGTGGTGGAACGCCTCAATCTTGGCTCACGGCTTGGCTTGACCCTGATGGACGCGCTAAAGCTGCCGTTGAACGCCCCCAAAAGGGCCGCTAACCGGGAGCTTATCTGCGCTGAGACGGCTGTCAAACTTAAAAATCCATTCAACTCTACCTAAATAAAAACCGGGATATCTCTATCAAAAATGAAAAAAAAAAAAAAAAAAAAAAAACACAAAAGGGTATCTAAACTAAAAAAGAAGAAAAAAACACGCATTTTGGGGAGCATTGAATCTCTATTTCTTACTTCCCCTCTTTGCCCTCTTTTCAGGCTTCGCCTCGTCGCTGCCGCTGCTGAGGACAGCACTGATGCCGCTCTTCATAGCCTCTAGACCCTGACCAACTGTTCTTTCGGAGCGTTCCTGCAGATGATGCTTCTCGGCCTCGTCGCGGAGATCCTGTAGAATGCCGCGCCCCTTGCTGGTGCTGTGCGCCCAGTCCACGACGCCGTATGCGCCGTAGTTGGCATTGCCCTTGGTGGCGTAGTGGATGGCCGTTCGCTGCGTGATGCCCGACATGATGATGCCCGGAACAATGGTGTACCCGCTCATAGCGAGAGTCTCTTCCAGCGTGCACAGGCCGACAAACAGAAAGTAGGTGAGCAGATGCGGGCGGATAAAGGCTGCTGGCAGGTAGATGGGAAGAAAGCGGTGCAGCAGCAGGGGCACTGGGTGGTCGGTATATACTTGGAGAGCAAAGGGAGCGCCAGCTGGACCATGAGCAAATGAAGTATGAAGCTTGGCGACAGGCGAGTCGGAGCTGTGAAGAACATGGCGGTGCAAATAGTACTGGAGCGTCTCGCGGAGGATGAAGAGGTAGACGATTTGCTTTGCGACTTGCCAAGGGAACGGCAGGGTAAGTGTGGTGCGGAAGATGGTCTGGCCATATGTGTTGAGGTATGCATAGCTAATTAGACCTTCGACTCCAAGGAGCACGGCATTGTTGACAATGACCATGAATAGCAGGCGGCCAATTCGTCGCGCGTTTCTGAGTGGTAGTGATGCTCTGCCGCCGTGCTTGATGCTCTCCATGACACTGGGAAGGCCGAGATCGAGAAGCAGCGACAAGAGCGAGGGCACGAGCCAGAGGACGATGCGAATGGCGAGGACGCCGACGAGCTGGACCTTGAGGGCGGAATGCGACAGGATGAGCGTGGCCCAGGTCATGTAGAAGAACAGGAGGTTGAAGGAGGCGGACCATGATGTCTGCGTCGGCGCGACGAGGTACGATATAAGCGGTATGCTTAGGAGGACGTCCATTGTGGTGGTTGTGGTTGCGTCGTGAGGTTGTGGTGATTGGTATTTTCCATAGCAGTGTGTATGTGAAGGTGTAGTAACCGTCACTCCTGTAAATGTTTATGTATATTTTTGTTTTTGGGGGAGGTGGTGACGTCTATGCCCGATGCGGGTGGCCTCTTTGGTAGGCTGGGCCTTGTTTTTGGGCGGCGCAAGCCGGTTTGGGTTAGGATCCACGCCAAAAGAGGAAGCCAAGGCTTTTGGGGGGTATGTCTACAGTGGCTACTCTAAGTACATCACGTACCTATAAGTAGTGGGCGGGTGAATGTAAGCTGTGTACAGCTGAGAAAGACTCTGTCATGCGCTGCTCAGCCGCGCCAAAGCAGCTGCAAAAAACAAAAGGAAAAAAAAAGTAAGAGAACAGGAGGGACGATATGCAGCCGGGTACCGATCCGAGCTGTCAATGTGCAGCCGTTTTTCATTTCGCTGTTGTTATTCCGCCAGTCCATGTGCAAGGCAAGCCTGGTCTATGGGCAGGGGAACTCACAGTTGACGATAGGGTCATTTTAGCCGCTGTTGGCGGATAGTGCGAGAGAGAGGGTATCTGATTAGAGAATGTCTTTCCAAGATTTGCGTATTATAATTTATTGGAAAAAAATACTACTCTCAAGTAATAGTTATTGCTTCTCTCTCCCTCGAATAGTTTAATAGCAAATTATTCTCTATTAATTATAGTACTGTAAATTCCACACACACACAAACACGGCATGAACCGCTGTCTTTCTCCACCACACACGCTGCCTGTCCATCCACTGTGGTTTGTTTGTTTCCAAGGGACCAGCGGGGGGGCGCCAACCCACTCATCCCGCTAACGAACCACTAGTTTCCCCCGCTAACACCACGACCCCTGCAACATGCCCGCCCTTTCTCTCTTCCCCGCTGCCTGCTGCAAACTACAGCACCTGCACCAACGAAACGTTGCTGTAGCTTCCCCCTAACGCCCCCCTAACGATGCGCTAACTTCAGGCACCTGCAACGCTGCCGCCCCGACCCCTGCCTGCACGCCATCGGCCTCCTCCTGTCTTCACCACCACCACTTTTTTTTGCTGCTCTTTGCTTTTTCCGTCCCCTTGTCACGCTGCGTTGTCATCGTCTGCCTCTTTTGTTTGCATTTTTTTTTTCATCTTCTCTTCTCAGCATCTTCATCATCCTTAGAATATTCTTAGCCTGTGCCTTTTTTTCCTGCTTCACTTGCTCACACCCCAGACGCCCGCATCACCACCACCGCTGCCAACCCACAGAGGTAATTAAAAAAGGAGTCCCATATTCACCACCACCACCAAACGTATCCAAACCGCGCCGCTGTGGCTGGCCCCGTTGCTTCTTTCTCGCATTACGCACAAACCACGCTGCTGCTGCTGCATTACTCGCCCTTTACGTCTCTGCCGCCTCGCCGTCTCCCTTACTGCTGCTGCTGCCACGGTAGTTAGTCAATTGTTCCGCCATCTCGCAGCTCGACGCACGCACAAACCACTTCACAGACGCCACGAACCGACTCCGTTTTGCTGCAGCGCCGCCCCGATCCCTTCTAATGACCACCGCCATCTAAAACCCTCGCCAGTACGCACCCTCCCGCGCTCATGGAGTACGAATATCGCGCCCCAGAGGCTCCCGTCGCCCCCTCTCGTTCCCATCGACACACCAGACACCGCTCGACAAAGGGCTCCTCCTCCTCCCGCCATCAGCGCCAAAACTCGGGCCCCGACGTAATATCCAACCTCATTTCTAGCCTCAGCGTCATATCCCAACCAGCTTCCGACCACTTTGAGACGCACCACCACGCTTCCTTGAGCCCTACATTCCCCGTTAGCCCAAGCAGGAGTCCCGAACCCGGCGCTTACTCGGGCAGCTTCGGTGTCGACTACGGCGCATTCAACAAACGGTCAACAGCAGACCACGGCTCGATTGACGAGTTTGCTGCCACATCCCCAGTCGTCCGCCCCTCCCGAGATCGCGGCGGACCATCCTCGTCTGCCTCCTTACCACACAGTCCCCGCGAAACTTCCAGCGCATTCCGCTCCTTGATTCGTGAAAGCGTCACCTCGTCACGCCCTTCTTCCCGCTCGTCGCAGAGCTCCAAAAATGACGATACGCACAGCATTGGCAACCTCTCCGTAGAGCCAGGCGCCGCTGCTCCCATTCCCGAACTGCGTCCCCGACGCTCTCACGACAGCTGGGGCAAGAGAGCAAGCCGCACTAGCAAGAATATTCTCTACATGCCGTCCAAGGAACGCCTCCGTGATCGAGAATCAGACAAGAAGTGGACATCAGCTAGCTCCGTCATGTCAGACTATAGCATCAGCCGTGGCGATGCCATGTTGTCCGAGATGCCCATCAACGAGGAGCCCATGCCGTATGAGATTAACAACCCCCAAAAGGTACCAACTCGAGATTCTAGCCTACGAAAGTCGAGCAGTAGCCACCGCAAACGATCAAGCGCCCGTCGATCAAAGCGCGACAGCGAAGGCATGGACGCAGTGGAGGAATATGTGCGCTCCACCAACAACTCACGCCTCTCTCACCGTCGCTCCGAATCCGATCAAGCACGAAGGAAGCTTTTTGATGTCAATGAACATGAGACACCCGATCGAGGACGTGACAGCTATGTCATTGGTGACTTGGGCGAGGAGGCACGCGTTGCGCGAACATATGCCGAGGCGCTCGACGAGGAAGGCGCACCATCACCAGCTATATCGAGTGGCCGCAGACGCTGGGAGCGCAGTATGGAACGCGCCAACAGCCGTCTCTCGGGCCGCCTCAGCCCTTCGGAAAATGACACTCTCAACACAAAGCGCAGCAATTCACGACTCAAGCGTTTGTCGGAGCAACTGACGCCGCAGTCGGAGCCCAGAGATCGAGATGTCTCTTCGGAACGCCGTCTGCCGTTGGGCTATGAGCGACCTGCATCGGCGGACTCTGTTGATGACGCTGTAGAGTCGTACCTGTGCTCTGACCGTCTCTCCCAAAAGATTAAGCACCCGCAGACTGGACGTGTGATTTCCTTTTCGGAAGTGGGCGACCCGGAAGGCTCGGCCGTCTTTTGTTGCGTCGGTATGGGTTTGACGCGATATATTACAGCATTCTATGACGAATTGGCTCTGACGCTCAAGCTGCGTCTCATTACGCCGGATCGCCCTGGCGTTGGCAACAGTGAGCCGTACGCCGACGGCACAGCGACGCCTCTCAACTGGCCCGACGACGTCTACACCATCTGCCAAGCACTCAAAATCACCAAGTTTTCTATTCTGGCGCATTCTGCTGGTGCCATCTACGCTCTGGCGACAGCTTTGCGCATGCCACAGCATATCCGCGGCAAGATTCATCTGCTAGCCCCGTGGATTCCGCCTTCTCAGATGAACACATTTGGATCGACACAGACGGAGCCGCCATCACACTCCATCCCGACATCGCAGCGCATCCTACGAGCTTTACCGACACCTTTCCTCAAAGTAGCCAACAGCAGTTTTATGAGCACGACAAGCTCATCCATCACCAGCTCGCTACCCAAGACACCGCGACGAAACAAGCGCAAAGTAAGCGGCCAAAGTAGGACAGATGGCGGTGAGAAGACCAACATGGATCTACCAAACTACCAGTCTGGTACGGATGCGCTCGGCCTGTCTAGCGGACTGGAAAATATGGATCGAATGCATCCGCCGCAAGGAACGCTCAATCCTGACGCTGCCATTGCCGCCACAGGAGACCCCGAGGCGGACAAGGAACGACAAGCGACCTACGACACGCGACTAACGTATGCCATCTGGGATCTAGCAACAACTGGTGCGAACCCTGCCGTCGACTTGCTGGTTTGTCTCGAGCGCCGGCACGCCATTGGCTTCCGCTATGTGGACATTACCCGACCTGTAGTCATTCACCACGGCAGCAAGGATTCTCGCGTGCCGGTGGAGAATGTCAAATGGCTGGGCAAGACGATGCGCCGCTGCGAGGTGCGTGTGCTTGAGGAAGAGGGCCATGGCCTGATGGCGAGCGCGGCTGTCATGGGGTCGGTGCTGATGGAGATGAGCAAGGAATGGGATGACTGGATGCGAGTGACGGGCGCCGATGGGCGCAAGGACAAGAGCCGTCGCGGTGTGATTCCAAAGTAAGAGAAGAGACAGGGTCTGCGATGGACGGACCAACGACGACAATTTCTATATATCATATCACATGTATATGCGATGACACAACAGCACTACAACAACATGGCACAGCACAGGCGCGGCGTTTTTTTATGTGTTTACACTCTTTTTTTGCATATGTCTTTTACCGTTGTTTTTAGGATACTCTTTTGGCTTTATTCTATAGCTTAATATCTAGTCTTTATTGTCATCGATGCCCCGTGTCCCTTTTGTATACGTCCCAATGTTACAACACGAGTTGCCCAAGTGGTATCCATTTTCGAATCTGAAATTTTATCCTTCTTCTCGATAAAATACATTTTAGCATTTTATATATTTTCTACATATATTTAATTCAACGTTCACCCTCTTGCCCCTGTCTAGTCTTGTCCGTGCGCTGGAGTGTCTCGTATATCTGGGGCGATGACGACAGTGCAGCGGGGAGGGTGGTGCGCCACGCTAATCAAGGGCCACCTAGCCGCCAGACGTACCCGCCCTTGGCCTCCCTTACTTTGGAACGTACGCTGGCATCTTTTCTCCAAAACGTGTAACCGTCATCGCCAAAACTCTCCCTTTTTGTTTTTATTTTGTGTCTCTCGCCATCGCTTTTTTGCTGCCTTCTTTTTGTCGGTCTTTTCTTGCTTCTTTTTTACTTCTCTAGGACATCAGGTCTATATTCGACAGAATTAGTTTGCCCATTCAGCGCCCGCACACCCACCAGCTTCAAGATCGCGTGTCAACTTCCCAAGCATCGCCGCACATTGCCATAATACCATCACCATCTGCTCGACCATCTCTGAATCCTCTACTACCGAATACACAACTCTGAAATGTCCTGGGAACCCAATCATGGCCGGTCTTCCCGCCTCCAGAACAGATACATACTGGGCTACTTTGTTTGTTTTATCCCCTCCGAACCATTATCCCAGAATACTAACCGTTTTTTTTGTGCATCCACAGCCCCTCATACAAATAGTAGTTCTACTCTTCGAAATGGCCTTTGCAGCTAGGCTTGCCGCGCGCTTCAACGCCTCTTACGAGGAACGACCGAGTACGATGCCCACCCCAAATGATGCAGCTCAGCTTCCACTAACAGATGTTTTCTTATAGTCCTCACTATGATGGTCACCAACGCTATCCTCGGTGGCATGGCAGACACAGTCGCCCAAACAATCACCGCCGTCCGCCACCGCTCCGGCTCCCGCGCCGGCGCTACCTCCAAGAAGGAGGACTTTGATATTGAAATCACCGATCTCGACGAAAAGACATCCCACTACGACACCCCCTCCTCCTCGCCCCGCGTCCCTCCTCCTTTTGACTTTGAGCGCCTCACGCGCTTCATGGGCTACGGTTTCTGCATTGCCCCCGTGCAGTTCAAGTGGTTCAAGTTTCTCGAGTATGCGTTCCCCATGTCCAAGACGAGCGCCTTTGGCCCAGCCCTCAAGCGCGTGGCCATGGACCAGTTTGTCTTTGCGCCGTTTGGTATTGCGCTCTTCTTTACCGCCATGACTGTCGCTGAGGGCGGCGGCCGTCGCGCAGTCAGCAATAAGCTGCGCGATATGTATATCCCTACGCTCAAGGCCAACTTTGTCGTCTGGCCCGCCGTGCAGGTCATCAACTTTCGCTTGATGCCCGTGCAGTTCCAACTGGTATGTCTCGCCCTCGCTCTTTCAAAAAAGAAAAGAAAATCTGTGGCGGTCAATGAATGCTAACATGTCAACTACTAGCCGTTTGTGTCCACTGTCGGTATTGCATGGACAGCGTACCTCTCGCTCAGCAACTCCTCCGACTAAAAATACCTTGTATACTGATATAAAGATTCATTTTCTACAGCACTGCCTGGTTAGGGCATACATAGCGTTTGTATTCTGTATCTTGGTTTCACACTTGGGAGGGTTCTGTATTTGTTTATAGTTTAATTGGTTCTGCTGCAAACACGATGGACAGCGGTCCTCCGGCGTTTCGGTCTACTTCTTATTATCACTTATTTAGCAATTCATTCGCATTTCTTACGTTTTTATATACGTATCAATCGTTTAGTCTGCCCCAGGAAGTGCCTTCATCATCGACATGTGCTCCTCGCCAAAGATGTGAACGACTCGGACGTCCTTGAACCCAGCAGACCGATATAGTGGCATCCCCGCCGGCGTAGCAATGAGATAGCAATCACATCCATCGGCAAATGCCCTATCCATGCCGTCCTTTAACAACCTCTTCCCGATGCCTTTGCCCTGCTGCTCTGGCCGCACTCCCAGCGAATCAAGGGCTACAACACACATTAGTTAGTTTGTAACAAACACACATTTCTCATGAAACAAACATACTCCACAGCTTTCTTGGAAGATTCAAACTATTTGTATCTTCTTCGTCCTGCATCATGGCCTGCTTCAGCTGCGCCAGAGCATCCGCGTCGATCCCCGCTGGTGGTGTTTTGGGCCGCGCGGGGCCTTCGCCCGGCGGTGCGGGCTGTATCCAAGTTGAATAGCCTACAACTGCTTCAGTTGTGTCCGAAATGGTGTCGTCCACAGCCACCATCATGAGCGTGTAGGGCGTCCGAAGCCGCGTGGACTTGCGGCTGATGGACCAGGCCCGGAAGTCATTCGCGTGATTTCGTAGGTGTGGTGGGAACAAGTGCCTTGCGATGGCGTCTGTGGAAGGGTCAAAGGCTTCCATGGAGACATCGGTGATACCGGCCACGTCGGCCTCTGTGGCCAAGCGAACAGTGATGGTCATGTTGGTGTTTTGGTGAAGATGGTGATATGTCGCCGGGATGGCGCGGGGCTGTGGTAGTGGTGAGGCTCCATAGGGAGGCCTTGTAGGACGGGGATGAAGCCACAAACTTCGTGTTGTATAATGTGTCTACGGTTATATGGTTTATGTGCTAAACGACGTTTCTAGGGTGGCTTGTGGGCAATATCACGTTGGGTTGGCTACATTGGTGATGAGAGGCGCTTGGCTGTGGTGTGGTGCAGCCTTCCCATCCACGACGACACACTATATGCAGATTAATGCAGAAAGGAGAACAATTTCGTAGAACTAGGTGGACTAGGTAGTCTTTTAGAAAATCAAAATCAAAATCTTCATTTCGAGCGTTGCAATTGACGAGCAAAATTTCCTCGTTATAGTCTATAGACCCCGTGCAGCGCACATCCACGGCTGCACCCCTACCTAACATTCCAGAATGGTCTTTCCATTGAGCCAATTACGGTAAAACTCAGCCGAACCATCTTCATCACCATCAGTATCCACGCCAGCAACCGACTCCTCATCATCATCACCTTCTTCCCATTCCTCATCCTCGTCGTCATCATCATCTTCCCACTCCTTACCCTCATCCTCGTCTTCTGACTCTCCATCTTGGCCTTCCCACTCCCTAATAAAAGCAATAGCCTCGGGCGGTAGATCAAAGCCCACCAAGGATGCCGCTAGAGTCTTGGACACATCGGCCAAGAGGCTCTCAAGCTGAGTAACACTCACTGGTGTCATTTGGCATTCCTCGCCGTACTGCATAGCCATTTGGTCAAGGTAGCAGTACGCTTGTGCCCACTGTATACAGAACCCCGCGACTTCTCCTCTCCAGTCACATTCACGACGTAGCCACTGCTTTGCCCTGTCGCGACCAAATAAGTCATGCAAAGCATCCGCGTAGGTATTCATGATGGAATATGCGCATGTCCAATGGGGTCTTTCGGCGTCACCGTTAGCAAACGCCGCGTGCTTGTCGGCAAGATTGAGAAACGTTGTATTAAGGACTTCTAGGCGAAGCTCAAGCATCCTAGTCAGTTCCAGGATCAATCGTACATTGACCTTTCGTGCTTTTTGCGTTGCTTGAATCAGCTTTTGTATCCTTCGCTAAACTGTCTGTATGGTCGGAGGTGTTTGAAAGGCGGTTCATCCAGGACCCTCCGAAATTCCCGAATCTCGCTGTGAGGCATTGGCAGCGGCTCCATAGCTGGGTTAATTGCCTTGGCTGCCTTTTCCCTCTCTCTCCGCCTCATTTGCCCCCATGTTTCTTCATCAGGTAACCCAGGAATCGTGATAAACAAGTCTGGAGAGATGGTCACAGGGCCATGGATTGTTGGAAGAAGCAACTTGGCCTCTACCAGGCGGTTGATTCCACGCTGCAGCTGGTTACGGAATATCTCCTTGAGTTCTGTGCATTCGTTGGAGTCCAAGGCGGAGGTTTCTTCTTGACCGTCGCTTCTGAGTTCAAGACGTGGGCTGTCGGCAACGTTGTCAGGCCATGGGCTGGCGATTGTTACTAACTGGTCCTGGTTTGAAACGCTCAGAGTGTTTGTATCGCCGATTGGGACAGGCTTTGAGTATGAAATCCAGCGTCGTCATCACTTGACAGGCTCTGCAATGAAGGAGAATCTGGCGTCATGATGGATGGCGTCGTGGCCCGCGTTGAAGTGGCACTGTTGTCATCGTGCGTAAGCGTCATTGTCTGGGGTCTTTGTGGTTTGATATTTTGTTTGCGTTGGTAAACAACTGTGTTAATTTCAATTTATAGGCTCTCTTTGATAGCGTTTGCAAAGTGGGCGGGTGCATGGCAAACTGTTGTTTGCCTTTAAGTTTTACTATACTTTCGCTTCAGTTACAGGAGTCACACAAAGCCTCTTGCCTAGCCGTTCCGTTTGCTCACACCGCCAATAATTTACATCCCGGTCAGTTTCAACAGGCATATATAATTCTCCTAATCCCCTTCGATATGTTTCTTGGATTTATCACCGCAAGTCCTAGTAACCCTAGAAAATCGGAACCACAATCCCTCTTTTACAGCAGAGCTCTCTGGTGAATGCATGTCAAAATACAGCTCGCAAAACTAATAGCTAGCAATTTTCAGATAAACCCATAAAAGATCGAGATGTTATACATCACAGGGCTACAAAATCTTTCCGACAAGTTACAGTTTTATTTATCCTACATGTTGCAACTAACGACCGAATTTAACCTTGACTCTTGATACTTTAACCTTGAACCATTAACCTTGAACCCTAAAACCAAAAGCCATCCTTCGTGCAATTTTTCCCTTGTTTTCCTTTAGCAACTTTAACATCTATTCTTTTTAGTATTCCTCATTCATCGCAAGTATCTTTGGCTTGCCAGGTATCTGTGTACTTTGCAGCTGCTCGTGGCAGCGCAACTTCATCTGGACTAGTGGCCAATCGCTGAGCACAATCACGCAGGCTGTTCTTCATCTCCGCTACTTGAATATCTACTATTGTATACTAACCATTGTAGTGCATACTGAGCTGGTCCGTGAGATGCTTCATCTGCACGGACCAGACCCAGATTCCTCTCATAGTACCCGTCCACTGACATTCTAGGCTTAACCCGTCGTGAACCCTGTCTTGTCCAAAGAGCTTAATCAATATCTCTTTACACTTGGATACATTTTCCTTCGGGTGTTTCGATTGCATGGCAGCGAGATGCACCAGCCGCGTCGAAATATCGCTAAATGTTTCCCAGAATACCCAAAGCACATCGACTATAATATTATAGTCAATCGCTTCTTTCACCTCTATCTCCTTGACTAGGTATTGCACGTCGGCTTGTAGTTGTCGGTATGGCTCAAGATTTTTGAAATATTTATCTTGAATGAGATCAAGAAAATAGTGGATTTCAGCGTGTGAAATCTTGTAGGACTCCGACGCAGGATAAGTGCGCTTGTCCACTTCGATCCAGTCTTCTAATGAGTCTAGAGACGTGACAAATGATCCTGATTCGGATAAAGGAGTTAGACATCCAGTATCGCTATCTCCAGTAGTGTCCTCGTCGGGCGGTGCTAGCTCGTAGCGTTCTGCAATCTGTTGTCAATGCATCAGCTCCAAATTCTTCGTCCGCGAGCTTTAGTTTGCTTTACTTTAGGGTCATGTATCATCTTCCAATCTATATGGATTAACGATTGTAGCAAAGAGTGTTGCTGTTTTTGATGATGCGAGTCATGTACTCGTTTGGTGTATAGTTTGCGTGTTAAAAATTTGTGTTAAAATTGGATGCTTTACTAGGCTCAAGCTAAGGGTTTTACGATGTGAGAGCTCAAGCTGTTTATTTATAGGAAATCTGAGGCCTCATGTTGAACCGAGGTGGTTGGCGGTGCTCACTTCGATTTCACTTTGTGTGGCCCGCCCAATCTCTCACCTTGTTTTCACCTGCATTATTTTTTAGCGTCTTCGTTTTTAGTTCTAAATTTTTACTCTGTAATATTTATGAATTCTTTGCATTTTTAATTACCCTCGTTTGCTTGATTATATATTGTAACTACCGAATTTCTGTTGTTTTTGTGACGAGGCATTCAGACTTACACGGTTGGCAGCCCCACAAACCGGCTGTGCGCTTATAATGGCAAATAAGAAATTTTTTGACCTACTGCAGCTGGTCTAATGGCCTAATGGTTAAGGCGCCACTTTCCGGTGGTGGAGATTCCAGGTTCGAGTCCTGGTTAGATCGTTTTGTTGCTCGCGTGCATGTCTCTCGTCTTTTTGTCTCTCTTTCTTTTTTTTTTCGCCAAACTCCTCTCCTCGTCTAATAACATTCCACCCGATCAAACTAGCCAAATGGAGACAAATAGAGAATCGGCTCAAAACGAGGCGCGCCACACGTGTTTTGCGGAAAGCCGGTTCCAAACTCTAAGCCTGAAATTGGCTTTTCCCTTAGCGCAGCATCGCTGATTAAAGTTGGCAAGCCATCGCTGTATTATGTAACACATATCAGCAGTCATGCTATACTAGCTTGTTTCACGTTCATCAGAGTTTTGTTTGCCAGTATAAGATTTTACTGGTACCCACGTTGGAGGAGGAAAGTCGGTGGTGGGTGGTAGCAAGCAGCATTGTTACTGTCAAGGTTTACAGGCAAGCAAGCCAGAAGTGGTTGGTTGGTTGTTTGCACTCTAATTTTCCAATTGGCTCGTCTGTTACGACGTGCTTTCGGTAGATGTCTGAACAACGCAACCAACGGGAGACATTTGGACGTCAGGCGCCGCCAGAACAAGACAGGGTGGCGCTGATTTGCCGGCCTGGCTTGACGCGCAAAAAGGCGACTTGGTGAAAGACAGGATGATAAACGAAACCCGGCGGCGGGGGAGCCTCGCAGCCTGATTGGACCAAGACGATCGCCAGAGGCTGGTGCGCGGGCAAACAATTGAGCCGCTGTGTGTCGATGTGCAGCTCCAAATACGCGGAAATCTGGGCTCGGCGTAGCGTCATAGAGCTTGAACTAGGGTGCTGTGCATCATCCTGGCAGGAAGGATCTGCTCCCCGGAGAGGAGAGGTATCATTTGATTATCGTTGTTGTGGTAGGAGGCAAAAACCACAAAGACCAAAAAGTTGACCGAAGTGTATTCTGCTGCTATTTTTGTGCCGACGGGTTGATTATACTTTTCTTTTTTTTTATTTTCTCCCATCGGGCTTGTGAGCCGCAACTAACTCGACGCCCCCAGAAATAAGACGGTGCGCCATGTTTCAATGTAGCGTTGCATTCTGATGGCTCTCGCGATAGTCGTTCCGCTCGTCTCCGCTCCGCAAGGGCCATGTCAACCAAGTCTGCAGCAGGCGAGGCAAACACTCATACCACTTATTGCTTTCGGAGATGACGCTTCCCGTGCGAGTGGCCCTTCCAACCGGCCGTTTCCCGTAGCGGTAGGACGTAGCGTGGGGGGAGGGAGGTGGTGGCCTAGCTAGCTACCTGTTTGTATGCCGGTGGGAGACCTGCATACATGTTATATATAGAGAGAGACAAAGTACAGGCCGTCTTCACCCCCCTTGAGACTCAGCTCATCTTTCACTTTCACTACCCCTATCACATCCTGCTACTGCTGCGCATCATGGCCGTCCTCAGCTTACTAGCAGCTGCTGCTATAGCATACCCCTTCCTTATTGTCATTTACAACCTCTACTTCCACCCTCTACGACACTTCCCCGGCCCCCTCTGGAACAGAATCTCCGTGCTGCCCAAACACTACTGGGGCACGCGGGGTGAGCTCATCTACCAAGTGAAGGCATGGCACGAGGAGTTTGGCCCTGTGATCCGCATCGCCCCCGATGAGCTTGCCTTCAAAGACGGCAGCGCCTGGAAGGACATCTACGGCCGTCGCACCGCCGAGGGCCGCTACGAACTACCCCGCGATGAAATGTTCTACAACCCGCTTGAGCGACCCCCCTCACTGCTCAACTCGGGCCGTGTTGAGCACGATGCCCTCCGCAAGGTCATGTCCCCAGCCTTTAGCGACAAGGCCATCCGCGCCCAAGAAAAGCACATTGGCCAGTACGTCGACATGCTCATCGATAGGTTGAGTGCCCAGATCAAGACCGAGCCTGATGCCCCCGTCAACATGAAGGACTGGATGGCCTTTTGCACGTTTGATGTAATCGGTAACTTGGCCTTTGGCTCAGACTTTGACTGCCTCCGCACCGGCGAGTACCACCCATGGATTAAGACAGTCATTGCTTCGCTTCGCGAGTTTGCTTTCATGAACTTCCTTGTTGCCATCGGCGCCTTTCCCATCTTCAAGTTCCTCATCTTCCACGCCGGCATGGGCCTCGGCACGTTCCAGATCCAAGAGAAGCTGACGATTCAAAAGACCAAAGAGCGTCTAGAGATGGGCTCTGAGCGCGAAGACTTCATGGACGACCTCATCAAGTCCGGTATGACCACCGCCCAGCTCATGGAGAACAGCAGTCTTTTGATTCTCGCTGGTAGTGAAACATCTGCAACCCTGCTCACCGGCGCCATGTACCTGCTGGCCAGCAACCCCGACGCATATAAGAAGTGGAAGGACGAGGTCCGCAAGACCTTCAAGGAGGAAAGCGAAATCACACTCGTCAGCATCAACAAGCTCGACTACATGCTCGCCGTGCTCAAGGAATCTCTGCGCATGTATCCCCCCGTTGCTGGTGCTCTCCCCCGCGTAACTCCCCGCGGCGGCACCACCATCGCTGGCCACTTCATTCCCGAGGGCACATCTGTTGGTATCTGGCAGTGGGCAGTCAACTACGACGAGACGTACTTTGCCGATGCACACAAGTTTGACCCGGACCGATGCCTGCACCGCGCCAACATCATCAAGAACACTGAAGACGGCTCTGAAGATGCGGACACCAAGACTGTCACGGGCGAGATCTCGGCCAAGTATGCCAACGACCGCATGGATGTGCTGAACCCGTTCCTTGTTGGGCCCCGTAACTGTCTGGGACAAAACTTAGCGTATGCTGAGATGCGTCTCATCTTGGCCCGTATTGCGTTCCGCTTCGATCTCGAGCTGTGTGATGAGAGCCGTGACTGGTTGGATAACCAGAAGAACTTTGTGCTTTGGGATAAGCCAGACATGTTTGTCAAGTTGACCGAGACGGCTGCTTAGTTGTGGCGCTTAGATAGATGCTTGCTTGATGTGTTTTTTTGTATGTATATATCTTATGTTACAACCTTACGAATCAGAAAACATCTCTATTCTCTCTACATGATCATATATACTAGACCAAACTGTGCAAGTAGTCACGGCATACATGTTCACACACAAACAGACAGTCATCAAGGTATTTTCGTAACGTATATTTTCTGTCTCCTACACTCGTACAGGTGAAAACGAAACAAACTGTGCAAACTTGGGAGTTAAAAGCAAAAGTCCATGCCGTCCAGTCCAAGCCAAAACAAAAAGCCGATCCAACCCTACTACAAGTGAGAACCGAGCACACCGTCTGTTCACCAGACAAAGGCCGTCTCACGCGAGAAATAGAAGCCAACACCCTCCAGGGGTGGTGTCGAGCCATTCATCTCAACGCCAAATCTATGTGGTTCTCTAAAACTTTTCGACATTTTGTGCCAGCAATACATATCGAAATGCATGCTGCACACCAGCCAGTTCATTACCGTCGTTACGACAGTCTAAAAAGAGAGAAAAAAGAGATGATAGAGGAGATGGGGGGACAAAAGGAGAGAGAGGGAACCCAAAAGAAAAAGGCAGAAGAAAACACTGGGGAAAGAAATGAAGAGAAATAACATGCTAATGAGAGAGGCCAGGGGTAGCTTGTTAAGCCACGCCGTCCTCATGCGTCCTTGTGTGTGTACAAACAGACGATTACAATGCCAGCATTTCGTCCTGTCCTGCGCTTCATATACGTAGGAGGTTGACATCCGAGATGCTGCGTTGCTTCTTGTGCCGGTTGCTAGCCTCGGTCGAGGCCTTACGCTTGGCAGATACTGTCTCTAGTGGACTTCTGGCATCCTGCCTTCTTTGGCGGCGGATGGGAGTGAGAGGGATACCAGCCGTGTCGAATCTGTCCGACTTGAGGCCCTTGATGGTGGTGTAGTTGTACGGGCCGCTAAACGCCAGCGAGTCCTGGGTAGCTTGGTTGCTCAAGATTAACTGTTGATTAATCTGGTTGCGACGGAAAGCACCGACAGTCTCTGAGTTCAGGTGGCCGAGGACTTCCATCTCGCTGGAGCCTGTTGTGGGACGGACAGGCGTAGATGATGGCGGCCAGGTGTTGGGGTCCTCTTCGTCGCCAGAGGAGCCATCATCATCCCAGGTGATGAAGTCGCTAATGTCGAGGTTCTTCTCGACCTCATCCTCGTCGTCTTCGGCGCTGTGTGGCGACGAGCTACCGTCCACTGCGCCAGTCTCCGAAGGAAAAGGGAAGAATGCCTCGGCAGGGCCCATGGTCTGGGCGTTGACAAAGTCGCCAAAGGTGTTGGATGAGAACATGGCGCTGAGCATCATGTTGGCAGAGTTGCTGAGGAGAGGGGAGGCAGTCTCCTCGAGGTTCCATGTGGAAAAGTTGAACTGCTCGGGCGAGAGATCCAACTGGCGGCGGCGATGGGGAGTGAAAATCATCATCTTACGGGTGAGAGGGTTCAAGACGGCAATGGGCTTCTTCTCGGAACGATCCAGGTTGAATCTTCCGATGCGAGGCTGGCCACGCTCAAGCTTAATGGAAGCATCGTCTTCAGAATCGGTTGCCTCGCTCTTGGCAAGCGACAGACGGCGCGTTCTTCTACGAACGGGAGGCTCAGGTGTGTCTTCCTCGGTTGTGTCACCATCGGCTGAAAACGGGTCATGTTAGCAAATCAAAGGACTTCATAAATCGTCGTGGTCCCACATAAGGCAGGACTTACTCTCATAGCCATCCAACTCTTGGGCTGCAGCAAATGCAGGAATGAGAATATCTTCGGGAATATCCACCTGCTGGCCAATACGGCTAGCCTTGGGTGTATCTTCCTCTGACAGCTGACGAATAATTTCCTCAGCGTCATCGTCATCGTCGTCATCATCATGGTTCTGATTGTAGTTTGTGTAATCCCAGAACGAGCCAGATCCAGACGAGTCATCTGGGTCATCTTCAATCTCACGACGGAAAGCGGGGTCCAGGGCCGTCTGAGAGACAAAGATGTCAGGGAACAGGTCTGCGTGGTCATCATCAGTGTCTGTAGAATCAGAGTCACTATCAGGAACGTCAAAGCGAACATGACGCTCAGCAACGTCAGAGCTAAAAGCCGTTGCGTCCTGGTAAAAGTCTGATGCCTGGCTTTCCTCGACTTCGGAGACGATGCCGCCCCAGCTGGCGTGGTCATCAGCATCCTCATCGTCTTCATCGTCTTCATCGTCGTCATTATCTTCCTCTTCCTCTTCTTCTTCTTCGTCATCATCGTCATCATCATCGTCCAAGCCTTGGTATACCACTGGAACATCGGCATCCGCAACTTGTTCGAAGCTAAAGGGCGGTCGAGGAGAGCTGGGCAACTGGATGGCCTCAATAATTAGGTTCTCCTCCTCGACCGCATTGACATCTTCCTCATCATCGTCTTCGGAGTCGCTAATGTCCTCGACGGCTGAGTATCCCTCGTCATCGGACAAGTCAATGGAAGTGGCAGTAGTATCAGAGCCACGCCGCCGCGACTTGGCAGCGCTGGTCTTGTAATTTCTTCGAATGTTTCGGGACATTGCAAAGTGTGATTGTAGGAGGATAGGAATAGGAGGGGAGGGGGTTGTCGTATTTCGTGAGAAATGTAGTCTTTATCAAAAAGACTTTTTGTCTAAATGCTGATATAAAATCGACGGTATATACTGTACCGTGATGTGGCAAAGGATGGTTCGTAATGGACGTATTTCGTAAAATACTATAGTGAAATATAGTATAGTAGCCTCGATATATGTCGGAGATGGGTCGGTTATGCTGAAATCGAAGGGTGGTTGGTGGTGGTGATTGCGGTGTAAAAGTTTTCCTTTCTTGTTCTTCAGATGCACACTGGCGGAAGCAAGCGTACAATAGTGGCGTTTTTGTCAAATAACAGGTCTTTGCGGTAGCAGAGTAAGAGCAATGCTCGTCACAGAGGCAAGCCTGTAAGGTGGAAAAGGGATTCAAGTACGAATTTGTTGAAAGGACTCGATGAAGCTGCTGGACTGCAGACCACGACGGATGTCATGGCCCGCAGTGGTGATTTACAGCTGAGCAACGGACATTTTCAGGATCAACAAAAGGTAAATGGGGGTTTTCCGGGTATGATGTAACGCTTATTGGTGGTGTTTGAAGAAAAATAGGGCGACTTCGTTGTCTTTTTGGTGGTGGTTTCGAAGGACAAGCAAGAAGAGAGGAAGAAGAGGAGAAGAAAAAAAAAAGCGAAGCGGGAAGACATACCAAGCCACCCAAAGCGGAGCGAGGAACCAGTGGGCTGGGCGCTGACGGCACCCGCTGCAGGGCGCTACAGCAGCCTCCGCAGGTAACTTGCACAGTGGGCTGCGGCGACATCTCAGTGGAACAACGCCCAAACTTTTTTTTTCTTTCCAATGGTGGGGTCTGCAGGCTGTGATTGGCCCGATACAGGGTCTGCGTCGGCGCTAAACCGCTTTGGGCGGCGAAACTGAGAAAAGGAGGGGGAGAGGGGGACCCGTCACCGCCTCTTGCACGCGCACGCAGGCGGCTTCAGTGGCTCCTTCAGCGGCCATCAGTGGGTTTGCACAGTGCACAGTAGCGCATCCAGGCCCGGTGATCTGGCCACTAGACTAGCCCCGGCACCGCTAAACTCTAGCGCACCGCTTGCAGAAGCACAGCTAACAGCACCCTTACAGTACACTGTGCAAGACAAAACCAGCACTATAACATGCAGCAGCATCACCATTCGTGGTGGTGCCCCGAATGCCGAGCATCCCATCCCAATATCCAAGGCGGCGCCCGTGTTTCAGGGGTCATGTATTATACGTAGCAGTGACTTTTGACAGCCCGCTTGAGGCGGTAGCTGCTGAAAACGGGCATCAATTTGGCATCTCGACTTGAACTCTGGCAGATTGGACATCAGCAGACGGACGGAAAAAAGTTTTTTTGCCATCTGTCTTTCCACTATCGCTGTCATCACTGTGGAAATGCGTGGTCCACTGCGACCAGGCAGCAGACAAACAAAGAAAAAGGAACCAGAAAGAAAAGAAAGAAAGCTAGAGACCCATTTGCCCAGTCTGACCTCGAGCTCAGATCCGCTGGGGATGGATGGCGGTGACTCCATCGTCATACAGCATGCTCTGCGGTGTGCGATGCATACCTCGACGGATATCAGACAACCAAGGTCGTGGCTTTTGCAAAAAGATGACTACTTTTCCCGTCATATTGTGAATCATATGCACACACACAGTTTTTATTCTTCCTCCTCTATAGGCAGCCTGGAATGTCAACCAAACCCTGTGTCTCTCGCTTCGCAACCACTAGCTCAAAACCTTGCGCAGGGTTTCTCACCCCAGTCCCTGCTAGCCAAAGGCAACGTTCAGACCAGGGGGCCTTGTACAGGCATGACGCACAGGCACTTTACTTTCCAGGGCAAGCCAGGATACTGATGCTGTGCTGAAGCATGACATCCGTTGTTGGGGCGGACAGCGTGTCCAAAGAACTGCAGTGCTAATGCAGCACAATGTCATGGCGCCTGTGAGTTAGTGAGGCGGTAAACCTGCGGACGGATAGGACCCTATGGTAGAATCCTCATTTCAGGCAAGAGGAGCAAATCATCTGTGACTCAATCGATGACTCGATGGTGGCCAATTTCGTATGCCGAGGACTTGATTGGCTGACGGGGACCTTTACGACTGGTTCACTAGTCCCTCGGCCATTTTCTGCTGTACTGTAGCATTGTGCAGGATGGTAGAAGAAGAAGGATGAAAGGGTGCTACAGATGGGACAGCAAAAAGTCTCGAAGAAAAGTTGAGTTCTGAAGCACATGGCTCATTTACATTGCCATCCATCAGGCCTGTAAGCACTGTATGTACATGTACAACACCACTGGGCAGGCAGCACGAGGCGACAGCGGTAACATGCAGGTTCAGCATATGCAAGCCCACGCTCTAATTGATTGGCCCAAGTACTGTACAATAGCACCACTGCTGTAAAAGCTAATTGCACGTCTCATTTATATGCCCTTACACAACGATGTTTTTTACTATTCTGGTCAACACGCCACTTTTCCTGCCAATCCTCCATCAGGCAACCATCTGCCAAAGAAAAAAAAAAGTTTTTCCCCTTCCGATGGCCGGCGTCTTCGGTGGAGCTTTTCGCCGGTATCCCGCGCTTGTCGCTTCGGCCGGGGCGGGCTTGCGGGTCCCTTGGACCAGCTAGGCGTTGCCCCGCCAGCCAGACACTGCACAATGTAAACAGGCCGTTGCAACACGTTCTTCACTATGGGCCACGGCGCGTAGTGCACAAAGCTGCGTAGACAATAACCCACTCGTCCAAATTAGCCACCTGCTGCTGAGATTCGCCATCATCTCGCTTGCTCCGCTGGCTTATTCTTCTTTTTTATTTTATTTCTTTTATTGTAGTCGTCTGTGCTCGGCAATGCACTGAGAGCAAACAACCTCCTGCAGCCCACCGTTCATCACAACTAGCCTCAACCCGTTATCAACTTCTGCTGCCACCACGGATTGACTTTGTCTCCCCAATACCGCCTGTTCAGTCCATTCAATTCACCATGACCATGGACGCTCCCCCAAAGCCAACCTCACAGAACCTCTTTGAGGTGTACCTCCGCCTTCGCCCACCTCCTCCCGGCGCTCCGCAAACAGACCGAATTCTCAATGTCGAAAAGCCTGAGCCTGTCGAGGGCGACGACGAGAATGCTGCCAACCTGCCCGCCTCTCACATCACCCTCAACCCTCCTCCTGACCGACGACGTGCCATCGAAAAGTTTGCCTTCACACGCGTGTTGGAGGAGGACGCCACGCAGACAGATGTCTTTGCTAGCACAGAGATTGCCAGCATGGTGCAGGGTGTACTGGCACCCAAGGGTGGCGATGGTACAGATGCCGTTGTAGCCACACTTGGTGTTACAGGCTCTGGAAAGGTTTGTTGCGGATATTCTTCATGGTGTAGAAACTCACTAATGGGATCTAGACACACACTATCCTCGGTTCCAAGACGCAAAGAGGTCTTACCCAGCTCGCCATGGATGTTCTTTTCCGTTCCATTGGCACAAATATGCTCGATTCCAACGCTCTTCTCTCGACCATGGACTCCCTTCAGGCCTGCGACCCCTCTGAAGGCGCCCTAGCTGCCGCCTCCCAATACATAGACTCCGTCTTTGCTCCCGAAAACCATCTGCTCGCCTCGATGCGCTCGCGTGCCGCGACGCCAATGAATGTAGGGACATCCCTTTTACCGCCTACTCCCGGCTTCCATTCTGTAAATCTCCGTGGACGGCAAACAAATGGCCAGAACAAGTGTATGCCTGGCGCATTTCCAGACTCCAACAGGTCTAGCTCGTCTGACAAACAGCCACCAATGCTGCAGGGCCAGTAGCAACGGCTCTCGTCGTTTCGGCCCTTTGGCAGCCTATCGCCATTGGTGTTGCCCAAGCGGGCAGCATCACCGCAAAAGTTTATGAACATAACTGCGTCTCATCGCAACCGAGTCCTTACTAAAACATCACAGGCCGATTTTGGCAATAGCGTCATGTCCCCCGGCCCGAATGGCCCTCGACGAAACCTCCCCATGCCCATGGCGCTCCCGCAGACCCCCGATATCTCCGATGTTACTGTGGAATGCGACCCATCTGGCGAATATGTCATCATCGTGTCCATGTACGAGGTGCACAACGACAGAATCTACGATCTCCTCACACCCGCCCTCAAGAACGCGGCAACGAAGGAATACCGTCGCCGACCTTTGCTCTTCAAGTCTACAGAGCTCTCTCCCGACCGCAAGGTCGTTGCTGGCCTTCGCAAGGTTGTCTGCACAACGTACAAGGAAGCGTTGCTCGTAATCGAAGCTGGTCTTCACGAGCGCCGTGTGACTGGTACGGGCAGCAACAGCGTGTCGAGTCGCAGTCACGGCTTCTTTGTCTTTGAAGTCAAGAAGAGAACACATGCCACTCGACGTGGTAGCCCTTGGGGTGGTAGCCGCCTGACCATTGTCGATTTGGCGGGCAGCGAACGCGCCAACCAGTCCAAGACACAGGGTGCCACCTTGGTCGAAGCCGGCAAGATCAACGAGAGTCTCATGTACCTCGGTCAATGTCTTCAGACACAGAGTGAAGTTGGCATTTCGTCGAAGCCAAATGTCGTTCCTTACAGACAATGCAAGCTCACTGAGCTACTCTTTTCCAACTCCTTCCCTACCTCGAACGCTTCGGCTTACCCTCATGCACCGCGCCGAAACCCTCAAAAGGGTGTCATGATTGTCACAGCCGATCCTGTTGGTGATTTCAACGCCACGTCCCAGATTCTGAGATACAGCGCGCTGGCTCGTGAGGTTACCGTTCCCCGTATTCCATCCATCACAACCACCATTCTCGCCAACCCTCCTCCCATGGGCAACCCACGACCTCCCAGCCCTGTACAAACCCAGACCCGTCCATTTGTCCCTCCCGGCAGTGGTGCTGGCTACAGAAATCATACTCCTTTGAACGAGGACCGGGCTACAATGGAAATTGCCGCACTTGAAATCGCTCGCCTTAGCGATGAGATCGATTTATTGCGTGGCGAGCTTGACGAGGAAGCCAATGCTCGCATGACGGCTGAGGCCCACCTGTTGAGCATGGAAGACCGCCTTTTGGACCTCGAGGCAGCGATCCGTGAAGAGTGCGCCATGGAGTATGAGCAGCGCCTCACCATGGAAATCGCCCGCTTCAAGGCATCTCTTGCCCAAGAACATGAGCGTGGTGAGGAGCATTGGGACCGCAAGGTTGATCTTCTCGAGCGCGGCTTAGAAGCTGGCGCCGTCGCTGATGAGGGCGAGGGAGACAAGGAAAACGTCTTGATTGAGGATCTTTCTCAAGAAGTGGAACGTCTTCGCCGGGAGAATGGTGTCCTTAAGCGCGAGTTGGCCGGTCGCAGCCCAACCAAGAGAAAGCCGCTTGAGGAGAGAGAGGACTTTGCTCCTACGACGGGCGAAGGTGCTGTGAGCAACCTCGGCCGCAAGTTAGAAAGAATGAAGGTTGGCGCGTCACGAACTGAGAGAAGTGCGAGCCCCAAAAAGGTCCGTCGTGTGGCCAAGGAGTAGAACTAGAGAGAGAGAGAGAGAGAGAGAGAGAGACGTTAGGTTGTTGTCACCGTATATTTTGTACCTGCTGCAAAGGAGGGAGAGGCGCACGGCGTTGGATGTAATTAGCATGTTGGATCTTTTGTCGTGTTGTTTTTGGTCTACGTCTGAATACCCTTTTATACTGCAATAATACTTTAAAATTGTTCGAGATGTCGATGTCTTTTTACTGCTTTTAGTGTGAAGAGGAGTCATGGTTGGGATGCGTTTTGATTTCTGATTTTTTGTATTTTTCGGTCGATTGACAGTTGTTGTAGACTATTCTCTCTGCAAGACCACCATTACACCCATCAATCCCAGCATTACCGTCTTGAGCCACGGGTGCTCGGACAGCATGATGGTCACGTATCCTACAAACGGGACGTAACCGACAACACTGCCAATAATATCTTTGCGTGCGAGATAATCCTGTCCTCTGGCGTAGAGCTCGGTATCATCCGCTACGTTGTTGTCGCCCTTTGTCAATAGCTTTGCGTCGTCACTATACACAGTCACTGTTAGCCATCCATGGACATTTATCAAGGGGGAAAAGGTAAGCTTACCCAGAACCAAACTTGCGCACCACGCGATGCACAATAGGGATATCTTTGTCCTTGACGTTGTATACAACCACCTCACCGACCTCAGTCTCGGCAAATAGGTTTCTGTTCCACAGAACGAGCAAGTCACCGCGCTGGAAGGCGGGCTCCATAGAGCCAGACAGGACCACGACAATGGGCGACGGCGAGTCAGCCAGAACTCCGAGACCCTTCCACATCTGCCGCGCGTTAGTCAATGTATTCAATGTATAGGTTCGAAATATCAAATCGGTCGTACCATGAATGCCGTTGAGAGGATCAAGGCAAAGTTGAGGATCTGGGCGGCAGCTTGCCGCGGGTTACCGAGGGCGGCGACCATGGTTGACGTGTGTGTGTCTGTGGTGAAGCGTGATGCTCGGCGGCCCAATGGCTTGCAAATTGGAATTGCAAGTGTCCTGCAATGAATACGAGTCGCGATGTCGAGGCGGGCTTGTCGCGTCGTTCGAGATAGGCGGCTGGCGGCTTGGGCTGCTTAGGCTTGCGGGTTGCGATGCCATCAGGACAAGGTGGCTCTGGTAGAGCTTCGTGACGCACGGACCATGTAAACTGGCCTCTGTTGCCTCTTGTGGATGAGCTACCCTGAAGCCAGACGCCGACACCGATAAAATTGTACAAGAATTCAGAATTAAATATTTAATTTCTTCTAAAGCTTAAAATTTATTATTTGGCTATAATGCGCTATAATTACGATGGAATTTAATAGTGACTCTCTGTAATGGTTCTATGTTCGGCTTGGTGATATCCTGGTTCAGCGTCTAGAGCAAATAACAAGTTGCGGAGGCTAGTGCTTCAACGATAATCAGAGCCGTAGTTGCTAATTTTTTTTTATAAAAACGAAATTGAATCCAGAGATTGCACCTAACAACATGGTTCATGCCTCAAATAGCTGCTGCGACAGCGCGTTGTCAGCTGGCAAATCGCACCTGCCCAACAAGCCTGTCCAAGACAATTCTCCAAATCGTAATGTAAACCAATCGTCCGAGCAAATCCAACTCACTTCCACTTCTCACATACAAACAAAATCATTTCTATCCTTCATTATTTTAACTTTATACCACTAATAGCCCGACTCTGCCCGCCATGGAGGCCCCTCTCCATACAACGCCCTTGCTGAACGCCATCAACGGTCTCCCAGGACCCAACGTCCTCCAAGATCATGCAAGTCGACAAGCCATGTGTTCGCTCTGTTTAAATCTCGCTAACCAAATCATAGCCCCCCTTTCTTAGAGCCTGTCATTCACCATGGCGGTTTATCCCTCAACATATTCTCGTCATCCTGCGCGGAACTGTCCTTGCCTATCTCTTCGCCGTCGGCCTCATGATCTGCCACTTCAAGATTTTCGACGAAACAACAGACCACTCCAAATGGGCGCTCTTTTTCCATTTCGGCATGATGAGCTTTGGATTCACCCTATTCTATCACCTGACAACATTTGTAAGATTATTCGGTTATGGTTGTTACGTTGTGGCTAATCTGTCTAGTCCTGGACCTATACGCATCTCTACCATCCCAACGCCAATGAAACAGAAGGTGTCGTGGAAAGGGGCATTATTCGGGCCATGTCTCTGCCCAAGAACATGGGAAGCTTGCGCAAGCAATTTTACTTTACCTTGTTTCACACGATTACTTGCGTCTCTGGTTTTATCAGTTGGGCCGTCTATTGGCTCATCACACGTCAGTATATCGTTGTTGCCGGGAGCGCAGCAGATGAATCTGTTCCAAACGGCTTACTTGGCACGCCATGTACGAGGGTTATGCATCGTTGCTATAAGCTAGAGCTAACATTTGATAGTCAGCGACTTGTTTGGTGAAGGATGGTTTCCTGTATTTGTCATCTCCAATCTTTACGGTGCACCTTCCATAACGATGATCATTGAGACGATGTTTTTCAACAGCATCAAGAGGCCCTTTGTAGGACAACTGTTGCTGCTCATTTTCGATACTTTTGCTAATGCCGTAATAGGCTGTCGGTCGCCATGTTTTCGGCCTCATGGCGTTCAACGTTCTATATCTGCTCTGGGGTCAAATCGGCAAGGCCGTTTCTGGCTGCTATCCCTACTTTTGGATGGACGCATCCAAGGTGGGCTCTCTAGAAGCCGTTACGGCCTACAGTATTGGTTTCGTTTTGCTGGCGCCGATAAGTAAGTTGTATTTCTCTTTGAAATTGGAGTTTAAACTAATATGAATAGTGTTTGTTGTGATGCAAGGTTTTGTTGCTGCTCGAGAACGACTTACACGCAACAACAGCCCCGCGCGCACGATTGTCCGTCAGGTGCTTGATCGATGAGGCATGAGACGTTCCGCCGTTTGGAGGAGGACGCATACTAGTGGTTCCCGGAGAAGAGGTGAAAGTCTTATCGCTACTTCCCTAGATAGTCTTCTATACAACTGAATTGGAGAACGCCTCAGGACGTGGAAGTCTATTTTGCCCCGTGAAACCATGTTTACTGGGTGGCGTAGTGTTTGTGGTGGCGCGTTACTCACCATTTCCCCACAAACGGCTAACCATTGGGCCGGTGCCGTGGAAACATCACGCGCCTAAGCGAAAGTGTGGTGAGCCATGCGTACGTGCCTGGATGACGAGATATGATTGCGTTTTCCTTGAGAGAATGACGAGGCATGAAGAGTAGAATAGGAGAAGATGGGCTGCATAGTGCTAGGGTCCAACGCATGGAGAAGCCAAGGTTGACTCACAACAATTGTTCACGCTGCGTTAGCAGAGCACGTGCTTCACCAGGACATAGAATCACCATTGTCGGGTCGTTTATTTGTTATAAAATTCGTAATTGAAAAAAAAGTGACTGAATGAGTATAGGGCATCAATCGATTCTAATTCTATATAATCTGCCGCCGCCTGGCTCATTCTCTGACGTGTTTTACAATGCAATTGTTTAGGCCTACGTGCACATCTGTTCTGCAGAGCACCAATTACACAGCCAAAGGGGGATCAGCATTCTGGCTGCCGCTTGCTTGCCTTATTAAAGCAGAGCTAGGCCAGGCCGTCTTGTATTAATTCGTGGTAAACAAAGCCCCCTGCTCGCTTTCCTGCCCATTGCATCCCGCACCCCCCTGAACTTTCAGCGCTGCCGCTTCTCCGTGGCGACACTGCCTGTGAGTGGTTGGACCACTGCGCTGTGGCGGCACTACAGCGCCTACAGTTGGGCCTGTGCTGCGTACGTGGGTGTGACCGCTCAGTATATCACCGCCAGGCACCCCACTCTTTCGCCGTCCTTCTCTTTCTTTCCTCCTCACTCACAGCCAAACAGAGCAAAACAATCAGGGTCGCAAAGTCATTATACTGGAGGACTGGAAACCTGTCGAACTCGGAGCGAAAAGTTTCAGAGGATATCTTGGACAGACTGAATCATCACCGCTGACTGGCTGATTTGTTTTCATTCGCTTGAAAGCCAATTATCCCCCGTCTTCGTTGTCAGTCCTGCCCAGTATTGTCCTTGTTTTTGCCCCAAGCCGCTGCGTTTCTTTTCTTCTGCCCGGGCCCGTTGCTTTCTCTTGTCAAGTGTCCTGTCGTTTCTTTGACCGTTCTGTGCGTCATCACATTCTTTTTACTTTCTTTCTGCTCTTCGCAGGAGTAGTAGATCCCCTCGTCGCTCGTTTTGATACCTCGCTTCGCCGATTACACCGTCTTGGACTACCTCGCCGTTCTTTCTAGTTATCACCTTGTCGCTCTTTTTCATTCGAATAAAAACCGACCAGCAACATTATACCGCAAGCATGTTCAAACGCTCGTTCCGCTCCCACGAGGCGCAGAGCGCGCGCGTGGACAAGTCTGCGAGACTAAAGAGAAACGGATCTGTTCGAGATCCCAGCGCGAAGCTATCGAAATTGCAAAGATCGCTCACTGAGCAAGACTGGGCTGCATTGCAGAACCAGCATGCTCGCCGCTCTCACCAGCGGCAACACTCAAGCAGTCCCTCGCCCATTGTCACTGTGACTATTGGCCGAGAGGGCCGCCTCTTTGCGGCGCACGAAGACGTTCTTCGGCAAGCGCCGTTCTTCGACGCTGCTTGCCAAGGAATTGTCTTTCCCGATGCGCAGGGCCGACGAATCTCGCTCCCCGACGAAGAGCCTGAGGTCTTTTCGGCCGTCCTCGAGTACCTCTACAAGGGAGACTACTATCCTCGCCTGATTCACAACAGGCAACGCAACTCTTGGGAGCTCGAAGACTACAACAACCCGCAGCTTCAGCAACAGCAGCTGCGCACGCCCCAGACCTCGCCCGAACTCGACAAGGGAGGAACTTGCGCAGCCCCCCAGGCCGCCGTGTACCTCGACAGCATCGGAGCCGAAGTCCTTCGCGATACAGTAGTATACTGCGCCGCGGACCGCTACGGCCTCGAAGAGCTGAAGCGCCTGGCCTTGCGAAAGCAGGGTCTCCAAGCCGGCATTGACGTAGCCACCATTCTGCGCTCTGCTCAGTATGCCTACGCCAACACGCCCGATACGGATAGCCGGCTGCGCGCGCACTACCTCGCCCTGATCATCCGCTGCCGCAAGACCTTTAAGCGCAGCGGCACCATGCAGGCTGAGATGGAGGCGGGAGGGAGTAAATTGTATTTTGACCTATTTGTGGCCATGTGCAACCATCTCGACGACGTCATTGACGTGACGAACACTCGTTCGCCGCGAACAGTATGATTTTGCCGATCGAGTTTGTTGGCGAACAACGCATGATCTCTCCACTCATTGGTCCTGGTGTTTTTGGATATTTCCTATTTTCCAGGTTTCTTTGTTCATCTCGTTCCCGGAGTTTCTTTTTGGACAGCCTGGAGTTCTTGAGTGCCATGAGAATTTGGACTTGCACCGTATGGGATATGGAAGATATGAGAACAGAGGAAAAGTCACAACAAAAAACTTAATCTCGGAAAATCTTGAAAAAAAAAGGAAGCGAATCTCTTCATTTGGAAACGTATTGTTTGCAGGCGTTTGCGCAACTGACAACTTTTCAATGCTCCCTCATCAGATTGGACGTTTTGCTTGTTTTCTTGGATTGTCTGCTTGTTTTCATTTTGGGAATCAGGTTGCCATTGTTTTATCTTTCCTTGCTAGCATTGGGAAGCATTTGCTTTTGGACTTTTCCTTTATTTCCTTATTCTCTTGCTTTCTTTATCATTTCTTTGTCTTCTTTGTCGATTGTTCCGACAAATGTTGGTGATTATTTTGGGTCATTGCTTTACAGGGAGGAGTTTATACCATTGCCGCCTTTCACTTATGAAGCGTTGGTCATTCTGTTTTGGAAGCGATGTCATTACACCAATTGTTTTTTTTTGATGAGACTACGAGTTGAGAAGGGGCCTTGGGCCTTGCGACTACAACTTTACTTTTTTCATTTGGTGCGTTTTGCTCTTGCGGACATATTTTTTTTCTCGATTTGGAGTATTGAGTTTGATTTCTTTCTCGTCTTCACGTCGGAGTTTGCCGTTCGGATTTTTGTCTGTCTTTTGGCTTGCTTTGCTTGGATTTGCTTTCAAGAAACAACTCTACTCTATTTCTGTCTTGCCCGTCGCAAGACGAGATGCACACAGACTCACACACATACCTCTTTTGCCCGCCTCTTTTCATTTGTCACATGCTCTTTTTGTTTTCTTTCCGGATTTGCATTTGCAGGTGTTTTCATCGCCTTCCTGTGGAAGATGCGTTAATCATCGTCTTTTTGGTCTTCTGTCTTTTGGATTTGCGCCTCGCTGGTTTCGAGTTCATTATAAGAATGCCCCGTGACAGTTAGCACAAGCTGCTGCTGGTCACAGAAAAGCAACATGCAAAAAAAGCACAAAAACAAAAAAGCCTTCTTTTCGACAACGACGAAGCCCCTGGCCGGGCTTTCCGTCACGACCCCCCTTTCATCTTTATATACTTTTGTAATGATGATTTCAAGCAAAGGAAAAGAACATGTTGACATGATCTTTTGACTGGGTTTCTTTACATCAGCATTAAATTGGATACTTGGGAAAAACAGAACAACGAATATGACAAAAAGCATCGAATTTTTGGCGTTTCTTACAACAACAATAACGACTCTTTTTCACAGACTGTACGATATGGAAAGGGGTTCCCGGTCATGTTTGAATTTTAATTTTCCCGTCTATGAAACAACACAAGCGAAACGGATATCTTTGATTTTCAACTTAATTCACGACGAATGACGAATTGCTTTTATTGTAAAACAGCGGCATATCTTGGGACATATGGGTTCCAGCGTTGGCGTCTTGTTTTTCAGCATTTCACATTTGCCCTGGGCCATGCTCAGTCGGGAGGCATATCGAAGCTTTTCTGGCGTATATATAGAGCATCGGCCCAGCTAATCATAGCTTTCTTTTGTCTTGGATTTTTCTCTGCATGGATTCAGGAGTGGTTTCTTTCTTTTTATTTGGCATAGCTATAAAAACACAAAAAAAAGGAAGAAATACAATGCTTCTACCGTTACCCCCAAAAAGGGTACGGTAGAAGAACAGGGCTGGCTTCTCTTCTTTTTGGGGAGGAGTCGTCCTCCTTGATGTTGAATTCCGGACATCAAGGTTATTGGGGTAATAGAGAATGTTTTGGCCTCAAATGTTTTGCTGTTCTATTTTGTGACATGTTACATATATATATAAATACTCTAAGAAGTCATAGCCTAATCGTGACGGGTTACGCTGGCGCCAGTAAACTGGGCGTGGAAGCTATCGGGGGCGCTCTTCTCGGGTCTAGCAGCCATGGCGGCAATCTCCAAGTCCCAGCCCTCGCCACCGTTGTCGCCAAAGACCCAGCCAATTTGTCTGAGCTGCGTCTTCTTGGCGAGCTCGTCAACGTAGTTGACCCAAAGGTAGAGGCTGCCGTCGTCGCCAACCTCCTTCTCGACCTCGATGGTGACGGCCTTCTTGCCACACTTGATGTCCTCCCAGTGAGGGGCGGGGGCGACAGACCAGTCGGAGAAGTTGTCGGTGCACACGGTAGAGAGGCGAGGCTGGCCCTCGTAGAATTCAACGCCCGTCTTGATCCATTTACGGGCGTCGGGCTTGTCTGGGTTGGTCATGGTGAGGACGAGACCGGCCTGGTCGTACTGGTAAATGTAGTTGCCGGTGAAAGTCACAGAGACACTGCGGAAGCTGGTGAGAGGCTCCTTGGCGAGGAGATACTTGGGGGCTATAAAAGAGGATCAGTAAAGGACTTGTCCATTGGAATGGGAAGAAAGCGTACCGTTGTAGACGTCGTGCATGGGAGGCAGCTTCCAGATGTCCGTGTTGGCGGGAGCGGCGATGGAGAAGGGTGTGCTGATGGAGACGGCCATTGTAAACGAATCTTTTGTGTATTTGGGAGACTGGATGTGATGAATTGAGATTGAGATTGTGGGTGTGTGTGATGTCAAGCTATTATTTCTGCACGATGAAGAGGGGATGCGTGGCCCTTCTTATACAAGAACAGGTTGGACAAGGACTTTTTTGGGTGTAAGTAAGACAGACCGGCAAGCGAAGGAGGTGCCACTAACGCTACGCTACGCTAGCATCAGACGCCCATGCATTAGGCTTTGGGGCTGAGGAGGATCCCCCATGCGGGGACAAGCAAGCAACCCTCGCGGCGCATTCCCGGTCCGACATGTAGCCGCCTGCAGGAATATTGTGCAACCAGTACTTGTGATGCCGCTACATCATGATGGAATGATGAATTGAATTAGTAACTCTGCTTCGTCATTTACTCTACATTTTGGCAGCGTGGATGCCATTTTGCTGGCTTTGTAAGTTGGCGGAGCGTCCCAAAATGGAAGTTCCCTCTCCGCATCGAAGAGCCTCGAAGAAGTGCTGGCGGAACTACGGGCCTTTGTACCGTCCTCCCGGAGAAATTACAGCGGATGTTGTAGGCGTTGCGTTCCGTGATGCTTGTGACTTGACAGCCGGCTAGCTAGCTCCCCGTAAGTTTAATTTTTAGCGCGTAAGCTAGAATTAACTAGCCGGCGCTTTGCCCTTGGAAATATCCAGAAGGAAGCATTATTAATTCCGAGGGCAGGGGCTGGAAGACTCTAAGTTACAATAGCACGGCATGTCGGTATGGCGGCCCGCTAACAATGACGGGGGACAGGAAGCGACATTCCCCGATGATGCAGAAGGCGATGAATGCTTACAGGCGGTAAAGGTTTATGAGCTGTACCGAGGTTTGTGTGGAAACTGGAATTTATAGAATTGAGAGTCTGGGAAACAGACAATGTGCGATATTGGAGAAGTGCTTTTGGAGTGCTTGTTTATGAGAGTACATATTGCTGAGACCAACCAGCAGTGTTATACTATATTGTTGGAGGATAAATAAAACAAAGAATAAATGTTGAAACATAGCAAACTTGTTTTATGGCGTTTCTTATTCTGTTCAAATGTTATGAAAGTATTGAAAATAATTGGCAACAAGCGTACAACCACACCACACAAAATCCAACGAAAATGTGGCTCGGCTGGCGGATCGAACACGAGGCCTCGGTCGCGCGATGACTCAGCCAAAAACTCGCTGCCTGTTGCTTGTTGTGGTGGCCATCCTGCTTCCGGCCGTCGCCCACCGCACGACGGCAGCGCTGCAGAAAATCACAGCAGACTTTTTTTCCCGCCGCCCACCTCGCGTGTCAGTCACCTCTCGTCACCAACCCACGCGACGACCACGCAAAGTCTCTGCACCCGCCAACGCGGCATCAGTTTCTTTTACATATCTATACTATCGACTACAAACAATACAAACACCGCATACACAGCAGGAGCCGTATCTTACCTTACCCGCAGCATCTGGCTGCCCACTATCAAACTGCGACCGCGGTGCCATCCACCATCACCACCAGTATATTGTATACAACAGCACCAGCAGTCGCCATGTCTTCCTTCATCGCGCCCAAGTCCCGCCTTGGCGCAAAGGGCGACGGCCCAAGACCTCGCTTTGCCAATCCGAATCCCGTCCGAGCCATGCGCGAGCGTGAGGAACGTCGCAATGCCAACGCCGCATCCCAACAGGCCTCGGCCAACATGAACAAGGGCTCTGTTGCCCCTCCAGCGCGCCAGCAGTGTCCTAATAAGGCTTGTCCTAAACCCAACGTCGTCGACGGAACCTGCAGAACTTGCGGTCGTGTCGCTGATGACAGCAATATCGTTGCCGAAGTGCAGTTTGGCGAGACCAGCTCCGGTGCTGCCGTCGTGCAGGGTGCCTTTTTGGGTGCGGATCAGGCCGGTATCAGAAGCATGGGACCTGCCTTTAGAAGAGCAGGCGGTTCTGAAGACCGCGAGAAAAGTATTCGTGAAGCAAAGGGTCTTATGCAGGGTTATGCTCAGCAGCTGAATGTCAGCGAGAGTCTGGTCACTGCAGGCACTCAGGTCTTCAAGCTCGCATCGGGTGCCAACTTCATTCAAGGCCGTACACTAGCCAGTGTTGCTGCCGTTTGTCTTTATGCAGCTTGTCGTGCAGAGCCGCCATGCAAGGTCATGCTTATCGATCTGGCGGATCTTGTTCAGCTCAATGTCTTCAAGCTGGGCCGCATCTTCAAAAAGCTAAACGAAGTGGTGCCTATTGGCAACGACGGCCTGATTCCAGTATACCCCGAGGATCTCATCTGGCGCTTTGCCACCAAGATGGAGTTCCACCAGGAGACGGCAAAGGTTGCCGAAGATGCTGTTCGTCTAGTCAAGCGCATGAGTAGAGATTGGATGGTTATGGGTCGTCGTCCCTCTGGTATTTGCGGTGCATGCTTGCTAATGGCTGCGCGTATGCACAACTTCCGCCGAACAGTGCGCGAGGTTGTTTACATTGTCAAAGTCACCAACCACACGATTCAAAACCGTCTGCAAGAATTCAACATTACAGAATCAAGTCGCATGTCTGTCGAAGACTTCCTGAAGCAAGATTTCCTAGAAAGTTCCCATGACCCGCCATCATTTTATAAAAAATCGGACGACTTCCGCCAGCAACAGGATGAGAACGGACGCAAACGTCGCAAGCTGTTGGATATACCTGAAAATGAGGACGAGACGGATATGCCATCAGCACCGGCACAGTCGAGAACACGACGCATGACTGATGCTGGTGCAGATATGTCTGATGCACCAGCGATCAATTTCCGCCGTGACGCGGATGGCTTTATTATCCCACCGCTGCCCTCACAAATCTCACAAGATCTGCCGAAGAACGACAAGGCAGCAGAAACCGGAGATGACGTCGATGAAGAGTCCCTCGAAAAGCTCGCTGATGAATTTGGCGACGCCATGGAGGAGGAAGACGATGAAAATGGAGGCAAAGAATCGTCAGGCCGTGGGAAGCGTAAGAAGCCCCAACTGCCAATTAATGAAGAATGGGAGGAGGACGAAAACGACTTGGAGGGTGAGATTGAAGAAATGTTCAACGATCCGCTGACCTACGAACACGCTCTCGCCTACTCCAATGCCGAACAGCGTGCCCGCATTCACTCCAACTGGGCGCTTAACCAGCGACCGCAGCGTGAAATCTCCATGGCGGCCGAAGTCGGCGAGGACGAGTTTGCAGACGATCTTGAAGTGCTCAACTGTCTGCTGTCTCCCGAGGAGGCCCGCATCAAAGAGACCATTTGGGTCAACCAAAACAAGGACTGGCTGCGCCAGCATCAGGAGAAAGTCTTTAGACGTAAGGTGGAGGCCGAGCGACCAAAGCAAACCCGAAAGCGCAGAAAGAGAGCCCGCATGGGCGAGGGACAGACCAGCCCGGCCAACTCGGCTGCCGAGGCTGCCATCTCTGTGGCAAAGGATCGTGCCTGGTCTAAGAGAATCAACTACGATGCTATCCGCAGCATCTTTGACGGCCCCAACGCCGACGGACTGGGCTCGGCAGCTACTAGTCGTAAGACCAGTCTGGCAGGTAGTACCCTTGGCGCGGAAGACGAAGATGACGATGCTCCAGAGGAGAGTGTTGCCGGTGACGATGAGGCTGCTGGATACGATGACGACGACCATGAGGAAATGGATGCAGAGTATGGTCTAGAAGATGATTAAACCTTGTGATTTGGCGCTCAGCATGTTTTGTATAGAGGTTCAGTGCTTGGATACATTGTTTTATGGACGGCGTTACACTTCTTGTCGGTGCATGGTACAACACAGAGACCATAGACTCCAGCGATTTGTTGTTTTTGCAGACATTAGTATTTGATATTTTGATAGTTTCTTAATACCCCCGAGATGTAATTGTTTCCACACTACATACACTTATATATACACTATTGGGAATTATTCTCCTTGCGCACTCTGATTTCCTCCGCGTAGGCCTCGCGCTTGCTTGCTCGCCAGCCTTTGCCAAACTTGATGACGACGAGATAGGTTGCTACGATGGCGAGGCCGACAAAGGCGACGCTGATGAAGCAGTTCTGCAGGCCGAGGTTCTCGACCCAGGGCGTGATGCCGTAGCCGATGGCGAAGCTGATGGTGTTGCGAATGAGCATCAGTGTAGTGAGGCCGTCGGCGGTGATTTCGCGGAAGGAGTCGGCGAGGTACGAGATGCTCATGGCCACGCCGGAGTTGGCGCATATGGCGAGGAGCATCATGGCAATCATGAGGCCGAACCAGTGAATCTCATGGGCAGCCTTGAACAATACATGTTAGTGATTTGCGTGGCTGACGATGACTATAAAACTTACCCCGACGCCCCAGAGCAGGAGAGAGCCAGGCACGAGGACCAGCATGACAGTGTAGAGCCATAGACGCTGCTCGGGCTCGTAGATGCCCTTGTTGCGACGGGCCATACGGATAATGAACCAATCCGAAAAGATGCCGGTGTAGAATGAACTTCATAGCTTTGTTAGCGGATGCGAGGACAAGGGACTGGAGAGAGACTTACCCGATGACGGTTCCGATGAGGCAGGAAATGTATGCCAAGCCGACAAAGCTAGGCTTGAAGTTGTACGGTGGCGCGGATAGAATTGGAGAGGCTGTGGCGTTGAGAATGTTGAACCAGATCAAATATGTGCCGTATGAGAATCCGGCGTAAAAGATGGTTGGCCAGCTGAGGAACTTGACACTCTGCCACGCACGCCAGCCCATAAGGAAAGGACGAGATCGCCATTCCGGGTCGAGAATGGCCAACTTTTCGACAAATGTCTTGGGTTTGCCCTGCAGTTGCGGTTCAGCGGCTTCTTCTATCTGCTTCTTCTCCACGGGCGATGCATCAGTTTGTTCTACTGGCTCGGATTGCTCAACGACAGGGGTGACACGGTTATAGTTTGTTTCTTCAAGGAAAAAGAAGAGGAACAAAAAGGTAGCAAAGCACACGATGGCCATGATAAAGAAAGGCCACTTGAAGCCAAGGCCGTCGTTGATGAAACCGGTAATGACGGGGGCGAAGTAGTTGGACGTGGTGAGTGACCATCCAAACCAGCCCATGTAGGTGCCACGCTCATGCGCAAAGTAAATGTCGGTAATGGAAGCACCAGGAAGACCTTCGATGGGGCTGGCAATGAATCCAATCACAATGTTGCGCGCTACCCATTGTCCTTGGCCTCGGGCGTACGGGGACCAGAGAGACGTTGCCTTGAACGGGTTAGTTTTGCGTTTTTGGAGAAATTAGGGGATTTGTACTTACGACACAGCCAAGCATAGAAATGAGATATGTTACTCGCTTTCCATATTGTAGCGAAAAGGGCATCCAGAAGAGCAGACTCCAGCCTAACAGGAGAAACATGTAGCCTGTGCCAGCATTGAGATCGTTGACTACCGTTCGTTAGCATCCAGTTTTACTGCAGAAGGTTTCTCTCCGTAAAGGACTTACCGGATACATCTAGGTTCTTGGAAAGGGGTACCAAGACTGAGTAGACGACAGACAAAGACATGCCGTTCATAAAGGTGAAGCTGTGTGTCTGTTAGTAGCCTGCTTGATGACATTGGACAGGTAACGTCACTTACAGCAAGACGCAGAAGAGCTGCATGCGCTTTCTGCCCACTGACCAGTTGAGCGGATCATTTGCATCATTGGATGGCGTCGGCACCAAAAGGATATCCTTTGTGACGCCGACATGTCGCTCTGCGGCAGTCTGGTCGACGTCTACTAGGTGGATGGTGCCGGGGACATCGGTGGCGTTCACTGTGTTTGCCATGGCGTATATGTGTGATGAGATTCAGCCAACCGCAGCCTTCTTCCAGTCACAGTGCTGTGCAGAAAGGAAGCTTTCTAGAAGATGGCGTGGTTTGTTTGCTAAGCGTCTTTTTTTCAGGGTTGTGCTCGCATGCGAGCAAGCACAATAACATGCACCCCCACACACAGGGTTCTGGGTAATTGAGGGGTGGCTCTTGGCTATTGGCGCACTTTTGGACCAGGCTCTGGTGGAGTAGGCTGTACGCCAGCTTCGCGGATGATCGCGCAGTGCCCCATTCTTATGAAATCCGCCGTTGGATGCTGCCCTCGCCGTTGGCTATTTGCCCCTGGTGCGATATTCTCTGCCTATAATTTGCAAAGGCAAGAATCAAAGAGGCGTCGGAAAGTTTTGGAGGCTGCAGCCAATGCCACTAGCATAGCGTAGCCATTTTTTGAGGCACAAGCCGCGCGGCTTGGCTTAATAACCATCGGATAACCGCGATCGAGACCCCCCGAGAGGGGGCGCCACTGGCAATCTGCCCACTCAATCGCCAACTAGTGTCGACCAACAGCGTGCCCGTTATTAGTGTGTTGCGCATTGTGTAGTAAGTTGATTGCGGTGTTGCGAATGGGAAGAAGACGCAACAGCAAAGAGCATGGATACCAAGGGCTCTAAATTACCATGGCAGCTGGCGCAGTTGGCAAAGGTCCCGGCACCTGGCAGTTCCTCCTGTGCAGCTGGTCGGCAGCTGTCAGCTTGTATAGGGGACATGGCAATGCTTGGACGTTGCGCTTTGCCTCCAACATCATCATCCCCCTTGACATGACCGTTCATCCAATGAAACGAAACGGATTCTCCACGGCAAGGCTTTGTGCACAGCGAACCCCTATCATCCTATTTACTTACGCGTGTCTTATGCTACATAAAGTTGCTGAAGACCGACGCACCCTGGCTCGACGCGCCGCTTGGGCCGCACTTCGCAGCCGACCGACTGGGGTCTTTCTTTTTTTTCTTGCGGGCGAATTTATGCAGGGCATGTGCTCGCCCATGAAACCAGTGGGATAATAAACTTTTTCTGCGCCAAGGAGACCCCCCTTCTGGAGGCGGCCCCTGCTCTGGAGCTTGCTCGAATACGGCACCTGTTCCGCGGCACCGGCCGCTGAAGGAAGAAGCGCCCGCCGAGCCGTCTTGTAGAGTTGCATCATGCCACCCAGGGTGTCTTTGGCATGCTGATCGGGCTGTTCTGGGCTAAGATACCACCTAACGGACACTCAGCTTCTGCTCCCTGTCACGATGGGTAGGGAGGTCCCCGTTGGCCCCGACACTCGCTCCACCTGCCATAAAGCCAAGCATATCTGCCAACACAGTCCGTTCTGCAGCATTTAGCCTTTGTGCATTTCTCGTCAACTGGCCTCAACGATAGAAAAAATAACGGACGCATCGGCGGCAAGACGGATCGCGCGCCCCAGAATAAGAATCTCGGGAACGATCATGTATGAGGCTTAGGTTGACGCCGCCACACAATTTTATCTGCTACTAAAAATGACCGAATCACGACAGCCAGGCATCTTTGCCTGCATCTTTTGCGTCGTCATACCTACCACCGTTATTCTCAGCCTTCGTTTTTATGCGCGCCGTCTCAAGGGTCTCGCTTTCTATTACGATGATTACCTAGCGCTTCTCGCCTATGTTTGTTGTGCCAATGTGCGCTTTTGTTGTCCTTGGCTAACTGGCTGTGTAGCTGGCTTGTATAGCGTACGACGCTTCTGTATTTTTTCGTAAGCAACGATCGAATGCGACACACGGTATGTTGTGCTAACTAGCCGCAGTCATGGCCAATGGATTGGGCCTCCGATTAGCCGATGTCCCCGTATCGCTGGAAATGGCAAAATATTACCAAGCTTTAATCCAAGAAGTCGAAGAACATGCCTACACGGTCGCTATAGGCGCTTCACAGCTGTCGCTGCTGGTGCTCTTCTGGCGTCTCTTTTCGGATAGCATGGCCTCTTCACGAATAATAATCATGATATTGATAGTCTTGGTCACAGTATGGACCTTGGCTAGAGTACGTTGAGCCGGTCAAGTCCGATAAACACTGATTTGCTAACTGACAATAGCTCTTTATCGCCGTCTTCCAATGCTATCCTCCCGCATTCTTTTGGGATAAGACGCTAAACGGTGTCTGTCATGTTGACCCTGCCAAATTCTTCCTGTGGTCTGTCTCGACACATTTAGTCTTTGATGCCGCTTTGATGGCTCTCCCAGCCAGTAAGTATCTCGTCGCGGGTAAACTCGTTTCGTTGGCTAACATCACCCCAGGTCAAATTAGCCGACTTCGATTACCACTTGTCCAGAAGACAGCGATTACAGCCATGTTTATGTTTGGAATTTTGTAAGTCGATCCCTGTCTCTAGCCCATTACGCCGTGTCTAACTTTGCAGTGTCTGCCTCGCATCAATCATGATGATTGTCGAGTCTCTCAGATACGACGCCTTTGACGTAGAAGTCATGTGGAACTGCACACCAATTGTCGAGTGGTCAGCAGTAGAGATGCATCTCAGTGTCATTACTTGCTGCTTACCCATTCTTCGCCCTGTCCTTCATGCCTTTGGCGGGTGGTGGGCTCGAAACTTTTCCTCTGGTGACGAGAGTGGCGACTCGAGTAATAATAGTTCTGCGCTGAAGCCGCCTGCTGCGCGCAGGTTATGGCACGAAGGCGAATCAACACACGAATTAACGACGCTGGAAACACAGCTGGAACCGACTCACATATACGGCCAAGGCTCCCGAGCGGATGCCATCATCACAACACCACATTTATCACAAGACAAAATCGGCGAGATGCCAGAGGAGGCCGAAGCATCCCACAATGGGGGGATTACAGTTCGATATGAAGTCAAGTTAGAGGTGGAAACGATAAGCAAACCCCGCTAAAGAAGAAGGAGAAAATTTATGTATATATATGTATAATGTGGCAATGATAGACATCTAAGACAAGCCCAAGATTGGTTTGATCGCTTGCAAAGCTTGGAAGAGCTGATTATCGTGGTATCGGCGTGCAACAATCTGCAGGTTGATTGGAGCGCCGTCAAAGTCGCCCTTTTCCCAGAGCTGCCTTACACGTATGCATTCCTCACTCAATGGTTCTGTACGGTTATATTCCGGGGTTCCTTCTTTGCCTTCTGTGCGAATAGGTGTTGGGAACACTGCACCAGGGCAGTCGAGATAGTTCCAGAGAGCTGTGTAGTTCCAGTCCCAGGCTGTGTCGTGTTCGCAGGCGGGACCGACAAAGGCCGGCACAATAACAACGTCGGCATCTTGCGAGCTCCAGTACTTGGCAAACTCGCCCCAAAATGCATCTCTTTGGCGACGGTGGGCGTACATGGTATCAATAGTATGCTCCCCTTCCGGCACAGCGTCGGCACAGATCCATTCAGTCAGAGGATGCTCAGGCTCCCCCGTCTCTTGGAGACATTGCTTAACTCCAGCGATACCATTGCACCAGTAGATTTTGCGAATATTAGCAATAGCCTCTGCTGTCTTATGAGGCTGAAAGTCCACAACCTTGACCCCAGCCGCAAGTAACGTCTCTCGAGCCCAGTTGAGGGCTCGAGTTACTGGTGGTTGAGGCTGGATAGCACCATCTGTCATCATGAATCCAATCTTTAGTGGTTGTGGGCTAGTGGGAGTATTTAGGCCTGTCCACGGAATGGGAATCATGTTTGGATCTAGCAGCCACGGCTGGGACCGAATGACAATGGACATGAAGAGGTCCATGTCCCGGAGCGAGACGGCCATCGGGCCAGCAGCGCCGGGAATATTCAGCATACAGGGAATATCGGATTCGAGGTATCCGTAACTTGGGACATAGGTGGTCGTGGGCTTGAAGCCGTAGATGCCACAGAATGCAGCAGGACCGCGAATACTACCGCCAATATCTGTGCCAAGACCAAGCAGAGATCCTCGCAGGGCAATCAGCGCGGCTTCACCGCCCGAAGAGCCTCCCGCAGATAGGTTGTAGTTGTAAGGGTTCAGCGTTCGGCCATAGAAGGATGTTGTCTCCAGATGCATAATGGCCTGTGGCTGATTTGTCTTGCAGTAGAAGACGGCGCCGGCGTCACGCAGAATCTTGACAATCTGGCAATCCTCGTCATTCTTCTTGATCGTGTTGATGAAGCCAGTGCTGCTGTAATGCCCCTTCATGGGTGCATGGACTTTGATGCTCACTGGCACACCGTGCAGAGGACCGACAGTAACGCCAGTCTTGAGAAGATAGTCGTCAAGCTCCTTGGCCCGCGCGACAGCGTCGTCCATGAACCATTCTGTAAGGCAGCAGGTGAGCTGGTGCGCAATCACGGCGCGCTTGGAAAAGGCAATGGCCACTTCTACGGCAGAGTATGTCTTGTTGGCGATGGCCTGGGCGAGGGACGTTGCGTCGTGAGTTTCTGTGATTTCAAGTTCCCGGCTAGTCAAGAGGCCACAGGTACTGGGCACTTTGGTGACGTCTTTCCCGGCATTTTTAACAGCGTCTTCAGATAACCAGAGGGTTTCGGGAATAGAGTCGGATAACTCTTGCAGCACGGTGGCTCGCTTAGCCTCATATGCCTCAGTACCTGGAGGGCTGGGCTTGACGATGCGCACTGGTATCGAGGGCATCTTTTCTATGCTGTGGTTGGTTGTATTTGTAGAATTATAAAAAGGAGAAGGGTCAGTCAGGAGATTAAGTAGTTGTAAAAGAAAGAGATTATCAGAAGAGAGTCTTTATAGACCAATGTGCGCGTTATGGAGTTTATGAACACACTGCAACCTAACCTTGGCCGTGGCCACCACCCCGCTCATGTCTCTCGGGCGGGTTTCCGCAGATTTCCGAGACGGTTGCGCGGAGAAATGCCTGCCAACGCAAAATGTAGTATAAATGTATTTCAATGTACGGGTATCTTAGTAAGAAGTGATAGCTGAGACTATACTTTTGGAGCTCCTCATGTTCGGCCACCACAACCACCTCCTGCGGACTGAGGCCGCTGCCTGATCTCTATCATGCCAGTTTCGGTAGCTGCCGCACAGCTTGCAGCTCTATTCCATTCGGTTCACGACGATTGCTCGCGTTTTCTGCAACCGAAACACCTGATTCATAGTAACCTCGGATTTCGTTGTGTGGTCTAGGAAACCGTTCTGGATGGCGGGGCTGCGATGCAGCGGCTGCCTTTCTCGCGTAATGGCGAGGAGGCGCTTGTATCGCAGTAAGTGAATTTGTTGGGGGAACCTCCATGGGAGACGTGACGGCTGCGAGATCGCGGGCTCTGTCTTCCCTCATCTCCTCCTTGCGGTTCCGTCTGTAACTCCACCAGATACATATAGAGATGCAGAGAATGAGGACAAAGAGCACGGCGCCAAGACTTGCGCCGATAACAGATGGGCCTGCTGTTTCTCTGGGTGCTATGCTTCGTGCTTGCTTGATGACCTTGTTTCCACCCATGTGTCCTGTTTCACGCATTGCATCGCAATTCTCCACGGCCTTCCACAGACCGGTAGCTGTGACAATGGATTTGGTTAGCTTGTGCGCATGGCTGTAGCAAATAGTCACTCACGGGAGCCGGGTTCGCACGGGCAGGTGTAGATGTCTGCATTGGATTGCACCTTTGCAGCAATACTGGAAATTCGGCAGCATGCTGTACGTATTCCGGTGCCACAGTCAATCTCGTTGTACTGTTTGCGCGTCATGTAGTCGAGCACGCAGGCCGCCTCGCAGTCACTTAGACCAATGGACCAGTGCCGCAGAACCATCTCTGTCGCTTTTTGGGACTGCCTGTATCCCTCGGGTGTCATTTCGAGGGTTTTAACATGGAATATACTTTCATTTGATTGGAAGGATGCCTAGCAGCCAGAAGGATGACTCCATTGCAGACGCCTTGCGCGGCCACACGTGATGTACAGCCTGATTTGCTTTCTACCGAAGAGGCGGGCCCGTATTGCCTTGGCTAATACTCTTGTTAAAACTGTTCACCGTATCATAGCCTGACCTTGGCTGTCTTTTTATTAATCATGACTGCGCTTCCTTTGGTGTGCAGAAGCCCTGCAGATTTTGTCGTCTGATGTGGGTTTTGCTGCTGGCAGTCATGTCGCGGGGGATCGGCCAGCTGGCAAACGGTGGCCAAGTCGGGCGAATCACAAGCAAGGATCTGCGAGACATATAATATAGGATAAACGTTTAATAGATATTCAATTTCTTGACTAGTAATTTTGTGCAACCTAGATTGTTTGCAAACGAAACCAATCGAAACATGCGTGGTCGTAACGTCATAAAGTTCAAGCCTGGAGGGACTCCATATTATTGGTTGCCTCTCCTGTACATCTCTGCAAGCGGTGTAGATTACGCCTCCCTGTTCTTCAGCGTCAGATACAAAGGACCCTTTTCCCACAGAACAAAGCACCGTTGTGAGTCGTGCCAACGTTCTTGGTTGGGGGACAAATCGTAGTCGAAGCGGAACAAAAGGCGACTGGCCATGAGACGCATCTCCGCATTGGCGAGGTTCTTGCCGATGCAGTCACGGGCACCGAAACTGAAGGGTTTGACGACATCCCTACGGTCATCCTTGTATTTGGCTTCGTACAGCGGGTGCGAAGCAGCTAGCCATCGCTGGGGGCGGAAGTCGTCGGCATCTTGGAAATGGCTAGGGTTGCGATATGTGGCCCACTGGTAAACGGAGAGTCGGACCTATAGAGGACAAAACCCCGTTAGTCATCTGTAACACAGAATAGTCATACATGTTGCTACTTACGTCTTTGGGCATGTATTCACCGTCCACTTCGGCGCCAGGAGACAGTCGGCTGGGGGTTTCAGGAACAGGCGGGTACACACGGAGAATCTCCTGGAGACATGCTTGCAAGTATTCCAATTTGGCCGTGCTCTGCATGGTAATCTCGCTCTCCGATGTAAAGGATGTTCTAATCTCGTTGACGAGCTTGTCATGCGTGTCGGGATACTGCTTCAGGTAAAACATGAGGCCGGAGAGCGCAGTGGCGGTAGTTTCGCTGCCAGCAATGACAACGGTGGGGGTCGAGTAGCGGATTTCGTCCTCAGTCATACCGGTCTTGCCATCACGGGTCTTGCGCATCATGTAGGACAAAAAGTCACGGCGGCCTTTGCCTCCATCTTCACCCTTTTCCATGCGAGCGGTAACCTTGCTGCCGGCATTGTTGCGCAAGATTGTGAGGGCGCCAACAGGAGATATCGAAGCGGGCAGCATCTCGATGAGTCGGAAGAGAATGGGATAACTGTAGAGGAAGCGGCGTTGCGATGCAGAACGGATGCCCTTGAAGATGGACAAGACCCAAGGGTGGTAGCCGTTGCTTGCGAGACTGTCAAAGGGATCGGAAAAGGCAAGGTCGCCAATGATGTCAAACGTAGTAAAGTTGAACCAAGAGACCATGTTGATTTCTTTGCCGACACGCTCCGTCAGACGTGAAATGAGTAGATCCAGGTAATCGACGACGACGGACTCCTGCTCAATGAGCGCGGCATCGCTAAAGGCGTGGGCAAGCTGGCGGCGCATGCGACGATGGGCATCCTTGGGGGCGAGAATCAGGGTCTGGTCGGCACCGGGCGTGGGAACAACAGATTTACGAAACTCTTCTTTGCCGGCGTGGTGAGCGTAGATGTCTTTCCAGCCAATGGAGCCGTCGATGGAGAGGTGGTTGGGGCCGATGCGGACAATTGGACCATACTTTACATGCTGGCGAGCAACCCTTCGAACACCGTCGCCAACAACATGGTTGTGGTAGAGATGCGGTAAGTACCAGGCAGCTTGCAACTTGGGTCCGGGGTACTTGGAGAGAGGATGGAACCAGATTCGATAAACCACAAGACCGGCGGCGTATGCGACAACCTGCAAAGCATTGGCAGGGGTTAGCGAGTGGCGGGCGAATGGGGAGCGCCCCAAAAGTAATCAGTCAGTACGTACGGCTCCAGCAGCGGCGACGACGATGCGAGCCTCGCCAACCTCATGCACGAGGTCCGATATATAATGTAGCAACTGCATACTGTGTTGAGCAATGAGCAGGGAACACACAGACAGCGAGTGTAGTTGGAAACTGGGATGTGTTTCTTATAAGGGTAAAAAAAATAGATTAGTGGTCGGCAAGCTATACCAGCTGAGAAGGTAGCATTGAGAGTCGGGGTGATAATTCCACCGGGGATGGATGGCAGCTAGGGGATCTTTTTATGGAGAGCAAAACAGTAGGGCCTGTTTTATCGTCATACGCCACGGAATCCTTTGAATATCATTTCATGCAAGCAAAAAAAAAACAGGCTCCTGGCTCAAATGACGGGCAGAGGGCGTCTGAGGATCCGGGCGTGCCACAGTAGCCTCGTCACTAAACGAACGAGAGAAAGCTTAAAGGAGGCTTTTGGGCATCCGTGGCGAATCCGCGGGTATGCCATGTCAAGTCGGCGTGCAACCCAAAGGAGGTTCATTCTGCGCGTAAACCCCCATTTGTCTTCGGCGCCGGGTTTTTGGTAGAAGCCCGTATCTTGAGTTGGAAGTAAGCCCCCGGAGACAATTGGGGCCGCCCTTTCGTTTGGTGCGGCACACAAGATGGACTTTGTGGAGGCTGAGGCTGAATCGTATCGCTGGGCTTGGGTGCAGATGACTACCGAGAGATCAGCACAGTGGAGTTTGGGAGGCTCGGTTTTTGTCCCCGAGCAAGGAAGCTCTTCGTGGTGGTTGGAATGCACCACAGCCCGACTTGCCTGCACCACCCACGCCACGGAAGACAAGACAAGACGAACGGAGACAAGCCGGGCACTACGGACGTCCGAGGGACCGGTTTTCCCAGGAAACAACGATTCGTCTTGCGAGAGCGATGGGGTCGGTGCGGAGACCAGCACAGGCTAATTGGGTTACATGGATGACGTCTGAAACAGAGTCGCTATCGTTTACCACGAGTGCTGTACTGGAGTTCAGTGTGGGTATTGCGGTAAGCCAGCCACAAGATTTGGTCCGCGGGCGATGCATCGGCCGGTAATGGCCGGTTGGTGATGCCTTTTCGATGTCCGGCTCCGATGAAGCCGCAGCAATGACGATAGAAAACAATGTACGACCTTCCTAATTCCCTTGTTTCACGAGGACCGTACAGTAGTGTGCCCGCGGATCGGGTCAGCGTTTTGGTTAGAAACTCCGCGGAGTCGCAGATCGCTGGACGCTTGGGTTGTCCGTGGGAAGCCCGTCTTTTTAATTTAAACCAGTGACCAGTCACAAGTCCAGTTTGTGCTGCATGTACGCCTATGTTTGTGTAACGCGAAATTGTTTATTAAGAAAAACAGTAATAAGTTCAAGCAAGGTGTATCTCTGGTTGCATAGAGACAAGAGGGGATGGGTGCCCATGCAAAATCCCGGGCGGCTACGACTCAGGTTCACCACATGGTAAAGAGAAGCGAGAGAGCCAACACGCTGGCGCTCACAGCCCCAAGCTTCATGCTAGGCGCGCTGCTCTTATCCGAGTCCTTGTGCACCATGTAGATGGCATTCGCAACCGCAATAACCGGCGCATCATCGGAGACGTTGAGCGGTACGGTGGTGTAGACGGGGGGCTCGGTAGGCTGAACCAAGTAACCACCATCGCTAGTAAGAGTGGCTATAGTTTTGAAGCCCGCACTCTCATTAGCGTAGCTGCATTGGCCTGTAATCGCAGGAAAAGAACCCTTGGTGCCAATCGTCTTTTCACAGCCAAACAGCGCATGTGCCGCGTGGGTGTAGCCACTAACCTGGAGCATTAACAAACATATTGGTAAATTTTGATAAAAGAAAGAGGCACATACCTAGGGCAGCAAACAACCAGCGTTTCCTTGTCTTCGAGATGCTTTACAAAATCTCTGCCGTAAAAGTACCCTACATCTTCCGTTACGTTCTTGTCGCTTGCCGGGCTGGGCTGCAAAAAACCAGACACTGTTTTATTGGCAGCGTCGGCGACAGCAATAGTGCTCCATCCTGCCGGGCAGTTGATTGCAGGGGAATAATACGGCACAAAGGGACTCAGGTCGTCGGTGATGATTTTTGCATACGCTGCGCCGTTCGGAAAGCAAGCTGTGGCAGGCGAGGGATTGCAGTCCTGTCTGACAGGGAACGTCAACCCGTCCAAAGTAGATAAAACAAGTTGGTTTCCAATCGATTTGGAGGCGTCCGTACAGGTAGCTGGGGGAGTGAAGGTGGTAGTCAGTGCGCCGATGTTGGTTGCCGAGTAGCCTAGGACGGGACTGGAGGTAATCATGATGTACGACCAAGAGGAAAAGAGCAATGAGGTAGAAGTTGGAGAGGAGTAGTAGACTATAGATGGCTGAAAAGAGAGTTCTCAATGGGTCTTGCTGACACGACGGGGAAGCGCAGGTTCATAAACAAAGTCAAATAGTGGCCATTAAATCCCTTTCAACCAAGCAACACAAAAACAGGGGGGAAGCAAGCCAATAGCACCGTTGAACGAAGACGAGGCTGCGGTGGCTGATCTGATTTGCGCCTAGCGCTGCGCCTAGTGAGGTCATGGTGCGTTGTTCACCACCCAACACTGCGTCGCAGTAACCTAAACTGAGTCGTAGCATGAGCGTTAACGTGCGGAGTGAGCAGCCACAAATGGCTCGGCGCGTGCAGACCTTGGAAATTAGCGTTGTTGGATGACAACGCCCGACAACGGTGAGATGAGGAAAGCCACTTTTGTCAAGACAAGGCGTTTTGTATGCCCAAAGCTTGCAGCGCCTCGTCGCGCGCTGCCGTGGTTGTCGGTGAGCAGGATATCCTCTTTTAGGTCATGCGAGATGGAACTATATGAGCTTTGGTAAAGTGTACGGACCCAATGGCGCCGAAAGCAGGCAATATCTCCAACGTAGTCGCCGACTTATGAAATAGCATCGTAAGTTAAGCTGTGCTGTCAAGTGACTACCTAACTGAGAGTTTATGGGGAGCTGTTCAGCAGTAAAAGTTTGACTACTTGTTTCCTCTCTTTTCTACCAATCACACTGGACTTCATCCCAGAAACCCTGGGCGCAGTCGTACGTGCCACTGCCATCGCAGCCCCAGTGGTCTTCGACCCTAACCTCGCGGAAACACCTCTTTGCCTGTCCGCTGAAATACACGTGTGCGCGTTTGTTGCCCCAGTCAGCGCAGTATGACTCTATTCCAGTGGGATATACGTCAAGATTCATCTCTCCGTAGTGGTGGCAGCCTTCATTAAAGTTCATCCCACTGAACTGACAGCAGTCGGTATACCACGTATCTACCTGTGATGAACAGGATCCAGCAAAGCAGATGGTGTACGTTGTAAAGCGGTCCGCGCTGGTGAGCGCCAAGTAGGCCATCGCCCAGAGCTTTGATACGAGTTTGGCGTTCACCATTGTCAGTGCTTTCTGTAGGTTATGTTAGCTTTGTTTTGCCTTTTTTTTTTGGATTATACCAGTATAAGATGGATGTAGATGAGAAGGGATAAGACATACAAGTATTCTATGACGGTGTCTCAAACTTCGCCTTGGTAGTAGCTTATCAGGTAAAAGACACGTTCGTATACGCAGGCGATGGCACATTATATAGCCAAATTTAACAACAGAAAACCATTCTTTCTTGCGGCGGGTAACACCTCATGTCCGCTTCATTGAATATAATGCGCAGATGTACCATAAGAAACAGACAAACGCCGAGAACGTGAAAAAGTCAAGCCTTTCCATTGGATGAATTGGATGAATTTTGCCATTAGATATTGATTAACCCTGAGAATCTGTATAAGCCACTGCATTCTACTGCATAACTTTACCGGGAGAATCAGGTAAATATCGAGCACATGCATAAGTCACCACTTTCGATTGGGTGAGCATACCGCCAGAGAAGGACAAACACCGAACACACATAAGCCACTGGTTCAAGTAAAAAGATCCGACGGACCGCAGCCTCGTCCACTGCACTCAGCTCCCTCTCTACTTGGAAGGGTCACTAAAAAAGATGACCTGTATCGTAATATCGTCTCTGACATAGCGGCTCAGTGGCGCATACGTCGTCAACATGCCCTTGAACAGCTCACGGCGGTTACCGCCCAGCGCATTCTTCAGCAGACACACGGCGGCGCTGTCCATGTCTTCAATGGCAAAGTAGTCGGGGTTAACCTCGTGCTGGCCGGTGCCATCCTCGCCAATCCTCCATCCGCCTTTTGTGTCTACCACCGTCTCGGGCTTGCCTGCCTTCTTGGCCTTGATCCAGCGGGAGACGCACTCGACGGCGTGTTCGTTGGAAATGACATCCCACAGACCATCCGAAGCCATAATCACAAAATCCTCGTTACCAACCTGGCGAGTTGTAACTTCTGGCTCGGCCGTCATGTAGGGCGGCGACTTGTACGGTTTACGCATGCTGTAAGCGTAGTATGAGGCATGCGCCTCCTTGAGTTCCTCCTCTGTCCACTTCCAGCGGTTATCGCCAAAAGCACGCGTGATGGCAATACCCAGAAGACGGCCCGACTTGGGGTCGATGATTTCCTTTTCGCCGGGGTGTGCCTTGTCGAGCCTCTTTACTTCGTCTTCGTTGAAGCCAGTCTGGTCCTTGCTTAGGGCATGTGCGTCAAAGCTATCTTTATCGACCGACCATGATCCCAGTACCGCTCTGGAGTCACCAGATACTGCAGTACGAAGAGTCTTTGACGCAGCGTCATACATTGTGAGCAGGGCGCAGGAGCCAGCAACGGATGGAGCCAATTCAGCTACGATTTTGGCCAGAGCTTCGTCTCTACCGAGCTTCATAGCGTCCAGGGCACGATTGTTGATCTTCTCGTCGAGGGTATTGAAGGCGGTTTTGATGGCAGCATCCACAGCTTCGGGAGACGCCGAACCCACGCCGCTGAGTGCAGACGACACATAGGAAATGAGAGCCTTGCGCAAGACGGCAGACGTAGCCCAGCCACTGTATTCTGTTAGCTTTACATATTTCCATTACAGACAAAAAGTCCAACTCACGCATGACCGTCGTAGACGCCAGCAAACAAAGTAGAGGCGCCATTGACTCCCTGTGCCACCTGGAGATCCCACTCATCCTCCGTGCGGTTGTTGCTCTCCAGTCTAACCACATCGACTCTTCCATTGTTGCCGTCTGCTCCAGCGAAAGTGAATGAGTACACCTGTTCTCTCAGCTTCTCATTGGCCTCTTCCAACGTCAAAGCCTTGACAGGCGTTGAGGTGTCGATGCTATCAAGAGAAGCCGCCTGCTTGAGTGTTGGTACTGGCACCGGCTGGCTCTTCTGGTACGCAGTGAGCTGCGATACAGAAAAGTATCCGAGGCCACCTGCAGCAAGAACACCGGCCAAAAGAAGCGGTTTTGAGGGCGGCGGAGGCGGCAATGAAGAATAGGCACGGGTTGACGCCGTGCGGGGGAGAGCGCGAGCTGCTCGATGCAATCTAAACATGCTGGGCGGTGCGGTACAATAATGGAAGACTTAAAAAATGCAGCAGAATACAAAATTCACAGAGAATGGGGACTGATGCAATTTAAAAAGAAACGGCAGAAAATGCAAATGCAAATGATAACGGTGCAGTGCAGTGCAGCGGACAGACAAAACAGGCACCAAGGGCGCGGATGCGGGCACTGAGATCCGTGAATGTCATTTCGGTGGAGGCTGTGCTGGCGGCTTACGCTGAGCCGCCCGCCACCAGAACCACACTTCAGTGGGTTTGGGCTGCTGTAAGTCGCATGTCCAGCTTCCCAATCGGGTGATTCGTTGCCGAACGGCGGAAGACTTGAAATGAATCACGAGGCCTTTTTGCAGTCATTTTTTATATATTTGCAATAACAGTAATTGAATGCAGATAAGCTAATTGAAAGTAAATAAAGTAGTTGAATTTTGAGCCCAAGATGCATTGGAAATATATAGGGCAGCCCAATTGCTCTAGACCCGCGTCGTCAAATACACTCTTACAAAGTAAAACAAAAGCACCCAGTAAACGCCAATATATGTGCACCAGAAATGCAAATCCCTCCCTTTTGCCGCTGTCCTTTATGCTCTTTTTACTCTTCATCCTCCCATTCCTCATCTTCTTCTTCCTCATCCTCCTTCTTGCGGCTAGCAGCCACGTGGTTGTAGTCCTCGTAGTCGCTGTAGTCCTCCATATCTTCATCGTCATCGTCCTCCTCGTCCTCGCCAGCCTTGCCGCGGCCCTTGCGAGCCTCCTTCTCGGCCTTCTTCCTCTCCACATTGGCCTTTTGCTCTCTCTTGCGGGCATCCTTTTCTTGGCGGCGCTGCTGCCAGCGCTTCTCGAGCTCCTTGACCTCGGCGTTGGTCTTCTTGACGTACTCGTGCCACATAATCTTGCCGCCGCACATGCCCTCTTCGACCTTTGTTAGACGCAGGCGCATACGAGGACCCAACTCAACGAGCTTGACAGCACGGCGCTCCACATTCTCCTCTGTGGTGGCTTCTTCGGGGCCGGCAGACGCGGCATTGAGCTCTGCAGCAAGACGAGCCTTGGTCGACATGACTTTGCGGGGAGCGTTATCCACGACCTCGACTTCAGCATCCGTGTCGGCTTCACTGCCGCTGGTAGCATCCGTCATGTAGCCGTCGCCTCCTTCGCCGCCAATCATGTAATCAGAGATATCTTGCAGCTTGCCCAGGTTGGGCATCTGGCCGTGGCGGCTCGTCTTGGTGGTGACCAGCTTCTCGGCGGCATTGATGCGGCGCAGCTGCTTGGAGACACCGGCGAGCTTGGTTGTGATGGCGTAGTGGCGGAAGTTGAGGATAAACGTGCCGTCCTCCTCTTGTTCGCGGTTAATGAGGACGACGCGGCGAATCGACTTGAGCGGGGTGGCTTGTGGGTTAATGGGGGGGAAGAGGGATCGGAAGACGGTGGTTGCGAGGGACTCGAGGTGCTTGGGGACGGCCGAGTTGCTGTCGGCGTCGGGGGAAGACATGTTGTTCATGACAAGCTGCCAAAAACTGTTAGTCTTTTCTTTCTTAGATGTGGCTATTGACTAGCAAGCTACTCACCAACGGAGCTGTCAGAAACTCCTTGCCCATGCCCTTGGGGTGCTTCTGCACTCGCTGCACATCCTTGCAGAGCGAGTACTTGTCGACACGGAAGTGCATGGTAGGGCCTCTAGGCGTCAAGGCCAATCGCATGTTTGTGTTGCCGCTCTCGGATCGGGAAAAGAGGACGAGATGGGTGACGCCGAGAGGACCACACATGACGACGTAGTCTCGCAGACGGTTTGCGCGGCGCTCGCGAAGACGACTGGCCGTTCCGGGCTCCATGACTCTTCGCACATCGGTAGCAAGCTGGCTGATGCTGGAACCAACCTCACCAGCGCCAATGCGAATAACCATGCTCTTGGGATCCTTTGCGGACGCATGAGCTGGGGCATTGGGCTCCGGGTTGTTGGCACCCATGTGGGTTCTCTTCTTCATTCTTCTTCTGGCCATTGTGACGGGGTGTGTAGAAATTCAATTGCAATTGCAGAGGTTGTTTTGTAGGAGTGGTGATGTTCGAAGCCGGGCCTCTCTACTTTTCATTATACGCTTCAAAGGCGGTCGGCAGAAAAAAAAGTTTTGGCGGGCAGCAGCCGATAAGAGCGAGCTGCACGTGCGATAAGCTGAATTTCCAGCGCAGCTTGCAGCGACTGTTGCGGCACTGACCCCACTAAAAGTTTTGTCGCAGCTTTTTTCTGCCGCCTCAAGCTTTTGACGACGAATCTTTGACCGGTTTCTCAATTGCAAACAACAGGAATTGCTGCTGCCCAACATGGGAGAAATCAAACGCCGCAAGGTTGCTCACGAAGAGCAGCCTAAGAAAAAGCCACACCACACAGAAAAAGAAGATTCGCCCGTCTCGGAGCCCGAATCCTCCAAAGAGGAAGAAGACAAGCCTGCTGAAGAAGCTGAAGAAGAAACACCAAAGACATTCAAAGAGCTGGTGTGTAGCCCTGCCCCCCAAAAGAAAATATATCAAAAATACACAAGCTAACATTCTATTTCTAGGGAATCGTTGACGCCCTCTGCGAAGCATGCGAAGCCCTCAACTATAAAAGCCCGACCGCCATCCAGGCCAAGTCCATCCCTGTCGCCCTCCAGAACCGCGACATCATTGGTCTTGCCGAGACCGGTAGTGGTAAAACAGCCGCCTTTGCCCTGCCCATGCTGCAAGCTCTTCTCGACAAGCCCCAACCTCTTTTTGGCCTCGTCCTCGCTCCCACGCGTGAACTGGCTGCCCAGATCGGCCAGTCCTTCGAGGCCCTCGGTGCCATGATCTCACTGCGCTGCGCCGTCATTGTCGGTGGTCTCGACATGGTCCCCCAGTCCATTGCTCTCGGAAAGAAGCCTCACGTCATTGTCGCCACGCCAGGCCGTCTCGTCGACCATCTCGAAAAGACAAAGGGCTTCTCGCTGCGCACGCTCAAGTTCCTCGTCATGGACGAAGCCGATCGTCTTCTCGACATGGACTTTGGCCCGAGCATCGACAAGATCCTCAAGTTTGTGCCGCGCGAGCGCCGAACGTTCCTCTTCTCCGCCACCATGAGCTCCAAGGTCGAGTCTCTGCAGCGCGCATCCCTCCGCGACCCCGTCCGCGTCAGCATCTCTTCCAACAAATACCAGACCGTCTCGACCCTCCTCCAGCACTACATGTTCATCCCCCATGTGAAAAAGGACACCTACCTCATCTACCTTGTCAACGAATTCGCAGGCAAGTCTTGCATCATCTTTAGCCGCACCGTCATCGAGGCGCAACGAGTCGCCATTCTCCTCCGCACGCTGGGCTTCGGCGCCATCCCCCTCCACGGACAGCTCTCGCAAACTGCCCGTTTGGGCGCACTAAATAAGTTCCGCGCGGGTACTCGCGATATCCTGGTAGCTACGGATGTTGCTGCTCGTGGTCTGGATATCCCCAAGGTCGATGTGGTCCTCAACTACGATCTGCCCCAGGATTCCAAAACATATATTCACAGAGTCGGCCGTACCGCCAGAGCTGGTAAATCTGGTGTGGCCATCAGCATGGTTACGCAGTACGATATCGAACTCTACAAGCGTATAGAGGCTGCCCTGGGCAAGGAGCTCGTCGAGTACCCTGCCGAGAAGGAGGAAGTCATGGCTTTCCAGGCCCGCGTTGAAGAGGCACAGCGTCATACTAGAGTAGAACTCAAGGCCGCCTTGGAGGGTGGAAAGGGCAACTTCAAGAACAGACGTAGAGAAAAGAGAGGTCGCGACGAAATGGACAGAGAGGATGGTTAGATGTCCGTCTACCACTGATCCAATTGTATAAAAACAAAACGTATGATGTATACACAAGAACAAATAATCAAAAAGAAATTTCAAAACAACCTGTCTCTAAACGGCAAAATAACTCTCGCCTATTTTTTTCCTAAATCAATGCAACCAATCCGTGCGCCAGTTTCGCTGTAATTGTACAAAAAATCCACATCTCTAGAAACACAATCCAAGCATACCAGAAATGGCACCATGTAGGTCTATTCCTCCTCCTCCTCCTCTTCCTCTTCTTCCTCTCCGCCTTCTGCATCAACCATCTCGGTGTCTTCTTCTCCCCCCTCTTCCTCTTCCTCTTCGTCGCCCTCCTCAGCTTCTTCCTCATCTCCCTCATCGGCTTCTTCACCATCCTCATCTCCCTCCACTTCGTCGCCTTCTTCATCTTCCTCCTCATCTCCCTCATCGGCTTCTTCTTCACCATCACCTTCTTCTTCTTCCTCTTCTTCCTCCTCACCATCACCCTCGTCTTCCTCTTCACCTTCTTCATCACCCTCTTCGCCTTCTTCTTCATCACCCTCTTCGCCTTCTTCTTCGTCACCCTCTTCTTCTTCTCCTTCTTCTCCTTCTTCTCCCCCCTCTCCTTCGTCCCCTTCTTCCACCTCTTCGCCTTCTTCACCTTCTTCATCTAGTTCGCCTTCTACCTCTTCGCCTTCTTCGTCGCCCATCTCCTCGTCACCTTCTTCACCGATTTCATCTCCACCTTCAAGGTCTTCATCATTTTCAAGAGCTGTTTCGCCGTCATCTTCAGCCTCTTCTCCTTCATCCTCACTATCTGCATCTTCGCCGCTTTCGTTTCCACCCTCCCCAATATTCGGAACGACCAAACCCTCAGGCATCTCTTCATCATAGCCTTCGGGTACATCGCTTAGGTCGCTGTCGTCTGAATCCAAGAGAGCAGTAGCATCGGCATCCTGCATCGAGGCGTCGAAAGACTCACCAGCCTCCCGTCTGACTTGAGCATCAGGGCTTTCATCATCGCTGCCCGAATCGCTATGGGCTCGGTTCGGCGTCTGACTTCCTCGCTTGCCGCTGGACATGCTGCCTTTACGACTCTTTGTAGTAGCAGACTTGGGTGGCTCTGTTGCTCTAACAACCGCTTGCTCGGCTTTGCGTAACACATCTGGTCTTCGCACACCGAGGCGTCTCGCAATCTTGGTAATGTCCGTCTTCTCTGTGTCCATTGGAGTTGCAGTACCTCCAGCGCTATCATTGGCAGCCTCCGCATTCAAAAGGTTGTCAACTGCCGCAGGCTTTGGTTCAGCACCAGCAACATCTTCCACGCGGGCAGCAAGCTCCTTGGCTTGGTTGCGTTGCTCGAGAATTTTGGCAGGGCTCTCACCAGGAAGACTATCGCCAATCTCCAGATAGATTCGTGAATAACAGTCATTGATCAAGTCGTCAATCGGAGCGGCCTTCATCAAATTGCCGTTGAGCTTTTTGAATTCGACAGCCTCCTTCATACATGCGAAGGCGGCAATGTTCGCTTCATCTCCACCGGCCCATTGGGTAATGCGTTCGCTGACAATTTCGAACTCTTCAATAGAGAGTGCCTTGAAGGCGTCGTCGACAACAGGCTCAATCTTGTGCGCCTTGCGCAGCATATCGAGATACGCGACGGATGAGTATTGCCACAAGTCATTAAAATGGTAAAAGTCAGCGCCTCGTTTTCGAAGTCGTCTAAGGAGCAGTTCAAGATCGATGTGGTTACTCAAAATAACGAGAATTTTCGTGACAAAGCGCACATATTGCTCTGTGAACACATAGTGTCGTCCGGGCCGTTCTGCCTCGCACTTCCAAACATTCATCACCATCGTCTTGGTGAACATGTTTTCTCGTAGGATAGCAAAGGCCGCCTTTGCTTCGACAACGCCGTTGCTGTTCTCAGTAGAAGCACCGTCATCGAACAAGATTTTAGCGTGTCGCATTACTATGCGGTGCTGCCAGTTGGACTTGTCTTTGTCGCTGAGCTTTGTCAGATTTCGGATAATGTACTCCTCCCAGTCCTCTGGTTCAGAGAAGGAGGCATACACATCGTCGTCGTTGACTCTTACACCCAGTGGCATCTTGGCAAGGATATCGGCTGCTTCCCTGGCAGGGAGCTTCTTGGATATAACAAGTTTGTGCAAAACGGAGACAATTTTATAGTGAGGCTCCAGGATCAAATCGCGGTCGCGAGACTTGCGCCGGGGGTGTGAAACCTCGATTGCCTTCTTGAGCGACTCCAAAACCATCTCTTTGGTGATTCTAGAGGTCTTATCTCGGTCATCGAGCTGGTCTTCGGGTGTTTCATACATCTTCCACAAGCACTTGCTCAACATGTAATGATTTTTCCAGTTACCAGGCTTGCGCTCAATGGCGAGCTTGAAGAGCTTGGCGGCGAACTTCCAAATCTTGTATCCCGTCATCTGATCGTGAGTAATCTTCTTGAAGGTGTTGTTACCCATATTCTCGATGAAAAATCGCTCTTGGTCAGTGTGGATAAAAGGTTCCATGGCAAATGGCTCTCTGCTAGATGAGTAGAGTCGCAATCCAAACTTGTAGTACAAGTCGTGCAAGGCCTCAACATCCTTGCTTTCAATCTCAGCATTGCGAGAGTTTGACAAAGCCAATGTGTAGCAGTGAATTGCATTACGCTGGAATTTGACTAGTTCGGCTCTGTCTTTGTTCATTTTTTCAGCCGACCAGAGAACTGCTTCATCAAGTTCGTAGTCAAAACACTCGGCCAGACGGAACCAAGCATCCCATCGGTCTGCAGTGAATTGAAGCTGCAGCCGAAGGAAGGTTGATCCAATACGCAAGTCATCTGTTGCACCCGGTGTTTGTCTTCGATTCAGATCAACACCCTTAAACTTAGTAAGAGCCAACATGCCCAGCAAGAAGAACCACCCATGTTCAGCAAGATCAGCTTCGGGGAGCTTTATCGATACTGAGTCAATGGAAACACTACCGGTAAGCGCCCGGTATAGTCGCAACGGATGAATAGGCTTCTTCAGCAACTCCGTAAAGTTACGCATGTTGTGGATCATTTGTGGTGTCGACTTCGTTTGTCCAATAGTCTGCTGCATGTGATCGATAGTGGTCTTGAGATCCGACTTCAACAAATCTTTAATGGGCATTCGGTTGGCAAGCACTATAACCTTTTCAACGAGCTGCATAGCCTGACGCTTCTCCAGCTTCTCTGTAGTACAACCATGATCCGCAACTTCCCAGAGACCAACTCCAAGTTTCAACCCGTAAAGGTCATAAAGAACCTGGCCAATATAATCTTCCCAGTTTTCAACATTCTTAACCTTGAGAAGCTCCATTCGCATGACTTTCAGAAACACTTTGTTTGATGCTTTGCAGAACTTTCTTATTCCAATACACAGATGAACAGCCGCCAAAAAGTTGATTAGGTCTGGTTCCGCGTTCAAAGTCGATTCGCTCATTGGCAGTGCTGCTTTGAAAACGGTATAGAGCAAGCACCAGTTGCGAACCTGGATATCGCGGAGCTTGGAAAGCTGCGACTGAAAGGTTGAGTTGCTTGTTGGTATGTTCAATAATCCAACCTTGATCTCATCTTCCAACATTGATACATTGTGCACCAGAGTGGCAATTCTGACGAGGGCAGAGACAGTATGCTTGATTTCGTCTTCACCAATGATGTCAAAAGCGGTGGCATCATTAACGGCCATAGACAGCGCTTGGACAATCAAGTCATCCAACGCTTTCAAAGTTCGCATAAAGAGGTACTTGCGTGATTGATCCTGCATACCTGCATAGGATGAACCTTCGAGGTCATTGATGACCATCTCAATGGCTTTCAATAGGCACGCAAAACGCTTTGTTGGATAGCTGATGGCTTCATAAGCGTCACCAAGACGAGACCAGAGAAACAAGCGCAGCTCTGTGCTGCTGTTCTCAAGAAATTTCCAGAGATCTTGCATTCCTTGACTGGCGCATTCAGATATAGGCTTGCCTTCATCTTGAGTAGGGGCCTCATCAGCGTCCTTGTTGGCAGCGCCATTGCTTTCTTTCTCGGTGGTGGGCTCATCCTCCTTACTTGACACTTGTTCGGTTTCTTTCTTGGACTGTTCATCTCCGTTCTCTGCGGCTGGTTTCTCAATGGATGCATGCACGGACGAGGGATTCAATACCGGCTCCAATGTGTCAATAACCTGAACAGGGTCTTTCATATCTTCTTGGAACAGACTCAAGAAAAAGTCCATGGTTGTAAGCTTGGATATTTCTCTATCGGCTGCGGCAGGAGAGATGGTGTCCATGGCAACATTATTAGGGAGTAATATTGTGTCAACATCGGATTCTGTTAAAAAGTCTCGTAAGGAAGTCCACATGAGCAAAATATGCTCTCTGACTGGATCTTCTGTCAGGGATGATATAATGACAGATGCCCACAGGAAGCGAACAGAAAGAGGATCATCCGCCGGTTGGTCAAGTCGAACGATGAATGATGAGGCAAGGCTTAGCCAGCGGTCCAGGCGATACTTGGTTTTCAACTTCGTCGCATAATCAACGACGCTGGTGGGGTTCGTTATTCGCTCGTAAATATCAAGGTGCAGCTCAAAAATCATGGGTAGGATGGTTTGGAGTCCATGCGAGGATTCTAAAGGTCCCTGCAGCTCGCGTTCTATACGATCATAGAGGATAGCGTCAAAGGTGTTAAGCATTTGAACAACAGCTTCTTTCAAACCCACAGACCACTTTCGCTCTGCGTATATCAGGCTCATGGCGCCGATCCACTCATACGCAATATCGGCAGCAGTAAGGGAGTCCTCTCTCTCTTGGACTAACTCAGCAAAACGTCGAAGGCCTCGGCTCTCTTTGAAAGGTTTGCTGGGTGTCTGGTCTTGGGAGGAAGATTTGGTGTGTTCCAGAAATGACGAAAGACTTAGGACAGGAGCTTCCGCATTGCTCAGAAGTACTTTGGCGACATCGACATTAAAGTCTGTGAAGACGCTTCGCAAGTCTTGGGCCACCTGCCGCGAAGGGTTCACTGGCCGATCCTCAGCACTGCAGTTGTCAAGAGATTCCTGAATAGACTGTAGAGCAATCTCATCCTGAATGCCTAGACTTTCAAAGATGGTCTTGGTTTGGTTAAACAGATTAATATCAGATTCCTGGAATGGCTGTAGCTGGTTTGAAATTAGCAGAGCTGGGTCTGCAGGCTCATCTGCGCTCGTCATGTCTGTTCGGCGGCGGACACGCTTGCTTCGTTTCTCAGTGACTTCTTCTTCACCACCTTCGTTTATACCTGCCACAGACTGTGATCGCTTGCGAGACGGGACAGAACCTGCGCGTTCCTTTTGTGAGTCATCATCGCCAGCTTTCAAATCGTCGTCAGATGCATTCGATGCCTTTCGTTTAGCGTTGTCGGAATCTTCTTCAGCGCTCGGCTTTTCCCCCGAAGTGGAATTGCCGTCCTTTTCTTCAACGAGAATATCGTCTTCAGATGACTGATCCTGCTCCTCAGAAACATCATCCAATATTTTGCGACAAGACTGGATCGCTGCTTTGGTATCTTCCACATGCTTCATGAGCTGGGTCGCCAGCATAGACCATGAAGTGATGCTCTCTGGCTCGTTCTCTTCTGTCTCTTCCTTGTCTTCTCCTTCTTCTTTCATTTCAACGTCGACAACTTGGATGGGACTTGATGGAGGCGGGGTGAGTGTTGATGTTGGGTCAGGTAGGTATGGGAGAGGGTCGATAAGGCGTTTGAGGAGAGTAGGCATGTTCTTCACCACCCATGGTTTCATACTAGGATGCGAAAGAGACATTTTATCGTCGAGAACGTGAAGATGTTCCTTAAGCTGCTCGCCCGCCCACCCCTCGGCGAGGGATGGAGGATCAACGTCGTCCACTGTCGGATCGTCATCGAGTTCAATCGCCGATTCTAAACAATATCGCTTTATTCTTCCGCTGTTCATAGAAGCTGCAAATCTGGCTAATCTTCGCCACAGCTCAGGATCAGACGGGTCTTGGTCGAGCGCCCGCAGCCAGTTGTCTAGCACTTCCTGGCTGTCCTTGTTGTACGCGATTCTGCCTGACTGGTTCTCTGTCGCTTCATCTTTGCCGCGTGCATCTTTGAGTTTGTCCAGAAAGAACTGGCCGTAATTCTTATACGACAAATAGAATGCCTGTGATAAACTGGCGACAACACCGTCTGCGCCTCCGGCTTCTGCATCAAGAGCAGCTGGCATTACCTCGGCTGCTACAGTGCCGGTTTGGTCTGTCATTTGCATCTCATTTCGTTCGTAATCGGTCTTCGCTTCTCGGTATTTGAAGATTTCGGAATCAAAGAGTTCACTATAAGCTTCTTCAGCCTGCGCCCTTGATTGGGCACCCTGGGCGTGCAGGCGCAACGCCTTCTGAAACTGCTTGAGAGCCTCGTCTACCTATAGATTGCGTTAGATATTGAACGATAGAAATGATGATGCAGCGCATGAACCGTACATGAAGCTCCTTGGTGGTGTCGAGTTGGTCTTCGGCATTGTCCTCGGGCTCGAGGTTGATGGCCTGGAAAGACGGCTATTGCGAGATGGGTTAGCAGGTTGAGATTGTGCAATGGCTGTGATTAGGTATACCATGATGGATGCCAATAAACTGATATTCCCTCACACCTCATTCGGCCATGGAATTAGCCGTTGAATCGATGTAATGGGTGAGAATGGCGGGTTTTGCAGGAGCCAGGAGTCTTGCGTCGCTAGCAACTTAATTGAAATCGCGTCTCCATCACGCGCTTGTCCGCTAAAGTAGTAGCAGCTGTCGTGGCGTCAGTCCCCTACTCTGGCAGCCACATGTGGCGCGCCAATAGCAACGAGCCACCTTTCGCTTGCTTGCAGTGCCCACTTTGATTGCGCCCGCCAAAGTGGCCCCGAACCTCAAGCCAACCCAATTTCATCTTCAACGGTCTGCCCACCTAAACTTAGCAACTGCATTGCAGACCCGCGAAAGTCATCCTTAGCTTTTATCTAATCCACCAAGTTGGAATCACCCGATATTCATTAGACGACTAGCTCCAGAGCGGAATCCCTTCTTCGAACGACCCAAGAAAGCTCCAGCATCCCCCGCCAGGGGCATATCGTCACAATGCCCTCTCCGGCGGTGCCTGAGTAAGGGGATCATCCCAACAAGACAATACCGATCGCATAAAGCTAACAAACCATAGAATCGTCGAGGAAGCGCTCCACGAAGCGATTGACGCCCGAACAGAGTCGCTCGTCGGTTTACGCGAGCTTGGTCCTCCCGATCTTGTTCACCTGGTCAAGCAAAACGTTCGCAACCCTGGAAAACAGGTAACTATAGCTATAAATGCTGCATCATATCAACTAAGCTAATACAATAGTATTAGACTGGAATTTACCACCATGTCACAGGTGTAGATGCCTCCTCTTCTGCCAGCCTGGCTGCGTACATCAACACTTTGACATACAAGGAGCACGGTCCGAGCGCAACGACGAAGATTGTCGAGGGCCTCTACTGGTAGGTCTACCGAAAACCTAAGATTTTATTACAATACTAATCATTGTTACATATAGCTGCTACAATGCATTCTCTAGACTCGACATGAGAGTGCATGTTTCCATCCCCGGTACAGTCGAAGCCTACTGCGTGGACGAGCGAGGCGAGAAGCGAGAAGCCCACGACGACCTGTGGCTAGAAACATATCTTTGCAGCGTTCTTAGAGCATACTCTTATGCAGATGACGGAAGTGGTGACACGATCCGAAAGATTATGGGCGTTCGTCGTTTCAACCCCGTCACCAGCACCGAAACCGAGCACCGCTTCCTTCACGCTGCTGAGCAACTTTTCTTCCGAGGTTGGCAGCTCGGTTCAAGCTCTACAGTACAGGTTCCTACCAATGTATCGAACCATCTTACTGAGGGCTTATTAAAGTACCTCGAAACGACCGGCCGCTTTGTCTCTGGTATCAACTTGTTTGAGAAACTGCGCACCCAAAGCGTTGAAGTCTCTTCGCTACTGGCGAGAGTCATGTTTATGGGCAGTGAAGAGGTATCTGGAATCCGTGTACTTCATGAATCCTTACAGCAGGCCCCCATGGACTATGTCATGCTCGACGCCCAAGCCGAATTCCTACTCAAGAAAGCTCAGACCGCGCCAACACCCGATGCCCGCACCGAGCGTCTTCGCATGGCTCTGGGCTGCGCTGATCGCAGCACAATTGCTGCCCCAAGTGAATTCGGTACATGGGCTCGCTTGGCGCGCGTCTATGTTGCCATGGAAGATTGGGAAAATGCCCTGACCATCCTCAACTCTTGCCCAATGTTCACTTATCAGGACAAGGACGCCCCCCTGATGCCTGAACCAAAGGAAGTCAATCTCCCCATCTTGGCGGAAACTCGTCTTGACGAAATTGACAGCGAATCCGAGGGCCGTTTCTCCGAGCAGGTCGATGTTAGCCTCCTGAACCTCCGCGCTGCCTCGCATCGCGGTACTTTCAAGGAAGCCTACAGCATCCTGACCGAAATGACGGCCAAGATTGGTTGGGATCAGCTTTTGAAGATCCGCAGCAACGTCTTTGTCATGGAAGACGAGTATCGTACTGGTCCAAAGGCGGATGCTGCCCAGGGAGCTGCCAAGCGAACACCTAGCATGGATGGCCTCCGAGGCACCCCCGACCCCAGCAACAGAAATGGCGACGATGATGAAGACGAGGAGGATGATGAGAATGAGGATGGCGAATCAAAGGACAAGCAGCCCAACGGAGAAAGCAATGTCGAGAAGCCCAGCCAGACCATTGATCCTCAGGTTGTGAAGGCAGACAAAGAAGTAAGTGAAGATATTCATGTAGACGACACCCTTCTTAATTGCTAACGAATTACGTCCAGGGAAACGAAAACGAAGAACACCTCTACCGACTCAACACCAAGAGACTCTGTGAGCGCTGGCTAGACACACTATTCATGGTTCTGTACGATGATCTTCGAGTCTACACCATCTGGCGCACACAGATGGCACAGTTCCGCGCACAGGATATTCAGTACAAGAAGTCTGCTGAGGAGTGGGAAATCCTGGGCTCGCTGGCCGAGCGCTTGCAGCACTTTGACGAGGCTGTTGAGGCATACACCGCTTGCTTGACGCTGCGCTTTAGCCCGCGGGCTCTCGCTGGTGTTTTGCGCGTCTACGAAAAGACCAAGAACACCCGCGAGACGGTGGCTGCCATCATCCGTCTGGTTACCTGGCAGTACCGATGGTACAGCGAGTTCTCGCCGGAGCTGCTGCAGTCAATCCGCGCCTTGATTGAGGAAGAGGGTGCCGTCAAGGTCCGAAGCATAATACAGGCGACCAGCCTACCCCAGAACGTGCTGGATCTGACGCACCACTATGCTGCTCTTTGCGCGACCTTTCGCAGCAGCGGCACCGAGGGTTAGTGGTGATGGGGAGTGATGACGACCAAAAGTTGATATGGGTAGAGATAGAATTATAATACTATGGAAAAAACAGGAATAATCAAAGCTGTGATGTTTATGATGTACAGTCTATGTGAACTTGCTGAAACAATGGAATATTTCTTGAATATTTTGTCCTTCTCTTTTAACTTACAAGTGGTCATCCAGTTATTCATAGGCTGCGGTACTCGAGCGGCGGCGCTGCCGGCCCCGCACCTGTCCAGCGGCGTGGCGGGGCAGTACTTTTTTTCCCCGCCGCTACAAACGACGCCCCAAGCTTTGCAACCTTTCATCAACAGCTTGCTCGTTCCTGTCGCCGCAAATTTTAATACTGCAACAGTGTAGCAAAGGTGTTCCGACATAACTATTCAATAGACTCGCTGTAGCGAAAGACAAGTCGACCATGGCGACCGCTTCGGACAGCGCCGCCAGCGCGCCCAAGACTTCTCCCCCCGCCACCATTGTCTGTGTCGGCATGGCAGGTGTGTACATATGAGGCTGTAAAAAGTGATGACCATCCCTTTTGTTCTAACATATGTCATCTTCAGGCTCGGGAAAGACGACTTTTATGCAGCGAATCAACGCCCATCTCCACGGCAAGGAGAACCCGCCCTACGTCATCAACCTCGATCCCGCCGTGTTGTCGACACCCTTTGAATCCAACATTGACATTCGTGACTCGGTCAACTATGAAGAAGTCATGAAACAGTACAACCTCGGTCCCAACGGTGGCATTCTTACGTCGCTCAACCTCTTTGCCACCAAGGTCGACCAGATTGTCAACCTCCTCGAAAAGCGAGCAGCCCCCGACGCCGCCCAGCCCGACAAGAAGCCGATGGAGCACATCCTCGTCGATACCCCTGGACAGATTGAAGTATTTGTGTGGTCTGCTTCAGGAACCATTCTACTTGAGTCTCTGGCTTCGTCCTTCCCGACTATTGTCGCCTACATCATCGACACACCCCGCACATCGTCGACTTCAACCTTTATGTCCAATATGCTGTACGCCTGCTCGATCCTCTACAAAACAAAGCTGCCCATGATTCTCGTCTTCAACAAGACGGACGTCAAGGATGCGGCCTTTGCCAAGGAATGGATGACGGACTTTGAGGCGTTCCAGGAGGCCCTGCGCAGGGATGAAGAGTCCGACGCTCTTGGTGGTGTCGAGGGCGGTGGCCATGGCGGCAGCGGTTACATGGGCAGCTTGCTCAACAGCATGAGTCTGATGCTCGAAGAGTTCTATTCCCACCTCAGCATGGTGGCTGTCAGCTCGCGCCTTGGCACAGGTATCGACGATTTCTTTGCCGCTGTGGAGGAGAAGAAGCAAGAGTTTATGCAAGACTACTTGCCTGAGCTGGAGCGCCGCCGCGAGGAACGCGAGGCCAACAAGAAGCAGGCCCGCGACAAGGAGCTCGACAAGATGATGCAGGGCATGTCGGTGGGCGAAGGCCAAAAGGCCGAGGGCGAGGAAAGCAGCGGCGACGAGGATGACTCGGATACCGAGGCCGCTAAGCAGAGCTTACAGGAGAAGTACCAGGCAGCTCTCGGCGAGAACGAAGATTCCGTCCTTTCCGACGCAAGCTTTGCCAAATACCTCTACAAATCAAACCAGTAATGCCCAGTCTACGAAAGATGCACACGGAAAATGGAAACACGGCGTTTTAAGGGGTCTTATAACTTTACACTGTACATAGAATCCAAGCACATGAGAATTCGTTCAATGCCTTACTGCAAACCGTGACCCAGTGATGAATATGAGAAAACGAGGCTTTGAATGTTGTATTGTTCAAGTCTAGAATAGGACTCCGAAAGCAAATCTTTTTTGTATAAAATCGAGAGCAAAAAAAAAAGTAAAAACAGAATAAGGTGTCGTAAAATGTGTTGTTTCCCAACTGCTCCAAAACTCCAATCACGGCCGTCCGTCCCCAACAACTCCTCTGTAACGCGCCGATGAATGCCTGTGGCTATGTACGTGGTAAATTTATCGAGCCTCGAACTGGACCATGCTATAGAAGGGAGTATTAGCCAAACAGATCATGTGCGTCGTGCATTGTAGCATGCGCGTGTGGCTGCGACGACACGCGATTACATGCCAGGGAGATGAGATGAGACTTACCGCTTCGTGCGCTCCTTGTAGAGAACACGGCCGGCGCAGTGAGGGCAGGCGACAAGGGCATCCTTGGTGAGGGAAACGTTGCCGCCGCAGTCGCCGCAGAGATATGTCATGACAGAGCGGGCGCTGACGTCGCGAGCATCGTGGGTAGCGCCGCGGGCAGAAGCGCCGGTTGTGGAGGTGGGAACTTGGTACTCTTCGCGAGGCATTGCGATGACGGGGACAAGATGCTGTGGTGGAGGTGGTTGTCGTTGTTGGTTTTGATGATTGGAGAGAGGAAGCAGATTTGGTAAGGGAAGAAATTTGGCGGGGAGGCAAACTGGCGGCTGTGGCAGAATTTTAGGCGGTGAGCGACACAAGAAGCTCTGTAGCGTAAGTGCCAGAAGCGGCAGTGCACTTAGACTTGGGAAAAGTGCTTTCAAAAAATAGTATAAAAATACTGCATGGTTTAGCATAATGCTATAAGTGAGTTACACTATATATTTATGCCACTTTCATTCTATGTTATAGTAATTGTAGCTGGAAGCGACAGCGACGCTGCTTTCAGTTTCTGCTGTGAGTATTGGTGACGCTGACAAGGTCGTCCTGGACGGAGACCAGAGGACAGAATGCACAATTTACTTCATTTATTACATTAAGCAACACTATTGATAAACTATTATAGACGTACTTAGGCAAGCTTCAAAGCGGAGGCATCAGCTAAAACCTCCCGTCTCTGGGTGGAAGCTTTTCTCGGATTCGGGCTCTCAAAAATGTCGTCCAGCTCTTCAAGTGTGAAGCCCTTGGTCTCTACACTCCAGAAATACGAAATGACTAGCTCGACTAAATTCCACACACCAAATATAATGTATGTTTTATATCCGATTTCGGCCAGAGCTACCGGCGTGCCGAACTGGTTAATCAGCGCCACAGCATTCACAACAAGCGATTGGAATGCGATGCCTTTTGCACGCTGTTCGTAAGAAAATACCTCCACCGCGTAGACGCCTTGCAAGGGGGTGATTCCAATGCAGTAGATAAACGAGAAGATGAAGTAAAAGGCAATTCCTGCCTTGGCCGCTGCAACATTTGCTGGATCTGCCTCGACGAGGGCTGTTCCTACAGCCATTGCTCCCCAAGATACGGCCATGCCAAATAACGTCGGCAAAAGAATCTTCCTTCTTCCAAGGTAATCGCAAAGGGGTGAACCAATGAAGCTCGCCATGGTGCTCATGAAATTCTGCCACACATTGTACAGGAGGACAGTGTAGGCGTCGGTGATACCCGCGCTGTTGAAAAATGCACCAACAAAATACGAGATGCCGCCGTTGGATAGTGCGCCCCAAATTCCAATCATCAGACTGTTGCCCAGCCTATAACGTCGAGCGCGGGTGTTGAATAGAGCTCGGTAGTCGTACCATCTCTTATCGGAGCCGTCCATCTCAAGCTGGTCCTCAAACTCGGCTAACTGCAGTTTGACCCATGGATTCTCTGCATCTCCCTCGCCGTGGTATTTTACCACAAAGTCCAGAGCTTCCTGTTGCCGATTATGCGTGTAAAGCCATCGTGGTGACTCTGGCAAGAACAAGACAATTACACAGGCCGCGCCGGGACATATAATCTGAGTCCAGGTAGGAATCAGCCATGCCGCGTTTCCAGCGAGGTTAACAGTACCCAATGTGACAGCTGCTGCGAGAATGCCGCCGAAATTCTGCATACTGTTCTGCCCACCAGCAAGAAGTCCTCGCTGTGTAGGATGTGCAATTTCCACACAATACGTCGGACCAGCAGCCTGGGCAATCACAGCGCCAAAGCCTATAAAGAAACGTCCAGCAAGAAATTGGCCAAGGGCACCGCTGTTGGCCGAGGTACCCTGGATGACAGCGCCAATAACAGAAAGAAGGCAGCCCGAAAAAATACCAAAGCGGCGGCCGAAGCGGTCCATCGAAGGACCAATGAAGAAAATGGCAGCGACGCTGCCAATTTGATACATGGCAGTAATGTATCCAGCTTGAAACCCGTTGACGTTGGCACCAAAAAGCTTCTGGAACGAATCTTCAACAAGAAAACTTCCCATGACCGAGCCGTCATAGCCAGCCATTGTTCCAACAAGAAATGGAGCAATACACATGACGTAAATGTAGAGCATGTTTTTCGAAAATGCCTTTGGCGGGCTAATTTCTGATGCCGCAGCCCATTGTTCCGAGCCCTGAACCTGCTTCATCTGTATCGGCTGGTCGACGACGGGCATTATTGCTTGCTGTGCAGTCTCCTTTTCCGGAGCCGGGTTTGACATGGCGACGCGAATTGGAAACCAGTTTACTTTATTGCGTGGTGGTAACTTGGGCGGAATCTCAAGAGGAGAGCGAAACGACAAGCCCTTAGAGTACTAATAAATAAAGCAAATGGAAGAGAGTCTCGCTCTATGAACTTCAGGCACACTCGAGTACCTGGCCACCTCGAGCGCCATCGTAGACTGCAACGTAAACAGATCTCACCAAATAGTGTTTTAATTCGCGGAACGGTATTAGCCGGGCACCTACGAGAGGTGGAAAAACTAGATTAGATGAATGGGACGTGACGTTGGGACCTTTTGTCACTTGGGGGGCTTTTTTTAGCAAGCCACGAAATCGCTATGCTAGCGTCTTCACCATGCTTCCACAACCCAAGGCTGGGGAAGATGGGGGTGTTTCCCGTTTTGGAGTTTGCATCGGATGCCAAGGGTAGGTTACATCTTCTGGCGCCACAAAATGCTACCAGATCAGTCGGGCGACGTAGCTCTCATGAGAGGCAGTATATACATATCAATAGGGCCTTCTGTACCCCCACGTCATTCTGTGTCGCTACTAACTCTCCTTGTTGGGGTAATTAGAGGTTGGCAAGTTTCCCGGTCGAGGGATGAAGAGTAGGAATCGTAAGACTGTCCAATATAGTGACACATGGCACATGTATTCCTTTACACCTTGGACTTGAATTCCATGATCCATTCTCTTAATCTTGTGGTGTCTGCACCCCGTGACTGGAGTGAAACGCCTGGGCTACCTACGAATGGTGTTTATCCGTTAGTGGCGTAATAAAACGCATACAGAGTTACGTATCTCTGTAAGTCTCAAAGCGGCTGAGCATGCATGCAGAGCGGCATAAAGAGCAAAGCTATCCTGTCCCAAAGAGGACCAGTATACTCAGGGTTCAGATGTGGTCTAGTTTCCACAGTTATGTGACATGGGCATCGCTTTTTGGGCTAGTAGGGTTATGCAGCCGCTTTCAATACTGTATATTTCTTTTACTGAGAGTCATGTATATATAGTGAGCCTGCAAACCTACATTACGGTAGAGATTCTTGTACAATTACAGACTTTTCTACAGTAACAATTGTTTTGTCATTGACTCTACGCCACCTTTCGTCACGGCGTCCAACGAAGACATTCGCGTCTGTGGATTTTGATGTTGTTCTAGTTGCCAACAACTTTTTCACCAAGCAGATCGAGGCCGGGGTTATGAGGAGCTACAAAACAGCTTCTCAAACTGGGTTCTGAGCGAATTGCAAGGGATGATATGCGCCGATCCGCAGAGGAATTCACGTGGCTGTTATAAGCTACCACACGCAATTTAAATAGCAAGTATAATATATTTACCTGCTAAATAATAACTGTTGCAAACAAGGTTCCTGTATTTTATTCACGTTTGTTAAGCTCAATTTTGCAACCGCATCGCCACCCGTGTCCTCCTCCAGGCCCGCCTACCGTTGGCGTTTTAACCTCGGCGTACCTCGGTCGACTGACGCCAGTTAAAATCCGGGGAAGCACAGCAACCGGACGCCGTCCTTCTCCTTCACCAACTTTCTTTTCCACCAACGACAGCGCAGCTTGCCGCCAATTCAATAGAAATATTATATCCCGGCATCGTCTATCAACAGCGCCATACCCTATCTCCAAATCCGACAAAGTATACAGCCCTTGCTCCTCGAAGCACAGCTCCTCCCAAACCGTCCTTCTCTCGGCGCACATCCGCCACACCCCTTGACACAGCAAAAACCATGTTTGATCCGACAAAACCGCCCGAGCAGGGCGAAAACTGCCCATTCTGCACCATTGCCGCCGTCCACAGCGTCTACGACCCAGCATCCCCTCCCGCCACCATCGACAGCGAACTCACGACGCCCTCATCCTTCCTCGTCCTCTCCACGCCTACCATCATGGCCTTTCTCGACATCCTCCCCCTCTCGCGCGGCCACGTACTCGTCTGCCCGCGAACGCATCGCCCGAAACTCACAGACACAACACCCCAAGAAGCCGCAGCGCTGGGCGAGCAGGTCCGCGTGCTCTCGGAAGCCGTCGCGCGCGCAACTGGCGTCCACGACTGGAATATTGTGCAGAACAATGGTGCCGCAGCAGCGCAGGTCGTACCGCATGTCCATTACCATCTGATTCCACGGCCCGAGATTCGCGCAAGCGGGCGCTTCAGAGAAAGCTTCACCATGTTTGGGCGCGGGCAGCGCGAGGAGCTAGACGACGAGGAAGCTGCCAAGTTGGCGGCGGAGATTCGCAAACATATTGCCGATGTGATCAGAGAGGATAGAGGCGAGGTTGTGATTAAGAGTAAATTGTAATATGGGAGGAACACAAGACAGCGGATTATATTGTGCACATTAGACGGCATGTTTTGGGGTAGTCTTTGCTACGCACAGATACGTGATGTACTTGGTTTGCATGCAGACAGGCGTTTCTATCTTTCTTTTTTGTTCTATTGTATCATATATCTCGCCGAGAGTTGAGGAGGCGCATCCCTAGATTTCGTTACTTTACTTTAGACGGCTCACAGGCACAGACAGCTCATTTTGATTGTTTGACGCATTTTTTATATTCCGAAGTTGAGCCCAAATAATAAACAACTTTTCTTTTATCTATATCCTATTTGCGCATCTTACTCGTCGTCGCCAAAGAAGACGCGGATGGGCAACCACTCGTCGTGGCAGACCTTGAAGCGGTCAGTAATGGCATCAATCTTGGCAATGTCGTCGGCAGTCAGCTCCCAGCCCGCAAGAGCACCGTTGGCCTCAATGCGCTCCTTGGTGACCGACTTGGGGATGACGCTCCAGCCCTTAGCAATGCCCCATTGGAGGAGGACCTGCTGGGGAGTCTTGCCGAGCGAGGCAGCAAGATCGAGCAGCGTCTTGTTAGTGTAGAGGGGCGAGTCTGTGCTGCCGAGGCACGAGTAGCCGGTGCTGTGGATGCCCTTGGAGGTGTTGAAGGCGACGAGCTTGGGCGAGGGGTTGCACGGGTGCAGCTCGATCTGGTTGACGGCGGGAACGACCTTGGTGTCCGGGTGTGCGAGCAGCTTCTCGAGGTTGCGCTGGGCAAAGTTGGAGACGCCAATGTTGCGGACCTTGCCGGAGTCAAGGACCTTTTGCATGTCGTGCCAGGTGTTGACAAAGTCCCAGTCCTCATAGACCTTCTTCTCGCCGGGGACCATGGACGCGGGCCAGTGGATCAGCCAGAGGTCAATGTAGTCGACGCCGAGCTTGGCCAGCGAGTCGTTGAGCGCATCGGGCACGCGCTTGTGGTCGGGGTTGTGCAGCTTGGTCGTGATCCAGATCTGGTCGCGGGGCACGCCCGAGGCCTTGATGCCATCGCCGACTTCCTTCTCGTTGCCGTAGGCCGCGGCGGTGTCGATGTGGCGGTAGCCGGCCTTGAGGGCGGCGGTCACGGCGGCAGAGACCTCGTTGGGCTTGGATTGCCAGGTTCCGAGGCCGAGCGCGGGGATCTTGGCTCCTGTGTTGAGGGTAAAGGTGCGGCTGTGGACAAGGACGATGTTTGTTAGCTTTGAGAGCTTGGGGTTGTGTACGAATGCGCCAGAGCCAATTGCATAGTTTTGGTGGCAAGACTCGCATCAGCAGTAATCTGAAATGAGCATACCTAGGGACAGACATGATGCGCTGCATAAGATTGAATGATTGTTTGTTCTTGAGAAAATGAAAATAGGACAAGACGAAGAGGGAAAGAGGAGGAGGGGCAGCTTGGAGGGGCAGTCCCATAAGTATATTTATAATACCTGTCTTTTGCTGCTTCGGTTGTTGTCCGCGCTGCCACCCCCACTAGCTAGTCTGATGTATCAATTAGCCGCGAATCCTTGTTTCCTTTTTTCTTTCTTGGGCCGGCGGTAGGCGGATGGTTGGGATGCTCTTTTTTTACGCGGATAAAATTGCCGTGCTATTACCGGTGCAGATGGCAAACACCATTTTGTATTTATCTTTGTTTGAATTGCCATTGGTTGGTTTGGGAGAATGGTGATGTCAACGCTCGTCTACCCCGCATACGCCATAGAGGTGCCATTCTACGACAGCACGCAAAGGTACAGCAGCATTGTGTCTGTTGCAACGCTAAATAGTATATTGGTGATATTTCACGAATAACAAATGTTTGAGTTGAAAACAGACACCGCACAGAAAGAAGCCTCAATCACGCTGCTTTAATACATATATACACCTTGCTATTCAGCGTTAGACGACGACAACCTATATCCATCAACGAACCAAATAGTCAGGCCAAAACTGCCCATCGACTACTCTCAATCTTAAACTTTGATAAAATATTTATTCAATTTTTATACATTTTATTTCATCCGTTATTTCATCGCACACTGTCCGTGACGTCACTTCAAGTCATACTTGGACAATCTACTCACAGGTTAGCTACCATACACTCCATACCCCAATCAACAAAAACCACTTACTCAATCAAATTACCATCCGGATCCCGTAGATAAATACTGCGCATCTTCCCCTTCGCCCCCGTCCGCTGCACAATCTCGCCCCCTGCCTCAAACACCACGCCCTCTTCGGCCCGCAGCGCCGCCAGCAACTCCTCCATAACCACAGCCTCGCCCACCTCAAAGCACAGATCCGCCGTCCCCGGAAGCGCTGCAGCAGCTCTAGGCGTAAACTCAGCTCCCCTCTGGTGCAAGTTAATCTTTTGCGACCCATAGTGCAGCGCAATCCGCTGCTGATGCTTAGCCGTGGACGAAGTGTCGCCGGCCGACTGCGTGCCAAATGTCTCAGCGCGCATGCCCAGATACTTGGAGTACCAAGCTATCGTCTTGTCAATGTCGGCGCAAGTGAGCACCAGATGGTCCAGTGAGTTGATGGTAGCAAACGACATGGTGATGAAAATCAGCCCGCAGAGAAGCAAGAGGTGTTGTAGTATCTACGTCGGATGTCTCGTTTTTAATACCCTTTTACTCTGCTCCGGGCCGGTTGCAGCGCCGGTCTTCGGCCTTCAGATTTGTCGCCTCTTTTTCTGTGCAGCGTTGCATCCCCCCGCAAGCCCGGCGGCCCCCTCTTCAAATCCCCCGCCTCCATGCGCAGGCTGGGGCCCGGGATGCTTGCTGTCTGTGACAAGCAAATGGGGGCCAAGCAGCGAATGTTGAGACAAGGTTATGGTGAAACTGCCGGTGGAAATCGCAACACTAGCTTCATCTGCATCGTTCCGTGCAGACATGCACGCTCCCATACTTAGAGATAGCTGCAGTGCTCTTTTAGTCACGCGATGTAAGCCGAGGCATATTTTGCCTCATGCGGTGCCAATTGGGCCAAACAAACAAGTAGAGAGCAGGAATCGTGTACGTTTTCTATAGCTAAGGAGGTCATAAACTTATTCTTCATCGTCCTCCTCGCCATCGTCTCCAGCGTCTTCTTCGTCTTCCTCGTAGTCTTCCTCCTCCTCTTCTTCTTCATCGTCCTCAACGTCACCCTTGGTCTTGGTGGCATCATCCTTGGCGGACTCGGTCTTGCGCTTCTTTACGGGAGGGGCATCCTCGTCTATAATCTTGGTTAGCATCATTGATTGTTCTGGCGAAACTCGACAGAGTCATTTTGGTGCCTAGTCAAGCAGCATCCGTGCCGAATCAACCGACACTCATATCATATAGAATCCGCGCAAGCGTATCGTAAAAGGCATTAACAGCCTCTGCTGGGACACATTGCTGGGAGGGGCAGGGGGTGTGCTTACCTTTGTCGCCGTCATCGTCACCAGCGTCGGCATCGCCAGCCTCACCGTCGTCCTCCTCGTCCTCCTCTTCGCCTTCGTCCTCTTCGCCAGAAGAAACATACCTACAGAATCAAAAGTCAGTCATAAGGCCTCAAAAGACGAATTGAAGAGAGTGTGATAGTTTTGCCATTATTTTGGTGGAATGCGCTCCTTTGCGACGCAGTGGCGCAAGTACTGGAAACTCGGCTACCCGGATGCGCAATAGCAACGAATCCATTGGCGGAAGGCAAACATTATTACAAAAAGAAGAAATTGTGCTCGAAGCTGTAGGAAGGGGGATTGATTCCACTTACTCTTCTTCCTCCTCGCCATCATCATCCTCGGGGAGGGAAACAAGCTCCTCCTCTTCCTCGTCCTCGACGCCGTCCTCTTGTTGCTTTCTCTTACGGCCAGACATGTTTGGCTTTGTGTTGTGTGGTGCAGGGCGGGATTACAAACAAATGGGGTGTAAATGAAGATGCAAAGGACAAAGTTTGCAAATCCAGGGAAGCGGAAACTGCCTGGAATTTATTTGTAGATTACAAGCAAAAGGACTCGGGACACCCAGCGAAAAAGAAACAAGAGAAGGGCAGATCAGAGGGGACCCAGCGGGGAGGGGGGACCCAGCTCAGCGCCGTAGCGTCTCAGCCAGAAGCCGATGGATGGGGGATGGATGCAGCAGGGCGCTGGCGCGGCAGCTACGCTACCCAGAGAGAGCATCAGCGATAGCCTTGGTTCGGCTTCAAAGAGGCGGGTTTTTTCCTGGAGGGATGCGCGCATTGTCTCGCAGCCAATCGCAGCCCTCTGTGCCTGTGCAGCGCCGCCGGAACCTCCTCTTACTGAGACCAGGACCTTGTCTTCTCTCTCGGCTGGCTGCCTGCCTGCAACATGTCCCTCGCCGCTCTGTACACACGCTTTCTCGAGCCCAGCAACGCGCCAGGCAAGGCTAAAGCTTGAGGCGGCACTAGCACGAGGGCTAGGATGGCGGGTTTGCGGTGGACGGGGCGAGGAATGGCGTGCGCGTGCCCGCTTCTCATGGTAACCAGCAGTCGTCCCGGCCATCCGCTGCGGTTGGAGGCAGGAAAGCTGCTGCACTTTAGCAATTGGCCCATTTAGCCAGGGACCAGAGGCGGCAAGTCCACACTAGGTTAGCCCGTCATGCTCTGGCTGGAATAGGCAGGCCAGCCCAGCCCGTATTTGGCAAAGGAACGCAGCGCCCATGGTCTGTCCGGCGTTTCGTTCCAGGAACGTGCGATGGCAGTGCTGGAATGGCTCGCAAACCCCTCATTCTCTTCTGCAAGGTGCCAGTTGGCCTAGATCGCGGCTCACGCACAACAACCGTGACAGTCATTGGTTATATTTTTTTTAAAAAAAAAAAAAATGTTGAAATACGCCTTTTGCATATGAGTACTGATAGAGTGATTAATAATGTTTTTGAAGCAATTCAGAAAACTGACTCTCGGTAGTAGGTTTCCGGCGCGGCGTTGGAAACAGTGAAGTATTGAGGCCGAAATACAACGATGCACAACGATGATGCAAAAGTTGTGTATAAACGTTTAAAAAGTAAGCTCTAAGTTCTCTCATTTTGACTCGGCGCATGGAGACATATTATTCGGCCCTTTCCCTCGGCTAAGAAGACTGACTTGCTGAACGAGCTCTCGTCTAGGGTATCGGAGCCTTCATGCGTCGTACGTCAGCGAGACTAGTACCTGTGTGGTGCGGTGAGGCGTACCGTCCAGAACCAATATTGAAGCTTTTTTCTTTTCGCACAAGGCCAGCCATTCAAAAAGGCGGCTGACTGCCAAGCTTAAGCCTGGGCTTTGGCGCCCATCAATGCATCTTGTCTTATCATCCAAGTTTACTGTCAAAGTTGCTCTGTTTGCTTCCAGATAGGGCAACGACAGTATGACCAAAAAAAAAACTAGCCGACCAAAAACATACCTTTTTAGTTGCCGAGCCATGTCTCACCCTATCGTCTAGATGAGGGTGGCTCTGAGGGGAACGGCGACGCCACCATCGGCTCTGAACGCACCGCTCATAGTTATTCCCCAAACGGGTGCCATTCCATACAAAACGTAATTCCATCATCATCTCTAAAGGCTAAAAGGCTCTCGGAATAGAGTCCACCGACTAGGCACCGGCCGAATGAAGACATGAAACCCTCCGATTCGTTAGCAAACGGCTAGTTCGGCTTACACGACACCAAAGCACTGGCGAGGCTCGCCCACGTTGAGACAGCTGAGCGTCGATATGAGTTCGAAGTGACTTCCAGAATCAAGTAATGGCAGAATGTAACATGTTGTATCCATCTCATGTAAAATTGACCGTGGTCCAAAAAGGAAAGACGAACCCCTCATTGCGAGGCGGACCTGATGGGAAAACGATCGAGACCTCTCGCTAGCGCAGGCTGGCTTACACCCTCCCACACATAGTGCTGACAGTTCCCACCTATCCTCAACAATGGGCTCGCAACGTGGGGACTCGGCCGTTCCTGCACTAGATACAATGGATACTTTGGGAATATTGACAGACTTGGCTGGTCAGAATATTATATGTCCGAAAATGATATAAATATTCGACCAGGGCGACAACCAAACTCGGAAAGAGATCTCGTTGATCAAGTCAATCATTACCCAAGACTGCTCTTTTACCCTTGCCAAAAAGAATCCAACTAGCAAATCTTCTTCTCAAGATGCAGTTCACTCTTCTATCTCTCTTGGCGCTCTCGCCTCTCGCCGTTCTGGCGTCCCCGGCTGCTGTTCGTTCTGTTCCCCAGGAGCAGTACCCTGCCGTCGCTTCCCGCCTTGCCCTGAGCATTGCCACCATCAATGCCCAGCCTACTGCTGCTTCTGATGCTTCTGAGAACGAAGCTGCTGTTCCAACACAGGGACCCGGCCACGCTCAAGTCAATGCGGCCATGGCTGCTCGCATGACCATCACCTTTAAGAACAGCCATGGTGATGCCATTTCCACCGTCCATGTTCGTGATCCTTCTGCCCCTGGACCTGTTTCTGGCAACACTGCTCCTGGAAAGATGGCTGATGGCTCATCCGCCGTCGTTGTCTTCCCTCCTGGTTGGATTGGAAACATTGCCGTCAACGACGGTGCTTAGTACGTTGAGTTCCCTACTGTTGAGCTCCTGTGCAGCTTTGTTAACCATAGGCAGCTCCGACACTACCGGTGACGAAAGTTTGATTGAAGCCAACTTCGTCAACAGCAAAGGCACCATTAACGTCAGCTATGTGTGAGTATATCTTGATGTGAAATGGATAGCTTCAAAGGGAGCCATACTGATTGATAAATTAGCAACGGTTTCTCTGCTGCCATCACCTGCAAGTGCAACGAGAACAACATCTACGTCGGCTGCAACAAGAACTTGTACTCTCTCCACAAGTGCAACGTAAGTTGATGAATCTTATGCAAACAAAAATGACGCCGATCTAATCATGTAAATAGACGAGCAACGGTCAGAACTCTTGCAGAAACCCATCTCGCAACAAGGATAATGGTCCTGCTGATGTCTTCTTCGCTCCTTGCCATGGAAAGGGTGGTGCTTACACTTACCCCAAGGACGACAATGCTAACCAGCTGACTTGGAAGTGCCCTTCGGAACAGTACACTTGCTGCGTCGGCTCCAAGTGTCCTCCCAACCCTAACCAGGCGCATTGGTAAATTGCTCATGGATGTCTGTTGGGGTCCGTTCTTTGTACATACTAGTACCCCATGTCAGGCCCATTGGTGGCACAGAAGCCAGTAAATATTCAAATTCGTATATACTTGTAAATGTTTATTTCAATTGAAGAAATTCGAATACTTTGGAAAAATGAATGTGTTTTGTGCTGGGACGGCTAGCGAAACGGGCCGCATTTTGGTGCCTGTCGATCACCCAGGGGCGTTGCCTAATTAGGAAATGCATTGATGCAACACAGCTTATGGCGACTGTGCTTCATAGTGCCTCCATTGCCTTGCCAAAGTTTGATTTTGACTATGATTGTCCCTTTCATAATATTTTGACAGTTTTGGGAGATAGATATGGATATCAGTGATTGGTGCTTTGTATGTTGAAATGTGGACGCCTTGAAGTGGCTGCTGGATGCACAGGTGTAACGCACGAGCATCGTACAAGCAAGCGCGCTAATTGATTATCCATAATCATGAAATCCGTTGCTTTTATGCTTCGTTTAAATGGGAAAGTAGTCCGGTAACGGCCTCTTTACAGACTCTAAGCCTGTTTAATGAAGTGCTCTGAACCAGGCAGTATGACCCCTTGGAGCCAGATCAGGTCTATGTCACTTTGCATCATCTACCAGGTGTGTTGTGACCACAAATTAAGAGCGAGACGGGTTGAAATACTTAAAGTTCCACTAGCCGGTAATACCAGGATCTGCCTGCCATATACGATCAAGACTGTAGCATCGCCATTGTAGATATCTCATGATCCCGGAATAGGTGATGGCGACAGAGGCAATCCAGAACCAAACTGGGGGTAATTTGAAGATACAGTGATTTGGATGGGAGCATTGGCTTTGCTAAAGCAGCGGGGATGGGCCGACGATTTTGACATCCAAGCGTCCATGGATTTTGCCCTTGGCCTCGGAGGGGGCTTGTCTGACCGGGGCAGTGTGATTGGCGAAGTTGCCTGTGCCAATTTCACCAACCGGGAGCTCTGATGTGCTCTTCCGGGTTTGATTAGAATTGTGACAGAGGACGGCCAGGCTATCCATTGGGAACAATTCGGCTGAGGCTGCCGTCTGTGCGCCGTGGAGCGGGACAGGGCATGTTGGTGAGGAAACAGAAATGAGCATCACTCTGGTAACAATAAATGCATAAAGCTGTAAGAATTTCTCACTAGCAACATCTGTTTTTCTTTTCCAGATAATACAATTCGACGCGACGTGGGATCAATTGGTTAGGAAAGTGCAAGGTAGCGTCGGCGCGGTGGGAACCGATGACGCGCAGTAGACATCGCAGGGGTATTATTGTGATGCTCCAGGATCGATACAACTCTCATGAGCAGAAAGGACAACAGGATGAAACGTAACCCAGGTGTTTGGAACAACAAAGAGAGTCGCGTGATTTCCTTTAAACATTACCAAAGCGGACAAGAGTTTTTGATAAGTTGCAATGTACCAGTTGCAGTAGAAGGGCCGTCATCTGAAACCTGGGGTACTCCAATGGTGGTGACTGCCGACGGCGTGCCGTTGAAACTTTTTGATTTGACCAAGACATCTTGGGGAGGAATAAGCAAATCTGTCACAATTATCACGTTTATAATTGTGACAATTTTTCTTCTGACGCGTCTAGTAAAAGGCAGATTAACAGATCAAAGGACGGCTTCATGAGCGGCATCGGGGCGATGTCGCCTGCATGGCATGTCGGGCACTGTGCAGCCTTACTTCGGGGGGTTCCGGTTCAACAAGCAGACGAGGGATATACAAATCCACCGTGACATTTTGGTAGGCTTTCCGATAGCCGTTAACGAAACGCCGCAGGTGGTAGGTGGCTTGTAGCAAAAGACCAAATGTTCCGTGCGCGACCCTGCGTAAAATTGGCATCGGACGTCCGGTTTGCTGAGCGAGGCAGCAGGTGGGTGACCGCAGATTGCACTTCCACATGTTGCATAACTTGTATTCCCCAAGGCAAGCCATCAGTTAGCCACCTATAGGCAGCGTGTCCTATTGCCCGACGTTTAAATGCCTCTTCAGTCCATCATTAGCAAGGGCTTATTATTCTCCAAGCTGAGTTTGAGCGGCTTTCTACGCAATGCTTATTGTGGGAGCCTGCAGGGATATGCTTCCATAACATGTTCTAGTGCCATGGTCAAGGCTTCTCCGTCTGGTAGCCGCCGCAAACACGACTGTCAGCACCTCCGCTGATTGTTTGTTTTCCGACATGAAGCACTAAGTTAGGTCCGCGTATATGGTCTCGAGCATAGGGCTTACCGTCTGGAATTACCCCAGGCTGTTGGATCCGGCAAAAGCTCAACTGGGGCAAAGGGAGTGTGAGGAAACAAAAAAGAGTCGTCTCTCTATACAACCAAAGGTTGCATAGCCTGGTAGAAACAGGAAATGGCGGCCGCCAGTTGGTGCCAGCTGCATGAGTTGCCACCGCCAGCTGGCGCACAAGTGGCAAATTGGGCACTGCATCTCCCAGCTTGAGGCATCATTTACTTTTATTTTTTTTCCCCATTACCTTTCATAGTGCCAATTGATTCTTATGCTCGCAATTGGAGCTCATGGTGAGAATGGATAAACAACAGGTAGCTTTGCCTGTCGACACTGACCTTCCCCATCAGGCACCACAAATGCTAATTGCTGCTCATTTCGGGCTAGCCGGACCCTCCCCGCCGTCACTTCTCAACGCTTCGAGCTAAACCTCTCGGGGATGTGACCCGCGTTCGTGTTTAAGTCGCGTGCCTGGTTCCTGGTGCCTTGCGGAAACCAACTTAGGCTGGCAATGCAAGCCTTACTTCCCAGCAAGCCGGTCGAGACAGGCTATGGCCGTGACGCCTGTAGGGGTTCAAATGCATCGGCGCAAGCAATCTTACACCGGTAGCAACCTACCCAATATATTGCACCGTGCGCAGGCCCTGGCATCATTTCACCACAAGCACCCAGCAGCAGCACCCAATGACACCCCTGCGGGAGCCTGTCGCTTTGTTTGCTATCCCCGTACAGTGTAGTGACAACGGAAGGGGGTACTCCCCGACCTGAGCTTCTTCGTGGATGACGGCCATGGGTGTAGAGAGTGACTTCCGCCCTGCGTTCATCGCTACGCTGGCAGCCCACGATCCCTCCAAGACCCTGCAAAAAAGGGGTTGAGAGAATAGAGTCATTGTTCAGCAGCTGTCGCCCCTTTGCTCTGCTTGATGGACGGACGCGACGGACCAATTGCGTCACTAGGCTAGATAGGCGAAGGTGGGAAAAAGCAATAAGCATGGCACGATCAAAAAGAAAAGCCAATGCGCTAAAAGAAGGCATGGCTTTCCATTAGCGTTTGGCAAAGATTACATATTCTTGTGTGCTATAAAGCACTGTACTGCACTGTCCATTAGTGCTGCGGACAGCCCAACGCCTGGTCTGTTCAGGCGGCTTGAGCGCTGAAGCAACGTGAACCAACCAAGTCCCACACACCCCTGCTGCCCCGACGTAATAATTCAGGCCAGCCTCGGGCAGTACGGTGCTGAGAGGAAATAAAAAAGAAACACAGAAAATTTAGGAACCAGGAAAAAGAAACACCCAAGACGTAGCATCGCCTAAGTGTACCCTCACGCCCTCTTTCCCCAGCGCGTCAATCTTTGTTTTGGCCTCGGATCTTCCCTTTGTGCGCCATCTGACGTCTGCTATTTCTCTTTGCTCCTCCCCGCCCTGGGCAAATCCTGCCTGTGGCTGCCAGTAGCTGCACAACGGCCCGGAATATCTGCCCTCTCCCGAAAGCTTTCGACACACTTCCCTCCCATCAACCGCCGATTGCGTACGCATCCCGTCCAACGCCCATTTCTAAAGCACAGAGCCGCGGAAGCAGGTGACTTGGACGGCATCAGCAACCATAACCCATCAAATATAGGAGCTCCTTTTCGCGCACAGGCTGGCCAGAATCCACCACACAGCACACAACTCGAACGACGCACACATGGTGTGCAATGGCGCAGAAGCCTCCCCAGAGATCGTGCACCTTCCATCCGATGAACTAGTCCATGTCCAAGGAATAATTTTCAACCTCGAATTGACCATCCCAGAACGACAATAGACGCTTCCAACCGATCGAGTATACCCACAGCCAAATCGTTGCGTCATCGGTGTGCAGCGACGTAACGCAGAAGCCATGGCCACCGAACCTTTGACAAATGCTATGGAGTCGGCCCCAGTGTCGCCTACCAGCGAAGATGAGGGCTCTAGACGCCAAAAAGGCACGAAAAACCGACACTTTTCTGTCTATGCGGCACGAGCTAAGGCTGATGTTCCTCCGTTCACCATGTTCTCACCCGTGGATCATGGCGACGACGACGCTCCGCTTCCTCCCATGCCACCACTTCCCATAGCCCCTCGATGGGATTCTCTATCTAATGGACCACACCTCCTATCGCACACCCTCTCGACAGGCATGACACCTCCTACACAACCTGCCGATCAGATGCCTCCTCTTCCTATTTCCACCCCTGGTAGCATCGCCAACTCTATCCATAGAATTTCGAATCCCTCGTCGACAGGCGAGGCCTTTCCTGAAATGACGCGGGTACTTACTTCCAAAGACTCACAGTCAGATATCCGCTCAGAAGCCGGTAGCGTTGGAAACTTTTCACGACCGCGGAAGCCGAGCAATAAGCAACAGCTCACGGAAGCAAGCAACGTATATACGGCGGCCATGACGCCACCAGATCTCTCACAAAGCGTCGTGGACATATTACCACAGCCAGCGCCATGGCAGCGCTCCCGCGGGCCGTCCATTTCGTCTTTCAGGTCCGCAACGTCAGCGTCTACGCTAGCCTCGCCAAATCCATTGTCTCCGGACCACGACAACAAGCTTCGACAATGGACTAGCCCCCATGCTCTACCCGGCCGCCCGGCTTTCACACCCAGCAGCCGTGTGGACAGTGCTCAATCTGCTCCTGGTGGTGCCGTCGGTGGTAGTGCACCGTGGATGAGTGGAGACGAGCTACGATCAAGTTTCAGATCACAATTAACAACGTCTACGACTCCTGAGACCACCGAGAGAAGCAGCGTCATGACCAAAGATTCCTCGGTCAGCTCCGTCTACGCAACAGCAGAGGCCGAGACCGAAGAACCCAGCCTCGAAGACGTTATGGGCATGTACGAAAAGGGTTTTGAGGACGACTCGGACGACAACGACTCCGACAGCGAAGAAAATGTTTCCTCGCGACCCGCCACGGCGTTTTCTGAAACGGGTCCGTTCCGCAGAACAATAGATGTCACTGGTGACATGGGCTCCATTCCAACCATTCCAGAGGTGACACCAAAACAGCTCGACGCCGAGATTCGACAATCTAAGCTCATTTTTTCAAACCCTGACTTTATTGCTACCCTCCCTGCTATTGCTGACGGGGCGGACGACTTGCTGCCAAGCGTGCAAGAAGTTGATGACTCTAGCGGCTTCACCAACCGGGACTCTGCGAGGTCAACAGCATCCGACCCTTCGCCTCGCGGTAACACGAATTTGCCGTTTGACGCGTCCATCACCATGCCTGCTGCCATTTTGCCCTCCTCTCCTCTCGCCTCTTCTCCCGTCACCATTGAGCCACCAGCACCTGCTCCCGCTGCACAGCCGACGCGTCCTCAGTTCGAAGATCCCGGCTCTCGAGACCGATATGGTTTTAAGAAGGAGAGCCAGTTTATCACACGACCGCAATATGACGAATGGAACAAGGGATATTCTCAGTATCTGTCACGCCGCCGCAAGAAGTGGGTGGCATATCTCAAAGACAGCGCCCTGCTGACCGACCGGCCAACCCGCTTCCCGCCTCCCAGCGCTAAAACGAAGCGGTTTGTTCGCAAGGGTATTCCTCCAGATTGGCGTGGTGCCGCGTGGTTCTACTATGCGGGCGGACCTGCTATCCTGGGCAAGAATTCAGGACTCTACGTGAAGCTTCTGCAAAAAACTGCCAAACCAATCGACGTAGAGGCTATTGAGAGAGATTTGCATAGAACCTTTCCCGATAACATCCAGTTTAAATCGGGACATTCCCCATCACCTTCGTCCTCGAGCAGCGAACGCCATAGCCAATCGACATTAACGGGGACCAACAGCGATGCAAGCGAGTATGGACCAAAGGGTCAACCGGGCGAGCCTCCCATCATCACGTCGCTGCGACGCGTTCTCCACGCATTTTCAGTATATAATCCCAAGATTGGTTATTGTCAGAGCTTAAACTTCTTGGCTGGCCTACTACTGCTGTTTGTTGAGACGGAAGAACACTGTTTTTGGCTGCTCAACGTCATCACACACATTTACCTGCCCGGCACGCACGAGATGAGCCTAGAAGGCTCCAAGGTAGACTTGGGCGTGCTCATGACTGAAATCCGCGACACGATGCCGGACGTCTGGGAGAAGATTGGCGGAGAGTTGGAGGGCGAATTGGCCCGCCCAGCGCAGTCCAAGTCTATTCGAATTCCGTTGGCCAGACCTCGCCACCGCTCGAACCAGAGCGTGTCAACAGAGAGGCTGCCACCAATTACGCTGTGCATGACGGCGTGGTTCATGAGTTGCTACATTGGCACGCTTCCGATAGAAACGACCCTTCGCGTGTGGGACGTGTTTTTTTATGAAGGATCCAAGACCCTCTTCCGCATTGCCATGGCCATCTTCAAGCAAGGCGAAGGGGAGATACGGGCTGTCTCTGACCCTATGGAGATGTTTGGCGTGGTCCAGTCAATGCCACGCAAGATGCTGGATGCCAATGGGCTAATGGAGCTGTGCTTCAAGCGCCGCAACGGTTTCAACCACTTGAACCAAGATGTGATTGACGATCGACGACGGGAGCGTCGAGACAAGGCGCGACGCGAGCAAGACACTGCCCAGCGGGCTAATACAGGCAGTGGCTCGACAACAGACGTGGAACGCGACGTTTCCAATGTGCCTCGCAGAAGAGCAACGCTCTTTGGACGCCAGAAGAAGCGCGATGTGTCACGCCCATCCGAGGTAGAGGCTTAGTCTGGCTTCTATTCGTTCCCTTCTTTTCTTCTTCTCTTTCTTTCTTTCTTGATGCATATGCATCCAACCTTCTTTATTTGGGTTTTTTCATTAAAGCGTCACGGCTGCTCTTTTTTCTTGCACTTCTATCTTTTGTTTTACTTCAAAACGGGACCCAAGGGGACCCCAGCGCGGCATCTGTATACAAGTACACAAAACGCATATAATTATCGGCGCAAAACTTGATTTTATTTTCATGGTGGGCAGAAGTGGGAAAGACGGGCAAACGGCGAGCAAGAGCTACAGTTAGCATACGGAGCACGGGATTAGACAGGGCATATATAGCATTTATTTAGCGACGAGTGGGAATTTGATGAAGATGATGATTTGTTCATTTTATATATGTATATTGCTCTATAATCGCCGCTGTGTGAAATTGTTCGCTTGTAATAGTAATGAAGTAAAAACAAACAAGAGGCTATCCATCTATGTGCTGGGAAACTCGGGCTCCTGCATGGCGTACTTTTGGACATAGGCTTTTGCCTGCTTCTCCCAGGCCGGGCGGTCGTTTTTGTACTGCTCGGCAATTCTGTCGTCGAGGGGGTCGTCGGGCTGCGGCTCTAGCAGCAGGTTGTCGAGGGCCTCGAGGACATTGATGATTTTGGTGCTGGGCTTCCAGTTCTCTGACTTGAGCAGGGACAGGCAGATGCTGCCGGGGCACTCGTCGGTGACATTGGGGTGGTAGATGCGGGTGACGAACTTGACGACGGGGGGCTTGAAGGGGTAGTCTGTCGGGAGGGTGAGCAGGATGCCGAACTGGCCTGGGTTGTAGACGGAGGGTTCGGCCGGGCGGAGCGTGATGTGCCACGTGTGGAGGGATTCGGAGGCCGCTAGGGCAATGGTGAATGCGGGGGGAGGCGATTGGGAGAGGTCGGCGTATTCCTGGAGACGAGCGTTAGTTAGTGATGGAGGAGAGCGGCTGGGGGCTGGGGGTTTACCTTGGCAATGCGCTTGGTGGCCATGATGATAATGGGTGGTGGGTGCGGTTATAGTAGAGAGAGTAGAGGAGTTGAAGATGACCTGCAGTGATAGAAGTGGAGGTGAGGGAGAAAGACAGAGGTTTGTGGGTGTAAAGATGCACGGGTTTGGGTGGTGATGATGATGTTGGTGATGGTGACTGGTTTGGGTTTTGGTTCAGCCTTGTGTTGATGACTGGTGTGGTGGTGGTGGTGGTTAGTGGGGGCGGGGCATTAGGCAGATGACAGGCGGTAGGCAACGGCGGTGGTAGGTAGTACGGTTGAGTGCGCAGAGCAACCTTGAGAGATGGCAGAGAAGAAAAAAATGGTGGCTGGTATTTGATGGTAAATTGGAAGAGATTAAATATCTGGGGTAAGTTGGATAACTATTTTTAGACTAGAATAAATTGCACGTGCGTGCTAGGCTGTGCTGTGCTGTGCTGTTTTCTATACGAGATGTGCTGTCCTTTGGTGGGCGTTGATGATGGCAGGTTTTGTTAGTAGTGATCTGGTATAGCTATAAAAGACTTAAACAGGTCGAATGTATAAACACAGGGGTATGTTCCGAGATTTAAAGTGTCTTATTTTGTCGTATACATCTAATAGAGTCGTAGGCTTCATATAGCACGCGAACCCGCGGTTAGGACTATGAGATACAGTAGTTACTTTGCTTCAAACACCATGAATACGGCTGACCCAACGTCTCTATATTAAACAACTAAAATAAGATTTATTATATCGTAAATATATTTTATTATAATTTAATTCCGCCTCTCCACCACAAATGATCACCATCACCACTATCCCGGGTACCGGCTGCCGCTCATCGGCGCCTGCAAACACCGATGCCCCACTTTCCCAAAGCCGCCTTTCACCTACAGACATATTTTTTTTCGGCCTGCAAAACTTTGGCGAACGACGTCTCGACTTTTCTGCTACTGCTGCATAACGGCCCAATTACAACACCGATTCTTACGGCCGGAGATCCTAATCGATCCCGACAACCAACCCAACACTCGCTGACACAAAATACCCTTTACAATGGCTACTGCCGCTGCTGCTTCTGGGCCCGACGCCGCCCAGATGCCATTTATCAAGAACCTTGCGTCCAGCGGTACGAGCCCCCAACATAACTCTTTTTGACTCAAAAGCCTGTCGTAACTAACTTCTTTTGTTGCATAGAGCGCAAAGTCCGCGAAGCATCCCTCAGCTCCATCCAAAACTTCCTCGCCTCCCGCTCCTCCATCACCGACGAAGACGCCCGCAAGCTCTGGACCGGCCTCTACTACGCACACTGGATGACGGACCGTCCTCGCCCGCAGCAAACCCTTGCCAACGACCTCGCTGAGCTTCTGTTTGTCCTTAAGAACGCCGACTGCGCCGCGCCGTGGCAGCGTGCCTTTTGGTACGTCCTCGGCGGACAGTGGACGTCCATTGAGGCTCTGCGTCTCGACAAGTTCCTGTTGCTTGTCCGTCGTGTCTTTGCCGCACAGCTGCGCTACGCAAAGGAGCACAAGTACAAGGGAAGCGCGTGCAAGCGGGTTGTCCTCGACACTATGCGCGAGTTCTGCTTTGACGGCGAGGGCGGCGCCTCAGGCTTGGGTGTCCTGGCGCTCGGTCTGCGCCTGCACTTGTTGGATCTGTGGGTGGACGAACTGGAGAAGCTCGAGATTCTTAGCGACGATAGCGACGATGCCAAGAAGTTTGTCAAGGATATTGGCAAGATGGTCGACGGCTTGCGCCATTCGCCTGTGAAGCCGGTCAAGCAGCGCGCCAACGAGAGCTATGCGGACGAGCGACTACCTTGGGCAGACAAGGATGAAGAGATGGACGATGACGAAGAAGAGGATGAGGGAGCCGAGGATGACGGCGAGTGGGGTGGCATTGACGATTAAAGAGACTGGATGGGAGCATTATTTGTGCATTGGCTGATCTACACCATGGCGTTTTTGGGGAGTTTCTTTTTTTTATGGATCTGGCAAAAGTTGTATGCTTCTTGTTGACATTTACAGTTTTATTAGATATTCAATACGAGAGCCATAACCCTCTACCTGTTTATTTAACCGAGTTCAATTTGGTATTGTAGTGCTTACTGGTGCCCTCTCAGCGCAGCCGTGGCGTATGTATGCTTTGAACGCCATTTCAGCTGTTTTGTTGTTGCACTCGGCGGATAGACAAAAAGAGATATAAACTTCGAAATTAGTGCCATTTTATGACACGATAGAACTTCTCGGACACTTTTCTGCCAAGCGTGCCACGTATGTGAGCAAAAGCATGCATCCCGCAGCCGAGCCGGCTTCACGGCCGACGACGGGAACTGGCTCCGGCTTCGCGACGGCGGGCGCCATGCCGAAGCGCGGGCTGTAATTGCAACAGCCACCCAAGGCAGCCGCTTTGTTTCGGACAGCCGAAAGTGCGAGCGTGAATATTAAATTTGTTTTCGGCCGGAATCATGGCGATTTCGACATCACGGCTGGCTCTTCACCTGGTGTATCTCCATTGCCGCCGATGCCGGGCATGACGTCAAAACCAACAACTACCACAACCATCGCCAAAAGTCAAACGCAGCTGGTACGCGATTCAAGGACATATCCCGGAAATACAACTGTCTTGGCAACCGGTGGCTTTTAGTAGCACAATCTAGACCTTCGGCACGAACGCCCTCGGTCACGGCAAGGCTAGGTGAACAGTAAGGCTGGTATGCATATCCACCAAGATATAAAAGCCATCCATTCGGCCCGTCTCTAACCGACTACTCTTCCATCTCCCCCCAATCTTCATTTCAAAACAAACTCATAAACTCACTTCCGCATCTCATACAAACAAACATGGATGAAATCAAAGGCATTGTCAACCATCTGGGCACCGCCATCCTCCCCTCCCTCCTCCCCATCCAAGACCTTCTCGGCCCTCTCCTCATCAAGAACAAGGACCAAATCCTCTCCGTCCCCTCAACTTCACACAAATACGGCCCTCACCCCCGTAACGAGCTAGACGTGTACACATCCACATCCCACGAACAGCCCAGCCCCATCCTCATCTGGCTCTACGGCGGCGGCCTCGTCGCCGGCGACAAGACCGACACCAGCTTCGCCGACGGCCTGACCTTCCACAACCTCGGCGCCTTCTTCGCCCAGCGCGGCTTCACCGTCGTCATCCCCGACTACCGCCGCGTCGACTCAATAGATCCCGTTACCCACAAGCCCACCGGCGAGGGAGCTGTGTACCCGTCTGGCGGCGAGGACCTGTCACTCGCTCTCACATGGGTAGAGCATAACCTGTGCAAGGATAAATCCGTCGACGTCTTCATCATGGGCCACTCAGCTGGCGGCACGCATCTTGCCACGTTCCTGCTCGACCCGGCGTTTGCGGCCCAGCGTAACCGTCTTGTCTCGGGTGCTTCGCCGCTTCGACTCCGTGGTGCGATCCCCGCAAGCGCCCCGTTTACATGGGACACTATGAATCTTGAGCGCACGCCGGTGATTACGACTTACTTTGGAGATATGAGAGACAAGTTACGTGACCGTACGGCGCAGCACCAGCTTGAAGTGTTTGGCACCACGCGCGTGGCAAACCAGGATGTCCAGCCCAAGTGGCTCATTGTTGAGGCTGAGTGGGATCCGCGCAACGAGGTGCTCGACTCGGGCGACAAGTTCTACGCGACGGCCAAGAAAGTCATTCCGGATCAGGTCGAGTATCTTGAACTTAAGGGCCATAACCATCTGAGTTACCCGTGGAGTCTCATGGTTGGCCAGGCCGAGGACCAGTGGGGAGTACAGATTATTGCGTGGATGAGAAAGACACTGGGCCAATAAGAGATGGGTGTTGCTTGTAGTTTAAAACACAAAATAGTAATTCGATCAATTCAATGGCAGCGCTTGCCTGCTTGCTAGTGATCCTACCCAAACTCCGTATCCAATACCATGCTATTCAAGCCTCCGCAGTTGTTGGGGTGGCTATAATCCGTGACTACCATCCCGTGTTGTTACTACCAAACTTGCTCGTCATCGCCAATGGCTTCGTCGTCGTAATACCGGCCACCGCGATCCTTGGCTTCCTCGCTCACAGTGCGCTCTCGCTTCCACGAGTCCCATTTCGCGCGCGTCTCACCAACAGGCTCCTTAGCAGATCGAAGCAAGCCCTTCTTTGCTAGTCGCCGGCGGTATCGCCTCTTGGCTTCAAACGACATGCCGACCATATCGGCGTCGTTGATGGATCGGCCCGTGGCAGCATCGTACAGATCTGCCAGCCAGTCTCGTGTCTCCTCGACTAGATGGGTTGTCACCGCACGGCCGTAGCCGCCAGTCAGCCATTGGTCAACCTTGACGGGGATGGCATAGCCAAACGTGGGATCGTCGTACGCCCAGACGCACGGCGACTGCGTCGTGCAGGTTGCCGGACGGCAAAACTTGGCACATGTCGTTGTTTCAGCTGCATACCACATGCTGAGTAGCGTCACAAAAAGGCCCAGCAGTGTAAGACGAAAGGTCGGGTCCCGGTGGTAGAAGCGAGGGATAGGGAAGTGAATGTAGGCAATGATGGAGCCTGGCTTGGGGGAGGTGATGCACAGTGGGCATTCTTGTTCGGGGGAGCTCTGCTTGTGATGTTGATGCTGATGTGCGGCTGTCGAGGTGTGCTGTGGTTGCTTTGGAGTTTGCTCTTTGATGATCGGCTTCTCGTCTACGGGTGGCGGTAGTTCTTCAACAGGCGTAACTGGCTGTTGTTGTTTCTGCCGGGCCGCCTTTTGCAGGGCCAGTTTCTCAAGTGCCTGCTTCTCCCGAGCTTCTTGTTCGAGCATTCGCTTTTGGGCCTCTTGCTCAGCCCGCACAGTCTGCTTGACGGCCTCCAAGTCCTTCTTGACATCTGGCAGCGCTGCCTTCATGTTTTTATTCATTTTCGTAAAGGCCTCTTCGACCGACGACTCTCGCTTGATGTCGACACCCTCAACTCTAACAATATCGTCCAGCTCATCTTCCGTGGCGGGGAGATCTTGAATTAATGCCAGAATATCTGCGTCACTTTTGGTTTTGGCGAGCATCTTTTCCAGGTCGTCAATTGTCGTGTCGTCCATGTCGTAAGACTTTTGCAGGTCGAGAAGGTCCTGTCGGGCAGTGGGGAGCTTGGCTGTATTTCTCACGGGTGGTCGGGACTTGGACGCAGATCGTGATCGAGATCGTGACGCTGACGTTGAGGGCTCCCTGGGCGGGCGAGACTCTCGGGTTGGGCGAACCGTCTCCTCTGTAGTGAACTTTGGCTGTGCTGGTCTTGATCTAGGCTCTTCGACTGCTGCCTTTTTTGTGCTTGTTTCCTTGTCGCGGAATATGGTTTCTGGGTCGGGTACAGCGTTTTCCTGCTCGCGCAACCTGCTCCTCTCGCGCACCTGGCTACGAGGCCGAGCAGTTAAGGGAGTTTCGACGTAGGCGCCAACGATTTGCGGCGTGGGCATAGATAGGGGATCCGGTTTGCTAGGTCGTGGAGTTGCGTCTGCAGCTCTGTCGTGGTCATCATCTTGGTCTTCCTCTGGCATAGGTGATGGTGCACGAACCGAGCCCCGTTCCGAATAGTTATCTTGAGGTGCAAAGAGCTTAGCTTCGCCCTCGATCCTGGCGGTAGGGTCTGGTTCTGAGTTCATGCTGGATCGCTTGCTCTTGGAAGAGCCGCTGGATGATGCTGCCTTGTTATATGCAAATCCAACCGTTGGGCGCTGATATCCGCTGCTAGCGTTAGAGCCGCCAGAGATTCTTCTTGCGTTTTCTGTTGCTCGGCGAAGTGAGCTGGGGTGTGTGTCTGCCAGTCGTTTGCTGTCGGGTGGTGACGTTGGAGTGACACCGTGGTGAGCGTCGGTTTGCGCCGCGACAGCTTCGGCGCTCACATTTTTTCCGAGGCGGCGAAGCAAAGCATTGGCTTCTCTAAATGAATTCGGTGCCGCAGGAGGCGAGGTAGACGATGCAGATGACGAGGCGGCTTGAGTTGGCGGCGCTGAAGAGACTTCGCGCCTCCAGATAGACCGCGGCTTAGCAGCACTGCCAGGACTTTGGATTGCCCGCTGCCCAGCTGTGCCAATAGCAGACGAAGAGCGAAGTGCAGAAGAAGTGAGGGCGTCACGACGGCGGGCATGCTCGCTCGGGGACACTGTCCTTGTTGCTGCGTTTTGCTCCTTGATTTCAGCCAAGCGTATCGCGGCATACTGCCGCGGTGTAAGACCGTCTTTTTCTCTCTGCTGAACTTGGTCCACCTTTGCATTCCCGCTTCCAAATCGAGGTCGTGGTGATATGATGCTATCGTCGCCACCTTGGCGTTCACGAGCAAGGATTTCATCTGCTTTCCGGCTTAGAGCCTGTTGGGCAGCGCTATTAACAGGTGTTCGTCGTGGCGACATGTTGACTTCAAACTGGCGCTCGCGGTTGCGGATTTCATCTATTCGTGTGTTTTGGGATGGTCCTATGCGTAGTCTCGGGCTGTTGGAAACCTGTAAATCGCCAGCAGTAAAGTCTTGTTCGATGTCCCATGCGTAGCTCTTTTCAGGTGACGCTGTCTGCTTGAAGGGAAGGTCTTCGATTCCGGGAACGAGCTTTGGTACACCGGGAATCTCATCGCTAATGCTCTGTCTATCTCCCGAGACCAGCCTATCCTGAGACATTGTCCGTGCTGCTTGTAGATTTCGTTCGGCTTGTCGCATGGCCGGGCTCTTGCGAATCTCATCCATGGAGCGTCGATGGCGCGGGTCGTCGTTCGCCTGATCTGCTGTTTTGCGCCAGCTTCTTGGTGCTGGACTTGGAGAGCCAGCCATGACTTCGTCGTGGTCTGCGCCACCTTCCTTTTCAGCCATAGCAAATGCTTCAGCAAGAGAAATGTGTTTTCGACGACCGAAACCCCCGCTACTGCCTACACTGTCGGGGGGGTTGTCGGGCTGTGGTATTCGCGATGCTGTGTTTTGGGGTCGGCCATAGTTTGGACCCTGAGGCTGTGGCTTGGCCTGTTGGGTCTGCTGTGATGAGGAGAAGAAGGAATTGGAGGGGCGATTTTGGTAATTATTAGCATTATTCGTATTGGGTTTGTTGAAGAGTGGTTTGCGGCCGTCGTGCTTGACGACAAAGCCGTCGGCCTCGGGGCGGTCGCCTTGCCGCGCAGCCATGGAAGCTATCGGAGACGCGTTTGTGTGGTGTTTGTGGGATAATATGATACTGTATATAGTCGTAACGGATCAATCTATTGGCGCATATCGGTGTTGTAGTGCTAGAAGAAATGGCCAAGAAGCGTCTGGCGCGTCAAGACATGGCCGAGGCGGTGGGATTCAAGGCGTGAGGTCGTGGCGGTGACAGTTCTATTGTTATTGCAGCGTGCGGGGTGTTGTCGGTATATGAAGAGATGTTCTATTTGATGGCGTGGTATTTTGCGATAATTCTTTTCGTAGTTTCAGTAGTTTGTGGTTTGCAGCAATGTCATGGACCGCCGTTGTTGATGAATGTTGACAGTGGATTTCGGGGCGCCACGCTCCGAGTCGCGGCGCGTCGTCTTCCGCCACGAATGCTGGCAAGGCGTTGTGTGGCTGGTATTTTTGGGCACTGCTGGACAACTACGGGCGCTGACGGCAGCCTCAAGCGGGCGTTGGTTAAGTAGGGACAACTTGTTAAAAAAGTAAAAGAAATATAGAATTGCGAAGAAGAAACTGTTGGTTAGATGTGAACTATATTTGCCATGGAAACTAATTTTTATTTTATCATACACTGGCCGATGAGATTTGTGTCCAGCTTTTGTATAGAACATCGTATAAGCCAGTTGCTAGCATCTGGGCCCGTAATAGCGCTCCTAACAACAGTTGCTTACATTGAAACTGGGCGAATGAGACGATATCGTGGAGAATGATGGCCGATGCGTTTGAAATCTAACAAGATCGTAAACATTGCATGGTCTCAGCGTCTACGGGTAGCCGTTAAACAACCGCCTCCAATGGCGGCTTCGGCCGAGCGGGGAGGCGGCCGATGGTAACAGGAACTGTTCAAAGGAAACAAGGCTCGTTCGCTATTGGAACCGTTTTGCGGCGGGTACGGTTCTTGAAACTCGGTGCTTACTCGGCGGGTGGGTTGCAACAAAGGATCCTGATGGAGCCATGGATCAGCGCCCAACGGGTCACCTGCACGAGTAATGATTGCAGCCAGCAGATATATCAATTTGTCATAGATATTGGTTGTTGAATGCACAGTCAATGAATACGAACCCAGAGAGCATAATTGCTCCTTCGTCTATATTCTTCGTGTGGTCATTATTTCGCAAAGCTCTCTATGTTTGCTTCTACTAGAAAACCGCAGATGAGTTATTTACAACGCAGGGTGGGTAGACTAACCAACAAAGTCAACTGGGCATCCCGCTGACCGACATTGCAACACGCTAGGCCACCTGAAAATGCCCCTCCAAGCTCGGCCCTCTTCACCTGGAGCAGCAAATTACAGTGGCGGAATTAGCGCTGAGCGTGCTGAACTAGACCAGTTTATAACCAACATCCCCACACACACGTCCGAGCCCTCGGGACCAACAGCCAACACAACCCAACAAGTGCAAACTCTAAACCTCCTAATAGGCCGAAAAGTGCAAAAGTCTAATCCTAGAACCCAAAACTAGTGTGTTGCTGCAGACGCCATGAAGCTGCAAGCCCTCGTCCTTGCACTCGGCCCCCTCGCCGGCGTGCTTGCCAGTATGTTTGCTCTGAAACGATCCTTGCCCTTCGCGTTCTCCCTGCTAACTGACGGATCTAGGCCCTGTAGCCGGTCCTCATGTTCAAGCCGCTGACAGTGGAGGTGCTAGCAACAACAAGATAGAAGATCTTGTAAAATACAATACCGAATCTACTGATAGTGGCGGCGCTAGCAACAACAAGAGACTCTTGAGCCGCGATACTCAATCTACCAACAGCGGTGGTGGCAGTTATAACAAGAGACTCCTGAACCGCGACACTCAATCCACCAACAGCGGGGGTGCCAGTTATAACAAGTAAGCCTCTCGTGCGCTGCGATAGCCAGTCTCATAGTCGCGAAGATGGGTATAATGAACAACGATATTGTATTTGTTGTTTCGAGAGATAGAGGCATAATAGAGCGTGCCTTGGAGAGAATTTGCTATTAGATACCTATTTGTTTTACTGACCTACTATTGTAATATAGATCCTTATATCCTTATGCCGTACATATACCCGCATTGTGTTCTGAACTCAAATGAGTCCCATGGCTCGTCTCGAGATTTTGTGGCGCTTTGTTGGTGGCGCTTGAAACCACTAGCGTGCCCACATCGAGCCTGATCTCCATTACGTTAGGTGTTGGTTGGTCGTTGTTTATTAGCCTTGGACTACCCACTCCTGTTCTTCTTTCTCTCACTTTGGCCTGAACTTTGAACAAGTTATCCCAGTTAAAAATTGCATCTTTATATGTTGTCTGAGTTTGAAAACCAATAGTAATGGATGTACTACAGGTTTTAGCCTTCGCTACAGAGCGTGGACAGATTGATCAGATGTATTTCTACCTGTACACTTTACCATCCATTGGGTTTATACTCTGGGTGCCCTGGGTAGTCTATACAAGCCGCTGCCGACCAATTTGTGTCCAGAGTGACTTTGATTCATTACTTGCAACAAAATTGGTTAGATTTTAATCGATACACATGATTTATAATGGCTAACATTCTCAAGCTCTTTGCTTTCGCTCTCATCACACAGGAGCGAGTCTCTTTGACTCGCCTTTTTTCACTCGACTTTGTCGTTAGTCGGGATGAGTTACAGCAGCATTTTGAACTGGTCAAAGCTATTCTGTTGGCTATATTACTCACCATACAACACCGCTACCACACTCAGCCTTCCAGTACCTTGAGTCTATTCCTATTGTATAGCACCGTCATGCACGCAGTGGTTTTGTGGATGTCGTCTGAAAATATCTTCTTCAGCGCTTTCAAGTCATCGTCTATTATAGGTCTAGGAATTCGAGTCATAATACTCTATCTGCATGAGTATTCGAATCGAACTCAACTTCAACTTTCTCTTCAAAAAAATCTCTCCCAAGAATCTACTCGGGGCTTTTGGAACCACACGCTCTCTATATGGATGTTGCCCTTTTTTCTTCATGCAAGGCAAACAATGCCTTCACCAGAAACCATGGACAGGGCTGCCGAAAGGACAAAAGCTCAAACATTGCCTGAAGTGTTTGATGCCTCGTGGGTGAAATGTAAGAGCTCTTTTTACTACCCATATTTCTTTGCTAATATTTTACATAGACTCCAGTCAATCAAATGCTCTCATGAAGTGTTGCTACTCACTACAAAAGAGCTCTCTATTACAAGCTACAGCCTGGAGATTAATAGCAAGCTTTCTAAAGCTTAGCCTTCCAGCCTTTATCTTCCAGCTTGTCACATTTGTTGACAATATTCAAGCCACTAATAACGATACTCTAACCCATGGTTTAGAACTTCCAGTTCTAGGCGCTACTATTATATTTTTTGGGCTAGCAGTAAGTTGCTGTTATTTACATTGTCATGGTCTGTATTAACTGTATTTCTAAGATTTCTGGCGCTGCGTCTGAGTCCGTTGATGCGTATATTAAGCTTACAACAGAGCGCATGATGACGAGCGCAGTAACCCGCAAGTTACTCCAGGTGTCGACGAAAAGTGTGTCTAAATTCGCAACCCTTCAGCTTTTGACGGAGCATATTTCCAACATAGGAGAAAGCTCAAATATTATATTCAAAGCTGGAACTAGCGCTATCGGACTGGCAGTTACGTTCAAATTGCTTTGGGACATCGTTGATGTGGCTGCTTTCGTAGTCGTTGGTGTGGCGCTCGGTGAGTTGCTATAAAATTAATTAAATTCAATCTACTAATATTATCATAGGCACTACCTCGGTCGCATACATTTTACTACAACAAAATATCGGCTCGCTAAAAGTTTGGGCCGAGAAAAGTCAAAACAGGCGGTCACACACCCGCCATCTTATTCAACCCATCACAGCAGCAAAACTACCAAAGACCAACGACATTACTTATAATATCTTGAAGCAAGATCGCGAAAACGAATTGGAGAGTCGCGACAAATATTGGTCTATAAATGCGGCTGTATACGGTATTAGTAAGTTTATATAATGCTTCTCGTATCGAAGGCGCTCTAATAATCGTTTAGTTACATCCACATACGCCCTAACACCAGCGATGGCATTATATTTCTGCAGATTGCATCCAAGTCTCACGGGCAAACCCCCTATGTTGTTATCCTTTTTGACCACAACAGTATTACTTTCCGACACATTGAAAGACATACAAGAGATCCCTGGCTTCTGGGCTAGAATACAGGCTAGCTTCCACTACGTGGAAGATTTTCTTCGAATCTCGTCAGAACGCAATGAAGATGCTCCTCAAATTAAGGATACAGAGCCTGAGGACGAGGAAAGCCCAGCTGTTGAGTTCTCCAATGCAACACTCGCGTCATCAAGTGCTGGACCAATTGTCCGAGATGTAAATATATCTCTTCCTAGACAATCACTGACTATTGTCACTGGTGAGGTTGGAAGTGGGAAAAGCACATTTTTGCGATCCTTGGTTGACTGCCAACTGGTTCGAGCAGGGATAGTAGGAGTACACGAGCCAGTACTAGGCTATTGTGGGCAGGATCCATGGATCCAAAATCTCTCCATCCTTGAAAATATTGTTGGTCCGAATACTTTTGAAAGAGCGTGGTATCGCCGAGTACTCAATCTTTGCTGTCTTTCAGACGATATTAGAGCTCTCCCGGGATCAAATAACTTTGTTGCCGGCCGACTGGGCGCAAATCTGAGTCAAAGTTTGCAACACCGAATAGTAAGAACGGTGGTTACACTCTAAGAGAGATAATATTCTAATTAATTCTAGGCTTTGGCGCGCGCTATTTACTCTAGAGCTACATTCTTAGTTCTTGATGATATCTTTATGGCTCAAAGCGCGTTTGTTACAGGTCAACTCATAACTAACATTCTAGCGCCGGATTCTTTCATTCGACAATATTCTACAATTATAATGGCTACAAAAAGAACAGGTAAGAATCCGATTAATTCTTTTCAATTTTGTATAGCTAATCTTGATGTAGATCCCTTTCACGATGTATGCGACCGATTTCTTAAAATCGGATTCAATGGCCAAGTCGCAGATCTCAATGCTCTCGAGATTGGCGACGAGACGGACGAGTCTGATGATTTATCTGCTCAATATGTCAAGCAAATATCTCAAGTCCCAGTAACCGAAGCAACAAAGAAGCACCGAACCTTTTCGCGGGATATTGACGCGCAGTTTGGCCAGGCAACACACTTGCATGACAATCCCGATGGCATCAAGTACTCGGCAATTCTGGCCCAATTAAATCTCCCGGTTACTATTCTATGCGGACTCTTACTTGTTGCTCAAGTCATACTAGAAGAACTCCCAAGTATATCTATACTATTATTATTCCAAGGTATAGATCTACAACGCTAACAAATATTTAGTCTTAATGCTTCGTCGAAACTTCGAAGCACATGGCATCTCCATTTTTCTTCACTTGTGGTCTATTTTCTTAACTGCATGTAGTGGTATATTATATGCCTTAGCCTTGCAGTAGGTCCACGTTTACAGAGTGCAAAGCATTTGACCTCCAGACTAACATCTATAGTATCTTCCGTACGAATGCATTGTCTACAATGCTGGCATCTGTACATGACAAACTGCTGGGCTCCATTTTTGGGTTTGTGCTTTCTCCTTAATCGGAATGTTTCCTAATACTAATCTGCAAAACTTCAGAGCCTCCATATCATCTTTAACAAGCGAGAATATTCTTGCTGGCGCTAATCTGTGAGTGACATAGAACAGAAGTGGGAGGATCGCAGTTGCTAATAAGAGTAGATTGTGCGAGGGTATACAAGCAATGGATCTCTCACTCTATCATGGAACGTTCAATGTTCTATATTGTAAGCTTACATCTACCTTTGGTGACGTATTACATCTGCTTACCCAATATAGCATTTCTAGGTGTAACGTCAGCTCTCTCATTCGCGGCCTCCCAACATATCACCGGCATTATCATATATCCTATTTGTTACTCATACCTCTATATTACTTACAAGCTTTATGCGCCGGCATCATATCAGCTGCTTCAACTACAGAGCAAAACATCAGCATCACTCTGTTCAGCATTTGCTGAGACAGCATCCGGCGCAGATCATATCCGCGCTCTGCGGTTGCAGGCCTTCCAAGAAACGTATGTCCAAAAGGTCTTTGACAACAAGGAAAGGATACATGCATACATCGTTTCCTCGAAAAGATGGCTAGAATTTGCTATCGATCTAATGCTGGCATTATTGAACTGCATAACCGTCGCCATCAGCGTGTATATGCATGTCCCCTCATACAAGGCTGGTATCAGTGTTTTCGTTTTATTATACATGAGAACTATGACTTTAAAACTATTTTATAGTTTGGAGAAGCTGGATGCCTGTTCGGTTACGCTGAAGCAGATGGAAGATCTGCAGAGTACTCTTCGGAAGAGACCAGTCACTGCGGAAGGTCCTGCCTGTTCTGTTTGGCATGGACCAGGACATATTCGGTTCCAGCATGCATTTATTGGATACAAGTACGTATTGAAAATCTTCTCGTCTATTTATGTCTTACTAATAACAGACGGCCAGCCCAACTATGGAAACCTCAACGCTACGAAATGTATCCATCAATATCCCTGGGGGGACTCGAACTGGCTTTTATGGATCGATAGGGTGGTATGTAGTCTGTGCTGAGCTATGTTAATGTATTGGTCCACTAATTCCTCCTAGCGGCAAAACGACGCTGAGCCTAGCGCTACTAAACCAGCTTCCATACTCCGGTTCCATTACGGTCGATGACGTTGAAGTTCGCGATATCCCACACAATATCTTCCGAACTCTCTTCACAGTTATTCCGCAAAAGCCTGTTACCTTTCCTAATGCAACAATCCGGCAAAATCTATTACCAGATGAGATCGACCCTCACCACCTACGCGCAGAAGATAACTATGAGCACACGATTCAACATGTTCTATACAACGTTGGCCTCTTTGACCTTGTAGAGCGAGTGGGCGGCTTAGCAACTCGATTTTCGCAGCTCAACCTGACGTCAGAACAGCTGCAGCGCTTTTCAGTAGCAAAGGGGCTCATGGAACATCGCATCCACCGCAGTAAGGTGGTGGTTATCGATGGAGCTACGAGCTATGTCAACATACATACCTTGCAGCAACTACGAGATGTTATGAGGGACAGTTTTGCACAGAATGAGTGCACCATTTTGACAGCTTCAGATAATGAGCCTGCTCTGCATGGGTCGCGGTTGGTGTTCGGAATACGATACGGCAATGTCCTGCGGTTGATTGGACCCAATCCCGTGGATGATTAGAAGTGGCGATGGGTACGATTTGATGTCTTGTTTTGTGCGTGTTTTCAACTACGATAATTTTCTCCTATTCCTTTTCTTGTTTATATTTAATTGCATATTTATTTATATTTTAAGATTAATCACGTCAACCAGAGGGCGCACCATGTTGGACATCGTCTGGTTAGTGAGCCAGCCTCGTTTGCTAAATTTAAGGTGGCCGCGTCACAACCAACCACCGCGCATTTAACAATCACCCCACGCCAAGCTTCATCATCATTGCGTTTTTTCTCTCTTCTGTTTTTTTTATTTAAATTCCATGGTATCCAATTGACCTGCACTAATTCATCGCTCTTCTCACACACTATAAAAAGTTTTGATAGAATCCCGTTCAACCCGGATTGCACTGCCCCATCCCTCATCATGACTATCACCACTCTCCGTGAATTGTATCCTGTGTACGTTCCACGCTCAACCGAATCAATTCCAAATCCTCAGCTCACTAACAGCTTGCAGAGAACTCTATTCATCCACTCGCCATGAGCTCGGCATGTACCGCGGCGTGGTCGTCTCTGCTCGATACTCACCAGCCATCACTGCCTCCGATGATCTCGCATCGAGCCCGGCGCTCCTCTCCGCCGTCACATCTCTGGTCCTGGACAATCCTATGCTGAGAGTGGGAATCATTAATGGCGAGAACACAGGCGCCGAGTTTACCTTTATCCCAAAGATTGATCTTTCCAAGCACGTCTTCTTCCAAACAATGCCTTGCGCTTCCATGGAGGAATATCAAGCCATTGTTGCAAATACGCATGGTGAACTCGCAGACGAAGTATTTGAGGACCTTGCGTCCACACCACCATGGAAGATTGTTCTTACCAAGCCTCAATCCAATTCCTCAAGCTTTACCGCTCCCGATGTTCAAGACATTCTCTTCTCCTACCACCATTCCATGCTCGACGGCATGGCCGGCCGCCACGTCCAAGAGGCACTGATTTCCTACTTGACCGAACAAAAGGACATCAAGTCAGATATGCCACTTGTGTTGGAAAACCTGCAGCCCCCTCAGCTCCCCAACCCCGAAGAACTTGCCGTGCCCTTCACTCTCTCCGCCTCATACATGGCCTCTGTCCTGTGGAAAGAATTCGCTCCCGCCATGCTCAAACCTGCCCCTGCAAATATCTGGTATGGCGAGCCAGTGAATCGGTCGCTCCTCTTCAAGTCCAACGTTCGCTGTATAAACATGCCTGCCGCTACGCTCAAGGCCCTCCTGGCAGCTTGCAAAGAGCACTCAACTAGCCTCACGGCTCTGCTTCATGTCCTGATTCTCAAGTCCATGGCAAAGCAGGTTCATGATGCGCCTGGCTTCAACACGGCCACCCCAATTAGCATGAGGCCCTATGTGACAGACGGCGCCCCAGAGACCACGCTTCGCTGTCTGACATCGAGCTTCAACTATCACGTCTCCGCAGCTACTCTGGCCACCTTCAAAGCTGGTGCAACTGATGAGGATGTCTGGAAGACCGCCAAGCACTTTAGAGAGCTCCTTTCTAAAAAGGTGAACTCGCTGCCTGCCGACGATATCATGCCCATGCTCAAGTACGTTTCTGATTGGCCTACATTCTGGGGCAAGAAGGACGGCAAGGCTAGACCTGATAGTTGGGAAATCAGCAACATTGGCATTTTGCGTCTGCCCAAGGAGGCCGGTAAATGGACTGTCAAGAGTGCCCTCTTCTCTGGATCGTGCATGGTTGCCGGTGGACCATTCTGCCTAAACACGCTCACTGTTGCTGGTGGCGAGATGACCATTGCCATTACTTGGCAGCAGGACATTGTGCCTGTCGAGATGATTGAGCAGTTGTCTACTGACTTGAAGGCATCTTTCTCCAGCTTCGTTGAGTCAAAGACTTTCTTTTAGACGAACATATACTTTTAGACGATAAACGATACACGTGCGTATATTAGAAATCACATACACTTAATATTTAATAAATACACTACAATAAAACTACATTATGGCATACCATACAGTCTCTTGACAAATGCATTCAGCACTCCCATATCGTGCTCAGGTAACTTGGCAGTGAATCGGCGATGCGCATCAAGGACTGGTGCAGAAACATCCTTCCACTCAAGCTCACCAGTCATGACAAAATCTGTCCTGTCATCTTGCCACTCGACCTTGTTGAAGGGGAGAAGCTTTCCATGTCTCTTGCGAATGTGACCATTCACAATGACAGTGTTGACATCAGCAACACTAGAGTGCACGACAATGGCTGTGACGGGATCGCATTGAGCGGCAATCGTCATGGCCGGGCTCAGCGTATCAAACACCACCAAGTCTGCTTTCTTGCCAACTTTGATGCTGCCAATGCTATCCTCCATACCCAGAGCTCTAGCTCCCCGAATGGTAGACATGATGAATCCATCGTGCGCCGTGCGGCAGACCTTGTCGGCCATTTCTCCCGCTGCAAGTTTCGTCTGTGCATCATTTCCACGGGCAGACATGAGAGCCACGCGCATCTCATTGAGCATGCTACCACTTGTGGCGTGATGGGAGTCAACGCCAAGAGAGCAGATGGAGTCCATATTGGGCAGATCGTCGCGGAAAACAACGGGAGGACCAAGGCCCATGGTCATCTCCACGCTGGGTGAAGCAGATACAAAAGCGCCAGCTTCACACAAAACCTCGGCGTCGTCCTTGGTAGCTCCGCCGAGATGGGACAGGACAATGGACTTGTCCAGGATACCGTACTCGCGCATCTGGCGGGGGAGACTGCTTTCCTCTTGGCCGGGAAATCTGGCCCAGTGCGATGTGATGGTCTTGATTCCAAGAGACTTGACCTCTTGGAAGAGTGCTTGGATTATCTCCTTGGGCAGGAAGTAGTAGTCAAAGCCAAAGGCAAGAGAGACAGATGACAGTGGGGAAGCAATATTGTTGCACGTGGCGAGCTCGCGGAGGAGTGGCATGAACCACTCGGGGATGAGTCCGTCATCCGTCATCTCAGCTGTTGGAGAGGTTTGCTTAAGCGTGACGGTGGGTGCTAGCGCAAACACAGAGCGAATACCAGAGGTAATGGTGCCCGCCAGTGACTGCTTGCCTGGAATATTGTTAGCGAAGAAGTAGTGTAAGAGATGCTGAGTTCTGCTCACCATGATGCTTGGTCCAGTTCATATGCGCAAAGTCCAAGATGGTGGTGGTGCCAGCGTCCACGGCCTCAGCACATCCCGCAAGTGTTGTCCAGAAGAGATCGTCTGGCGTAAAGACAAATGATGACGTCCACACTAAGACAGGTTAGCGGATATTCTTCTTTTTTTTTAGATGTAGTATAATAGCATACTTTGAGAAAAGTAGTGGACACATGTGAGGTCTTCGCAAAGACCTTTGAGTGCCGTCTCCCACATGTGGCGATGGGTATCAACAAAGCCCGGCGAGATGATCTTGTCAGTGCAGTCGATGATGTCGCATGCAGCAGGAGGGGCGATGCAGCTTTCGATCTGGACAATAGTATCATCTTTGACAAGAACATCTGCCTTTACTGACGAAAGCTTGTCATTCTCATCGAGTTGGATAACAGTTCCGCCCTTAAGAAGGATAGTAGAAGACATGATTGTAAGTGTTGTGCTTTAGATGCTTGTATTGTTTCGAAGAGGGTTGTACATTCGACCGTCTTATATATACTTGATCAATCTTGGCGACAGTAAATAAGCATTATAAATCCAACCCTGTCACAAGATAAAAAAAAAAGGCTGCCAATCTCGTCGTTCGCGTTTTGTCATTATTCCGAATCGAGCTCCGGGGCACCTCCGGGTCACCGCCGGATAAGACCGGGGACACCGGGGAGCAGTCGGATACCTCAGTGCATATAAGGGCGCTTACACATATACCAACTAACACTGCATCAAAGAATCAAGAAGCATCATCTACTACCATCAAATCAGTATCATATTACTTATCACCACCATAATCATGTCGGACTCCCAAAACCTCCTTGTCTGCGTTACCTGCGGCACCCAGTACGGAATCCCATTTGAAGAGCGCCCACCCACCTGCCGCATGTGCGATGTAAGTGTAGATGCTTAGAACTCTATAAAAAATCAATCGTCTAACAATATCCTCCTTTAGGAGCCCCGTCAATTCGTCCCTCCATCTGGTCAATCATGGACCACGCTTGCCAAGATGCAGGGTGTCTACAAGAACGAAATCAAGCAAGACGACAAGCAGCCGCGCGTCTGGTCCATCTTCTCCAGCCCGCAGTTTGCCATTGGCCAGCGTGCTCTTCTGATTGAGACGGATCACGGCAACATTCTCTGGGACTGCATCTCTTTTCTCGATCAGCCAACCATTGACTTTATCAAGTCCCGCGGCGGGCTCAAGGCGATTGCCATCTCACACCCACACTTTTACAGCACGCATCTCACCTGGGCAGAGGCGTTTGACTGTCCTGTGTACCTTGCCGCTGAGGACCAGGAGTGGCTTAACAGAGAGGATAAGCAGGGCCGCCGAGTCTTTTACGACGGCGAGACTGTTGAGATTTTGCCTGGCGCTACCATGGTGAAGCTGGGCGGACACTTTCCTGGTAGCTCGTCTCTTCACTGGAATGGAAACCTGGTGCGTGAATCTATATCGCAAAAAAGACGACTAAAATGCTAACTAACTACAAGTTTGTCGGAGATTCCATTGGTATTTCACAGGTAAGACCAAAAAACCACTTGGGTACATATCGGGCGAGCTTGCTAACCTGTTCTTGCTAGTCTGGCCTTGTTCGCAGCCACCACAACGAAATGCACCAGACATTCTTCTTCCACTACGCATTCCCCAACTTCATCCCTCTCGGCCCGACTGCCATGCTGCAGATGTGGAATCGCCTCAAGCCGTGGGAATTCACGACGCTCTTTTCCCTGTTCTACGTCACCACAGTTAGAGACCCCGAGGTCAAGAGCATTCTTCTCGAGTGCATGAAGCGCCAGGCACGCTTCCAGGAGAACTTTGGTCATCCTCTCCTATCTGCAGAGTAGACATTGTTCTCTCTCTTCGATGTGTGCTTTCAGATTGGTGTATCATAAAGCGAGGTGTTGGGGGATAAGGCGTTGAGAGTGGAGGGGCAGAAGTCAATTTTTCTAGTTAATCAGTAATATGTAAATGTTATCTTTTTCTTTGTAATATTCATGTTTCATTTCAGCGTTCTCTATTCAATTTTATCTATATAAGCGCTCTTCTAGTTGTATATATGTACTCATTTAGATCATAAAAAAACAGTTAACCAATACACATACATCATCTTACATTTGGATATTAAAGTCATCGTAAAATGCCGGGTCTAGAAATTCGACAGGGAGAAACGGGCCAAAATCACTACCGTCATTCATAAAATCGCCCATTGGCGCATCGCCCAGCAGTGAGCTCAGGTCCCCAAATCCATTCGCGCCTGCATTGTTTGCAGTTGATGCGCTTCGGAGTCCTTTGAATCGCGAAGCTGAAATACCGGTTAGCCATGGTTCTCACGCCCGCAAAAGGAGACTTACAGCTGTGGTTTTGCAGCTCAGACAGGTATGTAATGTATTTGACACACTGCTGTACAAGGTTGTTTTCTGTATCGAGGTTCTTGAGCGCATTGGCCGCCTTGACGAGGCTGAGGCGCCCGGAAGATATAACAGTCTCTGCATTTTGGCCATGGCCATGGTGCGCCCAGAGCATTCGTCCACAGATCATCAGCGCCGCAGTGAAGCCTATGTTTCCATTTAGTACTCAGTCTGGAGATTAGACTTCTTCACTGTTTTACTTACCATAGTACAGCGTAAAGAACCATACACCCAGGTTGGTCTCGTCCCCGGCTGCAGTCCCCAATCCAGCAGCTATGATGTTAATAGTGGTCTCCGCTGAGGCAACACACTCAAAGGCCTCTGCCATTGCTAGCTGCGCTGTGTAAGGTAACTCCACGGACGGTTCGTGCTTTGACAGATACTGCAAAGTCAAACAAAGCAGCGGCCGGTGGATGATTATGTTCAAATTATGGTATCGCAGCGTAAGGATCGTTCGAATGCGATTCGTGATAGACCGCTGCACCAGCTCTGGAGCATCACAATCGAGTAGCGCAAATTCCGCCGGTAGGCTAGCCGCCCATTGTCGCAATTGTTTTCGCAATTCTGTAGCGGCTTGGATTGTTGAAACTCCGTCCAATTCGCTGGTCAGCCCCAAGTTGCTGTTGTACTGGCGAGTTATGGAGTCGCCCATGACCTTGTAGAGTTGTACAGAGACCCTCAGAAGCTCTGATTTGAGGCGCATAGTCTCCAAGTGTTGTTTTGTCGCTGGATAGTCGGAAGCTGGCCACTGTTGTATCGGTCCCGAAACCATGTAGTAGTCGGGTACAGCCCCAGGTCTTCCAAACGTGACGCTCATGACCTTGTCGGCGCAGTAAATGGCTTGCCAGGTACGCTTATACGTTTCTTTTGCAACCGGGTCAAGGTTTCCATTAGCCTGATCGCAATGCAGACCGAGTGCAAGCGCATTGCGGACACATAAACCGTGGATGTTCCAGGCTTGCACAGCACGCGGTGTTCCTTGCAGATAAAAAGTCTGCAGCAGAAGATACTGCACACTCTCAATGCTGACCGTTTTGAGCGCGTAGGATGCGCATAGCGCTGTAGCCCTGTGGTAAAATACCAGAGATCGCTCAAAGCGCTCCTTGGACCCGGCGAACTTTCCGTTGCCTACATTCGTAGCCATAGCCATCATCATGTTGAGCATGCCTAGCCATGCCCTGCCAATCTTCTTGTAACCGCTTGCCTTGAATCGGTCATAATAGCCCCAAAATGTCGGTTCGTGGAATATAGGGAAGAGAAGACCAGTGGTGTTGAAAAATAGGTGAAGCAGCTCCTCAAACTCTTCGGATGGTGGTAGCTGAGCGCTGGCGGAACTGACGGCTCTTGGTGATGGTTGACTTGCGCCATCGTCAAGGTGCCGCTTTCGTATTGTTTTGTTGGTAATAGAAGACGGTCCCTTGGGCTTCTGGATACCCCAGAGGGAAGACATGGCTCCGAGCAGGTAGCGCACGAAGCGGATGTTGGATGATTCGCCAAAGTAGACGGGAGCCTGTTCTTCGACAAAGGTGATGGCAAGTCCGTCTGTTTTTGTCGGGTCCCCGACCCCGTCATCATCACTAGTTTCTTCCTCTTCTCCCTCGCGCCCAACTTCATCATTGCTGGCTGCGTCGTCGTCGTCGTCATTGTGGTCATCACTGCGCAGTCGCTGAGGCAGCTTCGTCATGGCCGGCTCACAGCCCGACAAATGCCCTATCAATAAATCATCGTGTCGTCTCAATGCCTTCTCTACCAATCGCAATCGTTGCTCCAGGTCCGCGACGTATTGTTTTCCAATAATCACATTGGTGGCCGACTCTGGCGCATCGTACTGACATTCCAGACTGAGCTGAAGGCACGACTGACAAGTTGGGCGTTTGCCGTCGCATTTCGACTTTCGCGTTCGGCAGGCGGTGCAGGCGAGTGCGATTCTGCGTCGTTTGCTTGCAGGTTCTGATTTCGAAGCCATCTTTGTGAATTTCGCTTGACAGTTTCGCAGCTGGCAATTGGTAAGTTGACAGGGTGCTGACAGCTGGTGACAGTTGGCGAAGAATTGCAGTGACACTCACTAGAAAAATCCTGCGGGGAGTCCGGGGAGTCACCGGAAACAAAAGTGTCCGACCCGCCATTAGTACGCGCGCTAGTATAAAAGACGACAGCATGCGATGGAAGCTGATACTGTTTAAACTCAAATTCTAATTGTAACGGCATTTTCATTGTTTTGCATTGTTTCGATAATCATTGCGCTGCATCATGTTTGCACCACTCTTCTTCCTTCGCGGCAACGGCCCCATCAAGTCAAAGACGGCAGACGCAAACCCGGTTCCTCTGCAAGACACAGCAGGCCGTCCATTTCTGCTCCGATTCTTTACCAAGGATGGATTCTTCTTTAATGAACAGAAATGGACTCCCATTGATCGAAGCCGGGCTTTAGAACCGTCCTCATACAACCCTCCAGCTCACTATCACATCAACTCTGACGAACACTTTTACATCACCAGCGGAGCGGGTACATGGCAGCTGTGGGATCGCAAGGTATATCTCAAGAAAGGCGACCATATTCTTGTTCCTAGAGGAAAGTGGCATCGGTTTGACGAAGACCAAACATTGGATGAGCCGCTGGCTATCGAAGTCCGCTACGACAAAGAGCAAGCGGCCATGGAGGAGGCCTTTTTCCGCAACACGCTGACTTATATCAGCGACTGCCTCGACCAGAACAAGTCTCCAAGTATTCTACAGCTCATGATTTTCTTTATCCACGTGGAAATGGCACCTGGATTGCGCATTGTTCCTTTTGAGACGCTTAACTTGTGGCTTAACATGGCATTGATGTACACGCTCGGCGGCCTGGGATATCTGGTGGGCTATAAGAGCTCTTATGCAGAATACTGTCGTCCAAGCTTCAAAAAGGACTAAAATGTTTCTCATATCACAACATGTAACTATAAATACTATATCTAGTTTATGTAGTTAAATACTCTGTAAAATAGACTTGATTCCCCTCTCCAAGTTCTCATAGAACAACGCCGATCCTGCAAACTGGCGAAAGATCCAAAAGATGTGCGGATACCCAGGGTAGTGGTCCGCCACGACCTTGACACTACCGACAGTGAGTCTTGAAATGATACAAAAGATGAAGATATAATAAATGGACTTACCCAGACTTGCGAAGCAGATTTACCATGACACGGCCATCGTCACGCAATGGATCCGCGCCACACGTTCCAACATATACAGGAGGAAAGTCGGCCAGGCGTGGGCTGAGCGCCGTGAAGATGGATTGATCCGTAGGCACCGCGTCGACGGCATCTATTTTGTTAGCACTTCTTTCTAAATGAATTTTTGATCTTACTTACTTAGGTAGATGCGCATCGCATGACTACCCATGATGGGCGCGTCGGCATTCTCCGTGTACGAAGTATACCCGGCAACGTGCTCAGTGGGCACATTGTCAGGATGCAGAGTAATCGGCGTCAGCGCAATGACTCCGTCCAATTTGCGCAACTGGTTTCCATTCGCGCTCTCTTTGCAAATATAGTTGGCAAGAGCAAGAGAGAGAGCACCGCCCGCCGACCCGCCCATAGCAAATAGTTCTCCTTGCTCTCCAAGCAGTGCATTCTCGGGCTGACACACCCACTTGTACACAGAGACCACATCTTCCAGCATAGTTGGAAGCTTGTTCTCAGGCCCAAGTCGATAATCGATAGACACGACGATGCAGCCTATGGTCGTGGCAATCCAGCGGCAGAAGTCGTCCTCCGAGTCCAGACTTCCGGCAATGAAGCCGCCACCGTGTGAGAATAGGCAGACGGGAAGCTGATGGGATGCATTTTGGATTTTGGGTGTATAAACACGAACTCCAATAGAGCCAGCGAGGCGATTTTCTGTTTGTGGCGTTAGAGATGTTTCGCGGAGGGAAGCTTCTACGGCAACATACCAATCGTCAAGTTGTTCGGCACAGTTTCAGACGGCGCTACTCTAGCACTAAGCTGCTTGACTTGGGAAATAATCTCTTCAGCAGATCCTGAGAGTGAAAAACGGCCGCCGTTGGCATTTTCGTACTATAATAGGTGTCAGTAAGTGCTGGCTGTTGTTAGCTAGCCTCCGATGACGGTTGTGCTCACCTCAATCCAGTCAGGCGCAATCATGGTGATTTTGGGCGTTTATTGTCTTCTTAATATCTGATATTTGACTTGAAAGACACAATTAAAGTAGATATTGTTCAATTTATATAATTGCGCATCGCGCTATGGACGCTAGAGGCGAAGGCCGAGTCTCCGGGGTTATCGGGGAGCAGCCGGAAGCAAAATTCTAAATACGGGTCAAAAGGAAATTTTAAAGTACAAATGCCAACAGTATCACCACAAACCTCCTCATGAGACGGCAGCAATATTGTTATTGATAAATCGGTCCGCTTCTCTCTTGAGCATCAAAATACAGCTCGCCACAACAAACGCCTCTATCCCCGGCCCAGCGGTCTTTTCGCCCTGCCACTTGCGTAGATCCATCACCAGACGACCTCCATTGCCACCTGAATACCTCTTGGAGCCCGCAGTGCGTAAATCGTCATTCCGAATAAGCTGCGCCACTTGCACGCCATCCTTGCTGCCGTCAGCACGCTTCATCACCAAGAGTGAGTCTGCATCTAGCTCAGCTTTTTCATCTCGGTCTCCATAGGTCCATGTGAACTCGCCGAGCGATGTGTGGAAGACTTGGTCGCGCGAATACCACTTGCGACTCACCACCTTGACTTCCTCGCCGGCAATGTTGTCGTTTTCTATGGCCTGCTCGACCGAAACGGTAGAGTCGTAAGGTAACAGGTGCATCTTTGGATGACGGCCGGGACCCCAGCGGTAAATGGTTGAAATGAGTGTGTTTTGGCCAGGGTCAGAGGCCTTGACCAGGGCGCACGAATTGGAGCTGGCCTTTTGGCGCACTGAGATGTATTCTGGTTGGCCCGAGTCGACGCGATAGACGGTGATGTTTTCCAGCATTTTGCCTGTCAGCGCCTGATTTGTATCGTAGCCCAGCGCGTTTATTTGCAGCTCGCTGGTTGAGACGAAGCCTGAAGAGGCAGCAGAGGGAGCGGCTTCTTCATAGCCTGGAGGAGGAGCATCAAGAGCAACTTCTTTGTCCTTTTTGTCATTAAAAGAGGCCATTGTGATGGTATGTGTAAAAGCGAGGTGATTTGAATTGAATTGTAAGTGATATTGACTGGCCGGGTTTGTGATCATTATATACAAGTGTGCGATGTATATCCATGTTGCGCCGAAGCTACGTCATAGGCTGATGGGCGTGAGGCTGTGTTCGCCTTCGCCTCACGTTAAGTCTCCGGGGCGTATTTTCTTCTGGATTCTGCTGATCGCGCGCTACATATTACCGGAACGGGCATCTAGATCTGCGCTATCTATGTTTTATGGTTTATACTTGGCATTGTGATTCGCGACAGAGATACAGCCGCGCGACAACGGCAGATGGCGACGACGACCGCACCACTATCTAGCGTACAGCAGTGTTATTGTCGCAAATCGGCTTTCAGGATTGCGATTATAGTATAAATAATACGGAGAAAATATTAAAGGACAATTAGTATTACAATGTGCATTACATACAGTGAGTAAGCAAAAGTTACAAGTCGTCCATATTCCCACAGAAACATTCCGAATATATTTACACAAACGTTACATGTACTAGTCATCTAGAAGTCGGATACATATACAGTATTTATACCATACATAATATTCTACAAAGATTGATCAAAACGGTCATTTTTAAAAAATACATATCAAAGAATACTTGAAAGATTGATTAAAAACGAGTTTACCTGTAACTTTTGCTCTACCTGCTTCTAACTCTAACCCTTCGCTCTCCTCCTCTGCAGCTGTTATAGTGCATCAACTATACAACTAAACGCCCAGTTCCGTTGGCGGCCGGACCAACGTCCGAAGGAGTCACAAGACTATTTTTAAATCAATACAAGCCACCAACACAGGTTTATTGTTACGTAAGTCCCATGTAATATCCACCCGTTACGGCGAGGCTCGGGGGCTGACGAGGCTGCCTGGGCCATGAGTCAGAACGAAGACGGGTCCCCCTGGCTAGTATACATAAAGTAAGGCTACCGACATGCTAGAAAAAGAAAGAAATCACAAGTTTTGGTATCTTTAGTATCGTCGCTTCTTTGTACACAGTCACCTTTTGGTCATCATGGGCTGTACATCTTCAAAAGTGGACGACGGTGGCCCCCAAGCTAGGCCGTTCCGCACTACCCCTCCACCTGTTGATCCTTCGACTGTGGTCTGGACAGCCGACGATTCATACGGCCACTACATCAAGGAGAGGCTAGAAAAGACAGTTGCTAGTGGTAGAGAGGGCGACTTGGCCAGCTTCTACAGTGGGGAAAATACTGGGCTTCGCGCCGTTGCGTGGCTGAAGGAGAGGTTCCGACATATTGACGAAATACATGAAAACGGAGTGGTACCCTCTACCCTCGGAGGCCAACCTGTTTTAACCGAAATGTGGTTTGGGGCTGGTCCCGAAGGCACTGGTATGGCTACCATGTTTCTGGTCTACACCGGCAAAGATGCAGATGAAAACCCAGACAAGGAGACAATCAACGAGGCCATCATGGCAGAGGCACAGGAATACAGTATTGGCCTGCTCAACAGAGCCTTTACCAAGATCGCCCAGCATATGCATGTTTGTGTCGTTGTCGAAAGCAACGCCACAATATGCACACCTCATCCCGACTTAAAGCCCTTGATCCTTCCCATTCCTCACCAAGTCTCCAGAGAAGAGCAACAGTGGCATAAGAGCATTTCTCGGCAAATAAAAGTGTACGGCGCGGAAGCTGTCGGAGGATTCAACAAGTTCTACTTTGACAAGATAGTGGGCGAGCTGTGCCAACTAAAACCTGGCGTCTCTGTCTGGGACGATGGTGATCTGGCATTCAACGTGGGTGGGAGCCCATACCAATGGGGTTCAAGGCTTCTGGTTACACGGGACGAATCCAACATGAAGACTCGCCAGGGCATCAAGGCCACGCATTTCGAGGTCAAGCACCCGTTTGGGAACGACGATAAGCCGCCAGCATTCTTGTTCAAGATGTTTGACGGCTCGGCAGATCCTGGAGGCGTCGACAATATTACGCTACTCGTCGCGACGGACCCCTCTATTCTCTGGCCCAAGGTTGGACAATGCGCAAAGAGTCCGGCTTTCAAGGCTGCCGAGGTGGCATTGATGGATAAGCTTGACCAAATGTATAAGCAAGGTGCCATAGCTCGCTGCAGAGTGCACCTGATCATGGGCCAAGACCAAAAGACATGGGCGTTTGTAGGCCACGACTCGTTGAAAGATCAATCTGCCGTTGCTATGGCCAGTGCTGGTGAAACCGTCTCCAATGCCCAGCCGTTCCCCGTGGGAAACGTGCACATTGCATCCTTTGGTATCGACCTGGAGGAGCTGCCGCATGACATAATGTATAATGAAAAGGGCGAGTTCCACGGCTTCTTCGGGTACCTACGACAGCGCTACACGGATAACCCGCGCACAGCCGAGATTCATGCGATAACATCCGTCCAAGTGATGAAGGTGTTCCTCGAAAACGCCTTTCCAGGAACCGAAATTTCGGACCAGGGCGAGCTCGTTATCCCAGCGGAAGACGGTGCTGAGAAGTCGGAGGCTCAGACCATGGAGGGTTCGCACCTCTTTGTGGTCCGCGACCCAACCCAAGCGCCCAAGGATGTCATCGCCGTGTCCTATCTGATGGCACTGCCGGACGGTTTGAAACCCACTGGTCACTACGAAGACTCCCAGTTTCTCAAGGACGGCGAAAACGCTCTGCTCAAGGTCATGAAGCAGATGTATGAGAAGGGCGAAATTTCGGACAAAGAGTGCACAGCCAGTGTACGGGCCTGTTTTGACGGGACCATCTACCAGTTTGTGGAGGGTAGCAAGTTTGTGGACTATAGCGAGACGCAGATGCTGCGATTCGCACTCAAGCTCTGATTGTGTGATGAGCAGTCTTTTCTTTCGTTGGCGGACGTCTTGTACCGGCGCATTTGAGCGAACTTGTAATACCCTATTTCTTTGTATTGTTGTTTAAGTCACGGTAATAATGAATACATAATCGGAATATCACGGCCTACCCCCTTCGAATTAGGCGCCTTATCGTGTCGCCTTCCTAACTGGTGAATTTCACACTGTTGCCTCATCTCCATTGTGTGAGTTTTTTCTTTAGTTTCAAGGGAGTAGCCATATGGGGTTAGGAGGAGAGCGAGATGTGTCCCAAGGCTGTGTTTGCGTTGTGAGAGAGTCGAGTCCCACTGTACTGTACGCCCACGTTTAACTAACCACGCACGTACGTGAGTGTCGAGAAGTGGGTATAGCAAAAAAGTTTACAACCAACTCTAGTGTAGAGGAAAAGTGTATTGTTGCTCTCAAACTACTCTCTATACCTTCACATTCTATCATAGTTCAACATTTACTTTCGATATGTCATCTACTAGCGACGAGCGGCCTTGGATGAGCGAACAATGTGGCGTGGCGCGCAGACTACACAAGTTCTATCCTATTGGGCAAGGATATAGCAAGGAAGATTTAATCAGGATAGGATTGGAGCAAGGTCAGGACATGGACGACAAGTTAAAGCTCCATTTACTGGGCCAACCAAATTTCGATGACCTGAGATACTTTGTCCAAAACTTGGACGGCTGTATGGAGGCAGATTGGTTCAGTAACTATTCGTATCGTCCTGTATATCTCCCCCCTACAATGCTCCACTCGCGAGCGGTTTGCAAATATGTTATTTGTGATGGACGCATTGCAGACATGGATACATTTGACGGTGACAGCAATGCTGCTATGGAACGGTTATACCAGGAACAACTACACCTCGAGGCTACAAATGACGTTCTGGAGAGAGCCAGAGCCGCAGTTCGCAATCGAGAACAGAAAGCAGCGACCGAACTGGCCAAGATTATGCTTGCGCAATATGACAAGCAGCTGGCTGAGCAAGGCTACTATAATGTGAAGGAAACCTGGAAACAAATCCAACCAAGAACACCAGCATGGATTGACGAGATCTGCGTAGCGCAGGAAAAGTATGGGTTTGTTGTTTTTGAATCATCCAAACTGAGGAAGCGCACGCTACAAGGTATTGTACAATGGTACCGCGTATTGAATGGGTTGTCTTACATAGATCACTCTGAGAGGACGGGTCGTCTCGCGGCGGCTAAGACAGTCAAGGACGGTTACATGTTAATTCTTAGCTCGCGTCTACAGTTCGAAAAAGAACCTGTTGATGAGGATGATCCAGAATCTATACGAAGGTACATGGTCCAGAATTGCAAACCTTGTAAAATCATTTATACTAACTCAGATCTAGACGCTTTTTAGAACTTGTGCCTACGCTGCCAGGGAAGATATCCAAGACCACATTTCTTGTTATTACAGATGACTGTGTTTTCCAGGAGTTGGATACAAACGAGCTGTGGCTTACCAAACGTCTTCGCTGGCCACAAGAGCGAGAAGAAGGGATGATTGCTTATCAAGACCTACCACCATTCTTCGTTTGGGCGTACGATGCCGCCTGGACACCACCGCCTGGCGCCGCGATAGCCGATGCTGATGGGTACCAAGGCCGACTTCGTGTCGATGCAACTGTGATACTATCATGGTTTTACTATGCGCGGACCTATACAGACTTTACTATGAAACAACTATGGGAAAAGGCGCAACATTCACCGCATAAAGTGTGGCATGTGTTGCAAAACCTCGTAAATAAAGCCGAGTCCGAAAGCTTAGTATAGATTAACCTGCAATATTACAAGTTATTCTCTTTAGTAAGCATGCAGTATTACCAATTATGATAGATATTCTAGTTAATTTATAGTTTAATTTAGTTTTAATAGCTCTTATAATACTAATGACGTGTGCTAACTTACTGTTTACTGTTTCTGCAGCCTTTTTACGCATCTACTGACTATGCCACAGCGGCAACGTCTCAAAGATATCAGGATACGGCGAAAGCCTCCATTTAAACGCACCAGTAGACGCATCCACCGATCGCTCGTAGCCATGTGGATGCAGCGCCGTATTGGCACCGTCTACACGCCAGATGGGCCGTCCATTGTAAAACTCCCTATAGGCGGACGTTATGCCGTCCACTGTGATTTCTTCGGCCATGACGCCCTGACACCGTCGCCATCCCTGTGTAAGCAGGCGATAGAGCGCATATCGTAGAGTCGTTGTGCTGTTGCGCACTGGAATCACCCAGCAGTCGACTCTGCAGTTGGCCTCGTCAATCGCGTCAAGTGTGGCGACGCGGAACTGTAAGACGAGAAGCGTCTCGCCGTCAAAACAAAAGACTTGCGGACACTGGTATCGGCGCGCGTACCTAGTAGTTTGAAAGCAGGGTGTCAAAAACATCCAACACTCATGATTTGCTGTAAAGGTGGTGGACGTACTGGCGCAGCTCTTGTGAGAGCCTCTGCTGTTCTCCTCCGACCGGCAACTGGCCGCTCTGCCATGCTCCTCTATCAATAACGCTCTTTTTGATTTCTCCAACGGCGAGTATATGCTTGGTGTTTCCAATCTTGGTCGAGTATACAATGTCGGCTGTTTCGGGTATCGGCCCAGCGGTGGGTGGTTTGCTCTGTGAGAGCTGCATGACCGTTGGGTACGCGGTCCATGCTGCCATAACAATGTTGGACACTTCGGCATGGAACCAGTTCTCGCAGTCTGCCTCGGTCTCGAAGCGCCATTGCCGTACGTTGGCATCCTCACAAGGCTCGCTCATGCGGAGGGTGTCATCGTGGTAGAGCGGGAGAAACCCTTCATCAAAGTTGGCATAGACGACGCCGTCGGGACCAACACCAGTGTGCACGACGAGATTGGCAATAGGTTTATTGCGGCGTGCCCATTCTTTGTTAAGTACGGTTCGGTAATCAGAGCTCTCGCGGCGGTTGGACGAGTGCCGTAGAATATAGTAGCCGGCCGTGGCTAGTGACTCGAGCGCGGGGTCCATGATCTGCTCGGTATTGTAATGGTAACCCTACTGCTGCTAATACTCATTCAAAGAATGTTTCTTTCGTGGTGCCAGCAAACCGCGGGGCAAGGCGGCAGCAACCCCTCATGGGCTTCGCTACTGCTGCACGCGGCGTTCCGCTTCTGGATCGCAAAAGAGACGTTATGCAGGCGGCGGCGTCTTGCATGAGTGGCTCGTTGTGGCATTTCCATTTGGTGTTGTTCGCCTTGTGGTCGTGTGCTAGCAGGCGTCCAGGCTCGCCCAGTGGCTACACATGTAGGTTATAGAGACTCGTGCTGTCTGTATACAGCGCTGTGTTTTATTCTTTTTTGAATTCTTGGCGCACTATAAAAGAGTAATTAATACAGGCTGTTTGTTGCAAGTGGCACGACTCGCTCAGCTGCCCCTGCAACGGGGCGAAGTCTGCGGGGCCGCCCACCAAACACCACTACGCTTATCGTCAGCGATCTGTCAGAAACAACGACATCGCCAACCTCACCTGTATTTTATATTCACGCCCAATGGCACAATGGGGGACTCACAGGGCAATTCGGCTTCCCTACCTACAAACCTCAAGCGTACAAAACGATTTGCTCCAAAAACACGGACGGGATGCCTCACCTGCCGGTAAGCCAAAGCTCTGTGTCATCACCACTCACCCTGTACATCTACTAACAACACACGGTCCAATCCAGCATCCGTCGCGTGAAATGTGATGAATACAGGCCAGTATGCAATCGCTGCCACAAGGGCCGGCTCGACTGCTCTTATCCACCGCCACCAATCGACAGGCAACGGCACAACAGCACCATCCGTATTCTGCCGCAACCATTCCTCACGCCGGCGCCGGTAGGCGTGCCAGTCTCCAGTAAGCAGCTAAATTTATTTGGCTCATTCAGCACATCCATAGCATCGCTTGTTGGCGGCGACTTCAATCGTACCTTTTGGATAGTGGATGTCCCGCGGGCTGCGCATGTCCACCCGACGATCTGGCATGCAACCATTGCCTTGGCATCCCTCTATCATTGCACACAAGCACATCGCCAGCTGAGGATGGCGGCCATGTTACAGAGTAGCAAACACAAAGCAGCAGCAGACACAACACCACTACAGCTTACCAGCAATAGCAAGTACCAAATGGCTCTCGAGCACTATAACAAGTCGCTACGACACCTTGCTGGCGCTGTATCGCAATGCACCGACGGCATCACAACCTACCGGCAAAAAGAAGGCGTCATCCTCGCCAATATTCTCTACATAGGCATTGCCAGCATTCTCGAAGACACCGCTCAGGTCGAGCAGCACCACAGCAATCTAGTCAGGCTCCTCGAGCACTGGCGCTTCGGCGACGAGAGCCCCGCATCCCGCAACGGCATCACCGCCCACAGCGATCTCATCTCCATCCTTCTCGTCATTGACGGCGTCACCAACGGACGCGATAGCGTGGTAGAGCGCCACCAGCGAGACTGGGCCATCCGCGTCCCAGTCTACGACTACTCCTTTACCTCCATCACACAAGCCTACACAACCTTGCTCCCATACGTCAACTACGGCCTAGCTCCTCTAGATTGCAACTACTACACCCCAAATCGCGACGCCCTCGGTAGGGAGCTGGACAAGCAGCGACGCTTGAACGACTTTTCCCACAGGCTCTACGAGCTGGAAGCCAGCCTACCATCCATCACGGAAAGTGATGCAAAGTCCCTCGCCACTCTCCACACTCTTGTCAAGGTCCTCTGTTTGCAACAGAGCCTCAACATGGCAGAAACCCGCGAGGAGTTTATCCAACAAAAATGCCTGGCACATGCCAAGCTTCTAGATCTCCTGGCTGAGCTGCTCCCTGCGGAGATGGAGAATGCACAAGAACCCTCAAAAGAGCCGCCTCTTGTTGACTTTTCACTACAGCCGTTCTGCATAGCGCGTATTATCCTCGGCCTTATTGGAGATGGCCCTTCCCGGCGCCGCGGACTATCCTTGCTCAGTAAATGGACCTACAAGCACGCCGGCGAAACTAGCTCCGAAGCACTCGCCTTGTACGCGGTCAAATTCACAATCGAGGCTACCGGCCCGGCCCGGACACGCCGCTGGCAGCAAGCTGGGATCCCGGTTCAGCCGACGTTTCCCAATGGAGGTATGGCTGACGGCGAATTTGATGGATGTGCGGGCTGCGAGTGTATACCAGACGTGTTTACGTGCCGGGACCATGCTCTACGGGCGGTCAAGATACAGGGCCATGGCAGTCAACGGGTAGCATTGGTCCGTTGCGGCTATGAACATAGGAATAATCTGCCCTGGATACGTATACCGCTTGGTTGAAAGCGCCTCGGTGGGCTTGCCTTTAACGTCTAACAGCGTACGGATTAGGCCCCTGATGTAAATGGTTTCAATAGGAAAGACGTGACACAGCTAAGCTTCTCCGTCGCTCTAGCTGCCTCATCATTGTAATGTTAATTTTTACTTGTACACCACACACATATAGATAAATCGCAGCGCGAAATACAAAAGTTACAAGCAAACGAGTTACGCTATGCAAAGGGTGCGAGTGACCGCTAATATGTACATAATTCTAGTCCCGTCCATACAACACAGGATATTCTCTCTCTATTTACCACCCTTGTCCTGGCTTGCGCCCATTTCCTCCTCTAAAGTAGTCATACTGACCACTTCCACCCTGCTGCTGCTGCTGTTGCTGCTGCTGCGGGTGGCCATGCATGTCATAGCTGGGGCTGCCCCCTTGGCCATAAGTGGCATACTGGGTGCCACCTACGTTTTGTTGGCTGTGCTGTTGGGCCTCGTAGGACGGGTTGCCACCATAGGGCTGCGGCTGGTTGCTGGCACCACCACCAAAATGGGACGGCTGTACTTGCTGTTGGTCATATGGAGATGAGTAGCCTTGCTGCTGGTCGTATGGCGACGCGTAGGGTTGCTGTTGCTGTTGCTGTTGGGCATATTGAGACGCCTGCGCCTGCTGCTGTTGGTTGTAGTTGCGCACCTCTTCGTCGTGCTGAATGAGATTGGCATATCCTGCTGGGCCTCCACCGAGAGCACCAATGGATGGGCCCGGCGTTGTAGGTCTTGACCCAGCCAAAGCAGGACTCATTCGTCCGGGCCCAGGGCTCTTTCTACCTAGAGGAGCAGGGCTCATTCTGGCAGGACCGGGACTCATTCTACCTGGGGCTGGGCTCATGCGACCCGATGAAGTTGCCGCGTGGTGCATCAGTGCCGAGCCACTCGAGTTGTCTTGGTTGTAAAAGGGGCTCGCTGTTCCTGTACGGTCAGGGTAGGATCCCATACGATTATGGGATCCGTTGTCTTGGTTCCCTGTCTCGGGTCGATAGTTTCTATAGCTGGTATCGGACTGGCCAGTCTCCACACGACGATGGCTTGCTGAGTTGCCGGAAATGCCAAAGGGTGTTGAACGGCCCGAACCTGGAGTCTCTGGTCTAGAGGGATAGCCACCGCCGAGCTCCATCACCGAGCCCGGTGTCGTAGGCCGTGTAATGCTTGAGCCATAAATCTCGGCGCCGCCAAACTCTTCAGCAAACTCGGCGCGATTCTTGTAGTATTCAAAATCCATGTGAGATTCGGAAACAAATTCAAAACCGGGCACGCCAGCAGCCTTTTTACCCACCTTACCACCCGCCATGGCATCGAGCGCATACATGTCAGAATAGCCGCTCACACTCATCATGTCACCAGCATCGCCCTCGCGACCTTCTGTAAGACGGCCGGAATAGATAGAGGGGAGCATATTTTGAGCCTTTTGGTGCACCATGGGCGTGATAAGCTTCTTGTACAAAGCAGGGTGGCCAAACTTGCTCGTAAGTCTATCGTTGCGTAAGGGGTCCTTTTGCATCGCTGCCTCGGGGTTCTTTCTAACATTTTGGAGGCTGTAGAAGCGAATTTTGTCATCAAACGTCTTGCTGCAGTAAACTTTGAAGCCAACGACTAGGAAGAAGAGCGGGATGATGGTGTAGAACTGCATGTGTTGTCCGTCACCCTTAGCCCAACAAGTAAGCAGAACAACAGCGTCTGCCAAAAGCAGCGAGAAGATGAGGCGGTTGAACAGTGTGCGCCAAACAAGGCCGCCAGACTCGTTCTTTGTAACGAAGCGGTAAAGGAGAAGGTACTTCTTGAGATAGACGTCGATGCAAAAGTACAGGGCAGTGGCTAGCAGGACGAGAGGTTGAATTCCGGCAAAGCAAAAACTAACCGCCGAGTAAAAGAGAAAGTAAGTGTAATAGCCGGCGTAGTCAAAGGGAGGGGGGGCCGTCATTTCAATGAGTTCTCGTGGGGTCGGGCTTGAGAACTTGCGCAAAAAGGCACTCTTGAACAAGGGCCAAACCTGTGCAAGATCAATTGTCGCACCAAGCTGTCTCTGAAGCAAATAGGTAACCCAGAAGATACTGGTGTTGCAGAGTGAAGTAACAATGGCCGCGGGAATCTGTTGGTCTTTAATCGCTTCCCATGCGCTTTTGTGATCGTTGGTCTTGTTGATAATACCGGTGACAATCACAAAAATAACGCCAAAGAGCGAAAAGACAAAGAGGTTGTTAAAGAGGAAAAAGGAAAAGAGCTTCGCAATAACATGGCGGTCGCGGCCCGTCTTTGTCTGGTCACCACCCTTTATGGCAAGTCGACGAAAGATCATTGGCAGGACCAGATAAAATAGAGAGGTGATTAGGGGAGCGGCGACACCCTGAACTGCACCCCAAAAGTGAGTGTGTGCCTCGAGAGTCGTCTTGAAGCTGGGCCAAACTTGGCCAAGACGGGACAAATTGACCAGGAAGACAGCAATGAGTGCATTGGGTACAACCCAGAGCAGCGTCAAGCCGGAGATCCAAATGCTGTTGGCGAAGCGTCTTCGGCTTCGAAGGGAACTAGACAAAGACATGTTCTTCCAGATGATGTTGGAGGGTTGGGGAGCGAGGGTGATGGTGGCACCGTTTGGCTTTTGCTTGCGGCATGAGTATGCAATTGAATGCGCTTCACTAATATCCGAGTAGCTGGCAAATCCATAGGGCATAGTGCTGCGTCTGTCAATAGCGGCTCGAACAGCCTTGATTTCCACTTCCAGGTCCTTGATTCGCTTGGTATAGTAGTCAATGGCGTCGAGCCTCTGCCCGGAGGGATAGGTAGAGCGGTTTCGGTCTTTTTTGGACGGCTTGCAAGTTGGGCGTTTTTCGGGCAAAGCCTGTGGATGCTTTAGATACTTGGCAAGAACCTCTTCCAGCTTGCGGACGGCGCTGCTGTGCTGCTCAATAAGATCAGGCAGGCCCTTGACGTTTCTGGCAATGGCTGTTCTAGCAAAGGATGAGTTGGGGACGACGCCGTCAATGATTCTAGCAATTCCCTCATCGCTACTAGCTTCGCGGGGGAGATCAAAGAGCATGAGTGTCCTGGAATGAAGGCTGGACTGGTACTCATCCGAGTCAAAGTACTTGCGGCGCAGCTCCATAACACGACGATAGTTCCACCACAAAAAGCCAGCCACGGTGATATTCATGAGATAGGCAACCACCACCTGTGCCCATATAGCGTTAGGGAAAACGGTTCGTGGTGTGATGGTGAGGAGCCAACCGTTTTGGCCGTTCGTGTTGTAATCGTCGCGCTTGGAGTTAGGAGTGTTAGGAGTACTAGTGATCGGGTACTGTTGGGTGACATAGGCCGGAACAAGGATGGCTATGCCAAAGACGGAAAGAACGAGAAACATGTTGCGACACATTCGAATGAAGCGGAGGAAGATGATTGCATCCATGCCTATCTGGTGGATCAAGTGGTCCTCTTTGGTGCGAAGAAGAACAGTAATCCAGGACCAGGGCTTTTTTCCTATAGGAAGAGGGGCATGTTTCTCATCGGCATGCTTGAGCTTGGGGGCATAAACAGCTTGGTTATAAGGTCGAATCAGTGAAAATGCAATAGCAAGCAGAGCTGAGAAGCCAATGGAAATGCCAAAAGAGGCTGCGAAGGCACCGGTGTTGAGCTGGCATGTTCGTTAGTATGTGACGGCTAGATGTGAGGAACAAGAAAATACCAACCTGTGACTCGAAAGGGTTCTTGAGAAGGTTAAGCAGCAGAGAGCCGCCATCAGTAGGGGGGTTGTCTCTCGACCACATGTGATGGGTGGTCTCCATGGTGGGCGATAAGAGGCGACCACGCCTATGTTAACCAAAGGTGAAGACTAAGGGATAGCCTGTGTAGAGGATTGCAGATGCGCAGTGAAAAACGAAGCAGAATCCTCGTGGCGGGCTGGCGATCGACAGCGTGCCAAGACGACTTTCGGATGGCCCGTTTTCTTTCTGAAGCTAAAGCGCAACGGTCGACGATTCAACGGCGATGGTGCAACGAGGCAAGGCTCAGAGTATTCGGAGTACCGTTATAGATTCGGTCGAGGATAAGCGAGGGGATCTGAGACGTCGACAAGGCAATAAGGGGTGTCGGGAGCCGTAAAGATGTTGCTGAGCGAGAGAACAATGGAAACAATAAACGATTGTAGCGAGATAAAGGGGCAGAAGTAGCAGCACCGGGCGCATGTAGGGACGGTGAGCTAGCAAAGCTGCCTTGTAGGGGGGAAACTAAAAAGGTGAAGGAAAAAAGATGAAGCTGATGATGATGCAAAGAAGAAGAAGGGAAAAGGACAAAAGGAAGAAACGAGAGGTCGTGTGGTGTGCGTTTCGAAAAGAAAGAAAAAAAATATGGGAACCAGTACGAGGCGGCGCTTTGGCAGTGACACCTGCAGCAGCGTTCAGCGCCAAACGGGGTGGTGGGTTGGAGGCTCACTCACACAGTGTGGTGGATGATGCACGGCATACGATGCATCAGCGGGCGCAGAGGGTGGTGGGGCACTGGAGACGGTGGCTTTTTACCGGGTTTTGGGCGCTAACGTTTTTACGAGGGTCGCCGCCATCCATATCCGCACTGTGAGGTAGCCACGTATTTATGCTGTGCGCCATACAGTGCAAACTGGGCCTACGACGGTTGCTGGTAGGTCTTGTGCCTGAGCGGGCGGGCCGCACCCTTCTACCCCCCTAAACTTACTTTGCGGTCCCCTGACGCTTGCACTGTTAGAGCAGCTCCTAGTGGAACAATAGACCAAAACACCCGCTATGGCGGCCGCCGGCAAGAAGCACAAGGGGGCCAAGACCGGCTCTGAGACAGGGCGACAAATGTGTTACCTCCGGAGGAAATAAGCCCAATAGAAATAGTATAACAGTGTCTTACATATACGAAGGGATTGTTAACATATTTTACACGTTTTTATAATTCCAGGTGGTCGCTGCATAAATTCAAACAGCCACGCCTTGATCTCTACCGCGTGTTGCTACGAAGTATTGGAGTAGGTATTTCATGCCAAACACCCAGTGCATCAGGGTCCTCAAACACCAAACACGCACTGTTTCTCGGCTATTCACCCAAACAGCCACTGTATGATGCTGATAAGCAGTACAGTATCAATAGCACCAAGGAATTATAGCGCCAAAAACTTGCTCTTTGTTTTCAAAAGTTGGCCACAACGGCATACAAACATACAGTGCGCCCCTCTTCCAAGGCCGCCCGCCCAGACCACTAGAAGAGAAAGCCGCCAACCGGCCTCTATCCTCTTTTTTTTATGGGCGCTGTGCTATTTTTGGAGGAGCTACAGTAGCTAGTGGAGCTTCTAGAACTTGCTCTGGAGCACTAACAGCCAGTCAAGCGGATGCTGATGATGACGATGACGACGACCTTTTGCCGCGCGCACAATTGCGAAGATGAAATTGAAATTAAAATTTGAAAAATCTAATTGCGCAATTCCCTCTTCAAACAAACTGATGTATTTCTTGTTCGCGGGCACAGACAGACACGGCAGCCAAATTGCACACCACCACCCACTAGCCCTGGCACTCACTGCAAGGCTGTGTGGATGGACGGCCTCCGTCGGACAGGGCTGGGGAAAGAAAGGAATACGAGGTGCAGGTCACATCTGCCAATCTTTGCTTAGTGTGGATCGATAGAATACTACCATACAGTATGGTATGTACAGTAGTGCTGCTGCTTTTTAGGGCAATTGCTGGCCATTGCAGTATTGGGAATAGTAGCGATTTCCAAGCTCTATCTACGGATCCCCCGCTGGCAAGAACAACCTTATTCGCACTTTTTATTGTCTCGTGTCCTAATGGGGACTGAATTATACTTTTCATGTTTCGTTTCTTTACGATTTGCTAATACAGACCCTTTTCACCGCAGATGCCACTCTATGCCGGTTTTTCTTGTTTTTATGCGTCTTGGCACCAGCGCTAGAATCTGCACCACATCGCCGTAGCTAACCACCCACCTCCACTCTTCACAATCAAGCAAGCAAAAGCAAGCAACTCCCGACGAACACGTCTCAAAACTACGAATCATCTCTTGGCCCTTTTCCTCTTGTAATTTCTTCTCCATCGTCGGCCATCAATTTTAACAGCGTACGTAATCCAAGATCCACGCTGCCTAACCAAAACGGAGCCACCGATGCGTCCAGAACAGATCGGCATTCGCCACCGCACAGCACCTAAGAAACAAAGATAAACGTGAATCATTCTTTTCATGCAGCAAAATCACATGGCATAGCCGAGAAGAATTCAAGCCTTGCGCTGCAAACGAGAGCGAAGGAAGAGTAGAACGAAAACTCTGATAGTGTGCCTGGCCGATGCTTTGCATAACGTGGCGCTTGTCCAGGCACACACAGTATGGAAACAAAACAAGTCCCGCATCCGCATATTTGTCGAATCAGGAAGGTTTTCGGACAGAAACGTATAAAGGCTTTTTTTACTGCGCCTTCTCAACAAAAAGAGGAACCGTAATGACAAAACGCATATCAGTAGCCAAGAAACCATACAATCTGGACCTCTTGCCTACCAGGGCTGCACCTTGTCCCGCAAGATAGCCTTGCCAACATCCTCATCTCGCTTGCCCTCTACAACGTCCCTGATAAACTCGCCACCGAGGGCCGGGTCTCCCGCACCCTGTTTCTGATTCGTCACCACGCTGCCACCAAGCCCAGTGGCCAAGTACCCGGGCGAGATGCCCCAGACCTTGACGCCGTCGTTGCGCAAGAAGCGGTGCCATTCCCTAAACGCGTAGCCATTCTTGTTAGTCTGTTCAAGCATAACGTTTTGTCAAAAGCAGGAAGTCATACCTCATGAGCATTGTTAATCCCGCCTTGGACGATCGATACGCAGGGATATTGCACTGCATGAACAGATCCGTCTTTGGCCAGCCCTTGGCCGGTACCGTATTAATAGGGATGTCTGGCACCTCTGAGATGGCTAAGGATGAAGTGCCGCTGACAAGGAACAGTAGACGAGGGTTGCTCGACTGGAGAAGCAGCGGTACAAATGTCGCCGTGACGACCTGTGTGCCTGCCGTGTTGACGTTCCAGCTCTGGTTCCATGCCTCGCGGATTGTCATTTTGCCTTCTGTAACCTGTGGATCAAACGATGCGCCTGTCAACAATGGTGTGAGAATCGTATAATGAGGCCTGCAGTCCGTTCATAGCTCACCAGCATTGTTAATCAAGACATCCAGTCGGCCGTACTTTGTCTTGATGGTCTCAAAAGCCGCCTCGATGGACGCATCGCTCTCTACGTCGATCTGTACCACAGAAACGTGTCCGTCAATGGCAGGGAATTCCTCGATCGCGTCCTGGACTGCCTTCTCACCCTTTTCGACGGACCGGGATCCAAGGAGAATTTCATACGAGACAGTCGATGCGGCGAGTGCGCGGACAGTCTCGTAGCCAATGCCTGTGTTGGCGCCGGTGATGAAGACAGTGTCGCGGTCCATATCTCTCAGAAGTTGGCTGCGAAATGTTTTGTTCGAGTGTTTCTGGTGATGAATGAGTGCGAGATGACTTTGTCTAAACTATGTTACGGTTTCTGCCCTGTAGTAAAAAGGCGCGCCAAAGACTGTCTGTCCTCAACTAAGCAAGGCTCGACCCCGCGATTTTAGTGTCCGTCGCTAGCACGTAGAATGTGGACGTCATAGCCCGCCTTCCGCGATCGAAACCCCGATACACCATAAGCATTCCATCTGGGACCTGAAAATGGACTCTTGCGAGGTATCTCTAATCACTAGGACGGTTCTAATTAACTCATCGATTGGGTTGCAAATCCAGATGGAACCTGTACACCATGTCTAAGGTAATCCGTTGTCCGGCCGAGATGATGCAACCAGCTTCTACACTCGAAAGCCTCCTGCGACCAACCACGCAATAAACCCATTCATCTTGAGGCTATACAACTCCAGACGATTTTCTGTAAACCCACCCGCACTATCTTCTGTTCCCTCGTCTCTTCCCTGCTCATAAGTAGAAACAATCCCGACGTTGCCCACAATCCAACCCGAGATCAGGCTGCGCTCTACAGTAACATGCTGGTAGCCGAGCGCTAAACAAATCAGGCTGTCCAGCGTGGCTTATCCAGTGCCCACGACATGTTTAAAGAGAAGCTGCGCCCATCCGACTCGTGTAGCAGGCAGCCTGGTCCCAAAAACATCTTCAAACCCCTCTAGTGACAAGGAAAAAATGGCAGACTTTGCGCTGGATCAAAACGTAGGCCTACGTCCTCTGCCGTATGCCGTAGCTCGCTTCCGCTAACAGCAGATTTTTTGCAGATGCACTACATCAAGCCTCGAGCCGCCAACTGCTACGCTTCGCTTCTCTTTTGGGTTGCACTCGCTTTTACCCTTGCGCTCGTGGTTCCCCTCGCCGGCCCTCGCCTGTTGCAAGCGCTAGGGTTCGTAGTGTGAGAGGCGATACCAGACGATAAGCAAAAACCCAAACCACACTCAGCAGAGGAAACCTTGGCAGCAGTGCGGCCAAAGTTCTCGACCGATACAGTGACGGACGCTTTGGCAAAGCTATGGATATAGCATAAATTAGCAAAGCTGCGCCTCGCCAATTCGCAAAGTCGGCTTACGCTGATCCTTATGCGATGATCACAGAGACAGCTTCAGCAGCATCAATGCGCACAGTGCTACAGCACAAAACACCAATATGCAGGTGGGATTCCACGCAAGACGCTGCGCCGAGCGCGTAATGTTATGCGACCACGTGTACAACGAGTCCGAAGACACTATTTATAGCCACTGAATAGAGTTTATATACATTAATGGTACATGTAGCAAAGTACAACTTACACTTAGCCTGGCATTTCTTTGTCAATAGCATCGCTATGTTGATTATTGAATCCATTCGTGCTGCAAAAGTTCGGCAGCCGTCTTTCGAGACCTTGGATCAATTATCAGCATACCCTTAATAAAGTCGATAAAAACATCGACTTCATAGTCATCCATATCTTGAGGCTTCAAAAAGGGTTCTGAGGCACCATTCAATAGCCGTTCAAGGTTGGTGAATTTGAGAGTGTCAATTCGAAGAAGATTTCCTATCAGCCGATTAGACAATGCGGGTAGAGTTCCTAAAAATATAAGTATACCTTTTGAATCAAACAATTCTTTACTTCGCTTTCCGATTGAAGAAATGAGGTTGGGAATGGGCCGATAACTTCGATAATCTGTGCCAAGTGATCGTCCTCGGCCGTCCAAGTCCCTCTCGCCGAAGGCGTACCCGTGAAGAGAACAATTCGTTGAATAAGTTCCACAAGCTAGGCATTGTCAGCATATTTCAAAACACAATATAAGAAAGAACATGTTCTCACAATACAACCAAGACTCCATATGTCGACCCCAGTATCCCATGGAGCCCCTATTGTTACTTCTGGAGCCCTCAAGGCCTGTGGCTGTATCAAGTCTCCTAGGTGCTTTGTCCTCCAAGACGCTACCGTAATATAAGTCCGGGTATTTCTCAATTGAAACGGTGGATTGACCTACCAACGCCAAAATCGACAATTCTAACTTTGGGGTGTGTAATCTCGGATATCGGTGGTGTTGTGATAGCCTCTCGAAGAGGTATCTGTGGCTTGGTTTCTGTCATTCGTGGAGCTACTAGTGAGAGATATTTCGACATGGCAACTTCGGGCTTTTCTAATTCCAAAAGTATATTTGTTGGTTTAAGGTCGTTAAATGGGACTTTGTTAGCAAGGCAAGCGGAACGAAGCAGACTAAATCTTGACATGACAATCACATACCTGTATGGATAATGCCACACTCTGTATGAAGATAATCCAATCCTAGCAACAACTGTTTTTCCAAAAGCTTTACTGACTTCACAGGCAGTCTGCCGCCTTTATATTTTGCTGTTTGGAAATCTAAGTATTGGCCAAGTACGTCGAACACGAGACAAACATGCTCTCCGTTTGGCCCAGTATGCGTAAACTTGTCAAGCAAGTGCAATACGTGAGATCGACCTTGATGAGAACTCTTTTGTGACACTTGCCAAATTTTGAACAGTATATCTGTTTCGAAAATATCATGATGGCCGCCATAACAATCAGCTCGGAGCATCTTGAGAGCAACGTATCTCGGATGTCTACATCGAATTAGCTCTGAAACGAGGAACAGAAAATAACCTACGTTGAGTCCCTGGCAAGCCATACTGTAGAATACTATCCATATCCCAGTTTCCTCAGGATGGTATATTGGTTATTATGAAACCTATCACCAAGCGCGATTGGATGGAATCCGCCAGGCTTGTAGTAATCGGGCTCTTCACCAGTTAAGCCATTTCGTACAGCCCTTATAAGAGGTGGTTTAGATGCAAAGATGTAGATATGCGCGATCGCGCTTTAGATAATGATGCCAGAATGGAATTCACGGTACCGAGGATCTCGGAGGATGAACCAATAGTGCAGGGATAGATGAAGTTGAGTCGACGTTCAGTTTGGTATGTCGCACGTGACGAGACGGACTTTGGGCACATTCTACCATGAGTCAGATACTACACATTTACTTCACAAAGCAGGAGACAATTATATTTGAAAGAGAAAAGAAAAATTCAGTACTAAAAGCCAGCAGAGCAAACTAACTAGTCCAGTTGTCAAAACACATTCCAAGTTACCAAACACACAAACAGTCATTACATAACCATCCAAACTCCAAAAAATCAAACCCAGAAAAGTCACAAAGCAAGCATACAAGAAACTAGTCATTAACAAGACAAAACATCCAAATCAAGGAACCAGTAATCATAACAGTCGGTATCGTTCGTCGTGTACTGTAATTGAAGCGCCGGTGTACATTCTACGCTACGTAATGTCAAGCTCCTAGGCTGTCTCAGCAGGTCCTTGGCTGCGAGTCTTGCGCTGAGTGCGGCCAACAGGCGGAAGAGGCTTCTTCTCACGCTTCTTCTTGGAGTCGCTTCGCTTGGGAGCCTCTGCAGGTGCGGTCTCGGTAGATCCGTTGGTGGGTGCAGCTGCTGGTTCGTCAAGCTTGACTTTCTTTTCGGCCGGTTCAGCGGGTGCAGAGACCTCGTCAGCCTTGCGCTTCTCGCCTGTCGATGATTCACTGGTAACAGACGGTGCAGGGGCTGGTGCTGCGGGGGCCGCAGCCGGGACTGGGGCAGCATCAACCTCTGTCATTTCAACATCTTCGGCGGGGGCGGCTGGCTCTTCAGCCTTGGGTGGCTGTAAGGGCTCCTCAGGAATCTTGAGCTCGGGGCGGGGCGTTCCGCCAGCTGGGGTTCTCATATCCACTGGTGTGTCAGGAACAGAGAGGACCTCAACAGGCTTAGGCAGATGTGCCGCTGCTGGTTTGAGCGCATCTACGATCGATGCAGCGGCGGGAGGCTTGGGTGCCTCTGCAGGCTTCGCAACCTCGACAGGCTTAGGAGCTTCGACAGGCTTAGAAGCCTCAACGGGCTTAGGTGCTTCGACCGGCTTAGGGGCCTCGACTGGCTTGGATACCTCAACTGGCTTGGACGCTTCCACAGGCTTGGGCGCTTCAACTGGCTTGGATACCTCGACTGGCTTAGGAGCCTCCACGGGCTTAGAGACCTCAGCCGGCTTGGGAGCTTCAGCTGGTTTGGGCAGTTCGACGGGTTTGGGTGCTTCAGCGGGCTTGGATACTTCGACAGGCTTTTCCACTGGCTTGGCGATTTCGACTGGCTTTGCTGGTTCAGCGGGCTTGGTGACTTCGACAGGCTTCGGGGCCGGTTCAACGGGCTTGGCGGTTTCGGCAGGCGGCTTGGGAGTTTCATCAAGCTTGGGCTGTTCGACGGGCTTGGCTACTTCAATAGGCTTCGGAGTAGTGTCAGGCTGGTTAAATGACTGGGGCGCTGGTGCTTCGAATGGTTGGGCGACAGGAACGGGCTTTGACTCTGCTTGCTGGGGGGCCTCAAAAGGCTTCACGGGCTCTAGTGTCTTAGGGGGTTCAGTTGGCTTCGAGAGCTCGGCAATGGACTGTACGGGTTCGTCCACTGACTTGGGAGCTGCAGGAGCGGCGGGCTTGGGGGCCTCGTCCTTGTGAGCCTCTTTGGGAGCAGCAGCAGCTGGTGCAGCAGGAGCTACAGCGGGAGCAGCGGCGGCGGGAGCTGGCGCAGTGTGGCTCTCAGAAGGCTTTGCCTGCTCAGGCTCGCCCCAGGTGGTGAGAGGTGCATCACTGGTGTCAAGCTTGAACGGTTTGGCGTGAGGGGCGTACTTGATACGCTCGAAACCATCAGCCTCGACGGCCTGGCTGGCGTTGCCAACAACAGACGGGAGCTTGTCAGCCATGTCGATGGGAGCTGTAGCTGGGGCAGAGGGAATTGATGGCGCAGTGGCAGTAGGCAAAGGGTCGAGGTGCTGAAACTGCTCGTGGTGTCTCTCAGGTGGGGCTGGCGGGCAAATGGCGACAAATGGAGGCAGTTTATCGTCCATATTCGATTGGGGCTCGACAGGAGGGGGCTGATGAGCCTGGTGCGAGACCTGGTGATGGGCGGTTCCAACTAGAGAGAGAATGTTAGCGTTGAGATGCAGAGAAACAAACCAAAGTGACTGTGGTGATGATGGTGAAGTGAGGTTGCAGCTGTGGCCTGCGGCGGGTGGGGCTTTTGTCTCTGGTGCTAAACGGCGCCATCGACGCAGAGCAGGGGCCAGCAGACGACAAAGCTTGGGTTGTGGCCCGCGACAGCGCAAAAGAAACTATTTGGAAAATATCTTCTAATAGACAAGGGGGTTGGGAAGCATGTAGTCTGAAAGGGATAAATCTTACCTCCGTTGAAGCCGTGGTGGAAGCTATCGGCCATGATGGATGAATGACGTAAGGATTCAAGGGTCCAAAAATAGGCTATCGGGAGAATGCTACTCGAAGAAAGAGACGAGCAGTAGCAGAAGACAAGCCAGAATCTGGTGCGATTGCAAAGCGTATTGCGCTGATTCTGCTCCTTGTTTGCGATGGCAAAGACAGCGGCTGACTGCTTTTGCTGGTTGGCGCGACTGAAGCTGAAAGCGACGCTAAATCGACTATAGCAGTAGTAGCGCAGTAGTAAAGACAGAGGCGTCTAATGAGCCACAAGTTTGGGATGTGGCGGAATCTCAAGACGCGCGGTGGTGGTTGTGGATGGAAGAAAATATTCCAGAGAAATAAAAGAAAGGAAAAGAAGACTTGTAGATGCAGGAAGGAAAAACAGACGAAGGGGCCGCGGCTGGAAGAGAGTTGCACTAAAAGCAGGTTCGCAGGTTTTGTATGGCCGCACCCAGAACGGGCGACTTTGGGGGGGGAGTGTGCCAGGGTTCCTGGCCGACGGGATGTACCCTACACAGTGTGCAGTGGCTGTCCGCGGGTGGCTGGTTGCTGCAAAATACTAAGAGCGCCACCTACGTTGAACAGTGCAAATACCGGCATCGACACTGCGCAGTGACTTTGCCCGTGTGCGGCGCCATGCACCCAGCACAAAACAGCCGTGACGGTTGCGGGGAACTAGCGAGAAGACAGTTTCGCCCGAAGTGGCAAGTAGTGGGTCCTCCATCAAGAATCTCCTTTGCACAGGCCACCAGCCAATAGGAAACGAGATGGGTAAGGAGCAAGTGGGGCTTCCGTTGAACTGTGTGCACGCGAGGACGAAGAAGCGCATCATGTGATGTGAAAAGTAAACGTAAAAATTAATATGACTCTTCATGACTACTAATTTAGGGAGGCTGGGCTTTTTGGAATTTTTAGTAATTTTTATTATTCTGTAAGGACCTGCTAAATGGTGGTTATCGCAGTGGGGTACCTGGCTGTCGTCTGGTCTTCATTTGCACAGGGCCGTTTGCACAGGCACACCAGGTACCGCACTGGTTTGGCTCCCACAACAGGCGCATCGGTACACATTCACACAGGGCTGCAAATTGTAAAGTCAAATTGATCGTGTTTCAAATCTTTTGGCAAATGCTGCTACCAAGTTTTCACGGAATTTAAAATTGTATTTCTCTGGTTTACGATCTCACCACTGGTAAACAGTACTGTTGTGAACAGCGTCACACTGCCAGTGCGAGCAGCGCCACAGCCTGATCTCGGCGTCTTCATTCAAGTCGCCGGCTGGCCGTATAAATATCGTCTGTATCTGTCTATAAAATTTTGGGAAACAGTATGGAAGAGAAGAATTTTGAATTAATTTTCACAAAAAGCCTATTATCCCCATTATATCATGGCTTCTGCAGACGAGATCCCTCTTCCCTTCATCACCAAAGTCTTGGGTGCATTTGGCATTGCCCCAAGTTCGTTCAACGTGGAGCGCAACGCAAAGGCAACCAACAATAACGTCTTCTTGATTCATCTCGAGGAACCTACCACGTCTGATCTTCTTTTTAAGTCTGACAAGCCACTACCACTGGCCAACGCAATCCCAACCGGCACGTCAAGCCTGGTGCTGCGCATCCCCAAAGTCGACAACAATGTGCAAGACAATGTTCGCGTCCGCAATGAAGTCGCCTGTCTACATCTTGCACGACAGGCATTGTTGGAGGCCGATAAGCCTCTAGTTCCTCGGGTGTTTTCCTGGAGCGACGCCACTGCTGCCGCTGGTGATACTTTTGGTGATGATGACAAGGACTACATCCTGGAAGAGTTCCTTGGCGGTGAGACGATGTCCTGGGACGAGCTCAAGGCGCTCAATGAAGAAGACCGTGCTGCTGTCTGCGCCCAATTTGCCCGCATAGCCAAGGTGTGGCAAGAGTACCAACTCCCTGACGACATCACTGGCTACGGCAGCATCACCTTTGATGACGCAGGGCGCTTCGCAAGCACAGAGTCTATCTTTCGAGTCGGCGGGCCGTACGAAACATACGCAGACTACCTCAACGCCACTATACAATGGCAGCTCAATCAGAGCGATAATGTTGCTTATCTCGGCGGGTGGAAGACGAACAAAGACTTTCCTGATCTTCGATTACGGATTAACACATTCATTGCCAACAAGCTGCCTGCGCTGCTGGCAGATATCCCAGAACACAAACCATGCTTGATTCATGGCGATTTGAGTATGTTGACAGCGATTTGAGACAAATTTCACCACTAATAAAATTGTACAGCACTACCAAATTTACACTTCGACAAGAAAACCAATAGGTTAGTAGGTATATTGGACTTTGACTTTGGCCACATTGGCAGCCCACTCACCGAAGCTATGTACTCATTTGCCGAATTCGGCGGGCTTCTCTGGGGCAGGGGCGACGATGACGAGCGCAGTGCTCTTCTTTCAGGCTTCCCTGAGCCTGTGAAAGCTGAGGATGCATTGGGCCATGCTTGGGACAAAGCTCTTGCAGCAGAAGGTGCCCAACGCCCGTCGACCATAAAGGAGGCTGAGCTGGTTAGCGACTTGTGGTGGTTTGGACAGGAGCTGTGTTACTTCCACTGGCTTCTGCCCAGATTTCACGAAAAGATTACCGACGAGCAAAAGAAAAAGTCGTTTGACAAGTCGGCCAAGGCGATTGACGTCTATCTCAAGCACTGGGGTTACTGAGACAAGGGTGGGAGGCGACGCTGTCGATCCCTGTATTTAAGCGCTGTAAATACAGTTGCCCAAATAGGAAATCTGCTTAACTTATAGCGCTGGCCCTGCGCGGCTGAGAGCAAATATTGTCTAACAAACGTACCTAAATAAATATCCTGGATATAAAAAATGTCCAATTAAAATATAGATGAATCAAAATAACATTTTATTTCATAAAAAAAATAAATTAATAGACCCCAAGCGGCACTGGGTTGCACCGCGCAAACTGCAGAGTTCATTCTTCAGGGGGCCGATGCTGTGATTAGTCATTTCCGACAAGCTGTCAACACCAAAAGCTACGTCTCCTGGAACGCGCTGCGCCGCCCACCACCACTCGTCAACCGCACCAACCCAACTTCCACACACTCCTTACTTTCTTTTCTTCTCTCGCCTGTTTGAGCACAAAGCTCGGACTTCTCTACGACTCCTCCTCGGCACCTGGAAAATACCCCCCCCCCCTTTCTGCCAATCCGCACGACCAATCTGCAAACGAATCCCTACCCCCTGACGAAACACGAACTTTCGCAATAACCAACCCTTCTCCCATCGCAATGGCTCCCGCTAAGAACGCCTCTGGCGACAAGTACAGCATCATCCTGCCCACCTACAACGAGCGCCGCAACCTGCCCATCATCACCTGGCTGCTCAACCGCACCTTTACCGACGCGTTAGTCCCCATCCTCCGATCTGGCATCAAGCCACTATAAAGTAACAAGAAAGAAAACTAACTATTTACCACAGCAAGCTCGACTGGGAACTCATCATTGTCGACGATGGCTCGCCCGACGGCACCCAGGAAGTAGCCAACCAGCTCGTCAAGGCCTACAGCCCGCACGTCCTGCTCAAGCCTCGCGCCGGCAAGCTTGGTCTCGGCACGGCCTACGTCCACGGCCTGCAGTTCACCACGGGCAACTTTGTCATCATCATGGACGCCGATTTCAGCCACCACCCCAAGTTCATCCCCGAGATGGTTGCCGTCCAGAAGAAGGCCAACTACGACATTGTCACCGGCACCCGCTACGCTGGCAACGGCGGTGTCTACGGCTGGGACCTCAAGCGCAAGTTTGTCAGCCGCGGCGCCAACCTGTTTGCCGACACTGTCCTGCGCCCTGGCGTCAGCGACTTGACGGGCTCGTTCCGTCTCTACAAGAAGAGCGTCCTGCAAAAGGTCATCTCGAGCACCGAGAGCAAGGGCTACACCTTCCAGATGGAGATGATGGTCCGCGCCAAGGGCATGGGCTGCACTGTCGCCGAGGTTCCTATTTCGTTCGTCGACCGTGTCTACGGCGAGAGCAAGCTCGGTGGTGACGAGATTGTCGAGTATGCCAAGGGCGTCTTCTCGCTCTGGCTCAAGGTTTAAAAAGACCACGCGCACACGGTGTAGTACCAGGAGCAAGGAACTTTGATGACTCGTTTTTTTTATTTTGCACGGAGGAGACGTGAAAGGGCAGCGTTCCAAGGCCGGAGCTGCCGCATGTATGTACATTGGGATGCAGTTGTAATCTTTTGTAGCGTAGCGCCGCACACAACCCAGCGGGTTGCCTACCAAAAACTTAATTCAAAAAGCTCATAATCTCCCATATCTTGTTGTCCACTCATGAAGAAGAAAAGTTCATTTAACATGCTACATACGCTAGTCGTTTTGTTTCTATTTACACAGAGCTGAAGGTGGGTTTTTACATGTTGCGTCCGCCGGTAACCATGATAGTTTGTCCCGTAACGTACGAGAAGAGAGGGCTAGCCACAGCCAAGATGCTGCTGGCCGCCTCTGTCGCTGTGCCAGGTCTGCCAAGGGGGATATCCTTAAAGGCGCCCTCTGCGCGAGCATCCTTTTGCTTCTGCGGGATGCCCAGAGCAATCTTCTGTCCGTCGGGGCCCTCAACAAAGGCACCCGCCTCTTTAGCAGCCGTTAAGCGTGTAGCAATATGGCCAAAGGCAATAGCATTCGATCGGACGCCAAACGCAGGTCCCCACTCTTTGGCGATGGTCTTTGTGAAGCCAGTGATGCCGGCCTTGGCCAGCGCATAGTTGATCTGGCCTGCATTGCCATTGACGCCCGACGTCGACGACACATTGATGATGGAGCGCGGCTCGCCGTCCTTGACGCGGAAGTACGGGCTGGCCGCGCGCACCAGGTTGAATGGCGCCGTGCAATGCAGCGCGATAATCGTCTCCCACTGCTTGTCGGTCATCTTGTGGATCACGCCGTCCCAGGTATATCCGGCATTGTTGACAATGATGTGGATCTTTCCGTTACCAAACTCGGCCGCCTTCTGGATAAGCTTCTTGATGTATTCGGCGTCCATGATGTCGCCAGCCACGCTGATGGCCTTGCCGCCCTGTGAGTTGATGCTCATGGTCACCTTGTCGGCCTTGACTGTGATTGTGCATTAGTAAGAGGAGACTGCGTGACCTTCAGGGTGTTTCGTACGGTGGTCAATGTCTGCAATGACGACTTTGGCGCCCTCCTTGGCAAACAGACGAGCCGTCTCCTCGCCAATGCCCTGCCCGCTGCCCGTCACAATGGCGACTTGGCCGACGAGCAGGCCGCGGGGGTAATTGAGCTGGTTGACGAGCTGGTTGACGCGGTCGGCCATTTTGGATATGTGCAGCTGCTGAGATACAAAAGGAAGAAAATGTCGAAATAGAGGAAAATGTGGTAAAAGGAAAGCAAGTTGCCGGACCTGGGGGGGTGATGGAAATGGGTTGGCAACCGAGGTTCCCCGCAAAAATCGGTAATCGCGGCCGGGCCCGGTTATGCTGCACGCCGGTCCGGAGGTTAAGCGGACTTTTTACCCCAGACGGAGTATTGCACCATATTCTGCTTAGTATTGGTTGTGAATTATTTCTTTATAGGAAAGTGATGCTGTAAAAGCTATAAACACTATGAAACAGAATAAAAGAAAGTCAATGTACAAAAAACAAACGAATGGAAAGTATGTCATGTTGCTTCATCCTCATATCTTCATTACTTTTTCGCAGGCAAGAGTCGGCCATTTACCCCAGATGGGTGACCTTGATATTGTCAAAGGTGGCATCGGTTTGGAAATTGCGCACACCGTTCTGGCCGCTCTTCCACATGCCGTCGTTGACATGGATCTTGGGCGTATTCATATCATCAACATAAACCTTGATATCGTCACCCTTGGCCACCACGCGCATGTGGTGGAACGAGCGAATCGCCACATCCAGATTCGTGTGCGCCAGCTCTGTCCAGCCATTGTTGACGCGGCCAAGCACAACGTTGCCAATAGAGCTCAAGCCCGCATAGTAGCCCTTATAGGCGTCAGTGCCAATGGTCGGGTCCGAAGCGCGGAAGATGAGGCCTGCGTCACCTCCGTTGACATAGTCAATCTTGATGTCGCCGTCATACGTAAAGTCGGTAAAGTTGGTGTCGAGCATAGCCTTGCCGCCAAATGCAAAGATAACCTGCAGAGCGCCAGAAGTAGGATCCCAGTGGCCGTCGTACTGCTGCCAGCCGACCATGTTGCCGTCTTCAAAGTTGTCATGGACCAGCATCTTGACGGGCTGGATGGTGCCGTCGGCGTTGAAGTGCATGCGGTCGTACGCGAGGTGGCGGTCGTTGTCGCCCTTGGAGTGGAGCGGGTGTCGGTGGTAGATGATGTAGTAGATGTCGGTGCCGGGGACGTGGATGACGCCGTTGTGGCCAGAGCCAGTGGCTACTTCGGCGTCTTGTTCGAGGATCTTGCCGAGACGGTTGAAGGGGCCGGTAGGCGAGTTGGACATGGCGTACGAGACAGCATAGTCGGGGCCGCCCCAGCCGCCTTCGCTCCAGAAGAGGTAGTAGACGCCGTTGCGCTTCATCATCTGTGAGCCCTCGGTGTAGTTGGCAGGTGTGATCTCCTTGTACTGCGTGCCGTCGTCAAAGGTGCCGATGCTGATCATGTCGTCGTTGAGCTTGGCGACGTTGGCGTGCGAGTGGCCACCATAGTAGATGTATGCCTGGCCATCGTCGTCAATGAAGACGTCTTGATCAATGGGCTGAGCGCCATTGTGGTAGTCGTCAATGAGCGGCGCGCCAATGGCATCGAGATAGGGACCTTCAGGCTTGTCCGCAACGCCAACACCAATGCCACCGACTTGACCATCGCCAGGTTGGATATCGTTTGCGCCAAAGTAGAGATAGTATTTGCCGTTGCGGTGAATCGGCGCAGGGGCCCAGACAGCACGGCGAGCCCACTTGAAGTCGGAAGCCTTGAGGATGTTGGGGTGCTTTTTCCAGTGGACCAGATCGGGCGATGAAAAGGCATCAAGATAGGTCTGAGCATCGTACTCGTATGAGGACGTGGGGTAGACCCAGTACTCTCCGTTGTAGAATTCATTGTCTGGGTCTGCATAGTAGCCCTCGACAAAGGGGTTTCCAGCTTCCGACGTCTCAAAGTCTAGCGATGGATTCCTGGGAGCAGGAGCAGCCGAGGCGAGGGCAGCCAAACCGGCCGCAACGAGGATAGAGGAGCGCATCTTTGCAGAGTCTTGTTCACAGAAAGATGATAGACTGCAAAAGACAGACAAAGAACAGAGTCAAGTGATCGCCGATGCCCTCAACTTTATACCAGCGACATCCTGGGTTGGTTGGTACCCCTCATCCACGAACAATGTAACGCTGCAGGCAGAAAGAGAGGCGAGAAATCAATGAACAAAGAACTTGTGTGTAAGCAAGCAAGTCTCCGGAGCTAAATTAGTGTGACGCTCTTGTCACCAACTTGGATTTCTGGGTTGGCTCGGCGGACGCTCGGCCATTTAGCAGCGAAGGAGGTTGGGAGGGGGTGACGTTCGGCTTGGACTTCCCCGCAGGCCATGCTGGGTGATCAGCAGTGCAGCGCAACGGTTCAGTGCGGGGAGGGGAGGACGAGACGGGAGGTGGTGGTGGTGGCGAGGCCGGGAGAAGCAGAAAAAGAAATGCAGGAGGGAGATAATTGTGCAGTAGTTTGAAACCATTATTTTGCATTGTATTGGTAAAAACAGAGAGTAACATTTGAATATATTTTTGCTAGTGAAGATAGTGGTTGGGCAAAGTGAGATATAAGTGAGTAGAGACATCTTCTCAGTCCTTTACAACAGCCAGGCATATACCATCTTCTCAAAATAATACCGGTTGATATTCCATGCATATCCTCTTTAAGAATTTTTATTATTTTATTTGTATTACACATCTCCTGCAGCAATCTCCCTTGCAACACCTCAGCAGCATCCCCAGCCACGCCCTAAATCCATCCCCTGTCGCCCACTAACAGCACCTGCACCACCCCCTGTAGCTCTCCCGCTAAACCCCTCACGCCGCCCCGCTGAAAAAAAGAGAGCTGCCCCTCAAACCCCCCACAGCAGCACAAGACCAGGTCTCGTTGTCTTCTTCTCACATTCCCAATTTCCTCGCCTTCACATCATCATCGCACACCTTGCTACAGTCAATTCTCTCGACCAATACCGGGACAATGCGCGCCACTCTCCTCGCCGCCGCATTGGCCGGCGCCGTCACCGCCTTTGAATACAACCTCCTCATGGGCTCCATCATCGAAGAGCACCACGCAGCGCAGGTCGCCGCCGGAACAGAAGCCCAGGACGAGGGCTGTGCAAACCTCCTCATCCAGGCCATGGAAATCATCCCGACACCTGCTCCCGACTTTATCGACGCCCTCTCCGCTGGACAAATCGATGGCCAATGCCCCATGACGGCACCTGTCCGTCTCAAGAGCGAGATTGATAGCTTCTCCAAGGACATCAACTCATGGGCATCCAACATTATGAGCACGCTGCACAAGAGCAAGGAATGTGGATTTACACAGTCCGAAGTGCCCACGCCGACAACAGACTGCCCTGTTCAATATATCGAGGAGACGGCTGTACCAGAGGCAGAAGACGCCGAGGATGCCGCAACGGACGACAAAACAGACGAAGCGGCGGGCGAGGAGACTCAGGAGAGGGTTGAGGGAAAGACCGAGGAGAAGGTTGAAAAGGATGAATTGTAAAACGACAAACATGTACATATAGTCTATTGCCCGCCCTTTTTATACGCTTAATACCCCTACAGTTTGAAGTCTGCATTTGTCTTCTCCCATCCCAGCGGCGACTCTTGCAATCCCGCCACCTTTTCTGTTAGCTTGACCTTGAGAACCTTATTCTTCTCTGTGCAAAGTTCGTACATTGTGCACAAGTTAAACAAGAGTGTGTGAGACGAGAGTCCCGAGTCGACCAGTTGTTCCAGCAGATCCCGTCCCTGTGCTGTAGTGTTAGCGTAGTTAGAATAGTCATCTTCAAGTCTACTCACCTCTTGTATGCGTCCCAGATATAGCAAGCAAACGGCCGCATTTACACTAATCATCTCGTCGCCTTTGCCGCTGTTATCCAATAAATCTCGCCAACGGCTCAGTGCGAGCTCGTATTCCGCCTCGGCCATATCGCACAGAGCTTGGATAATCTCTTCTGTCATCTTATTGTCTGTGCATCGCTCCGCGCATTCCCTTGCATTGTCAGAACTGCCCAAATGCAGCCACAAGAGCGCCTTGGAAAGCTCCAGCTTGCCGTCACCACGGCTACGAAGCGTCTTGAGGTGGTGCGCAGCGCCTGACAAATCATCCATACCAATCAGAGCGCTAGCCACCTTGATGCCTAGATCATGAAGGCGGACTTTCCACAGCTCAGTGGCCGAGTTGTCGTGCTTGCCAGCTGCCTTGGTTACCTGTTGCCGAGCTTCCCTTGCCAGGTCGTGGTAGCTCATGACGGCGCGTCTTGGGTCACCAAAGCCCAGGGCTTGCAGACGCACGTTGAGCACGCGCAGCTCCCATGGGACAAGATGCTCGCCTGTCGCCTCATCGACATAGGTTCGTACACTGTTCAAATCCTCCAGTGCCTTGACTTCTTGTGCAGCCAGCGGCGTTGCCTCTATCAGGGTGAGGCATGCCAGGCGTACGTAGAGCAAGTCAAAGATGCGCTTCGAGTTGCGGGGATCCAGGCCGCCTACCGCACTTGATCCCGTTAGCTCTTGAACGGCAGCGATAGCGGCAGCTCGGAAATGGCCCTTTGCCAGCAGCTCCTCTGGCGATGAGTTTGGGTTTGGCTGTTTCGCTGACGTCCGAAAGGCTTGCGGGACGTTTAGTGGCGTCAGGGGGTGGTAGATCTCTGGGCGGAGAAGGAAAGAAAAGTCATTTTGTCTGTTTTCGCCAATGTTGGCAATGGGAGACGACGGATCTTGGGGAAGTGGTTTGGAGGTGGATCGTCGGATGGTGCTGTTTGGGTTAGGGCTGAGCTGTGCGGGAGAAGGGCTCATGGGCGCTGAGCTAGCGGGTGATGATAACGGGTCACTGTTGTTGAATTAGTACGGGTGCATCAAGAAAGTGAAACAAGTACAAACTCTTCAACATCGAGAGGACCTTTGGTGGAGGAGCGTGGCCGTGATGCTGTCATTTGTTAGCTCTGCGCGGGGATATCAAGAACCATATCTCATGTACAAAGAACCAACGTACCTTTTGTTAGTGACGGCTTGTTCTTTCCGTGCCCTTTGGAAGAGTCTTTTGTATTCGAACTCATCCTGGGTGGCGAGTTGTGGTGAGTTTGGTGGCCTATGTAGTTGATGAGCAAGGCGAGGTTGAGGCAAGCCGGATGAGCTCCAGCGCGCGTACTGTGTGGATTCATTCTACATACCGGGTAGCTCGACGTGGAAAGCTGCCAATGGATGTCCTGGCCTTTGAGAATACTATCAAAAATAAATATTTATTTTAAAAATGTTCTATTATCTACTAAAAGTATATCAGCAGCAGAACTCATCATATACAGTTAATGTCTTCGAGAAAAGATCTGGATATACCAGAGACGCTACTGTTCTATGGGTGCACCAGCAAGAGGTCTACGGCAGTTTGCCTAAGTCAATCAAAGCTTCTTTCCTAAGCAAATGAGATAACTAGTAATAATTAATTTATTTATCATGATATTAAACCTAATAGAACGCTCATCCAAAATGTTAAAGTGCAAAAGGAGTCTACAGTTGATGGACAGTGTCAGTTGGCGAATTTGTCACACTGTACGCGTGGAGCTCCAAAAGTATATACCCTTCAATTCCAGCAGAGCTTCACTCTGCTCTGATATCAACAAGACACTCTGCACCAAAACACCACCGTCCAATCGCCATATAATACCAAATAAAATACAAGGCAATTTTGAGTTGGGCACAAATCATTATGGAATAACGCTTTTTACATATTGGCTGTCACGCCGTACTAGACTCCCCTAGAGGCACAATCACGACATGGCAACAAGACGTTCAGCTCGCGCCAGTCGCGCTAAAAGTTATACAGAGAACATTTACGATTCGGAATCAGATGCAGGCACAGAGAATTCAGCAGCCCCAGTAAAGAGGACACCGTCACGATGGAAACCGCGGGTACAGGATGAAGAGGAATACTCGGTAGTCGACCATGAGGAGGGCGATCTGGATATGCCAGATGCCGGTGAAGAAGAGGAAGAAATCCCCCGCGCCAAGAAATCACCAAAGAAGGTCATTTATAAACCAGCGAAAAGCGCGGCTATCCAGGAACCAGCAAACTTGAAATACGTTGACCTCGCACTGGCCACACAGGACGCTGAGGACGCCAAAGGATATGTCGGATCAACGGATCGCGGAACCCACGGCAATGCGCTCATCTCGGCGTGGTATGGCCCAGATGAGCTGTCCCTAGAAATTTGCGAGGCTATGCGCTTCCGCTGGGCACCTTGGAAAGTTCTTCCGCCGAAAGGGCGGCCCTTAGATTATCCTCTTCCCGAAGTTGCGCCTTGGGTGGGGGACCGTGACGCCAGATACAATTTCACATATGCGCAGCGATGGGTGGACAGAGTACGGAAGGCTACAAAGTCGAGTGGGAAAACGACTGAGGTCGTGAAGAAGGCAGACATTGGTCATTACCAGCCGCCGCGACGGGACATGCCCGTCTTTATCGGTGCCCATGACGATCCAGAACGACTGACGATGGCGCCGGGCGACGGCTTCTGCCTTTCGCAAGCGGGTATTCCCTACGAAACAGACACGGGAGCTGAAAAGGTAACAATGGGCTGGATGTTTGACGTTGGCGGCATAGCAACCAGCATGGACTGGGCGCCACGAGAAGGCAAAGATGCTACGCAGCAGCTTGCCCTGGCTGTTATTCCTTTCGAGGATCATGCGCCATACGACTACCTTGAGGAAGCATCCAAGCCGGATTTTCAGAAGTATGGCACTGTACAACTATGGGAGTTTCGCGGGCAACCGGTAGAAACGGGGTTTATAAGTCCAGCAATAGGCAAGCCGATACACAAGTGGACGCTGTGTATGGATCATGGTCGAGCAAAACGGGTTGCTTGGAGCCCGCTGTGCAGCTTCCTCGCTATCATTTGCGGCGATGGAAACGTCTATGTCGTAGATGCGGAAGCATCACACGAAGGACTACGTAAGTGTCTCTGCTCATCATCTCGCGACTTCATGAGACTAACTCGACACAGATAAAATGATACAACCTACAGCTACATTATCCCTTGCCAATGAACCAGACGTCAGGGGCACTGCAATGACATGGATCACGATTAACCGCCTCGCAGTAGGCTACTCAGACGGCTCTATTGCGCTCTGGTCGATCCAGCCCCGTCGTCTACTCTCTCGCCACCCAGTGCACCATACCACGATTGTCGGTATGGTTTCTGGTGCACCAAGCCGGCCTTACATGGTTGCTTCGTATCCCGTCGGCGGAACAAATAAGCTTATCGACCTACGATCTCCCAGCATCGAATCCACCGAGGTGCAAAGTACAGTCATCAACCCGCAGGCCCATCTCATTGGCTACAGCGACCACCTGCTCGGCTTCATCATGCTGAACCCAAGTTCGCGCGCAGTTAATGCAATTCTCACGTTTTCGCATTACGCACACTTTCCCATGGTGCGAACACTGTGTACTATGGATAGTCTGCCGACATGTCTGTCGGTCGGTCGAACACATCCATGTCTGCTTGTCGGCACGTTAGACGGAAGTGTATGGTGCATGAATCCTCTCGCCGAGCTTCTCAGCACACGCTACGTCACTATGGGCCGGTTACGCATCTTCCAGCACGAGCATGTGTCGGCACGTTTCCACCAGCCCGACACGCCAGCAGCAGTGCGTGGCACGTCGCGGATTATCCATGGCTTCGCGTTAGAAACGAAGCCGGAGAAGGCGGAAGGTAGGCAGGCCGCGCCTAAACCGAAGAAGAAGAAGGCCAAGTCTGCTACCAAGACTGACTTTGAGTCGGATGATGATGGAGAGGGCGGAAGTGGTACTACAAAGATGTTTATGAATGATCCTGGCACGAGAATATGTTCCGTCCAGTGGAATCCAAATGAGGCGTACGGGTGCTGGGCAGCCGCTGCCATGGCGTCTGGCTTGGTGAAAGTAATGGATCTGGGTATAGAGCTAGCATGATAATGAAACATTATGTATTCTCTTCGTCTATATATGTAACGTCATCTCATATATACAATCCTCTAGTAAGCGTAAAGTCTATGCTGCGCAGACGCCCTTCATAACAGTATGATGGTAATCAAATGCCTTGGCCATGCCGTAAAAGTGCGTCAAGGCCGCCATGAGCACAAATATGTGGAAAATCTGGTGCGAATGGCCCCAGACGTCGAATTTGCCTGGATGATTTCTCTCCGGCCATCGAACCTGTCCCAAGTTAGCATCTCGCCCCGTCCAACACTCGCCATACAAAGACTTACAGCATACAAGACGGCGCCAAAGATGTACATGGCGCCGTGCAGAATCACCAGCCCGACGCTCATTCTATCATCCACCGCCTGGAACCCGTCCTGGCTGATACCATGTACCACGGGAATCACACCCGACAGCCCCAGGCTAATGAACATGGCAGCGCGATATGGCCGCCAATCCGGCGTCCTGAATCGTTCCACCCACGAGACTGTCGCGCAGCCAGCTCCCAGGATACAAATCTAGACTCCGTGTTAGCACCACTGCCATCCTCCCCATCATCTATGTTGCAAGCAGCCACATCCAACTTACAAGATAGAGATAACTCTGCAGTAGCACAGGCTGGCAGTAAAACCCGTAATACAGCGCCGGCACATAACTTCCCACAATAAGCGCCACGATACCCGTATAATCCAGCTTATTCCCCCACTTGGCAACTTGCTCACTATGGTCAACGAGCCCATGATACGTTGCGCTCATGCCCAGACAGAGCATGGCGCCGCCAAAGAAGCACGCAAAGACAGCCACGTCCGTGAAATTAGCGTACTCGAGGTACCGCGGCCTAGCGACATTGTAGATGTACACCGATGAGGCTGCAAAGATGGCGCACCCGATGAGATGGCTCCAGATGTTGACCGACTCATTGTGCAGATAGAACAGTGAGCGCAGAGCGTGTGTATAGGACGGTGTGATGCGGCGGTACGATGTGTGAATGAAGGCGTTGTCGCGGCGCCATGGCGGCAGGTCGTCCCAATGGATCAGCAGGGACAGCTTCTCTGGTACCGCCGTGACAGATGATGCTTGTGAGGCGTCGCGGCGTTTGCGCAGCTCCCTGTCCGAGGCCATGATGGGTTGGCGTGGTAAATAAGGGAAATTACAGATGATGTTGTAGAATCCAGGCAATGGGGTGGATTTATGGTGGATTTGTATGCTGGTGAGTTTTGTTGGCGACGCGTGTTTTTGTTGGGAACAAGCACATGTTTTAACTTGCAAGATTCCGAGGCTCCGAAAATTTGGTGGTGAGGATTTTTGCCATGTACAAACGACTCGCGTCGGCATAAATGAGGGAAACGAACCATGCAAAAATCAAAGATACAAACATAATAGCGGAGTATGAAAACGAGAGGCAGACTATAAAGCGATTTTCAGATGCTACTGGAGACTGGTTTGTTATCATTGCCGTCAAAAGGGCATCGTGCGTCACATTCATGTCTGTTTTGGTATTCATCTAGCCTGTGCTGCTGCACTCGCCATCGCTCATGGCAAACATACAAAAAAAGCACCCATTTTATTTCCGGTATATAGAAACGCCTAAAGAAAAGGTTCCTTTTTCCCTGTCTTTCATCACTGGCGCGAGCCGCTGCGCGCGCACAGCTTGGCCCGTCCACCGGTAGCATCTCGCTGGAAAGCGTTGGCAGTCCTCTCGTTGGATCAGCGTCGTCTTTCATCTGCGCCATTTCGAGTACATCGTAGTCGGACGTCGTGGTCGAAAGCACGCGGAGAGGGGCATCAGCGCACACAGCGTCAGCATCGAAGCGCAGGCACTTTATTTCTTGCCGCTCTTCTTGATGCCCTGGTTGCCGGTGTTGAGGGGACCCTTGCCACCAGCCTTGGCGGCGAGTTCCTTGCGGGCCTTTTCGTCTGCATTATCACTCTGTTAGCTGGCTGGCACTACATGGAACTATTACACGACGAAAAAGACGTACCGGCTCTCTTCTTCTCAAGAAAGGCGAGATCGTCCTCATCGAGGTCCTTGTTCTGCTTCTTGGGAGCCTTGAGGGGCTTCACCTTGCCACCTGTACATTTTGCCAGAGTCAGTCACCGAGTCCCATAGAAGCACTGAGGGACGCCTACCTTCGCGGTTCGTGCCACCCATGGTGATGAAAAGGGACGCGGGGTTATTTCGTTTTCGCGGTCAAAGTAGAGCGTCTGGAAGCCCTTGGCAGCAGCAGCGTCGAGCACGTAGCCGTCGTTGTCGCTGGAGTCGTATTCGGGGGGAGTCTGCGGCAACGAGGAGTCGGAGCAGGCAGAAGGGGAGGAAGCGTCGTGAGAATACAGGGCAGAGGAGGGAGACCAAATTTGACGTTGGCGATGTCCGCGGGCGGTGGTGCCGTCAAAGGGAGCCCCGCCAAGGCAGAAAAAAAGAAAGGCACTCATCATTGGTCAGTTGGCGCTGGTTGTGGTTACAGCGGGCTTCAGTGGCGGGAAGGCGCTGTAAGAAAACTTGCTGGGGGGCGGGCGGGACAGAAGGGACGGACGCTGTAGAAAAAAAGAAACCCCCAAAAGACTTGGTACGGGTACTGTAGCAAGCATCAAACTCGCGGCAGAGAAACAACAGGCGCCCCCAACATATACTTATACATCGATGGCTAGATTTCTACACAGATTTCGGCCCGAGGGCCAATGCTTCCAATACATCAAGCTCATTATCCAACCGCTTCCATATCCCGGCCCCATGGCCTGGCCCCCAGAATAGAAAGAGAGACAAAGGGGACAACTTAATCTAACAAGGGTGTTTGCTTATCCAACTGTCACGCCCTCCGGTTTCCCCAGAGCGAAGCTGACGCCGCTGCACCATCTACAAATAGAACCGGTATATAGAGAAACAAGGGGGTGTATCCCCGAGCACATCGTGATGTCCAAGGGGCGTGTATATCTTGGCTTAAAAAGAGCGGGCCACACCATAGACCGGCAGTCATATCAGGCTGACCCAGGGTTTGAACGAGCGAGCATCGTTGACGCGCTAAAAGCCGAACCCGCTAGGCGCATGCTCCAATAGAAAATAGAGGCGCCGCAGGGGAATCCTGAACGATGTGCTTCCTGCTGCCCTTCTCCATCAAAAAGAGGCGACGAGTAAATTAGCGTTTGATGGCTTCCAAGATTTCTATGCGAATGCGAGCGAGACCATCCATCTCGTCTCTCCCCGTCGCCTAGCCCCTCCAGGGATCGTCCGTAGCAGGAGGACCAAAAGCCGCTTAATCCGAGCGAGCCCGCGCAGCCTGATTTTGATTTTCTCTTGCTAGTCCCCAGTTGCGACGGCGTGGCTGTGTGTGGGTGTGTGGGTGTGCGCCGTGGTGCGTGAGAGCCGGGTATCATTGGGGGCTTACCAGCATCGTCTGCTTTTTGTCGTTCACTGGTCCGGTTGCTCGCTGTCAGATCACACCAGTTGAGTCTGGTTCCTATTTTACCGGCATGTATTATAGATTCGTAGCGGCTGCTATACTGTTACGTCCATTGATAGCTTCAATCAGTCGCAAGTAGTAGCAAAAGACATCAACAGTAGTGTCCTCGTTCCTCTGCGCTCGCCTCAGCTGAAGCCCCATCGTGGCCGGCAGACCCATCGTCAACGCCAGCTGCCTGCTGCACGTCGAATGGCAAACAAAAGTTCGCTCCAGAGCCTGATGGGGGCACTAAAGTACAGCGTGCAGTGTGCGTGCCCTGTGCATCATGGCGGAGGGCCTACACATGGCGGCGATCCGCTAAAGAAAAAAGGCGACGGTTGCGATTCCTTCTCCAGATGGCCCGTGCCGACAGGGACAGGATGCTTCTGTCACTAAAAAAGGAATCCGGCACTCAAAACACCCCGTGAGAACAAAGCGCTGCTGCACTCCTGCAAGCCATGGAACGTGGCCCGCCCTTCCAGCATGCTTCTCTGCTCGCTCCCTTCGGCACGGGGATCTGCGGCTCCGTCAACTGGCGCGGGCTACCAATGCGGCGCGCGCATTCGCATATCGTTTAAATTAGCGCCTGCTTCTTATCCAAACACCTATTTTCCCAATGCCCCAGCCAGTACCGACAGTGTGATGTGCTAGCGGCCCACGGCCCTTCTTGCACTTCAGGCTGCGACGAACGAAGAACCTTGCGCCCACTATCCCGTATGCTGTGGGTCATATCGACATATTACCTGGTGGCATGGGTGCTCAATCATCCCACCGAGCCGGCTTTTACTCTTCTCCCGGCCGAGTCTGCACACAGCGGGGGACTGGAAAACATACAGGTCACCGATTTTGCTCGGTAGCATCGCTTACCGTCTCCAGAGACACAAGGCTTCCCCGATTATCCGAAGCATGGGTAGCAAGTCATCACTAGCTCATCACCGCTAACGTCTAGCAAGGTACACATATCCCAAAGTGTCACAGACCACGACGGGGTTTGTCGTGCGCTCGTTGAGAAATAGGGGCGTGTTTTAGTAAACCATGTGTCCTGGTGAGCTGTCCAAATACGGTATAGTATTCTAAAATAAACCACGCCAGTGCTCTTTGCAAATGAAACCCTAGAGCGTGCTGCAGTTCAGTGCTCCAGTTGCAAGCGATTCGCATGAGGGCGTGGCGTCTAAGTGGCGGTTGCAGTGAGAAAGTCGTACCGCCTGCCTCCGGCCGTTCCTTGCTTAATGGTCCTTTTGTTTCGAATGGAACCAGACGAATTCGTAATACAAATACCAAATTCAAAGAGGTGCGTGAGCCTCGACGCTCGATGTGAGCGGATCGACGTAGCCTGTCAGCACACTCTCCCGCCTCGGCACCTGGTCGTCTTACCACGGTTCTCGGGCATACGATCCGACTGCCCCAGGCGAACAGTTCCACGGCCAGCTTAGGTCTCCCTCTGTATCATCCTCGCGGAATCATAAAGGCCACATTAGCTGACTTACACAATAAGCCCGAGGTTATCGCTAATCGGGGCCGTAAGCAGAGCGTTTTAGCCACAAGCCGAGGATAGTTGTGCGCAACGAGTTTTAAGCTAACTGGTATAGCGGTCAGCAAAATAGTTCGAATTTGTAGCTACATAGTCCCATACATTCTCGCAAGAAGAGCTCTGTTCACCGAGTTCAAACAAAGCAAATGGGCGTGCGCCGCAGACTCCAATCGTGCGTACGCTCATGTGCAGCCAGGTCAGCCTGACCGTCGCCCCCATATACCTTCTTATGGAGAACTAGAGGGGGTGCGGCGTATTCCGCTAGGAACGAAGCTCCGCTAAGGCTTGTGGATTCTGCAACCAAAGTGTCTAATATCGATGCTGTACCCTGTTCAAGAGGCGCTGCCACGTCGGCTGCGGACGGTTCCCCTAGCTCTACACATGAAACCCGCTTAGCAAGAAACAATCACGCTGGATGAAATCTTGGCTGTACCAAAACAGCCGTCTTTCCTTTCGTATGAATGGGGGCCGTGGCCATCAGTAATGAATTAGTGACAAAAGTTCCATGGGCACCTCGCCGAGTGTTAGACCCCGAAAACGGCGGCTGCCCAAAGCGCACAAGAAGGAGCAAAGCAAGCGAAGCGAAGAACGCAGTGTATTTCTAATGCAGTATAATTCGATGATCCTTGTAAGATGGTATGAACTCCGAGCGCCGTAAAATATTCAAGCAGAGAAGAGAGGTATCAGGTTTATGTTAGATGGAAGAGCTTGGTGAGACCGACCCAAGCCCCCAATTAAAATCAATGTTGTCAAAGACTAAGTCATCGTAGATGGTGCTGGGACTGCCAGACTGCTCCTTTTCGAGCCTGTCTAATGAGTCCCTCTTCAGTTTGCGGACTCGCCGCTTCAGGTCGCGCATTTGTCGGACATACTTGGTGTCTACAAAATGCACATCCACTGCCTTGAGCGAGGCAATGATGCCCTGCACAATTTCTTCATCGTCCGTTGCAATCCATGCTGCAAAGAGGGCAACCGGGATGCATCCTGTGCCTAGGGGCACGTGGTCTGCTGATCGCTTGGTAATGTCGATAGCTTGCCGTGACAAATCTAGGGCCTCAAGATACAGCGTGGGCTCCAAAGGATCCATGGCGCATAATAGCGCATTGAGTACCAAAGCGTAGCAGAGGAGGAGCGTGTAAGCGGTCTCTAGCTGCACAAGCGCCCGCATTTGGTCGGGCTTGGGAGGTTTTTCTGCCGCCACAATGTCTTCCATCATCCCGACTCGACTAAGAGAAAAGGAGCACTCGGCCTTGAGACGGGTGTAAGAGACACGCATTTCATGCAAATGAAGCTCGGGTTCCCTAACAAATTTGGGGAAGTCGAGGACGGCGGGGACGTCCAGGCTCTCGATAGGCTGGCCACGCTCTTCGTCAAGCGGCATGTAAGGCCCATAGATGGGTTTCCATTGGGTCAGATACCAGGGATTGACCTTGATGTTCGGATTTAAAATAGCTTCCACGGACTAAGCGGACAATTCCAAGATTAGTATTTAAGTTTCATAGCTCGCCAGCGGAGTAGCGGCAGGTACATCAGGAACGAGGCGGAGGGGGGAACAGGGGAGGAGGGTGTGTGGAAGGGAAGTGGTGATGACCACTATCCAAAATGCACTGTCAGGGAGAAATATGAAAGCTATCTTACCGTCGGGTAAATCATATTGAGACGCATAGTGGAATTGAACTCATCAGTCCATTCCTCTCCGGCACTAGCGTTGAGGAGGTGTGCTACCCCTTCCATGTGGCTAGCTTGGCCATCGGCCTCTTTGGAGAACCAAGCCTGTCAAAATAAGAAACGTTAGCGTAAAGCCAAAAGCCAAAAACAGAGGCGCAGCCGGGGTAGACTGGCTGTGGCGGCCGGTTGGTGGTGGTGCTACCGCTGCTGCCTAGAGGGAAAGTGTAACGTACCTGAGCAATCATGATGAGAAAGATGGCGCAGAGGGTGTAGGGAGACTTGGCGTCGCTAGGCCTCTGTAAGGTATCGCGGAGAGATTTGAGCGCAGCGCCATACTTGACCAGGGAGCCCACGTCCTGTTCGCCTGACGTGCGGACCCTGCGCAGGCCCGACACAAACGCCGCCGCGGCAGCATCAAGTACCGGGCTTGCGCCCAGCCGCTTAGGAATCCCTAAGAACCAGGGACCAAAACACGTCAGGTCGTACTGGGGATCTGTAAACTGCAGCAAGGCGGCAAATGAGTCGGCGAGCTGGGACACCTCGTTGCTCGGGTTGTGTGGCATCTGCACCGTGAAGGGCTTGGGAGCTCTAGACTTGGCGAGGGTCATGGCCTTGAAGCTTTCGGCTGTTTGGATCACAACCGTCTGTGTCTTGAACTTGTAGCGCAACTGTCCCTTTCCCACGCAGGGAATCTTGAGGCGTGTGCATCTTGCACATGCAGGAGAGGCTTGATCACACTGGTTCGGGGGGAGGGAGTGTCAGCAGCGAAAAGCATAACAGTAAAACATAACGGGAGGGCATCTCCTGACTTGTCCAGCGAGCTAAAGATAGCCCTCTACGCGTGCTGTAGGGAGGTGGATGGGGGCGAAACTAACCCTTTTCTTCTGCTTGTGACAAGCATCACAACCACGATATGAAGGAACACCGGGCATTGCTATGGCATTCCCACGCTTCGCAGAAATTCAGTGTATTCAATGCTGTGTCTGTCGCTTTCTGCAATATTTTCTGCAATTATTTGGTGTGGTTTTATTTCAGCAATGCCTCTGGTAGGCTGCCTCTCTGGCTGTGTTGAAGCTGGCAACTGTGACAGGTGGGAGAACTGGCGAGCGGCACATATGACCCAAATGGGAAAGGCGGAGAAGGACTGGGGGTGTGCGGTAAGTTGTAGAAGAGCGAGAGCCGCAAAGGGAAAAAGAAACACTGAGTATAAACTCCAACAACAACAACAAAATGTAGAAAATAAATGGTAATTGTGGAAAGTGCAAAAGAAAAAAGACAAGAAGATATAGCCACGGAGAGGTAATCACTTTAATTATAATCCACAAGGCTCGTCCCTTTTAGCCCTGCCAAGTGGGTGACTGTGTAAGATGCATCAGAGCCACAACGCTAATCTCGATTGAACGAAATACACAGTCACCGTTACAAGTGCTTTGGATTTTATTTTTATTTTCGTATCTACATCTACAAGAACCACACGCCCCCGCCCCCCCTTGGTCCTCTCTGCCCTGGCCCCAGACTCACGGGGAACGGCGGCAAAGGGCAGGGCTGATCTACAGCCAACTCCAACGCCTTGCTCTGTAAAGATGCTGTACTTCTTTGGGTCCGTCCTCATTTTAAAGACCCTCCCTGGCACGCGCTCTTTTTTTGGTTCCTGCAGTGGCCTCTCGCGTCAATGCCAGCGCCGCTAATGCAGTGGAGTTGGCTAGTCGGGGCCGGGGCATCCGCTCTCTAAACGATTGAGTCATGGTGGCAGAGCCTTGTTTGATCTATCCAGTCAAAACCGGTACGGCGTCACTTAGCACTGCCCATGCGAGCTACAAGATTGTAAAATTTGACTGCTTTTACGGCTCCTGGCCGCGGAAATGCCGGTCTAGTGTTGGGGGCCGAACCTTCTCGCTCGCCGAGCCTTTCCCCGTGTTAGTTGGCGTGCCCGCGCCTCGTAATTTCACAAAGCCCTATTTTGTCTCCCTTTGTCACGCTCTCTCTTTCTTTCATACGCTTGATAACTCTGTCCATGCAGGGGCCTCTTGTACTAGCCACGCCCCCCAGATATCTATCCATCTTTCTCACCTACAGCAAAACATATGGAGGCGGCGGGCTCTTGGGGGCGAATCGGCCGTCAGCTCGCCTTACCGTGGCTCGGAGCCGCCTTACCTCGCCTCCAGGTTTCATTAACCTTGGAACTTGGCCTATTCTCCTCGGCATAGGTGCAACGCAGCGACCGGGTACCGACTACGGCGTCATCCCTGCTAGCCTCGTGGGAGGACCTGTGCTGACTGCAGCAATTCGATGCGCCGGAGCAGCGTCATCCCATCCTGGTGGGAACTGCAACCTTGGTCTCACTAATACATGTCAACGCTCTGGTGCCCGCTAAAAACTAGCGCCACAAGAACCGCCCCAAGCAAGATGGAGGCCCCTCTCCATATGCACCGCGCATAGCCCAACGAGGCACCGTCGGATAGAAATTTCCTACCAAACCTCACTCACATTGCACACCCCCTTGCCTGGTCAATAAGACGAGCGTTTTCGGGGGCCGGTTGGTAAGAGCTACAGCCACGATCTCGAGTCGGTAGTCAACCCAAAGGGCTTGTTTGACCTAATCATGTATCTTGTGTAAACAAACATAGCGCACTGGGACTGGGCGTAGTTGTGCCACCGTATAGTCTCCGAGACGCCCATCGGGCGTCAGAGCGCCTGACCAGTAAACGCTTCGATGTATGTCGTCCGTTACTTTCTCCTTCAAGTGCTTTGGCGGCTTTGCCTTGGTAAGCTTCGCCTCAATTGAACGACGAATTAAACGACGCAGATCCGATAGAGTTTGCCTCTCCCGCTGCCAGTCGCCCCAGTCAAGTCTGCTGGGCTGAACGCAGGGCGACTTAGGGCACAGCCACCGGTGGTTCCTTGGCCAAGAGGCAATGCTGCGAATTTGCGCAGACAATGTCGATAATTCGTCATTACAGTGGTTGTACAGTATATTACTGTAAGTGTGTATCCTTTACGCAGCAATCAGCATCGATCCAAAATATGGCCTTCAAGTACCGTTTTACGCGCCAATGGAGGCTAGCGCTAGGGCATGTGCTCGATTTGCATCTTCAAACCAGATTTCATTAACACTAGATTCAAATGTCGTAGTAAAATTCCACTTTTTTTATCAACAATGAACCATCATCCCGCAATATCCATCTGGTGATGCAAATCAATCGGGCGCGGAGAGATTCTAAACGAGATGCTGAACGAGATGCTGGTCATGACGTCACAAGGCTACTGCTGTTTCTTGACTCGCCACAGCAACATCAGACCATCTATATCCGTTTTAAACCCTTCCGTCTTCCCAATAAACTTCATTTTCAGATTCATCAAACAAACTTTATTCAACATGGGCCTTTTCAGTTCTTCAAGCACACCAAAGCGCCAGGCGCCAGCGCCGGTGCAATCCTTCACCATTACCCAGCACTCCATGATGGGCAGACAGTCACTTATACACGATACACGATCCCCTCCCGGGGCTCCTCCAATTCTATCCGTCCAGCTACATCAGATGTCACGCCCGAATATAGAGCTTTACCTAGGCGCTGGCGCCATCAGCAATCCACCAGACGGTTCTCCGCCACGGACTTGTGCCACCATCGACATTGCCACGTTTGGCTCCTCAGGACGCGGCCAAGTGCGCGGGAAAGCTATAGAAATCAGTCGCGCTTCCATGTTTGGAGGAGAATATGCAGTCACAGCTGCGGGTGTTGGGTCGTTAACGTGGGAGCCTACAGGCTGGGGCTCCCATTCGTGGCAGCTCTGCGATTCGACCGACACCGTGGTGGCCTCTGCCAGATGTGAAGGCTTCACAATGCGCGAGATGGTCCTGGACATGTATGCCCCTGGCGATGAGTTCTATACCGACGTTCTCCTCATATCTTTGTTGACGGTGATGAGACTGGCTGAAAAGCGCAGGCGGAAGCGAAGAACGGCTGCAATGTAAGAATAGCCGCATAATCAACAGGCGGCATTGTTGGATGCGACGGAGCATACATGTATTTAGTCACGAGAGAGCAGTATATCACAAGCATCAATGTATAGAGAAATCAAAGTTCATAGTTCGGCCTGCCAAAATATAAAAAAAACACATATAAAGAAAGAAAGAGAAAAAAAGTCGCGAATAACCCTAATGTCGTTAAAAAAAGCAGGCGCAGCTAAACACAAGAGCAGGCCAAAAATCAACAACAATTGTCTCGGCCGGTAAGCTTGTGTCCCGGTCCGTTTGTTCATAAAACCCTTGTTCCAAACATATAACACGCTCGATAATATTTCCCATCTTATCAAATTCTCCTTACCGCGTACTCTTCAAGAATCTGCCGCTTTGGTGCAATCTGTGCGGGCAAGACTTGGTACTTTTTGTAACTTTGTTTCGATTTTGCAAACTCGGTTTGCGTTCGTATCCCGTAAACGCCGATTCCTTTCCATAACCCTAAACTGCATCGCCGTTCCCAAACGCAAAAACAAAAATAAAAGATGATTTCATGTGAAATACATGAAGAGTGTGGGCGTCCCATGCTATCAAGGCTTCACCAACGGTGCTAGCAATAGACTCCGTTCATGCGGATTCATAACGCCGCCTCCATGTCCATCCTTGCATAAAAGACTTTTCTTCCTAGCTTTGGACCACTCATATCCAAAACCATAGCAAATGGCGTGTTGTGTTACCACAGTCAAGACGACATAACCGTCGACAAGCGCTAATGAGTTACAGTGAAGCTCAAAAGCGGGCTGTGTCAGCCGTAAATTTGTCGTGTTACATGACAGTTGATGCAAGCAATCGAGACTCGACATCATCCATACCCATGCCATCCATGCGAGCACCCTCCATGCCTTGGATTCGGCCTTCGAGGGCTTGGAAGCGAGGTTCGTAGCCCCCGGCGCGGGCCTCAATGTTCTCCATGCGCTTCTCGAGGTTCTCAAGACGCTGCTCAATTCTCATGAAACCCTGTGCCATGTCGTGGCTGAGGCGGTCAAGCTTGTTGTTGAACGTGCGGATCGAGGTGGCCAGGGGGGCGTTGTCAGGTCCGGCTTGGGCGGTAGGGACTCGGGGCTCGTGGTTGTGGCGAGCTTCCTGGAGGGCGAAGCGCCATTGGTTTCCAAGTTGCACCTCACAGACAGCCTTTGCTCGGAAAGGGCAGTCGATCTTGCGGGTAGACGGGTTTCTCTTTTTGGCTGTGCTGTTGTACTTGACACCACCACGGTCGCAGACCAGGTCGTATCTTGTGGGCTTACCATCACGGTAGTTGGAAGCTCGGAGCTTTACAATGCCGTAGCCTTGGTCCTTGGCGACTCTCTGGACAGATGCCATGAGATCGTCAAAGGAGTGGAAGATGCCCTCAGGCGGGGGAAGCAGCGCAGGCGGTGGCGTGTTAGGCATGATGGAAGCTTGCTGGACGGAGGAGATTGAGCGGTCCGAGGCGCTAAGGGGGAGTTGGGAATTCAGCTTGGCGGATTGTGGGTGGTGACGGGGGGGAAAAGGGTGCTGTGACTGTTAAGTCGTTGAGGTAAAGGTTAGAGGTAGAGTGACTCGACGGTGACGACGCGTAGCAGGAGGCGGGCGAGGAAAACAAGCAGCGGCGAGCGCAGGGAGCACAGACGAGCTAAAGAGAAAAATGGACAAGTCAATTCAATGGCCGGTGAATTAGGAGGCGCGGTGGATGAGGATGGACGGGGGAATTTGATGATGCAAAATGGTTGAGGGGAGATGGCGATGACATACAGACAGAGAAGAGCCGGGTGGTGTTGGGTGAAGACGGAGAGTGTGAGGAATTTTCAAGAGGCCAATCCGCACTGTTCAGGTTTTGGGTCGGGCTGTCGACCTGCGCCCCTTTGGGTTTGGTGTTGATCCGCTCCGGTCACCGCGAGCCAATCATGGGGCTCCATCGCGTATCCACTGTATCTTGTTCCGCCTGAATACGCACGCTTCTCGTTTACGTTTTAGCAGTTGCTGTGACGGGCGCAGTGCATTGCGCGTTTCTTTTATTTTGTATTTTGAGAAAGAGTGGCCTTATTTTGACAACTAACTCCACCATATTGGCTTTATCACTACAAACTTTCTCCGTACAAAGGTTGCTTCTGCCCCCCCGAGAAACTAAAAATCAGGCTGATAGCTAGCCCAAGCTTAAAGGCACGTGACCTGCTTTATCTGTGGCAGCAGCACACTGCCAGCGCAGCAGAAATTGCTGCAGTAGTGGTAATGCTATAAGATAATTCGTCCATGTTGTAGCAAACACCGATATTGTCTCTGTTGCCGCGTTGCTGCTGCTGCTTTCACCGCCATCGCAAACATTCGACGGCAGCAGCTGTAAGCCAATCCTCAGTGAGGCCACACAGTAAGCGTACTGGTTCCCGGACGGTCTCCATTCTGCAATCCCGGTGTGGAGACTCCCCACGACCAACCTCAACCCCCCGGACAGGCCATCTGTTCGCCTTGCGCCCGCGCTCATCGTGAACGTTCTCACCGAGACGCACTTTCAAATCTCGCCAAGCCAACCTGCGTGCGCGCCCGAGCATCGCAGATACATTACATGCCATGAGCACCCAACCCCTTACAACAAATGGCGCAGATGCTACTGCTGCTGAAGAGGCCCAAATCAGGGATGCCATGAAGCGCCTCAAGCTCCTCCATATCAAGGTACGCCGTGTATATCTCACTGTGCTTTTATAGAACCAAACATGCTGACTATATATTCTCCTAACTTTATAGGCTCGCTTGCTCCGCGATACCATTCCTAGGATGTTGGATCCGCTGGTGCAAAAGCAAGCTTCACGTACGTTCCTCCCTTGCCCAGCCACCGTCGTTGCCACATTTTGCTAACATACAAGGTAGCGGAGCTCCTCTACGCCGCTTTTATGAAAGCCGTCAATGAAGCACAACTCAATGTTAAGGAATTCACCGAGCTGATGCAGGACGATACCAGCAGGGAAGTGTTCGCCATGGCTGACAAGAGCCGCGAAGAGAACCCATTCGGCATTCGCCCATGGAAGCACAAGGACCACCCCAACTGGTTTAACCTCGAAAAGGATGATGAAGATTAGGTCCTCTGCCGTCTACTCTTGCATCTTCATCTCTTTCGCATTCTCTGTACATTTAGGTAAAAGGCTGCATTCGGCGTTTCTTCTATTGTCCATATACGGCGCAATCGGTGTTCAAAATACCAGGTTCTTTTGATACAGTCATAATTCACTTCTATATTTTATTATATTTTACAGTTTTTAAATCATGTTTTATTTCGTATCTTGGTGATGGATTGTCGCATGAGATGCTGTACGACACACCACAATAACCACAGACAAGGTGGCAGAAAGTCGCACAAACATGAATCGCACAACAACTATGTACCCTGCCACAAGCTGAATAGAATTATTATTTTATTATTTTATTTCAACTTCTAGGTATCATATCTATGTCGCCTGTTGCAGAGCGCGGCCCATTCGCTTGTATCGATTTCAAGGTCACGTGTTTCTCGATGGGCCTCGCCATCAGCGCCGCCTCTGATTGGCCCGCTCGGCGGGCACAACTTTGCCCGTTTCCACCCACACAAATTTTCCATTCTCGAAATTCCTTTGCCTGCGCCTTGAATATTCGCCCGCTCTTCTCTCCTCGCTTAGCCAACATCATCAGTTTTCCAACAAACCGACAAGATGCCTTCCAACCGTGTCTCTTACCGCCGCCGCAACCCGTGAGTAGCTCCTACGACTCCGAGCTTCTTTTTCTTCCCAGCGATCCGACCGCACAACTTCCTGTCGTCGACTGCGAGGAACATCAACGCTCGAGCATACAAGCAAAATCACTAACTTTGGCGCAGCTACAACACCACGTCCAACAGGACCCGTGTTATTAAGACCCCCGGTGGCAAGCTCCGTGTCCTTCACATCAAGAAGCGCGGTACCGTCCCCAAGTGCGGTGACTGCGGTTCCAAGCTCATCGGCGTAAGTCACAATCTCAGACGAAATTCCGGCAGCATCAGCACACACCACGACGAAAGGAAGCATTGGGCTATGGGAGCGAACACGAGCGACATTTTCCGAGTCAGAAGACAAGCCGACGTCATTATGTTTAATTTTTCTCTGTCCATCCCCGGATTACATCGACTCGACAAATTGCTACTCGGACCCCAATGCTCTCTACCCATGTCGAAGTGCTGCCGGATTTACCTTGACGCTCAGCCTACTAACAAAGACGTCTACAGGTTCCCGCTCTCCGCCCCCGCGAGTACGCCAACATCTCCAAGCCCAAGAAGACCGTCCAGCGTGCCTACGGTGGTTCCCGATGCGGTGGCTGCGTTCGTGACAGAATCGTCCGCGCTTTCTTGATCGAGGAGCAGAAGATTGTCAAGAAGGTTCTCAAGGAGCAGGAGGCCAGCCAGAAGAAGAAATAAATGTTGACCTGAAGGGCTGCGTTTGTTTCTTTTGTTTTTTCTTTTAAAATCTACATTTTTCTTCTGCGCAAGGGACAAAACATTGGCAAAGGAAAAAGGGGATGATGGAACGGATGGGGTTCATTGCTTTGGTGTTCATAAGGACAAAAGGGAACTGCATGATACATCGGGGCCAAGACCTGACAATACAAAAAAAGTGAAATAATGACCCATACAGACATGCTTCTTGATGCGCCGTGACGAATCTCTATGCCGGTTAACGAACGAACAGGGACTTCGGATTATCGAACGCCAGCAATTAGCTGACTTGTTTTACGATCTCCAGTCTCACGTCTAGCTTCATTGAAATAATTTACCAGTAGCATGTGAGGAATGACGTTGAAGGAGCGCATAAGTCTGGCGTTGGCGCCTTCACACCACTTGCCCGCCAAACTTTTTAGACGCCGCGGGGCCAGCTCCAGGTACCCAGCGAAACCTCAGGCCAACCAACCATTGACTTTTCAACATCAGCACCCGCATCTCCTAAATTTGTAACAAAGCACATCAGCGCGAATCTGCCAATTGGCTCTACCTATATTTTAATCACTCACTCTGCAGTAACCTATCATGCGTCGTTTCACACAGCAATGCCCTGAGCTGCGGGCTCTCCATGCGGCTCTTCGCCAACGAACGCAGAACCGTCGAGCACCACTGGCTTCTCTATCTCGCGCGGCGCGCCCATGCTGTAGCAGTGGCCGTCGCCAATTCCATTCGACCTCTCTCACTCTCCGCGAAAAGCCGCCTTCAGAGCCCCAGCCGACCAGCTTCCAGGACCTTGACATGCTAGGCCAAATTGCCGTACCATCAACATCGGTCGACGTGTGCATGTCCGACGGCTTCGCCTTGAACAGTGGCATTACTATCACGGGAGGCGATGGAGCGCTACTAGTCAATGGCGAAGCATTTGCGTGGCGTCCGTGGGAAATCAAGGGAGAAAAGCGCATGCTGAATAGCAAGGGGCAACTCGACATTCCCGCGGAGGCGCTGAGCGTCTTTAACATCCTGTGGCCGCGTCCAGGTGAGTAGCTAGCACGGCTGTGGATATGTCACCGCTGATACTAATTGATGGTCTTAGATTTATTGATCATCGGAGCGGGCAAGCAGATTGTGCCATTGTCGCCAGAGACTCGACGCGTTCTTTCAGAGATGGGTATACGTGTGGAGGTACTCGACACGAGAAATGCCGCGTCACAGTTCAACATGCTGGCCACGGAGCGAGGCATTGATGACGTTGCTGCTGTGCTGATACCTCTTGGTTGGGAAGAGGGAGTCGGTGCAGCTTAAAATGGCCAATGGGATGGCGAGTCTGTAATTGTATATTAGAACATAATGAACACACATGATCTCCGTTTTACGTTTTTGGCCTCGCTGTAATTCTGCGTTGTTTACTTTGGTGGATTAGTTATTTGTTGTTTTTATTATTCTATTTTTAGTTCATTGGGTTCCTCTTTCTCGGTTCTCAAGATAATACGTAGATTATGTACAATGTTGAAGCCATCGTGATACTCATCAAACATCAAAGGTAGACCAAAGAGTCTTACGAGCCACACACCATAATTCGCCATTTAAAAACTTAAAAGTAATATAAATGCAGTTAATAACAGGGTATTGACCATATAAGGCGCTTATTTTGCAATATTAAGTATTTCCACAGCATTATATATTGCTAATATCATATACAGGGTAAGTTTGGGGTCCTCCAGGCGCGGCTCTTGCACATGCGCCAACTTGTCTCACCCGGCTGACCCACTTAAAATTCTAGGGCGCGCAGCACCTGCAAGCAGCTTGGGCGATGCCCTCACTCTCGCTTCCTAGTAAACTATCTGCTCTTGACAAACGTGCTGATTTAGGCGACGCATACACTCGAATCATAGCTAGGCACCATATCTAATACTCTTCAATCGATCTTATCGCTCTATATTCGGCTATGACCAGCTGGTTTGGCCCGTCGGCCGACATTGACGCCGACCTCTCCGATCCGCCGCTGCTACAAGACAACTCTACGTTTAAATCCTACAAAACCAGTCAATTCGAATACACCAATCTTCGCGTCTTTTATCGACAGCATGTCAAAGCCGATCAACTCCCTGCGGCTCTACCGCTACTGGTGTGCGTACCCGGCCTAGGCGGCTCCGTGGCCCAATTCCACCCGCTTCTCAATAGTCTTTCCGACTTGGCACCATGCCTCGCTATGGATTTCCCTGGCGGTGGCAGATCCAAGTTCAGCATCAATTCCTGGGACGCATACACTACCCAGGCTCTTGTTGAACTCCTCGAAACCGTTATCGAAGACCACCGTGCTCCCGACCAAAGCGTAGTCCTTATCGGCCACAGCATGGGCACAGCCTTATGCGCATGGCTCGCTAGTAAAAGCTCGCCTCACAAAACCAAAGTTGCTGATCACGTCACGGGCTTTGTTGCGATATGTCCCGTATCCAGCCCCATTGACGAAGCCAAGACGACCTTGATACGCCGACTCATGTGGGTTCCCGGCTGGGTATTTGCCCTTTGGCGAATGTGGGATGGCATGGGAGGACCCAATAGTCCCAGCGTGGCGCGCTTTGTTGGAGACGCTGGTGATGAAGAGCTGAAAGTTCTGCAATATCGGTACAACCAACAGAGTAGGACGCCAGTGTGGCGTCGAATGGTCCATGGAGCACTACCAACCTATACGGATGGAAAGCCGAGCGGTGGATTTCCAACGTGCGATATCTGGGCGGGCCTAGAGATTCCAGTTTATTTGATTGCTGGTGAATCTGACCATCTAACGCCCCCTAAAGAGGTTGAGACGATTGTTACCGCCATGAAAGCGGCCCACAAAGGCGAAGAAGCGGCAGCGCCTACTTCGGTAGAGATCTCGCTCGAAGCGCAGCATCACATCAGCATCGATATGCAATCAAACGCAGTCAGCAGTCCAGACGCAGACGGATCGCCAAGTGAGCCACTGTCGCCGGCTGACGCTGCGTCTACAGGGGTCCCACCACAACCTGCTCACCCCCAGCGAGCTGTACAATCTACAGTGATGCCGGCCCCCGCTAACCATACCCTTTTGTACAGCCATCGTTCGGTTAGGGCTTTGGCTGGGCTAATTTCCGACTTTTTGGCTACTCATGTTACCGGTCGCCTCTCACTAGCATGGCAGCTCCAATATCTGTCCCGCGAGGGCAAGTGGGATGTCAAGAACCTCAATAAGTGGAAGGCTGTACCGCCCGTGTCAGAACCTATCGGTCCAAGCAACGGCCCGCCCATTTTTATGGTTATGAAAACGCTACGAGAGGCTGATGACGTTCACTGCCCACGCGTATTTGCCCAAGTTCATGGTGAACTGGTCAAGGACGTACTTGATATTTCCAAGGACCAACCGGTCTACGACCCGCGAGGACTGGAGCGCGAGGGCATCCATTATCACAAATTTGCCACTATATCCAAGGTGCCACCTTCCCACGAGGAAGTGGAAACTTTTATTGGATTAGTGGACAAGATCAGAGCGGCGCAGGCTGAGCGGGCGGCGGCGGAAGGATGGGAGACGGGCAAGACGTTCCTTGTGGGAGTCCACTGCCACTACGGCTTCAACCGATCCGGCTACTTTGTGGTCTGCTACCTAGTTGAACGTTGCGGTATGTCGCTCGAGGACGCCATTGCCACGTTTGGGCGGATGCGTCCCAACGGCATCCGCCACTCGCACTTCCTTGACAGGCTACATGTGCGCTACGACTTGCATAGCGTCTAAGTGTCCTAGTCCCGGTGGGACAGATCATTTCCAGAACTGGCCCATTTCAGGTTGGGTTGCCAATATCAAGTGAAATGTGACGAGCCTTGACTAATGGTTGGACACCATGCCTATTCGGCCGAGGCCATTCCTGCATTTGCTAGACCGAATGGCACCATCCGGCTACCCTGGGTTGCCGCTAGAAACGCCACGCTAGCGCCGACTACAGAGGGAGACCTTTTGGAAAACTAGGAAAAAAATTCAAATGAAAATCTTTGTCCACTCGTCTTGGCACAGGGAGCCTCGTCAATGCTGGATTGTTTGAACGAACGACCCGCGCGTGCCCAGGTCACTCCACCTGCACGCTACACATCAGCGGCCGTGCTCCCTTGCAAGAGGATCCGATGGGGCCCAAGCAAACAACTCTACATTGAAGCTTGTCCATGTGGCGTTGCTGCAATCGCATGTCACCCACCAACACCAATATGCGCGCAGACCGGTGTGGTGTGCAAGTGCGCCGGTGACGACGCTGAGGCGGGACTTCCAAGAAACGGATCTAACTTGGCCGTCTGCGCACAAGCAGCTTGGCGATGGTCTTTTTCTTTTTTATTGTTATTTCCTGCGAATGGCATGCTTGCCAAGGGAGCAGCCAATGCTGATCTCAATAGCCTACGCCTGGACTACCCAATGAAGCTAGTGCATCCGAGACATGGTCCCGCGATATCGACCTTGATGGCCAAGCCCGCATAACCAATCCAATCAGCAGTCTGCCCAAACCAATTCGGCTAACCTCTTTCTCCATTGCATGCAACCTTGATGTTCTGCTGAATTTTTTTTCTCGCGCAATAGGCAGCAAGCTGAGTGGACCAAATGCAGAACAGCCTTGCATACCTTGTTGTCAACGGACATGCCGCTGGCTGCTAGCTTGACGGGGCGTGCAAGGTTAGAATTATGCTTTTTTCCTTCTTTCTTTTGTTCTAGACTAGTAGTGGGACGAAAAAGGACCGTCGGTATAAAGCGCTTGAGGCCCGCAGACCGTTGCGCTTACACAAGAGACATTCCCGCTCCTTAAACAACTGTCACTCCCCGTTGTCTTGGTTTTGTTTTTCCTTTCATCGTAAAGGTCAAGCACATCTACAACGCAAAAATGGCGGCCAAAGATGAGAACACCGTCGTTGAGATCTCCGACTATGACACCACCACGCACAGTTCTCTCATTGACTCCAAGCAGGAGAAGAAGGTTGTTGATGAGCCTGCCAGCCGTGTCAACATGGTCACCCAGAGCGATCTTGATGATACCACTATCTGGTACAACAAGCACAAGCACCTTGGCGAGGAGCCCATGACCGAGAAGGAGGTTAGCAGGCTCAACCGCAAGAACTTTTGGTTCCTGCTCTGCCAGACCTGGTGGGTTGCTTTCCTCATCCACTTGGACAAGTCGACGCTGTCCACCGCCAGTACCATGGGTCTCAAGAAGGATATTCCCATGACCAAGGACCAGTACAACTTGACCTTTACCCTTTTCTACCTTGGCTACCTCATCGCCCTCTGGCCTGGTGCAGCTCTCGCCCAGCGCATTGGTCACAAGCAGCTCATTGTTGGCTCCCTTACTCTTTGGGGTTTGCTGCTTGGCCTTCACATGGTCATCACCAACATTTCGCAGCTCTTGGCTTTGCGATTCCTTCTTGGCATGGTAAGCCACCATCGATCCCCGCAAGACCCTCCCGCCAAGGAGGCGCCACAAGCTCTTTTTTATGTTTGATCGCTAACAGGTTTTGTTTTTCTCGTAGACTGAGTCCCAGATTGTGCCTTCTTGCACTGTCCTTCACCAGGCTTTCTTCCCTCCTAAGAAGAGTCCCTGGGTCCAGCTTCTGTGGTGGGCTTCCGGCTCGTTTGCCAACGTCCTGCTTACCATGGTTGCCTACAAGCTCATTCTCGATGCTGAGGCTGGTCCTCTTCCCGGTCACATTGTCTCGTGGCGATGGATGCATCTCATCTGTGTCATTCTGACTGTCATCGTCATCATCCCGCTTGCCATCTTCCTTCCCAACAACCCTACCCGCGCCAAGTGGCTCAATGACAAGGAGAAGGTTCAGACCATCAGCATGATTCGCGAGACCCACGCTGGTATTTCCAACAAGGTCTTCAAGTGGTCTCAGGTTTGGGAGGTTATCATCGACCCCAAGAGTTGGCTTTTCATGTAAGACCTTCCCACAATTATCATATATTCTGCGACTAGCTTACTAACGTTTCTTTTCCTAGCCTGCACATGTTCTTCAACGAGCTGCCCAACAACACCTCTCAGCAGCTGCCATCTCTTCTTGTCGGCTTCGGCTTCACTGCCGCTCAGAGTGCCCTGTTTAACATTGCCAAGCCTCTCTGGGGTTCGTTCTTGGTGTTTGTTTCCGCAGCCATGCTCTACTTGACCGATCTTGGTGTTGGATACACCTGCGCCATCTCCTACATTCCTTGCATTATCGGCGGTATCATTATGGTTGCTACCCCCTGGAACAACAAGGTTGCACTTGTTGTCGGAACCCAGATTTCGACTTTCAAGCCATCGTACCTTCTCGGCCTGTCCTGGGCTGGTACCACCACCACCGGCTACACCAAGAAGCTGACTCTCATGTCCACCTGCATTGTGTCCGCTTCCGTGGCCAACATGATTTCTCCCCTCTTCTGGGAAGCCAAGTACGAGCCCTACGACTACCTGCCTTGGGGTTTCATGACCGCCTTCTGGATCATCTCTCCCATCATGTGTATCATCATCCGCTTCTACCTTGTTAACGAGAACAAGAAGCGTGAGCGCCTGCTCATGGAGAAGGGCAACGACTCCGAAGTTGAAGGCCTCGACACTGGTAGCGAGATCATGCACCTCAACGACAAGGATCTTGATCTTACTGACAGACAGAACTTGCGTTTCGTTTACCCCTTGTAAAAGGGCTTTAACTAGATGGCGGAGGAGGAAAAACGTTTCTATGATAAATTAATGCCATGATGGTTGGCTATTGTATTTATATTCCCACACGTACTTGATACACCAAATATACATACATGTCTGTTGCTAGTCTTTCACGTTCTTCTACAACATTTGCATCTACTAAGCGCGTATAGCGTCAAGGGCTTGTCGCATCTATAAACACCTGTTCTAGCGAATCACTACCAGTGCTATGCGACGCTGTGCTCAAACAAACGAATCGCACTGCATTTGAAATAAAAGGAGGCTCCTAATCAACGGCCTATAATCTACCTGATAAAAAAAATGTCGTCCACCGGGTACATGATCCACCTATCTTATGGGGTTGGAGGATGAGAACCACAAAGTGCAAAAAAACAGGTCTCGGTGGGGATCGAACCCACAATCTTCTGATTCGTAGTCAGACGCCTTGCCATTTGGCCACGAGACCAGTTGTTCGGAGCGGATTAAGCTTCTGAAACTTGTATTCTGGCTGCACTATTTAGTACTATATACCCATGCAAAAGAGGCTTGACGACGACATTTCCTATTTTGGCCAACTTGCAGCATTCATACCCCTCATCACGGTCAGCCATTCACGACTTTTCAGCTTCCCCTCAATTAAAACGTCAAATCCTAAATCTAGTTTTTTACTCAATTTCAAATTAGCAATCATGTCTGAGCCTGACGCAAAGCGTGCCAAAACTGATGGCGACCACCCCTACGAGCTCACCTACTGGCCACTTATGCCGGGCCGTGGCGAGTTTGTTCGCCTCCTCTTTGAAGATACAAACACGCCGTTTACGGACTACTCCAAACTCCCTCCCCAAGAAGCCGTTGCCAGGGTCACTGAGCTCGTCACATTGACCAACAATGGCGACGCTGCGAGCCCTCCCATCTTTGCAGTGCCTGCCCTCCGCCACGGCCCAAACGTCTTGCTCAACCAGACACCAAACATCTTGCAGTACATTGCCCCGCGAGTTGGGCTCGCTGGCAATGGCAGTGAAGTTGATCTTTTGAACCTCAACGGCATTGTTTTGACGCTTCTTGATGGGTTCTCTAATGAAGTGCATGAGACGCACCATCCGGTTGCTAGTTCACAGTACTACGAGGACCAGAAACCCGAAGCTAAGAAGCGTGCGGCAAACTATGTTGACGAACGTCTGCCCAAGTTTCTGGGCTATGTTCAGCGCGTTCTCAATGGTGAGGCCAGTGGTGACGGACCATGGCTTTATGGCGGCCAGTGCACATATGCGGATTTGGTCTTGTTCCAGGTACGTTGTCTCTATAACAACTGTGATGTTGGGCTATTTCTAACTCTTCATAGTGTATTCATGGACTGTCGTATGCATTTCCCAAGTCCATGGAAAAGGCACGAGCCAGTGGAAACTTAAAGGGTGTATTTGAGCTCTACGAGGCTGTAGCGGAACGACCCAACATCAAGGCTTACATGGAGAGCGATCGTCGTGTCGCCTACTCGGACGGTATTTACCGCCACTATCCAGAGCTTGAAGAGCATGTTGGCGAATCAGATGATGAGTAATGTGTAGTTAAAATTATAATAATTATTACATTTGTTCTATATCTTACAAAGCAATGGATGGAATCCTTGACTCCATCGCAGGCCGCCCATTATAATAATCATTAGCGCGAAGCCTGTGATAACGCTTGCTGCGCCATATATATACGAATGTTTCCTCCGTAATGTATGTAGCTCTGCCACCCATGTAGACACGGTCGTTAAGCATCCGCAGAGACCGTCCTCCAAGCCCTGCATGACTTGACAGGTTATAACACCTCCGGCCGGGACGTGGGCTACATCCCAGCCAATTGCTAAGATGGCGGTGCCAATAATATTGGCGGCAAATGTGCCGAGTGGAAACGAGGGTCGCTTGGCGTTAAGATACATGGCTAGGTAGAACCGGCCAAGACAACCAATAGGTGCAAAGACGAGAGCAAATGTAATTTGACCGCGCCAGTGATCGTGAGGAGGGAAGATGGACAGGAAAACGGCACCAAGCCAGCAGCCCCATCCTAATACCACAGCTACACGATCCAAAATTTTGCGTGTGAAGTGGAATGGGAGAGATGGGAGCAAACCTTCTGTTGCGGCTGCTAGATGTGAGCCCATGGTGTATGCACCCAGAGACAGCGTGATGTCTGTGACGAGGACGCCCAACAGCGCCATGAAAGAATATCCACCGTTTCTATGTGTAGTGAATCCGCCACCTGGGACAGGTAAATCATTCGAAGCAGCCAGAAACACATCTCTCAGAAACGTCGAAAAGCTTGTAAAGCTGCCACAAAAGCCAGTAGCAAGGCCAACATAGAGCGGGATCGTCTTCTTGGTTGCAAGATGGGCCTTTTTCGCTGCGGAAAGGTCTTCGCCGTCCTTTCTTGCACGGATAGCTTCGTCATAGACGGCTCGGCCCCATTCGTGTCTAAATAGCATTCGGTCTTCCGTCAAGAACCCCATGATGAAGCTGCCGCCGACATTGGCCCAGACGGTGGTAAAGACCGGCGCGCCAGGATACGAGGTCAGCGCCGTGAGGCCGACGCGGGCCAGGGTTCCGAATAAAGAGAATAGGACAAGATATGATAGCGTGTATATTTTCGTGGCGAGTGCGGAAACGGTATGCTGACTAGAGGCTTCGAGTATGTTCGGGGGGTAGTGATGGGGGTCGCGATACTGTAGGTCTTCCAGATTGGTGCGAGGCACAGCCTCTGATGGAGTTGGAGCTTCTGGTTGCTTGTAGCTGTCCGGCATGGCTGTGACCTCGCCGGAGGCCGTTTGCGCGTTTGGAGTGCTGTCGCTGCTCATCGTCGGCGGTTGGCGCGTGTGTTGCGACGACGCGTCCATGGAATTCGGGTTGGTGATGCGGTAGCTGGCGTAGCTTGCGTGATTCCCGGCTTTTATTTCGATTGAGGCTTCAAGAGCCGTTTATTGATCCATATTCCTTTGTCTTCGATGCTCGCTCTGGCTGTTTGCTCTCCTTGGCTTGCTGTACCGTGCTGTCTTGTCACAGTGCATGCAAAAAAACATCGACCCCCACGTCATGGATGAAATCCCTCACAACCCTAACCCTGTGCCAGGTGCATCATGTCGGCCAAGCCCCACTTGCCAGCCGCCGGCCAGGTGCGATATGCCAACGGTTGCCGGCTGCCAGCTGCCCCGCCCCCAGCCCAGGCCCCTCTAAAGGCGATCACTCGCAACACCCTCTTCTCTTCTCCAAAAGCCACCTCCTCCAGCACCAAATTTGTTGACGCCCTGCCACTGTTGAAATCGAAATTAGCTAGAAATCTTGTAAACTCAGGCACCCAGAGTGTCATTTTTATCCTTTTGCATCTCTTTGTTACCATGTCTCTCCCGTCCAACGTCCATGTTTCAACCCATCCGAGCTTGCAAGCGAAGCTTAGCCAGCTACGGTCTGCATCGGCCAGTTCCGCCCAGGTCAAAACACTTGTCCACGAAATCTCGTTGATTCTGGCGTGTGAGGCTGTATCAAAGGCGATTACGGCCTCTACGGGACCCAAGGTAACTATCCAAAAAAGGAAGAAATCATTGTGGCTCTAACTCTAGGTCAGGATTCGACACCACTGGGCTTCGAATATGACACGACCGTTATCTCGCCAGAAACTATGTGCATTGTCCCCATTTTGAGATCGGGGTTAGCCATGGTGGAAGGTAAGATGAATATGTGATGGAATATTTTGTCTTCGTGCTAATGACATCAGCTGTGCAAACCATCCTCCCCGTCGCTGTCCCTGTTCATCACTTGGGCATGTACCGCGAACCGTCGACGCTCGATCCGGTAGAATATTACAACAATCTGCCCCATCATATCCCGTCGTCTACCTCCGCGTCGTCCGCTAGCAGTTTGGCTATCGTGGTTGATCCTGTCATCGCGACAGGTGGTACTTGCGCTGCTGCTATCCAGACGCTCAAAGAATGGGGTGCCCAACGTGTAATGGTACTCTCCGTGATTGGTGCGACAGAGGGTATTCTTAAAGCAGCACAAGAATGGCCTGCTGGAACAGAGCTGTGGATTGCCGGTGTGGATCAGGAGCTTACAAAGGAAGGCATGCTTAGACCTGGCCTGGGCGATGTTGGTGATAGACTGTTCCTTACTATTGGCAAATAGATTACATGGAATTATTCATAATAACATTTTTCCTTATCATGCAGCGAATACTTCTTCGTCCACTACCGTCTTCTCTTCCCAGCAGTTGTACACCCATTGTGACTTCACAAGTCGCGGCACCCTGCTTCTTGTGCTAATCTGCTGTCTTACACCAGCAGCCACCTCTCCAATTTCCATGTCATCGTCACCGACGACTACGATATGGGTAATTTGTTCATCTTCCAAATCACTAGCACATTTACCTTTGCAGTATTCAACTTTGAGCTTCAGCTCGTCTACTGCTGCTGCTCCTGCGGCACCCACAGGCACAAAGTGCACGACGGCACGAGCAAACATGTAGTTGCGTAGCTGTGTTAGATCTGTTCCCTCGCTTTCGAGTTGTTCTAAAAAGGCCATTGTATCGAACTTTTCGCCTTGCTCAATTTTGGGCATATCACGAAGGAGATCCCGAAGTTCTTCCACTTCAACATCGCGGGCATAGCTGTCGCCATAGTGGTCGGACTGCTGCAGAACATATCTCTTGACAAGATCTGTGCCATGGAAAAGATGTCTCTCCTCATACGGCAATAAGAAGCCGTCTTCGTCTTGCCCCAGGCAGTCCTTCAACCATCTGGGTCGAATAATATTGGCATCTCCACCCTTGATTAAACTTGCTACTTTGACGACGTTCTTGTCTGCGATGATAATCATGCTGGATGTAGCGTCAGGACGTTGAGAAATAGTTCCGCCATTTTCTTTGATCAGGGTTTCTAGCTCGACCTTGGTCTTTTTAAAGGGCTTCAAGGACTCTGACAAGATGCAAAATTGAAGACCAGCAAACAACTTGGTCCCCTCTCCATGGAATTCGGCAGTTTCTTTTGAATCGCCCGCAATCACAAGGTCCACCTTACGGCGCTTCGTAGCTCTGCGTCTCGTGTCCTCGAAAGTCATGGCCTTTTCTTGCGATTCTTCTTCAACCTTTTCTCTCAATTCCTGGAATTCATCAATGGAAAGTGCAGAATCCCAGGTTCTGTCAAGTCTTAATCTTCGGAATCGTGGGAATCGAAGTGTGTATCCAAACGCAAAGGACTCTGAGGGTGCCACACTGGCTGCTTTTGCGGACAAGACGATAGAGTCTTTGGGTCGAATCCAGACATCTGGTCGCTCAAATTGTCGCGCTTCTCCGCCTCCAAGTTCAATGTATTCCGATGGAGGGTTCTTTGCATCCCACTCAATCCATTTTCCCTCTGTGCGATGTTTAATTTCGGCGTAATCCTCTCCAGTGAAACCGCCTCCAACTTTGAAAAAGCTTAGACACTTTTCTTCATTGGCGCCAGCCTGGAGGTGGTTCTTGGACGCTCTCAAGCCGCACAAGAAGCTGGATAGTGTACCACCTCGATGACCAGATCCATAGTAGCCGCCGATAACTAAACAGTCTAATGACTCTCCGAATTCAGTCATATACTCAGGCTTTACTTTGATCCAATCATCGTTGCGGCTGTTGAGACGGTACATCGATCGCGGGTTCTTCAATACCAGACCCTCGGAAGAGTTTGCGACCACATCGCGAAGAAGTGGCTCAATTGCCTCTGGACCTGTTGCTTTGGTATACTCGTGAACTTCCAGTCGACGCGGAACGGTGTTTACGGCCTTTTCTAATGCTGCGTGGCGATCTCGAAGGGTGTATTGAGTAAGCTGTTTGTCGTTCAGGAAAAGGATATCAAATACTCTGAATAGGGGGCGATGACCACCAGCAGCATCACTATTGGATTTATTCTGTTGCTCCAAAAGAGCGGCGGTTTTTAAAGTACCAAAAGGCACCATTTTGTCGAGTGTCATATCCCAGGTGATCATTTCTCCGTCCAAGATGATATTGCGCACGCCCGGTGCAAAGGCATTTTTCAAGTGTCTTGTCAAGCTGGATTTTCCGTCTAAATAACCATTTCCATAGAGGTATGTATAATCTTTGGCTTTTCTGGACCAGAAACCAAATCGTTTGCCGCCCGGGTGAGATGGGTCAGAAATCATGTGCATTTGCATTCGCTCTCCATCTAGTTTCTCTTCAATCCAAAACTCTGGATCCTCTGGTGTTGTTCGAAGCATTTCAATCATCTTTTGGAAGGAACCGTTTTTCTGGAACTGTGCAAGCTGGGGTTGGAAACACGACATGACGGATATGCCGTTCTGCTCTGGTTCAAGCCTGACCTCAGGATCCCACAACAGCCAGCACACCTGCCGCAAGCTTGAAGATGTACTCCACTTGCTCTCTGCATCAGGATGCCAAATATAAAAGAACGACCTCTCACTGGCGCCAATCTTCATTTGTTTCAGAATGATGCGGATGAGCCACATGAGCTCCTCGGCGCTCATTCGATGATAGAAGACGTTGAAGATTTCGAGATTCTCAGCCTCACTTGCAGATCCTGCCAGAAGATCAAGCTGATAATTCACCTCAGCGATGGTCATATCGCCGAGTTCAGTTCTGATGGGTCGTTTTGAAAGAACCTCGTAGCAGCGGCCAGCAAAGTCACCTGCCATTCGAGAGGCCGTTGTGTGTCCCGGCAATTTCCAATGTAGCAGGTTATATCCATCTTCAGAATTCTTATCAATCTTCATTAGCTTTACGAGAAGCTTTCCTATAGCATTCTCCTTTAAGCCGTACACGCCACGGTCTCGATCTCGGTCAGGCAAGATGAGCCGCATCGCTGGATAGAAGTCATTTCCGACCTCTTTTCTCCATCGAGCAATGAAGCGTTCGATGATATGTCTTCTTTGTTCATGAGGGGATACACCATGATTGGGCCCGGCTTTGCGGTTTGCTTTGCGCGCAGGCTGGTTCTTGTTCTCATTGAGCGGGTTGAAGAGATCTCGGTAGAGATCTGAGAAGGGGAGCGTTTTGGACCAGTTAATTGGACGATTGGGACACCTTTTTGGCAATTTGTAAGCGTTTATACGTATTATAATAGAGTGTCATACATACTTATCGTCCAATTCCTCAGTGCTCATTCTGCCATATTGAAGCTGATTCTCACGAATGGCATCCTCGTCAGGCTCTGCGGCCGAGGTAGGTGAATGTGTTGCTGCCATTCTTCAATTGGTCTTTGCAGGAACAATTAATGACTAGAACGATGATAGATTCAGGTTGGGATGCAGATACATGGCCGTGAACGTGGCGCATCCATTGTAGTTATATGCGTGAATGGTAGCGGCCAAGGCTGCCGCTGCCTAGAATTGGGAACTTTTATGGGCCAGATACACAACTACGGCCACGCAGCGCAGCGCAGCACAGCAGAGGTGGGTCTACAGTGACTTTGACAGCGAAGGAATAAAACACCAAGTACCCCCAAACCACCCTATAGTCTTAATTCACTAACTTTAAAACTCTTTATTAAATCGATATAAAATACTCTAGTTTTATTAAAAGATTATATACTAGAAAATGCTATAGAGAATTAGTTAAATTTATGTAAAGATTTATGTACTTTTTACTCTTTTTTATTTTGGATCTACTTACGCTACGCTGTATCTACTCAAGACTAGTATAGTGCAGACTTTTTCGTCTAATCTAGTAAAGCTATACGAAAGGCTGTATAAAATTGTATAAAAGCCTGAAAAAACATAAAAATTAAAAAGATATATTCTATTATTTTTTATATTCAATATATAACTTATAGGATTTTATATAGCTATATTTAGCTTAGTGTAGGATATTCATTTTTTTGGGGGTATTATTTGACCCCTGTTGTGCTACGTAGCTGTAGTTATATAATTTATTCAAGAAGCCCTTCTTGTTTATCATCGTCCATAGTATTGCGAATTTCAAACAGCCTACTTTGCCAATGGTCCTGCGTTGGCATGCCTGGCTCATAGCCTGTATCAACATAGAAAGACCCAGGTAGGGTATTCAGGTTGGCCATAGCTGCAAGCTAGCATGACATCCTCCTTGTGCAGCTCAGCCCACTCCTGAAGCTGCACTACATAATCACGAATAGTAAAAAAGCTGCGTCCACTATCGAGTTGAACAATTTTGCGTGGTGGTGGCGCTGTATACGGCATCAAGTCGCAGCACCCGCAGGGTTGGTTATCAATTTCCAGATCATTATTATCTAGAGGTTCAGCATCATTTTCGATATGCAGATCTTTCCAATTGGCTTCGTAATTCTCCAATGTGTCAAAAGAAACTATTATTTCCTGGACTGGTTGGATGGTGATAGATTCGTCAGCAATCCGGTGGAATATGGGCGTTCCATCTTGGTCGTTGGTAGTCACAAACGGGGACGCGTTAGCTGGTTCGGCTTCGAGATAACTTCCGTCAAATATGTCTTGTAAGACTATGCTTTCCGATAAAGGGCTGAAAAGCTTCCATTTTAGACGGTAAAACGCATGATTAATGGGCAAAGGTAAGCAGTTGTGTTTGATGAGACTCTGCCATTGCTGTTTTCTTATATATTGCGATAATTTCAATTCTGTTAAGTGTGCTAAATTTAGGGTGGATGTAGGCTGGTTCTTATACCACGGGCACTATAAAATATACACGAGTCAGCGCAAAGCCAGCCCTGAGCGAGCCTCACAAATAATGAACGCCTTTAATTCACTTGATTTTCATGCTCTTTTTTTTTTGGAGTCAGACTTAATTTGAATTTAATCCTATAATTAAACCCTTATGCTAAAGCATTCTACTTGGGTTTACTATAGTCTCTCTTGCATTCCATGCGGCGTCAACGTTATGTAATCATAACGGCTGCGTTGAAGCGCCACCAACAAGCCGTCTACGGAGTAAATGAGATTTGTAAAAAAATAAATTAAAAACTGAAATACCTTTTGAAATATAATAGAAAATACGGAACGTGATTACAAGTGATTGTTTGGTGTATTTGGGGCCAGTGTCTGCGGTATCTGCAGCCCGACTCGCCATGTTAGAGTGACGCACCGCAATTACACATCTAGTGATTGTCTGTAAGTCAAACATTCTTTACTTAGAAGCTAGTCATTAATGCTACGCCTAGAGTCGTTACACAGATTATTAGTTTGTCAGTTCTGTACTGCGCGCAATCACGGACTCGGCGCAGCAGCTTCATGGTGTTTTGGCCCAGAGGTGTAACCAGCGTATCAGCTGTGTCTACCCGTGACCAAGAGTTAGCGAGATCAAAGTATTTAAATGAAGCATAGTGCCGCTCCGAAACCACAATGTTAGATCAACACAGAGAACAGTACACAGAGAATAATACACTCAACAGATTAGCAACCATGTCTTCGTATGAATCGGAGTCGGATGGTACAGAAGCCACGGCCATTGGCGATGTCCTTCCCTTTACCTTTAAAATAGCCTTTGAAGTCGATTTCCTTGTCGCTCAAGCTCGCCCAGGGGTTCAATATCCTCTAATCCACAATGAGGATGGCCAGTTCAACGAACTCAAGTATGTTGTTCCCGCAAGAGCCAGTGTTGACTCAGCTCTGCATCGGTGTGCACTCGTCCTCGGCAGTAACGGCGAACACCTCGCTGTGCATCCAAACGGTACCAGAATTGAACACATAGAGGCACAGATTCAAGTAAACCGCGAACATTGGCACGTCTCCGTCTCTCCCATGGCGCGGGTGGTACTGGACAGCCCGCCAAACTACAACTGGCTCCCGGTGCGCCTGAGAACACCTTTCCTCAGGGACAGGGATATGATTTATGGAAGAGATATCCATATGGCTCTCGGGATCCTGCGCAATGAAGTGCGTATGCATGTCAACTCGACGTGCGCGCTTCGAGTAATGATGCGAATTGGGCCGGAGCCCATCGGCCTTGGCTTGGCTAAGAGGCTCATCACTGAGGTCTAGTTGACCGAGACTTTCCTCTTAGACACACTTGCTCCATTGAGTACTGCTGGGGAAATTTCGCGCTGGTCCAACGTCGCTCTCGACTGTGAGCGGTTCAATATGCATGTTCCTCGAGCGTTAAGGCGCCCCTGCCACCCAATGCTGCCCCTTAGATTCCCTAACGCACACATGACGGAAACCTTGAAGCGTATTTGGGACGCGCAAAACCTGTATGATTTGGAACGCCTCATCAGAGGGCGACGACCTCGTACCGAGCCCCCTCTTGCCTTTACAATAGACTTGCATAGCGATCAGCTACCCACCGTATCGTTCCGGTACGCACTATGGCACCCGCATGATGGCCTGGACTTGACTAGGCACTGGCTCCATCTTTGCAGAGCGTACCTCATTGCTGCAAATACTGAGTGGCATGACGACTGGGTGACTCTTATGGATCACCTTGATGTGCAATCTGGCAACCCTATGGACTGGTCGCTGGCAATCCAAACCCTCGGAGTTAGGATGCCCCGCGTAAGGGAGTGGAGCCGAATCGCTCGGGAGTTCATGTGTGGTCGCCGGCTTTCTAGACCTTTTATTGATCGGTATGGTGTGCTTGATACCATCCGGGAACTAAGAGATCAGAGGTGAGTGGGTTCTTACCTCGGGGTAGTCAATGGCAGGGAGACGATGATGAAGAGCAATCGGAATAGCTAGTACGTGAGTGACAAATTTCAAAATAGGAACAATGAAGAAGAATCGTAACCAAGCTGTCTTTTCTTTTTTGAGACGGGCACATGGGCCCAATTTATGCACTTGAAATATGTATGTACAATACAATCTATAAACGTGGTGCGCGCATCAGAAAAACGTTGTCTTGGCTCCCTTTTGGCGCGAATTGCGTTTCCGAAGTGATACAATATGTTTTCGCTGTATCACACGAACAACCCAGCTGTAAATCATCTCACGCATAAGCAGGAAAATGGTTGCACATGCGGTAGGCACAGCGCAAGCCCAACTGTACACAGTTAGTTCACATGTCTGCCTAATGTCGTACGTAGGCACTTACAAATACCAAATGCCGTGGTGTAGCTCGGGGAACGCTTCAAAGTTTTGGCCGAAGAAGCCAGTAATGAACGTCAGTGGTAAGAATATAATAGTGACAATGGTCAGTTGTTTCATGGACTCATTCTGGTTGGCAGTAATTGTGTTGAAGATGAGGTTGATCAAGTTGTCTGAAGACTGTTTCAGCTGCTGGAGAGACTCTGTGATTATAATGCAGTGATCCAAGACGTCACCCAAGTATGTATGGGTCATTGGTGTTACGATGACACCACTGGCAGGATTGGTCAACTCTCTCGCAGCTTGTTCTTGTGACAGCAGTGTGCGATGATCACGAAGCACATTGACCAGGTTGTCAATGGGCATCAGAAAGCGGAGCATCTTGTTGATTTCACTGATGCAAATATACAGACGTTTGCTTTGCTTGATGCTTGGTGCAGTTAGGACATCCAGCTCTAAATCTCCAATAATATCGGTATAGGCAGCTGTAAGCGGGATTGCAAGATCTATGACTGCATCGATTATGCCCTGAACCAGCAACGAGGCGTCGCAGGATTCACGGAGAATGGTTCCTGGCGTGCTGAGTCGGGTGACAATTGGGCGCTCAATGTCCGCGGCTGATGTTTCAAAGAAGGAAATAACGGTATTGTCGGACGTTAGGAATATGCTGACCTGTTCCGCAGAGACAGCGAGGTTATACGGGGCTAAGGAAGAGTGTGCCTCCATAAACTCTATGCGTGGCTCATTGGAAGAGGCGTGGTATCGTTGCAGGGATCGCAACATGGATGTTTCTGGTAGAATTGGCCCGTCGGGAAAGACTTGGCTGGCAGCGGTGCCACCGTTCGCAGGGACAGCCAGCTTTTCTGGATCTCTAATATCGTCCACTCCTGTTCCGGCGAAAAAGTTGCGGCGCTTCTTTCGCGAAGAATCGCTGGACGTAGACGAGGAATCATCATCTACCTCTACAATGTGAACAAGCTTTTGAAGCGTCATGATGACGAAGGCGTGGTTAGGATACCTGAGATACAAGTTAGTTTCGGGATTGGGAGACTATTGAAGTCGCAAAAACCCACCACTCAGCCTTGGTTCTGTTGCGAATATTCATGATATCTTCTAGTGCCAGCTTGTGCAGTCCTTTCTTTGCACCGACTGCCTGTATCACATCCCAACTCAACCCGTTGATGTTGATCCAGCGACATTTGGCCCACGGCTCTTCGTCCTGTTGCATATAGTCTACAAATGATTGATTGTCGAAGTGATGCTGTGTGATGCGATCCAGCGAATAATTTACAACGGTGATCTTGCAAGGAGCGCTTAGCGTAGGCATGGACGCGTGGCCGCCATCGGGAAGCTGAGGATCGTAGCCGGGCTCAGCACCGGGCTGCCATCCGGGCTGTTCATGGAAAGGCAGCTCCAAGTCATCGGCGCCATCGACAGTTCTGAAAGTGGCGGCTCGTGTTGTGCGTCGACGGAGAACCGCAGGTGAGTATGCTGAGTAGCGTTCCCTGTGCGGATCCGCAGATCGATGGCGCGTGTCGAGGTTTGGAAAGGGAATATTCTGCGTGTCGATGTTGAGCGTAGGAGCATATTGAATTCGTGGGCTTGCACTGGGTCGTCTATCGGGGTCAGGCAGCGTCAAGCTTGTTCGTGGAAGCATTGTTGGTGATACATCGTCGTCTTGGTCGGCGGGAGGCGGGAGGCCACTGCTGCTGGTTGCCTGCTCCTTCATCGGCTGTTGCGAATCGAATCAAATCGATCTGTCTGTGATCACGTCGAAAGTGAATACTGGTGAGAAAGGGGCTGATGAAGATCGTTGCGCTTTGAGCTAAGCAAAACGACCGAGCCCAGGACTAGCGGTACGCCATTCAAAATCACACGTGGCCCAAGAGGCATGGAAGACGCAGCTAGCAGCGCGGTTATAATGTGTGCATAAATAAATTTGTGCTATTAAGAGCTGATGGAGGACTGCCTAAAATAAATTATGTTGTACCTGACTTGAAACCCAGACATATTTTGATGGCAAGCAGAAACTTGACTTTGCTGAGACGCGACAGGGCAGTTTTAGGCGAGTGCGGCTCTGCTGCGGCGCTGTGGGGAAGGTTCTAACTTATAGCGCGGCCTTGGCGCTGTGGCTAGACAGAACAGACGATTCAATGAAATGAGGCGGCAGCCTTTCGTGGACAGCAGTATACACCACCTGTAGGTCAACGTCAATCTTATCATCTCAATAAAATGTTCATCTGCCAAAGCTTTATATTATATTTTTGTCTACTCTATAGCCTGTATGCGGCTTGTATTGAAGATGTATTGAAGACGACCCTGGCATCAACATAGCCGCTGGCGTAGGCCTCGCCTTAACATCAATTGATGGGTATACATTTCTATTTGTGTAACTTCAATTTGTATACCATTTACTAACTATCTACATACGTAAAACAGCGAGCATTTCTACTTTGCCAAACGGCTCGTTTATTGATGCGTTGAAAATTCGGGGTAATCAAGCATATCGAGAGTACATGCACGCTCTTTTACCAGCCCAGGGAGATTTTGATTACCCTACCGCACCAGTTGCAAAGCAGGCAAGTTTGATGACTCTATCACCTGTTGAGGCTATGATCTCTTCATTGGTGTCTAGCGTAAGACTAAAGCTCTGCAACATAAAGTCCGCGGAGGTAGAGGGCCCTTTAATTGCGATGCATATGGGCTTTGAACATGAAATAACTGCGCAGCGTTGCCAAGACGAATTGGTATATGTTGGACACTCTATCCCCGTCCGCCTACATGAAGTGCATAGGGGCGAAGCGGCAGCCTGTTTGCAAGCATTGCAAGATATATGCCTACTGCAGCGACCATTTGCAAAGCATGCGCCACCAAGATATATCTTGGCCATTGAGCTCTCGGATACACATCTAGCCTTGTCTTCTCTGCAGATTGATAGCGCACTGTTTGCGCCCGAGACAGTTATGGTCACAAACCGACGGCGTGTACTCCTACCTAAAGGAACATGGTATGGGGAGGCTGGCGACAAAGGTGTAGATGATAAAGATGATACAAGGCAAGAGATTCGAACGTTTATAGCCGCGTCGTTGCCTGCTGCAGACGCGATCATCATCCGTAATCCGGGCCATACAGAGGAAAATTTCATTGAGAGGCAGCTAGTCTTGGAAATTAAGCAGTTGGACCTGGCAGGAATAGTTCCCATGTTACGTTCAACCGAGGCGTTTGCTATATCTAGAGCACTCGCTGCCCGTCACCAGAAACAGCGGCAGGACATCTCAGGACTAGAGCCATGGGCTATATATCTCAACATGCTGAGACAAGTTTATGGTAGGGAATATTTTTGATATGGTTCCATCTTTAGAATTTAGCCATATTTTCTCATGCTATACAGCCTGATAATATGATACTGCTATTTACGTCTGATTATGGATCTGCACTAGTGCCAGTGATCACTCGGTGTGAACTATACTTTCGAAATCCTAGTATAAAATGAGCATTGAGTAAGAATGCAGAAGTTGATGCAAAACCGGCAGTCGGAAGCTACAAAAAGCGTTCCAGAGAGCAGGCAGACAAGTGAGAAACAGGAAGCCAAGGTGGGTAATATCCGAACTGCCCGTATCGTTTACGAACCGTGTCAGCTACTACTTCAGCTGGGGCGCCGCCTGCCCAGGCTTTTCTCACAAAGAGAAACATACCATCAACAATTCGAAAGGAAACCAAACCATTAGAGGAGATCTCAATCTCTGTGTTTATATTTATATCATGTTGTTAAATGCGAACCCCTCCAAATGCCAACCACCACTCGAGATTCCCGGCGGCGTTGTAGCCGTCGATGTTTCTGTTATCAACTGGTACGTATTTACACTTCGTCTTTCGATGCCCTATAAACACATACATTCAATCTAATAAGCATAAAATAATAGCGCTCGCATCACTATCCCAAAATCAAGTCTCGCTGTATTTGAAAACTCTCACCTCCGAGGCCTCACCATCCCCTCCTTCTCATTTCTAATTCAGCATCCACCTTCAGGGCGCCGCATACTTTTTGACCTTGGGATCCGAAAAGATTATCAAAACCTACCCCCTGTCGTCCAGGAATTCATAAAACAGACTTCGTGGGATATCGAGGTGGAGGAAGATGTCACTGATGTCCTGGCTCGGCAAGGGATTGAACCACGCCATGTTGGCGCAGTTATCCTTAGCCATCACCACTTTGATCATGTAGGCGACTTAACCAAGTTTCCACCAACAACCGACTTGATTGTAGGGCCGGGATTCAAGGACGCCCATCTGCCGGGTTTCCCAACCAACGCGGAGTCAACACTATTGGATACAACTTTGCAAGGCCGCACAATCCGCGAGATTTCCTTCCAATCTTCTCATAGTGTTACCAATATTGGAGGTTATGAGGCCTTGGATTATTTTGGCGATGGTAGTTTCTATCTCCTAAATAGCCCCGGGCATACAGTCGGTCACATAAGCGCTCTTGCTCGCGTCACAACAGGCGGCGAAGACACTTTTGTGCTGATGGGCGGCGACACATGTCATGATGCTGGCCAACTTAGACCAAATCCCTATCATCCTCTATCGAAGGAGATTATTTCTACACCATTTTGGCAAGGCTTGACCGGATGCTGCGTAACAGAGGCCGTTATTGCATCTTCAGGGCCTCAGGGAAACAAACCTATTCTGAAAACGCCTGCCGCTTATGTGGTTGACCAAGTCGAAGCACAGAGAAGTCTCGAAAGGCTTCAATATCTGGACAGCGCTGAGAATATACTGGTGATAATTTCACACGATTATTCGCTCCTCAAACAGATCTCAACATTTTCTCATAGTTTGAATGATTGGAAGCAGAGAAGCGTGAAAGAAAAAGTCCGATGGGGGTTTCTGGATTCGTTTCGTACCGAGAACAAGCTTTAGCACTAGAAATAGCCGTGGATAACAAATAGAAGTCGCTCATAACCGTACCTACATCGCTAGTAAAGACAGTTGAGCACCGTGGTATGCAGTGGTCACATCAGAGAGAGTTTTGCAGACAGTGCAACTCAGCGCAGCTCACACGGCACTAGTACCGAGACGTTTTGGTCCACCGTTCGCTACCGCAGCGGCACGAAGCACTAGCTTGGAACGGCGACGGCCTCACTGAGGACGCCTGCTGTGGGTATGGGAAACGAAGCGACCGAGGGAATGCGCACTGTGCATCTATGCATGGGCACCTGGCGCACCTGGCAGGCAGTTCGTTGTCTTCCTTATTGCCTTGTTCCTGGCGACAGACCCCAACTTGTTCGCTCTTCATCAACGGTTTTTCATTTATTTGCCGCCACTTTTCATTTGCATCGCTGCAGCAGCGGTGTTCTCCCTTTACCCGCTCTGAGCTACAAGACGCACTGCAGAGACAAACATCTGCTGCAGCGTCTTGCATGCGCCCTTCAAACGCCACCAGCCTAGACCGCAGTCCCCCAGCAACACCAACGATCTTCTCCAGCCAGCCTGGCCGCCGCTCACCACCAGTTTCTTTTGTCTACAGTCTGTACCGCGGCGAACCTGCATCAATTGCTGTCTGACCAGAGTAACATTCTCTTGCGCTGTGGCACAACGCAGAGGAGGACCTCCTCAACAAGTCACGACAACGCTGTCTCAAAGGCACGACGCACAACCTGCACTCCGCTGCGCTGCATGCTTCCGCTTCCGCGCCCCCACCACCCAGTAGCGCCGCCCTCCACTACTCTACGCTAAAAAACGTCAAAGCCGCTTGCTGAGGGGTGCTGAAAAGTTATTCGGTGGACGCGCTGCGCAAGACGCTAAAGTGGACGTACGGTACCTCGCCCATAGCCGGCAGATGTAGCCGCACCACCACTACACACCTCTGCCACATCGCTCCTCCGCCGCATTCTCCGCCTGGCCCCGTCACGTCAGCCATCGCTTGCTCCGGGAGGCTTGCAATTATCACATCGCTTCGCGACGTTCTCTCCCCTTGTCCGCTTGTTTCCTCCTCCTCTTTCTGCTGCGCTTGACCCCTCTTTTCGTCCTCTTTTCTACCTGTCCCTCCCGAGATTCTTCGGCCATCTCTGCACTTCATCGGCGCCAAACGCGATTAGCAGAGCATGAGCTCCAACATTATTCTATGCGAGACGGGCTATTACCGCTCCGCCTGCGTTGAATGCCAGCGTAGAAAGCAAAAGGTACGTCTTTTCATGGCTTCGATTGCCGCGCATCCCAGCCTCCGGGTCGCGCTTGTCGCTAGATCTCGCATTCGAGTCACCAACTGCCGGTCATTGGGCTGTAGCAACCACTCATTCATGCCCTTGCCTTTTATTTTTAGTTTTCCTACCAACCTGATTCTAACCATTTACAGTGTAATCGAGAATGGCCATGTGACAGTTGCCGTCGCCGCAAGATCCCAGATGGGTGCCGGTATAATGACATGAGCATGACGGGTGACGGCACCGGCCAAGATTTTCCTGATGACAAGCCAGTCATCCCGAAAGAAAAGCGACCGTCCCGTGCTGCAGGCGATGGAAAGGATGGCAACTATGTGTTTGAGACCATGGCTGAACGGGCGTATGCCACTATCGGCATCGACGAAAAGTTAAATGTGAGTGGCGAGTTAGTATGCACTCTGCGTATTGTCCAACACTAATCCCACTCTAGAGTGACAAAGATACAGCACGAGAAGATATAGTTAAACTAGATTCTTCTCCCCAGCTTCAGAAAATATTGGACATGCTGCCAGACCGGCGGACTGTCGGTATGTTAACCCATGGGCTTCTTGGCCGTTGTTAGCCACCTCTAACTGGTTTTCTATAGACTCAATTATACACGTCTTTCTTACTGACGTCAATTACCACTACTACATTATCCACCCAACCCATTTTCTCAAGAGCTATAATCTCTGGTGGGATATGAGAGCGGCACAACGGCCGTTGTCTCTCCAGTATACGCTCCTCCTAACCATGCTTGTCGCTGGCACTCTGCAACACGTACCAGAACATCTACAAGAATCTGTTGGAACAGAGGTTGGCGAGAGCACAGAGACATACTCGGATAAGCTGCATGATGCCACGCGTGAGCTGGCTAGTGTTCTGCCTGCCAACCACTACCACATCCTCAACGTACAGCGACTGCTGCACTCTTGTTACTGGTACAAAGCCGAAGCAAAGTTTGTTGAGGCATGGCATGTTCTCAGCCAAGCAATTCTGGAGGCTCGAGAGCTCGGTATTCACATGGAGGCTCCTGAAGGATCCATTTCAGATTATGACAGAGAAATCAATCGCCGGCTCTGGTGTATCTTGGACACTTGGGACTGGTATGTTTGATAAACGACGGCAATATCAGTTGAAAATAACAAGACTAACTCTCTCCTAGGCAAATATCTTCTGGTCTTGCTCGCCCCAAGCTTATTGATCGACAGCAATGTACCGCAGAGCTTCCTGACTTGACTTTGGAAGGCTATGACCCTCCTCCTCTCTTGCATATGAAGCTGCAGTCAAGCCTTGTCCGAAAGCTTGCTGCTCGCTTCAATGCCCCGAAAAACATTATTAGCCCAGAGGATATCCAAGAATACAAGAATATGATTGTCGACTGGGTAGCCCAGTTTCCCCCAGAGTACGACTTCTACAAGCCCGACGACTCGAGAGATATGGTGCACCCATGGATCGTTCCTCATCGCTTCTACCTGTATACCATGGCTTGTATTCTCATCACCAACCCGATAAGAGCCTACATGGTCAAAGCCTATACGTGGGAATCTCCCCAAGAAGATGTGGAAATTCGGAATGTCGGCGTATATTATTCGCTGGTGCTGATTGCATCGTTGCGTAGATGGGTAGACATTATTTCGAGCCGCGACGGCCGTTTACACTTCATCATCTTCTCCATCTTTGATACAGCGGCTATGCTTTGCACTGCCATGATCAAGGATGACGTCAAGACTTTGCCTCGCCGAGAGGAAATCATCACAGCTATTGCCGACTCGAATGTTATGCTTACCAAGTTGATGAGCGTCTCAAAAACGGCCAAGGTTTCTCGTGATATTTTGAATCGTCTAAGTCGTAAGCTGCCTCAGGTAACCACTCACAGCCTCGCCCCAACCGATGATCGTCGCAAGAGAAATAAGTTGGCAGCAACCTCACCATCGGCACGCACTAAACGCAGTCCAAATGCCTCTGTTTCGCCACAGCCATTGACACCATCCTCAGTTAATAAACCCCCTGCAGTCCCACTGCAAACTTCAACAGCAAACAGTTCACGGCAGCCAACCCAACCTCTGAGTTCTGGAAGTACACCCCAGACATACCTGGGCGGACCGCAGAACGGAAGAATTTATCCTGGCCCACCCCAGCAGCAACCTATGAATAGCTACGCCCCGTTGAACGCGGGATTGCAATCTGCTTCTCAAGGACCTCCAGTGAATATGCAACCCATCTCTGGACCGCCCCAGTCAGCAGTACCAGCAATGCATATGCACCTGCAAGTGCCAGGGCCAAATCTCGGGCAGACACTTGTGCCTGAAGCGTTTAGCAGCGCAATTGAAGGAGGTGTTCCTGCTGTTGCTACGAATTGGTCTTCCACCACTGGTCCTCTCACTGTTGGAAGCACAGTTGGTGCACCGATACACGGAAACGGCATACCCATGGTCGCAGTTGGCAACGGGTTTGTTCCGATGAATGGTGGACACATCCCTGCGCATCCCCAAGCACCCGGAATCATGGCACCACATGGAGTGTACGCTTTCCCGACGCCTACAGAAGATCCTGTTCCAGATATTGATTTGTCAAACTTGACTGACTTGGAAGTGGGAGGTCTAGCGCCGCTTTGGAGCTGGCACTCGTCCAACTTGGACGGTATTTACCTCGGGAATGACGACACGCCTCCTGTCCATCATGGTACTTGAGCGAAGGAACTGTAGCAGTAGGTGCGTTGATGTGGACGCAAGATGTAATGATTTACTATGATATATGAGGTATGGAACGGCGCAATGCTTTCTTGGATCAAACGGCCGTCTCATGTGATGATAAAACAAAAGTTTAATAATACCATTTACTTTTATCCTGCTTGACGATATTATATGTGAATAGTACCTTGTTCAAAGAACTGTTCGGCTCGCCGTCATGTATTCCTTGCCGTCCTTGACTACTCTAAAGCGCTCAGCCGTGGTAGTCTCTCGTGAATATTCGACAGCCATCGACAGTGGCAGACGCATTAGGCGTTTGAAATCCACGTCAATAGCAAAGGGGCCCGGTGGACTGGTTCCAAACTTTTGTACAAAACTGGCGAGCACATGATTCCCATGTGCAATCTTGCTTGGAAAGCCAAATAGCTTGGCCATGCCACTAGACATGTGGATAGGGTTATAGTCTTTGCATACGGCCGCCCAGTCAAATGGCGCATTGAATTTCAGCTCAACCATGTATTTCTCGATATTCTTCCACCCAGACGCCACATTCTCTGCTGCCTTTACCTCTGGCGCCTTGTACAGCGGCTTATGCTTTGAAGGCAGGTAGGCAAGAATCGTGGCAACCTGGCGAAAGACTTTGCCACGCTGGGAATGGGTTGCAACAAAGACCACATCGAGCTCAATACCGCGCTTTACCCGTCGAGCCGGATTCTCGTCGCCTCCAAGCGTAGCTGTGACAGTGTAGTGTCCTGCAGGCGGCTCCGTGTCGAGAAATTCAAAGCGGTTCTTGGTGTTGACGCAGCCAAAGGGCATGATGGGGTTGTTCCGGTTGGTCAGCATGATAGACATGAGAGGGTTTATGAGCCCAGCAAGCAGAAGCGCGCGATTGCCACCGCCGGGGACAGCGCGGTCATAACGTTTGCGGTCTTCATCGCCGACGTCAATCTCCGAGGTGATGGTGAGATGCGGCAGATCGAATCCAGATTCTGTGGAGCGAAGCTTGGGTACCGCGCCTATCCACCGCAAGGGATACTTGAAAGCAATGAGGCAGATGATGAAGACGACATCGGGGCCGGTGAGTCTCGACACTGGGATGGTGAGGTTTGCGTGGCGGGCCGAGGTTGCTCGAAGGATGGCGCGGGCGGGCGATTGGAAGAGGATGGCTATCGATAGGAAGAGAAAAGTTGCAGCCGCGAGCTCCCACGGAATCTTTTGCAGCGACATGTTGACAGCCAATTGGTTGCAGTTGTGGTGGTAGTTTGTGCACAGTCGAGCATTGGCCTCGGCACACGGCCGGTGGTTGAAACACCGGGCCCCCCACCTCGGCCGAGTAGTGAAACGGCACGGGGCTGCCGCACTTACACGCAAGTGTCCTTTTTCATTTGGGCTGCATTTGCGTTGGTATCAGGCAAGAAGCAAAAAGGAAAAAAATGGGGGATGAAAGGAGAGACGAGTTTCATTGAAACAACTCTAATCACATGGCTGCTTCAACATGTGGTGGGAAAATGTTCATATTTGTTTTTTTGGTTGACTGTGTACATGACGAACTATATAACGCCTTGAGAAAATATCAAAATCCTGCTAAAAATGCCCCAACTATCCAGTAAAGTAAAGAAAAAAAAAGTATGAAGAAGAATATAGAAGAAAAACCATGTACAATCTTTCTTTTGTAAAGTACCGTATAAACAGGTAGAAGAACAAGAGCACCTCAGACAAGGGAGACGATCTTAAAGGTCTGCTCCTTGCTGTCGTCGCAGCGGGCAAAAGTAAGGCGGTTAACGCCCTTGCTGGTGATGCAGACGTTCTTGTCAGACAGCGGCTGCAGCTTGAACGTGTTCTTGCTAAAGTCCTTGGAGATGGGGAACAACTGGCCCTTGTCGGTGTTGGAGTCGCTGCCCTCGGCTTTCCCGCCGCAAGAAAACATGTTGACGCGGTCATTCTCAGCACGCGAGGCGTCGTAGCTCAAGCACGAGGGGAAATGCGATGCGATAATGAGGGCCTCCTGATCGCGTGCATCGTTGTTCTTGCTGGAGAAGCTAATGTCAAACTGCTGGCTCTCGGCGTCCTCGTCACAGGTGACAAAGGTGAGGGGCAGCAGGTTCTGGAGCGAATCGCCAGAGAGCGTGTCAAACTTGATGCAGCGGCCGTCGTCGGTCTGGATGTGGACGGACTGGAAGGCGCGGTTGGCCGTCTTGTCGAACTGATGGGCCTTTTCGGAGCCGTCGCTGTCTACGAAGCCGCCGCGGGCAACGGGGATCTTGACGACGCCGCTGGTTGAGGATGCAGCCTTGCTGCTGGATGTGGAGGTGGCCTTGTTGCCGCCGACGTTGTTGGAGGAGGCAGATGTAGACGAGGCCTTGTCGGTGACGGTGACGGTCTTGAGGGGTTCTTTGGACGGATCAGCTTGGGCGGTGACACCGGTGGGAGGAGGCGAGCCGTTGACGGTGATGGTGACAACGTTGGTGACAGTGGTGAGCTGTCCGCTGCAAAGGCTCGCAGAGGGCTTCTTACCATTGTTGTTGTCCTTGTTGTCCTTGTCTCCGTTGCCACTGTTGCCACCACCGCCGCCGCCAGTCGCAGCTCCGCCGATGGTAAAGGATGTCTTGTCTCCGTTGCAGTCGCCGGCTGTCACAGTGTCTCCGTTGGCAGTGAAGCAGAGCTTGGTGTTTTGGGTTTGGAGCTTCACGTTGCTGGTCTTGCCGTCAAAGCTGATAAGCTGCGAGTCAGATACCTCGCCTTCACCATCGGCACGACCACCGCAGGAGAAGAAGTGCACCTGGGTGGCCGGGGGACGGCGGGGATCAAACGTCATGCAAGCATTGGTGAGGGTGCTGACAATGAGGGCACGACCGGCGGTCTTCTTGATGTGCTTGCCCTCGGTGATGAAGTCGAAGCCCTGGCCGTCGGTAGAACCACAGTCGGCAATCTGGACGGGAGCAAGGTTGGCGCGTTTGTCGCCGCCAAGCTTGTCCACAAACAGACACTTACCGTCGGCGGTCTTGATCTGGACGTTCTTGAGGGCGCGGGTGGCGGTGGTGTCGTTTTGCTGGGCTTTTGCGAAACCGCTGTCGAGTTCGGTGACTTTGCGGTCCTCGAGAGAGTTGGCAGCGGCGAGAGAAGAGGCGAAGAGCGCCAGAAGAAAGGTTGGGCGAACCATTCTGAAGGAGGTAGGTGTTGGCGTGTAAGCTAGTACTGAAAGAAAAGAAGAGAAGAAGAAAGAAGTCTGTCCTGCAGAAGGCAAATACGCTTTATCAAAAAGCAAAAGAAGGATTCAAATGTACATGAAAGAACAGAAGAAGCTAAGCTACACGCCGAAGAGGAGGAAAGATGGGATGGAGAGACAAAGGATGGAATGTAACAACAGAGGTCGAGCGGGATGCCAGTGTACTTTATACAGGATTGCCCGTGATGATTCCCCTCGTGGCGGCAGACGCTTGAGCCATAATTAGAGCTTTCTTCTTGTACACGAACCGAGCGGCAAACGGCTGGCTGCAAGGCACAGCTTAACCCCTGCCGTCATCTCCCAGGGCCCAGCGAGGGAACCATCAACTTTGTTTCATTATGCGTTCGCCTGGCCTGCTTGCACAGATCGGACCAAAGAAGAGCGAGCCTTACTGGACAGAGCGGTGGCGGTGGTGGTGGTGGTGGTGATGCAAAGCGCGACGTGTGAGGTTTCAGCTCGGCCGCATCTGAGACGCAAAAGAAAACGGTGCGCTGCCCACTGTAATTTACAGTGAGGCACAGTGGAGGAAACAGCGCTGTAGCCGCCCACTGTAAGCGCTGTAATATATCCCCACAGCGGGCTTGTTCACCAGCGCCAGCAGGCTGCATGCACCAACCACCTCGCGCAGGGGACTTATGGGGGCCGCGGTTCGAAACGTGCGCGACTGCGTTTGCTGTTTCAGCTGCAGGTTCTCTGGAACTAGCAGAAGAAAAAGTCCCAAGGAAATTTATTATGGTGCTCGTCCAAACATGTCAAGTTCCAGCATGACGATACGGCCTCTTAACGATCGGATCAGCGCTGTTGATCATGCCATGAAGTAAGCAAACGAAACATGATATTACCGGCACTTGAACCTTGCAAAACCAGGCTGCCAAAATTCAGTAAAATTCAGAAATAGATTCCCACGGGCGGGAATTACGCCTTAAAGCCTCGTTCAAAGCTTAAAATAGACTCTGCACTGACAGACGTTCGGCTGGCTTCCAAGTCTCTCCGTCTCTACCAGTGGCACGGACACTGTTTGCCTGGCTTCCAAGCTCCACAAAAAGGCTCGGGTACTTTATATCTCTGTGGTAAGAATAAAGAAGGATGTACCAATAAGAAACAATATATTGGGCTGTGGCCGTATTTGGGCCCATAGGAGCGCTTATAGAGTGCTGCAATGAACGCACTTAGTTTGTATGCTGTCACGGAATTTCAAACCCCCAGAAAAAAAATAACAACTAATAGTCTTATTACACTAAATAAAATCAAAAGGCAGTAATCCTGTTTCTAAACCTAGAATTATGTGAAGATCCTTTTCAACAATCCCCCCCGGCTCTTGCTAGGCCACCAGCTATGCAAGATTATCCTTAAATGGAAAATGGGAGAACAAATAACAAGCAGCTAGCTCCATTCTTCGGCATTAACCTCCATAGATAGTTCGAAGCAAGGACTAATAGCCAGGCCGCCTTCCTTGAACTCTGTTGAATCGGTTTGGCACTCGTCAAACATGGCTTTCCCGCCGGCACATTGTCGCCCTTTGTTGATTTGAAGGGTAGCGGCGGCGTGAAGCCTGCGGGCAGTGGGATATCAAGAGGAACGGCAACATCCGCGGGGAAGACAACTGGATTACCAATGCTTCCGCCAATACCACAGCATGTGGATGTGATGAGGCGGAAGAAGGAACAAGCAGGACAGACGTCGTCACCAGGACCAGGCGCGTTGTTCTGGTTTCCATCAAAGTGCAGTTGGACAATGTCCATCACCGCAGCTTCACTCACAGTAAAGGTAGCCTTGGGGGCAACGGTGGTGTGCGCCATGGGGATAACAGTGGCCATCTCGGGCGAGATGTGTTGGCCTTTGCCGGAGGGCTTGTCGTCGTATAGCGAAATCTGAGACCATCGCGGGTGAACAGGGACGGCCTCGTTGTCACTAGCAAGCACGCCTTTACCGTCTGATACTAGAGAGTATTCCGCGCCAATGGTAATCGAGATCCTTGATATGGACAAAGTCACCTGGCAAGTTGCTCTGATACTGGGGCTTCGGGCGTTCATAGTATGCCGCAGTCTCCGCTCCTTTGGATAAGTCAAGCAGGGTTGGCTCACGATGGTACGGCTTGGTATCTTGGCCTGTGGAAAAGGTGCGGTTTTTGCCCTCGTAGAGGGACCGGCAACCCATGAAGCGATGTGGCGACTTCCGCCTGTAAGACGAGTAGTGCCAGACGTGTCGACAATACCGGCATTGACATTAGTGAACTCCACATTCTCCAGCACGACACCGGTAGTTCCAGTGCCAGGCTTGTCTTCGGGAACGCCCATCATGATAGCTGTGGCAACATTGTCAAACTTGGAATCCATAAAGGAAGCAGATCCAACAAAGCCGTCTGAACCTCCTCCTCCGCCTTGCTCGACGAGGAGCTTGAAGCCAATATGTGAATCCTGAATGGAAATAGACTTCCAGATCCATCCCCAATCCCACATGACCTGGACAGCTGTATTACAACCAATAAAGCGCAATCTTTGCGCCGTGAACTGCTGGTTACCACCATACAAGCCAAAGTTACCGCCGCGGAACGTGATATCAGCCAAGACACCGCCACTGCCGTTCTCAGAGTAGATACCCTGTTGCGTAGTGGATGAATCCGCCACGATTTCCACAAACTGCAGACTGGTAGCTTGCGCAATCTGATAGTGAATACCGCAGACATAGGCGTCAGGTATAGTTGCCCGAATATCAATCTTGATATTGCGGATTTGTCTATAGAACGAGGCCGTGTTGATGTACCATTCTTTGGATTTACCGTCAACGCCAATACCACCATTGGGGACATATTCATCCGTAGAGAGTACACCAAGACCATAGAGGCTGCTTGCAGCCTTAATTACAGGCCACTCGTTAGCATCACCAATAAGCTGCGTGCCGAAGACAACGGGGATTGTTCTTGAAACCAGGTACGTGCCGGAGGGAAGTACACAATAGCGTTCTTGGTGGTAGAGCCGTTGCACTTTTCGCCGCAACGCTTGCCGTCCATCATTGCTTTGATGATTGCAGCTGTGTCATCGGTACTGCCGTCTCCGCGCGCGCCATAGTCCAGAACGTTGCGGAAGACCTTGTAGTCAGAGTCGTTTCCCCAGGGGACAGTTCCCTTGTGAGTCATGTGCTCCATCCAGAATGTGCCTTGGCGACGCTGCAGACGCGAGCGTCGGTAGTAAAGTGTGCTGTTACGATTTATAGTGGTGTTTCCGGCAGCTTCGTATTCTGCGAGGAGAGCAGCAGCAGCAGCAATCTCGGGAGTCACCTTGAGAACCGTCGCAATCAATCTTCCGGGGGACTTTTATATTGCATCCGAGCATGATGATGATGAGACAATGGAGGAGCGCTGGGAGGATATGTTGAATGCGATTCGTGACAATATAGACTTGGATAGACGCGAGGGGCTTGTCGAGTAGGCTAACGAAGCACTGCATACAATTGGATATTGTGTTGCATTTAATCTTATTTGTATGACAAGTATATCGTATGTTATACAGCGGTAGATTTGTCTACGCGTATATAGTGGTGGCGGTGGTGTAGGCGCGTGAGTGGTAAACTGTCTCAGATACGCAGATAAGTCTACGCAAGGCATAACCCTACAAGGATAGGAGGAACTGTGGTTCTAGTAACATTTATAATTGAATGCCATTATTAATTTTTGACAATTATAGTGAGACGAAATAGCGTCTATTTGTAATTAATTATATGAATAGATTCCGATAAACCAACTGCAACTTGCGGTGCTTCTCTATGTTTCCCGTCGTGGATGGTAGCCCACAAGACCTGTGCCTGCAAACGTCACGAGCAGCGGTCATCCATCATGTGCCGCCGGGGCTCCTGATCATCGCCGCGACAGCCGTATAAAACACAATACATATCTTTTTAGTAGCAATAGATTTTTCTCTTCACAATCACAATTGTCTTCCTTTTCATTCAATTTCTCATAGTCTTGTTTTTGTGTTTGTATTCGCGGCAACACAAGCCTAACGTCCTCTTTGCCATTTCCGCACCTGGCACACCTGGCACACTTGGTGCAGCTGGCAGTGCCAAATAGAGTAAACTCTCGCTTGGTTGCCTGCAGCTGGTGGCTGAGCCGTGCTTCTCCGCAACCGCACCAGCTCCCCCACACTCGTTTGCTCCAACTCGTCATCTTCACCACCACCGTTATTTTGGCAGCAAAAAACAGTGACGACGTTTTTGGTGCAATTAAATAGATCAGAATGGTAGGATTCGCCGATATAATTTCTACTGCCGATAATTCATCGCTGACACACCCGCAGCCGGACGAAACTAGCCCGCTGCTGCCCGGCGGCGATGCTTCCACCGCCGAAGATCGCCGTCAGCAGCCCAAGGTCCGAAACTCTCGTCTTCGCGAGCTGTTCTTCTTCACATGGGCCCTCTTGGCTACTGCTGGATTTATCATCATTGCTGTATGGTTCCAACATACCGAGCAGACCGTTCCTCCCGCTCAGCCAGAGTCGCCGCCCAGCAAGAGAAACCTTGTCTTTATGGTCTCTGACGGCATGGGCCCAGCCTCTCTAGCTCTCACCCGCAACTACCGCCAGCGAACGCAGGGCCTCGATATCAGCGACACTTTGACTCTCGATAAGCACTTTTGGGGAAGCAGCCGAACCCGCTCCGACAACTCTCTAGTCACCGACTCGGCTGCCGGCGCCACGGCCTTTTCCTGCGCCCATAAGAGCTACAATGGCGCCATTTCGGTGCTTCCCGACCACACAGCATGCGGCTCCGTCATGGAAGCGGCGAAACGAGCAGGATATACCACCGGTCTGGTCGTTACTACTGATATTACGGATGCTACACCCGCGTGCTTTGCCAGCCACGCCTTGCGTCGCGACATGCAAGACCTCATTGCCCTTCAAGAGATTGGCGACAGTGTTCTTGGCCGTTCTGTGGATCTCATGCTTGGTGGTGGCCGCTGCCACTTTTTGCCCAACTCTACCGAGGGTGGCTGCCGTCTGGATAACATTGACGTGACGAAGCGTGCGCAAAAGAAGCATGGCTGGAACTACATCGATAGCCGCAAGGGCTTTGACGCACTGAAGGGAGGGAACAATGTCCAACTGCCTCTTCTTGGCCTCTTTGCCCCCAACGATATCCCCTTTGAGATCGATCGCCGCAACATGAATGACATTTACCCCAGCTTGAGCGAAATGGCTACTTCTGCTCTCCGCGCGCTGGAAAAGGCGACGTCGGATTCCGATCAGGGCTTCTTCCTTATGATTGAAGGCAGCCGCATCGACCATGCAGGCCATTTCAACGACCCTGCTGCACAGGTGCACGAAGTTATTGAATACGACCATACCTTCCAGGCTGTGCTGGACTTTATTGCGCAATCCGAGACGGAAACCGTTCTTGTGGCCACCAGCGACCACGAGACGGGCGGCTTGGCCACGGCGATTCAGGAACCAGGCCATCTTCCAGTCTATGATTGGTATCCCCAGGTGCTCCATCGCGCCAATGCCTCTTGCGAGCTTCTCGCCGCCAAGCTCCAGCAGCACGTCGCTGCCAACTGGGGCGAAGAAGGTAGACTCAAGACGTGGATCAACAAGAACCTCATCATTCCGGGACTTGGATTCACTGACGCAACAGACTCTGAACTCACCTTGCTCGCACGCGATACCGTCTCTGCGCGTGACACTCTTGCCGCCATGATTTCCCGCCGTGCCCACATTGGTTGGAGCACGCACGGCCACACGGCGGTTGACGTCAACATTTACAGCTCCGGAGGTCCCGGAACCGATACCATTCGCGGCAATGTCGAAAACACAGACGTTGGCAAATTCTTGCGATCGTATCTCGATGTGGATGTCGAGCCCATTACCAAGGAGCTGCGCGAAAAGGGCCAGGACATTGGTGCCGGACTCGCCGCCGTTAAGGTTGCCGGCATTGCTGGTGGTCAAGGATACCACGCTGCAGAGGAAGCGTAGGTTTGGTGAGCCAGCACTATTTTTTGATCGTTTTTTGCTTTCAATTACTGTACAAAGATGATGTCTTTTTTTTCTTGGATAGAACTCTGTTCGCATAGACAGCAAGGCAGGGGAACAGGATCAATGCACATACAGACTATTTAACCGATCTAAGCTACCGGTCAATTTAAGTGCCCATGAACCTAATTTTACCTGCCCAACTGGGACTCTTTTCTTATCACCGGCCCGATCACGCAGCTGTCAGCGGCGATGAGGCAATCTCTCTAGTTTCTAGCCTACCCCGTCAGCAGTAAGTAATGCTTCGTATTGTGCTGTGCCGCCCTTCGCACAAACCGGGTCAGCTCCCCATTTGTTTTGTTTTTTTTCTCTTCATCCTGGTTGGGTCCTTCAATGTTACCCATCGCAAGCCACACACATCTTACCGTCTCGGCATCCATTGCGAGCAACCGTTGCCGGCCAAGGGCGGCACAAAAAATATATAGTAAGTCTATAGTGCGGTGCGTATACATATGCACGCTCATGCAGCAGCCAAGTACTTGGAATTCTGCGCACTGCTATCACCCGCCAATCGCATCTCTACAGGTTGCTGCAAGGAATCCTTCCGCTGCGACGCTGCTCCGGGCGGCGGGCCGGGAATCGACTAGCGGCGTTGCCGAACAAGATCAAGATGGACGCCACCTGTGGGCCGAAGATGACACTAGGGATGGCTGGACATGGGAAGCTGCTTATTGTGACGTCGTACGAAGCGGATAGAGATGAGAAAAAAAAGCTTCGGTTGCCGTGTGTACAGTACTCGGGCGGCGGAGATAACAGAGCGAACGGCGGGCTAGCTAGCTACAGTAGCTAGCACAAGTATAAATAGATGGACAAGGTAGCGTGGTAGTTTAGAATGAAGCTCTTCTTGCTTTCCCTTTCATCTCTATTTTGTAGGCCGATACAATGTGGTTCAACGCTCCCGCCATCGTCTCCCTTGTTCTCCCGCTGCTTGCTGCAGCTGCCCCCGTCAGCACAAACAGCACAACCCAGAGCCCCCGAATTGACTACGATGCCATCATTGTCGGCGGCGGCCCTGCTGGTCTCAGTGCCCTGAGTGCTCTTGCTCGCGTGCGCCGCAACGTGCTGCTCGTCGACTCTGGCGAGTACCGCAACGGCCCTACACGCCACATGCACGATGTGCTCGGCTTCGACGGTAAGCCACTGCCCCAATTGGGCCCTCTCCTTGCCTCAATCTAACCCTTTTTCTTTTCTGTAGGCGTCACTCCCGCATACTACCGCCACGCTGCCCGCCAGCAAATCTCCCAGTACGGTACGGCATCCCTCACCAACGGCACCATCACCAAGATCACCCCCGAGCAGAACAATACGTACTTCTCCGTCACAGGCAAGTACGAGGGCGACAAGGAAATCACATTTCGCGCCAAAAAGGTCATCTTGGCCACCGGCATCCGCGACATCCTCCCCGACACCCCCGGCATCAAGGAGAACTGGGGCAAGGGTCTCTTCTGGTGCCCCTGGTGCGACGGCCACGAGCACGCCGACCAGGGACTTGGCCTGCTGGGCCCGTACGACGGTGTTCCCGGCACCGTCCGCGAGATCCTATCTCTCAACACCGACATTGTCGCCTTTGTCAACGGCACCGATACCCCCGAGGAGCGCGAGCTCGCCGAGAAGAAGAACCCGCACCACGAGGAGTACCTCAAGCTCAAGAAGGTGACGGTCGACAACCGCCAGATCACTTCCATTGAGCGTCTCCGCAACGGCTCCGACCCCAGCGCCGACCCTAGCCTCTCGAGCGTCGCCGAGCACGACCTCTTCCGCGTCCACTTCACCGAGGGCGAGCCTGTGCTGCGCAACGCCTTCATCACCAGCTTCCCCAAGGAGCAGACCTCGAAGGTTGGCCAGGACGCCGGTGTTCAGCTTTGGGGCGGCCGCCTTGCTGTCGACAGCACCAAGGGCCTTGTGACCAACGTCCCTGGCGTGTATGCCGTCGGTGACGCCAACTCTGACAACTCGACCAACGTCCTGCACGCTCTTTACTCGGGCAAGCAGGCCGCTGTCAGCATTCACATTCTGATTGAGCGTGAGACTGCCAATGCTGAGCTAGCTGCTCTTAACAGCACGGCTGCTGCTGGATCTAAGCGGAGCTTGCGTGAGGAGGCTCGCGCGGTCTGGGCTAGAATGAACGGCGAGCCTGGTGAGCTGCTGTACGCTGGCGAGTTTGACCAGTAAAGCAAAGAAAAATGCATCATGATTTGCAAGGACTTGATGAAAACCCGCGTATGATTAGTATTTACGATGGCTTATATTTAATACTTTAATGACAGTACAGAAGATATCTGGTACATACATACAACTCTGCTGCAGTTCCTTGATGATGAATGTGACTTATACCGTGTATACCAGCTTAGTACCAGACACGCGCCCGTTGCGTAGCTCTTCCAACCCGTGAACTACACCAGCCCAGCTCTCGCCGCCCCTGTTGAGCGTGAATCTGGTGGGCTTGATGGTTCCATCTGCCAAGAGGGGCTCGCTGTGTGCCCAGAAAGCTTCAGCGAAATCCGCGTCTTCCTTGGACGCGGGGAACTCTACGCCCATACGTGTAAATGTCTCGCCAAAGGCCGTGTAGCCAAGCTGAAACTTGGACTCGACTAGGGGATTGGTCTTCTTTAGGAAATCGGGTGGCGTAAGAGGACTCACGGTAGCGTAGATACTCTTCTTAGTCTGGCTAAGCGAGAGGCCTGCTACCTTGGGGAACTTGTCATTGGGTGAGCAGTCCCACGCTAGGAGCAGGTCGTCTCCGGTAACCGCCCGAATCTTCTTTACCAGGGCATCTGTATCTTCGTGATAGTCCAAGAGAAGATCGACTCCGAGGGACTGCAGGTACTCAAAGTTGTATGGCGAAGCCGTGGCGGCGACCTTAAGTCCAGACAGCTTGGCATACTGGATGCCAACTACGGCAGTGGCCGTGCTTCCGCCGCCGATGAGAATCCACCGAGGAGGATCGGAAGCCGGGGCCGGAGGCAGCGGGAGACTGAGCAGTTGATAGAGTGCCTGGCCGCAGGTGGTGACGGCCACGCCTAGGGTAGCAGCCTCTTCGAAGCTGAGATTGTCGGGGATTTTCAATTGGTTGTGAGGGGTTGCGACGAGATAATCGCCAAATGCTCCGCTCTCTGCATGCTTTCTAATTTAACAAAGAAAGGTATGTGTTAGTGAGGACTGACGCGGCGATGGCGAAGGAAGACAAACCCTCCGAAGACGAAACCGCAGATTCTGTCACCCTTTGTCCATGGCTGCTTCACATCGGCGCCGACTTCTTCGACAATACCCGAGAAGTCAACGCCTACTCGAGTTCCTACTGCGAGACCTGACGGATCGTAGATGCTCTTCCAATCTGTAGGGTTGAGAGCTACGGCTTTGGTCTTGACGAGGAGATACCCGGGATGCAGCGTAGGCTTGGGCGCCGCTTTGATTTCAACCTTTCCTACGGCCGTGCAGAATACAGCTTGGATTTCGTTTGCCATTATTTTTGTTGCTTTTGTAAATGAAGATGTATAAATTTAGCAGTTTGGGTTAACGAAGGTTATGACTTTTACTGTGTCGCTTTTCCCCCGCTCGGCCTTCGCGCCGATGTATCCTAAAGGCGATGATGCAAGCCTGGTGTGTAGAGCGACATGATTACAAATGCGATTTTTCATACCAGAAGCAACTTTGGCACCGCAATCATCAGCCAGAACTTTCTGCATTACAAATGTATTCCGTTATGACCGGATTTAAGGAAGTCGAGAAGTGTATTCCATAGGTTAGAAAGGGAAATGGCTTCTTGGGCCCAACCAGGCCAAGCATGACCCATGCCAACTCTAATTGCAATGAGCACGTGCGGGCAACCCTTCTATGCTTTCCTTTTTCATCTATAGTTGGTTGGTGTCAAACCGGGAGATAGAGGAAACGGCATACATCGGCGAGATACACCGGTTGATGCATGTCAAGCTCGACTTTATCCAGATGAAGCACCCCAACAAAGTGCATCTAAACAGGCCCATCTCGTTCCCACGGAACCGGAACTTGAACATACTTCTTTTCCGTATGTTCCTGGGAAATTGCAACAAAATGGCTCTTATCCTGACCATACACGCGACCAGGAACCCGCCATCACCGGCTCCATCCGCCGAAACGTTACCGTGATAGACAAGCAAAAGTGCCCGTGCCCGTGTAAACTTGTCAACAAGCGGCTTTTGGCCCCGATTTCATGCGGAGCACACCCAAGCCATTCCCCGCCGATACCACCCACGTGCATCGCCAACTGCGCTGGAAGGACGACGCTAGCGGTGTCCACACAGCGTCAATTGACTTTTGTGACATACTGTACTGGCATTTGCGTGTCTTTTCTGCTTCGGCTCGCGTGAGGGCGACATCAGGCTGTGAGAGTTATGCCGGTGCCGGTGTAATGTTGATCGCCTTGACAAGATGGCCAATGGAGTTGCTTGCAATACAAAGAATAAAAATGTAGCTTTTGCTTTTTTTTTAATCTTTTACTTCTCTAACATTACCTTTGTACTGGAACCGCATACACATCCACAAACATGGTAGTTGAGCTTCCGTCGACGTTTACACCAGAGGCCGTGACCGACTACGTCCTCGCCGTCCTCGAGGAATCCGGCAACAACCCTTACATTGGCGAGCCCATCTCTCAGCTCCAGCACTCTCTACAATGTGCAGCCCAAGCAGCGTCTGCCTCGCCCGCAGTTGACGAGGAGACACAGCTTGCGGCGCTACTGCATGACCTGGGCCAATTTGTGCCGGCACGCGATCTCAATCGCTTGATTGGCGAGCGCGCCGAGATTCTTGGCGGCATCGATGCCAGTGAAAGTGTCGGACGCACCGGCCACGATACACAGGGCGGCAAGTTTCTACGCGCGCTAGGCTTCTCGCCCAAGGTTGCCCGCCTCGTCGCCTCCCATGTCGAGGCTAAGCGCTACCTGTGCGCCGTGGACGCAACGTACCACGACAAGCTCTCTGATGCTAGCAAAAAGAGCCTAAAGTATCAAGGAGGGCCGATGGCTGGCGAGCAGCTGCGTGAGTTTGGCGCGAACCCGTGGTGCGGCGACATGTGCAGACTGCGAGTGTGGGATGATGAGGCCAAGGTGGAAGGGCTGGAGGTGAGAGGGCTGGATACATGGAAAGATATGATGCAAAGACATCTTCAAAATCAGGTAGCCGTTTAAATCAAGTACTATTCGCTATTAAATAGTGTGGTGACATGGTTGTTGGACATGGTGTATAGGCTGTGTTCATGGGTTTAAAGAAGATACGGTTGATTGCACTTCGAGGGTGTTGGCCCCCTTCAAATTAGGTAGAAAAATGATCAAACTGTGCCTCGAAAGCGCGACTTATGGGTGGAAAAATAATTCCATTTTTAAATTTATTCATTTTGCGGAGTCTACCTCTTGCTGTTATGGTATCTGGTAGACGAACTAGCCAACGTCGTAGACGCTCCTTCGAAGACCATTTTACTATTCTAACTGGCTAGTTCAGCATATATGGGGGGCTGGATAGAAGAAGCTGACATTTCCTGGCGCGTTATTCGTCGGGAAGGACGGCATGATGCCTCGCTTTTCTGGCCCCATGACGGACGAACTGGTGTCATAGTTGGTGCTGGGGCCTGATTCTGGTTTCGGCGCCAAAGGTAAAAGATGGCGATGGCAGAAATGCAAAGAAGAGCAAGTCCACCTAGGACGCCTCCAATAATAAGCACAATGTTATTAGGCTTACCGGAATCTGCAGCTGGACTGACGCTGGGAGAGTTGGCTCCAAGCGTGGCGCTTGTAACCGTTGATGATGAAGCTTGCTTTGACTGTGAAGCAACATCTGTAGTGTGAGAATTTGGTGAGCTTGTGGAGCTCGGTTGGGTTTGTGACTGGGTTAGTTTGGGCTGTGAACTCGAAGGGTCTGATGTTGATACTACTTTAGGTGGTTCTTTAGTAGTTTTTGGCTGAGGGTCTGCCGTTGGTGTGATCATGTAGTGATCTGTGAAAGCCTCTCCTCCACAGGCAATATATGTATATGTTTGATCGACACCTGCAGTGAGAATAGCAGTTCCGCATTGTTGTGTTGATTCGCTGAGACATAATTACATTAGTAAAATATCCTACATAAGTCAGTGTATAATTGGGATGACAACTTACCACGTAAAGGTCGTTAACTGGGTCTTGTCAATAAAGCCACATCCCTTGGAGCACTTGAACTGGTCAACACAGCTTCCAGCCAACCCACAATCACTAGCTGCTATGACAGAGGTAGGGCAGAAGCCCCAGAGACCGTCCTGAGTATCGACCCGACAATTGTAGCCAGAGTTTGCAGTTCGTGGTTTGGAAGGGTTCCCATTCAAGTAACCACAGGTTGACACACTATCCGCATTATTCTGCCTGGCAAAAAGACTACCGTTGTGGTTTCCACTGTGACCTGGGTACGAGAAGATGCTTGGTAGATGGATGATTAATGCTGAAGAGGCTGTGGTAGTGTGGAGAAGGAGGATAATGTGGTGGAGTAGCATTGTACAAGGCTAGGGTAGCAGCGTGGTGATTGTAGATCGTGGAGTGTTACCATCCATGTAGAACAAGTGCAACGCGTGCGTGTGGGGAGAAGCTACGAGATTTAGAGTCTATACGCGACTGATGGTTTACCCTCTTATATACAACTCCTTTTATTATGAAAACAACTCGGCGAAGCGCTTTCTGAGCTGGCACTGCGGCCCATTCAGCGCTCCTCATTCGCACTAAAAAAGATCTTGGCTACCATAGTAAATTTCATTGGGCGGCTACTGACACAATGCTAGTGGCCCGCAAACGCCACAATGTCACTGAACAATACCAGGCTATCAACGGCTGGCCCGACATGTCCTGCAACGGCGGCGCAAAACGAGGCTGCTTCCCCTGGAAACTTTGCTGCATTTGTTTGTCCAACATCGCCAGGCCCAACATCGTCGTATCACCATGGGCGCCTTTCTCGCTAGGATGACTCCGCGACGGAGACTCCTCCTGTTCCGGACAGTACCCGTTGTGTTTCTTGTCATCGTTGCTATACAAGTATATATCTACTCCGACCAGCTTGCGCAGATCCCGCGCATGTTCGCGTCGCAACCCACAGAAACAAAGCCGCATACTGGATCGCCGGAGAAAATCCATGATGGTAAGAGAGCTAATGAGTGTGGGAAGACAATCAATGTGTGCGATTACTCACTCGATTGCCAATCCTAGGCGAAATTCTACCCGCAACCGACATCACTCTATATCTCAACGCTATCCTCGGTCGCGAGAAGAACTCAACATTGGACCTAGGCTGTCCAAAATTTGACGAATTACGATACGAACAGTTAAAGAAAAATACACAAGGAACACAGCATAAACTATATTTCTTTGCGCTTGATTTACGTCAGAATCTACCACTGCTGCAACAGTTGATTGGTAGTACTCTAGAAGCAGTCCGATTTCTGGGACCCGCCAATTGCGCTCTCTCCATCGTCGAAGGAAACTCCAACGATGGTACAAAGGATGTTCTCTCTGCTCTTTCGCATGAGATGAAGACTCTCGGACTTGATTATACTTTCCAGACGTCGACAGTCGACCCTAGCCATGATGATCGAATCGGAAAACTAGCCAGTCTGCGCAATTTGGCCCTCGAGCCACTGTTGCTGCGGTCTAATGTCTTTAATAACGAAACAACAGTTATATTTATCAACGATGTTGCCATATGCCCCGAGGACCTCTTAGAGCTCGTTCTGCAGCGAATCAATCTCCGCGCAGACATGACGTGTGCCATGGACTGGACGTATGCGGGGCAGGACCCTACATTCTACGATGTCTGGGTGGCCCGTGGCATGACAGGAGACTCCTTCTTTCTAATCCCACCAGATGGGAATTGGGACTCGGCGTGGAATCTATTCTGGAACGACCAAGATTCCAAGTCTAGACTCGATAAACACCTGCCCTTCCAAGTCTTTTCGTGTTGGAACGGCGCAACGGCATTCACAGCCCACGCCATTCTCAACAAGATTCAATTTCGCAAACCAGTTGGTACAGAATGCACCCAAGGAGAACCCCAGCTATTCTGTAAAGACTTGTGGCTCAACGGGTTTGGACGAATTGCTGTTATTCCGAGTGTCAACTTGGAATACTCTGTCGAAAAGGGCAAGATGATTAAGGAAGCCAAGGGCTTTACTTTAGCTAATGTTGGTGAATCAAAGGAGGGCGAATATAAAATAACGTGGCAGCAGGATCCACCAGAAAAGGTAAAGTGTATGCCAGTGTACGAGAATCAATATTTCCAACCGTGGAATGAAGGGGCAGCAAATACGACAAATAGCACACAAAACAGAACTTCATAGAAGCTAAATACAATGACTAATTCAAGTATTTATATATAGGCTGCGAAAGTAGCTACATCAAGTTAAGAAGAGTCCCTTTCCTCCTCTGGCTGATCGCTGACTCCGCCTGTAAGCAAATCCGTATACTCTGGACTCCTGAGCGTAATTCGGCAGGGGAAATCCTTAATAGTGCAGATAATACCGGAACTCTCGAGTTCGTTGGGGTTAATCTCAATCTCGTTGCCATCGGCGTCGGTTTCCTTGCTGATTTTGAAGGCAGCTAGGGTCTGGACCGTCGTTACAAAGATGTCTGCCTGTCCCATGTGATTACCAGGGCACTTTCGACGCCCATAGCCGAAAACATAAAATGCGGGATCTGGTTCATGTCTCGGCGCAAGATATCTGCTGGGATCAAACTAGTCCGGCTCCTTGAAGACTTCAGGATCGTGCGTGAACCACCATATCGCTGGCATCACTATGACACCTTCTGGCATATAGTATCCATTGTAGTCAATGTCCTTTGAAAGCATGTGCGGGACTCCCATCACTGCTGCCGGCCACCATCGGGCCACTTCCATGGCAAGGGCGTTAGTGTATGGCCGGTTGTTCTGATCCTCTGGGCCTGGAAGTCGGCCACGTCCAACTACCGTATCAATTTTAGCCTGGGCCTGGGCTTGAACTTCCGGAAATAAGGTCATGGCCAGTATAAGACTCTTTAACCTAGTGTGAATGGCGTCGGAGGCCGCGAGGTACATCATCCCAGCCGTCATTCTGATGTCGTGCAGCTCCAAGGGACTTGGTCCTGAAGCGGCTTCACTTTGCTCCAAGAGCCTAGACGGCTTCACTTTGCTCCAAGAGCCTAGACTCAAATGAAGGTTTGTGGCTATTCGTTACCATTCGTCGTTTGACAAATTGATACGGAGCCTCCAATAGCAGGTCGATTCTGGCTCTGGTTTGAGATGATAGATGTTTAGATAGTCTGCTTGGTAGCCATGATAGCGGTTCTTGATACACACTACTTATTGGACGTGGTCTATTTCAGGTTTAGTCAGTCAACGATGGCCACCGTATCGAATTTTCGCGTATATTCTCAAGCGCTCTTACGTCGCACACCTTTTCTTTAGGTTGTGGAGGAACTTTGTCAACAGCCTTCGCCGCAACGAGTTCCTCGTTGAGCTTTTTGTGTTCCTCATACCACTCCTTCATCTCCGCATTGGTGCCGCCCGCAGTAAGCTTTCCAGTGATATATGCTAATTTTGATGCGATGTCTGCCACGGAGGACATGATGGTGGTAGTTGAGTGGAACGCAAAGAAGAAAAGCAACGCTTAAATAATCAGATCCGCTCAACTGAGGCTAGCTGGTGTCTCTGTGAGCGATAATCGAAGGAAGGGAAGCTTGTGTGTAGGCACGGAGAGTTGGGGTGTATGCCCTCTATCTGGCAGGCGATGGTGTTGTAGCGGATACTAAAGTCACATATTCAATGCAGTGTACTGTCGGAATAGAGGATTTGACACTCTTTGCTTTCGTAATTAAATGTTAATGAAAGTAAAAGGGAATTAATCAAGTCATTTCACTTAGTGTTTCTATTTATAATATTTATTCAACTATGATGCGCAGAATATGGGAAGAAGTAAGCAAGATGTTGAACTGAAAATCGCTACTATGGTAGACTTTCATCAGCTTCAGCGCAAAGAAGGGAAGACTGTTTTGAAGGAGCTGGTTCTCGCCACATTAGCCCACCACTCTCGGGTCCTTGGGCCAACTTTGAATCCATCAACAGACTTTTGGATCGTCGATTCCAATGCAGAAAAGTTGTGAATTTCGCTGCGATTCGATCCGGCTGCTACCATGGCGTGGGATAGCCAGGGTATCACATGAAAATCCGCTTCCGTGATTTGATTCCCTACGGCGTATGGCAGCTCCAGTAACGATTCTAGCTGATCCAAGCCAGCAGCGAATTCGATGTAGCAATGGTTGCTTCGTGAAAAGAAGGCAGCATCGGCGGCGCCATCCGTATTTTGGTAAGCCGTATATAGTATCCCGTTCTCCTTCAGCTTGCGGTTGTAGAACGGATGTGCGGGATGAGTCGCATGCTCTTGCTCCAGCCTATGCTGGCGTGTATCAATAAACCGCTTCTGCCAGTTCGATTTTTTATTATCAAGTTCTTCGACATCGCGCGCATCGAAAAATATAATGTTGGTATCCACTGCGCTGGAATGTACAAGGTCAATGATTTGCTGGCCTTTGGTTTTTGATTTCGCAGCTTTGGGGACGAGAGGATTGTTTTCCCGTAAGCTATCTAGATATCGCAGAATATCTGTGCTCTCGGAGAGCGGCGCGGGCAGCGAAGTTGAGGTGAGTGATGGTATTGTGCCGTTTGGGTTAATCTCGAGGTACGCTGGATCGAAGTTATCGGCGGCACCTACACAACATTAGTCGTTTTTTTATCCAAGGAAAAAAGACAAACTATGTAAACTCACCTATATCAACGTCTTGTACGTGATAATCTAGTTCCTTTGTGAAGCCCTTCTCAGCCAATGTAAGATGGACAACCCCGGCCCATTGGGAGCCAGAAAACGAATAGACTGTGATCTTTTGACAGGTTAGCTAACCGTAGTGTATACTGTAAAGAGCAAGCTAACTTTTGCCATGGCCATTGAATTTCAACGAACGTTGTAATATTATTTACGAATAGAATCACTGGTGTTTTTCACAGAGCGGATGGCTGATGTTTTAAGGCGATTCTCCACGCGTTGGGGGTTCACTTGAGCCTCATCAAGATGATTCCATAATAGCAGCGACGGGGAATTGAGCGAGTTAGGGATGAGCCGTCTGTGATGATAAAGCAGTGCGATTTAAAATAACGAAAATGGTCTTATAACTCTCCGCGACCCAGACGTTGATGGTGGGACTATGCAGATGAAATGATTCCAAACCATTTTATTGCGCCCTTGCTCGCCCCGCTATCCATATCCAGAACTACAGCATGGCTCATTGAGGAAGATTTGGCACCAGCGATTCCATTGATTCCATTTCAAGTTTAAGAATAGTTGGGATTTTTGAACTGCGTCTGGCCGAGGCTTTGCGTTTGCGGTCTTGGACCAGCACGATGTTTCCAAATTAGCTCAATCCCAATAATCCCTCTTAGTGCCTAGCTCTCCTTCCTAGGGTATTCCATCCCCCGGAACAATTCATGTTATACGAAACTAACATCCATACAATATTCGAACTCGATTAATGGTAGAAATCTCTAACATAGAAACAAGCGGTATGCTATTCAGCGGTATTTCTTCCTTCAGTTAGCCATTTTGGGAACGTAGAAACAAATGCAACGGGCAGAGATGGAAATCAACCACACCGCGTTCCGGAATTGGCAGTAGTTCAATCGTATTTTACAAAATAAGACATGCTTCTATGCACTGTACATCCGAACTGCGAATCGCAATGATTCCAAACCAGCCCTGATTAACCCAATCAGATGATAGCTGCCCCTCTGACACGTACTGACTGCGATCCACGCCCCAGACATATAACACGGCTCTTTCGGCAGATCGGGATGCGATTCTGGGGCTGCGGGTAGGGTATCCTAACTTTAGCGTGATACATTTTTGACCATTTCCTTTGCTTGCTAACACTTCCTGCACTTCTCGTAGCACTGCCTCAAGATGCCCCCGCTGGCATTCGGCCGAATTATCCGAGTAGACACTACTCCGCACACACCAATTGCTCGGGAATAAGTATAGTAAATCGAGCTAAGTGGTAAGTAGTTTAATTTGTGCCGTCACTCCATGGCCGGCATGGTAGCAGTACTGATGCCGTGTTCCGTAGTGCTATGGAATCACTCATCAGGACCTTGTTCTCAAGTATCGCGGAGTACGGGAACGCAGTAGATTGCAGCTGTAATCACTAGAAGTGTTTGATGATCTAAAGACCAACCTCTGATGAATAAACATCAAACGAAACTATAAAAGGCCTCACCAGGTCGCCACACTTGCATGAGATTCACTCATCACGCAAAACATCTACTTCTTTCCCTTATTACCATCTACCCAATATTTTACCACTTCGATTAAAGGTTATACATTCTTACCCTTCAAAATGAGAACTTCTATCTTGCTTCCGCTCTTTGCCAGCAGTGTGCTCACTGCGCCAGCCGAGAGCAACACCCCCCATGATGAGGCAGGTGCAGTGTTTGCCCTGACCAATGTTGCTGCGGACAACAAAGTCATTGCATTTTCTCGCAGTGCATCCGGTGTTCTTACTCAAGTCGGAGAATACTCTACTGGCGGACGTGGCCAGGGCGTCGACTTTGATACGCAAGGTGGACTGCAGCTTGACCAGTCCAACAAGTTCCTTTACGCTGTGAACCCTACCGACGATTTGGTGACCGTCTTTTGCGTCGATGGCTCCAAGCTTTCCAAGGTTCAAACAATCTACGCAGGTGACCAGCCACTTAGCATTGCTCTGAGCAAAAATGGGTATGCCTATGTCATGGATGGATCTGTGGCATCTACTGGCATCTTCGGCTTCAAAGTCAACCCTATCGACGGCACACTATCGCCCATTACCAACCAAACCATCGCGCTCAGCACTCCTATTGGTGTCCCTGGCGATGTCACTTTTTCGCCAGATGGCCACACTCTGGTTGTCACCAACAAGGTCGGCAGCACATTGGATGTCTTTTCTGTCGATGACCTTGGCCATGCAAGTGCCGCACCTATAACCACCATCGCGTCCAGCGGCGTTCGTCCTTTTGCCGCCACCTTCCACAATGACTTCCTCTACGTTATTGAGTCCGGCCTTCCATCGCTTAAGAATGCTGCCTTATCAACTTACCGCCTCAACGGCGGACAAGCCCCTAGCTTGACAGCCATTACCAAGGCCGAGCGCAATGAACAAACTGATGGATGCTGGGTAGTCGTTACGAAGGATGGAAAATACGCCTACACCGCCAACTTTGTCTCTGGATCAATTTCTAGCTACGCCCTAAGTGCTGATGGCAGCGCCAAATTGATCAATGGCCAAGCGGCTCTGCCTGGTGGCCAGGGCAGCCAGCCGGTTGACTTGGTTCTCAGCCACGATGGACGTTACTTGTACAACTTACTTCGAGGATCCGGAGCTGTTGCCGGATTCGAAATCCAGGGCGACGGATCTCTCAAGCAGGTCGGAGATTTAGCCGGCAAAGGAATGGGATTGCCAGCCGCTGATGGAGCTTCTGGCTTGGCTGGTTACTAGTGTAGATTACATTGGTCTGTTAGGTTGGTATCTGTCTCATTGATGTTACAGAGCACTCTTACAACCATATTACATATCAGACAACATGTTGAATTAGAAGTTAATTTTAATAAATATCGAGACACAGTAATCGCCGGACTATGCCCTTTTTAAGAAACCTTTTCCAACAGTAGAGTCGCTCTTAAAACCGGCTTTCCATATACCTGGTCAACGGCTTCCTGGATGCGATGGTCTACCAGTGCAGTGGGGTTCCTGGCAAATCAACATACGAAAGTTCTGGACCGTCCAAGTCAACCAGACGTTTACATTTCCCGATTTACTAGGACTAAGCGGAAGTTTGAGGGATAGCGTCAACCCTGTTGACCCCTTATCAACACATAGGCTATAACCCGGAGGGTGGCGGTTCGTTTATCCTTCATTCTCCAAGCCACCGAAAAGCGATAGTCCAATACAGTCTTAAAACCTTAGAAAGAATTGCAAAAAGCATTGCTCCGGGGTTTTCCCCAAAGGACGCCCCAGTAGCGCCGTCGGGGCTCAGGCCTAGACCAGTAAAGATTGCCGCTACCAGGCCATACCCCGCGTTTTGGCGTTCAAGCCACACGAGTTGCCACTGCAGCTGACTGGCTGCTATTGTTATTCAACCGCTTATCTACATGTTGGTAATGCCGGTATGCGACGCTAGGGAAATTGGGTAACCATGTACAAGAAGCACTACCGTCCCGGTCCTACCGAAATCCATTGAACAGCAAAAACAAAACGCAAATAAGAAACGAAAAAACAGACACCATGGACGCCAAACACCTCGCTGAGGAAGGCTTACACAAGCATGAGGACTCTAGTAGCTCAAAGAATGAGCAGGTCGAAACGGTGCGCACCATTTCTCGTGTCCCTGGAAATAGCAATTACTACGAGAAGAATGGACTGCGAACCTATGGTGACGAAATGGACCACGATCATGAGCAGCCGGTACGGTGACTTACACGTCCTTGGGAGACTCTTCTTCGTTTGTAGCTGACACAGGGCCTCTGCAGATGACAATTCGCAAATTCATGTCGCTGACTGCCATGGCCTTCTTGTGGACTGGCTCTCAGATTCCGCTTTATCTATTTGGTTCGTCGGCCCATTTGCTCATCGAATGATAATGTTACTAACAATATGGCTCCATAGGCGGCATCCCACCCTATATCTATGGCGACATCGGTGGACCAGACCGATGGGTGTGGTTTGTGCTTGCAAACCTGCTTGCACTCGCAGCTATCTGCCCCTTTGTTGGCGCATTATCTGACCTCATCGGTCGACGTAACGTGTCCCTCGTGGGAGCAAGCTTCCTTGTCATTGGCATGATTGTGTGCTCCACGGCACATACGATGAACAACTTTATTGGTAAGCCAGTTGACCGGGCTTTTTGCTTTTTAAAGCTAGAGGACAAGTCATTTGTCATATTTCTTTGAATTTTATACTGATATTTATGACAGCCGGTATGGCGATTGCAGGTGTAGGTGCAGGTGTCAACGAGCTCACAGCCCTTGCTGTCGTCTCTGAGCTTGCTCCTACCCGCAAGCGAGGACAGTACGTCGCCGTGCTCGTCTTTACCATTGTACCATTCTGTCCTTCGGTGCTTTGGGGCCAGCTGATTGCATCCCATTCGAACTGGAGATACGTGGGCTTGTTCTGCGGTCTCTGGGCCTTTACCGGGCTTGTGATGACGGCTGTCTTCTACAACCCTCCCCCAAGAGTCAACTCATCCGGTTTGACCAGGAAACAAATCATCAATCAGATTGATTTTGTTGGCGGCTTCCTTTCCATCTCTGGTTTAATTTTATTCCTCGCTGGCATTCTCTGGGGCGGCTACCAGTATCCTTGGGCCAGCGCTCATGTTCTCGTCCCATTGATTCTAGGAGTCGTCCTCATCGTAGCCTTTGTTCTGTGGGAGATGTACGGTGCCAAGTACCCCATGGTCCCGGCTCGGCTGAAGCAAGATCCACGTGTTCTGATACTAACCTTGGTCTTAACTTTCATCTCTGGTGCAAACTTCTTTTCTGTGCTTCTATTTTGGCCCACGCAGGCTTTCAATGTCTACGGCCATGATCCTATTGGGGTTGGCCTCCGCGGCTTGCCTATCGGTTTCTCCATCCTCATCGGAGCCTGCGTTGCGCTCTATCTCCTCTCGCTATTTCGCGGCGGCATCAGACCCATCCTCTTTGTGTCCTGTTGCCTCATGACTGCAGGCTGCGGCGCGTTGGCTGCTGCTCGTCTAGACAACCTCAGTGCCGTCTACGGTATCCTGGTCATCGCCGGGCTTGGAATTGGCGGAATTGTCGTTCCAGCCTCCATTATCACCACCATCATCTGCCCTGACGATCTCATTGCTACGGTTACCGCTTTGACACTTGCTATCCGCGTTGTTGGTGGAGCTATTGGCTATGCCACGTATTACAATGTCTTCTTAAACAAGTTCAAGCCCATCTTAACTGAGAAGTTGGTCATGGTTTGTGTGACACACAACATCACCAACGCCGATGTCATCACACAAGCCGGCTTGCTGACGGGCGCATCCTTGCTCGAACCCATCCTTCACCTCCCAGGAGTTGATGGAAACGTCACAACCTGGAACGCTATTGTTCTTGCGGGCCAAGAGAGCTATGCCGAGGCATACCCCTACGTCTACTACACTAGCATCGCCTTCGGTGCTTTGTCCATTATTGCGTCAGCTTTTATCGGAGATATTACGAAGTATATGGATGATCATATTGCTGTCGTTATGTAATTGCTTCTCTGATCTTCTGTCACTACTTAATATGAATCTTTGTTTAAATTGGAGTTATTTTGATGCGATGTCTATGTCCAAGTGTTAAAAAAAATGATTGCAACAGTCCATGTCATACGCGGCCGCCTTCTCGGTTATTGTCTCCTAGGGATTTATTGCCCGAATACAGTTTGTGCGTATGCGGAGACCGGAAATAGAATTTTCTTAAATTTCTTGTATATTTAATAATGAATAGCTGATCAGAAATTCTGGTCGAATCGTAGCAATAACAATATTTGAAATCTGTCCGGCATCTGCGAATTCGTAGGATCACGAGGAAAACGATATGGACATAGGCCAACAAATTTCAGCGGACCCAAAGAAAATATTTAAAATATGATATGATTTTCCGTAGTATCAGTACATGTATTCTACTAAATTTGGCGATTCTCGAGTATATATATGAGTATAGATAGAGGAAAATTTGGGATCTCATGCAGTACTAAGCCCGAGCCAATGAACTCACTAGCTGGATAAATGCCGCCGGTTCAACGTTGCCCAACGAGCCCTGATGTAACGTAATGAGCACGCGCAAACGTAGATAGCAACCCCCAGCTACTAAATCCAGGCACATCGTCCGAGAAAGCTTACAGTCCATCTATTCCTATTACGGTAAGTGTCTAAACCCCATATCTAATCACGATACCTGCTGCATTTCACCATCTCAATAAGAACTGCCTAAATAGGCCATTCCCGTTACGTACTCTGATAAATTGCGCCCCCCCCACGAGGAGTTGCCGATGTTGCATTGATATGCATTTTCTGGGGTAAATCATTGGCTGCCTTGCGCAACGGAGATACAGGTCAGACTATTGTTCGTCCTCGACATGGCCACTTCTACACTTCACCGCACGTTCCGCGCTAGCTTCATTTACGTAATTCGCACTCAGGGTTTCAAGTATATACTCCGAATATCCGGGTCACCTCTTTTATGCAAATGCTTTGTAGCGAGCTCGCCGCATCAGCTGTGGTGCCGAGTTGCCGACATCTTCAATTGTATCCGACTCCCTAACGGCACAACATTGCCGTGACACTGCAAATGTTAATGGGCGTGCTGGCGATGGTAGAACGTTACCATCAAGTCAGCCTTTGGCCGACTGTGCCGGATGCCGTGGACTACATATATATCTGTCATGGATTATATCCTCTCCTATCAACTATATAAGCCGTCGAACCGCCGCTACTCGAGACAATGGCATTGTGCAATAGCCTTCTATTCGACCAAGAAACCCATTTCTGACACCTCATACTACTTTGTTCACACGTCACCAACATGAAGTACACCACTGTCCTTGCAGCGCTCTGCGGCATTGCGGCTGCTGCCAACCCCCGAGGCACCAAGCTGCGTCACCGTAACGTTCTTGAGCGCTCGCAGGTGTCCCGCGCTCCTTCGTCGCGTGTAAACCAGAGAATCCCGAACCCTAACAAGTCTATTGCCAGCCCCAACGACTACTCTAGCAACTGGTCTGGTGCTGTCCAGAATGCGTCTGGCATCACAAAGATCACCGGAACCATGACGGTGCCCAGTGTCAGCGGCGGCAGCCAGTACGGTGCATGCGCTTGGGTCGGCATTGACGGTGACTCTTGCCAGAGTGCCCTCCTACAGACCGGCCTCTTCTTCTATGGCGATGGAACCTTCCAGGCCTTCTACGAGTGGATTCCCGACAATGCATCCTTCTGGGACAACTTTGGTATCAGTGTCGGAGACCAGGTTCGCTTCACCGTCGATGCCACGTCCACTGCAACTGGCACGGCTCTTGTTGAGAACCTGACCACCGGCCAGTCCGTCAACTATCAATGGAGCAACCCTCCCTCCACTCTTTGCGAAGCCAATGCTGAGTGGATTGTCGAGGACTTTTCCGAGGGCGGCAGCCTTGTCCCCTTTGCCAACTATGGCTCTATTACCTTTAGCAACGCAGTTGCCACAACCTCGTCTGGCTCGGTTACTCCCGCCGGTGCTAAGATCTACGACATCCAGGGCAAGTCTACCTGCTCTATTAGCGGCGATGACGTTACTTGCAACTACATTGGTAGCTAAATACCCATGTGACCCCGTCACTTGTACATACTACATATATAGCCAGACTGCATATATAGTACTTTCTTTTCAATTGGCCCGCGCAATTTCCATGTCTCGAAACGTTACCTAGAACAACATACAGGATGTTTTATTAATACAATGCTCTCTATCAGCTAGCCCCAAGAGCCATACTAAAAGAAAGGTTGCAGTTTTACGTAACAATTACTCATGTACAATAAAATAATTTATCATATATCAAGAATATATACAGGAGAATCTGGGATCCTATCAACCCTCTGTTAAGCCGGGAGACGTAGAGTTACATCCATGCTTTTACCAGTTCGAGTGCGCTGTACACACGGCTGCAGGCGCTACGAGATGGGATGAAAGTAACCGGCTTGTATTTCACGGCTCCTACCACTCTCAAATGCTCACACCGCCAGGAATGAGAAGAGTATGCATCTGTTCGGCAAGTCGGCACAATATTTGAGACTTAAATTCGGTAGTTTGGATACAGAAGGCTCAATATTTGTTTTTATTAAATATAATCTCCTTTTATTTACATTTTCTTTTGTTCTTCACGTGTTCAATTACGTTGTAACTTACTCGGCTTGGAAGCTGTCATTGAACGTCACTGTAATTAGGACGGATTCACCGGACGCGGGGTATTTTTTTTTTAAATAAAAAGAATTTTAAATAAGTTATAACGTTAATTAAAATATTTTATATTAGTTGCCGAGGCTCAGCTTATTAAATTGAGGGGTCGTAGCCTTATATTTGGGCGGTAGCGTAGTATTGAAGGTATTATTTTGCCTAACCAACACTTTTTAGCTGCTCACGCTAATCCCTATTGAGGTCGAGGGGAGTCTAATCCTTGTTGTCGATTCTACACCCTAGAGACTTAAGCGCATCGAGGATGTATAGGGGATTGTGTATAAAGCTAGAGGTTGTCGCTCTTTCAACAATATACACCGAGGGAAAATGGCATCATTCTCTTTTTAATTGGCAGATCGATACAAATTACGAGTCATGCGATTCTTTGCAGCACTTTCCCAGGTCACTCTTCTGTTTGTCACTGTCGTCCCGTCAGTTAACAGTCTCGTGGTAGACCAACCACCACAGCTGTTTGCTAGGGACGATAGCTTCTTTGATCCACCAGCTGGCTTTGAATCCCAACCCCCAGGATCTGTTTTAAGGTCTCGTAAGATCATTGCATCTTTCTTTACCTTCATTCCCGACCCTATTGAAGCATACCAGATCCTATATCGGACGACCGCTGTCAACGGTTCAGCCATTGCGACTGCAACCACTATTTTCAAGCCTCTCTTTGCAAAGAAAGATCGCTTTGTGACATACAACATTGCGTATGACAGTTCCGGTGTTCAATGCAGCCCTAGCCGCGCCTTCCCATTAGGTTCCAATCCTACAACTGCCCTCGCTGCCGGCGAACTTTTGCTCATCCAGATTTATCTCCTTTCTGGCTATATTGTCTCTTCACCAGACTATGAAGGCCCAGACGCTGCGTTCACTCCTGGATACTTGTCAGGCATGGGCGTCCTGGACAGCATGAGAGCCGTGGCCAATTTTGCAGACACTCTTGGTCTTTCACAGAACCCCATGTCGGTCGGTGTTGGATATTCAGGAGGCGGCCTGGCTACCGGCTGGGCTGCTGCCATGCAGCCTGCCTATGCCCCGGAGCTAGCAGTTAAGGGCTGGGTAGCTGGCGGCGTGCCTGCTAACCTTACCAGTATCTTCGAGTACATCGATGGTACTGTCGTTAGCGGCTTTGAGCCTATTGCCATTGCGGGCATGTTGAAGCCAACTGCCCATGGTGCCCTCTTGCAACCGCTGTTTCATAGGATTGCCACGCCTCTTGGAAAACATGCAATTGAAGTGGCAAGTTCGCAATGTGCTGCCGCCCCTCTGATTGAATTCGCGTTCCAGTCGGTCCTTGATACAAAATTCCAAAGCTTGGGAAGGGAACTTCTCACAGATCCAACCATTGGTCCTCTGATCACAAGAAACACCCTCGGTGTTAACCAAACCGAGACACCCGCCGTTCCTGTTCTGATGTACCATGCACAACCTGACGAAATTGTTCCATATCCGGCGGCGGCTACTCTAAGAAGCGCTTGGTGTGACTACGGCGCGACGATCAAGTTTACAACGTTTGCCGCTGGAGGCCATGGCACCACGGCCCTCCTTGGTATCCCTGACGCCCTCCAATTCGTAAACGATGCATTCTCTGACAATGTCGCGCCCGGATGTACTACCAAAACTCTTCTCAATGATCAGCTAAGCCCACTTGCTCTTGGGTTGAACTTGGAGCCACTCGCTGTCGGCCTGATTAACGCAATTGCCGCCTTGGGCAAAAAGGATGCAAATTGGTTGAACGGTATTAAAGATGGAAAGTCAATCTGAAATCGATTAGCTGTTTGAGACGCATATAACTTGTGTATCTTTTAACTGGCGATGGAGTCTCTGCGGCAAGGAGTTTACACGGCTGTAAAGTTAAACTTCCGCTGGAGGTTTCAGACTGCTAAAACCTGCTGTGCTCGAGCTTATATTTCGACCATAATCTGCAAAACAAATACAATAGCCAATAAATATGTGTGTTTAGAAAAAGAAGAATGAAATGAAAGAGCACTATGAGAGTGCGATCGAAATGAAGGAATAATCGAACAGGATGAAGCTATTTGTAACGCTCAACAATGCATAGTATGGATAGTATGATATCTAGTAAGAGTAGACAAAAGCTTTGTTCTCTTTGTCAGTAAGGTTTCCCCACATCTCGCGAGACTTGTATGACTCCTCCTCGTCCTCCTCCTTTGTAGCGGCGCTTGCGCGCCTCGATCGGTTCATCCACCAGTAGTATGCGAAAAGCAGCACTGTTGCAACCGCACAGGCGGCCTGGGTAGCCAACAAAATGCGCTTGGCGGGCAGATACTGGGGCGCATCCTTGGCTTGAAAGGTCTGTGGGCCAATGATATTACCAATGGAGAATGAACCGGAGATGATGGCGCAAGCGAAGGCGCGCTTAGTGGCACCTGCGACATTCACAACCGTCCAGTTGTAGAAAACGGCCAGAGGAGCAACAACGGCATTGACAAGGTAAATTCCAGCCAGAACACCGGCACGGTTAGTCTTGGTATCAAGGAAAGACATGAGCGCGCCGCCAATAATGGCTGGGATAATGCAAACAACAATCCACGCCCAGCGGTTAGATTGTAATCGGATTCCGTAGCCAACTAGGAGTGTGAAGAAAATGCTCACAGCGCCAGAGGGCATGTTCATGAGAGCGGATTGCTTCGGAGAGTAGTCGAGCGCGCGGATAAGTGTTGCGGAGTAGGTGGTGATGACGCCCGAGGAGACGGACAGCTATTAGCAGAAGTTAGTTTACCAGTTTTAGAATGAACCAAATTGGCTCTAGGATGGACCATGTTTCATACCAAAATAACTGCAGCTAGAAGTAGCCAGATTTGAGGATCGAGAAGTCCTTCAATAATCTCCTTGAAGCGGAATTTGCGGCTCGAAACACCAGTCTTGTTCACGGACACATGCTTGAGAAGAGCCATTTTCTCGACGCTTGTGAGCCAAGGGGCTTTCATGGGAGTATCAGGGACAAGTAGCGCCGTAGCAATGCCGACCAGAGATGTGAAGCAGCCAAGTGTGATGAACATGATGCGCCAACCAGAAGGTGTAACATCAGCTCCAATATGCTGAAATCCATACGAGACAGCACCACCGATAATTTGGCCCAAGCCGAGACCCAAGTACCAGAAGGAGAAGCGCGGGGCTTGTTCCGACTTGGTATACCACTGACTGCTGATAAGCATCAGGGAGGGACCAATGGTAGCTTCAAAGATTCCGAGAAAGACGCGTGATACAAGCAGCGTGGTGTAGTTGTGAGCTGCCGCGCCACACGCTGTAGCAATACCCCAGAGACAGACATTGAGACCAAGCCACTTTGCAGCAGGCGTGATCTGTAACAGGTAGATGTTGGGAATTTCGAAGCAGAGGAGGCCGACGAAGAGATAAGTGGCGATATCAGAGAATTCGTTACCCTTGGGATCAAAATGCAGGTCCGTCTTGATACCCATGAGGGCGGCATAGTTCAAGATGACCTTGTCCAAGAACTGCAATGTGTAGCAAAGAAACATGAGAGGGACAATGTGCCAGTCAATCTTGCGGCGTAAGGCAGATAGATCGATGGCAGCAACCGCCGCCTCATCAACATCTTCACCGACGGTGTTGACGAACTTCCATGCGCTGTCGGTGCCGCTACTGATCGACGCAGGAGACGAGGCGACGTTGGTCTGAGCCTCGCCGTCGGCCGTAGCCTCGATGGCGTGATCCTTTTTACTTGCCGACATGCTTCTGGCAGCGATGGTTCGGGCGATGCTGACAGGCGATATCAATGAGTGGTAAGGAAAGAGCTGGACACGGGAAAGTAGTAGGATTGGAGTTCAGAGAGGTGAGAGTGGCGATGGGACAAGACACAGATGCCCGTTCGGGAAAGGGGCCAGAACAACTGGGAGAGGGCAGTTCATGCGAACTCGTTACGGGTGGACGGCTCACAGCGGACTTCAGACAGAAAATGGTGGATTCCATTCTTTTGGGTGATCTATTTTTATTGGCCAACTCATGTCGGTTAATCAAAACCTGCAGCAAACGTTCCGTGTCAGTAGTAATGGATGGAGATCCAACACCGACTTGGGACCACCATGGGATCCTGGCCGAACGTTGTGGAAACATTGCGGAGTCACATCAAAGGGTTGTATTCAGGGGGGTTTCAGTGGGCTCACAGGGATCGCCAGCTCTGTGAAAAATCTTCACCTGCGTTGTGGATGCAGCCATCTTTGGTCGTTTAACCGTGAGATGGAATGGGATAGGCCAGAAGGAATCAGGTCACTGAAGGAGACGAAGCTATGATCAATTGCATACGCCTATTTGGTATACTATCGATCAAGTTCCCACTCACCTTACACGGCGTAGACTACCCTGGCGCCGCTCAGAAAACGGCCAAGCTTTCTGTGCAACATGATGGACCTCGCCAAGCCATAATAGGAAAGTGCCGAGTTCAGCGGCCCAGGGTAATGGTTCAGGCTAGCCTCGATAGGAAAGCGCCACCAAATGGCGCTAGTGCTGACGCCGATCTGTGCCTAAGTTGAGCGCCGCGGAGATAATTAGCAGCGGCACACACTTGGGAGCCAGGCACAACAGACGCTGTCAGTGTTAGGCGAAGCCGGAACGCAAGTAAGCCAACGGCTTTTTTTTCTGACGAGCGAAATGCTGTGCTGAGCTTGTCGACTAATTGCAGGGTTCCACTGGACACAGGGGCTATGCTACACTTAGTCTTGCCCTTGACTAACACGGCTCAGTTCGTTTTGTCGGGGATCGGGATGTCTTTCAAAGGGTCTGCCTGTTGGTCGTGCCTCTGTCCATTGCACCCATCAACAGCGAACCGTTCAGCTCTGCCCCTGGCGCAATCCATGAGCAGAGTCTCTCCTTGAAAAGAACCGTTCTCTCTCTGTGTCACCAACGCCCTCACGCCTTATTTTGTTATTAATTCTCCTTTCCAATACCAGTCACGCGTGGACAACCTCAGTCCACGGAAGTCGTCACGATGGTCTTCGTTGCCAATGCCACGCCTGAGATTGATGCTCAATCGAAATATCCGGCCATTATCGCAATATGCGTTGTCATGCCAGTTATTGCAGTTGTTCTTGTTCTTATGCGCATACAAATCCGCAAAAGCAAACACGCTCTCATGCTCGACGACTGGCTAGCTGTTGTGGCAATGGTCATGGGCGTAGCCTATTCAGTATTGTGCATAGTTCGTACGTTGTCCTACCCCCCGCCCCCCCAAGCATATATCAGTTTCTCTGAAAATATGCTAACTGTTTAGAAACGAAATATGGTCTAGGGCTACCTCCCGCTATTCGCCCAAAAGCCAATCTAAATAAGTACGCAGAAGTCAACTTCGCCGGCCGACCTATCTACCAAATGGGCATCAGCTTCTTCAAGATTGCCCTTCTTGTTAGTTACTTGCGATTACTGCAAGATACGAGCCACAAGATGTACAGACTCTGTGTGTGGATAGCGATCGCTTTTGTCTTCTTCAGTCATCTTGGCTGCACACTCTCGCTGATCTTTGCCTGCACGCCTGTCGAGAGATCATGGCGACCGTTGGTAAAAGGCACATGTATCCCCGATGGACCATCTTTTACTGCGTATGCAGCTATTACGATCGTGTCCGACATTATAGTTGCGCTGATGCCTATCCCCGTTTTACTCAAAATCAACATTGGCACGGCTAAAAAGCTTGGACTCATTGGCATGTTCACATTGGGACTCTTTACAACCGTGTGCTCCATCTTGCGATACTCGCAGATTCACAGAATCCAATATGGAGACCATGATTCCACCATGCTGGTCGTTTGGGGCGTCATTGAATTCAACGTTGGTGTAAGTTATCAGCCGCTCTTTATTAACAAGTCCCTTTACTTACATTATAAGCGCCGCAGAACATGCTTTCGTCTCTACCCTTTCTTACGCCAGTCTGCATTCGCAAGGCCAAAGAATACCGCAATAAACGCTCTGCTTATGGATATGGATCAAACCACACCAGCCGCAATGGTGGGCTTGGTAGCTCACACAAAGACGTTTCTCAATCGCATGAGCTTGGCTATGTTGCAAATGGCACCTCTCCCTCTTTGAAACTAAGTCCAAGTATTATTGGAGACTCCAAGAAGAATCAACACACGATCATGAAATCAGTTACCTATAGTGTTAGCGTGGAGGATGAGGAAGCGCTGATTGGAAGACGGACTCCCCAGAGCGGTTTTGGAGTCGCGCGATAGATTAAAATGTCAAAGATTTTCTTTTATACTGTAAAGTAAACACGAATTCTGCTATTTTGAGCGGTAATACAGTGAAATATTGTCATTTATCCTCAGTAGATTGGTTGCTCTTCTACCACGAGCAACGACACGTGCGCCCACTACCTACCTGCTTCGCAGGTTTTCTTTATAACAAAATACCATACACAATAGTTCAGGAGGCAGTATGAGGATTCAAGTACCAATATCAGGAGATGCCATGTATTGAGCACTAGCTCACACCGTCGCAGGGTCGACGAACGGCGCAGTGCGCTGTCTTCTCGAGAGCAGCGGACTGTCGGGCCCGTTATTTCCCCACGTGTGTGCATCTGTTGCTGCTTGGCGCGAGGCTAGGACACCTGGTCTAGCACGGTGAACCGCTGTCCGTTCGTACATGGATAGCGCTTGTCTCAACTGAGAGGTTTCAAAGGGGTGTTCCTGGCCCTGCTCTTGTTGAAGTAATGGCAGGACGTGAGTGGCAAAGTCTTCAACATCAGCAAGCGAGTGGCTTGCTCCTTCACCTCGATCTGCAAATTGTACGTTAGTGACTCTCATTTGATGATATGCTTTTTCTCGTTTCATAAACCAACAACTTACACATCGCCATGAGGTGAAGAGCATCGCCCATGAGGACGGTACGTCCTCGTGTCTGAAGATCATATGAAGGTAGCCAGTCTTTGAGAACCAGTCCTTTGACTTCGGTTCCTAGAGGCATCTTTGTAATGAGGGACTTGAATGGTTCAGCCCAGGTATTCGCAATCTCTTTGAGGAGCACGGTACGCTCATCGTTTGTTTCGGGAATGTCGATTGGCTCACTTCGGCCAAGGACACCACTTGTGTAGGGCCAAGACACGCAAGCTTGCATGCTTACTTTGTCAGTACTGTACTCATTGTTGCCAGGGCTATCCAGAACTGCGACGCAAAGTTAGTAAATCGGCACCGTTCTAATATGCAGTAGCTCACACACCTCCCATGTATGCAAAGGTACGGTTTGGCGCATTTCCATGTAAACAAAAAGTATCAAGCTGGCGGAAGGCCTCTGCTTCTTCAGGCTCATAATCGATTTTAATGCCCAACATGCGCACAGGGATTTCATAGAGTCGTTCCATAGCATCATCGGGCAAGAGCTGTGTGCGCACACGAGACTTGCCACCATCACAAGCTACCAGAAGGCAGCCTTCCGCCGATGACCCGTCTTCAAATGTGATGGTAACAGATTTGACGCTTTCATCAAAGCTCTTAAATATCTTGTTCCACTAGGTTGTGTTAACACAAAAAAATAAACAAAATGGCGTCTTGCTTTCCAGCTTCGTACCTCGATGTTGATTTTCGTAGCGAGTAGCCTTCGTAGACGTTCTCTCGTCACACGAATTAACTTAGTTTCTGGCATGGACGGGATTTCATATCTTCTCTCAGCATTAGAGAGATCGTAGAAGGGGAATCGGCATGTCTTGCCCTCTTCGACAGATGGTTTGTCAACGCAAATGTTGCGGATGCTCTCAACAGACCCGAGATCGTCAGGCAATAAGTCACGCAGCACAGGTAGCGACCAGTTGAGAGTCAGACCCCAACCAGGCCCACGAAATGTCGTGAAATCATCGTCACGCTCAAAAAGTCGAAACGGCACGCCGTGGCGACGGAGTGTCTGTGCTAGAAGAAGGCCGCTTGGGCCAGCTCCAAGAATCAAAACTGGGAGTTTTGATGAGTTGGTAATAGGTGGAGTTGTCATGGTTTATGGTGTATAGTCTCGAATAATGAGAGCTTCTAGAGACGCAGAAAAAGAATTACAAGGAAGAATTACAGCGGGTGCGTAAATAACCGTCAGGGGGTCAGCAACGTCCCACAACGGCTAACTGACTCCGTTTTTAGTTGGCCTTTCGTGTATTCAGGCTCCGCGGAGTGGGCCAAAAAGGTTGCTCGTGACAGAACAACACCCTGATTTGATACCGATTACTCCTATCTTACGATTCTTATTGAGTCGGGATAGTAAAAAGACTTTAGGAATTCGGGGGAGTTTGGTGACGCAGCTCAATTATTGTATGTTCCCAGTTACTACCAGCAGCAACGGACAAATGACGAATGATGACGACCTAAATAAAGTAAATTCTTATTTACAAAAATATACATAATCGACGTTGTAGTTTATATGTCCTTATAGGTTATACCGAATGGATGGCTTACTAGTGTCTGCCAATCTGCTTCGACCTTTTCATTTCCAAAAACACGCACAGCACGCGCAACAAAGCGGTAGCTGCCAGGCGCGGGATTTGTACCATTGGCTAACAGTCCATCCCATACTGGACGAATTGATCCGCCAATGAACGTCTTTGTGCTGATTAATGGCAGCTTGTTGAATCCAGCAATGGTTTTAGGCACCTTTATATTGGCGGGCAGCGCATATGTCTTCAGCATAGGAGTGCCTGTGTTCATTTCGAGGGTGATGCATGGGACGTGGTCATCCTTCGTATAGGGTCGTGAAAGTGGGATAGTAAAAACGGTGTTGTCAGGGGCTGTTGCTAGATTAGCGTCGCTATTGTCGCTAACCCTGATACTGTATTCATCAGCGAAAACACCTTGGTCATGAAGCGAACCTGACAGTCCTAGGTAGGGTAAAACCAGGCGGCTTTCGTCTGATCCCTGAATGATCACTTGACCTAACCAGGTAGCCCAATTCAGGTGAGCAAAACAACACAAACTACGATATATACGACAATAGATATAGGAAAATGGGGGATCCTATCAAGCTCCTATATTGAGTCTAATACATCTGACAATTGAAGCAGAAGCACCCATATTTGACATTTTGGCTTCTGTTTTTGGAGGTTGGTGACGTTACTAACGTGGCATATTCGCCGTTTATCGTGATAATACACAAGTACATCTGTATTCTAGAGCGCGGGCTTCTGTCTCAGAACCACCCGTTTTGACGCACAGCACGCGTCCCCCAATTTCGCCGCATACCTCACCTCCATGGGGCCTTCTATGCTAATAATAGCCTGAGAACAGTATAAAACGGCTCTTTATGATCCAGTCTGGCACTGCCCGAGCCAATCATGTGGGAGATAGAGGCGTCAGACTCATGTAGCATTTTAACGCGTGTACATTGAGATCCCACTGGCCTAGGGTTTTAAATATGTTGCAATTCCTGTCTTTAATACTCGGTCAACGAGATAATCTTTGTCTTTCACAGCGCGTGTCATGCCTCTGAAGAGCGAAGTCGACGCCCTCATTATAGTTATTATCCACAGACAACGAGTGAGCGACAGCGATCGAAAATCCAGCTTTACTGATCCAGTACCATTTTCAACAAAGCAATCCATCCAAATATACGAATCTCACTGAGCAACATAATCAGAGCAAAGCTGCTGCTTACATCTGGCCGTCTCCGTGATGTTCCATAAAAGCGCGTTTGCCGTTCTTATATTCCTCCACCTCTTCTCTAAAGCAGCTGCACAAGTAAAACCAAACTTCTACTTTTATCCGCAAGCCGCTCGAGCCTGTTTAGACCAAGCTGGATTTACTTCCAGATGTGAAGGCAAAGACACGCAGTCCCTTAATGCTTGCCTGTGCGGCAACGGCGGCAACTTTATCACCAATACTGCCATCTGCCTTGGCCAAAATGGTCGCAATGAACTGGAAGACGTGTACGAACTCATGGCCAGTGCGTGTTCCAGAACCAAAACACCCATCATACTCTCTCCAAAAGAATTTGTTGACGCGGCCGAAAGCGGCGACGTTGTTGCAGCTCCCACTACAGCTCGAGCTACAGTCGCACCACTGCCTGCAACCACATCGATACCTATGCGCACAACATCGCGGGCAGCGACACTCACAACATCATCGATATCTACTACAGTGGAAACTGTCTCATCAAAAATCTTAAAAACACCTATAACGTCAGCCTCTACCACCTCGACAAGACAAACTTGGGCTGACAAAACCGAAACCGATAAAGCCATAATGGACAATGGCGAGGACAAGGGTGAGCAGACCAAAACGCTATCGAAAGGGGCTGCCATTGGAATTGCAATATTCTTTTCTCTCACTAGTCTTGTAATTATTGGCGTCTGCACATGGTTTCTCAGACGACGGAAGCGCAAGACAAAGCAGGAAGGATATCGATCGATGCCATCTCCAAAAAGCTTCGGAGGTATATCACAACTACCGATACCGCAACCTCCCCATCTACCTATCTTCCGACATAATGATAAACTAGAATACAGACAAAATCTCGAACCACAGGTGACTACCTGTAATACAGAGTACTTCCAAGGCAACGCCAAGGAGAATCCAACCCCGTCAGCGATACTAGTCATAGGATATTCGCCGTCGTCACCACAGTCTCGGCCCTCGCAGCCACATAGTTCACATCCTGAAGTAGCAGAATTGCCGGCCGAGGTGATTTTCGTGCAACAGAAAGAACGAGAACCTATTTTTGAGTTGGAATCCAATGAAGCACTACGGCGTTATCCTGGTGATAGATAATAGGAAGTCGATTAAATATCCCCCAAATGCACTCTTACAACTTTTATATGATATTCACAGGAACTGAAAACCGTATTTATATGCTGAAAAAGCGCGATTGATGGTACATACGACCATATATACAAGAGAATTTACCTGGTCAAAGACAAACTTGGGTTGAGCGCCATTTTCCACTGTTCATAAGCCACATAGAAATTTCGAAGAAACACAGGATGTATTGGCTTGAAGGTGAAGTGGAATAGCGAATGTGGAGTTAATCGCAAGTATCACGATCTAAGAAATAGAGCAATAACACCAGGAAGTAAGCATGAGGAAATCGTGTTTACTCCCTCACCGTGTGAGTCATCGGTCAAGTCGGGAAGTCAATAGCTCTGAGAATTAAGTAATAATGAAAACTTGCACCTCGCGATGACTTATAGTAAAGCCTTTTTTCATGTCAAACTTGAAGTAGCCCCCTCTTGTAGTTCGAGATGCAAAATCTCTCCAGTACAATACCTTTATCGTCACAATGGTTTTAGTTCTCCTTGACGCCACTGAAGCAGATGCAACAAGATTTGCCGATATTGAGCACGCGGCTATCACGCCTGATGCAGTCAACAAAACACTTTTCCCCGGGCCTTTCCCGAAGGAAGGCCTATCCCGAGCGGAAGTCTTGACACAGTATTTACGTTGCGATCCGGCGTGTAAATGGGTGAAGGTAGTAGATACAGAGTTGGAGGCAAAAGGTGAACAAGCAACAATAGCCTTTTCGGTATGGTATTTTTGGGAGAGCGGAGGTGGTACGCTGCCGTATCCAACTTGGGGTACCGGAACAAATCCTGAAGCTTGTGAGCTTTATTTTGGTGGCTTGCAGAAGAAATGGCAAGAAACCTTTGGGGGCAGACCTCATGCGTGTAAGCTGCCTGGCCATTGTTGATCGCAAAGCGTCATTGAGAATATCACTGGCTAATTTCATGCTGAAAACAGACCTCAAATTTATGCACACAACACCATCTCACCGGGGGAGGGGAGCTGGCTCCATGATGCTGGCTTGGGGTCTAAGCCAAGCGGATGAGAAGAGTTTAGAGACTTACCTGCAATCCTCACATGAGGGCCGTCGGTTATATGAAAAGCTCGGGTTCGAACAAGTTGAGACTTACGTTGTTGATCTTTCCAACTGGGGCGGCCCTCCTGAGGATGAGGTCCCGATCATGATAAGACCTCTGCAACGATCGGTTTCCTCCTCACTTGCTAATCAATAGACGATTTGGGGCTCGAAAGACTCTGGTTTTGCTTAGCGAAGACGCTACTACATTGTTAAGAATCAAGATATACCTCGCACCTATCCCATATAGAACCGCAAATTTTAGCAATATTACATAATAATTTAGGTACAATTCAAGCACATACGACCATGGATACAGGAAAGTTCGGGATCCCGTCCAGCTCTTGTCATCAGCGCAATCTACGACCAAAATAGAGGAAAAGACAGTCAAAATTGGAGAAGATGGTGGGAAACAGTGGGGAACTGCCACCATTTATTCTAGTAATTGATATTACGGCCGTCTCACACCTGCAGCCTAAGCGCACCAATATAATTATCATGGCATTTCACCAATTCGGACTGCTGCCTGCAAAAGTCAGACAGCGTATCTGGCAGCTCACCGTGGCAGAGGACGAGCGCGAGATATGCCTTCTCTGGCCTACCAATCTCGACATCGGCTATAAAAACAGTCAAGTCTTGGAACGGCTGCCTCTATTCCCGCTTACCGTAGACACGGCCTTTCCTACCGCTATGCACGTATGTCGCGAATCCCGAGCTACGATGCAAAGCGCCAGCAGTGGCGTGCGCTTCCGCGCCTCGGCGGCGGCGCAGTGCTCCGTACCGTTTCGCGCATATCATCCAGCGCTAGACACACTCTACGTTGGCAGGGACTCGATGCACCTTCTCAACATGCCTACCATGTTTGAGGCTAGTAGCGGTGTCCATCCGACCCCGGAGCAAGTGAGCGCCATGCAGCCTTGGTTTGATACACTGAAGCAAGCCAAATCGATCGCCATCGAGGGCCCTTACTTAGCTTCCAAAATCGAAAATCTCATGGATATAAGCTGGGCATCACTAAAAGCTTCTGGTCAAGACAACCCCCCGCCACACCCCATAACCATAGAGTATGTCGTAGCAAGCTCTCAGTTCGACGAGAGCGTCGCTATGCGATATCTCAACTTTAAACAGCCCGGACGACGGTGCAAGCTTGTTCCGCTGTCACCAGAAGCGCTGGACCGCGTCCGCATCTACCCTACCCCTCTGGGCGACCGCGACGGCGACCCGGTGCCCGTTCCGCAGGCGATTGCTGGGGCCCGCGAGATAGCGTGTGACTACTACGGCGTCATGCAGGGGGAGGAAGACTACAGAAACTCGCTCGAGATTAATCCCTGCACGTTTGTCGAGCGCCAACCTGATGGGACTTGGCGTGAATGCTGCCAGGAGCGCACGTATAAGCCGCTCAATGACAATTTTGAGCTTTTCGGTTCGGGGCCACCGGTCCAGCTGCAGGATAGGCCCGACCCAGAAGTAGTCAGGATTCATGACGTGGATATTGCCTTTGAGCCTTGGATGGATCCTCACACTGCAATGCCAAGGGGTCCGTTGTGATACGCCTGGGGAGGAAGCCACGAAGCGTTGTTGTTTCAGATAGGCAAAAAGAAAGAAGAGAATACACCAATATATACAAAGGGACGTGATTTCTGAAGAAGATTGTTTGAATATAGATAGCTTTTTTGTCGTCGACAACATTCATGGAGAAGAAACCACCCTTATTAGCCAGCCATAGTACGTATCATCATATAGTACAAGTTATAGTTAAAAGGTAAATAAAAAAAACCAAGTAAATAGCAATTAACTACTTATTTACGCCTTTAACTTTTTACAGTATTTAGAGTATTTGTGGATTCTGGTTTTTAAACTGTAGAGTAATCTGCGCTATGCTACTGTAGCAATTGGTATCGTTCCACGGCACGCAGACCTCTGAGCTCCAAGGCCATCTCGGCAGTCTTTCCAGCTAGCTGGTATATAACTTATGGTGAATATTTGCCGCCTCACGCCAAACGTTGCCGAATGACGCGACAAAGGGTCCACTGACAAAAACAAAGAAAAACAAAAGGCTCCACCCGCTAGACTAGACGATTTACCTCGCTTCGCCGCAAATCACATAATTCATGGGCAAATACTGCAACAGCAGCTGCAGCATTAGTAGCAAGGTGAGGGTGTGGATCTCCCCAGCGGAGGCCGGTCGACGAAGCGAAGTGGCTAGAAGAGTAGGGATGTTCCGCTGATCGATCCCGTTGCCGAGCTGTGGGGGAGATTTATTTCTCCTCTTCGTCGATAACAAGCACAATCTTTTTAATCGACAATTTCCATTATTCTGTTACCCTTACAGATAGCTTACACATTGCTAAATGGTCGATCAACAAGGTACACTACATATATCTATAGAGTGAGCGTAATAGTGTTTCTTTCTGGTATCGGAGCCATGTAACCAGCCGGAGATGAAGCAACCCAACAAAAAACCACTACGGCAATAAAAGGTTACAATATTCGTATTTTCCGCTCCACAAACACAAGTTTAAGTTACGTCTTACCCCGCATAGCCCACTCCATAACATCTTGGCATAGAAATAGATAAAGACTTGGTTACCCGGATAGGAAAGTCTTCTCTAAGTGGAAGGTGTACGTCGCGTTTCTATCGTCGGCCGAGGTTGGCGGGGGGATTCCGATCACAGGGCCAAGCGTGGGATCCGAGCCATCCACCAGCTACCCGAGCTATTCACCAAACCAGGCAAGGCAGGCAGGCAGGCCGTTTGTATGGTGATGCAACCTGCCCTTTCAGTCCATTCATTTCCAGGCCTCGTGTGGTTATCGTTCGCCCCAGGTGACTAGCTTTTATGCTTGATTGTTCTGCAGCAGGCTGCGCTAGTGTGCGTCCTACCGTCATTCGCAAATGCCACCTGCTCTATTCAGAGAAGCGAGCAGAGGAGGGAGGAAAGGGGCCGAGCGTATACAGACACAGGTAAAGCATAAGCAGGATATCGCGGGATATTGAGCAGTATACGAGGGGATGAGCTAGCTTTAGAAGGGGAGAAGTAGCAGAAGAAGAGGGATATAAAAGAGAGCTCAATTGCTCCCCTCCATCCATCCATCCATCTATCCATCCATCCTCATCATCCTCATCATCCTCATCATCATCTCCTCTCCCCCACATACATACCTACACATACCACATATAATGAAGAACCAACTCGCTCTCCTCGCTCTGGCCAGCCAGGTCGCTGCCCTCCCCTCGCTCGCCGGCCGCGCTGGCGAAATTGTCGGCGGAGAGTCCGTCAAGATCGAGGACTACCCCTACCAGGTCGACCTGCGCGTCAAGGACAAGGCCAACTGCGGTGGTACCATCATCAGCGAGCGCTACGTCTTGACGGCAGGCCACTGTGCCCTCAAGTACAAGGTCGAAGACCTCAACATCCGCGTCGGCAGCACCACCAACGGCAAGGGTACCTCGTACCAGGTCAAGAACAAGTACGTTCACCCCAAGTACGGCCACAACGGCTATGCCTACGACGCGGCCATCCTCGAGTTCGACCCCCCCATCCAGTTCACCGACACCGTCAAGACTATTGGTCTGGCCGATGCCGAGCCTGCTACGGGCACCGACACCGTTGTCTCGGGCTGGGGCTCGACCAGTGGCGGCCGTCCCGTCTACCCTACGGATCTTCATGCCGTTCATGTCCCCATCCTTGACCACGACGAGTGCAGCAACGACTACGGCGGCACCATCACTGCGGATATGATCTGCGCCGGCTACGCCGAGGGTGGAAAGGACTCTTGCTCGGGCGACAGCGGCGGTCCCCTCGTTGCCGACGGTAAGCTTGTTGGTGTCGTCTCCTTTGGCCGGGGCTGCGCTGAGCCCGGTTACCCTGGTGTTTACGCCAGCGTGGCCAGCACCGAGATCCGCGACTTCATCAAGCAGACCACCGGTCTTTAAATGCACCAGCGAAGGGAAATAACGTAAAATACTTACCCAAAGTGGCGTCCAGCAAGCGTGTGGAATCAAATTGTCTTTGATATATATACTTACAACTCTACATATACCTATGCATACATAGCACTGTTCATAGTATAAAAATGTACATATGCTGCTAAATTACAGACCTATTGTCAGGGTGCGGTTTTGGAAGGTTTAGGAAGGTGCGGTCCGAAACGGCAAAACAGTCTATTCTGCTATTCTAGTTCCTGTACATAGGCTAGATTAGACTGCGCGCCGATAAGTCGCTGCCTAGGTATCAGACAATAAAGTAGAGAATGGACGCAATCGATTGGGAGTTGATAGATAACTAAAGTTCGTCTGCCTGAATATCTCCGCTTGTTACGTTCAAAGACACAGATACTCCAAGTGTGCGGCCAAGGACCTGGCCGTTTGAGCCCACAGCTTCGGCTAGAATCTCTAGCGGCTTTGTACTTCGCAGAGACGCAACATTCAACACGGCATGCGTCTCGAATCCCTGACGCTGTACCTTTTTGAGTAGCCTGGTGCCCTGATTCTGATCTTTGGCGTAAAATCTCCAGAATGCCGTTTCAGTATCGCCGTTCCATGATACGTAAACGTCTAGGAGGTCTTGGGCGGTCTGATCAAGCACTACAATGGCAGGAACTTCGGAAGGACGCCCAGTCCAATTTGCCCTGAAGCCTCTGTAGTTTTGCAGTGTCAAGCCCGGAGTCGTGGAGTCGAGGTAGCTATGGAAGACAACTTTGCCCTCACTGCTAAATTCCGTAATCGCGCCAGCATCGCCCCAGTTTGCAAAGATGTTACCGTTTGGCAAGACTTGGGCATTACCTTGAGAGTGCGCTGACACTCCATCTGGTGCGTTCAGTGTTTTCACAACTGTTACTGTGCCCTGGTTGTGATTCAACTCAAGAATAAGAACCCTTGAATATGAACGTTCAAACTCTTTATTTGAACTTGCGCCGTTGTCAAATAGAGACACAATTTCTTCTCCGTTTGGCAATCTGCCGTGGAAGCGCGCGTCGTGCTGCCATGCGAAGCCGCCCTTATCGTCCAACTTGAAGGAGGAAGTATCGGTATTGCTGCTAAGCTTCCAAATGATGTTCCCGTCGGTGCTGTTAATCTTATAGATGGTCGAAGTGTGGCGCGCTGAGATGAGGTAGTTCCCCTCGTCATCCTTGTCAACGCTATTGAGATGAAAGTAGTCCCAAGCATTGCTAGGTGTCCTGCCAACATCCTGCAATGGGTTTGATGCTAAGGTTTCAACACTATCTACAAGGATTCTGGTCAGCGCCGGCCAAGTCTAATTAGTCATCTTTGGCATATTATACCTGTTGGTTCAAGGCTTAATAACACGTGTTATCGAAAGGTGAGAGGTTGTGGTAAAAGTTCGTTGTTCTCTTCTAGTTCCATGGTCGGAACTGCTCTAGTTAAATACAGCGAATACATCCTGTATTCACTTCCTTTTCCTATGTCATCCACTTCCAGTGACTTAACTGTTCCTTCACTCATCCGGTAAAGTGACATACGTCCAATGTCACAATAGTCACAACACTAGCAACTCTCTATTTTTCTCCTTCATTCTTCTTTATTCTTTCGTTCCACCCATCCTTCCATAGATAGTATAAGCTTATTTGTATCGATCAGATTCCTCAAGGCTTGATTTGGCGATGCTTTCGTCATTGCATCTGCCGGGTTATCGTTCCCATGAATCCATCGTACCTCGTTCGCTTCTCTTCGTTCGTATGATTGTCGTAGTGCCATAATATCAATCATCAATCGTTTTTCCTTTGTAGTTCCCAATTTCACAAGACATTCATAAAGTGAAAATGAGTCTGTGCAGAGAATCATTGGTATCTTTGGGATTCCAAGTTGTTTAGTGATTATCTCTAGTGTCGAATTCAGCGCATATCCGACATCAGCTCCCTGCACCATGCTGTATAGTTCGGATGCTAATGCGCTTCTTGTAACTCGTTTCGATTTCGTTGAGCTGTATGTGACAATATTGCCTGTAATCTCACATCGATTTTCGCTGGTTTGTTTCTCGGTGCCAATCATAACAACATATCCCAACTGGGAGCTCAAATCTTTGTTATTTGCGAAGGATCCATCAACAAAGACATATAGCTTAGCCTTTTCGAGTTCCAACGGGACAAATCGAAGTCCACGCTCCTTGTTTTCCATCTGCCATTTCAGACGAGATGCCAGTCGTCTAAAGTCATCCTTTCCAGGTTCTTTATGTTGAGCAGCAACTGACAGATCGAACGATGCTTCCGGCTGGCAAATACTTGCAAGATAAGCACCTCTTGCTCGTTGTTCAACATACCCTTGATTGTCAGATGGTATGCCAAGCTTCTGAGCTTGCCCCTTCTGGACCATTGTAATCACGCCGTCAACATCAACATGTAATCGGCATCCATTGAAGGTAAGTGGATTCTCAATACCCAAGATCTCCCTTGGTTTAGCAGCGAAGTTCGCTTTCTTCAACTCCTCATCCTCCAGATCATAGAATCCTCGATCACTAAGGCCCAAAGTGTCATCTGTCTGCATCCCAATTACTCCAAACTTGTCTGTATTTGAAATAAGTAGACACGGGTCAAATGTTGACATCACCATACCCAACTTGTCGAGGTGGTGCCGTGAGTATGTTGCCCACCAGTGTGTTCCAGCTTCTGGAATTCCATATAAAGGCTTAATTACCCTCATAATTGTTCCTGTCGGGTACTTGTCACGAATTTGATCGGGAAGCTTTGCCAGAATCGTTCGTTGAAGTGGTGTAGTTGACTGGGCATATGCTTGGGTAATATCTCGCAGCCATAGGAAAATCCCTCTCTTGGTCAACGATGGTGCAAT